ATAGTTTAGTAATAAATACTACTTTAGGCTTAGTTCTTAAAGAAAGCTTTATATTATTATAGGTAAGAGATTTAAGTATAAACTTAGGTAAGTAGATTATACGCGTCTATAGAGGTAAGATATTAAGGTAGAACTATTGAGGCGGCGATAGGATCACGACAATAGATTATATAAGGCTAAACAATATATAGAATAAGTATAATACTACTTAATACTATAATATAACTAATAATTAAATACTTTAGTTATTTGAAGAATCTTAAACCTCTATACACGCACTCTATACTAGTTCCTATATAATAAACCTTCTACACCACTATAATATTATTTAAAAGCTTAGTATATAATAATATAAAGAGTATATCTAAGAGAGAACTAGTCTAGCTCAAGAGAATATAATAAGGGTCTATATATAGATAATAGTAGGCTTTAACTTTAAGTCAAAGCTAGTATTCTATAAGATACTTATAAATAATAATAGTAAGAAAAACTAGATAGTTTATATTAATAAGATTCTAAAATCTTATATACTACCCTTTTTTTAAAAGAATAGTAGGCTAGTTCTTAAAGAGAATTGTAATTTAAAATATATAAATAAGATAGCTACTAAGTTTAAGTAAAATAATAAGATTACTTGTTATACTAACTACTTAAAATTACTAGATCTTGTAACAATTAAGAACTACTAGTAAGCTTTTAAGTAAATAATTAAAAGAAGGTTATATTAGAATAAGCAGACTATAATTTTAGTAATTTAAGCTAGCTAGACTATAGTAAGCTAAGACTTAATTAATAAGTATATTAGATCTATACTAAATCGCTTATAATAAGTGATTAAAATAGAAGGTAGAATAACACTAAATTAGATAGAAAACTAGCTTCTAAAAAGCTTTAATTTTTAGTAGTAAATAGAGTGGTTGATAGAAACGTGATGTTAGTGATTTTCGTAGTGAAAATTCTTCCCTACCCGACTACGTCGAGCAGGGAGAAACTGTTCCTACGAACCTCAAAATCCAAAGTTTAATTAGTTATTGCGCTCACTTACTAGGAAATTGTTTCTTAATAATTTATTCTAACTAGCTAGCTTGTGCTTAGTATCTCGAATCTCATATCTAGAAATCAATACAGCCGCTTGATAGTAGATAATATTGATAGATTGATATTAGTGGACCGCAATATAGGCGTTCCACGAATTAGCGCTTCTCTAGCTTAGAAGCTAAGCGTTTTTATAAGCGCGCCCTACTAAAATCCATCTAGGCCGTAAGTCTAACTTTATTGTTATTCTAAATATCTTAAACTCTTGAAATTGAAGCCGAAAAGCTCTATATAAACTACTTAATATAGGTAAACGTAAAGGCACTAAAAAGACACCCTTTACGCCTCCTAAATCCAAAAAATCAAGGGTAAGAGAGCTACTACCTACTCTACTATCTGATCTACCACCTACTTTACCATCTACTCCGCTAGCTTCTAATCTAATAGACTAAATACTACTAGCGGAAGTCTAGCAATATATTATAGTGTATTAGTAAGCTAGTAATAAGCCGCTAGAGGGTTATAGTGCTACTATTATTTAGTATTAGCTGTTCGCGCGTTTCGTGATTTAAGATAATAAGAATAGTATACTATAGAGCGCTCTAGATATTAAGGTTAAAGAGGTAATTAATAAGAGCTTTACTAGTAGTAGTTAGCAACTAGTCTAATTATTATAGCGCTTCCGCTCTAGATACTTGCTAGTACCGCTAGCTACTACTAATATTATTAAATATAATATTAGCTAGATAGTTAAGCTTAAAAGCCGTAAGGTTATTAAAGATACTAAGTAAAACGTTAAGGTAGATCTAACTTACTACTAGTACTATTACCTATATAATAAAAGAACGAGACTTCTAGCTACTAAGACTATTAATAAGATACTTAAAGAGGTAGCTTGTTTAGCTAAGGTTTATACTAAAGCTAAGGGTATAAAGAATATTATCCTTACTATTAATCTTATCTAACTAAACTAGATATGTGTTAATAGAATACTTAAAGCTTTTAGCTAGAAGTTTATGGATAAGACGCTCCGTGTTAATATCTTATAGGAGTTTAATAAGTAGATGCCGCTAGCTACTAAACATCTAGGAGAATCTACTAATATAATGAATTAGCTAGAGTAAGAGTTAAACTGTAAAGATACTACTAGTAAGGTTAAATACTACCGATATATCTATTAAGCCGTTTAATGTAACTATAGTAGCTGCAATAACTAGAATAAATAGTGCTACTAGCTATCTAATAGCAAGTATATAAAGCTAACCTCTCCGGATCTAAAAGTATAAATAGAAGCCTTACTTTAAAAGGTTACTAGTATTACTAAGTTCATACTACTAGCGGCGGTATTAGACCAGCTCTATCTTACTAAGTATAGATCTTATAGTAGATAACTAAATTATTAGCTATTTAAACTGTCTCTACCATCTTTATATCTATATATACCTATAATACTGCTACCACTACTGCCGCTATAGGCGCGGACGCTCTCTATAAATAGTACTACTTTAGAGAATCCGCTACTATCTTTACTATTATAAGTCGATTTAATTCTAAAGTAGGACACGCAACTCCAAGCCTATGTTAACTAGATAAAGTAGAAGGTAGACAATAAGAGTTAGTGTACTAGATTTAAAGCTATCTATACTACTACTATAGAGAATTATCTTCAGCTTAATTATATAAGAAAGAAACAGCTAGACTAGTTTAGAGTATATAAAATTAAAAATAGAATTACTAGAGTAGTTAAGGAGGATATAAAGGTATAGCGTAATAAGGTTAAGCGTAAGGAGTTTATAGCTTAAAATAGTATATAGGTAGAGTAGGTTTTAGAGCTAGTTTTAGATTTAACTTCTATCTTTTATATATATATCTATTAGCTTTAGAATCTCTATTAGCCCTATAAAAACTTAGTGTAGAAACTACTAAAATAAGCCACCTTAATAGAGAACGCAAAGTCTTTATATTTAACCTTAGTCATTGCTAATATCTACTATTAAATACTTAAAATAGGCGCGCGCGTGCCTATAATCTAAGTCTACCTACTCCACATACTAATAGGGGTATCTCTTAAATAAATAGTCGCTCTTATTTATCTCTTTAGTCTAAAGACGCTAATACTACGTGATAAACGCTTTAAGCTCCGTAAAAAAACTCCTCTATAGAATTCAAATTAGGTAAGTATAGTGGTAGAAAGATAAGCTTAATACTATACTACTTAAATAACTCTAAGATAGACTCTGAATAATAAAAGGACGCGTTATCTATTACTATAACTAAGTTTTTACCTAGATACTATCTTTAAGATAGTAGTAAGTGGTGCTCTATCTATAAATTAAATCCAGCCGCATCTATTATTCCTTTAAAGACTATAGTATCTAGAATACCTTCTATTATATACGCCAGTAATATCTAAAAGCGTTTACCGCGTGTTAAATGCTTATAGTAGGTTAGCATCTAATTTTAAGGTGACTAGCTTGTCTTTTAAAATCCTATCCGCTTATCTATACTAGACTTATTAATAAAGACTAGCTGCAAGGCCTTAAACTATAATATAAGATAGAGGTAGTATATATAAAGCTGCATATTGCGTCCTTTAGCTATCTTACGAGCCTAATTTATCTTAAATCTAAGCTAACTTAACTACTAGATAAACTCACAGCCTTTCTACTCTAACTAGCCTCCTATAGGTATTTAGATAGTATCTATTATAATATAATCTTACGGAACTCATTCTAAATAAACTAGTACATCTCATCTAGACATAGCTCCAGCTTTCTAATAAGATAGTAGAGTAGTATCTTAACCTCCTTTTAGTTTAATAATCTTAGTAAACCTAGTACTATAATAAGAAGAGCCTAGCTAATAATTCTTATATTATATTAAATACGCTTAATAGTAGATTTACTAACTTAAACAGCATAGGCAATATAATAGTAGGGGTAGCTAGTAGCAAGAAGCTTAATAATAAGGTTGCAATTACAGTTTAAGATATTTAGAGCTATCTTTAATAGTTACCACTAATTTTAAGAGCTTAGATAGATAATACTACTAAGTTTAGAGCTTTAAGATAATATTTAGGACGACAATAAGGTTGACGAGGTTGGGCTCACGGCCTAGGTGAGTTTTGGTGGGGCGCGCTTATAAAAACGCTCAGCTCCCAAGCCAGAGAAGCGCCGATCCGTGGAACGCCTGTATCCCGCAGCCCCGCTGCCTGTGAGAGACTGACAGGCTTGCATTACCTAAGCCAGGCATTTGTACTTCACCCTTTCAAATGACCCTTATCGACTTCCGGACACACTCTGACTTGGGGAAGTCTGTTACTTCCCACTTCTTTATACGAAGGTCGATGTGCGGATTGATGTACTCTTATGCAGAGACCAAGATTACTTCTAACGCACTTTCGCAGCTAAATAGCTGACACAGCTACAGCCTCACGCCGAGCCGGGCGGCGGGCCTTGCTGACATGGATGGCTTAGGTAGGTAGTCGGAAAGGGTAATGGCCTTCAGCCGCGAGCTAAGTCATGTCAGATCAGTTGTTGGTGCATCGACACTCAATGAGGTCGTATGTGGAAAAGGAGATGGAGTTCTGGCAATCAAACGGGACACCGATCCTGCTGACTGCAGATTTCCGCCTCCAAGGCTGACTCCAAGGTTGCCAACCCAGACCAAACCAGTAAAACTTCTGCCTGACAAGCAGACAACCGGATCGAAATCGGAAGCATGATAAGTGGTAGAGGAGTAGCAAGGAGAATTGGTTCACCTCCGGCTAATGCAATATCGTCTCGTCTACACCAACTGTCCGACCGCGCATCTACCGCGTCTCATTCGTCATCATCAATAGTACGAGCGCCATGCAGAGAGATTCAGAAAGTGATATCCAGGACCGTCCCCATACCAAACGCCCAAACCCGACAACCCAAGAAATTCGTAACAACACCGCCTCATAACCACCCTCCTGCACTAACCCCATTCTCCGCCCCCTTCCCAAGGTCCAGCGCCAATCTGGGCAACTCCATCCTCGGCGCCTCAAGCTGTGGCGGCTTCTCCTTCATCGGACTCTTTACCGGGCTGCTCTTTCGTGGACTCCCTTGCCCTTCCCTCACGCCGCATCTCACATCCCCAACATCCCACCCGTCGTCCACGGCAGCCGCAACCCACGTCTTGAGACCCTCATGCACGTGTGCGTAGAACTTCTCCTTGCACGTGCGGAGTGTCGCACCCATGGTCTTCTCCCAGCCAGAGGCGCGGAGTTCGGCACGGAAGGCGTTGCGCTCTGCAGCTGTGGGCAGGCAGGCGAGCAGGCCGTTAAGTAGGTCCAGATGTGAGGAGAGATAGTGTGTGCTGTCCCACTCGACGCCGCCGACGTAGGGTGCGGTGGGGATTGGGGGGCGGGGTTTGGGAAAGTGAGTCGCGAGGTAGGCGGACGAAGACAGGGGCCGTGGGGGCGGCTGAGTAGCGTTAAAGGATCTGGGAGGGGGCGTTATGGGTCTGTTGTCAGGAGTAGCCTGGGCGGGAGACGAGGGTGACGGTGCGGCGGTGCTGCTGGAGGAAGTAGGTAGAGGGATGACGTTGAGGTGGTGCAGGAAGATCCAGAAGACCTCCTTTGTGACGTTGCTGACTTCGCGGCTCCAGACGCGGTACGGGCGGGGAGTTTGCATCTCGAGGACGAAGGCGACGGGCTTGCGGTCTTCGGTTGGCTGCGGATCGCGGAGGTAGGAGAGGATGGTCTGAACGCGTTGGGATAGCAGCTCGGAGTGCGAGACCGCAGCGTTGAGGTGCGCGAAGAGGAGATCGATGATGAGTTTGCGCGTCGTAAACTCGCTGGGTCCTTTGTGCTCGTCGTCGAAGAGCATAGCCAGGAGCGCTGGGAAAAGCGTCGCTTCGATCTCGCAGAGCTTTTCGAGTGCGATATCTGTGGTGCAGAGACCTTTGAGGCAGAGTAGGGCTTCGTGCAGGAGTGCGTCCTCGTGCTCCTCGCGCCATTCGACCTGCATGATCCGGTGCAGCAGCGACACGATCTCGGTCATGCCGCCTTGCCGGATGAAGGAGTCGACCCAGGCGACGGTCTCGTTGCGGAGGAGCAGCCGCAGCTTATGCAGCTTCCCGACTTCGACGATTTGTGGCTGCTGCACTTTTCGGAGGTAGGACACAAAATCTTCTGGCACGGCAGGTTTAGGTGTTCTGCTGAAGAACCCCTTGCTTTGAGCAACGGCAGGTGCTGCGAGAGAGGTCGAAGAAGGCGCTCTGGGAACCTCGATCAACTTGGAGGATCTCTTCTCAGCCTTCCGCGCATCAGACTCCTGTTCGTCCGTTGGAGACGAACCTTCTTTGCTGAAGGTGAACGTCTTGCTGCGCGGCCGGCTGCGCTTTTGCGTGTTGGCGGAGTTCGAGCCGTCTGAGAGGATTCGTGTATTTTCCTCCCCATCTGATGGCTTTCTAGACTGCGTCTGGCCCGGGTCTTTCTTCACAGACTCACCCCACAGCGGGGAGCCCGAACTCAAGTCTTTGGCTGACGAGGAGGGTGGAAGCTGGTTCTGCTTGACCAAGTCGGCTTTGACACGCAGTGTCAGAGCGCGCATGGACGGCCGCATATGGTCTGGGATGTTTCGTGAGTCCTGTCGCAATCATTAGCACTGAATCCATAACTCTGGAGCTAGACCACCCACAAGCATGGCTTCAAAATCGGCATTGATCTTCTGTTCGTCCAGAACAGCCGTCTCAGCCTCCTTCGCCTTACCGTTCAGCACCGCAACCGCAGCCATCACGCGGTTTCCCCTCTTCGCAACGGTAACGCCCTCTTTTGGCTGCTCGCTGCTCGCCTTCCGCTTCTCAGAATTGCTGCGTCGGAGTAGCGCCATTCCTAGCGTATCCATCCTACTGCGCTCTCCGCTGGGCTGTCTTGGCTCCGCTGCTGTTTCACCCTTGTGCGCCGAGGTAGGTGTCCGCTCGTTGCTCAATTTCCTCGATACCGTTTCCATGAAGGATGTCCTGGAGCCAGTGCTGGGCAGATATGCTGACTTGGGGCGCGGCGCACGCTTCTGCAGCGATGGTAGCTCGCGCACACCAAAATTCCTTTGCTTTGAGGGCGAGTAGTCCTGGGGCGTATACAGCGCTATCTCCTCGCCGACATGGCGCAGGTCAAGATCATTGAGCGGGACGCAGGTCGTGGTCGTCACCTCATCGAACCGCTGAGACGAGAACTTCGCCCATATGGGAGTGTGCATTGCGATGGCCGCGGAGCTGGGTGGTGTGGTGTTTTCCTTGTCTTTAGGCGGATGAGGTGTCTCGTCACTCCCCTTGGACGACTTGGATGACTTTGCGGACCTGGCGAATGCGGCTGAAAGGCTTGTGGATGACTTGTTCTTCTTCAGCTTTTTCTGCTCCTCCTTCTCTCGCCGACGAGCCTCCTTCCGCTCCCGGGCTTCGTCGTCCGCCTCTTTCTCCTTGCCCAGGGAGCGCAGCGATACCGTGCTCAGCGTCTTCTTGTGCAGGCTCTTGGGCCTGTCCCTTTTTGCTTCTTTCGGCTTTGCGTCCGTGGGACCGTTGGCCGGAAGGTTCTGGGCTTCGCCTAGGACTCGATGACCTGCAGCAGGGTGATCAGATGGCAGCAATGGCATGCCTTTCATAAGCGGATTGTATGGTCTGGTATTCTCATGCGAGATCGGCGTCGCTATAGATGTATGTTCTGTTGGTGTGCGCTTGTGATTCTTGGAGACCATGATGGACTTCAAGACGGTAGCTGATTTGCTTCGTTTGTGTCCAGGGCGCTGCTCTGCGGCAGAGGAGCCGGTTGCTACCGCCGAGGAGTTCATGGGGGATGCTGCAGGAGTAGCGTTTGTTGATGTAGGACTGGTGGAGACGCAGCGCTTTCGCTCCCTTGAGCGGCTTCTAAGACCCGAACGCAAGGGCGAGCTGTAGAGCAGGAAGAATCGGAGGGATGCACCGCTATCACTGCAACGATCTTGATGCTCTCAATTAGAAGGCATACGGTAAGGATGTCTGCTAATGGCTGCCGTGCTCGTCATGCTCTGTGATACTCGGACGTCTCGCGGATGTTGACACTGGTAAATCCGGTTGCCAACGGCCGGGCAAGCTTGGCGGCAACGGCGCTGCGGCCTGTGGTCCTGAAACGCCGACATGCCGACGCAAGCCCACAGCAGCAATTCCTCCCCTCCAGCTAGGTAGCAATACAACGGCATAACGACCCTGGTCCGACAAACTGTCAGCAACAACAAATGCAAGAAGCCAAGGAGCAAGTACTCTTCAAAGCGAACGCTGTGCATGTGATACATAGCATTACTTCGAGCAGCGCCCTCATATTGGTATCTCCTATGAACATACGAACACCAAATCAATCCATCGGCCTAAGCAATGAAGCAAGCAAGCAAGCCAACAGCGCCGTATGATGCAGCAAGGGACTCTGCTCCGAAGGCTAGAGTCCGAGCACATGAACACGCAAATGTCATTTATCAGCAAACAGAACACAGCCACCAAGAAGCAAGCGAACGAAACATGAAGCCGCTAGAGCTAGCATTCACCAAAACCAGAAACCTGTAACGATGCTGAGTGACGGCGATGCCACTGAACCATGCGGGGCGAATCCCAACCTGCGAAAGCGGATGCCAAAACGCATGCATGCCGGGTATATAGCGAGTCGTTCAAGCAGCTTCCACTTCGTTCACTTCCGAGTCCAGTTCCTCAACCTCGCAACCTTTGGAGTCAACCACAATCCTCCGGCCGCGATTCTCAGCAGGCACACCGTCACGTGACGCGCCGAAATCCAGGATCTGCGATAACCGTCAGCTGTTGCTTTCTTTTCTGTCCGCACGCGATTCATTTACCTCAATGTACGTCAGGGCGTCCCGCTGCACCGCCGCAACACATCTCCGCTCGTTGAACTTGACCTGCCAGACCCCGCTCAGATCCGTCAGTAGATCCTTGACACATTCCCCTGTCTTGATGTTCCACATCTTGAGCGTGCGGTCTGAGCCAGAGATGACCTTCTGGCCATCATGCTGGAAGCACGTGATCGCACCCGTATGCGCCATCAGCGTGCTCTTGCACTGCCCGTTCTCCGGATCCCAGACCCGCAGCGTCGAGTCCGCGGCCGCTGAGACCAGGCGTTCGTGGCTTAGGTCTAGGAGGCCAACGAGGGAAGTATGGCCCTCGAGGGTGTAGAGGCAAGCGCCGGTGTCGAGGGACCAGACCTTGACGAAGTTGTCCATTGAGCCGCTGATGCAGCGGTTGCGAGCATGGTCCAGTACCACGCTGTATACCTTCTGGGCATGGCCCTGGAGGCGGTACGTCGTTTCTCCAGTGGAGATCTTCCAGACGCGGACGGTGCAGTCGTAGCTGCCGCTGACGAGGGTGTCACCGTGTGCGGCGATTGCTCGAACAGAGTGATTATGGCCGGTAAGTGCTCGGATGAAGTACGGGTTGTCGTAGTCGTTTGCAGGAGGGCCGGTCTGGTAGATCGAGCGGTCGTTGAGACCGGGCAGCTTCCATACTCTTAAGCTGGAATCGCGCGATCCGGTAATGACAAGGGGCTCCTTAGGCATAGTAATCGGCTTTCCATCAGGCGTCTCGCCGATTTTGGTAGGCTTGAGGATGACCAAACATCGGACAGTAGAAGTGTGTCCTTGGAAAACCTGCGTGCACTTGCCAGTCTCAATGTTCCACACCCTCACAGATCGGTCTGTGGAACCGGAGACCAAGGTATCGCCCTCATACTGCAGAGCCCACACACCACCTTCATGCCCTTCCAAGTGTTTGCGAAGGGCACCGGTTTTGGTGTCGTAAACGTTGATGTTAGTGTCATCGCTGCCCGTAAGTATCTTGTCCATGTCGAACTGCAGGCAAGTTACTACATGCCTCTGATGTGCTCGGAAGGCTATGTGGTGAGGTTTCGAGTTTTCCTTCATCCAGCCCTGGCGGATCAAATGGTGTCTGTGATACAGCGATTTGTAAAGGTGCAAGCTCTTTAGGCTTGGTAATCCGACATCTGGATTGGGCACAGCGACTGCAGCGGCACTCGCATGCGCGATTGGCCCTTGTGAGGAATCTAACGATGAGAACCAGCGCGGCGCTTCGGTCCTATTAATAGATGGCGCTTTCCTCCGTTGTTTCTTGTTGGAGCTGAACTTGGCGGCCGCTTTCCTCTTAGGTCTTCCGGAGGACGGATTTATGAAGAAATCGGCTTCGGTTCCGGCGCTACTGCCAGCATGTACCAACGCGGTGGGCGAACTCTCTGGAATATCAAACCTGCTACTGACGGAGGAGCTAAGATCCCGCTCCCAGGAGTCTGGCTCGTGCGGATACTGCCATCCCCAGCCCTCCCTCACGGCACGCTCAAGTTCCCCGTCTGGCAGTTGGTATCCATCTTCTTCCAACAAATCCTTCCATGCTGTCTCGTCAGAGTTGATAACATGCCTCCACTTCTTCGATACCTGCGCCGCTCGGCACATGCTCTTTAGGTCGAGATAACCGACAATGTTGAGACTGAGCTCGAGCGGGAGTAAGCCGAGGAAATCGCACTTCAGCGCCGGGTTGACGACGTCAGCGACAAAGTGTAACGTCGATTTGGCACACCGTCGGAGAAACTGATACATCACGTAAGTCTTGAGCTCGTCCGGCATGACATCAAATGAGTCCAGCATGTTCGGTATATCCATTTGCGTTGGCGTTGGTAGCTGCGGGTTAGAAAGGTCCTCCTCCGTTGGCCTCGGAATCGCGATCTTGCTACCTGCTTGGGAGGCGGCGTGCGGGTGGAAGTTCCTGAGATTCCTAGTGATGAGATGCCTATGCGAGATGTCCAAACTCGACACATCGTTCGGGTCCTCATCCTCGCTATCAGCAACCACCGGGACAGAAAGTTGGGCGAGCTGTGCAGCAGCCGTGGTCGGCGACAAACTAGGGCTCGGTAAGCTGGCGTCTGCTGCAGAAGTGGTATCAAGCGGGCTGGGGCGTGCAGACTGCAGTGTCTCGCTGTCCCGCTCAAAGGCAAGGATGGGTTCCAGGTCGGATTCGACAATCGGTGGCGTAGCAGAGATACCCGGGAGGTAGCTGTCCATAAGGTGGTCTAGGGCTGGGGCGTCACTAGTCAAGCTGTGACTCCCAAAGAATCCGGCGGAAGTCGAGGGGTGCGACCTCTGGTTTCGTCCGTCGCTATTTTGAGTAACAAGCTGTGCAGCGGGCAACTCCAAGCTTCCGTTCCGCGAGCTTCTGCTTTGACTCAAGGGCGACTTCGCGTTGGTTTTCCTTGGCGCTCCCCTCATCCTCGGAATTTTTAGCTGCCCAGAGCTCCCGGTGTCGGTATCTGGAGTTGCAGGAATGGTTTCGTCCAGGATTTCCGAAATGTTGTATGATGGTAGACGGCTTGACCGACCGCTCTCTGTTCCTGACGCCCTCCGGGTATATGCTGCTGGCCGTGGTTTTTTACTTCGCCGTTGCATGCTCGCTATCTCTGCAGCTTCCGTAATGGAGACCGGCGAAGAGTCACGTTTCCTCGGCACGGTCGTGCGTGTCTGTGGGTTCGCAGCCGGCACATCTGAAGGCAGCTGCGGCTTGGAGAGATGACTTGGGGTCTCGAAATGCGTCTCCGAGTTCCGCGTGCTGCGGAGCATCCCATTCGAAGCTTGTAAAGCAGAGTAACTGTGACGAACCTAAACAGTCCCCTGGTTAGCGTAGATCCCCAAATTGACCTGGCCTTCACACGTTGTTCCTCGAGTCTCATGGCCCACGGCCCATAGCGGTTCAGAAACCGTTCTGCGTACCTCTCGGAGAGTTTGCTCGGCATTATCGGCTTCGTGAAGCCAGGTAGGCCTGCCTCCCATCTCAAAGCGAAAACGCTTGAGCTGCTGCGGCGTCGGAGACGAAGCCAACGGGTATAGTTTCGGGTCTCGGTCGCTCAGCCGGCGTGGCGCGTTGAGGAACATCGGGGGAAACGTGGTTGTTGTAGTCGTGGTCGTCGTGACGACGGTGGTCTGCGTTGCTGGTGCGTAGGATAGCTGAGCGAGTGTGGAGTACGGTTGTAATGTGTTCGACTGCAGGCCCGGCATAGGTTCGTAGCCATGTCCGCTCGTATCGTGGTTCGATGTCGTCCTGTGCGTGGGCTTGGCGGTTGGCGAGTCTGCGACTGAGAGGGTAGTAGAGGTGAAGGATGGATAGCTCTCCCGCTCTGACTGCGGACTCAGGCCGGCAGAGGTTGACATGGTATTGGCGGACCTCGAAGAGGATTACGGGTTGAGTGCTTCGAGCACGAGGATGGCACGGTACCAGCGCGTGCTGCTCGGGGTGGTTTGCTGAGCGGGATTCACGCAGATTTGTGAGAGCTGTCCTGGTGCCAAGGGCGGGTTCGTCCGAGTGGTTACAAGCGTAGCAGCTTGATGTGTCGAGCTAACGAAGGACGGTGCATAGCTCCCAAAGCGGGTCTCGTTGGCCACGGCTGGGGTGATTAGGAAGGCATGGCGGCCGAAGAGACTGGACGGACTGAACGGGCTGTACTTCTCGGGTAACGAGGTAGAGCGGGAATAATGGTGCACGCAGCAAAGAAACGCGAAGAGTGGGGATTTCGAGGACGTGGAGGGAAGAGAAATGCAGTGGACCGCCCGGCGGAAGGTGAGAGTGTGAGAGGTGAGAGGGGCTGGAAGGTGTGGCTCGGCCTCTCATCGGGCGAGGAAAGTCGTTTCGTCGTTTCTCAGCTTTCTCCCTGACCTTCCAACGTTGCCTCCCACCTCAACGTCTTCATTCCCCACACACACGTAACCTCTCCAAACCCTCCAGCCAAACCTCAGCCAAAGATCAGCCAAGTCACACGCTCTATACGGTGCAGATCAGACGTATGCTTGTGTTGAGATAATCATCGCATTACGCGCTCGAGGGCGTCACGTTCTCAGAACAGCACTCCTCTGCAACCTCCATCGTGTAAGGATGGCGCCAACGAGGCTATGTATAGGTGCCGAAGGGCAATCGGAATATGTTCTGTCCTATCCTGCTAAGATATCCATGCTGAGAAGTGGCCGTCTCGGGCTCTATTGGTGCAGCTAAGTTGTAGACACGAAACGAGGAAGCTTCGTCGGACATGGCCATGGAACAAAGGCCTGTTATGCCTTTACCATAGAACTCTTTCCGGAAGGCAGCTTTTGTACAGAGCGCTTAAAGCAAACGGGCCCTCCACCAAAGCGGGTTCTGAGTTCTCATCTTGGCTGACCATACCAACACGTTCACTGCTCTGCTGAAGGCTCCCTCAGTCTTCGACACCGCTGCAACCAGGACCTAGTAGGTGAAACGCGGGATTTTCTTCTTGTCTCTTATGAGGTTTCAAACTTCCTCTTGTCTTGCAGCTTCAGCGGTATCAAGATGGACGTTGGATGCGTTGCGTTTTACTTGTCTCTTGATATACTGGACAATACGACATGGACAAGAACCGCATCAAAAGCCAGAGAGCTGTCAGAGGAAGCCTGTTACTCGTCTTCGGCGACCGCTGGTTCCTCTCAAAAACCCTTCACAAATCCTACCGTGGTGACACGACAGCGTACGCAATGAATGGATTGTCCGTTGTTAGCCAGTATGGAGGTTCGGCATGCTTAGCCTCTCAGACGCCTGCTGGCCCTCGTAGAATTGCTCAGGCAGGTAAATTACGGATTCAGCCGCCTGCTACCTTGAAGACCTTCTCAGCCGTGAACCAGCCCGGGTAAGTGTTTGTTGGCGAAGTACGTCAGCATCGGCTCGATGCTGGTTATGGATTCTACGCGGCAATGGATGCATAGTGGGTACTGCCCTGTATAGAAGGGACTTTGTTCAGGACTTCGAGACTTCGTCTCTCCGGGAAACTCCCGGGATCTATAGCGGTCATGCCGGCTAGAGTGAGCTTGTGGATACTCTGTATTGCCTTCAGGTGACAGGTGATAAAGAACACAACTTCATCGTTCAAACCAAGCGTTGACTCGACGCCATGTCCGAGTGATGCAGTCAACAAGATAATGTCTTGGTGTTGTCACGTGACCATCTCTCCTTTGCCGCTGCGTCCAACCTCATCCCATGAGCTTTTCCTCCAACCGTGGCCGCAAACCACATCAGAATTCAGTCTATACTTCACTGTCGCCTTCCAGCACCTTCGGCCATGGCTCGTGGACGGTCTCAGGCCACAAAGGTTCGCCCGAAGCCTGGCTCTTCAACCACCACGGCAGTAAAGGCGAAGCCGTCGCACGCCGTCACCGAAGAGCCTGCCCAAGCTCTCCAAACGGCGTCAGCCCAGCTCATCGAGCAGAAGCAGAGCACAGAGGTTGTGCAAACACTGCTGCACGGTTCCGTGAGTCCCGGCTCACGGTCCGCCATGACTTGAGCGGCGTTGACTGATCCTTCTCTGCCCGCTAGCTCAGTTGCCTGTCGTATCTCCGGTACGTCTCGCATCACGTCCACGTCCGGCTTTCCCTTTCCTCTAGCCGCTAACCGTGCGAAGGAACCTCTTCCCGGAGAAATGTTTCGACGACCTCGTCTACGAGACGAGCAACACTCACTTGCCCTATGAAGATTACACCACAGGCCGCCGCTTGAGTCCTCCCAAAAAGGACAAACAGCTCACCCGTACGACGATGAAAGTCCTTCAGAAAGGCCGTAGCGAGGCAGTGGACAAGTTCCTCGCATGGCTGGTGGGTGAATCGAGTCCGCCGGCAAAGCTTCAGCTGACAACCAGTTAGGAAGACGGTGCTTTTGACGCGCTGAAGCGCAACGTTCTCCGCGCCATTCAGCTCAATATCTTTGAACAGGTCGATAAGCCAAACGATGTTGTGGAAACCTACACCTTTACGTTCGACTACGTCAAATCTGCAGACAAATTCATCACACTTGCCAGCTTAGAGATGCAAGGGCCACGCGAACAATCTGTCACAGTTTTCAGCGCAAGCCATGCACTGCAGATGTTCATCCGCCGAGTCATCGCACTGTGTGGCACACTTCCGGACCTTCCTGGTTAGTTGGTCCTTGTACTGTCAATAACTATATCGGGTATCCTGTGGGAGCCGAACTGCTTACTGTCTTCCGCGTTTTCCAGAGCGGAGATATCTTACCATGCACCTCTTCTACACCGACGATTGCGATCCCGAGTACGAGCCACCCGGCTTTGAAGCGAGCCAGAACACCCAGATACGTTTCCCTGACAATGGTGCGTGGCAAAAGACAACACAAAGCTGTGGTACAATGGACGCCGGCTTCCACACGTAAGATCCCATGCTCGAAATACTCTTCGACCTACCCGACTGACGAATGTAGTGCAAGTCTTAAGGTATCACACCTTCAATACACGCAGGACGTCCTGAACGGCGAGGGCACTCCTCCATCGGAGATACCAAGCGGACTGCCGTACATGGCTGCGGCTTTCCGAGAAGATGACATAGAGATAGTGCGGCTAGCGGAAACTACAAATGACAGGCCTCTCGTTCCACAGTCTGACACTGCGGGCGGGCAATCAATGGACGCGCAGGCTTCACAGGGCATCTCTACAGCAGATACTACCATGCCTGCGGAGCAGCTGTCTCGGATCCTATTACGCTCAGGCGAAAAGGCTACTAATGGGCATTCCATGATTACAGGAGATGCAGAAGAGAGTCGCGACCGTGACGCTGGCAACCCAATGGACCTTGACGCTGTTCCTGAGGAGACTCAAGACGTCACGGCTGTGCAACATGACGTTCCCATTGGAAAGATATCAGACAACCAGCTCGAAACACAGCTGTTGGATGTTCCCGCCGAGACAGCGTTGGCTAGCGGCTCGCAGCAAACAACTCAAGTACTGGATGAAGACTGGCAGGCGAAGGATTTCTTTCAAAAAATCGTGAGTGTCGCACTATCTTTCTAGCGCCCGTCACCCTTCTTGACATGACTAAATGCACCTACAGCTGGAACCCTCAATGCCAAGTCAAACCGAGAGCCTCGAGGAGACACAACCTGCTGAGTATAGTGGCAATCCCCGGCAGCAGTTTCGTGAAATTGCTGAGCAGATGTCGATGCTTCAGCTTTCGCAGAGGAAGATTGAAGAGCTGGACAGCCGCAAACTGCAGTTATCAACTGCGGCTCGAGGGAGAACTCGGAGCACTAGAAGTATCACGAACCCCACCGACGACCATCAGGGAGATATTGTAGACTGCCAGTGCGGGTGGAATGAGGAAGAAGACGACATGGTGAGATAAGCAGATGTACACGCACCGGTAGCTCGTACTAATAGAGTAGGTGAACTGCGGTTTCTGCAACACTTGGCAACATCTGCACTGCTACGGCTACTTGGGCTCTGACGATCCGAGAGTGCCCGATATACATGCTTGCTACAGGTGCCTCTTGCAGGAGAAGGAAGCGCCGCTGCTCCGAGAACTGCAAGACCTCGCCCTCCTGAGAAAGGGTGTTCACATCATTCAGGTCGACGGGTACTTTAATGACCGGAAACTCTCCGAGGCACTCCGTAAGTACTCGACCTAGCTTCGGGCCTGTGTACAGCATTCTGCGTTGAGTCAGAGCACACAGACAGCGCTTACCTTCCTGATCATCGGCTAACTCTACATATCCAACAGACTGTGATCTTCAGACGGCTTCCCGAGTTTTGAGACATCTACAGAAGGCAGGCTACATAATTCCACATCCTGGCTACACGAAGAAGAGCTACAAGTCCACTGGGAAGCCAACTCATCACCTCGTCTCCGCGGGACCAGATTTCTCCCGCATGATGAAGGAGTACTTCGATCCTCGGACGAAGATAGCACACCACGTAAGAGCCAACTCAGCAACATCCTGGATTACTTTATGCTGACCACGGGGACAGTTCGAACTGCCGCAGGACGAATTTCCTATGACCGCGCAGACGACCCAGTTCCCGGCGCCTCTTGCCGACTTGAAGCCAGCACAGACCCCTATCGAGGCCGTGGAGGTTGAACAGCACGCACAGCTCAACACTGATGAAACTCAAGACGACGTCCCCGATTTCCAATCTAGCCCCAGCGCCGCCGCAGCTCTCCGCTCCAAATCAGCTCGCCAGCAAACACCGTGGGCTGCCAATCAGAAGACCTCCGAAGCAGCACCGTCGAAGGTCAGCGGGTGGACCAGCACACACCGGCTCCTTTCTCGCCAGGCATCGGACGGCAAGGCACTGCAAGAGCGCAACGCCGACGTGCCGTCACCGGTCTGGACGCCTAAGAAGAGGGTTCGGGATGATAAAGGGATGCAGGACGAGGAACCTTTCGCGCCCGTGTCGGCGAGAACGCGGAAGAGGCTCAAGAGCAGCATGACGCAGGGGATTGTCGATATCGGATACGTGGCTTCGCCGTCGCCGATGCCTTTGTAGGGCTGGGAGATGTGTTGAACGTCTTTGAGCTGCTTGATACGAGCTCGCTGCGCTGGGAGCTACTATATCTCATAGTTTCGGTGCTCAACTTTGCATAGAGGGAATGATCTGCTGGCGATATGGCTACGGATTTAGGGGGATCTTGCATGTCGCTTATCCGGTTTTAACACGGTGTGTGCCCGATCTAGCCATCATGCACGTAGCTCGTTATATTGCATGTACCTCGACATAGCACAGTAGTAGAAAGTCACCAAAGAACTATCACTGCCAATCTCATCCATGGCATGCGCTCCCCCGCCGCCCCTGCATCTCGGCGCAACGTGGCACAGCAGCGAGCGAGCAGCGGAATATCGTTTCTGCTTTCTGCCAGTTATACCTTGTATCGCACCGAAGGCGGGAGCTAGCGTTTCCGCACTGCATGTCAATGCGTCCCACGGCTCGGCGATGCGATGGCGATGCATCGTCGGGTTAGCTGAAACATACGGGTTGTGTCAGACGGGACTAGCGGGATTGGGAAGGTGGGCCGGGATGAAGGGATATGGGGATGCGGGTTGCGGGTTGCGAGGTGCGGGATCGAGGCTCTGGGAGAGATGGGGATCGCAGAGGTAGTGTTGAGGAAGCCGCGGGTTGGAGACGGGGTGGTTAGGCTTGGATTGGGGAGGGGTTGAATATCACGTGTCAACCGAAAGGGGAGGCCGGTAATCCAGTATATGGTCAGCCTCTCCCACCGTCCATAGATGAATTAATGAAGCTCTTAGCCATACATTCTAACAGGGGTTTGCTGACATGCGAATATCTGGCGCGACTCGCGATAAGTCAGAAAGAGGCTGTGCAGCGAATGCGCGCGGAACGAACCGTTCTCTGTTTCGCGTGTTGAAACCCGGAAAGCGCAGAGAGTCGAGTTGTAGGCGAAGCCTGGTATTTTTGCTGGTCTGACATTCTGTTGACGAATGGTTCAATCTTTCTTCTCTTGACTCGTCTGCGAGATTGTCCGGCTGACAGGACACGTGACCGGCTTCCTGTGTTGGACAGCTACGTTCTGCTCACCTGCACATGCGAGGGACTCGAGAATAGGAGTTTACGGCGGGAGCTATCACGGTTGAAACGCACGGGCCATGGTGGTGGTGTTTTGGAGGCTTGCGCCGGACTGCTGCACAAGCATTGCTGTTCCGTGGTTGGATGATTTGACATGTCCTTGCGCCATCCCAGTTGATTCTATTCTCATATCTGTGCAGCACTCCAGCATGTAGGCTGAGTTATCTCAGAGCGATGCAACCGTGCCGTTTTCCCTCGCACTCACGTCTCCAGTGAGAATGTATGCTGCTCCTCACTCTGAAGGAGCCCCTGCGGCTTACTCGTCCAGAAGTCTTGGCCGCCGCCGTTTTGCCTAGCGCAAGCACGCTTCAACTTTTGGCTGCTCGTGCAGCTGTCAGTCATGTCCGTAAAGGGGGCACGGCAGAATGGCAGGGCACACAGGCAGAGCACAAGCAGAGCACAGGCATCGGCAAGGCTAACGAGACGGACTGCGTGTCACCACTTGGCGATGCTGTCCGTCCGGCTGTCCGTCCGGCTGTCCGTCCGGCCTCTGCCGCTGGGAAATGTACAAGGGTCACCCCCGAACGGGCTGACCGCCCTCCCTGCCTTCCGCCCTGGAGCGAGCCATCCGGAAACGGCGTTGAGTCAGATAAATCCTGCTATTGGTTGCGTGCGGCAAGGCGCGCAGCCAGCCCGCTAGCGGTAGCCCTGGTCCCTATCTTGAAGCCAAGCCGCGGATCATCCAAGCCACTCCATGGGACCTGCAGCAAAAAGCACGGCCGGGGCCTCCTGACAGGGGGTGGGAAGACCATCATCCATCATCCATCCCGCCATTGGCCGGTGCGGAGCCTTGTTCTCCTGCACGACAGAACGCCTCATCTCTCCCTCGTCGCTGACAACGTGACAACCTCGAATGTCGAGCGTGTCCAATGGCTGAGGCGTAGTTCCTCATCGACTTCCCGCGGCTGGGGGCCTTAACTGCTGACTCCGCGCCGTGCAGGCGTCATCTGCGCCGACTCATGTTGACAGCAGAGACATGCGTTCATCCCTCATCTCTAGCATCCTGCTAGCATGCTTTCGACATCGCTCCACTGCTACCCAATACACCTAGCGGCCCCCAACTTAACCCCCGAACTAGATGCCTAGCCTCCCTCCATTCCCCCCGGCGTGCATGGCAGAGTGTCCTCCTGGCTACTCGGCCCAATTGGTACCTAAAGACCTGCTGCCGGGCATCCATCCGACGAGCAATCGTGCAAGGTCCATGCCGCTTCAGCCAACACTGTCTTACGTTGCTGGCATCACCTGGAGGAGAAGCCCGGCCGAATATCAACCACGATCGTTGTGCTTGCACCGCATCCACGCCGCGCTGGAGCGTGTTGGGCATCCGCAGCATCGACTTGTAGGTATGCTTCTGAGGCATCGCTCCAGCAGGTGACGTCTCCCGTAACCTCGTATGCGGTTCTACATCCACTGACGCTCGTCGAGTAGCAATACGTTAGTTACCCCGGTCCGCTCATTGTCTTCACTCCAGCATACGGCGCATCTCGAGCAACACCACGGAGCTACTAGTCGAGAATGGGCCGCAGATCCAGGTTCTTCGCTACGGCAAGCCGCAAGGCCCATACCGAGAAGGATGCGGAAATAGAAACGCCAGATTCGAGCTGGAACGATGATAGCTACGCTCCATTTGGCGTGGTCCTTCAATCGAAGGCAGAGAGGCTGCTGGGAACCTCTGGTCTTCCGACGAGCCACTACCCAGGGAGCGCGTCGGCGCAGTGTTCGGCCTCCACGCCGAACCTCGAGACGAGTCCCAACTATACCAATATCACCCTATCGGAGGCGAGCGTCGAGTCGGACATAGAAATACCAGGCGCGAGAACGGTTGAGGGCATTGCAATACCACCACAATTCCGGACTCTCAATCCGAAACCTTCATCGAATGTTCTTGGGATGCACAACTATGACTCGCCGCGGTCTGGATCTATAAGCAGTCATACGAGCGGGCGTCTGCACCATCAAGGTTCTTCGTCTACCCTGCGGTCGTACTACGATCCTGCGAAGTCACCCCTCTCCATATCTCAGCAAACCTCGGCATCGGCGGTTCGCGATATGGCTCTTCGGAAAGGCCATCCATCCAAGCTTCGGGACACGATCGAGTACAATGGGTCTAGGGAGTCGCTCTCTCTGTCGAAAGTGGTGAACCGTGCTGCAGCAACGCCTCCGCAGAATAGTCGCGGCAACAAGCCGAGGAAAATAGACCTATCCAGCTTGTTCCCAAAGCCGAGACGGTTGGGCGCACAAGGAGGGGCCATGCTATCGCCAAACAAATTCGTGGACTCGCCGGACCGAGTGTCAGCAACATCTGAGTATTTCCCGGTCCAGAAGTTAGAGGCTCCGTCACGCCCGAATGTTCCATCAATTAAGAGCAATAGAAGCATTCAGGAGGAGCGCAGAGTACTTACGAAACCCAATCCCCACTCGCCGCAGCGCACAGTACAGCGGGAGATATACGACAACGCCAAGGTCAACATCAGGAGACCACCTCGAGGCATACAAAACTGGTTTGACGGATTGTTAGAAGAGGAGGATGAGGACAGTCTGGAAGAAGAAAAACTTCTGGAGGCTGGGCCGCCCGTCTCGCAATACACCTACAACCAAAATACCAGTTCCAGTTCACACCTGCAACGACAGCCTAGCCCGGAGAAGATGTTCAATTGCGATGGGGCGAGAGTCGATATACAAAACCGATATCTGAATCCGGTTTCTCACTTCAGCACGACCACTCAGCAGACTACACCACAATATCCACCGAACGAGCGCCGAGAGAGTCACAGCTCCTTGTACAGTCATGTGACGGGCACATCAGCCATAACCAGAGAAAGCAAACTCTCCAGCTCGAATCTCCAGACCGAAAGCATCCTCTCCTTCTCGTCCGAGGAAGAGGATGCCAATCATCGACTACAAAACTCCGCCTGTGGTAGTATCGCGATAACAGCCGACAACGATAGCAGGATCAACACTAGAAAACCCCGACCCGGCCGAGACAGCCCCCAGCCGTACGTTGGCCGAAAAAAGAAGCCCCCGGAAATCGATACGTCCCGCTACACCGCCACAACATACAGTGTCTTTCCGCCTTCCAGCGATACAGAACACTTCCCCCTTCCTCGCCACAGCCGCGGCATGCGACAGTCGCAGGCGCCCTCATCAATACTCGTCAGCAGTCCGTTGCAGTCGCCCACCTCCATGGGGACGATCAGCGCGATTGCCTCTCCCACTGAATCTCAGTTTGCACTTAGCGCCCGCAGTTCCCGCAGCGAACCTAGCGCTCTTCAGACGGAACAACATAAGCTCATGGCCGTGACCAAAGAAGAAGAGGCACTCCTCGAAATGCTGCGCCACAAGCGTACCGCAATGGCCAAGCACAACTTCACCCAGGGCTACAAAACCGCCCTCAAGCAGGGGAAGGTTGAAAAGCGGAAAAGCAGGCAACCACCTCCAGCGCCGATGGATTTCAGTGCGCTGCGCCCACCAGAGACCAGTGGGTATCTGGAAACGGTGATGCCTGGCCCCGACGGCCGCGTGAGTCCGGGCCTTCCGGGCGATGTGCTCGGCGCATTTCCCACTCCTGACGCGCTGAAGGAACGCGCGGCGAGTGTCGCGTCCAACTCCCCACTCTCCCCGCGATTCCATGTCACCACGACCACGGCCCTCCCCAACCGGCCCCGAAACTCTCAGCCCACGGGCCCTTTGTCATCTTGCAACCGCGACCCGCCATCCCACAGCTCAGACGCACCTTCACCACGCCCCTACTATCACCTCCCCGCCCGAACCACCGCCTTTGCGCCCCTCAGCGTCAGCATCCCCAGTCCGACACTTCCCCTCCATATGACCCTCCCGGTTCCACTCACCCCGCCCATCCTCGCTTTCCCTGCCGCGGCGCGCGGCGGCGACGGCGGCGCCAGCCCCAACCGCAGTCCCGTCCCGGGCCTTACGCCGAGCCGGGCTCGCCATCGACATCAGAGCTCTGCTGAGTCGGGAGCGCTGGGTGAGTACGGCGAGGAAGAGGAGGAGAGGGGTTATGGAGACGCGGGGGGTGGTGCACTGGGCCGCGGTGTTGCAATCAAGGTCGCAGGCTCGGTGGACGGCGGCAGCGATGTCGGCGGCGACGACGGGCCGGGAGAAGCAGGGGAGGCGGAGGAGGAGAGGGAGGAGGCAGGCTGGTGCCACGCCATCACCACCGACAATCATGCCGATCTTGCCGTTCCGCACCGCAAGGAAACTGAGCCACGCGAGGGCCGTGGCGGTTTGGCGGCCAGGAGGCGCACCGTTGGGTTTGGCGCTCCAAGACTGCGCGCTGAGGTCGGGGACCCAGGTTTAGCGATGACGACGACGCAGGCGGGATGTGTGAGGGATAGTGCTGGGAGCGTTGGCCAAGATATCCTTGAGGCATGGGGGAGTTTGGGCGGGTGGAGGGGAGATGTTGTTGGGAGGGCTGTTGGGTGAGGTTTAGGGTTTGAGGGATGAGGTTGAGACGAGGGGGACTCTTTGGGATGCCTCTGATAGGAAGATGGCACTGAGAACCTAAGCTGGGTGGCGGGAGCCGGAAGCAGGAACGTCGGACAACGGGCTTGGAATCTGACTTTTTGAGGGGCTTGGATATACCCGAAGTAAGGGAGATCACGAGAGCCATGATGCTACGAATCCGTTCCGGTTCTTCCGGGGCGTTTCTTTATTGGGTAATCCGAAAGGGAATGCTTCTGAGAGAGTCTATAGACTTTTCCTTTCTTACACTGCTTTGCCATGTACAACAGTTTGTCTCCGATATGCAAGATTTTTAAACGCCGCCTCCCATCAATCGGCCCCCGTCACAGCGCTGGTGTCGCTGCATTTCCATATACAGCTTCAAGGTGTTTTTCGCAGGGCCGCGAAGGCCGAGAGAACTCGTACAGGATTTCGGATGAGGGACTCGATAAGAAATATCGTCCGCTTCGTTCGTCTGACTACGTCCGTGACTGCGTTTTGAATGCTTCCCTTGTTGATATCGGTCATCTCTGTAGACTGGTTCGACACTCCCATAGCAGCTGGTCCAGGGATGCTTGTTCATGTGAATCCGAATGTGACACGGCGTCTGTACCCGCGTATGGAGTTCTGCCTGGGCGGGGCTGAAACTGAGAGTGCCGCTCCTCAGACGTGATTTGGGAGGCCAGAGCGGAGTTTCTTTCCAATCTTGTCTTGTTCGTCCGTTCACGCAGTCGCGGCGCCAGGCTCCTCACCGACAAGGCATCATTGGCGGCGATGAGGTCCACACTCGTGGCTTCACAGCACGGTGTCTGATTGGAGATGGGTTGCGCGACTGCCGAAACGGGCTGTCAGGTTTGCCGGCATATGTAGAGTGGCACGCGGCCTTCGATCTGATGTGGCTGGCGTTAGCCTCCGTGAGCGTGCCCTTGTAGGGTCTAGCTCGTTTGTCTCGCTCCATTCTGGATGCGACAGCGGGGACGGGCGGTGCGGTTCGTTCCTCCGCTTCTGCGTCCTGGGAAAAAGAAGAAATGTGACGTGTTGTAGATGGTAGCGCTACGGCGTGCGAGGCAAGTCCAGGCTAATGCTGCTGTTTCTGGCCGATGGCTCAGTGAAAAGTGTGCATCTCGACAGATCGGAAGGGCTCTGGATACACGATGAACCGGGCTGCTGGGAAGGAGTTGTGGCAGGCGTGTAGGATGCCCCGGATTCAAGGTCTGCTGTTCCAGCCGCTTACGACACTGTTCCCTTGCGCCAGATCTTGCAGCGGAGTTGACCCCGCGCCGCTGCAGATTGCGGGATGCTGGCGACGGACCTGCTGCCTGTCTGGCATTATTGCTTCTGTGGACGTCCGTAGCTCGGCCAATGACACTCCCCAGCGATGGCAACGTTGCGTTCTGCCAAAAGAGGAAAACGCTCTAGAGTGGCCGGCTACTGGATGCTGGTCGCCACTGGCTACTGACATCAGACCGCCCCTTTTCGCTTATCCCAGCTCTAAAAGGTAACGCGAATCCCGTGCTTCAGTCCGCCGCGGGCTGTCTAAGCGACAAGAGACATGTTTGTAACACCCGTGGTTGTGTGATTTGCTTTTGTGTGTCGTGACGATTGGACAGGCGGCGGTCGCAAAAAGTCGTCCGCTCGCCAGATCAGGCAGTGGCTGTACTGAGGCGGTAGATCCGGCAGGCATGGTGACACCGATGGCGCGAGCGTCCTCAGATGTCTGCGCAACATGTGCAGCGACAGACGGCAGGACCGGGCTGACGGTAGGCTTGTGAGACCCAGGGTTAGGATCGCTGGTATTGGCATTGGTACGGAGCATTCGCTAGGCGCTGGTTGGGGGGCTGGCGGGCTGGCGGGCTGGCTGATTTTGGTGCGTTGGTGTGCGTTGGTTGCCCGCTTGACAGCGCGATGGCACTATTGACGGTTGAGTGCGTCGGTCATGGCAGACCTGGCGACTCGTCGGGTATGTGATGGCGGGCACGCCAGGGTTGCCGGACGGATCTGCATGTGTACATGAATCCATCTGCATGACATTGCGTTAGTGGCATGCTGTGTAACGGAGGCTTGACTTCAGCTCCCAACCTCGATTCTCGCCCATGCAGTCGAGGGAGAAGGACGTCTACGCAACCATGACGCTCATCCAGACCTGGACGGGGTGCTTGATGAGCTTGAAGGCGATGAAGCGGCCGAAGCAGCGGCCTTCGTCCTGGTACTCGTGGGTTTTGAGGAGGTGTCGCGGCAGTCGCCTATACCGTCTCGTGTCAGCGTCTGAGAGTCTTGTGATGCTGATAGTGGTCCAAAAACATACCGCATTTTTCGTCCAAGCGGTACTCCTGCAACGGCCGTCAGCACCTGGTGGCGAAAGGAAGGGTTGAAGTACTTACGATTGCAACAACATTGGCCGGGCACCGCTTGTGCGTTTCTTGGTACTTGACACACCACGCTCTTACGGTGTAGCGCAGATGACCGCAGCTATATTCGACCTGAGTGTAATCGCACATCTTAAGGCTGCAAAAAGGCGCTAGAGTGAAGGCTCGGAGATGCTCGTAGCTGTTGGTTTTGGAAAGGTGGAATAGAAGTCATGCACTGAAGTGTTCAGCTGAAGATGGCGCGATGCAGTCCTCAAGTGGTCCTGAATCGTCCATTTGTAATCCTCCGATCTGCACGTGTTGGCTTGAAAAATGATCGCTCAGACTGTTCCTGACGCTCCATTTGGACGCAGCAGACGGGTCGGCCCATCGGGATCCAGACTGTCTCCGCTGCCACGGGAGTGACCCACGGTTGATGAAGATGGCCAATCCTTGAGTAACAGCGCCCTTGAGCAGACGGGTCAGGTCGTTTGAGTGGCAGAATTTTCATCCCAGATTGAGAATCTTCTCTTCTGGTGAGATCAGCCCAGTCATGGAGCACCGCTGCACAGCGTTGCATGCGCCGAGGGGCGGGCACGGCGTGGCCAATGGTCGTCATTGGTCCTACGTGAAGGCTTTGAGATGGCGAGGCGGAGACATGTCCCCGCCCTAGCGGCATCAACTTTTCGCGAGTGGTGGCTGATAAGCCGGGTTGGATGATGCCTCGAAGCCAATATCTCAAACAGGTAGATTGAAGTTTCTGCAAGCTCGCTGAGTCCACTGAGATTGTGAGGAGGAGTGCGAAATCTGCAGAACAAACGGATGGTTGATGTGAGTGGCTAAGGGAGAAAGGTCGCGAAGGCAGGACGTCTGGGCACCGGGGAATGCAGAGGGCGCACGCCGGACTGTCCCGGAGTAGGGGTTCGGGACAGTCTGACCAATGTAGTTTCATCCCTCATCCCAGCGCGCCACTAGCCGTTCGTCTGGCTTTCTCCATGACCTGCAGGCTGAGAGCTTCGGCAGTCCGGCCAACTTGATGTCGTAACTGTCGGGAATTGGCTTTCGTCTATCGTCTTGGTCGAGTCCTTGAGGCTCCTTGGTTACTGACGAGATTGCTGTATGAGGGGATGAGGGGAGAAGTTTTCCTACCTGGGCTTACAACTTGACGATTGGGGGCGCACGGGGATTTGCTGGGCGATACCGCCTTCCAGCCGCGGGCGATCTCTGAGTTATGAGAATTAAAGCATCTTCAGCCGACTTAGACTCCAGGCTGGTTAACCGGTAACGAGACGTTGTGTCGGTGAAGCACGGGTCCCAACATCCAGCGTCCACACTTCTCGCAAGCGTCCGGCTACTGGCGAATCGGTGGTACAAGCCTGTGTACAAACTCAGCCTTAATACGACTCTCTCTCGTTTCAGAGGGGGAGTTGCGTCCCGCCTCAGAGATTGGCTTGTCAGTGCAAGGTAACAACGTCAGCCGACATCTTGTATTAGCTGACGATCGCCCCTGATAGCTTTCCCCGCTCCCCGATGACCGGAGTCCTTTAGGCAGAGACTGTCCTGACATTAGCTCATTACGTTGGACCGTTGGTGGCGCATCCGATGAGGTCGGGTGGTCCATGCGATGAGGCTCTGCTGCCCTTGGCTGGCAGAGCTCCCCTCAGCTCCCCACAGCAGTCCCACAAGACCGAGTTGTGGGCAAGCTGTGAGAATTGCGGTGGAGCAGCAGCCCTCAAGAGAGGACGGACAGAACCGTTGTCCGCCTGTTGGAGTTGTACCCTGGGTAATGTGAGCTCATCCCACATACCGCATCCAAACTCCTTCTAATAGCAAAGTGAAGGGAGTCCGCCCGCACAGGCAGCAAGCAGCAAGAAGAGCAACGACGGCGTCGAAAAAGGTATGCAAACGGTTGTTGAATTCAAAACGCATAGACGACGTAGGCTTACAAGTCCAGTCTTCTGCGGAACGAGAAGGTATATAACATAGATCAATCAAAAGTCACCAGCCTCATCGCCGTCCTCCCACCCCCGACACATCTCCACAGCTTTCTCCCACTTCTTGAAGAGCTTGGCGCTCTGCTCACTCGAGATTTCCGGCTCGAAGATCTTCCGGTCCTTCTGATTGATCTCTTTGAGCTCGTCGAACTCTTTCCAGACGTCGACGGCGAAGCCGGCAGCGATGGCAGCACCGAGGGCTGTTGTTTCGCGCATAGCGGGACGATTGACGGGAATACCGATGATATTGGCTTGAGTCTAGGAGCATACGTAAGTTTGTCTGGACACACACAGAACGAAAAATGAACGAGTATTGGTGCAAAGGTAGGTTGCGTGTTTGCGGCCCCGATGTTGGCGGGTTTGTAAACCCGTATCAAGCCCGACAACCTGCAACCTAACTTCACAGCAACCTTCAGCGAAACGGCCTGGACGTACCTGCATACAAAGATTCGAATTGCTCATTCCTCCATCTACGGCAAGTTCAGTCAGTTTATGTCCGCTATCCTTCTCCATAGCATCCAGGATAGCCTTAGTCTGGAAACACGTAGCCTCCAGGGTCGCACGAGCAATGTGACCTCTCTCCGTATGTTGCGTAATCCCGAAGATAGTCCCTTTAGCATCATCGATCCAGTACGGCGCAAAGAGGCCACTAAACGCCGTCACGAACACGCAACCGCCGTTATCCTCGACCGTGGCCGCCAAGTCGCTAATCTTGTGCGAGTGGCTGATGAAGCCTAGATTCTTCATCAGGAACTTGACGCCGCTTCCCGCGACGGCTATGCTGCCTTCCAACGCGTATACTGGCTTGCGCTCCCGGCCGAAGGCATAGCCGACTGTGGCTAGCAGGCCGTGCTTGGATATCACCGGCTTCTCACCTACGTTGTAGAGGAGGAAGCAGCCGGTGCCGTAGGTGTTCTTCGCGGCGCCGGGCGTGAAGCCTTGCTGGCCTACGAGCGCTGCTGACTGGTCACCGAGGCAGCCTGCAATGCGGATTCCTTTGAGGGCGCCTGAGGCTATGGAACCGAACGCCTCTGGATCCGACGAGGGGACAATCTTGGGTAGCTTGATCTTCTTGGTGTCCAGGTCGAAGAACTTCAGGAGCTTGTCGTCGTATGTCAGGTTGTGCAGGTTCATGAACATGGTGCGCGAAGCGTTGGTAGCGTCGGTGATGTGGACGTTCTTCTCTTTGCCGCCGTTTAGGTGATACAAGAGCCACGTATCTACGGTGCCGAAAGACAATCTTCCCTCGTCGTACGCTTTTCGGACAGCTTTTACGTTCCGCATCAGCCAGATGAGCTTGACAGAGGACGGATACGTCGAGAGAGGCAATCCGCAGATATCTTGCAGCTCATCGGCTCCTTCTCTTCCTCTTAGCTCTCGCACGATCGACGTAGTGCGAGTGTCGGGCCAAGCGATGGCACTGCACAGTGGTTCTCCGGTCTTGGTGTCCCATAGGATTGTAGTCTCGCGCTGGTTGGTTATTCCGACGGCCTTGATCTCAGAAACCTCATGGCCTTCTTCCGTAAACTTTCTGGTAGCTTCTTCGACGCATTCCTGGACCGACGAGATGAGCTCCTTGGGGTCTTGTTCATGCCACCTGTGAGGGGTGGGTTAGCTGTTGGGGGCTAAGGGGCCCTAAAGAAGGAGATGCGCACCCGGATTTTGGATACTTCTGAGCAAACTCGATTTGGTGCTGGGTGACGGGTGTCCCAGTGCCATCGAAGATGATGAACCGCGAGCTGGTCGTGCCTGCATCGATGGCGCCAACGTAGAACTTCTTTAACCTCTTTTCGTCCAAGACTGGCTCGTTGGCCCTAGATGTAGGTGTAGTAGCGCCAGAGCCTGATGCTGACTCTATTCCGCTTTCTTTATTGCCCGATTTCGGGGTTTGCTTGTCTGTGGGCTCTAATGTAGCCATGCTCTTTCCACCCTCCACGAGCCCGCTTTTAGGCGCCGGAGGAGCTCAGGATGTTGAGTGATAGTTAGGTGCGTCTGGAGATGTTCGGATCAAGGATTGAGCTGCATGAGACAACCTGCACGGCGCTGTTCTTGATCTCCAAGGGCCTCAAAGGATATTGTTAATGCAGAAGAGTCTCGCAGCCTTGAGTGGTTTGTCTCTGTCCGTTACAACCCGCCGTAAGCTGCGGGACGAAGTCGTGCATAAAACATCAGATTTATGGGATGGTAGTGTGAAATCACAAGCCAGATGAAGGTGGGGGAGGGGTACAGCTCCCCTGTAAATGCGCCGTGCACGCGATGAGCACCATCATCCTGCTGTTGTTAGTGGTTGAGATAAAACAAGCTCGGAGAACGCTAACGGCTTGAACGAATGATAGGCCTGCTACTTCAGCGGCCTATATCCATTGTCGGATGTGGTTGCAGGCAAGGTGCGCTAGAGTAGAAGTGAAGTTCGCCGCGGCTGTTGCGCTTCTGGGAACTCTCTGAACACACGGGTTTCCATTAATGTTTTACGCACGTGATCAGTTGACATACACATGGCAAGGTCATAGCACTCGCAAGATATAAAAAATACGTGCAACATAGATCTGTCGTCCCGGGGTTGATTGGATACACTACCAAAAAGAGCAGCCCGTGCGGCACAAAGGGAGTACTGAATATGAACACTGAGATCCCCCATCCGCGTCCTTCCCACAATTGACGACGCACAACTACTTTTCCATCCTCTTAGACTGGCTACAAAAATGAGTGCATTACTCGTCCACCCCCTCGTTCTTCCTAGCCTTCTTCGCCACTCTGGAATGCTCTTCCTCAGCCAGAGCCATCTCCGCTTCATTCTTGAAGGCCTTGACCCGGTCCATAGGACTGGGAAGCTTGCCGACGCGGTCTGCAATCTGTCCACGGCCAACGAGACTGATTACGATGGCGGCTCCGACAATGAAAGTGAGGACGAAGCGGTAGGTGCCGTACCATGACGGAGTCCACCCGCGGACCGTAGCGCGGGCGTCCGCGTAGTACAAGAAGTTGAAGGCGAGGAACTGAGCGATGAGGGCGTATTCTGCAGGTAGCAGAACGGTGGGCCAGGCGATTGCTGGTGCGACGACACCAATGGCGTAGCGTCGGTAGCCCTGGTAGCCGCCGTATCCAGCCCATTCAAGGCCCCAATGAATCGCCCCCAGGAATGAAATGATCTAGAGGTTCTCAGCAGGGGTGGAAAAGTCGTGAGAATTGATCACTCACCACAGCACCCCAACCAATCTGCAGAGGCTCGAGGAGGTGCAACAGCATTTCTGCATTGTGTTGCGACATGAGCAGTCCAGTCCCAGTCGCGCTGGCATGGTTGATTTCCCAGGCACAGTAGACTGTCGACAGTGAGGTTGCCAGATATGGAAGAGTTCCAGCCAGGCCGAGGATGTACGCCTGGCGTGGTACGTCGGCAAGGGAGAAGGTGTCTCTGATGGTTCTCTGCATTACGCAATGGAGATCAACCGTCTGGTCTCACGGGTTTGAGCGGTTGCAACTCACAAGATCGCTCTTGACGCCAGCCATCATGTCAACCTCCCGTTCCGGCTCAGGGGTCGCAACCTCGCTGAAAACTGGGTGGACCGAGGAAGTCGAGGAAACGATGTCCGGGGTCGCCTCGAGCTCATGCTTTCCAACTTCTTTCTCATGTTTCTTATCAGGCTTGTCCCACTGAGTCTGTGTGGTCGCCTGCCGCACGAGACAGGCAGTCACCGGCTTGCGGGCTGCAATGGCCAGGGCCTGCGGGCGCTTGTAGCTGGATGTGCAGAGCTTCGAGGTGAACTGCACCTTGGTTGCAGCTCCATTGAAGGATGACCGGACTGGCTGGAAGGTCGAGGTATTCAGCGTCCGTAGGACGGCACGCGCAGCGCCCGTCCGAAGCATTGTGATAGGGCTGAAGGATGTTGCGACAGAAGTGTTGTTAGAATGCCGCAGTCCTAGCAATTGAGCTTCACAGTCTCAATTGCAGCTGACAGGTGTCTTGCAATGCTCGAAAAGCGACAATGGGGTAAGGTAACTTAACCGTCGGGGCTGGTCGAGGTGGAGGTTGCAGAGCTTCTAGCTCGGCGCTGCCGGCCGTTAGCGCTACGTCACAATAACACCCGCGGATTGGCCACAGAAAAGAAACTCGAGCTCATATCACGTGGCATCTCTCGCAACACCCTCCCACTGCAACACCATCGCGCCCCACATCGACTTCTTGGATTACCATGTTAACGTCCGGCTTCACCAACGCTCCAGTGTCCAGGTTCCTGGTCTTCTACATTGTCGCCGCGTCCTTCTTGGCCAGCATCACAGACTCGAAATATCTCATCCACATCCATGTTGTCCCGCATCTGTGGGTGTACCGCCAGTTCTGGCGATTACTGTCATGGCAGGTAAGATATGTAGCTCTGAGCCACGGCAAGAGATGCAGCACGCTGACGGATTAATCACAGGCATGCTACACAAACTCTACCGAGGTCCTCTTCGCCGCGATGACACTATACCATCTCCGGGTGATTGAGCGGCTTTGGGGATCTAGGAAATTCGCCGTATGTTCTTTCTGCCCACACGCTTTCACATACTGCTGCTGACGCCCACCCAGTCCTTTCTCCTCTCAACAGCACCTTACACAACCCTCCTCCCGCCCCTTCTCCTCGCACTCGTCCTCCGGCCCCTAACCTTCGGCCACCTAAACCATCTCCCGGCCGGTCCCACACCCATCGTCTTCGCGCTCCTAGCCCAGTTCCACGCCGCCATCCCCTCGATCTACAGATACCGCATCGCGCTCGCCGGCCCCTCAACACCCCGCACCACAGCCAGAGCAGGAGAAGGCGGTCCCAGCACCGACGGCATAAGCGCCATTACGCTTACCAGCAAGTCGCTGAACTACCTCCTCCCGCTGCAGCTGGCGATGAGCCAGCTCCCCGGCTCAGCCATTAGCGCGGCGATCGGCTGGGCGATCGGGCATGCGTACCGGAATGACCTCCTGCCTGGAGCGAGCGCGTGGAGGGTGCCTGGGTGGGTTGTTGGGGAGAGGAAAGAGGAGAGGGGGAGGTTTGAGGGATTGAGAAGACGGCTGGAAGGTGAAGCGGGACAGGCATCGGGGACAGAAAGTAGGAGGGGAAGCGCAGTTGAAGGCAGGAGGAGAACGCTAGGAGCGGCTTTTGTGGAGCAGTTTAGAGGTGGCGAGTAATGGATAGGGCTTCCGTGAGGCCGGCTTAGGATGAAAAATTCAAAAACGTGACATGTCGATGATGTGTGTTAATGCTGTAGCGAAAGTGCCGGCACTCATCCGTGGAGGCCTGTAAGATGGCTGGGGCTGGCGACAAACAAACGACAAGATGACAGGCTTGTACAACGGTATGTATTCGCTAGCGGTCGCCCACCTTTTTGTGAGGCTTTCTTCTAATCCCAGAGGGTGAGTGACGCTGCTTGAAGTTCCTACGCACCGAGGCGGATTTTAGTTGAGCACGGGTGAGCTGAGCTGAGCAGCAGGTGGTGAGCAGGCTGGGGAAAGAGCAGGACGGTTCTAGCGTCGCTGGGTGCTGATACGTGCCTCTAATTGAGTGAGGTGTTTTCGGTTCCCTTCAGAGTAAAATGCGTATTCCTCGGCATAACAGCGCCAAGTCGGCTTGACCTTCTCCGACTACAATAGTATTCTAGTCGTGCGCCGCATCGATTTTGCTACGCAACAGCCCTCATCTATCCTCTGAAGGGGTCAGCCCAGGTATCATCTCGCGCAGCTCTTCATCCCCCGCCTTTAGCACAGCGACGCGGCTTTCCAAGCTACCAGCTTTACTCCTCACATTTGTGAGATCTCCCTCCAGGTTATCCATACGCTCCCTCTGTGTTCGGATCTTTGACGTGCTCCCCCGGATCAGCATCAGCGTAGCCACGATCGGGAGCACGGCGCCCACGAAGCCGAGCGCGAGCGCTACCTGCGGTTGGAATGGGTAGACCGGCACAGCGAGTAACACAAGCAATGTTCCCAAGTACAGCAAGAGTCGGAACACCAGCGGCTTTGACACCGGTATGTCTGGCTGTTGTTCTTTGTACCGTCCGAGGATGGGCACCACCAGGCAGTAAATGCTGAGAAAACCAAGCAGTGTTTGCCCAGCTGTCGAGAAGAAGTTGCTATCCAGTCCCGAACTTGTACTGCACTTCCACATCGCGATGGCTGTGGGAGTAGCGCTGGTAAGAAGGAATGCGGCGAATATGATATCGACCGCAAGCCTCGAACTGACAGCTTTCTTTACCTGGGACTTCACCGCATAAGAGCTGATCTTGAAATGTGTTGGATGCCACTGTGGTAGACAAAATGTCTTCATCACAGTCGAAGCGCGTCTGCCCCAGCTAGGTGCCAGTGGTGTTTGTGATCCGTTCTCTGCTCTGTTTTGACCGTCGAGAGTGTCGAAATGGCTACCGGAAGTCCGCCGCGCTCCGCCCTTCTCGAGATCCAAATCACCTGGCCCGCGAAGGCCCCTCTCAGATGAAGCGTAACTTGGTGATGTGCTTGTTATTGACTGTCGCGGATCCGTCGATGTTCTCGTACCTGTGTTGTGATCTATGAAGTATACGCTGCATTGGGACGTATGGCATTGCTCCCACCCGGAGGGAAGTCCGCCACTGATCATAGCTGATGACTTGTTGGCTTCTCGAGTTGTGAGGAGGCTTTCTGAAGTTTGATTGAACCATCCCTTCAGCGTCTCCCTTCTCGGCAGCTAGGATTTTTTCTATCCAAGCCAATTTAGGCTCGAATTCCGCCTGCAATCTTATGGTGCTCCCCTCTAGATCTTTTAACGAGCAAACTGTCCCATCCGTTTGTGCGATCACCTTCTGGAGAGCGGCCCAAGCTTCGAATACGCCAAGTATTGTGCCACGCAGGATGGTGAGTCTCTCGTGCCACGTCGCGTACGGCGAGTCAAGCCTGATCACCTTTGACAGCTTGCGAGTCCACAAGCTTACATACATTTGTTTCAACGGCCATGCAGAGTTCCGTTCTTCCAAAGGGAAGAGAAGATCATGCAGAGCTGCCAGGTGTTGAACTGCTGGTTCACGCGAAGTGATAGAAGAGGGTGCAGTACAGCAAACGAGAACCACTGCGCTTCGCGTATGTCGACATACTGGGATCGGAGTGCCTGCAAGACCTGCAAGACGGTCTGAGGGTCTTGTTCAGGGCCGATCTCGTCGTTGAAGGCTGCATGTGTTCGGCTCCGTTCTTCCTCGACAAGCTCTTCCAAACTCTTTCCATTGCGCTGTTCGCCATGAAGTAGGTCCTCAATGGAGGAGCTGCATGCATCCTGGTCCGGTGCTTGATCAGTGACAACGTGTATCTGTGGTTCTGCCATGAAGCAATTCCTCAACAGAAGACTCGATCAAGGAAGAACAGAGTACGGAACCGGGAAATGTTTGATCGTTCTACTCAGAGACGCGAATTCAGAGTGCTCTCGATTTACAAGAGGCCCATCTTTACTATCTGTAGTTATCCACCGGCCTCATAGCAAAGCGTGCCGGACGTTTCAGCCTTGTGGCCGTGCGGGATACTCGTTGTAAGCGGCAGTGCTCCAAGACATCCCATCCTGCGATTCAAATGCTCAGAGATCAGGGCACGCGCGTGGATCCCCGACAAGGCTGATAGATGACGCATCCTCTCAGCTGGACAGGGAACGACTGACGAAGTATGCACAGCGCCTGAAATTTTCACCAGCCAATGACGCTGACCATACGTTGAAAGCCTTCAACGAAAGGCTTGATTGGGGGAGCGCTGATCATGCCTTGTGCAAAAAATGAGCAGAGCGTTAGGCATCAACGCAAACTTTGATAAACGAGGCGCTTGGTGTCGTATCATGTGAACTACCCGGCTCACCTACTTGCAGCAGCATTTTACGGAAAGAGGCAACCTGACAGCGATGGTCTTCTAGACCTGTTACATCTGCTGGCATACCTAGCCTTTGAAGGTTCTGAGGCCGGAAAGTGAGCGGGGTTACTGTTCGCTTTGATCTTTTGGCCATACGTCGAAGAGGAGCCAATGCCCGTGTGATGTAAGTGCACGGGTTCGTGGGGCTGTTGCGTCTATACGGCCTGCTAGATTGTTGTTTTGAGAAACACCTTCGAATTTGAATGAATTGTCTCAGAGCGGACGGTTACCCGCGAAGTCTCTGTGCGTCGTGCCGAGACGTTGGTCGCGCTTTGCTATTCACTGTTCTGAAATTTTTATCAGCAGAGATGTAAACCGTCAAGCTTGTACCATCATAGTATACTAGCCGTCGTAGTAAAGACATGGCAAGAGTTAAAATGAATAAATGTTAAGGTTGGCTTTCCGATTAGCTGCAGCCCCGGCCGCTTTGTAACAACATCCTGAAAAGAGTGAACACATGCCTATAGGGTGAGACGAGGAGCACATGGGACGTAATGTTTAGTAGTAGCGTTAGAACAACCGATGACGTAGCATTCTCTCACGTACGAGAAGGCCAGGCACCAGCTATCCTCCGCCTGCGCAGAGTTAACCCCTAGTAATATCTTAAATCATACCTAGGCATCTCCCGTTTCCCCTCTGCATCCTGGCTTTCTCAAGTCACGAGACTGAAAACACCTGCATTTAATACCTCGTAGCCGCATCTTGCGCGCTCGCCTCCGCAAAACGTCCGCTCACCAAGCCACCCACATTTAGCCCCGCAACTCCAACACACGAGCCACTTACCAGCACCCCCCAGCCGTTCTCCTGCCGCTCTTCTATTCGCTCCACACATTTTCGGCTTCCGGGCCGGCGCTATCAGCTGCAGATCTGACGGGCTTCGCGCTTGAGGCGCTCTTCAACCTCACACAGCTGGAGACCTTACCTGATCAAGAGTACTGTTCGTTGGATCTGAGGAAAGCTGAAGGCTCAAATCCATCATCTTACCAGCAGACCTATCAGATCAGAAGGAGAGGACGCACAGAACACGGACAAGATGTCCATAAAGTTAGTAGACCCCCATCCATGTACCACCACTCCAGCCGTACTACCATGCCGGAGCATGTCCCTGGAATGTCCAAGATACATATGGCAACTCCCTGTCTTCCCCAGTCTTTCGCTACTCTATCCAGTGCCAAAATGCTGAAACGTCTGCGTTCGAAAAGCTGGGTGATGCTGTCTGAGGACGGCTTCACGCCCCTACCAGGAGAATCAACCCTCTACAAGTCGCCAAACCGAACAACGTTATCCCTTCAGTCGCTCAATAAGTTCCCTGGCAAGGAGCCTTTCTCAATATATAGCGGAGCAGGTAATGTCTACCTCACCAACCGCCGCGTAAGCCCACCTTCACCACCGACGCCGCAAGACACACCACACTGACGTTTAAAGATGGTCTACCTCCCCGCAACCCAAACACCTCAACTCCAATCTTTTGCGGCTCCGATCCTCAATCTTCACGACACCCACGTAACCGCCCCCTTCTTCGGCCCCAACGTCTGGACAGCGCTCCTCCAGCCTGTACAAGGGGGCGGCATACCACCTGCCCACGCCGCCATCGAGCTTAAGATGACCTTCAAAGACGGCGGCGCCTTCGACTTCCACAACATCTACGAGCGCATAAAAGAGAGGCTACAACAAGCCGTGGAGGTGGCGCGAGAAAGCGGCTACGGCACCGGGGACGGGAGCGAAAGCGGTGGGGGGCGCGGCGTGGGCGGCCTCGCGGGCGTGGATTTGAATAATGTGCACTTGGATGAGCTGCCGGCGTACGAAGCGAGCGGGAGCATGCCGTTGTCGGGCCCGTCGACGGCACCCACGAGTCCGGCGGTAGGAGGGAGCTTGCAGAGCTCGCCCAGGCCTGAAAATGCGAGAAGTCCGCAGCAGGAGGCGTTCAGTCCGCCTGCAGAACCGCCGCCGGGATATGAGGAGGTGCAGAGGGAGAGTGTGATTGATGAGGTGGAGTTAAGGTTGAGGCGGCGGGCGTCTCGGTCATAGGGAGGACGGGTTTTTGCGAAGGACAGACGAAGATTCCTTCAAATTTACTGCAGGTAGCAAGGCGTCATTGGGTCTTTAGCGGGACTGGGGTGCAGACTGCATGGATATCATGAGCATTATGGGTTGACGCGGCCGGGATACAAAACTGGATGAATAGAGCCTGAAAACTGGAGAGAGTCACGGGCTGGGCGAGTTGGGCGATACTCGCAATTCTTTGAGCGGTCTCAATACATTTTCTATCACCTCACGAATACGACCAATTGCCAGTTTCTTACTCTAAGTGACCAGCCGTGATCCTCTCCATCTTTTGTATACTCATAAGCAACCTCAGCTGATGTGCTTGTGGTGAAAGTCGATTTCCAGCCTTGTAGCCTTATAGCCCCTCGGACATGTGACGTTCGCAAAGTCCGGGGAAGTAACATGTGAAGCTGCGCCAATCATCGCTAAGCCGCAAACGGACATGCCTCGGTCTGGGGAAGCTGTGAGACATGATCATATGTACCCGAGCATTGCTTCAGGCTTCGTTCTAAAAACCCCTTCTTGCTCTCACTCTCGACATCTGTCTTCTCACCTCTACTCGGTTTTATACTATATACTACTCCGTATTCATATCTCCAGCTTCAAAGACACCAAAGATGGCAAACCAGGCGGGAACCAGGATGGCGGCGCAAGAGCGGCTTTCGCAGGTTACGGACCATCTGAAGGCTTCTGAGGCTGATATCCCTACGGGGAGGGAAGCGTTGTTGGAGAAGCATCCAGATGATGTATGTGTATTCCTTCTTTGTACTTGAAACAACCCGCGAGCTTCCAGCCCATCGGCGACGCGTGTAGCGTCCGATCTATACCCGTCGTCATCTTCCAGATCCCATAGCAACCCAATCCGTTCTCTCCCACTTCATACCTACGTTCCCGACTCCTCGAACCATCCACTAACAACTCTATCCCCAGATCGTCGTAACCTGCGCCCTCCGCACCCCCATCACAAAAGGCGGCAAGGGCTCCTTCAAGGACACCCCCGCAGCCGACCTCCTCCATGGCGCATTTGTGAACCTGGTCTCACGCTCTGGGATCGACCCGGCCCTCGTCGAGGATATCGCGGTCGGGTCCGTCCTCCCCCCGGGCGGCGGCGCAACAGAATTCAGGGCCGCTGCGCTCGCGGCGGGCTTCCCGGTCACGACGGCGGTGAAGAGTCTCAATAGGCAGTGCAGTAGTGGACTGCAGGCGTGTGTGGATGTCGCGAATATGATCAGGGTGGGCATGATTGAGGTGGGGATTGGGGCCGGGGTGGAGAGTATGAGCAGCCAATATGGGTCAGTACACCTCTCGAATCCTCACTACTCCACATGGTCGAGGAAGGAAAATAAAAAACATGATTCTAACACGTCCACACCCACAGCCCCGGCGCCGTCACCGAATTTAGCCCCCTCCTTGAGTCCGTCCCGGAGTCCGCAAACTGCAAAGTCCCCATGGGCGTGCTCTCCGAAAAGATGGCCAAATCCAAAAACATTCCCCGCACGAAACAAGACGCCTTTGCCGCCTCCTCGTTCCAGAAAGCCGAGGCGGCCCAGAAAGCAGGCCTCTTCGACGAGGAGATCGCGCCCCTGACCGTCAAGTGGACCGACCCCAAGACCGACGAGGAGAAGACGATCACAGTCTCCAAGGACGACGGCGTTCGGCAGGCTATGACCGCGGAATCGCTCGCGAAGATCCGTCCCGCCTTCGCGAAGGACGGGAGCATTCACGCGGGCAACGCGTCCCAGATCTCGGACGGCGCGGCGGCTGTCCTGCTCATGAAGCGCAGCACCGCCCTCCGCCTCTCGCAGCCTATCCTGGGTAAACTCGTGACAGCCTCCGTCGTCGGCGTCCCGCCTCTCCTCATGGGCGTGGGTCCCGCAGCGGCCATCCCGCCTTGCCTCAAACGCGCCGGCATCTCAGTCGCAGATGTGGATATCTGGGAGATCAACGAGGCGTTTGCGAGCCAGTGTCTGTACTGTGTTGAGGAACTGGGGATTCCGATAGAGAAGGTGAATCCGAAGGGCGGGGCCATTGCGTTTGGGCATCCGCTTGGGTGCACGGGGGCCAGGCAGGTTAGTACACTGTTGTATGAGCTTAGGAGGAGGAAGGAGAGAGTGGGCGTGACTAGTATGTGTGTCGGGACCGGGATGGGGATGGCGGCTGTGTGGGTGGCAGAGTAAGTGGAGTGTGACAGAGCCGCGGTGGGGGAGGGGTGGAGGGTTCAAGCATTGGAGGTGTTCTGTTTGGATAGTGCTCGCTCTACGCTTCTGGATAGAGCTGTTGCATCAAACAAGGATGTTTCTTTGTGCTTATGGAACCTCGTATTTTGTGGGCGACGCCCATGCGAGTTGATGGGAGCTTGAGATGCTATGTAGGAAACAATGGTGACTGTAATGGCTCGCGGGAATGAAATTGTCCAAAGTTTTGTCCTTCGTGCTATAATTGAACTGTTTTCCACGACAGTATCTGTGCAACTCTTAAAAGGAGCTATCTAACGCATACTACGAAGGCCGGAGTCTGAAGTGAGGTAACGGTGCCGGTAACGAAGCATCTAGAATATCAGTCTGCGTGAGATCAAAACGACGAGAAGACTTCCGGAAGAAGCCTTGCAACAACGTTGCCGGCTCGTGCGGCTCTAGCCGTGCCACTTCGCCTGCATCAAGCCCCGCCGCCTAGCTTTATGAGGCTGAAGCTGTCAGCCTATTTCAGCTGCGACAGTCCCCTTAGGTTGCCCGTCTGGTACGCACGCTTGTCACACGTCAGTGTTGGTAATGGACAGCATCTCAACAGCAGCGGGTCCTCTACAGCAGCCGAGCCAGCACCCTGCTGGGGCACGATCTCAAGAGCTCAATTTATCTCGCTCCCAACTGCATCCTCCAACTGACCCGTCTCCTGGGCCTTCTGAGGGTCCACCTTCGCCACAGGAGGATCCAGAAATGGAACCACTGAATGTGTCGAAGGCTAAAGAACCAGACTATGGTTCGACAGTTGTCAACTGGGCTAAAAGTTTGGCCAGCAACATTTCCACGGCCGCGGCTCTGGGAGCCTCGCTCACATTCACGGTCATTGTCTCCGAGATTGCAGATCCGGAGGGCCTCCGGGGAGAGCCAAGTAGGGAATCAGGAGCCACCGAAGCGAATTTTGAGCGACGTGAGAGCGCCCGGTTCTTCCTTGCCGTCGGCTGGCTTCTGTTTGTGGTCGCCTTTGGTCTCGCTCTTGTCCTATCACTTGCGATTGAGTTTAACAGCTCGACGTGGATTGCAAGGTATGATAGACACCATCAATCCAGCGCGAACGGAGTAAAAGGCATTAATTGGGTAGAAGTGATCATCACATTGAGTTCGCTTGTGCTCCAGCTTCATGTCCTAGCCGCGTTCCTCTTCCTTGGTCTTGCTGTGAAAGAGTATGTGGAACCTGTTGGTTGGGCCGCTGTGGGCTTGACCGCAACTTTCGGGATTGGAGCAATCCTAGCTTGGCTTACCCAGATACTGTAGGTTTCCTCTCGGCGACTGTCGATCTGCTCTTGATGCTAAGCTTTTGTCCAGTGGTTTCTTCAAGTGGCTGAAGAACTGGTGGAGGAACTAAGGTTGAAGAACCGCGTGAAGAAATGGAGGTCCGGCGGTGTTCCAGCTTGACCCCAATTGGAAAGAACGTACACAGAACTTCTCTACTAGAATAGCTCCGGGACCAAAGGGGAGGTGTTTTTGATTAGCTTGTTGGCCCAGCTCACAATCTCTAAGCTAAAGGTACTTGTCTCCGTTTCCCGGTTGGCTTGATTGGCGAATCACGAGGTAACGCGTTTTGTAAAGCTATGCATGTATGCAACTCTGACGGATATGTTCTTACAAAAGGCCTTCCTCACGACTACGAAGGATGGGGTTTCTAGCCGAGGAAGTAGTGCTGGTAACCAAGCGTTGATGATATCACGACTTCCTCTTTTGACGCTAGTTTCAAGCTTAACAACTTTCGTAGGTGAGAAAGTATACACCACATTTGTGTATCACCACATAACCCGCGTATCTACTATGGGGTGTGTTGTGGCTGTTCGACGACGAGTCAGTAACCGGCACTGCTTCCTCATTGAAAGCCACGTCCAGCGTAGAGCAGACGGGAGAAAGGGTCATGTGAATGTTTGTCAAGCCCCTGTTCCGGGGCACCTGATTAGAGAAGCGTGTCTTCTGCTTCGGCCCAGCAGGTCAAGTAGTCAAAACGGCCCGTAGCATAAGCATGCTACCTACAAGCCAACTATGAACGGAGGCAGAGGTCGTACAGTGCCTGGGGTCCCAATTTCGAGGCGCCGCCGGCGATGCCTTGGCAGCAATGAGGCTGAGCTGTCTCTCGCCGCAATGTTGGGACAAGATGAGCGTATTTCTCTATATGAACTTCGGGTACTGGGTCCGTCGCTCGTCACTCCGCATTCCATGTTAAGTTATCTAAGTTTTCCAATCAAAACTTCGCTATGAAACGCAAGTCCACCGCCTCAAAACCCGCAACTGCAGGTACAAGCCCTCAGCCTGACGTGAGTAAGTCGGCCATGTGCGGCGCAACACCCGCTCCCGCTCAAAAGCCGTGTCTCGCGTAGATGTTGGGTTGCAAATCCGGCCGCCGGGACAGGATTAGATTCCCAAAACCAACCATTGAGAGAACGACAAATCCGGTTACTCAAATATCAGCCCAGCAAAGAGAGACAACTATGGTCAACGCCGCATATTGGAGGTGGGAAACGCCTGAGTTTGAAATTCATGATGTCTCCCTCGTCGACCTACCGGAATATCTGGCATTACGTATACCTGGGGAGACCCCACACTTTCCTAGTCGGTCTACTGCAACAGCGAGAGGCTCGTGGTCATCCGGAACCTTGACCGAGCGCTTCGTGCTGCGATTTTCGCTGTCTACCATCAAGAGTCGGAAATTTAGGTCAAGGGCGGAGAGATATATCTTTGGACGGGTGGCACTTGCATCAACTAGCGGGATATTACAGAAAGAGATATTCAGGTCCCGCAAATGGGTGAGATGTTGTAAAAAGCGAGAAGAAACATCGGGTACATTGGCGTACCACAATACGGCAGTGCTAGTTCCACTCTCGCTGCCGTGGCTACGTGGGGAGGGCTCGAAAAATGTTCGTACACAGGCGGATACGGAGACGTTGTAAAAACGGACTTGGGATTCCCATCTCCCAAAGGGACGCACTTTTGTTGCAGTTCATGGGCTTACCGTACCTGGGTCATGCAAGACATGGTCCTCAGTGCCCGCATTGCTTGTGTTTATGGAGAGGGCCTAGATGTGGAAACATGGCCTTATTTGGTGCTGGAAGCGTGTATTGAGAGGAATCAGAGCAGTTACCGGATCCAGATGCTTGATTCAGTAAGGACATGGAGCACAGTGAGGCGGTCATATCGTCGCCCAAGCCTTGCGCATACGGCTCTGTCTGACCCAGTCATCAAGTCTCTGGCAGCCTTGGTACATACTCGAACCACAGTCGCCTCGGACCCGACGGACAAGACCTACGCAGTACTTGCTTTTTTTGCCCCAGAGGATCGAAAGGCCATCGTAGTGGATTACTCTCCATCAAATACGGCTCAGCGTCTTCACATACGCGTGGCAGAGCATGTTGTCACAAAGGGAGACGCGATGGTATTACTAGAACAAGCTGGAATCAGAAGGATGTTATCAGATGTTCCCAGCTGGATGCCATACTGGTCTTTTAAGCCGACGAGGCTGTCTTTCGAATCATAATTGGACTGCTGCGCAACTTCGAAGATCCCAGAGGTCACCGTTCAATCCAACACAATGCAACTTCCTATTTATGAGGCCATCATCGATTCCGTCAAGAATTCGGGCACCGCATTTTCCCGCTGCTCATCGGTATTACCGGACGGATATCCAAACGGCGACGATGTAAGGAATGTCATCTGGAGAACCAAATTTTTCGACGCCCTTTACCGTGATGGTCATATCCATAGAATTGGTCGCACCTGCACCGAATATACACCAGTCTCGAAAGGCTGATGACGAACGTCAGTAGAGACGCTAGAGAGAAGCCAGCAAAAAATCGTGAGATGGTGGATCTGCTTCCTGACAAGTGTCCGCGGACTTCGCCTAGAAAGGACGCTTTGCGTCACAACGAATGGCCTCGCAGGAGTGCTGCCAGTTGACACCGAAATTGGCGACCTTGTGGCAGTATTGTTCGGCGGGAGGATGCCGTTCGTCCTCGGACCGACCGGCGACGACGAGTTCGAGCTTGTTAATCCTGCTATATCCCCGGAGTCATGGACGGCGAGCTCTTCGATGAAGACAACCCGATGCGGAAGGCTGTACACTCCGACGAGTGGCTGTTTACTATCAAATGATGTCCTTTGTGAGCGCCATTGACTATAGACCGTTGGAGAACTCTGCAGCAAGAGTGTACGATGGCCGCTGGCTGGTAAGGGAAGGGACTGTGCTATTTATGCGAAGCTCTGTATATGAGCGTATGTACCTATCCAAGAAACGTCTCACCATACTCTGGCCTCCTCACCAGCCGCTCCTCAAACATCTTCAACCTCAGCCTTCCCCCTCCATCCCCATCCACCACACCATACCTCACCCTCTCCAGCCCCGACTGCTCCACAATCCGCTCCTTAACTGCATTCCCATCCACGCGCTCCAGAATTGGCGCATCAAACGCCTTCGCGATCTCCAACGGATTAAACGAGATAGGGCGCCCGAGTTCCCACCAGCCATCGTACAACGGGATGACCGCAACGACGCCGAGGAGGCTAACCGCAACGGCGCAGAAGAGGTGGGGGTAGCTGATGGAGTAGACGGTGCGGGTTTCTCTTGCGCTGTACTCGACTGTTTGCGTCCAGTTTTGGATGAGGGGGAGGCTGGAATCGACGAGGGAGGAGTTGCCGAAGAGGACGGTCATGTCCGTAACGCTGGCAGCCGCGACGGCGGTGCGGAAGGCAATTTCGCGCATGCGGTCGAGGACGTGCTGGAATGAGTTGGCGGCGTTAGCGAGGGGGCACACAAGACGTTGGGGTTAGTGTTGTATACCTGTGTCGGATCGCGGAAAGTCGTGCTACAGTTTAGCGAGTTGATGGCGTCTGCGGTGCCGCCGGCGACGTGTTTCCTGGCTACGGTGTACAGCCCGGTGGTGCCCTCCGCTGGACCTGGGCCGCCAGCGAGATCGCTAAGGTACATGTCAAGCTCGACGTTGAATTGGGATTGGAAGAAGTTGACCCAATTCGAGAGAGGAACCCATATAGGCTCTTTGTCGAAGGGACCGGAAGTTGTAAGGTTGTTCCACGGTGTGCTACGGAAGGTGCATGTATTAGTAGCGCGACCAATATCTCTTCCATAATAACCTAGAGGATATGAAGCATGGGAAGACTTACGTGTTGTACAGAAAAGTATCATGCTGCCAGTGGGGGTACTGCAACTCAATGGTGCCATTCCGCAACACGACGCGGTATTCGATCAAAGCTGGTGTCAGCGTACACGTCGTAAGTGACAGGTCACCTCCGCACTCAGGCTTTGTCTTGAACAAGCTTGAGATCTTGATCCTATCAATAGATCTTGCAAGCTTTTCGCTTGCATTTAGGGGACTGTGCAATAGCAGTGACACATCTTGAGATCCGGCCAATTGCGTCGAGACATTAAAGACAGGTACGGCAACCTCGACACTTTCGAGTTTGTTGCTTTCAGATTGGAAGGTCTGATTGGCCGTTTTGAACGCGATCGACGAGGACGAGCAGTCGTATCCAAAGCCGAAACCCTATCGAATCAGCCTCCCATCACGTGTCTTTGAGATAGACAGATACCTTGATAGTGGTTGTACATATCTCTCCGCGGTAGCTATATTTGTAGCGAATGTCGGCACGCTCCGTATACTGGTCCACCACATCTTGGAACTGGTCTGAGAATATCAAGTACTTCGGCCATAGGAAGCCAGGCGGGATGAGCTGTGCCAGTCGCAATTGCATTACTCCGGCCGTGACGTGTTCAGCATTGGTGTCGATGATTGACGATCGCTGCAGCAAAGGACCTCGCAGAGCTGATACGCCGGCTGCTAGACATGCTGGATGGTGAAGACGGGGTTAGCTACGCTGGTGATTGATTGTACTTTATATGACAATAATGGAAGATTTGGCTGATGAAGAAGTGAGTATCTATTTACCAAAAGCAATACAGTTGAACCTTCCTCGCAACATTGTCTTCAAAGCGCCCATTACAGCTGCCGACTCGAAGTACCCGTACAGATTATGAAGCTTCTATGAGTCAGCTTCCCCTTTTATCTTCAGTAGACGGCCAAAGTCGCAATGGAATCTTCCCAACTGACCGTGGTGCCACGAGTTGCATGCTTCCAGAAAGCAATGGTTGCTCCTTCGGCCAGTGCAAACATAATCAGAGCATCCATAATGGTAGACAATATGGACAACCAGACTTGAGGTTGAATCCTCATGCCTCGTACGTGCCAACGACTGATCGGACTTCCGCGGCTCACAATTAATAGAGCAGTAGCGGCTCCGGTTACTGTCATATAACTAGTGATGAGCACTTGTTTCGTGTTTGTTTAGGAGCATGAGAAAATTCAAATGAAGAGGAGTGAAACTGTGGAGAGCTCTAATGATAACTCTACAGCAAGCAGTTCGGGCCGTCTACTACTCTATACACAGTCCACATTGAGATAGCAACGGGAGTGACAGAAGAAGTCTGACGGATAGTACTGAGTTGCTTGCGAACTAGGAGCCACGACCAAGTCGACTCACACACGGCTCGCTTTGGTGAGAAAATGTTGCGGCGCAAACAACGCGCTCGTGTCATGAAGAAATTTCGATGACACAACTGAGCTTCGGCGGTGGTCATGATCAAGTCCACGGAGCACTTTGTGGCATCCGTGCGCAACGTTCGAGATGGACCCGCCGCCTTGCGCATTTACTTTAGAGAAAGCCGGTTTCGACTTACAGCCGACAACAAGAAGTAGAGCTCCCACTCCTCCCCAAGGGAATCTCGCTTTGTAGCCCGGCTCCCATGGGTTGCCTATAATGCTGTGTTCCTTGAGCTCTTTTGACTCGCCCCGAAATCTTGAACCTGAGCTACTTCCCCCATCGTCCCTACAGGGCACGTCTATGGTGTCGAAACTCAGGTGCGCTAGTGCCGTGGTTATCCCAGTATGAGTCTCAAACGTCGATTCGGGACTCTGTCGCTGTGCTGCTGTTATTCCTTCAAGCTGGTCCGGTAATAGCTTCTTCTGAACATGCTCAGGACTTAACGGCTGATATTGAGACGACATCTCAATGGCACTCGTGCGAAGCGGGATTAACCAGAAACCTCACATGGCGAGGAAGCGAAGGAGAGATATAAATCGAGCTGGAAGGCTGTCCGGGGACGATCAATGAAGCCATGGATGCGCAGCCCAGGGTGATGGCCGTGCGCAGCCAGGCAGGACAGAGCAGTGACCTTCTCTTCGTCGAATGGCCAATTAAGGTTATAGCACGCTGCACGCTCCAGCCAACGAAACAGGGGAGACAGCGTTCAGCTCGGAGGTGATCGCCTTGAGTTTTCCTTTTCTATCCTGGATTTAAGGCTGAGCAGGGTCCCACACCGGTTTCTGCCTTAGCAGGTATACAGGTGTTGCTCTCTTACATGCGCAGTCGTTGTTCTTATCAAGACGCGAGAGAGGTGTGGAAAGCTTTTCACATGCTGACTCGATCACATGCCCATGCGCGACCCTTCAGTCCCACACGTGAGCCAGGCCCCCCTTTACACTTCCACTTCGCGCTCCATCCCCATCTCCACCTCTGAAGTCCGTCCTCCGGCAAAGCGACACAAACGGAGGACCCGCCCGAACCGTCTTCAATGGCAACCCCCCAACCCACCGCCTCTCTCCGACCCACGCCCCCAAAACGCGCCTCAACCGTCAAACCGATCCTCCCTCCACCCCCCAGCACAATCCACCCCACAGCCGTGATCGCGAGTCATGCGGTCCTAAGCGGCACCCACCCCATCACCATAGGTGCACACTGCATCATCCATCCCTACGCGCGGATCGTCAGCGCTGAGGGGCCTGTGGAGCTTCAGGAGGGGGTTGTGGTGTGGGAGCATGGAATTATAGAAGGGAGGGGAGAGGGTGTAAGGATCGGTAGGGGTGTGATTGTGGAGAGTGGTGCGAGGATCGAGGGGGAGGTGGGGGAAGGGAGTTTGGTGGGTCAGGGGAGCATTATTGGTGTTGGGAGCGTGGTAGGGAAGGTATGCGATTGCTGGCCATAGTGCGAAACGGGTAGCTAACGCGCGAACAGCACTGCAAACTCGCGCCCCGAACAATCCTCGAGCCACAAACGCGGATCCCGGACTTCACGGTTGTTTACGGCGCCAACAACGCCCGCCGCGTTGATACGACGGTGAGGGATAAGGCGGAAACTATGACGGCTAGGGAGAAGGGACAGCAACGGCAGATGGACGCGCTGCGGAAGCTTGTGCCCGGTAACACCGCCAAGTGGATGACTTGAGAGAGGAGCAAGTCGACGAGTTACAGACACGCATGCGATTTAGACATGCTTGGATGAAGAGTAGGGGGTGGCTGAGGTTGTGAACCCAAACGCGTTGGGACGAGATTCGGCGCTTTTGGGTGCGGCTTAGAGGACCACAGACATCACGGTCTGTGGCATTCCCGTGATATTCAGAGACATCGCATTTGTCTACTGCTGGGCCTTGTGTGTGGGGTGGTTGGAAGAATTAGCAGGCGCTGGAAACAGTCGCATGGACGAAATACGGCTCTGATGGGCTTGATGGAGGATATAGCCACCCACGATGGCGCTCGAAGGAATTGCAAAGTCCGTACAGGGGCACACCAAGGACCCTTGTAGAAATGCTTGCTGTGCAAGGAACGCCTGTCGAGACCGTGGAGGAAAAGGAACTCCGGTTTCTAATCAGGCTAGAGTCGACGAATGGAAAATCTGATTTACACAGGGTATGTCCGCGAATTGGAGGGCGTCAACAGCCTTTACCCGACGGACTTGCAACGTCACCCCTCAAAGATCGTTAAGAGAAACCAGTAGGACCGTATCATAGAAGTCCGCTTCGCTGATATACCATGCGCAGCTCGCGTTGATTCGTCGACTTCGAATGAATTAAGGAAATGAGTAGTCCGACACGTCAATCTCCGTTGTAGTTCCCGTCTTGTCATCTCAAAGTCGTAAGTGAGTGATGCTAGATTTTCATTTGTTTCATCATGTGTCCAGATTTCCAAGTAGGAAGGCTAGATGTGTCAAGGCGATTAGTGTCGGAAGAAGATATCGTATACCGAACGTAACTATATACAAGCACGTCACTGGTCTACACTCTAATCATGAATTCACCGTCCTCATCCGTCAAACCCATCATGCACCGTTTACACCAATTGCAGAGGCCATCTACACGTTGATCTCATGCTGCCACACCTCCTGCTCTGCGCGCGCACTGTACGTGCTCGCCCCCAGCAGCGCCTGCATCTCATCGACACTCGTGAACAGGATATTCCTGGCGACGAAAAACCGGATCCCCTCGTGGCAAGGCGGGCTCGTCAAGCTGCCCTTGTAGGTCCAGAACTCCTGGAAGCTATTCACGGCGTCGATTGCGAGCGCCGGGTTTATCGTCACACCCTCCTGGACCATGGTCTCGTTGAACCCGATCATTGACGGCAGCTGCGCGAAGAAGGGCGAGGAGGAGATACCCGGGTCGAGACGGATGGCCAGCACGGCGGCCTCGTGGCCTTCCTCATCGACGTGCACATAATGGAGTTCTGCCTTGGACCGATCACCGCCGACAGTGTGATCGGCGGGCGCGTGGACGTGCCAGCCGCGCAGGTAGACGGTCTCGTTGTCGAAGGTCATGCTGGGTAGAGTCGTCCAAACGTCCTCTTCGTGGTGCAGCGTGAAGGCCGGGCCGTAACCCCAATTGTAGAAGTTCCCGGTTACGTTCCGTTCACCGGAGCTGTTGGAGTAGCCGGCGAACGAGGGAAAGTGGCGCTGAGAAAGGCCTTGATTGAGGCTCAGCGCGATGGGGGATTGTTGCGTGCCGACCTGGCATTCGCGGTAGGCTGGGCCGGGTACATCAATGGGATGTCCGACTGGTAAGGGGAGAGGAGTTCACTCACTTTCATTGATGCGTCCCCAGTTGTAGGAGGCTTCGTACGCCCAGTCGGTTTCGGTTCGGCCGGGATTGGTTGTGATCTGACGCTTGCCAAAGTGTGGGAGAGGCTTGTAGTTGTCGTGCTGCGCGCAGCCTAGGACTGCTGGCACCGCTGCTGCCAGCGCGAGGATGGATGGAATCATCATGATTCGAACAGACTTCGAGGCAGGAAGATGGAGTAAAAGGTTTCAATGAGGCAAACTGCTTCTACTGGTTTGGAGAGAGCGAGACAACGAGATCTGCGAATACACAAATCGGGCCTGTGAGAGGGAATCACCCGCTTTTTATGCCAGGCACGCCGCGGCTCTCTCCACATCTAGACCTTCCTGGGATGACATGGCCCTCCCTTGGCGGCTACCTCATTATTGGGGAGGAGTTGGCAAGAGCAGGGCACCTTCTCAACTGCGCAACGTGGGCGTCTGGTCTCCGCACCGCGTCTGCGTCTGTCATGGAGCACGTTCCCGGCGATGGAGGCCGATGGAGGTCTGCGAAGCCGGCCATTCGTTCTGGGTTCCAGGCACAGAGCGGCGGCGCCACTTGGCAAGCGGCGGACTGCACGGCGCCAAGTTGTGTAAGGTGTGCGAGCGCGTTTCCTTCCGTGGATCGGCAGATGTGGGCCGGTAATGATGGAAGGCCGGCCGTGTCTCGGAGTAGGCTTGGGCAGTTTTTGTTTGTCAGACGTGGACGGGGGGCGTTGACAGCCCTGCGTGAATCTTTCCCAACCTTGGTTCGGCGTCTGGGGTAAGATCCGCGGGCCGGGAATTGGGCTGAGAGGCCTGTGGATATTGAGCTTTGAAGCCACACAGATGAGAGGGGCGAAGCAATACATTTAGTTTTCTTTTGGAGGAGATGATGAGAATCGCTCGTGGTGGACGCCGAGAGGGGATGTTGGTCAACGAACCAGCACTCTGCGACGCTCAATTAAGAAGCAAGTAAAATCTCTCTGCGACAATCTCTTCGACAGCGGTGCCCCGCCTAGAGATCCTGCCGGACGGCTCTTCCTCGTTGGAACAGCCGCCTCTCCGCGAACACAACCAGCTTGCAAGCAGCCGCTGCTGATGCGAAGGTTGGCATTCGAACCATCCAGAAGTGCAGCCCTACCTTAACTACAGGCTTGATCCCTCCGCGTCCATATGGAGTCGTTAGACCGCACTGCGATCTGTTCGGCCAAACTCTGGCTGACGTCTGCAGCAACCCTGTAGACATCTGCCGGCTGTCGCAGCTCCGCACCACCATCTACCGGACCTTGACCATACGCAATTTTATTCACCCCTCCACGATTCTCTCTAGTGTCCAATCGGCCTTCCCGAATCAACGACATGAAACGGCGGTTAAGCTTAAATCCACCCTCGACAAACGACAACTGCTTGGGGGGCAGACACCCATGCTGGAGAAACACTGTAGTATTGACACTACAGGACAGCGTTATTAGAAATAACCACCGCAACGTTCAAGCGGGCATCTAACTATGCCGCACGTGGAGATTATCTTGCTATGCACCTCGAACAAGCCTACGACAAACCAACACTCTCTACCACGCTGAGCTAACTATGAGTAGTGCCATCCTCGAATCAAACCTTCCATCCAGGACTCGTAATCTCTCAAGTAGGGCGCCTTTCCGGCGTATCTGCTGCAATCCAGAGTCATGGCCGAGGCTTCCTGGAAGCGTGCACCAATTCGACATGAATTCCCGACGAAACTGCAGTCACGTCGTGAAACGTCGCGTAGGTTCTTCCTGCGCACACCACAGCAGCCGTGGCGTTCTCACCGAAGGTAGCTTCGTACCATATGGCGGAACATTCTCCGGCGCGTTTGACAGAACAGATCCCCCAAGTCACATCCAACAGCCTTGTCCATGTCCCCTGTTTACAAGCGTTGCACGGTTCGACGCCTGTTTTAACCAACCTTCCGTTGATTGCAAAAGACCGCAGAGAAGCTCCGTTTCATCCATTCACGTCCATCTAAGCCAGTCTTAGTGTGAATCAGCTGTCACCACGTGAAGAACTTCAGGTTGAAGGTTTTAAAACAGGCTTATACGCAACAATCACCACCATAATAAGCTGCAAATAAGCTGAGATTGCTAAGATATTATACTTATGTATGAAACTGCATATGCGGCATGAAGAAAGCGATTTCTAAAAGGTCGAGAAGATTTTTGCGCTGTCTCTAAGAGCGGGCACTGGGAGCATCTTTTGCAAGCAACGAAAGGTTGGTCAAAACAGGCGCCGAACCGTGCAACGCCTGTACATCCCGCGTCTGATCTCCCGGCAGCACCGCCAGCCGGGCCGCGGGGCTCTCGATTCCAATTTTCGTGGGCAAGGGACCCGGGAAGAACCAGGGGGCAAGGCTTGACGCAGCGATCTAGATCTAAGAGGCTTCTATGACGAGGCTGAGCAGATTGCAGGGGACCTGCTCCTTCACGATAGAGTTCATCATTGTTGGAGCGGGGAAGGCCCAGAAACCAATGACCGGCACAATCGTGCCTTGGAAACCGGGATATCTGATCGGCCAGGCCGTTGTAGCTTCAGCAGCTTGGACCAGCCGGCAAGGTGTTGGGGATGCTACGGCTACACGAGACGCCTGAGAACGTCAGTAGAAAAACCTGGATGAGACAACCCACATACTATCACACGGAAGCGCTCGTGCAATGGTGTCATCAATGGCCAAAGCACCAACGCGACCGCGTCTGAACCGGAAGATTTGATCGGAAGGGCTTGTTGGCCGAGTTCACGGATGAGGCATGCCAAATGCGCTCAAAACAATCAGAGATGCCCATTGAAACTGTATGCGATGACCTTATGAACACCAGGGCATGTTCCCTATTGTAGGGAGACCCCATCCATGCAACGAATACCACAGATAACCCACCTCACCCCTATCGTTAAAAACTGTCCATCGTCAAACACTCTCCCCTTTCCCCCCTTCCCCAGCAGTGCCATCACGCCTCAGCAGCACCCCCCACGGCATCCACACCCCCTTCCAAAACGCCCTGCTCGTCTTCGCTGCCCAATTCCTCAAATGCCACAATTTACCCAAATCCCTCAGCTCCCTCCCTGCCCTTGCCCCATCCCCACACTCCCCCCTCGCAAAGTCCACATCCCTGACATCCCCCGGTCTCTCGAAGAAGAAGTACCTCTCCCTCGGCATCCCCCTGAAACCCCCATAGACCTCCGGATCCGCCGAGAAAGCCGAGCGAATCCCCGGCTCCGTGGCGCTGACGTTGCGGATGAGTATACAGGCCACCGTGTGCGGAAACTCCTGGTACAGCTTCGGGTAGTCCCGCAGCACCTGCGCATTGCTCGAGTCCCCCACCAGCACGAGCTTACGATGCGGGAACGTCTCGGCCATGCGTCTGAGCCGCGTATACCGCACCCCCGACCCACTCTCCCCCGTCCAGCGCGTCTCGAATGTGCCGGCGGGATACCAGCGGCGCAGGCCGGCCCAGCTGAAGACAATGTTCTGGGGGACGCAGATGGAGAGGTAGTGGAAATGGGCATCTGACCACCGAGCTCTCCAGTGCTTGTACACATTGGGCATCGAGGCTGAGCCGGGCGCGGTCCATGGTGTGAAGGGATGCCCGATGGCGTTCATGAGGGCCTGCGGTGGATCCCAGATGCGGGTGACGCGGAGGGTGTCGTCGATGTCGGAGATGATGATTGGGCCGGTGCCAGTGGGAGAAATGAGGTATTGGCGGCTTTCTGGCAGGATGAGGGTGGTGCCTGGGATGATGGCGGGGATGGGGCCGGGAGGGAGTTGGGCGGGGAGGGTGACATGAGCGTTGAAGCGGCCAGTATTGTCGGTGTTGCCTAGGAGGGCGGTGTAGACCATGGGTATAGTTCTGCCTGTAGCGCTGGTTGCACTTGCGGGGATGGTGATGTAGAGTAGCGGTGGTGGCGTCTTATGAAGCTTCGTGAAGACAGGGTTGGCGACGACGTCTTTCATGTTTTCCTTGTAGCGAGCGTTTTCCCGGTCGTCGTAGAAATTGCAAGATGGGGCAAGGGAGATGATGCGCGCGAAGACGACGGCGCTCCAAGGGGTTTTATGTGGACGCCAGTATTGGAAGCCATGCGCATGGAGGAGCCATTCCGTGCCCGTCCAGTTGGCGTAAGAGGGCATCAGCATTGTCGAGATCGGATCGCCATCAGGGCCTTGGAAGACTAGGAAGCGGAAGAGGGCTGGCCAGGCGAGCTCCCAGATTTTGACGCCGGGGTGGAGCTTAAGTATCAGGGTAAATGTTAGGATGGAGGCCGCGATGGCGATGGTTAGCCCACCATACAGGAATTTGCCGAAACGCATAGTATTGCTTGCGAAGTCAAACTCAGCTTTTAGCGAGCCGGTCTGTAGAAGCTGGTATTCAGTTTGTCCGCGATGTGTGGATAAATGTACACCTCATGATTCTGAGAGGTCCAGACATGTACTGCAAGCTGCACCTGCCAAGACTTCGGACCTAGGAAGTCGCGCCTGTCGTACTCATCCACAAACGCAGACGATCAATACCCGGAATCCCACAGCTCCTTCTCATCCTTGACCTGATCGTCAGCAGTCACAACCTTCTTGACTTCGTTCTTCTTCATCATCTTGCGTTCGTGTTTGCTCACAAGATGAGGCGTCACAGGCGTGATAGGTGTGAATGGCATGTACGGACTGTAAGGGGTGGCCGGCACTCCAGTCCGCGGCGTTGTCAAGCCAAGCGCATCCCGACGGCGCTCTAGGTACGTTGTCTTGGTCGACGGGAGCGCAGCATCACCTAGCGCGCGTAAAGGCAGGGTCGAGGTTGAGGGGCTCGCTGACTGAGCCACACTGATGGTCGACAACGTGGGCACAGCGGTACTGGAGTGTCGCGAATTGCTGCGCTGGGGCGCTGGACGAGGAAGAGGCTGTGGCTTATCAAGCCGTTCATAATGGTCGTCCAGGCCATCGACCGTACCTGGTGTCGTCGGCGCCGACGCGTTTGGCGGTGAAGGTGGCGGGCCTGGGTTGTAAAAGCGTGGTGATAGCGGCGTCTTAGCCTCATCGTCATCATCGGCAGGGTATCTGTCCAGCGGTGCAGAGATGCGGAGATTGCGCAGGCCGCGCCGAGACTTGCTGCTCGCGGAACCCATGGAAGGTGTGCGCTCTTTACGGGTCAGTATACTGCGCGGACTCGAGGGCTGCGTGGCGCTGCTCTGTTGTTGTTGCTGTCGGACAGCCATTGGATAGTCCGGGGGATATATGGTTCTGATGGGGCTTCGTGGGCTTGCTGGGCTCTGTGGAACATCCAAGTGCGCGGCGTTGAGGGCAGTCTGCAATTGCGGTAGCCGTTTACCGGGTTTCCTTTGCGGGCTCATGCCTGAAGGAGGTGAAGGACCTCCGCTTGCTGGCTGGATCTCTTCCGTCTCGGCGCTGTAGACCACCTTTGATTGCGCGAAGCTGTGCTCGGCAACCGCTGCGTATAGTCGTTCCATCTCCTTCTGCCGTTTCTCCTTGTCGCTTTCAAGAACCCTGCTGTCGAACGAGGCGACGCTGACCCCGCCAGGACTCTTCGGATCCTCGTTGACGCTCGTGGTGCTCCTCCGGAATGTGTGCTTGAGCTTGCTGGGACTGGGCAACCAGGCTCGTGCGGTGGAGGCAGGCGATACTGGATCAAACCCCATCCCGGTCGGCCTGACCATCTCTACTTCAATGGCTCCCTGTGCGGCGAGCAGCGCCTGTTTTCGTAGTCTGCGGCCGAAGGTGAGCAGGCAAGCGCCGACGAACAGGACTGTGATGATGTAGCCGCCGAGGATGCCGCAGATTTGTGCCGGGAGAAGTGACCTGTCGCGCGAGGCGTTCGCGGACAGAGGAGGGCCGTCTTCAGGCGATGGAGCTGGCCCGTTATCGATCTCGATGTCCCAGAAGCCTGGCGGTGTAGCGCCTGCTGAGGCAGCCCACAGGAATAGAAGCGCAGTGACAGGGAGCTCAATCATTGCTGGAGAAGCGCAGGACAGCGGGGGCTTTCTTGCGACAACGACTGCGACGTCGAGCGTAAGGGACAGGCACGATGGTCGCTGAAGCTGGCCCCATATCGGGCGGCCAGGGAGTCTCGGTGCTTTATGCGGTGGAGCTGCGGTGGAGCTTGCAGTCCAGAGCCGGCTGCAGGAACAGCCAGTTGTGGTGGAGAGCAACGGCGGTTGCAATGTGATTCGGCGGCATTTGGCGTGCCCGGTGAAAATGGCGGCGCTGGCTGCAGTCTGTTGCCGCCCGGCTAGGCCAATCAAACCCGCGCGGCTCCGACCAGATCTCTATCACACCAACAACGCCGCCCACTTCCAAGACCTCATCGCAAGCTTCTCGATAGCTAGACTCAGCCCTCGCTTGTGCCGTCACGTCACAGTGCTAGATGCGCCGAGGGCACACCAGTCAGCACTATCACAGCAGCCGGAGAGAGGCGGGCGAGGTTTTACTCCAGGTGATAGGATTGGTGGCTCCGGGATGGATTTTGTTATGCGAAGCCAAAAGGGTCAGATTCTCTACACTTTTGCACTTGTCCAGCTAACACGGCCAGTTTATATTCCATGGGCTTCTTCGTAAGAAAGGAAGTAGGAACCCGGACGGGTTCCGATGTGTCTCTGAACGTAGCACGCCGCTGGCTTGGGATTTGCTCCCTCGTGCATGCCTCCTGTGGCAGTAGTCGGAATGAACGCTTTCTTCCCACTCGACTTCTTGACCTACGCTCCTTAGGAGAGGAACATGTACAGGTTTTCGAGAAGCGTGAGGTAGCAGATAGGGCAAAATATATGACCTTAAGCCATTGCTGTGGTAAGAAGCTAGTAGTGTTACTCAAGCTGGCAAATTTTGAATCGATGAAGACTGGTCTTGCTCTAGAGCAACTGCCTCGCACTTATCGGCATGCTGTTTACGTAGCAAGAAAGTTGGGCAGCTTCAACCTTTAGATCGATTCACTGTGCATTATCCGAGACTCACCGGAAGGCTGGCAGCAGGAATCCGTCAACATGCACAAGGTTTACGGCAATGCCTTGTGCGATATCGCAGCGACAGCATCCGCCGATGGAAGCAAAAGCTGTTTTCCAGGCCGAGATAAACGTATCTTGGATGCATAGACGGTCAACATTCCTCATGGCAGTCAAACGGAACCTCTCTGTTTCGTGGAACAAACGCCGTCAATTTAGGAGTACTTCAACCGATTGCCTCTACTTAAAAGAGCGTGGATTGTCCAAGAACGCATCCCCTCGTCTTGCGTCTTACACTTCGGCCAACACCAACTCTTTTGGGAATGTAACGAGTTGACTGCTTGGGAAGAATCACCATTCGGCTTCTCTGCTTTGCTCGGCCGTTCCCGGAATCCGCCAACCGTTCGCGACCCCCCGTGCGCATCATTTCCAACGATATATGTCCAAATGATGCTGGCATCGACATGGATGGATTTTTCTCCATCTGGAACGAAATAGCGACAGCTTATGCAGGATGTTCGCTCACGAAGGAATCTAATAGGATCATTGCTCTCTCTGGGATCACAAGCAAGTTACGAGGCTTAGTCAATGATACTTGTGTGACCGGCATCTGGACGCGATCCATTGAGAGGCAATTGACATGATTTCTATGGGGCTCACCTAAGTCACCTCGCCTAAAGCCCAACGCACAAGTGGCTCCGACTTGGTCTTGGCTCTCCGCTTGTGACCATATTTTTTTGAACCACAGGGTCGCTAGCTACATGTTCCTGTTCATCAAGGTTTTGAACAAGCAGGACCTCGTATTGCAATGCAACAGTTCGGGAAGGCTCGACGATGGGCGAATGCAACTGCGGGGCCTACTTTGTCAAATGTAGTCTTTCAAAGAGGACATCGCGAGACCCCGACATTCCATAGAGACATCTGTATCGCTGCGGCTCGATTCTTCTCAAGAAACAGTGTTTGGTTCTTATGGTAAATTAACACCCGATCCGGCTATCTCTCCCAATGACTGGAATGGGCAAAACGTACTGGTTCTTGCCAGTGAGGCCAGTCTCTAAGAAAGGTACGGTTCAGTCGGAAGAGGGACCCTTGATCGATCTTCTGGAGGGGTTGATTCTTGAAGAATTGGATCCAGCAAAAGAGGTTTTCCGAAGATACGGATACCATAGCGGGAAGGATGCATTCCCGGACCAAGATCTGTACCACATTTTCAAGAAGGAGAGACCGAAAAAGCCAGCTGAACCTTGGCCGCTCCCCAGTCAAATCGACCTGTCCTCCTCAAACAGTCAACACGAATGGCCAGAAGTAGAAGCCAAGGCAGTAGCATCTGAGCTTTTTCATGGCCGTCTTCAGCGCACGAAAACTTTGATACGAATGCATCAAGGACAACTTCATTAACCTTCAGCCAGCTTGAGCTTCTATTCCACAATCAGGGGGTTTAGACTTCAAAGAGCTTCGGAACTCTGGTGATGGAAGACGATTTCCCGCAATTGTGGTCATTTCTCGCTCGCAGCTGGCGATACGGCATTATCCATGAGTTCTTAGTTACTCTAAAACCTGTACTGTTCCGCAGCAACACCTCAAGTCGACATTCCAAGGAAAACAAAGAAACCTTACAATCCGAAGCGCCATAGAACAACCACCGCTTACACAACCTGATGCGTGCCCGGCATTCTCAAGCCACCCACTCCGCTGCTATTGCCACTCTGGCCGCTATCCTTCTTCTCCATGCTCCTGCTTCCGCTGTCATTCTTCGCCAGGCTGGTAGGGCGCGACATGGTGAAGAAGCCCTGCCTTAAACTCAGCCCCATGCTCCTTCTTTTATCTCCGTCAACCTTGTCCTCATCACCCTCCGCAAACCATCCAGTCTTGCGCTTGATGAGCTTCCACAGCTCGATGCCCAGCACAAAGATGACTACCCCACCCACTGAGAGGGCCCACTCCCACGTGATGCTCGTCTGGCGAAAGACGGTGGTGTTGAAGCCGGGGATGTAGATGCAGGGGAACACGACGAGGGAGCCCAGGACGACGGACCAGAAGAGGAATTTGTTCTCATAGATGTCCTTGAAGAAGGGGAACCTGCTCTCGCTGTACGGGTCAAGCCTGAACATGCTGCGGCGGATGGACTTGAACTCCCACGCGGAGATCAAAATGAGCCATGTGAGTTCCGCGAAGACAGCCGAGCGGGCGCGATAGACGGTGTCGCAGCCCTCGCTCCAATGTGAATTGCAGTCCTCGCCCAGCTGGCCGTCGCCGGGGCCGTAGACGATAATGATGAAGGTTACCAGCGTCAAGATGCCCATGATCATGCCATACACGATCATGTCTGTGATGATCTGCCACGTGAAAACGCCTTTCTTGTTGTCGTGCGGTGGACGTGTCATGATATTGTAGCTGGCTTTCTCACGCCCCAAGCCGAACGCAGGAAACCCTGAGGTAACCATGTTGATCCACAGGATTTGGAGCGGGGACAACGGAAAGACGGAGAATCCATTGACGTCTTGGAAGCCGAGACCGCAGATGAGGAGGATAACTTCCCCCACGTTGGATGTCAGGAGATGGAGTACAAAGCGTTGGATGTTGTCAAACATCCGTCGTCCCTCTTCAATAGCGTTTACGATCGACGCGAAGTTATCGTCTGTGAGCACGATGTCGGAGGCTCCCTTGGCTACGTCGGAGCCGGCAAGGCCCATAGCGATGCCGACGTCGGCTGCTTGAAGAGACGGCCCGTCATTCACTCCGTCACCGGTCATGGCTGCGTAGCGTTGGCGGCGATGAAGAGCGGCGATCATGCGCGTCTTGGTGTGCGGTGCGCACCTGGCGATGACCAGCGGGAGTTCCGGCATCTGATCGATTTGTTCGTCCGTCATTCCATCGAATTCCGCAGCGGTCCTGACGAGCGAGTCACCAACCTCCTTTGGAAGGATGCTGAAGTCTTTGGGAATGATTCCGACCTCCTTGGCAATGGCCGACGCAGTGCCAGGGTGGTCGCCGGTAAGCATATGCACACGGATACCGGCGTTGGTACATTCACGAACGGCTCCCTTAGTCTCGAGGCGTGGTGGATCGTAGAGCCCGGCAAGTCCCAGGAGGGTCAGATCACTCTCGATTTCGTCGCGAGGGATCTCCGTCTTCTCGGTGATGTCTTGACCTGTCCACGTTTTGCGCGCAATAGCGAGCACACGCAATCCTTGATCGGCAAGGACGGTCATCTGTTCGTTGATTGATTGCTTGACCTCTTCCGTCATATCTAGCTCGTGCTTGCCTACACCGACCCTTGGGCACAAGTCGATGATTCGTTCAACGGCGCCTTTGACGAAGATGAGAGTTGAGCCATCACTCGGAACCTTGTAGGCGACGGACATACGCTTCACGGTGCTGTCGAATGGATACTCAGCAAGCTGCTTCCATCCTTGCTCTCTCTCGAGTGGAGCCTTGCCCATGCCGAAGCGGTGAGCAAAGACCTGCAGCGCAACTTCGGTTGGATCACCAGTGGTCTGCCATTTCCTCTCTTGTTCGTTATACCGGACGGTAGCCAAATTGCAGAGAGCAGCGGAATGGAGGAAAGCTTCGAGCTCGGGGGTAACTTCGGGAGCGTTTCCTTCTTCACTGCCTCCCAGAGTCTTCTCGTCGTCAAAGTCTTGTTCGGTCCGCCTGTTCTGGTCACGTTGAGTCTTCTCCACGGGCTCTTCGAACTTGAGAGCAGCCGCGCTTCGAAGCTTATCGAGTTCCTCTTTTCTTGCCTCTCTTTCAGCGGCCACCTCCTCTTTAGTCTTAGCAACACCAAGACTGATTGTACCTTGGGTGGGGTTGGCAGCCTCGTCTGAGTTGTTGACCGAGTAGATACCGACACCCGGAATCCAAGCCTTCCTTGTGACCATTTGTCCTTGCGTCAATGTACCGGTCTTGTCGGAGCAAATGTTGGTGATACCGCCGAGGGCTTCGAGAGCACTCAGCTTTCGCGTGAGCACTTTGCGTTTGCGCATAGACGTCATGCCGGTGACGAACGTGATGGTAAGGACGGCGATAAGGGACTCGGGGATCATGGCGATACCTGTTTCAATCAGTCAGTTTCCAACGCAATATTTCGTCAAGCCATTCGACATGAGGCTGCGACAAAGCTGCAGTCGTGATAGAGGCAACCACTGGCAGCTCATGGGTCCGTGCATGAGCCACTGGAAGTATCCTGAGTGTAGAACCGTGTCCAAGTCGTTCAACCTCAGTTCTGAGCTCATGGGTTGAACACGGATATGAAGCCAGCTCTTTAGTACATCTTGATTACACCTCCAGTTCGGTCGCAGCTTCATGCTGAATGATTCAGATGGAAAGACACAAGACATACCTGTGCTGATAGCGTACACCGCAACTTCGGTGGTGATGTTGAACCGATTTACGCCAAAGACGATGATGGCTAGAATAATGGCAAATCCGAATAGCATGTAAGCCAGCTTCGAAAGCTTGATCTGGAGAGGCGTGCCTTCCGTCAAGCCCAAGAATTTGCCGACTGCGTCCCAGGATCGAAGCAACGCTCCTTTGACTGGTTGAGTTCTGCCGTACTTGCGTGACATCGACCGGTTTGGCTTTCGAGTCTTGCCTTGCATTGATTCTGCGATACGACCGATTTCCGTGTGCATGCCGGTGAAAACGCAAATCTAAGCCATGTCAGTGCTGATATAAATCGAGCTTCGTTGCCCCATTCTGTGCTAAAAGTGCTGACTTACCCCTCGTCCGCGACCTTTCGTAACCGTTGTAGATGAATAGACCATATTCAGCCGATCACCGACACCGGTTTCGAGTTCGTTGTGGCCAGAAAAGTCTTGATCTGGGATCTTAGCAACAGGCTGAGCCTCGCCCGTCAAAATCTTCTCATCGCACTCCAGATTCATGGACTCGAAAAGGCGCACATCTGCAGGAATAGTATCTCCGGTCTTGAACAGGACGACGTCTCCTGGAACCACCTCCGCCGAGGCAATGGAATCAATGTTACCGCCACGAAGAACAGTAGCTGTTGGTGAAGATAGCGCTCGGAGTGAGTCCATCTTCTTCTCGGCCTGGAACTCCTGGTAGAATCCGATCGAGATGTTAAGTATGATGACGGCGGTGATAACGCCGCCCTCAACCCAATCCTGGACGCCGTATGAGAGTGCCATTGCTAGCACCAAGACCTGAACAGGGGTTAGTCACTGTAGCTTGATATGTTAAGTTGAGAAACTGACCAAGATCATGGCATTGCTGATTTGTTTTAAGAGGACGGAGTACCACTTGACGCCCTCCTGGCCGGAGAGCATATTCTCTCCATACTTCCTCTGGGCTTCCTTTGCTGCCGCCGGGCTTAGGCCCTGCTCAGTGTTGGTGTTAAGTGCAGAGGCCAGTTGCTCCACCGAGAGCTGGAATGGATGCTTCTCGTATTGCTGGGCCGCACCGGAGCCCTTCGCCTTGCCCATAGTGGCTGGTGTAGGTGATGAGCCCGTATACAAGGTTGGAGTTCTGGTATGAACAGTGATGGGTTGTCTTAGATACAACTGTCGACGCTTGGTTGATTGAGGTTGAATGCCAACAGAGAGAAGTTGAACATGTATGTTCAGTGCAAGGCTTTGCTCTGAAGTGAAAGTTGAGAGTGCACATGACGGCGACGGCTTCCTTTATCTACTTTTCGGTTCCTATCTCTTTCGGCAGAGGCTGCTGCAGCAATGAGAGAAGCCAAGAGTTGATTCTAGGGACCCCTACGTTTCCGACCAAAGGCAGTAATCAGGTGCTGTATATTCCATGGGTTGTGGTCTCGGCATCAGTTGGAAATTCACGTCGTAAGATCTTGGCACCCCTACCGAAACACGGGATGGTTAAAATGCGGATGGCGGATTTATCAGGCTGTTCGCCTCGTATGAGTGCGTCATGTCTTTCTCAAGCCGTCCTTGGAGTATCTCGGCGCCAATGTTTTCACCCCCAAGGTCCACCCCGCCCTTCACCTCATCCCACTCATCCCACTTCCTCCCAGACTCAACGTTTCCCATTGGTGGGAGGAACGCCTCCAGGCTGTTCAGTTGTGCCGGAATCCGAAGCACAACATGCCTTGGCGTTCACGAAGTGGCAATCGGCAGTGAAAAGTCTCGCAGATACCTCGGAGGAACCAATGTTGTAACAGCAGACCTTAGGAGGCTTATCGGGTCTCTACGTCATGTAAGTATTTGACTTGCGGCTGTGATCGGCTCAGGCTACAGTCATGTCGTTATAGAACATCAGCGTCCTCTTCGTACGTTCTACAGGTCGTGCGGAAGTCAGGGCGAGTCGCTTGACAGTGGTGTATGTTGGTATAGGGAACATTGGGACGTTGATTTACGAGAGTGTGGCCTGCTGCGAAATGAGCTGTAAGCCAGTGCTTTACAAGACGTACCGGGTTCGTGGCTGTTGTGGGTACCTAGTTTCCTCACCGGTTGAATATAGGATACGCAGCTAGTGCATAACAGTAAACCCAATGAGGCTAAGATTCTTTTCTAGGGTTATGTATACTCATAGTAAGCGAGTCACCTGCTAGAGAGCGTGGTGTCCTATGGTGTTCTTTCCGTGCTGTCAGATTCTTGAAACCGTTCGACACGTTCTGGAGAGTTTCAAGTTTGATAGAGGGGCAGTCGGCACACTCTATAGGTCTAATCCGAGAAAAGTTCAAGCCAATTTCTACTGTTTGCTGTTATTGCTAGGTTGTCTTCTAATCTCTAAAATCCTTCAGCACCCTTTTTACTCTTCAGGACGCTCTTGCGGCTACCTGACCCCTGCGTCCTGCAGCCTCTCCTCCCACTCCTCTCGTAGCCCTTCCATCTCCTTCCAACAAGCCCTTCCCAGCTCCTCAAACTCAACCTTACTTTCCTCAGTCAGATCCTTCGCATACCTCCACCTTCCTCTCTTCACTTCTTCGCCAACCCTCCCTCCCCAGCCCCACCCTTCAACCTCCGTCCTCGCCACGCGGTCTCTGCCCCGCCAGTCCGTCGCGCTGCCCCATTTCCCCTTACCCCCCCTCTCCTCTATGCTGTCTAACGTGCTCTGCGCCGCAAGCGCCAACCAGACCGGCGCACAAGCGCCTTGGTAAGGCAAACACGTGTGCCACGGGCTGCCTAGCCAGCGGGCTACGTAAAAGGAAGCTGTCATAAAGAGGCCGAGGATCCAGGGGAGAGGAAAAATTCCTGTGGAGCAGATGCCGGGATGCGCGACGTAGATCTTGGGCTTCACTAATTCTGGGCTATACCTTTCACCCGCAGCCTGACTGGCACTGGTAAACCTCTCGCAAGAAAGATGTTGGTCGACCCACGGCGATGAGCTCGGCATCTCGGACGTCAAGGCCAAGACATCTGTAAGGCGCTTGGAAGACTCGTAGGCGAGATCGTGTCTCAGCCCCTGAAAGTCATCAAGGCGGAGGCTGTGGGCATAGGCCTCGAGACTCGATAACCAGATGATCCTGCCCCTTCGGTCCGGCGCCCTCGACGAGGCCGAAAGCAGAGGTGCGAGATAGTGCGCCAGTAGGTAGTGGCCGAACACATTCGCTGCGAAGACCTCGCCGAGCGGCGGTTCTTTCTCCCTAGTCTCACGGCTCTCTGCCGCATCACTCTCGGCACCGTGACTCTTTCCATTGACCTTTCCGTTCGCAGCCCGGGCAGTAAGTGGTAGCTGCGGCTTCACAACCCAACCGACTGCACTCCTCTTCAGTGTCGGCCACGTGGTTGCATGTACCCAATCCGTCAATATCGTCCATATCGCGTTCCCCCAATTGACGCCTATCCACCCGCCGATTCCGGCATTGAGTATCAGAACATCGAGCTTCTCTATTCCGCCGGCCACCTGTGTTCCCAGCAGCTTCTGGCACAGGCGCTGAACGGACAGGATGGAAGTGAGGTCGCATATCTCGCCCTGAAAACGGACGCGGCGTGGCAGGAGAAGCCGGGCCCCGGGAAGTTTGCGCTCAATGTCACGATATGTTTTCTCCAGGTGGTGTTCCAAGCGCGATATGGAATCGCCGCACTTTTGCCGCGAGCGCGTCGTGAGGATCAGATGGAGGGTCTGAGATTGGGGGCGTGTCTGCAGGAACTCATCGATGAGGCGGGTGCATATTGCGAAGCCTAAGCCACTGGGGCTGGAGTTGGTGATGGAGCGGGAGACTGTGGGACGGAGTGGAGTACCTGTTTGCGCCGGTTACGAGAGCGTAGAACGTGTTAGGCGTAGAGTCGTCGGCCATTGCTGAGCTGGTTGATCGGTGATTCCTGTGGTTGAGGATGCGCGGGGTGGAATGCGCGGACATGTGATCAACCGTCACGTGACTCTTTCGCAATGCAATCTGCTGCTCCTCCAGAGCAGTTCACTCCATAGGACTATCGCCACGACAACACCAAGGCCGCAATGGGTCGCAGAGTGAATGAAGACGCTACCAACACCGTCGTATCGCTTCTCCAGAAGGATACGCCCATCGTGGAGATCGGAAAAGTTGTGAATGTTTCAAAGACAACCATCTACCGCATGCGGCTGAACCTGGAGCTCTTCGGCAACCCTTACACCCCTCAAACAGTGATTCGCGGTCGTCCGAAGCTTCTTACGGTCGCGCAGGAAGATGTGAGTAGTATACAGTGTGTCACTATGGAGGATGCTGGCTGACCAGGTTGTAGGCGCTCATCGAATGGATCAGATCTCAACCTACCACTCCCCATCTTGATGAGATGGCCTCCTGGCTTGACCAGCAATTTGGTACCAAGCCTTCTCTGGCTACCGTGTATCGGACACTTGAGCGGGCGGGGTTCAGCAGGAAGGACGGAGTTAAGAAGAAGAGGCGCACCGCTGCCGAACAGTCCTCTCCCAGTCGGGTTGCGACGAGTTCGACCGCATCAAAACGTGGGGCAGCTCGCTCGCCAGCTCGTTCACCAGCTCGGCCACCAGCTCGGCCACCAGCTCGGCCACAAGCCCGCTCACCAGCTCAACCACTAGCTCAACCACCAGCTCTCCCTGCACCTGTAGGGCCCGTATGCATGGTGCCAGTACCGATAGTTCCAGTGCCCATGACTCTAGTACCTATGGTGCTTTTACCTATGAGTTGCGTTCCCATGGATCCGGCACTCACAGGAGACACCGGAAACGCACAGTTCTACATGCAAGGACTGCTGCACAACCTCGCCGACCGCGCTCAACGCGACGCCCATTGAGAAATAGAAGCAGCGCCCCTTCAAGTCGCCATTCTGAGCTAATCCGAGCTCCTCACGCCTCGCATCTGGCCCTCGAACTCCTCCTTCAACTTCCTCCCGCCCACCTCCACAGGCTGGCACGGCAGTAGAACAAACATCATTCGCGACCATTGCGTCTTGCTTGGATTTCGCCACGCATGCATTGTACCCCGCTGGACCGCCACATCCCCTCTCTTCAGCGTCTTCCTCTCCCCGCTATCTAGTATCAATTCCATCTCGCCTTCAAGCACGACCCCGTAGTCCAAGCTGACGGTCCGATGCATGGCGCAGGTGGTGTCGGGCGCAAGGTCGACATGCCGAAGGACGGAGCCGTTCGAGATGTTCAGACCGGGTGGACTGTTGAGGTAGGATGAGTAGATCTCGATGTCCTTGTCTTCTGCGAGGGAGATGGGGAAGCCGGTCGCGGTGGTGTAAGAGAGGGCGAAGGCCATGTTATCGGGCAGCTCTTTCATCGTGCTTTCCTCGGGTAAGGCTGTTGAGAAAATGGCTTTGCCTTCGTCATTGTGCGTGGTTATGTAGCGTTGGACCTGGGGAAAGGCGCCGACATGGGCCATTGTGGTAGTAAGAACGAGAGTGGGCTGCTAGATGGTGGATAGTGGATAGTGGATAGTGGATGACGGATGGATTTGTATTAGAAAGCCGGCCGCAGAACGTGAGCTATTGAGTGTAACTCAGCGGTTTCGTAGACACTCTTACAGTCCAGGCTATATATGTGTATCCGGCCAGTTTGCGGAGCACCGCTACGGAGTGTGGAGAGCCATGTCAGTAGAGTAACCCCGGATTCCTGTAGCGCCCCGGATTCCAGGACGCGGCAGGTACAACCGATTGGCCTTAGGCTGTGCTTCAAGCCCCCCAGGTCGTCCACTTGTAGACAGTCACCTCTCAGAACAGAAAGTTGATGGTGTTCCATACCTGGTTGCAAGCATCAAAACAGCAGCGCAGATCGGAACGGCGCCGGAGAGCGAAAACGGGCTCGGGAACGGCTCGCATCGGCTTGCCAGACTTTCTCATCCCGAAGAATCCGACTGCACTCCAGCCCTACGACTACGAAGAGGTAAAGTTCCAACCTTGAAGCTCGAAGTATTTGTGAAGTGCAAACCCTTTCGTTGTGAGGAGATATTCTGGTGAGACTCATCCGATACGGTTGTCAAGAACAATGGCATTCATTTCTTCCGAATGCGGCGCAACAGAACGGCAAGCGACCTGAATTCAACAAGCAGTAACCCATACGGGTAATACAACAAAGAGAACTTCCGCTGTCTAACTTATGTCTCCTTTCCCTGTTCGTAGCAGTCGAAGAAAGGTCAAAATCAAACCCCCGATGTCTTCACAAACACCGCCGCCCGAGGCACCATCCGCCAACCTAGAAGAGCCCATGATAGGACCCCGTGTTGAAGAACTCTCCGATTCGGATGCAAAAGTCGACGACGACTTCGAGAGCATGTCCGACGACGAGCTACCGCCCGAGCTGACCAGGACAGCATGGGCATCCGTACCTGAGCTATTCTCATGTCCTCCGCCCATCCGCGATGAATTGGAAACACAGACCTCAAAACTCCAAGACAAGACTATCCAGGAATGCCTCCCGTTCCTTACGGGAAAGGGATTGAAGGACTGGCAGCCCCAGCTTAACTCGCATGGCATCCCTGAGCTCTCACGCGCGGCTCACGTGGAGTTTCTGCAAGATGCCCTTGGGGACTACCCTCCGCAGTTCGCGGTTATGGATGCATCTCGGATGTGGATACTCTATTGGGCGCTTGCTGGGCTTTCTTTCCTAGGTGAAGACATAGCAGAACGCGTGGAGAGGTACGTCTCACCCAACCGCCAGCTTCCGGCATCTCAAGCAAGCCATGTGCAAGCAAGCGTCTAACGACCATTCGCACAGCATGATCTACACATTCGATGCAGCGCAGCACCCCTCCGGCGGCTTTGGCGGCGGCCACGGCCAACTCCCCCACCTCGCGCCCTCTTACACAGCCGTGCTCTGCGCGGCCCTAGGCGCCACCCCCGACTCCTACGACTTCATCGACCGCAAAGCAATGTGGCACTGGCTGGGCCGCATGAAGCAGCCCGGTGGGGGCTTTAGCATGTGTGCCGACGGCGAAGTCGACACGCGCGGGGCCTTCTGCGCGCTCGTCATCATCTCTTTACTCAACCTGCCGCTCGAGCTGCCGGCGGATTCTCCAGCTAAGGAGGCTGGTGTTGAGACGTTTGTGGATGGCCTGGCGAAGTGGATCGCGAGCTGCCAGAGCTATGAGGGGGGCATTGGGGGCGCGCCGGGAAATGAGGCGCATGGCGCGTACACGTTCTGCGCGCTGGGTGCGCTGTGCATCCTTGGTCCGCCGCACGAAACTATCCCGAGATATCTCAATGTCGCGGCGCTGGTTGCGTGGCTGTCGAGTCGCCAGTACGCGCCCGAAGGCGGGCTGGCAGGCCGCACGAACAAGCTCGTTGACGGCTGCTACAGCCATTGGATCGGGGGGTGCTGGGCGCTTGTCGAGGCTGCCGTGGCAGGTCCCGGCAAGCCGGGCGCGGGTCCCCCGCCGTCATTGTGGAGTCGCGAGGGCTTGATACGGTACATTCTGTGCTGCGCACAGGGCCACTATGGCTTGAGGGATAAGCCGAGCAAGCATCCGGACGCGTATCATACGTGCTACAACCTCGCGGGGTTCAGCTCGGCGCAGCATGTTTACAGCTACGATGACGCGCAGACGGAGGGGGACGAAGAGGAGGAATTTCAGGGGCCGTTGAGTGCCGGGTTTCACTGGCGGACGAGGGATGTGGAGGTTGGGGAGGTGGAGGGGAAAGTGTTTGACGAGGGGGACAGGGTCGCGGCGATGAACCCGGTGTATCTCATCCCATGGGGGTGTGCGGAGAAGATGAGAAGGTACTTTGAGGGGAAGGTTGGGTTTTAGGCGCCCAGAGCGTTATTTGCGAGGACTGCGGAAGGGACCGGAAGCACTTGGGGAACTTGGCGTGCGGTGTTGAAGAGTTGACCATGTCAGTGTTGGGAAAGTATTTCGAGTCCAGTTTCACTTGAGACTCAATGCTATACAACCTTATACGGTTCGTGCACAGCCATCTGTCCACGGCTTTCCGCATCAGCTACGGATCAGATGGCCGCCGACGTCGCCCATTCGCCAGAACTCTCAGAGCCCCTAATCCCTGGCCTAGTGCTTTCGTCTACTCCTTGTCCATATAAACCATCAATGGCGGCCCCTCAACCCTCTGCTTCAGATACGTCTTGATCGCGCCATGTGCCTCGTCCTCGTTGTCATAATACCGCATATCATCGAGTGACGCAAAGCTTGTGGTCGCGCAGACTGTGAAGCCTTGGTTGCGTGGGTCTTGGTGTATGCGGGAGGCGCTGGCGGAGAGGATGTAGGGTTTGCCGTCCTGTGCGGAAGGTGTGAGCGAGGTTGAGGGAAGGGGCTTCTTGGGGGGGAGGGAGGCACCTTCTTAGCTTCGTCTTTTAGGGCTGCATATTTGGGGAGGACGCCATTAATGTCTTCTTCTTTGGGAAGCTTGAAGAGGGTGACTCTGTAGATTTTGGACATTGTAAGAGAGCTACAAGTACGAATTTGGTAGATCCTTCGCGTTTGTAAGTTTAGGTGCTGCTTCCAGATGAACCAGTCTTTTCGAGAACTCGACAGTCTGAAGGTCATGGTCTTTCTGGCTCGTTCGGGTCATCTTCGAAATATCCCCGCTCCATCGGCAGGTGGAGTGCCGCCGGGGAGCCGCCTGCCATGTGAGGCTGGGGGTTTGTCATCTTCTACGGCTACGAGGGTTCATGATACAGAGTACATCGAGAGGATATCTGGACATTCTCAGGTACAGGAAAGTAATGAGGTTCGTCTTTCAACCCCTCAGCGCCCCTCTCCTCCAGCCCTTCCGGAGAGCTTGGACCCTTCGAAATCTACGCCGTCCTGGCGGCTTCCGCGTTTCGTCTCACCGCCTCCGTTCAACATGTCTTGGCGTACCGCGATAGGAAAACACCTCCATCTCAACCTCACGCTTTGCTGAGCACAGAGCCAATTCCTCCCGCAGAAAGAGAGCTCCCGCGAGAGCTGTCGTCGTGCTAGATCACTCACCGGAATCGGTTCTGCTCGCAGATGCTCTACAGATACGATGCTCGCTGTCCGCTTTGACGCAAGAGATCTTGTAGAGTACTCGGTTGACTGAGGTGCAACGCACTGTGCCTCGTGCCTCGTGCCTCGCTCCGCTTCCTGCGTCTGCAAGCTTACCAGCGCGCTCTAGCCTCGCGTCGGCAAGCACGCAATGGCGGACGTTGCAGATTTGCCTTGAACGCCAGATGGACGCGTCGTTGCGTTGTCAACGTCGCTAGACCGGAATCTTCGTACAACAGGCACGCCCTGGCTTCTCACCATCCCCCATCTCCACAAGTCGTGCCGGTGCCTCAACGGCAATCCATGCCGGCGCACCTCTGGCACCGCTAGTATCCGTTGCTCAAGGCCCCGTTTCGGCGTTTGGCGCATCTAGGGCCATCACGGCGGGCGTCAAGCGTCTGCCAACTCACTATGCATGAAGCACGGGTGTCCGGGGTCCCGTAAGCAGAATCGAGGTACTCGAGTAATCTCCAACCCATCGCCTGGCCTTGGAGCCATAGTCAGCGTCAACCCTGGTACAACAAAGCAGCCTGCCGCTTCGGGTGCTACGCTTGAACGTTGAAGCCACCATTTCTCTGCAGTAAACATCACGGGAGCGTGTCAAGCTCCGGACCAGTCGTCCATCATCGAAGCGAGGTCTCTCCACTTAGCTTGTCAGGAACAGATAGAAGAGAGGTTTCAACACCAACGCCAGGCCCGAGTCCAAGGTACACACTCGTCAACTAGACCTTCGCCCCGCTGCGGCGTTACGAACCAGCACTGTTGAAAGACGCTAAGGAATCTCTCAATTGATCGGAAGTGCATACAGCACACAGCAGGATGCGCTTGGCGTAGTTGTTGTACCTTTGATCTAACGGGAGAACTGCATTAGCGGCCTTCAAGAGCTACTCTAACCAGCCGCGCTTTGCGGCGCTTGTTCAGGCTTCTTCCGGTCGTGTGCTCCAGAGAACTGGCGAGGTCGTTCAATCTACAGGACTTTCACCGGAAAATTCTGCGAGGTGGAGCCCACTCAGACTGCGCTTCGCCACCAAGCTGCAGGCATAGCGTGATTAACAGGCTGGTGATCGGGGACTTCACTGTGCGTCAGAATTTTTGGACGCTCGGATCGACAACTTTTTGGAGCGCCCTGAGCAGCTCACTCCCGTCTATCACCTAGCTGACATTCTGGAACCCTCGCTTTACTGGCGGAGACCTACGCCAACACATCAATATGGGTCTTCGTACAGAGCCTCAGCCAGGCCCGCATGTTTCCCATTCCTAGCGACCAATGTTTTCGACGCTCTAGACGATGGGTGCATACCCAGGCAATGCCGCTGCGGCCTCATCTGCAATAGAAGTATCGTCTTCCGCTGTTGGACTGATGTGTCCGCCAGCCCAACATTTTCGCTCTCAAGACCCACTCGCCATACCTTGTTGATGTCTATTTAGTGTTTTCCTCAAGCCATTGGACCACTGTCCTTGTTCTCCGTGGTTGTATCCAAACTTTCAAAAGCATCCTGCTGTTGTGCTACCGAAGTCACGAATCTTCCTGCTTCCACCGTTGCCAGAGCGGAAACCAACCGGATCGGGCTCCAACTAGCAAGTCCAGCAGCGCACCGAATCAGCAAGCCACCCATACTGTCATACGTCACGCCTATTGCAGCCATCAGCCCTCGTCTTTAGTGCAATACCATGTTTTACATAATGTACCTTACAGGTAGGGATGCCGTCGTTCTTCTGGTGTCGATGATCTCTTGGAGCAAGCTCCTGACATCTTGGAAACCGTGTTGTTCTTTGAAATGCTTGGAAATCATCTCGTAGTCTCCTGTCGTCGATTGGAGCACGCCAGCGACATATTCAATTCCCAGTTATCTCTCGCGGGTTGTAGCCAGCTATTCAGGCTGTGTGGCATCAATGCAGCCAATTCGATAATGATACGTCAAAGCTTGCTTACCATTCGTACTGACTGGCTTCTCTTAGGCCTTTGCCAGCGCCGTCATTGGCCTGAACCGCAGTTCGTATGCTTCCGCTCCCGCAACGGATACACCTGCACCGCTCGCGTCAACAACCGGGAATACACTACGGATACTGAATACGAGACCGACGAGCTGGCTCGAGAGGGCGCCGCCATGCAGGCCTATATGATATGTCGAAATTTTTCTGTGAACGATGGCATGTATCCTGGGCAAAGACAGGGACAAGGCGGTGTCGTCCAAGGGCTGCCGGTTGCTATCGGCACGGGCCGCAGGAGCACAACCACATCCATTGGTGACTACGACAGTGGCAGCAGTAACTACGCTGAGGCCAGTAGCGGTGACAGCAGCCCAAGGACAAGTGACTCCGGATTCGATACTGCGAGCAGGCGCTCGAGCAGAGCGTCTTTAAGAGCCTGCTACTGTGGACGTGGCAACGTCAGGGCCTACGAGCGGTGCAATAACTGCCTGCGAGAATGTGGATGGCGGTGATCGGCGCCAAGCTGGACAGCTCGAGATCGCCTCGCTTGTCAACCGTTGAAGCGGAGGTGTTGAAGTAAACACAAAACAAAAAGACAGAGAAATGCCGCAAGGCAAGATTGAAGATGGCTTGGAGCGAGAAGTGGGCACGACACAACCTATTTACGACTACACGACTTCATGACTCAGCATAGCGTTAACGAATTACGAAGCTTCTGAAGAATGCCTCCCATTGATGATGTTGCGACGGCTCTTAGAGATTTCATAGTCCGAGTGCGGTTTATCCTGCGGCACTTTTGTGGAGTGATGAATTTCACGGCAAGCATAACGTATGATGCAAAAACTTGAAAATTTCGAAAAATGATAGAGGCAGCTGGCTTCATTCCACGCTCCATCTATTTCTTCTTTCGTTCGTCATCCATGTGGCAACGGTTGGTTGGGCGGATGTTGGTGGGGAATCGCGGAATGTTGGTCTGGCTCTCAGCCAATCTCATATACGATCCTTGCTGCCCCGATCCAATTCATACTATTCCTTGCCGTTGAGGGGTCACTACTCCAGGTTCATTCCTTTGCTTCAAGTTATCGACTTGACCAAACCTCACTATAACCTCTAAGGTCTTTAGATTTTGATTTGGAACGTGCCACTAACAAGGCAAACTACACCAGGGAATCTGTTCCACAGATATTGCCCGCAACGGTTCTAATAGTGCGTAAGCCCCTCAATCTTACTGACTGTGCGCAGTGGAGAACCCTTGACCGGAGGGTCGTTGCTGGATCCGTGGACCTGGCACGGCCTAGTACCGGTTTTGGGATAGTGACTAGCTTGTTCGGACACCGCACCTTGAACAACGTCTTCGAGTATCTTATCGCCGCATGCTTTCTCCCGCGGGTACCTGCAATTATCTGGCTCGGCAAGATCATGAGTGAGATACCCACGCGTTCCCATGTTCAATGATGGATGGCGATCTCTAGCTATCGCATCAACACCGTCACGACTCTGCACTCCACTGAAACGAACATTACGCATTAGATCGCTCCTTCATCCCCAAGAAGGGAGTATAGCACGTATCCGACCGTGAGATGTTTCTTTGCATTCCCCTCGTGCCCACGTTTTCTTGCAAACCGTTGAATTCCGTCTCCCGCTCGGTACCATGGTTCAGGGGCGGTTAACTATGGAACCAAGTGGAATTTCCACCCCACAGATTTCGACGTTCTCACGCAAGGCCCACTCTTCTTACTCTCCAAGTACTTCGTTCTTGTATCCACGGTAGGTTCCATGGCAGCTTGCCTCTCTATTGTGGTTCCATTCATCCGTACCGTTGGCGGAGGTCTTCCTGAACCATAAATGAGAACACGGCTACCAACAAACTATGGGCTGAGGATTTTCGCGAAAGCCTCCAGCGTGGCATAAATAATCCTCAAGCCGCTCTTCGTCACTTCATTCCCAGCTCTTCACCATCCAGCAAATAGAACATCTATCCCAGGCCGTCGCAACCTCACAACATCACAACACAACTCAGACACTGCAATCATGGCTTACACCGCTATCTGCAAGAAGAAGGACTGTGGGAATTTTGCTCCATGGAACTGGAGCCCAGAGGTACGGGACCCCTCCCCCTCCCTTGAAAAGGTCTCCCTCCAAGAGGTATAAGCACAGGCATCAAGAAGAGAAAAGGCTTTGGCAGCAGCTAGCACAGACCGTAGCTATTAGAAACAAGTCGAAGACTAACGCGTTGCAGACAAGAAGAGAGCACGCGGCAAAGTTGCAGCAGGAGGAGCTGGAGAAGGAGCAGGAGCGCCTTAATGAGGAGCATGACCGCAACGCGCCCAAAATGCAATACGAAGCCACGGAATACCCCGCCACGCAGGGCGCAGAGTCGCCTAAGCTTCTCGCCAGGCAGGAAGACCAACCGACAATCCACGTCGTAAAGGGCGCATGTTTGAAAGAGGATCGGGCTTGCGTTCCCGAGGAAGTGCGCCCTATGAATGAGCTGAACCGTGACGACTACGTTCGTGTCTCCGATGTCCGCCGAAACTTTTACGACTGGTATGGAGCGTTCAAGAAAACGCACGAGTCCGACGCACCAGAGCCACGGTTCCGTGTACGCGATGTCCAGACGATCCACATCATCACCCACGAGTGCGTTGAAGGAGACGCCGTTCGCTGCATCGCACGTGAGGTCCCCGTCGGATCCCAGCTTGACGGCAAGGACTACGTCCGCTTGGAAGACCTCGCTCAGCTGTGGGGTGGCAAGCTTCCCACTGGGGATAGTGATGTCCTCCAAGGACCCCAGCGCCCGCAGATCTCAGGCAGGCTTGCTGCCCGTTACGCTCGGTCCGGACGTGGAGCGGCCCGTCCGTCCAAGGCTCTTGCGCGTCGGCAGGAGACGACGGTCACTCGGCCGAATTACGATGGTTACGGTATCAAATGCCCCTTCGATGGCGACCAGTTCTTCACGGCGCCAAACGGCGAGAACTTCCAGATCGTCTGTGGCTGGGATCATTTCGGCCGCGACATCAAGCTGGTCCACACGAGCAGCGCCGAGCTTTGCGCCACGACTTGCTCCGAGACTGAGGACTGCCTCGTCACCTCCTATGTGCCGTCGACGGGCGCCTGCTACATGAAGAGCTCGCTCGCCCCTGGTGTCGCCAACCCCAACATCATCGGCCAGAAGTGCGTCAACTGCAATGGCGAACAGGATCCGGCGTCCTCGTCTGTGGTCTCGTCGACATACGTCATCACCTCGACCATCACCTCGGCCATCACCTCGACGCCCGCCAGCTCGACCTTGGTGATCGCGACCTCGGCCGGGTATGCGGTCATCGAGCGCCCAGAGCCGCCCGTCTCGACTGTGGTCCTAGAACAGCCGGCCGTGTCTACCGTCGTCCTCCCGAACCCGGGCATCTCTACCGTTGTGCTAGAACAGCCGCCCATCTCTACTGTTGTGCTACAACAACCGCCCATCTCCACCGTGGTCCTCTCAGCCCCGCCAATCTCCACCGTTGTCCTCCCGAACCCGGGCATCTCGACCGTGGTCCTAGAACAGCCGCCCATCTCTACTGTTGTGCTCGAAGCCCCGCCCGTGTCTACCGTGGTCCTCTCGGCCCCGCCAATCTCCACTGTCGTCATCTCAGACCCGTGGGGCACCGCCGCCGAGACCGTCGCGGCCCCGACAACCGTCTTCACGACGTACGTCACCACGTTTTCGACATCGACGGCGGCGCCGACGCTGCGCAGGCGCAATGGCGGCCTCGAGATCGAGGCTGCTCCGAGCAATATCAACCAGCTTCGTGTTGGTGGGGCTGTGGTGGCTGAGCCGGCTGCGCAGGAGACGGGCTCGTTTGGGAAGGCGATTGATAGGATTCATGGCGTTGAGGAGGCGGTTAGGGAGGCGGAGCCGGCGGCGACGGCAGGGTATGTTGCGCTTGCTGGCGTGGTGGGGATTTTACTGTTCTTGATCATCAGGGGGTGGAGGAAGAGCAGGAGGGAGGCGAGGGGCAGGGGGAGGGTGTGAGGAGTGCTGTGGGGAAGGCGAGTCTCGAGGTGGCAGCCTGCTGTGTGGGTGTTGGGGATGCGGCGGATTTGGGGGGAGAGGGGAGGATAGGGGCGCGGGAGAGATTGATGTAGGCTAGTGGTTCGGTGCAGGAGAGCAATGTATGCAGGTAACGAAATAAGATCGTAGAGCATCTACTGTGCACAGGATTCACGCCAAATACTTGTGATCCATCTCTTGTCTTTTGAAAATCACCGTGGTTGCGCATACTGGAGTCGCCAATTGCCAGGCAAACCGAACAAGCTGACCCAAGTCGTTCGCTTTGATGCTTTGCGTCTCCGTTGTATTCACCTCTTGCCCTTCGCTTCTTCTAAACGTCTCTACGGTCTTGATGAGAGCGTTGTTCTAGAGATTGAGTGTCATACAAGAGACATCCGCCCAGCACTCCTCGAATTTCTCTCACGGTGGGCAAACGCTACCGGAACCGCCAAGCTCTTTCTTCTGTGCTACTGAAGAGCAAATTCTTGGATACCTCGCAGAAGAGGATACTACAGTGATCCGCCGCCTCGGGATTCGTAGCATGATGCTCTGAAGCGAGGCCGTCATGCGGAGGACGCAAGGGCGAAAGCAAGAGAACAACTCGCGAGACTCTTCGCCCGGATGCCAGGAGATTGGGTGTGTCACGAGCTGGATACCCATAGTGGCGACTAGTAGCACGATCGTAGGAGTAGCACACGTTACTTGACCTCAGCTCCTCTTGGGCTAGCTACCTTCGTGGTCAGGGGGGAGCATGGGGAGGCGGGTGCGGGTGGAGACGGCGGGCTGCAGGAGGAGAAACGGCGTCGATGATACAGTGTACAAGCACGTAGACAAGTGAGGACTGCTCGGCGGCTGGGGATTCTCGTTTCTCTTGGGGACTGCGAGTGATGTTTATGTGGGCTCCTCAGAGCTTAGAATATTGGGCGCCGAAGTAGATAGGACTTCCATGCCTCGACAGCTCGCCACGGTAGTTATTCTCAAGCGGAACCTTTTCCTCGAGATGCTCATTCCAAGCAAGGCAGTTGGCTTGTGGTCGCACAGGCGCATGCGGCAGAGTCTCACGAGCAACGCTGCCGGCACTACCATGGAATGGTTGGACACGAGGCCCAAGGGGTTGTTGCTCTCTGGCGCGTGGATGGGGTTTTTTTCGCCGGCGGGTTTTTCGCACCTCGACAGTGGGCTGGTATCTTAACTAGCTGATTCACGGCAGAGGCAATAGCAAAGAGAGGGTCAACGGATGGCTTGCAGCTTGTTGATCGTCTCCGGCATCCGCACCTGGAATTGAGGTGGGATCGCGCAATTGATGCGTGCGCATCGCTGCCGGCAGCGGGCAGTGGTGAGAGACGATTTGCTGTTCCAGGATTCGGCGCCGGCGCCTCGGGAAAGAGTGCGCTAGGAGGCTTGGCGGCGAGATGGCGGTCAGGCTTGAATCGATGCGCGGAGCTGGTCGTGGTGGAGTAGATGAGTATCTTGAGCTCATATGGAGTTGAACATGCCCGTCGAAGGATTTTCAGGTGCTTGCGGGTAAATCATCTCGACTTCTCTGTCCTGAAGTGTTTTACGCCTTTGCCTCGAGAATCTCAGTGCACGATCAACGGGCAAGCAGCAGCAGCTGACGCTGACAGCATCGTGCCCAGTGCACTGAGTGGCTGGATAAGCTGCCGCTAGCCACGCATCCCGCCTCGCTCCCTCACCGCCAGTTGTTGGACTGGGAAATCGAAGAACCCCAAGCGTTTCCCAGGTTTCCCCACCCGCTCGACCTCGCAAACTCAGCAGAACGGCCGCTGGCGGTGTGATGTCCCACGCCCACGCCCACTCCGCCCCGTGAGACTTTCGACGACGCAGTTGCGCACTGCCCCCTCCCCCCGAGCTGAATCTGACTGCCTATCGTCAACAACATCATTGCTTTACCTAAGAACATAATGGACAACCTCGACTTCTCCCACGATGCCTTCCTGACCTTCGACGCCCTCGACCCCAACCAGCAGCGCTTGTCGTTTCTGTCCGCCTCGACCTGGCCGCTCATCCTTGAGCAAACAATGTCTCACAATGGCCACGCCAGCACCAGTTCAAGAAGAGCAATGACTATGAACGATTCAAAGCCGCTACCGACAACGGCAGCACCGCCCGCGACGAGCACCGCTCCGTTACATACGAGCACTCTCAGCTTCCATCAATCAATCGACCCCTCAGCCGCCTTGTTGAGCACCACCGACTGGCAGTTTCAGTATCAACAGCCCAACCAGCAGTCCTATCTCCAAGATGCCGCCCTCAACCCAGCGTCTTATGGCGGAGCATACGCCCAGCCCCTCCAGCCTTCTCCGATGAACTTCATGTCTACCACGCAAGTCCCGATACACCCAGCGACTATGTCCATGGACGCCGCGACGTCGTTTGCAATGACCTACTCGGGCCCGATGGAGTCGCTCAACACCATGGCACCGTTTCAGATGAACGACTTTCAGGCCGAGCTCATGAACTCGTACGTCGACGAAGGCTTCTCGTCCACCGACCTCGTCCCGGCTACCAGCTTTGCCGGCAGCTCCCCCGGTGAAAGCTGGCTTGACATCCGCTCGCTAGGAAGCAGTGATGCTGGCTGGAATACCGTCGACTTCCCGCAATCCCGCCGGTCCTTCGAGTCGTTCGAGGAACCGACCGTCTCAAACCCGTACCTGACCCTCCACGTACGCACCGACTCGAACTCCTCGAATGCGCAGTCAGACGTGGCGCCAGTATCGGCGCACTCCTGCGGCAGCTGGGAGGAGATCAGCCAGTTCGCCTTGTACTCTCCCCAGTCCGAGCAGAACCTTGACTTCTCTTATCCGCCCGTTGCTCACGGTCTGCCCCACAGCCATAACCACAGCCATAATCACAGCCTCAGTCATTCTCCCATCCAAGCCACCGTCAGCCCGTCAGCCGCCGTAGAAGCTCTTACTATCAAACCGACTGTCTATTCCACGTCACCCTCATCATCGTCTAGCCTCAGCTCGCCGCCTTCCAGGAGACGGAAGAGCCCTGTCGGCGCCAAGGTCACCAAGACCATTGCGAAGAAGACCACCGTTGCACACTCAACGAAGAAGGACAACGTGACCGAGAAACGCGTCGGCCGGAGACGCGGCCCGCTGCGGCCAGACCAAAGACAGCAGGCTCACGAGATCCGCAAGCTCCGAGCCTGTCTGCGTTGCAAGTTCTTGAAGAAGACGTGCGACAAGGGCGACCCGTGCGCCGGCTGCCAGCCCTCGCACGCCCGGCTCTGGCAGGTCCCCTGCACGCGCGTGGACATCAAGGACATTGCCTATTTCATGAAGGACTGGAAGGCCGACTTCGAGCGCCACATCAGCCTCGGCTTCTCCGTCGGCAACATCAAGGGCTTCTCTACGCAGGAGCGGCCGCTCTGGATCACGCACGGCTACGGATACTACCTCCCCATCTCTGCGCGCGAGGTCTTTGTCCGAGACGACAAGTGCTTCGGCATGGACTGGGTCGAGGCCGTGGACGCGGATCAGAAGGCGCACAAGGAGTTCGAAGTCACGACTGCCAAGCTTTCGGCCGGCATGGAGGGCGTCTCGCACGCTGTGCTTTCCGAATACCTTGACCGCCATATCGATGGCGGCTTCGAGCGGTTTGTTGACGAGTACTTTGAGGGAACCCTCTTCCTGACCGAGATTCTGAAGACGGCGTACCGGTACTACCTACGCGAAAAGCTGCCCGTAATCCGCAAAGCGCTGAAACTCGTGGTCGCGTACAATCTGACGCTGCACGTGACGCTGGTGGACGGGCTGTCAGAGGAGGAAGCTAAAATCGGCAAGATCGAGAACGACGATAGCCGCTTCAACGGCAAGACCGTCGCGCCCGTCATGATCAACTTCCAGATCAAGTGCGCGCTCGCCGACATGTGGCGCGAGCTGCAGAAGGACATCCTGGAGGAGCTCTCCGCGCTCTACTCCTCCGTCTACTCCGGCGAGAAGCTGAAGAACTGGCCCACCATCTTCATGCTCGCGGCGATATTGCTGGCCGTCTGGGAGGAGATGCAGTTCGATTGCCACTACCGCGTCCCGGACCCGGCGGCCGTGCACAAGTTCTGCTCGGATATGGAGACCACCCCCGTGGGCGTTATCGTGGGATTGTTTTCGGCGATCTCGCAGAAGCTGCCGAGTTTTAGTGAGTGGGATAGCAGGAAGCATCATCATTTGCTGGGCTCGAATCAGGCGGTTTGTGATGCGATGACCGAGGTGCGCTCGCACGTGACGAAATACGGTATGTCCTCGAGTCGATTCGAAAACATGTTTAAGACAAGACAGCTGACATGCCGGATACAGAAACCTACCTCAAGAGCCGCGCAGAGGCGAAATTCGACCGCAACGACTTCGACAGCCTGTCGAATAAGTTCTTGTCGAAACTAGTCATCCGCGCTAACTAGGCCGGTGCCGAGCTGGCCTGCTTATTATTCGTTCCTCTCCTTTGTCTATCACTATACCTTCCGGTCTACTACTACACCTTCCCTCCTTGGATCCACCTACCTTCGACCATCACTGTCATCCTCCTCCTTATTTCTCCCCTTCATGCGACAGCGATTACGAATTTACGGCTTCACGAAGCTAGACACGTGCGAGAACGATCTCAACGATCTGAACGATTCAGCTACGGCAGCACATGACGACTCCATGTCAGCGAGCAAGAACGATCTACCGACCGAACGGCTATCCGAGCCCTCTATATTCCCTTTCAGCACCCCTTGGCCGTTCAGGCGCCCCTCTTTTACTCCAACTATTTCTTACGGCTGTGCTTTGACTTGTTCGATGCTATCCTCTCGGGCCTCCGGGCCAGGTTTCGGTGTTCTCTGATTATTCGGCCGGGCCGGGCGGACGGGCATATTACGCCTAGGTGGGCTGTGCATAGCGTTGCGTTTTTTTGCGTTTTGCGCTGCGGACGTATCCCTGTTGAGGGGAACGCGGTTTTCCCATCTTTTTCCTTTCCTTTCCTATTCTTCATGACTGCCGAGAGACGAGAGCTGTGATGGGTGGGAGGCTATGCTGCAACTTGTGGAGTGGATCTGATCATGACGGGCATCATGGGGTTGCATAGCGGATTTGGTTAGATGGGTGCATTGGGGAGATGAGATGTTGGTTCATGGTGGTTAGGGGTGATGGGGGGTTTGGTTTGGGGATTTGAATTGAATGGCTTCATGGCTTGTGGCTGCTACTGTCCCGTGTGCGATGCTTGTGTTGATGATCTTATTTCTTAGCCTGTGTTACGCTCTGATCGTCTCTGTTCCTGTCGTTGGATCACGGCCAGTATGGAGGCACTGTTTCAGCTGCTATAGCCGTCCGTCGAGCACAAGATCGGGCCGTCTAGTCGCTCTCGGATGCGAACAAGGTAGATCAAACATGCAGGAAAACAAAAGAGGGCGTTACTAAAAGCACGAAAGTGGTTCTTGCGTCGTGCAAAGTGATGCTGCACACACGATGCAGAATCGAGGGCTATCAACCCACACTATACAAGCTCCTAGGAGGTACATGTTGTCCATCTATACTGCTCCTGTACGGCGGCCAAGGTCAAAGATCCATGCAGCCCCAAGACGGAACGTGCTCTAAACGGTTTCATAGAAACAACGATGGTGATGCTCCAGGCGCGGCGTCTGATTGTGCCACACCCTTGACGGGATTCCCATTTCCCTCAACCCCCCTCTAGCTGCCGAGTTCTTTTCGGCGGAGGCACGATCGCATCACTCAACCTCCCTGCCCTCCCTTATTCCCTCCTCTTCCTCCCCAAGCGCGACAATCGCCTAGCCCCGCTAACCACGCCCCGCGCCGTGCAAAGCTTCCCACCTTCTCTGCCCGCCTCACTTCTCCCCTTGGCCCCCATCGCCGGCCCCGCCACTCTTGCTGGCGAGGAACTCGGCAGGCAAATCCATGCCCACCCTCCGCGCCGTCAGCCGCACGCGCTCCTCCTCGTTCATGTTCATGCCCGGGTTGTAGCGCTCGACCAGCGTGGCGTACATGCGCTGCGCGTGCTGGTATTGCACAAACTGTTCGGTGGCTTGGATGCGGGGGGTTGTGTCCGCTGATGAGGCGGGGGAAGGTGAGGAGGTACTGGGGGAGGTGAAGGAGGTCCGTATGCGTCGCAGGAGCGGGGAGGGGTGCGAGAGGATCGTTTGGGAGGGCTGGTGCACGGGGAGTTCGCGCAGGAGGCGGCGGTAGAGCGACCGGAGGGTAGGGGCGTGGGTGGTTGTCATGGTTGTGAGGCGGGTTTTGGTGTTGGATTGCTTTTTGATGTGCTGGAGAGATGGACGGAATGGCTGAGGGCGGAGTTGATGGAGAAGGCGAAGCGGGGTGGTGATGTGTGAAGTGGAAATCTCGGAGGTCTGCGGAGAGGAGACATCATGGGAGCTCGGGCCATTGAGGTTTTTGGCCGGGACGTCGAGATGATGGGATGTTTGACTGCTTAAGCAAGTATGTGCAGAATGACAGTCCTACCTCCAACCACGCCGTTTATATGCGCTGGATGCGCTCGTCGACTATTCCGCCTCCAAATCTCTCGGCCTCAACTCCATCAGTCGCGCCCCAACACCACCGCCGCAACCCCCAGACACTTTCTGCCCCGACTTCCACCAGCAGCTCCTCCATCTAGGAGAGCACGTCCCCCACCCAGCGGCGCACCTCCTCCAACCACCACCTCCTCCTCGACTACGCCAACCACCTCAACTCCACCAACCCCCCTCACCCTCTCCACGCAAACCCTAAACCTCTACCACACGACCCTCCCGCCCACCTCTCCTCAACTCACCTACGCCTCCCGCTTCTTCGCCCGCTCCCCGCCCCGATTCCTCTTCTCCGCCGCACGCTTCCGGTCCTTCCCCGACTCGCTGACCCCCGAAGTCGCCTTCCTAGGCCGCTCAAATGTCGGAAAGAGTTCGCTGCTTAACGCGCTGCTGAACCGCTCCACGCACAAGATCGCGCATGTTAGCAGCAAGCCCGGACGGACGAGGGTCATGAATGCGTTTGGGGTGGGGGTCGAGGGAGGGATGAAGAGGGAGGCAAGGGGTGGGCACGAGGGTGGGAAGGACGGGGGGAGGGCTGGGGAGGGGGAACGGTGGATTGGGAAGGGGGGTGTTGTGGTTGTCGATATGCCGGGGTATGGGAAGGGGAGTCGAGAGGAGTGGGGGACGGAGATTCTGAAGTATTTGTGTGGGAGGCGGCAGTGAGTTTAGCTGCTTCTCCGTGTCCTGCTTACGTGTGGGAGGAGAGAGACGCGAAAGGTGAAGGAGGCTTGCTGACAATGTTGGTGGGACAGACTGCGCAGAGCTTTCCTCCTCATCGACGCGGAACACGGCGTCAAAACCGCGGATGAGCAGCTCCTCACCCTGCTTAGAGAAAATGGCGTCCCGCACCAGGTCATCCTCTCCAAGGTCGACAAGCTCATCTCCCCCGGTTCGAAACTGCCCTCACCCGAGAAACTGGCGGCGAATCTACAGCAGCTCCGTACCCTCTGTGAAGAGACACGGAAAGTGATCCAGCCCGCGGGCTACAGAGGCCCCGTCGCACTCGGCGAGATCCTAACGTGCAGCGCGGAGAAGTCGATTGAGACGGGCAAGAAGCTGGGTATGGATGGTGTTCGCTGGGCTGTGCTGCAGGCGGCGGGGCTGGATTGTGATGCCCATGGCAGGAGGAGGGTCTCGGAAGTTCACGTAATCGAGGATGTGGTTGAGGAAGTGGACCGGTGATACTTGAGCTGCTACTGTGTCAAGGCATCTCCCTCGCCATCCTGGTCTACCATCTAGCACATGAGTGATCTAAGTGATGGTCACGCGCAGTAAGGACTAGTGTGCCCCTGGACCAGGGCCTCTTCGACCGAGTCCCTCGCCAGCTTGCTTGACTGGAGATTTGACTGCGTGGATCTCGCAGGCGGAGCTGAGATCTGGTTACGGGGAAGACGGTGTTGAAGTGGTGCGAGAGCGCTGTCCGTCGCATAAGGATGGGACGCCATTTGTGGTGTTACACCATGCCCGCTCTCTTTCCCAATGACGTGCCGCCGATTACCTTGTCTCAGTTACACGGCCGCGCTCCGTTTTCTCACCACTGAGATACTACGAGACCAGGTGGAGAAAAAGACCAGGATGAGTCCGATTGGGACTCGCGTACATGCGCACCGCCGCACCGATCCGATTCCACTCGGCAATCACTTCATGAGGGGATAATTGACTGGCCCGGCGCGCGTAGTACGCTTCGCCACATCTTACGGCTCCTTTTGCACCTGAGCGACGCCAGCGCATGCGGGACCACTCTCACCTCTTCACAGAACTCAATCCGCCTCTGCAGACTCCAGACACCACGATTACCGCACCCAGCGCGGGTACCTTGTGAGCATGGTCCGTTCAGTCATTCTGACTCCGTGAGGGCATCCCAACCTCGTCGCTCAACAACTATGTAACATAGTATCAATATTGCAAGCGCTTTACAAAAGTACGCAAGACAACTCGACACCGTTTCGATTTAGACGTCGCCTTGGAGCAACATCTCGGGGTGTTGATCTTAGCTCCCTGTACTCTAGTGATCATTCCATACTGGGCGTAGCTACCCGATCTGACTACTAACGGGTGTGACGAAGGCTACGGCCATCAATCTTAGCTTAACGGTAGTGTGAAACGGGAAGGAACGGTAGATCACGATCTCAGTATTGACAAGCATTGCGGCTCAAGCTGTATTGGGCATCGAAGTGGATATTCACTCAGCGTGAGATCAGCAAAAACATACACTCGTAAAAAGGCGCCATCGCACCAGCATTCTAGCACCCGAAACCATGCCCAGCCCAGCGCTCTATCCCCACGCGCAGCCCCGGGACAATCCCAAAATCCGTGCAGCCCTATCTCAGCAGTCACATAACCTCATCCCAAACCACGCTACCCCTTAGCATTCCACCGATCATTATACGCATTAACCGCCACCGCAACCTGTCTATACAGCCAATTCCTTCCACTCTCATCCGCGACGGGAATAAACGGCCCGTTCGTGCCTCCCTTCAACGTAATCGCAATCCCCGTCCTCTCCTTACTGATCGTCTGGATATCCTTCAGCGGGACATCCCACTCCGTCGTCAGCTTCTTCGTCTTGACCAGCATGATGCTGTTGTACGTCAGCATGACCAGCATGTCCTTTCCGGGGAGCTCGAGATGCGCGATGTAGTCCTCGTTGAAGTATTTGCCGTTGTCCAGCGTCTTGAGCCAGAATTGGCCGAGGGCTTCGCGCTGCGAGTAGGGCCGCACGATGCCGTCTTGCCCGATGAAGCGGGTCAGGCGCACGCGGTCGAGGCCTTCCTGGTCGAAGACGGTTGTGGTATTGCGCACGCCCTCGGCCATGTTGGACGCCAGGTCAAACGCGCCGATCGCCGGCTTCGTCGCAAGACCCAAGAAGCCCTTCCCGACGCCCTTGACGAACCCGCCTACGCCTTCCTTCTCCGCGCCCTGGATCGGGTGCCGCGCCAGGCCGCCGATGCCGCTCGCGATGCTGCTAGCAAACGCATTCCCGCCGGCTGTGATGCCGTACAGCGCGTGCTTGGGCCGGTTTCGGCTCCGGCTCATGCGCCGCTGGTCCTGGAACTCCTTGTCCAGCGTCGCGGCCGCGAGGCCCTTGGACATGGATCCCGTGAACTTGGCCATGGAGTCCGAGAAGCCGAAGACAGACTTCTTGACGAAGCTAGAGGCGCCCTTGGCGATGCCGATACCGAGTTCTTGGGGTCGGTCAGACATCACGAGCCCTTGGTACGGCTCGTAGAAGATGTCGGCGACGCCGGAGCTGACGTTGTTGAAGAGGCCGACGGGGTTGCCGAGGAAGTCTGCGGAGCCGAGCACGAGGTGGACTTGGCGGAGAGACTCTTGCACGTAGTGGCTCTTGATGTTGTTCACGAGGGCTGCGATTGAGGTTCTTGCGTTCTCGAGCATCAGGGCGTTGTAGCGCAGAGGTGCGTCGTTGACGTTGCCGATAGACATTGTCAGGACGTTGACAGCGAACATGAGCGGATTTGACGAGGTCATCGTGTCTTCAGCGTTGATGCGCTCCGTCCTGACGAAAGAGAGATCGAACTGCATTGGCTGCAGGTGCAGAAGCTCGAAGTAGACGTCCTGGCCCTGCTGCTCCTGCGTCGGCTCCGGGATGTCGAGGTTCTCGTCGCCGAGCTTGCCCTCTTTCTCCTCAGACCAGGAGGCGCCGGGAATCTTGGCAAAGTCCAACATAGCGAAGATAAAGTCTTCGTCGATCTCCAAGGTCATCTGTTGGAGGAGGATGGTGAAGTACTTGATATACAGCACGCCGTACGAGTCGTCCTTGACCCGCGTGACCGCCGCATGGAAGATCGGATGGGCTTCCATTTCCCGACCAGTCTTCGGGACGACGCTCGGATAGAAGACGATGGGAAATATGCCACCATACAGCTGGTTGTCGATCTGAATCCACTTGATGGTGGTATTGACGGTCTGGTAGAGGGCCGATTCATTGTACTTCAGCTCGATATCGCGAAGCGTAAGGTATACAAGCTCCTTCAGCTGCCTGTTGATCAAGGAGATACCGATGCCAGCCAGCCGCAGCTGAGCTTTGAATGTGACGTCCGTGTCCTGTTCCTTGACCTCGAAACCTTCAGTTGTAGACTTCGACGCATTGCCAGACTTCTGCTTGTACAAGCTCTTTGAGGCCTTGTAGTTAGAGAGGACAAGCGTCTGCGTTGGCCCATCGGCCATTACGTTGAGGTCGATAATCTTCTGCCGGGTAGCGCCTTGAGGTGGTGGAAGCTTCATTGGCAGCAGATTGCCGATCTCTGCAAGCTTGACATGTCGCTCCTTGCCATTAGACGATAGGATGATCTCCTTGTTCTTCGCCGCCGGATAGTCCCAAGCATAGGGCATGATGCTTCGTGGGGGTAGCCGGTACCGGATTGGCTTCCAGCCAGAGCCGCGGTCCTCCTCGTCTTCATCAACGTTCGGGTTTGCTTGCCAGAAGAGGAACTCGGTATCGCTCTCATTCCGCATAGAGAACGGCCAGTGCTTGGTTTCGATGCTGACATGGAGGAATATCGTTGCTCCCTCCATAAGGATGTCCACGCGAATGAGCTTCTGCCGCTGTCCATGCTTCGCAAGCTTGACGTGCACGTTTCCGACGTTGGAGATGTTGAACGGAGACGACCACTGGTTGTTCACGCCTGGGAAGCAAAGGCAGAGCTGTTGACCGGCGCCCTGGCGGAGCCAGCGAACAGGCAAGAGCTCGCCGGGTTTCAGTTCCATCATGTCAGCAGAGCCTGCGCCAGGCTCGCGAACGTTGATGGTCTCGTCGATCTTGTTCTTGACGATGAAGCGGGGCGTGATCGTGACGACTTTACTCAAGTTGTACTATCCGCATGATTAGCTCAGGTTTGCATACTGATGGTAGAACGGTGGTCACTAACCTTGCCCTCGCCTTCCCTCACATCCACGCCTACATGCATCTCCGTTCGGCCCTGGGCGGATGGAAGAGTAACCGCATAAGAGCTGCCAATGGCGTCGAAACTCTGAGGCTTACTCCAATTCGAGTCCCCAACCTTGATCAGAGCACGATTCTTGCGATCATCCGTAGGGAACGAGAACATGAAAGGCATTGATCTGTGTACGTCGTCGTTGCTCGCAAAGACTCCTGCTGCGGCCTTGGCACCGCCCAGGAAGGTCTTGCTTCGGACGTCCAGCTCAAGGCCGGTTCTGTTCAAGATGACATAGGGGCTGTAGATAGTCACTTTGAACGCTCCGCCACTGTCGGGTATGTTGCTGGGGCAGGTCAGTAAAACTCCCTTAGCACTATTGCGGAAAGGCTTACTAGTAATGCAGCTTCAGCCGTAGCGCGAGGTCCTTGTCATCCTTGATCTCTATCGTCTTCTCTCTCCGGAAATTCTCACGATCAGAAGAGTTGACCACGGCGAACTTGCTCGGCTTGAATGGGGTATCCTGCATGTCAACGCTCAAAAGCAGTAAGTGAGAAAGCTCTACAACATGGACTGGGCTGACGCCGCCCTTCCGTAAGAAATTGGTCCAGTCCTTCTTCGTGTTTTCGTCGTAGATCCGGTACTTGAAGTCGAAAGGCAGTAAATTCTGCACCTCGACAGGAGCATGCAGTTTGATGCGCATGTAGGGATAGACGGCGGTGAGGGGATCTTTCTTGTCGAAAGCGGCGTGCATCTGGAAGTAGAATGGTGGGGACTGGTTGTCTTGCTCGCCTCTGCATGTAATCGTCCTGGTGGGCCGCTTGAGCAAGTCTTTCCAGAACAAGCGCTCGTTTGACCACGTGTAGCCGAATCCTTGATCGGGACGGACGATGAGGGAATGCATGAACGCTGCTCCGACGGGCGCTGGCCGTGCGTCCCCGGGAGCAATCTTGTCGATCTTCGTCAGATGGCCCTCTTCCGGGCTGAAAACTCCGAGCTCTATGGGTATCTGGGTGTGGTTCTCGACCTGCAGCGGCGAGCGGAAAGTGACATACTTGACGTTGTCCGTGCCAAGCGTGACCTCGACTAGAAGGCGATGCTGCACCCTGTCCTTTCGTGGCTTAAGGTTGTACAGTGCCTCGCCTTCACGGTTGACCGGAATACGCTCAACGCTATCGAAGCCGCTGCCTTCGAGTTTGATCCCCACTACACCTGTAGCGCCATCCGAGGACAATGTCTCTCTAGTCGTTGAAGGATCTTCAAAGCTCCACGGTGCTTCTTCGCCGTCGCTGAGCTTGGCTGCCGAGCTTGCATCGTCCTTGTGACTTTCATCTACCGCCCAAACATTGACGTCAAACCCGGTGTAGTTCCGGATGCGGTACGGCGCTTCCGTCCCCCGAGGTTTCGAAAGCACATCCTCGTCGCTGGACAAAAAGTCGGCGGACTTTGACGCCAAGGCAATAGTTGCAGCAGTGACAGTGAGCTCCAACGATTTCCGCGAGTACAATTCTACCGACAGCCGATCCGGATTCAGATCCTTGGACAGATGAAAGCCGAGCGAGTATGGCTCAATAAGTGGTTCCCAGGCTGACTTCGAGAAATTGAAGATGTTGAAGAATGTGTCAATGCTGGTATCCGCACTCATCGCTCCAGACCAATCCGTAACGTCGACGGTGAACTTCTTGACGCTCCAATCCAGCATCGGCAGCTCGTGCTTGTCTCCAATAAGAACAACACGTATGCCTCCCATGGAAATCTTCATTTCCTCCCGTGTAAGGACTGCTGAGCCTGCTGACTGCTGTTTCGTCTCGGGGCTCTGACCGGTCGTTTTCTTCGTCGCGATGGACTTGGCGGTCTTGCCAGCCGCCGTAGACTTAGCCCCTCCCACGGATTTTTGACGTGACTTGGCTGAGGCCCCCTTGATGTCCTTGAGCTTCTGCGGTTCGGTATCCGAGAGCTTCTTGTCGTCGTTAGCGGACATGGCGGATGCTCTGTTGAAGATCTGCATAGCGAGCAAAACATCCCGCAGGGACAGCCGCAGAACAAGTGGCTCGATATCGACATTGATACTGGTAAGCGAAGACGAATTGGCTTGGGAGCGCATATCAAGCGATGTCTGGATGCTGAAGTCGTCCAGGATGCGCAGTCTGGTAGTCTCAAATTTGTCCATGCGGCAGAGGAACATGCCGACTTTCTCGACCTGGAGGGTCGTAACGTGCTGTTTCGAGACCAGAACCTGCTTCGTACCGAGCACAATGGCTTCCGAGCTGGTGATTGCAGGGTTAGCAATCAGAACGACTTGTGCATCGACAACGTTGACGCGGAAGGACATGTTCATGCCAGCTTCTTCAGCACCCTCATCGGCCTTCGCCGCGGAGCTGCCCCTTCGTTGTGAGACGGCGCTCGACTCGACATCGCTGACACTCTCCGCATCGGTTGCCTCTTCTGAGGAGCTCTCTCCAATGTCCAATGGCTCATCAGAAGCGAGTCCACCAGTTACAAAGGCCTGTACAGCAAACAAATAGTCCAGAGCAAGAATAATTCTGGGGCTGTCAATCGTGAGCAGAGCTATCAGATTCTTCTCTTTGCCGCCTGAGATGGATACACTGGCCATGAACTGCTGCTTGACATCCGTGTTGATGAGCGACATAATCTTGCGGAACTTGTTTGTCTCCTTCGTTCGAGTGTCTTTGATGTTGAAAGACTGGACGAGGAGTTCCGATTCCAAGGAGCCGTCGTTGATCATCCGGAGCTTGACGCTGGTACCATCCAAGGAGAATTTAGATAGACTGGCAGCTTCTACATCGCCGACAGGCTGGTCTTCCTGGCTCTGGATCAGCTCCATACCGATCGCACCGACTTTGAATATTAAGTCAAGTTTTGTCCAGGTCTCATCGCTTGTGCCAAGCTCCGGTTTTTGACTTGTTGGTTTGTCTGGGATGTCATCAGAAGGCTTGGTGTCCGTAACGGCTTTGGCCGGCTCGACCATCGCTTTGGGCAGCTCCTGCTGAACCTCCTCCTCGACCTCATCCTCAGGTTCTGTGGCGAACGCAGCAGGGATAGTGCGAGATAGCTCCAACATGAATTTCATCTGCTGCTGGGTGAGTCGAAGATTTATGTCAGACATGTGCCCTTCAATCTCGAGGTCAGGTCGCTCGCGTCCAGCTTTGTGCTCGACCATGGTCAACTTAAAATCCAGATCGACCTTGTCGATCAATTCGAGCTCTTCTTTCTTGTCGTCCTCGTAGTGGAATAAGGATGTGAGACGAATGTTTCTAATACCTGCGTTTAGCTTGTTGGCGGTATCAGAGTCCTTCGAGTCTTCCAAAGGGACGAACTCATTGTTCGCATAGATCTCTCCCAAGTATGCAGTTACCAGATCCCGCTCCGGGTTGTCAGTGATGACCATCCTCGGGAACACGACGATCGGTGTGTTCACTACGATGTCGAGACGCATCTTTGAAGCTCTTTCTTGCACCTGGCTGGCCTGGTTCGCAGCCGCTTGTCGCGCAGCATTGAAGATCGCCTGCATCTTGCCAAACTTGACTGCGAAGTCCATGATCTTCCGGAAAGGCTCAGTGATGAAGTTGACCTTGAGTGAGCCTAACCGGAGATATACAGACGAGTCGTAGCCAGGGTAGTCTTCCGATTCCTCGTCGAAAGTCTCATAGCTGAAGTCGGCAAGCTGCTCGCCCTGTATTGCAAGCAGTTGCCGTAGAGACGACTCAGGAGAGACACCCTGATTGACATCGTCTATCAAGGAAAGATTTCCCAACTTCGCCCCGACGCGCATTGTCTTACCCATGAGGAATACACCGACATCCGCGGTATTCAGACTGAGGGTTGCCAGCCGGATACCATCGTTGTTTAGAATGACTGAGATTCTCTTCAAGTTCGCCTTGACGCGGATTTTGTCCGGGTCCTCGGGTGGCGGCTCCTCAGCCTTTTTGTCGTGCTGTGCTTCCGGCTTCGCTTCAATTTGCTTCTGATTCTGTTCTGGCGGCGGCCCGGGGTTCGTGAATGTGATCATGACAAAGTCCAGCAACGTCAGTAGTGTTCTTCGTGTTACGATAAGATCGATTGTTGAGATCGACACATCGAGGTTTGTGGCAATGCCCTCGTACTTTGACGTGAATTCCGGGGAATCCCTGTTCACTTTTACAAACTTGAGCACGAAAAGATCTTTCTGAGAGCCGGAAGAGGAGTCCTCCTCAGACGAGATGATGTTCCTGAACTCAGGCGTAGGGTTCTCTTCAACATGGTCTTCCACGGCCAAGCTTTTCAGCCGCACTTCAGCCACCATGTCGAATGGCTCTTGGTAGAACTCTAGGTAGAACTTCTCCGCAATCAGCTCGACAAGGAGTTGATCTGGGTTCTTGCCATCCGCGTCCGATCGATAGAGCGAGCCTTGCAGCTTGTCGACAGTGAACTTGAACTCAAAGTTTCGCTGGCGTGGGTTGACTTCCGGCTCCTCCTTGTCCTCCGATGCTGGTTTGGGACTCTCCTTGGGTGAATCGTCGCCCTGGACTGATTCCTCTTCCATGACAAGCTCATGTTGCTGCCCAGATATTTGGAAAGACTTCGACCGGGGTCTGCCCAGCGCATCCTTGTCCGGGTCTCCCTTGTCCGATGGCTTGATGTTTGAGGGCCCTTTGGCGCCATCAGAGACTTCCTTGCTCTCTGCATCGTTGTCGAACTTGGGCACGGCCACATCGATCATCTTCATCAAACTCTTGTACTTCGCATCAGATATGGAAGCGTGGAGGACTGGTAGATGACCAGAAATTCTGAACTTCGTTAAATCGGCAGCTTTGGGAATGATGCAAGTCTCGACAGTGAAGTCCATGTTGATCCGGTCAATAAGGTGAAGGTCTTTCGACGTCGACGACTCTTCCAACTGTGCCCGGGTTTCGTCGATCGTTGTACCGATCAGGACTTGCGTAGAGCTCAGTTTCAGGCGAAACTTGTCGTACATGAGATTCTCCAGTTGCTTGAAGTCTTCCTCTGTATACTGCTGCTTCTGTTTCGATTGGATATCTCGCAGTGTCGTTTTGTCAATCAGCTCGCTGCTGACGCTCACGTGTCCAACATCCAGAATCAAGCAGATGGTGCTCTTCTCGGTGATAGAATCCGGTACAATGATCAGAGGAGCTTGCAGATCCAGCTGGGCATCGATGGTCTTGTGCTCCTCTAATGCGAACTCCAGACCTGCTCGTGTCTGTTTCCGAATGCCCTCTACTGTCGCTGAAGCTGTCTCCATCAACGCACCGATCGACTCCATATGCCGCTCGGGAGGCTTGAAGAACTTCGCTACTTCCACAACAAATTTCGGGTTATAGACGAACTCCATCCCCTTCAGCTTCATTGTGAGTGCAGTATCGGCTCTGCCATCGAGAGGGTTGTTCTCGAACGATAGCTGGAAGAAAGGTTCTTCCCCATCTTTTTCGTCCGCCTTCTCACCCTCTTTAGGCGTTCCGTCGTCGTTGAGTTCCTCAATGCGCTTTTCATCGGGCACCGGTGGTGCATCTTTGACAGTGATCATCTGTGGAAACAGACTGCCTTCCGTGGTGCCATCGTACAGTCTCATGCCTTCCAGGCTCATTTCCGCAAGCATAGAATCCGTTCGCTGCAACACTTTGGTGCTGAAGGAGTCGAACAACAAGCGCAGGATTTCTATCTTCTTGCCGTGAGGATCCCGCTTGAGGGTAAAGCTGCCAGTCCGCAGGTTCATCTCAACCTGCATCTTGACATACTCCTTCGGCATATCAACGGCTTCGGTAATGGTTTTCTTCTCGTCGAAGTCGATAGCATCATATAGCTCCTTGCGTTGCTGTTCAGTCATTTGGGTATCATCGGCCTGGTGCTCCTCTTCATGCGGTTGCTTCTTGCTTCCCCACCCAATCCAAGAGCCCCAGCCCTGCTTCTGTGGCTGCTTCTTGACACCCACGTTCTCCTTCCGCAACTGGTTGCGCGCTAGTGACCGCCAGAAGCGGAGGTCTTCGTAGGATAGCTTGTGCTCTAACGCATCCAACTCCTTGGCTTCCTCGGGTGTGAGCTTCTCATCCTTCTTTTTCTTCTTGAACAGATCAATGTAGCGTATGCGGTCGTCTCGTCGTTCTTTGAAGTATTCCCATGACCACTTCCTATTCCGTTCATGGATCTTGTCGAGGACGGCCTTGCCTGCAAAGTGCAGCCACGCCTGGGGATCTTCACTGGGTCTGTCCTTTGGCTTGATCTTTGCGAATTCTTGATGTCTGATGAAGTAGTGGAAGAGATCAATGAGCATGAGAGCATCCCGGTACTGATCCTCGTCGATGATAAAACCGAGTTCGTCGAACAACAGGCGCGCCTTCATTTTCGCCCTGTCGGTCTTGCCGGTCTTGTCCATCTCCAGGCCAGCCCTACCGCTGACGGGCTTGAGGATGAATTGATGCTCCGTGACGGCGGGACTATCGCCTCTAACTATCATTCCGCGCAGCTTCTCGATGAACTCGTTCCGTTCAATGCCTTGCTTGTCCGAACCGGACTCTCCTACACCAGTGCCCAGCAGGTTGGCGTCCGTGTCCCAGTACACGGCTAACGACCCGAGCGTAGCAAGCTTGTGCGTTGATTCCGAGGCGCTTTGGATGAACGTGGGCTTCCAGTTCTCGTCGGTGCTAACAGCGCTGAACTCTTCCAGCGTGAGGCCAAGAGCAAAGGGGTGGCCAGGATCCGAAATCGAGTCTTCGTATCGGATGTGGATGTTCTTAACGCTGACTTGCACATTGTCCACAATGGCTGTAACCAGACTTGCGGTAAAGCTCTGGTTCTTCTTCTGCTCCTCGGCGCTCATGCCTTCAGTGTTCCTCTCCTTGAGCAGCTCGGCGCTCTCCAGCTTCTCCATCTTGACAGCGTGTTGTCGGCGCTCTTCCTCGTCGGGATCGTACTGGGTGTCTTCTTTCGGCGCTGCCAATATGAAGACATCCTCGATGTTGACTTTGACAGGCTTGCCGCGTAGGTTCGACCACGGTATTGACAATGTGAGCTGCCCGAGATGGCCAGAGACAACGTTTAGAGGGAGGTGGAGCTGATCGAGAGCTTCTCTTCGAAGCTCAAGGTCTCGCAGCTTGACGTCTCCGCCCCATATGCCAACGTTGAGCTGCTTAGGATCGAAGTTCTGGACATACATGCCCAAGAACCGATTCAGCAGGTTGGCGACGAGTCCTTCGAGCATGGCGAGGGTGGGTGGCCGTTACCCAGGCCGGGCGTTATGGCGATGTAGCAGAAGTGTTAAAAGGTGTTTACAGCGGGTGTTGCTTCGTCAAGTCATGGGTGAAGCTCGAATGCAGCGCAGCGTTCGTTAAACAGCACGAAGGGGTATCATGAAACCTTAAGAAGCCACAAGAGAGGCGTGAAGTGATTGAGAAATCTCAGATGTGGCACGCCTGGCCCTCGATATGCTGCTTCCCTGATGTGGCAGGCCGCAACCGCCAAGGTTTGGATGACGTCCCCCACCTTTTGGCGGTGCGGGACGATCACGTGTGCCGAATACGTTGGTTTGACAGTGAACAGGTGACAGCTTGAAGGACGCACTTCTTGAAACCAAGAATGCAGCACACTACGGAGCTAGTCTATGCAAACACGGGCAAGGTGCCCCCTGATGGTCCCCGTGGGGGAGGCAGTCACGGTATCTTGGTGGAGATTTATACTTGTTGTACAGATACATTTACAGTGGGTATCTTAAAAGACCATGGCTCCGGTCAGCTTCTTCCTTTCGCACGCCCTGCTTCTCCCCCTAACCCCCCTCCGCCACCTCATCCGGATCCAAATGAAACGCCCTCCCAACCTTCTCCCCCACCGTCCTCCTGACCCAAACCTCCTCGCTATTCCTCCCCTGCCGAACCTTCTCCTCCTTCTCCCTATACCTCCCGCTGACCATCTCTGCCTTCTCCTCCTCGCTGTACGACTTCAGGCGCATGCAGAACCAGAAGTCCGACCACAGCGGCGCGCACGACCTGAGCTGGCCATGGCGATAGATGGCGTTGAACTGGCCGCCTAGCGACTGGCAGTAGAAGGCGCTGTCGAAGGCCGCGCGGCAGGACATTGTGGTCGGGTAGGAGGTCAGGTCGTCGTTTGAAGACTCCGCTTTGGGAGGCGGCTGAGAGCTTGTCGATGTAGATAGGGCTGTAGATGCGTTGGTGTGGGAAGGACCCGCTGCGTCTGCGCCGCCGCTGCTTTGCACGCCATGCTGCCTGCTACCGGGCGAGGCGAGTTCGGCGAGGAACGAGGACAGTTCTGCGTCGGCTTGTTCGTCGCGCGTGCGGGCCTGCTTGGGCATAGGGTCGCTGTCGTGTGAGTGTGGATGAGATGGTCCGTCCGCGATCTCGCGCGGGCTGGCTGGGGGCTGTGAGGCGGTTGGGAGAGGATCAGGCGTTGGGTCTGAGGGATGGAGGACGGGGGTTTGCGGGTCGGATTTCCACCACCAGCCCATGTTGTGTATAAATTGGGCTCCGCTGATGTGACTATGCCGATGGAGTTGCGAGGGAGGGCGATGTTCTGGAATGCTCAAGGGACGACGATCGTGCTCGAGTGCTGCTGGTGGAGTTTGGCGGTAGGTGATGGGCAAGACTTGCACGGCGCTCTTTTAGAATTCTAGAGGCGTGATGCTGGTAAGGGCTATAACGCTGCGCTTGATGGGGTCTCGTTCTTCCAAGGTTGCAACTGTCAGAGCTTTGGCATGTTGCACGTGATCACACTCAAAACTTTCACGGCAATCCCTAAAGCATCGTCAGACGAAGGCTGGTTGGCAGGTGCATCGTATCACAGTCGCAGTCAGATGGAGTGCAAAGTATTTTGAACAGATTGCTGCATTTTTCTATGCTGCATTAGGTGCAGTGCCAGAGAACCTTTTTCCTCCCTTCATGACATCGTGAGAAATTAGAACCGATGCTGACAGAACAAGCAAATCGCCGAAAGCCCCATTCCCTGAGTAAGCTCTATGACTTCAACTCCTGCACACAAAACTCTATGCTAAGCAAGAAAGTAAAGGGGATGACAATCCATTTAGTCAACCTCCTCGACGGTCGGGCCATCATCGTGACTGGCACCACCGGCCGGGCCGCCAGCACCTGGGAAGCCGCCTGGACCACCCATGCCGGGCATGCCACCGTCAGCACCGCCTGCACCCTGATAGAACTTCATCATGATGGGGTTGGCGACGCTCTCGAGCTCCTTCTGCTGAGACTCGTACTCGTCCTTGGTGGCGGTCTGGTTGTCGTCCAGCCATGAGACGGTCGAGGTGATGGCCGAGTTGAGCTTCTCCTTGTCGCCAGCATCGAGCTTCTCGTCGACCTTGGGGTCGTTGAGGGTGTTCCTGAGCGAGTAGGCGTAGGACTCAAGGGCGTTCTTCGCGCCGATACGGGCAGCCTCAGCCTCATCCTCAGCCTTGTACTTCTCAGCCTCGGACAACATCCGCTCGATCTCCTCCTTGGAGAGACGGCCCTTGTCGTTGGTGATGGTGATCTTGTTGGTCTTGCCAGTGCCCTTCTCGACGGCGGAGACGTTTATGATACCGTTGGCATCGACGTCGAAGGTGACCTCAATCTGGGGCACACCACGCGGCGCCGGTGGGATGCCAGTAAGCTCGAACTTGCCGAGAAGGTTGTTGTCCTTAGTGCGAGCACGCTCGCCCTCGAAGACTTGGATGAGCACACCGGGCTGGTTGTCGCTGAATGTGCTGAAGACTTCCGACTTCTTCGTGGGGATGGTGGTGTTGCGCTTGATGAGAGGAGTCATGACACCACCAGCGGTCTCGATACCGATAGACAGCGGCGCGACGTCGAGGAGCAGGATCTCATTGGTCGACTTGGAAGAGGTGTCACCTGAAAGGATGGCAGCCTGGACGGCAGCACCATATGCGACAGCCTCATCGGGGTTGATGGACTTGTTCGGCTCCTTGCCGTTGAAGAAATCGGAGACCATCTTCTGGATCTTGGGAATACGGGTGGAGCCTCCGACAAGGACGATCTCGTGAACGGACGACTTGTCAATTTTGGCATCACGGAGGACACGCTCGACGGGCTCCATAGTGGATCGGAAGAGATCCTGGCAGAGCTCCTCGAAGCGAGCACGGGTGATGGAGGTGTAGAAGTCGATGCCCTCGTAGAGCGAGTCGATCTCGATGGAGGTCTGTGCGGAGGAAGAAAGAGTGCGCTTGGCCCGCTCGCAAGCGGTTCGGAGACGGCGGAGAGCGCGGGCGTTGGAGGTGAGGTCCTTCTTATGTTTGCGCTTGAATTCGTTTACGAAGTGGTTGACAAGACGATTGTCGAAGTCCTCACCACCCAAGTGGGTGTCACCGGCAGTCGACTTGACCTCGAAGATACCCTCCTCAATGGTCAAAAGCGAGACATCGAAGGTGCCACCGCCCAAATCGAAGATGAGGACGTTGCGCTCACCCACTGTCTTCTTGTCGAGACCGTATGCAATGGCGGCAGCGGTAGGCTCGTTGATGATACGTAGGACGTTCAGGCCGGCGATGAGACCCGCATCCTTAGTGGCCTGGCGCTGGCTGTCGTTGAAGTAGGCCGGCACAGTGACAACGGCGTTGTTGACAGTGCCGCCGAGATATGACTCTGCGGTTTCCCTCATCTTGGTCAAGATCATGGCCGAGATCTCCTCTGGTGTGAAGGTCTTCTTCTCGCCCTTGAACTCAACCTCGACGACTGGCTTGCCACCCTTGTCGAGGACCTTGAAGGGGAAGTGCTTCATGTCGGCTTGTACCTCCGCGTCTGCGAACTTGCGGCCAATAAGTCGCTTTGCGTCGAAGACTGTGTTGGTGGGGTTCATGGCGACCTGGTTCTTCGCAGCATCGCCGATTAGACGCTCAGTGTCTGTGAAGGCGACGAAGGAGGGTGTGGTCCGGTTGCCCTGGTCGTTGGCAATGATCTCGATGCGGTCGTCTCGGAAGACACCCACGCACGAGTAGGTCGTGCCTAGATCGATACCGATTGCTGGTGCCATTGTGGTGTGAAAGGCTGTGTGTGGGTGTGGATATTAAGTGTTGTAATTGAGAAGGTGTAGCAGTTGGAGAGACGGGTATGAAACTCGAGCTTTGTGTGAGTTTATGTGAGTTTGTGGAATTGATTGTGGGAAGAGTCGGGCTTCGTGGGTGAATATAAAGCAGAAAACGCTCGAGCCTAGCGAAGTTTCTCCACGCTTCGGCAGCCTTCCATGTGCCTCAACCAGTCGAAAGCTTGACGTAGACACACCACGCCGCTTCTGGAACAATCAAGCTTTCGCAAGAAGCTGCTGGATCCAACGATTCCCTTTCCAGGCTGTTCTGTGTGTGTCTGCCGTCGCAAATTCGATGCGCCTGCGCTGGAGGGGCAGCCTTCTGAATGTTTCTGTGTTTCCAAAAATGATCCAAGAATGACGTCCAGCCCCGCCATGTGGCTAGGTGTGGCTTGCCACTTCGTCGCCTTGTCGCCTTGTGGAGAGTGTTCTATCCCACCTCCGCCTTCGAAGCTGCCGGTCGCTTCGAAGCAATACCGTGAGGGCTCGCGATCAACAAGTCCCTTCAGGTTTGCAAGTTCACAAATCATCCGAGTATGCCGTCTTGCCCTCTCGACAAGCATGAGATCACGTGTCATAGCTATGAAGGCGTTGGCCGTGGTGCCTGGGCACCCAGAAAGTCCGTTGCCGCATCTTGGCTGGTGGCTTGTTCACTACCAGATCCACAATCAAGCTGGGCCCATGATCATGTTGATTGTAGAGCAACGGGACCGATTGCATGCGATAGAAAGCATAAGCTGCTCACCGATGTAGCTATTTAGTGCATTGACCGCTTGAGTTGTCTTTGGTCTGTGAACTGCGCTTGCAGTTTGCCTCTTTCAGGGCTACGAGTAGCTTCCAATGCGGCAATGATCTTTCGGGGTGGCTTGTGGTAGTAAGAAGCCTTGTTGAGTACTTCAGTGATGGTCTCCTCTTGTGCTGCTCGACTGAAGATGCATGCGTAATGTTGAGATGTTTACTACGGAGCGTTCGATAGCAAGCAATAGAAGCAAGCAAGCACGATACAGCGTCTCCGTCTCCTCTACAGGATATACCTGAACCCAAAGGCCCTTGCATCGCGACCTTCCTGCAGATTCTGCATATTCCCCTCAGAGTCAAGCACCTCCTTCTCCGCCAGCCTCTTATTCGTCCGTATCAGGACCAAGCGAACAACAAAGGCTAATAGTGCCACCCAGATAGCGACGGCAGCTGTGGCGCTCCCACCAGGGATATAGCGAGGCCCGTGGCTCGACGGATACATGTAAGGCCCGTAGATGTTGGCGCAGTTGGCAATCATGTTCGCAATGGAGATGCAGGCCGACCGCTTGACTAGGGGCCGCGGGAAGCTGTTGGCGACCCAGGTGACTATGATCTGGTAGGCGGATACTGCGCCCATCTGGAGCTTGTCAGCATTGCTGCCGTTGTTGGAAGGAGGAAAGGGGGTTGCGGAGGTGGAGAAAAAAAGAGGAAAAGAGGAAAAGAAGGTAAGGAGGTGCTTACCGGCATGAGGAACATCGCGAAGAATCGCGCAGGGAGATTCGTCGTCGTGGTAGCGATGATATTCCCTACGAATGAGATAGACATCAAGCACATGATATGGATGCTCCTGTCACCAGTTCGTCCAGAAGTGTATGTAACGACCACCGAGACTAGGAAAGTGCCTATCCACACTGGGGCCGTAATGAGTAGAGTCTGAATCCGCCCGTATCCTAATTGTCTTATGATAGAGGGGAAGAAATATTGGAACGTCTGTGAGAGTATTGACGAGTGCTGAAGCAGGGTGAAGAGATAGAGGCGCGGATCACGCAAAGCGAGCTTGAGGCCTTCCCAAACGCTGGTCGCGGCGGAGATGTCGGCTTCGCCAGTGTCATCGATGAGGCGCCATTGTGCGTAGTGTCTGTCTTCTTCACTGAGCCACCGCGTGTTCAGCGGATAGTCTGGTAAATACCAGCCGGCGACGAAGGCGACGCCGATGGTGATTACACCTTCGATGATGAAGAGCCAACGCCTGACGATTATCAGCATCGGCATCCAACAATTGAACCACAGAATGCCTTAAATGCTTACCATCCGCTGATGCCGTGGGCACCTTCCAAATTCCCAAGCACACCTGCACCGAGGAGACCTCCAAAGGCGTTGGCAAGGGAACTTCCAGCATAGAAAAACGCGATCCGGACCGCGAGTTCCGAGCGAGTATACCAGGATGACATAATCATAATGGCGCCTAACATGCTGTCAGTAATTCCAAGTATCGAGTATCGCGAGAGCATCGGCAGCACGTGTCGTACCTGGGAAGAACGGGGCTTCTGCAAACCCGAGCAAGAAGCGACATGCTATAAGAGCGGGAAAGCTCTGTACCGCTGCTTGCGCGGCAGAAATGGTGCCCCTAACTGATGTCAGATGTTTTTCGATGCCACTCCAGAAGGCCATTTAGTTACCAGATCATCATCACGACTCCGAGGTATATGGATGGCCTGACTCGGGTGATGATCAGGTTGGACGGCAATTGCATCAAGAGATATCCGACAAAAAGGATGCTTGTTGCAAGATTGAAGTCCGTGCCGGTCATTCCAAGGTCTTCTTCCAGCGTCCCGAGTCGCGCTTGCGCGAGGTTGTCTGGTCTTCCCGTCAGTTTTTATGGTCACATCTGCCTGCGCCGCACTCAGGGTGAACTTACTCCTGTCCAGAAAATTTAACAGATACATCATGATCAGCAGCGGCAGCAGGTGCCAATCGACCTGCCTCAGCAGCTCCTTCGTCTTCGTCTGGTGGTATGCCGCATCTCTGCTTGCAAATTCGGCGAAGATGGCCTGCTGGATATCTGCGCTTCCCCTTCGCCTCGAGATTGAGTGAGATCTTCGCTCCTCGTCAGAGACAACCTTCTCTGCGAGAGTCTTGCCGTCGCGTTCTTTGGTAAAAGCCATGACTTCAACCAGCACAAGCCCAGATCAGATAGCAGCCGCAGAGAGCGAGATGAAGAGCCCTACAACGATAAAGGTCGCCATCTCCGTCGGCGAACCTCCCTTATGACCTCCTGCACTCCTCGGCGCGGAAAGAAGTCCTCACCTACCAACGCGCCCGTTGGACGCCCGCGTGCTCGCATGTGGCAATCCGGGGTTGGCGCTGCAGAGAAGACGTGGGAATTACAGGGATCCTCGCTGGATTTTCCACCGAGTTGCCGGGAGGGCGAAGAGCCGAAAGTGGTAGGATCGACGTCTTACGGGTTCTGCATGCAGAAGCTTTTCCGCTCTGTAGTACTCACATGTCTTGGCGTGGAAAAGTGCCATTTTACAAAGGCATGTTGCAACGGTCGACGTTGGTCAAGCTGAAGGCGCCGTGGAGTAGAGAGATGTGCTTCATCCGGCAAACACTTGATTTTCATACGAAATTGAGACTTTGACAGGGACGTTTGGAATGCATCGAGAATTCTTTAGACGTGGCTGGGGTCTTCGACCCGATACACTCCAGGGTAACGTAAAGGACACCCACGCCCTAGCCTTACCAGCAGCGCCTACAGTCTCGAGGCGGTATACAGCATACAACCGAGCGGTATCAGGGACATAGTATCATAAAATCAACGGAAACCTGCTAAGAACTTAGGTGACCATGGAAGACCTTCTCCCGGCCACAATGAAGGCTTGCTTCACGTTCTTGGCAGTAATTGAGTTGTTGTGGAGGGATGGGAAATATCCAGAACCGAGAAGATGACGGCTTGCGAAGGTTGGTGTGATGATCTGCACGTGACTATCACATGACCATGATTGCAAGAACCTTGGGCAGGAAATGCAGCGGATGAGGACTGATGATGAAAGTCATCACTCTGGCGCTTGAAGTAGCTAACGTTACCGGCGAGACTTGCATGCTGCCCCAGCCATGCTGAGAACACACGAACACCGGATTCTACGTTCTCGGTGATAAGAATTACAAACGAAGGAGATATTCTAAAGGCACATATAAAGCTCTGCACTAGACACATCCTTTTAAGATGTTGTCTTGTCCTTACTCAACTTCAAAAACAGCACGCTCAAGCCGACGCAGCCTCCGGCGTTCCAGCACCTAGTTCAGTGGCGCGCAACGCCTACAAAACTGAAAGACCAGTTGTTGTTCACTCCCAAGACCGTTACAGGTATATATCCTAGAGCCAGATGGACAAGCAGCAAGAAAGTCAAAAACATACAGCAGTAGGTATTCGCTAGTGGTCACCCACCTACCGATGGGATATCTGCGCGCGGTTGTAAGGTTTCCTTTCCTACTCTAGCGGGTAAGCGTCGCCGCCCTATGCTCGCGCGAGGGTAGTATCACTGCAGATCGGCAGATTACTCTTCGAGCCTGCAATTGTTTAGTGTGTATTATTCTTTTGCCATAATCTTCACCGTGGCAGGGGACGGCACTGCCACAACTCATCATGAAAGCAGAGCGTCTTTGCTCTTTCCCGGAAGATTCTCGCCATGACTTGTCCAAACGTCTGCGCTAGCGAGCCGTTGCAGCACTTCCCCACAGCGAAACTGTATGCTGATCTTGCCAAGTACAAGGCGCATACTTATCCGCTCGTGGTAATATGACCAGTGACAGGCCATCTGCACTATGCCGAGGCTTGCTACGTGTGAATGAGGGAAAGCTGGATGAACCGCGGGGTTTCAACTCAGGCGTCCAGCTCCAACAAAATCCAACAACCGATCAACGCAGTATGCTTAACCCTATGCTGGACATAAGTTCCCTATCGCAATCCTCGCTTCGCAATGAGTAGCTCTTTTCCGCACATCATTGCCTCGTCTACTTTCTGTATTGTGCTAATATCCTTACGCTGCGGATACCGTCTCCTTAGTAGATGTAAAATCCACATCTCGTGTCACCGGACATGGCATCAAGACGATGCCTGGATGGCCTTTGCTGTTTTACCTCTCACTGGCCGAAGCATATCTATAGGATTATCAAGACAGCTTAACAGGGTCGACGCACCGCTAGGTGACCTAGTTCTTAGTAGGAAGTTGTTAATACCTTCGCGTATCTGCTTTGCGCTTTTGTGCGTATTTAATAGAAGGGAGACTGCGTGATCTAAGTAACTAACCGCTCTTCTAGCGAGTGGTGTTTAAAACTTTGTCTTCTCAACTTCTACTCCCGATTGACGCTGTCCCCTTGGTATACTCGAGCTCTCAGAGCGATGTGGTGGTGCATTATCCTTACATTCATCGCCATCATTTTAACAACGCTCCTAGAGTGCAGACCATTCTCACAGTAAGAAGCATCGAATATGCCCTACTATTTATGGAGTGGAGCGGACTGACACCGACACTGAGATATTGGCAATCCGAAACACTTGATGAGCGTACGTATTCAATACTGCGCTGTTGTTCACAGGTCCCGAGAAACCGGCTTATTAGAGATAGCTCCATGTCGCAAGGCAGTAGCGAATCTGTTGACAATGGCAATCGCGAACATCGCTACTGATGTGGGCCTAATTCTGCTTCCTGTTCCAGTTGTCTGGAAGACAACAACCTCTTTATCAATGTATGAGCATGTGCGAAAAACGGTGAATCGAAATCTCACTAACTGGTCCGGTGCAATGTAGGAAGATCCAACTAGTGCCTTTGTTCTGTGTAGGGATATTCGTCATCGCAGTGACTATAACCCGCGTGCCGCTTATCCTTGCTAATGATCTCCTTCAGGAGCGCCGCTCACTTGTACGTTTACCGCCGCCTTGTCTGTAGGGTTAGCTGAATGCTAATGAAAATCTATCAGTGGACGTCTGTGGAGATCGCTACTGCCTGTGCTGTTGCAAACGTTGCATTCTACTATACACTCCTTAAAGACCTCCGTAGAGGCCACTCGAACGCTAGAAGTCAAATGGCTCCAGAATCACGCCACAGTACTCCTCTATCCCGGATACGGAGTCAGCCGATAGAAGTAAGGTTCTATGCAGAAACAGATCTCACGAGGGCGAATTCAATTTAAGAAAGTGGGGTACAAGCGAGCGAGATACATAGCACATAAAGGGCGCATATCGTCGATAGCCAAGCAGCATTATGGCTTGTCTTCCGTGCAAAGTGCATGAGCGTGGACTTTTGGGATGACGAAGCCGTCCAGTCGGGAAGTTGATCACAATATTCCGGGGTTGGCAGACCCGGAGATCCTTTCCGTGCGGAGGCCTAAGAGAAGTCGCTTAGTCCACACACAACTGTATGATCAGAAGGCAGAGAAAAGGAGCGGGTGCATGCGTGCAAGACGCAGAAGACATTGGTAGACATTTCAGCCACCAGGAGCGAGAGGTAGCGGAGGCAGGGCCACCCTCAGTGTCGCTCAATAATGGCTTTTATACTGTCCGGCTGAGAGAGGTCGATCTGGCGTACCTTCTTGGTTACCGCCGTCGCTTTCCGTCGCGGAGGATACCGAATACTGTACCACTATTCTTTCGAAGTTCGCGGAGCTCCTGGATATGGTCGTCGAGTAAATGAGTAAAACTAAGCCATAGGCAATGGCTAGCTTACCTCATGATGGTGTTGGAATAATAGGAATGACGCCGGCATGTTAGCAGGACAATGCAGGTGGCTAGTGCATGTACACATGTGCAATAGACGCCCATATCCTTCTGTAGAGTGAGTTGAACCTTATCATCTCCAATTTCATCAGATGGCGGGAGTAGCGAAGAATGAGTAGAAAATTTCGCAATTGATATCAACGGTATCGACATCTGTGTATTATTCATTATAATCCTAGAATAAGAACGCCGATCCACGGAGACCAACTAATCTTTCGAGCTGAATCAACACTCCTGCCTACTGTTTATATGGGCAGAATGCAAACCAAGGCTATGCAATCACCAGCGTGTAGCGGCTCCCGCTGGTTTCCAATCAGCTGGTATGCAGTTTGATGTCTCCTGCGCACGCACAGCCAGAATTTAGAGTAGTTTCTGTCGACAGGAGGCGTGTGCAGGCCTATCACGTGATAGGATTGAATGAGACGGAAGTTGTATCAAGACTGTTTCATCTCTTTTGTACTGCACAGGAACATATAGTCCACAGTCCTTACCGTTTAGATAGGAGAAAAGGGAAGCAATCATTCTTTACAAATCTGAATACTCCAGCTTCCAACAGTTTCGGAAGAAGGCCCGGCACGTGGTTATGCAACCCCAAACAAAGGTAAGAAGAGGGAGACATAACTTCGGGGACACCTTTTGGATGACAAGATTACTTGGTAGTTCACTACCAGGTATGTCAACAAGTGGCGGCAGGCAGATATGAGCATTAACCTGACCTAGCAATGTATGTAGCGTAAAACACAGCTAGACCAGTGTTATACTGGTGATCCTTAATGCCGAAGTCGCTTTGTAGGTAGAGAATCTCGCATTACCTAGGTTTGTGTGGTCGAGAAAGAAGTAGAGGAACAGGAGAGCAAGCACTGGAAGCACCCTGATCCATCGACTTGGTCAACTCGTGCACCACGTAAACCCTTCAGTGCAAAATTACCGAGTATCGACCTTCAAGAGGTTCACCGGCGTGGGCTTCTGATCCTCCTTGGAGCTTCCATCGAGAGTTTGTTGGACCACGTCGACATGTTCGATATTTTCATGGGCTATTGTCTTTGTATAGTCCATGTCGGGAGCTATTATCGGGGGAAGATTGCGAGTTAAGATCTGGCACGTGATCTGGCTGTCCCAACAGAAGGTTTCATAAAAGTCCCTGCACCAAGGACAAGGACCCCAGTCGTCTTTTGAACCAGCCATTTGCTGAGTCTTCTAACATACGCAGTTTCAAAGGGATCGGGGTAGATTGCGGAGAGAGCGAATGCCGTCGGCGTCCAGTTTATGTCCGAGCTGGGGGGACTGCGGGGCAGCCCCTTCGCTGCGGCCATCGAGTCTCCTGGCAACCTTGCAAATGTCAAGCCAATTGCTTCCGCAGAAAATCGGGCTTTTCCCGAGCACCGCATCTGTTAACGTGAACCTATTCCAAGGTTCCGCGAGTCCTGCTTTGCATCGGACAGGGAGCCGACAAAGGCTCTATTTCTGGCTCCGGAGGGAAGCTCATGGCCGTCAGTCGCATTTCGCTTTGAGAAGAACCGCATGTAATCATTAATGGCATCGTGATGCCTCTCTTTGTGCGCTGGGACAGCAAGACTAAGGACCGTCCTGCCATTGCCATGTCGAAACTCTCCGCTCCCCTCAAAGCGTTGATAAACACGCCCGCTGCCCGGCCAGGAACAACGCCTGCGCCGCGACATATCAAGGCCGCCTACGAGAAAATCGAACGCGAGGCAGCATCGAATAACGTGGGACGGCCAGCATGGCTGGCCTTGTCGGTATGTGAACCAATATGCGAGCGGACACGATGATCGTATGGAGTCTGACCGAAACGTCATTCGTCCAGACTGCTGCAACAATGACCATGAACTCTCCGGAATCCCTAGCGGCACTGTATCAGGTAGCTACGAAAGTTCAGGAGTCCACTCAGGGCGTCGCTACAGCCGAATTGATGCGAGAAGTCGGTCTGAAATGTATCAGCTTCAACGGAGTATACACGCCCTCTGTGCCCTCAGGACTTCCTACCTCCCACTAACAGGCCTTCCAACCTTCCAGATTCCACGCACAATAAACTGCCTCGGAGCCTTCCGCGGCACTCTCCCTCCCTCCATCGCTTCCTCCCTTTCCAGAAACCCTTCCCGAATCCCCAACCCCCAAAACATCACCACCATCCGGGACCGCGGCCGATCCCTCTGGAACTCAATATACCGGCCCTACGAATCCAAGCTCGTTGACAAACTCTCCGAATCGCACCCGGACCTCCCCGTCCACATCCTCAACAGCCATTACGGCGCGCTGCTCGCAGATCCCGTGGACCGCCCAGGCGGCGCGAAAGTGGGCCGCGTGCTCTCGTCCGTGGTGGCGGTTGCATGTCTGCGTGCGCAGACGGGAGTGGGGCCGCAGGTAACGTCACATCTGTTTGGGCTGAGGAAAGCGGTGGAGGATGGAAGCTGGGTGGATGATGAGGCCGGACCGGAGCAGGGGGTCAGGTGGTTGGCGAGTGATGAAGGGAATGTGTGGATATTGGAGAAGGTGGATGGGATTGTGGAGGCTATTGGCGGTGGGAAGGGGTCGTCGTATGCGCCGGCGCGGGAGTCGAAGCTTTAGTCGAAGCTGTAGATGCTGCTTGGCCGCTGGATGCTCGCAGGTCTTTTGTTGCAATAAGGATCAAATTTTTTGCATGATCGCCTCGGCCTGCTGGATAGAGTTCTTATACTTGTACATAATGCGCCCATATTGTGCACTCTTCATTTTTTGGAGAAGAGTTGGTTGGACAATATTGTCAATACCTTGCAAGGATTGGATAGCCGCCGTGGTGTCCCTCCTCACAGTAGCGCTAGAGTAGACGCACAGCATCCGTCGCGAACACCTTCTTATGACACTAAAAGGACGTTATATATTCTAACAACGTGATGCTTCATGGCCTACTCCATTGATCTCACACCTTCTGCAACTGAGAGCTTGGCTCCCGTTTTTCCTTCCACTTCCTCAACAGTAACACCAGGTGCCAACTCGGTAAGCGTCAATCCGCCTTTGTCCCGATCCACCTCAAAGACACACTATTGATTGTCAGCAAACCAAATCTATGGGCGTCGCATTGCTCAAGGGAGATGCTCACAAGATCGGTGATGATTGTACTGACGCATCGCGCGCCAGTAAGCGGTAAACTGCACCTCTCTACAACCTTCGGCGAGCCATCCTTAGCAACATGGTCGGTAGCAACAACAATCTTAGTCTCGTCTGGATTTGAAATAAGATCCATAGCACCGCCCATCCCCTTAAAGACCTTGCCCGGAATCATGTAGTTGGCCAAATCACCCTGCGCGCTGACTTGCAACGCTCCAAGGATAGATACGTCCACATGTCCACCTCTAATCATTCCAAAGGACTCAGAGCTGTCAAAGGTTGACGCGCCAGGCACGAGAGTGACGGTTTCCTTCCCAGCGTTGACGATATCTGCATCGACTTCTTGTTCCGTAGGATACGGTCCCATGCCGAGGATACCGTTTTCGGATTGAATCCACACCTTTGTTTCCTTGGGCAGGTGTGCAGCGGCGAGCGTAGGCATTCCAACTCCGAGATTGACGTAGTACCCTTGTTTGAGCTCTTTCGCAGCTCTCTTCGCAATGCGGTTTCGTCGAACTATAGCCGCGTCCGTCATCGATTCGAAATCCTCCTCCTCATCAGGTTTTCGAGTTTTCATGACCTCGATCTTTTTCTCTTCGGTGGAGTGAACGATCCTGTCAATGAAAATTCCCGGCAAATGAACGTCGTTGGCATTTATTGAACCAACTGGCACAATATTCTCAGCCTCAACAATGGTAAGCCGTGCTGCCTTGGCCATTATCTGGCCGAACGCTTTCGTAGTGTACCTATTGACAAATCCAATGAGTGGTAGGCCCTTGTCGGTAGTGCTGCTCAGGCTTACCTGAATTGGCAGTTTCCCGCTTCATCAACTCTCCATGCCCGTAGAACTGCCACGTCGCCCGTCAGAGCGGTTTCCATCAAGTATGTTTTGCCGTTGAAGATTTTCGCCTCCCGAGGCGTGCCGTGTTCAAGCACCTTGCCGGAAGGATCCAGCCGAACAGGAATATCACCATCTTGCAACAGAGTATGAGCTCCAGTAGGAGTAAAAAAGGCCGGAATTCCTGCACCTCCTGCTCTTATTCGTTCTGCCAGCGTTCCTTGTGGGCAAAGTTCGATAGCGATGTTTCCGGTTAGGTACTTCTTTTCTAATTCTTTGTTGTTTCCCAGAAATGAGATGATCAGGCGGTTCACCTGCCCAGCGTGAGTAAGCGTCGATAGCCCACCCTTTCCAGCTGCGCCGGCATTGTTTGAGACCGCCGTCAGCGAATGTAGGTTCTCGACCCCTCTGCGGGCAATTGCGGAGATGAGTGTATCTGAAGGACCGGATCAGAGGATGCAATGGTCAGAATCTGGCAACACAGGTTTCTTTACCTGCGACCCCACACAGCCCGAAGCCGGAGCTTAGTATTGTCGAACCACTTTTGAGATCCGCAACGGCCTCATCAGCACTGCTGAATAACTTCGAAGCTTGGCGCTCGATCTTCGGTGGAGGCGTCACTTTCTTTTCGATGTATGCGGTAGTGAAGGCATGCGAGTTACGGATACTGGACGGTCTGATCGGACATTTTGTTGATCTGCGCTGCAATGCGATCTTTGTTCGAGGGCGGAGGGGCGCAATGACAGCGCGTGCTAAGCACAATGTCGGCCCACCATATGAGGCCATCTTAGCGAAAATAAATCTTACAGAGAAATGAAGACTCCAAGAAGCACAGAGAAGTTAAATGTTTCTGAAGCTACAAAACTATGAAGTTCTGGATGCGTTCGCATATTCGCGTTGCCGGATCGGCGACTTCCCAGTGATGCAGCGTCACGGAGCCAGAAGTGTATCCGACGCATATTCCCCGCAAGGGTCAGTAGTTGTATACACGCCTCAAAAGAGCCTATCCCACAGGTAAGCCCGGAACTATCACTGCCGCAGGGTAAGCTCTGGGCATGCCGGCGGAGATGGAATCTCGCGTGGTGTGCTCCATGTTTCGGTGATACTTCTATAACCGACCGTCCGTCCGCCGACAACTCGTCGCAATTGATTCTACTAATTGTTAAGAAGAGAGTCGAGAGTTGATCAGAGATGGCAGTGTTGAATCGGTGACTCTCACCCGCTGCCGATCACGCACTGGGCATGGCAAAGAAGGTCAAGGCTGAGCAGCCGTTCTGGCTTGGGTATGTTCCGCGTACAAACAGAACAGTGTGTATAGAGCTCATATTCTTGACTGCAGCGGCGCGGCGTCGTCCATGGCCGCGTGCTTCAGTACGTTTGATCGAAGATTAGCCGCAGTCCGTCTATTCCACTGACTTTGTCCTCCCACAGCGCACCCGTTAGATCAGACGAAATAGTATACACCTCAGTCTCCTTCAACCTGGTAATGAGTAATAAAAGTTTGTGTTGAACCAGCCGCATGCAAATCCAATCAATCAAACTTCCGTTACTGAGAACACTCTACTCTTTCGTGATCCGAGACGGTATTCAGTCTGGCCCAGTCCTCGCAATTTCCGAAGATGATCTTATACAGCGCAGGACTTTTCTCGTTATGGTCGGGTTTATCGGCCTCAATCCTTCGACAATCGGTATACTCAACCACCCGATTTGGGTTATACAATCTCTTCGCTCGCAAGATCCAACAGTTGTCAGGTACGAACAAGTTGGCGGCGTCATCCACGATCGCGTGCGCTGGGCTGGCTGGTGGCGTGGCAGGGCTCCTGGGAAATCCAACAGAAGTAATGACGCCCCTTCTGCTTAAGTAACCTCCAGCTTCTGATTCCGCTAGGTTGTACTCGTCAGGATGTGCACCGATGGAGCGAAACAACCAGCAGAAAGATTTGCTTATACCAATGCCATAAATGGCTTGATGAGGATAGCTAGAGAAGATGGAATCCGAACTTTCAGTAGAGGGTTGGTTCCGAATGTGGGCCGTAGTGTGCTTATGAGTAAGCTCCATCTGCTGTTATTTGAGTAAAAGCGACGAACTTTAGGTCTAACGTTCCGAAGACGTTTCGCAGATAGCCACGTAAATCCACCTTTCGCCAGTCTTCAGTCTGGACAATTTATGACTTATCCCGAAATGATGACAGATATACCGGAGCCAAAACCCAACTCCTTTCGGCTAAGCAGCTGAACCTCAAGGACGACGTTTTCACACATATCCTTTCTTCCCTCGCAGCGGGAACCGTAGCAACGACCGTTTGTGCGCCTGCGGACGTGCTCAAGAGTAGAATCCAGAGTGCTTCAAGCGTGGATGGAAAGCGTCAGGTGAGTGAATTGAGAAGCGAAGATCTCTCTGTTCTCCAAGGCGTATCGCTGACTGGACAGACCATCTCACAATCTCTAATAGAGCCGTTGAAGCGTGAAGGCGTCAGGTTCTTGATGAAAGGATGGACGGCGGCTTGGCTGAGACTCACGTAAGTCTATTGACATGAGCAGAGCCGTGTAGTATGGTGTATTGACGGATGAACACAGGCCGAACACCATTCTGATGTTTGTTTTCATGGAGAAGTTGCAGAATCTTTTCACGCCAATCAAGCTCGTTTGAATCGCAATACAGTAGGTGTTCTGCTTGATGTTACGGTCGAATTCCAGATCGGGGGTATCTTCCTGGATGGCCTTGGATCTTGTTGACTACGGGAATGCTTTTGCCTAGATTTGCTTACTTTAAACGCGCTGATGGTCATTCATATGTATCAGTTATTTATACGTGAATCTTTATGACTTTCGAAGGATGAAGATACCAAGCGCAGGCGCCCGTTTTTGGCACACTGGCCTTACAGGAACTGTGATACTAGAAGCCAAGCTTGGGATTGCCCCATTCAAACCAGTCCAAACCAGTCATTTCGTCCAAATTGATGTCTGATATTGGCATGTCCCACGTAGTACCAGCTCTGTTTACTGCTTCGACTATCTGATTGTCCGACATTGCGGAAAAGTGTAATGACTCCGACAAGAAATCTGAAGCGGGATACTCAGTCTGATTTGCTAGATTGTTGGCAGGCATCAGTGACGTATAGCCCTCCACGATCGGAGCAGTAGGGTCCGCGGTAGATTCTACATTTCGAAGCGTGCTAGTGTGAGCTTGAGTTGGAGGGAGTCCAGGAGTACGCCTGACGAGCTCCCGTAGATATCTCCCATATAGCACGGAAGCGCCGTTTCTATGGCTTGGCGTAGCTCCGATCCGCTCAAGGACGTCGCCCGTCTCCTCAATAAGATTCCTGACACTCGGTGTCGCTCCACTTAAGCTGAGTGAGAAGCATGCTGCAAAAGATATCATAATGGCGGTATTGTTCGGCATCGACCTGAGCCTTGTCTCGCCCTGTATGGCCGCTCGCATGACGTTCAGTGCGGATGACAGTCCAGCGGCGCGGAAGAACCGCTTGACTTCGAGAGGAGCTGTTGGATGATTGATGAGTCCACTGTAGGTTGAGAGCCGTGTATGAATGACGAGTATCTCGACGTAGGGCGGTAAGATTCGCTCTGTAGCCGAGAGTCAATATTTCCTGTTCTCGTAAACCAACTAACTGCGGATCCTAAGAGACAGTCTACCAGCTCCTGCTAGCAATCGCTTTGGTCTAAGACAATACATCGCGGAAGAAAGACCACAAGGAACTTAGCAGCACGCGGGAGGATAATCGTCGGCTAAGCAACTGGACTTACGCTCTCCTTCTCCGATGGTAAAGGCCCAAGTGGCATACCATCGATCGTAAAACCGGTCAATAGTAGTTTTGATCCTTGGAGGTCGTCAGTTGACATGAATGCCAGCAAGCTAGGGCGCAATCCATACGACTGAGCGACCGAAGAACCGACATCGATTACACGGTGGCTGTCACAGCTCGACCTGACACTTTTAAGCAAGTCATCCTGTTACGAACTGTAAGAGAAAGTTTATCAAAACATGTCCGCTTTTTAGAAACTTACAAGATCTCGTCTCAACACGGCCATAGAGGCGATAGAACCGTCACGGGAATCGGCAATATCGGATACGTGCCAGTTGTCGCAATTCTCCAGAAGAGGAGTTACGGGGACGGTGTAGCTCCTTCCTCGTGCTAAACAGACGCTTAAGTATAAGATTAGCCCTAGCCTGAAGTGAAAATCAGCAGGAATGTGTCCCCACGATCTACTAGCCTGCTGGCCATGGATGATCGTTGGAGTGGCTGAGGGGCCAGCTCTTGCTAGAGGTACGAGATGGGCTTACCCCCTCTCAAGAACGAACAGTGAGATCCAAGCTCTTTCTCTTCGTCGCAGCAATCTTCGGCCCCACTCCGAAGCTGGATTGACATCACCAAAACCATCCATATAGAGTGCTTTTTTCCCGTCAATACAATCGGCTCTCGCAAGGTGTTTGAAAAGACTGTTGTCGAAGCCAGACGAAGGCACCACGATCTTGTTCAAGGACAGGTCCAGAGCAACCGACAGCGCCATCGCCATATACAAACACGTGTCGTCATCGGCAGAGTGCTCTCCTGGCGGCATCCACGGTACATTGAGCATGAATGCTAGTACAATCTCTACTGATCGGTTCCGATTTGATATGACACGGCGCGCAAGCAGGGTGCGGTGTGTGGACAGCCTTTTGCATATGGCTGCGGCTGATGGCAGAAAGAGCGCCGAAGCGGCGAGAAGTGAGGTAAAGAGGAAGGCGGATTGAGCACGGACAAACTGAAGGTTATGAACTAGTGGATCAAGGCCCCAGCGAGTGTGAGAAAGGTTCTGGTAGAAACTGAAATGTGAGAAGTGAGCGCAATGCTCCCAATTAATACCGTTGCGTATCATACAATGTAAAGAGCGTATTAGCCTCATCAAGCGTGACCAAGCCAATGTCGATAGGGTCAATGTCTTGGCTAACATATTTACCAACGTCTGGATTTGCTCTAACGGGGACAAAGAACCAACGGATATTTGATTGGTTGCGTATATCGGTCGTAAGGCCCGTCATAGGTTGCGATAAAGGTGATAGAGATTTTTGCTCGTTTGATAACGATGGCTGCGACAATCGTAGGTCTGACGAACTAGCTAGTAACTGCAAAGGGTTCTCAGCATCATCTAGCGGGGAATTGTCACCCGAATTGGGCTGCGGCAGTGAGTCCAGGTTGCTTGAGGGCGTACGATCCTCGGAGAACGCATCCATTCGATTCTTGGATAGGTGGTTTTGAACCTCAGTAAGCGAACTCTGCAGGTCCAAGAGCGCTTTTCCATCATTTGACTCTGGCACGCCAGACTTCGACTTTTTGATCGCTTGCTCTATTTGGTACAGCGCCTTATCAAGTCCCGTCCGCTTGCTTTGTAATACTGCTGTCAGAGGTGAAGAGCAAAGAGAGAATCCCCATCACTTACTTCTTTATGCCCTTCTGCCTACCAATGTGGTAATCCGGGATGACACATTCGGTTCCCGCTTGCTGGCATTTTTCACAGCACAAGTCGTTTGCATTTCGTATGCATCCAATTTTACTTCGCCTACAGTTCAAACAAGCTGCCTTCTTGGAGTGAGAGCCCCTGACTTCCGTATCCTGTTGCGCCAAGTTGGAGTCCATTGAGTCATTCGCTGTGAGAGGCTATATCCAGACGTTCTTTCCCAGGCCTACTCTCAGGTCCACGCTCCTACTCTCGGGTCTACGCTAATCTGCGGAAACGATGTCCAGATGGCCAGTTACAGCCCTGAGCGATCGAAACCTAACTGCGAGTTTAGATCAGGGAGGCTCGCGCGGCAGAAGAGAGATGCACAGGACTGGTGGTTGAATGATTCACGGAACAAACCCCCAACCGACCCCGCAAACCACGGGACCGATGGTCCCTTGCAGATCCAACTCTGCTGCAGGCCCCACGAACGCCATCGCTTTCTAGAATGCATGCACGCTCGAGAATATATTCATTACCGTGATGCATCTACTATACTAGACTCGGTACTTCTACTAAAAGCCGTCCAATTAAAGCGATGCTGAAACGGCTCCGCACATCTCGTAGTATAGTGTATTTTACCTTATATAATATACGCCCTTGCCGGAATAAAGAACTCTAGGCTGAGTTAACCCTTCGCGAAAACCGGGCTTTTGCTGCTAATATTCTTGGATAATGCTTAGCTATTAGCATATCTAGTCGTTCGACCGTCTGCTACCACAGCTACATAGAAATTAACGGAATCTATAGTGGCGAGCAGAATCGGTTTCCGGTTCTGTACTCCGTACTTCGACTTGTTTCTCGTAGCACGATTCTCTTAATAGGGATATCGTTCACCTTGGGTATAGCGCGCTGTATAGGTAGCTCTGTAATCAATCTTGGTTTCTACATACTGCTCTTTTTATTTAACTCAGCACGCGGGAGACAGGGAAAAAGTCCGGGGCCTTGTTGAGGCATACCTAGGTAAGAAACTTTCGCCTGCTGCCTGTTCATTGCTGCCTGTCGCGAACGTAAAATAAGCAATATTAACCGTATCACGTGAGGGTGCTGATCTAAGCTGACAGATGTCAAATAATGGGGATCAAAGTTACTGAATTCCGTGCGCCTAGAATCTGGGCACCCAGCTATCAACTTCAACCACAGCCATGGAGCCTCCCAGCAAGCGCGCGAGGTTGAAAAAGACAGAGGCCGATACTAATCGACGCACTCGACTCTTTAGTGCATCTGATGAGACGTTCCCGGCTACGTTCCCGCGCCAAATCTACAAGAGAGAGGATATCGACGTCGCACCGGTCACGGGTCGGAAACGGCTGCAACAGCGCGAGGAGATGGGCGATGCAGCTTATCGAAGGACACGGCCCCAGAGTGCAGCACTTGGAATCGACGACATCACCCCTATTATCTACAACCCAGTGCTAGCGCTTCCGGCCATGCCAGTCCTTGTGTCAAATTCAGAGAGTCCGATTGCATCGGTTGATACAAGCCTGAGGTTACGGCAGCCGATCGGACTTTGTGATTGCTGTACTGCGCTGGAACTATCCTTCAATGCTCTCCGTCCGCAGCCAAATGGTGACAAGGAGGTCTATAATCCAGCTGATGAGTACGCCAGGGAGAGCAGTTTCGAATATGCACTCTCACGAGTGAGCAGCTTCGATTTTGTAGTCACATGCCGGACCAACATCGGAAGACTCACCGAAAACAAGCACTGTACTCTGTGCCAACATATATTGCGGTTGCTTCATGCCTGGTCATCTGACTGGCCACAGGAAAACCCAGGAAACGAGTTTGACGATAAACTGCAGGACAAAGCAACGTGGGTAATATTTGGTATCCCGAAGTACAGCTGCGATCGTTTTCGGACAATGAGAATCACACAGCCCAAATTCATCGATCTTTTACCCGCTCCGGCCACTGTCAATTCTCCTGAAAGCGGTACTTTCGTTGCCCGAATCATTGGCGAAGCATTGGAGCCCAAACTTATCAATGAATGGGTTCATGGGTGCCAAAATTTGCATGTTGGAACATGTCCACCGATCAGCACACACACTTTCGACTTTCCTTTCTGGGCTATCGACGTGGTGGACATGAGGCTTTGCACTATCCCAGATGACGCCTTGTATATTGCTTTGAGCTACGTATGGGGCCCAGTAGAAGCATCGGTTACGACGAAAGACAATCTTAGCAGCCGGCAGCAAATCGGAGGACTGCATTCCACTATCAAGGTGGCTGCCCAGGTCATCAAGGACTCCGTCGCATTGGTGAGAGGAATGGGTCATCGCTATCTTTGGATCGATCAACTATGTGTTATCCGGGGTGAAGACGATCTGCTAAAACAAACTCTGAGAGCAATGGGCCAGATATATCGTTGCGCATTTGTTACTATCGTGGCAGCCACGGGCAAAGATGCAAATGCCGGATTGCCTGGTGTTCGGGAAGGCTCAAGGCCGCAGACTCAACTAGCGTATCATTTAGGTCATGGATCCAATAGAGTTGCGTTGGTAAATGCCCTGAATTCTCCTTCTCTAGAGGGCACAGCGTACATGGAAAGAGCGTGGACGTAAGATATTCCCATCCAGGATTTGTCGTCCTCGAGCTAACGAATGTAGATACCAGGAGTATTTTTTATCACCCCGCCGTGTCATTTTCCTAGATGGTAGAGTCACGTTTGTCTGTGCCAGTGCATACTGGCCTGAAGATCTCAATCCAGATCGTTTATCATGGACTCATGGTCTTGATGATGCTCAAAACATGGACGACAGTATCACGAGTCGGTCCATCCACTTCGGCATGGAGCGCTTCAGTCGCGGAAAAATGCAAGAGATGAAGCAGTTCGGCGGGAACCCGAGCATTCGCACTCTAGAATTCATAATATTAGAATACACGGAACGCAAGTTGACGCACGACAGCGATATTCTAAACGCCTTCGCTGGGGTCGCTAATTTCCTCCACAACGCTGTCGGTATCCGACTTCTCTCTGGACTCTCTGAAGCCGATTTTTTCGGCTGCTTGATGTGGAGACTAAGTTTCAAGAGATTGGATGAAACTCAGCCTTCGAAGCGACGTCCCGGTTTCCCGACATGGTCTTGGGCGAGTCGCTACGGTTGTATCCGATGCTCAGGAAACTTCTACGAAAATCTCTTTGAAGACGGCTCCAACATTTGCCCTGTGAATAGTTGGGCTCCTCCTTATGTCTGGTTCCATTTCTACTTGACTCCAAGGGCGGGGACTACATTCTCTCTCGTGCGCAGCAGCGCGACAACGTCCCGCTATATAGATGTTTTTCGTCTTCTACGCTCGGACTCTGATACACCAATGTCTGCTTTTATTGTATCAGAACAGCTTCCAGCAGGAGAAAAGACAATCCCTTCAACGACGAACGACACAGGGTGGAAGGCAGACACTCTTCATTTCTCTTCTCTAGCCACTACATGCAAAGTAGGCCCCTACCGTACATATAACCTCAGTTCGATGGCCGGGCGTCCACTCGCAATCCACAATGAAACAGGCGATGAGGTCGGTTGCATACATGTTGACGATATTGACTACACGGATTATGAGGGCACGGCGATGATGGTACTCATCTCATTAGTAGAGGGTACAAAACCGGTGGGGCAGGGACCAGAATGCTGGCGAGGCCCGCTCCGAGAACTGAAAGATGATCGGGATAGAGCGTTCTCAGGGCGTTACCCCGGCTATTTCAATGTCATGTGGGTTGTTGATGAGGAGAAAGAGTTGGGGACAAAACAGCGTATCGGAACTGGTGCGATATTAGAGCAATACATCGTTGGAAAGGATGGTATACAAGTCAGACAGGAAGATGTATTTCTCATATGACTTTGCCAGCGCCAATTTCCGCTGGATTTGTTGATTCTAAGTGAACAAGAAGGCAATGCGAAGATAATGAGAGAACGGAGAATTTAGGATGAAGATTGGCGAAAAGACCTGCCCGCTGGCTTTATTAGTGCATCGCTCCTTTGGCCACGTAATAAGCTAAGCGTATATCATGGCCATAGTTCTATGACATTAGTTCCTATGGTTGCTGCCCAGGACCGGCTCCGCAACCGCTGAGCGAGTTGTTAGCTCGAGTCTCGACCGGGTCACGAGGTCGTTCGACAGGGTGAACGCGACGGTGGTTGTCAGCGGCGGTGTTGAAGGGTAGGAGGCACAAATAACGCTTATTCAGGGAGCTTGATTGGTTAGTTGTGCTAGCTAACTAGTGGTGGTTCTAAGCTACCTTAGAATACTAATATCGCTAGTAGTCGTATATCCTAGAGCCAGATGGACAAGCAGCAAGAAAGTCAAAAACATACAGCAGTAGGTATTCGCTAGTGGTCACCCACCTAACTACTAATCTACCGATTTAAAGCTTATGAAGTGGCAGAGCGGACGGGATGCCCAGTATTCTTTGATCTATGGCCGTATGTGAAAGAAGAGAGTGGTTGTACAAATATATAACTAGCCGTGACAGATTCTAGTGGGCATCGAGCGGAACGCAATTAAACGACTCCTTTCAGAGTTAATAGGTCGAGGTCTTCTGAGTTTCGAGCTATGGCAGATCAGGCTATGGAGTTGGATGCCAATAACTATTAGAAACCGTACTCTTAGTACCAAGCACCACCTTGTTCTAACCAGTAAGGCCTATTACACGGTATGATGTGCTCATAATCGTATCCTATTCACCTAGCAACAACTCACCGCCGGGTGTCTAGCATCACTGCAAGCTGCACAACGCAATCAGAGCACAAGTACGGTATTTCAAGCGCCGGAGTAGTGTGTATTGTCTATCTAGCCTTTGCCCTCGTTTATGAATGGCAGCGGTATTCGGTCCAACTCAGGTGATTTCATATGTACAGTTCGCAAAAGTCCCATGCTCTTTTAATCTTTCTACTCTACGATTCCATCATCGTCTACGTCTCTGAACCTTTCGCCGTCGCCAAGAACCAGGGCGCGAGATGCACAAAACCCGAGAGGCATCCAAGTTGCGGAGTTCAGCATTTAGGCACGTCTCCTGTTCCGTAAAGCTCCAGCTTCAGCCTGCTTTCATCGACGCCGAAGGATTCCAGCTTGGCCTGTATGTCTAGCATGAAGCTCGTCGGCCCGCAGAGGAAGTACCGCGTCTCCCTGTTGGCGACGAACAAATCCCGTTCCTTATCCAGCTTGTCAAGATCCATGCGTCCTTGGAAGTCGTAATGCTTGCCCTGGACCTCCTCTTCTCCGACGTTCTTCGTGAAGAACACCGCGCGAACGTTGTCTCGTGCCCGCACCACATTCGTGACATGCTTTTCGAACGCCCTCGACTTCGTGTCTTTTGCTGCATGGATCCAGACGATCGGCCTCTCCGACTTCCTCGCCACAAGCGTGTTGAGGATGCTCAGCAAGCACGTCAAGCCCACCCCAGCCGAGAGCAGCACCACAGGCGCATCTGTCTTCTCCTCCGGGTCAAGAAAGAAATCTCCAAATGCGTGCGAGACCTCAATCACATCTCCGACCTTCTTGGCATCGTGCAGCACATTGGAGACATATCCTGGATGGCCTGTCGCCTCCGGATCATGGATGTCCAGCCCCTTCTCCCGCTTCACGCTGATGCGGTAGTAGTCCGGCCATGGCGCGTCGCTGAGGCTGTACTGTCGCACCTGCCTGTGGCGAAGAGCCGGAACGTCCATCTGAACCGAGATGTACTGGCCCGGCAGGAACCCGGGAAGGGGTTTCCCATCAACGGGTTCGAAGTAGAAAGAAGTAATCTCGGCGCTCTCGGGGATTATGCGCGCAATGCGGAGGTCTCGCCAGTTGGTCCAGCCGTCCGCGGCCTTGTACAGCTGCTCTTCGCGCTGCGTCATTAGGTTGGCGAGCTGCCAGTACGCGGCGGCCCAGGCGTCGTGGATTTCGGACGTGTGCGCTGAGCCAAGGACTTCGTGCATCGCGGCCAGGAGGTACGTCCCCACGATTTTGTAGTGCTCGGGCCGGACGTACTGTGAGGCGTGCTTGTTGCAGATGAGTTCGACGGCTGGGGATAGCTTCCCGAGGTCGTCGATGTTGTCGGCGTAGGCGAAGAGGGAGCCGGCCAGGGCGCGTGGTTGGTGGCCATTGATTTGGTTCGCGGTGTTGAAGATGTCGTTCAGTTCGGGGTGGGCGGTGAGCATGTTCTTGTAGAAGACCTTGGTTATGGTGTTGCCGTGTTCGGACAGGACGGGCACGGTGGCCTTGATGGTAGCGGCTTGGGAAGGGGTGAGGGACATTGTGCGTTGAGGATGGAATGTGCCTTAGGGATGGGATTGGGAAGGTGAATTGAAAATGGTGTGGGCGACTAGAAAGTTTCACTTTGTCTTTTTTTTTCTTGATAAACAAATATAAATATACTACCTGTACAAACGCGGCAGGCGCTGTCCTACATATACTTCACCCCCCCGGCAGCAAGTCGGGCTGAAAGCATGGCTTCCGTACTCGAACTGTCCGTTTACCTAAGTTGTCTCTGTAGCTCCCGCGGACTTGTTGTTAGCGGAGCAAACAGACTGGAAGAGTTTTCCATTTGGAGACGGGAGGCACGGTAGCTAGTGGCCCTAGGATCTCCTAATGTTGACGTGACGTGAGACTACCGTGCACACGGATGACAAGAATGCGCGGACTCCATAACCAGGAAGCAGTAAACCACAACGTGAATAATCAGTTATATAGCTTTCGACATATCAACTGGGGGCTATTACAGCTTCTCATCTTAGTGTTTTATATCCAAGAACCTGCGCACGCTACATAGGATGATTTAACCTAGTTATCGGTTTCATTTTGCTGCAGCTTCTGGGTTTGCTGTTTATGGAGTCCGCGCATTCTTGTCACCCGCGTGCCGTGTTAAACGACGCACATGCGACTCTGACAGCGGCTGTTGGTAAGCCGCCGGAAGGGACCGGCGCTGCTTCCTCCGAGGAATTTCACGACTCCGCGGGAGAAACGCCAAGCATCGCCAGATTAACGCGACTGAACGCGTCTTCCCCCCCATCAACCCCACCACCAGACTCTCACAACACTCCACCAGTCTCCAACCACCCCCATAACCGTAAACGACAGCGACTCGAACCCTCGAACCCTTGGACCCTCCATCAGCCTCCCACCAGCACCACACGTCCCACCCTCTCCTCCCACCGAACCCCAAACACAATGGCAACAACAACCCCCGCCCACGCCCCCTTCTCCACCCGCGCCTATAGCGCAAATCTCCTCCGCCCCACCGCCGGCGCCGCAGCCACAACCGCACAATTCGCGCCCCCAGCCGGCGCAGCCTCGACACAAGCCGCGCGACGAGACCGCGAGCGCGAGGAGCGAGAGCAGCGGCAGCGTCAACAGCAACTTCAACAGCAGCAGCAGCAGCAGGCTGAGCAGGGTATAGGTGGTGCAGGTGGGGTGGGAAACGTACAGGAACTTTCAGAGGAGCAGAGGGAGGAGATCAACGAGGCGTTTGGCCTGTTTGATCTCGACAAGGATGGGTTTGTTGATTATCATGAGTTGAAAGTTGCGATGAAGGCGCTGGGGTTTGAGTTGCCGAAGGGGGAAATTTTGGCGATTTTGCAGACGCATGGGTATGTGTGTCCCCATCATGCCCTTTTCCTAGCCTCCGACGTCCGCAAAGGGACGCTGGGGAAGATGGGGCAGCGGTGGTCGCGTGTTACGGATGAGTGAACCCCGGGAACAGCTGAGCTGACTGGAATCTGAATGGCAACAGCGTCCCCGCAAACGCAGTCAACGCCGCCAACAAGTCAAAAGCGCCACAGCAACCGCCGACCTTTACAGGACCGTCACGGCTACTATTATCGCACGCGGCGTTCCAGAGCATCATGGCTGCGAGGATACAGGCCAGGGATCCTGCGTAAGCGTTCCCCCCTTGGCCCCCCCAATCCCTATGCCCACAGCCCCTGCCTCCCCCCAGTCCTCTCACTTCCTACGCGTTCTCCACCTAACCTCCCAAGCTCCCGCCATTCCTCTAACACCTTACCAGCGAAGAAATCCTCCGCGCATTCACCCTCTTTGACGTCGACAACAAAGGTAAGATCAGCCTCGCGGATCTGAAGCGCGTGGCGCGCGAGCTGGGGGAGGGACTGCAGGAAGAGGAGCTCGTGGCTATGATCGAGGAGTTCGATATGGACGGGGATGGGTGTATTGGGCGGGATGAATTTGTTGGGATTTGTTTGGGGTGAGTTACCAGGGATGATATGGAGAGGGGGCAAGGGGGGGAAACAAGAAGCGGGAGGGAATTGTAGCGTCCTGAGTCATTGAGGAGAGAACTTGCCTGGGGTGATGCGGCGTTGGTTTGGTAGCATTGGTTTTAGCGTGGTGTCTGGGTGTTCGGTATGCTTCTCTCGAAGTCGGAGATCCCGGGCAGATCTATGGGTCGTAAGTCGCAGATTCCATGGTACTTTTCTCATCTAAGGAGTGACAATTAAATGCTCTAGAACCATCGGTACCTCCACTCTATCTCTGAGCCACTTCGTCAAGGGCGTTGCTAAGCGTCCTCGGAAGCGTTTCTAGCTGGCTCCCTTGGACGATCTTTTCACAGTGCTATTGCAGCAGACCAGTCATCGGCGGATTGCGCTTGTCCGCCGCGTTGCGAAGCCCTCTCTATAGCAAGTGCGGCTGTGGGCTCTGAACAGTTTTCATACAAGGCCACTACAAGAGACTGGGGATCAATGTCAAATTCTTCTTCAGTGCCTGCTCGGAAAGCGGATCCTTGTATTCCTCCTCGTACCACTCTGTCCTCTGCTTGTACCATTCGGCTGGCGTCCAGTCTGTTGAGCCATTAACATGGCGTCCTTCAATGTATAATCCGGCCTAGATGATGGCAGAACATACCGCAGTGAACAATGTCGCAGTCCCAAGGTTCGAATGCTCCCTCGTCCCCATAAACGCATGGTGCGTTCAAGTCAAACGCTGGCGCGACATTCAGATGCAAGCCACACCAGCCATGGTGTTTCTTGAGATAGCATTCTTCCGTGAACGCGCTTTCGCACACCTCACTGCCAACCATCAGCGTTGAGCTTTGCCTTCCCCGTTAACGATTTAGTAGAGCCTGTGTCATACCAACAAGCCTTCGACATGCTGCTCTTGATCTCCGTAATAATTTCCCGCATCACGTCCCTCCGTTCCTGTCGCTCAAACGTCTCTTGCTCCTTCTCAGACTCCGTTTCCGAGAACCCACCCCACAGCACTCCATCCCTCAGCCGCTCTAAACGACCCATCTTGAGTCGATCTGAACGCGTTTTAGGCGGACCATGGAAGAGCTCTAACATCTCAGCCTCTCTCTTGGCCTCGGCCTCAGAATCCTCTTCATTTCCATACCAAGCATCATGATACTCCTCATACACGTAAGCTTCCTCATTCCCCTCGTAATAGAGATTATATTTATAGTACTCCTCTTCAGCCGAAGGTGTCTCCTCAGGCTCTTCTTGGGCCTTTGAAGGAGTCTCTTGGAATTGCTCTACACGCGGTAAGGCATCTTTCTGTCTGCACGTGATGACGTGAAGCAATTTCTTGATTTGGAAATCGTGGTACCCAAAATCCCGTTCGATTCTCTCCACGACTCCACAGAGGTCAGTCTGGCGAGGTTCGCGCTTGGAAAGCGTCTGCTCGATCCGCTCTGCGCGCTCCCCGAAATACTTCTCATTGCGGGTGACAGCATGGAGCATCTCTTTGAAAATGGAATCATATCGGTTAATGAGACTTTTGACATCCCTCACACTTCTGAAGAGCTCGAAGAGGTTTCCGTTGTCGAGATCGCTGGGATCGCTGGGATCGTTGGGTGAAAGCGTCTTTCCAATCTTCTCCACCTGCGCGAGGAGGTCGCTCTGGTTCTTCTGCATGACCGGAAGCGCCTTTTCGATCTTCTCGAAACGCCCTGACAGAAGCTGCTGCGCGAACTGGAGAATGGGAAAGGAGTCTTCTATCTTTCTGACGCGCGTCGCGAGATCTTTCTGACCCGCTTGAATCAAATCAAGCTTCTCCGTGATCTTGCCGAACTGAGCCGCGCTGTCGCTGCTAGAGAGCTCGATGATTGCGGGAACTCTGATTGTTCCTTCTGAGGCTTTCACCTCCGGAAGCTTCTTCTTGGGAGGCATGTTGTGAGCGCGGAAAGTCGGCAGAGAAATACAGGAGTTCTACGCGTCGTGGGGAAACAGGAGGCGTTGGTCAAGTGTGACGACTTCTGGGTTGCGATAATGAGGTGCGGAATGTTAAGACGCGTGAACATAGATGGACGAAGCGGTCTAGTGGAGGGAAGTCGATTGAAGGACCGTACGTCATTAGAGATTGGTAGATTCAGATTCAGTTTTAGTAGGAATCATGTCAGAATGACGCGAAGCGAAGAAATGTCAGTACAGGCTCATGAGACAGTTGTGTTCGTGAGCTGCAGGAGTTGCAGCATAATCTTTGATCTGGAGAAGTGAAGCTATTGAGATACATGGGTAGAGCAGCCACGTCGCGACCGCCATCCCCAGCCGCAACTAGTATCCGTCCAACAGCCTTGCAAAGAGCCAGCAGCCTAGACGAACGTACTCCGGTGGGGAGCAGTGTATGAACTTCAGGCATCCAAGGCGAATCCTTCTCCACCTACGCCCAAGTAGCTGCAACGTCCGCCTCATAGTCTAGTGGGTCGGTTGATCAGGACGACATACGTTCCAGAACCAGGTCGTACATGTCTCCATCGTCGTTACGCTTTCGCTTCTTGGCCCTCGAATTGTCGCGAGATGTCGTCGACTTGAGGTCGTCTTTGACCTTTGCGAGCGCCCTCTCCACCTTCTTCACACGCTTCATCATGTTCTTCTGGGCTTCCTGCACCTGGCGAAGCATATGGATGATTTGAGAAATCTGGACAGAAGTGTCGTTATTGAAGTCGCCGAGGGTAGCAGGGGACATTATTGTGCCTTCGATATTGTCTTCGTAGGATGACATCGTGTAGTCTCGAGCGATGGTGAGGGAGCGTGATGGAGCTTGTAGCTACTACGATGCGGTCAAAGAGATGGAATGTCGACTTGTGTGGGAAGTTGGAGCTTGGGAGTAAGAAGAATCGAGGACGAAGAGGTTCTGCACAATTGTAGCTAAGCGAGGTATTGAGTGCTACAAAAGGTTTGATTCACAGAAGTGAAGTGGGTGGCTGGAAAGCGTAAGTGAAAATGGTTGCTAAGTGAGAAAAGCCCTCAACGCTATGAACCATTCCACGCCGGTAATCCGCTGCTAAGTGTGTAGAGTGAACTTTGATATCTCGAGCCATGTGCTTCGCCGCCTAGCGACGCCAGTGTATGTCAGATTTCTCATGCCACCCGCATACCGTCTCCGACGCCGGCGACCCGTTCCATGTTCCCAACTTTCTCATCGTATTCATCCCGCGTCAAATCTATCAAGCAGTTGGCACAAACTTATTCAAAGCTTCGCTTCAACGTGCACAGTATAGTAGAACTTACCGCATTGGACCACCTGGCATTTATAGCCGGACTCCTTGTGTAGGCACCTAGTAGTGGGCTCAACCAGATTCGCCAACGCGGGTACGGCAGAGTGTTTGTGGTAGAGACACCAGGCGACATGTTGACTGAAGAAGCAATCCTCTGTGACCCGGCTCTTGCAAATCGAGCTGCAATGTTGTCAACGAAGTGACCACGACTTGAGTGTTCAGACTAAAGAGACGTACCATTGAGCTCCATTGCTCTCAAGCCTGATTTGCATCAGAGCGTCAGAGATGTAGGCGAATTTGTACTGGACTGCGACCTCCAGATAGGTCATTAATCGGGGACGTTTGCGAACCGGAGACTCGGGCGCGGTCAGAGTGTCTTCTTTCTCTCGTCCTTCCACTTCGGACTGAGGGCGTTCTTGGATAGCTTCGCTGGGCCGCGGTTCTTGACGCCGCGGTTCTTCAGGTCGCAACTCCTGAGATCGCGACTCTTGAGCTTCCAAGTCATCTCGAGCAGTCAAGTTAGGTCCTCCTGCAGGACCGTGCTCGGCGCGTTCGACACGCTCTAAGATATCCTTCTGAGTCGCTTGAATGAGACGGAGCGTAGCCATGACTTCGTCATGCTGAGCGGCAGTCGCGCTGTTAGACATGTTGAGGGCGAGCCGACGCGATAACCAGTCCTGAAGGCGATTGTCGAGCTCAAAGTGGAAACTTGACATGAAAAACGCGAAGAGTCAGGATGGAACGTGTCTGTGAACTCCCCGACGCGAAGTTTAGGGTTGGACTTGGGCGAAGGAATTTCTTGCTTACGCGTACTCGGAGTAACGCGTTCAACCGGGGGTTGCAGACTGTGCGGTGTTGCAATCACGTGGAAGATTTTGCAGAAATCACCCAACTTCACAAAAAGTGAGTGAGGTCAGGCAGCAATGAGAGCCCAGAGAAAGCTTCAGACGATTTACAGTGAACTTCAAGCAACTGCAGATAACTCATTGAAAGGTCTTGGAATATGCACAGGAAAGACTAGCCGCCAAGCCAACAAAGGAAATCAGAACATACATGTATCGCAACACCTCGCGTACCAACCTACAGGGTCCACAAGCTGCTTCCGCATCTACTGGCCCGGCGCGATCAACATGCCCCTCTTTGTCGCATCATGCTGCCACCCACCCGCCAACGCCTCCCCACCATGCTGTTCCGCATAGTTCTTCATCCTAGCCTCCAGCTCCGGCCTAAAATGTCTAATCAAACCCTGAAGCGGCCACGCAAACGCCTCGCCCAGCGCGCAAATCGTGTGGCCCTCCACCTGCTTCGTAAGCTCCTGCAGCATATCAATCTCTCTAACCCTGCCCTGCCCCTTCTCAAACCTCTGCATGATCTGCTCCGTCCACTTGCTGCCCTCCCTGCATGGCGTGCACTGGCCGCAGCTCTCGTGGCGATAGAACGTCGAGAGCCGGGAGAACGCGCGCACGATGTCGGTGCTCTTGTCCATGACGATGACGGCGGCGGTGCCCAGGCCGGTCTGGGAGTCCTTGAGCGCGTCAAAGTCCATCAGCTGGTCCTCGCACATGTGTTTTGGCAGCACGGGGGTGGACGAGCCGCCGGGGATGACGGCTTTGAGGTTGTCCCACCCGCCGCGCACGCCGCCGCAGTGCTTGTCGATGAGTTCCTTGAGCGGGATCGACATTTCTTCTTCGACTGTGCAGGGGTTGTTCACGTGGCCGGAGATGCAGAACAGCTTCGTGCCGCTGTTGCGCTCGCGGCCGAAGGAGTTGAACCACGAGCCGCCGCGGCGACAGATGGTGGGCGCGACAGCTACGGTCTCGACGTTCGCGACAGTGGATGGGCATCCGAAGAGGCCGACTGCGGCCGGGAATGGCGGCTTTAGGCGCGGCTTGCCGGGCTTGCCCTCCAGCGACTCGATAAGCGATGTCTCTTCGCCACAGACGTAGGCGCCCGCACCGCGGTGGATGAACACGTCAAAGTCATAGCCGGTTCCGCAAGCATTCTTGCCGATCAGGCCCGCGTGGTAGGCTTCCTGGATCGCGCGCTGCAGCACGGTCGCCTCGTGGTAGAATTCTCCGCGGATGTAGATGTAGGCGGCGGTACAATTCATGGCGCGACCGGCGACGAGGCAGCCTTCAATCAGCTTGTGGGGGTCTTTGCGCATGATTTCGCGGTCTTTGCAGGTGCCGGGTTCGCCTTCGTCGGCGTTGACGACGAGGTAGCGGGGCTTGGTGTCTTTGTCCCAGTCCTTGAAGTTCATGAAGGACTGCGTATGTTAGTTTTGGTGTATTGGAGGTTCTAGAGGAGACTGGAGCGGGCGTACCCATTTCATGCCGGAGGGGAAACCAGCGCCGCCACGGCCGCGCAGACCGGACGCTTTGATCTCTGAGATGATCTGTGCAGCCCATGATTAGCGGATGCCGGATACACACTCTCAGGTGGTCCCATTGCATACCCAGTCGTGACCCTTAAGAACAATTTCCTTCGTCTTATACCAGTCTCCGTACTTCATTGCGCTCTTCAGATCCGCGCCATGGTGCCCGTATAGGTTCTGGAATATCCTGTCCTGGTCCTTCAGGCCTCCGTACTTCCTAGGCTTTGGCTTCTCATCCTGCACGGTGGCAAGACCTCTGCACTGCTGCTTCGATAGCCGCGAAGGTGTACTGGTGGGGATGCGGGATGCGGCGGTGGTGGATGGAAGGACGCGGTGGGAGAGGGTGGAGAGGGCCTGAGGCGCGGGTGCCTGTCGTGCAAGCATGTTGGATAGAGTCCCCAGAGGCGTGTACAGGGTGGTTGTCCGGTGTAGGTGCCGTGAGCCGTGAGGCGTGAGTCGTGAGTAGAGGTCGTCGCAGTGCTTTGACGGTGTTGCTGGCCGCAGAGATGTCGTCGATATAAGCGGGTTAGCGGGCGCTTTGATTGGTTGGCCACCTGCCGCCAGATCGGAAGAGAATCTCCAAGCCTCCGTCATCGCCTCGAAGTTCTCGGAGACTCCATCTCAGCTTCGGCGACGTGGTACATCGTTATGAACTGGAGACAAACATGTACTGCCGTAGGAGCGGGTTACAATGGACGCACAGAAGCCAGGTGGTAGTAGCAACATCGAGTCTACATGCCGGACGACTGGAAGTCCAGGACCTTCTAGGATCAGTTGAGAATATGCAGTAGAGAGTTGTGCGGTACAGTGGTACCTTAAGCACTTGCGCAAGCAAACTCATCAACAGGCTACTGAGTGCTAATGTATGGTCTGGGGTTCCCAGAGGTAACGATTTGTTGGAGATACAGGAGTCTTCCAAATGAAAGCCACTTATGCTGTTCGTCATCGCTCTAGTCAAAAGCATCCCTTCCATCTCCTGTGTAATAGTTCACGGCATGAGTGTGTTTACTCTCTGCGGTCTCTGGAGATTGGACGGGTAGGAACGGAGCTCACAGACAAGAAAATGCTGTTGGACGTGTGCGATTCAGAGCTTGAAATGGGATGCTCATCTCTAAACTGGCATGGGACCCTCCCTACGTCTTCACTCATCTATCGAGAAGATCATGATAAGTTCTCGGCAGCTTCCATCATACTGACCACCTTGCATATAACCTTCAGCCCGGTCGTCCACAGCCGTCAGCACACTCTTCAGCATACTCTTCAACACATTCCTCAGGGGACATCTCCCGGCTTGACCTTAGCATCTTCCTACATCACACTCGTGTCAACCCCGCCAGGTACAACCGCAACCTTCGCTTTAATTTCTTTCTCTGCGTTGCCGCCATCGCCGCCATCGTTACCTATCTCCACTTCAACCTCCACTTCCTTCCACTGGTGCCTCCTCGTCTATTCTGCACGTGACAAGCAACTCAGCTTCACGGCCCCTCACGCGACCCAAAGAGAACAGCCAATCTTTCCGCTAACTCGTTCTGCAAAAGAATCTTCAAAGTCTTGGCTTTTCGAACCGGGTGGATCTTTCGTAGTTGGCGCAAGCAGTTTTCACCTCCAGGAGTCGAAGTCAATACAGAAGCCATTACAGAATTACCACTGAACCTTTGTTGTGTCCCCAAGAACCAGGTAGACACTTTCCTGTGAAGCGACAAATCTTTCACCAGACATGACCCTTGGCATGATGACGAAGGACACGGCCAACTCCCGCCCCACCATTTCCGACGGCAAGTGGCAACGTCAAATCTGGCAGCCTGGTGATGGAAACGGTGATCCGAACGTAGACATCTTGGAGACTGCACAAGGGCAAAACAACAGGAAGGGTCACCCGACCTGGAAGATATTCAACGGCACTATCGGGCACATTAAGCGAGGCATCAAAGAGCCCCCAGTTCGCTGCTACCTTGACGACAAGGCGGCCTACGACATCAGCAGGTCTAAAGTGTACACCAACGTAGAGAAGCACCGCTACTGGCCTTTCGACTTCTCTGTAAACGGTCTTATAAAGCCTGGCCGGAAGAATCGCGGCCGTCCTGCATACGAGCCTGGCAGTCAGAACATCATCGCCTCGGTCGCAAAGGCTAAAGGGAATAGCCCATACTACTTCTACGGCGCTGCAGGCCCGCCAAACGCAGAGTCATCCCAACAGAGCCCAACACCGGCCCCGTTCGGTACAGCGATGGGAGCACAAGACCCGCCAGCATCCCCCTCTGTGTCTCCGAAGCGGGAAACGTCCCCAGTCATGCCATCAGTCGAGGCTGATTCCCCCGAGGCACGAACATCGCCCGACTTGCAGACAGAGCAGAGCCCAGAGAAAGAAGGTCCAAGAACTTCTTATGCGACCTCAGCTCGTGCCATGATTGGCGAGCCCAAATCTCGACTCAACTTCGGAAACTTCATGGGAGCAGCCAAGCCGTCGAAGCGTTCCTCCACTGTACCTCGTCAAGTCGACAGGGAGTCTGTTCAGGTGTCAGCGGTCTCCTCTCCCGGCGGCATCATGCCAGAGAACCTCCCTGCGTTGCCGGGCGGTCCCAGACTGAGAGCTCCTATCGTGGCACCAAGTTACGCCGTTGATCTCTCCGATACAGAACATGCGAGGCGTACCAAGCGTCCCCGCGTGCCATCCTTTCCACGAACAACGAAGCGTCCGCGCAAGGATATCCAACCAAGCCGCTCCCCGTCCGCTATTCCAGGCACCACACCGCAGCCAAGGGGCTCTACGACACCGCAGCGAGAGCCCATCAAGGCCACCTTCAACTCACTGAAGAACCACATCGATCGGCTTCAAGAAGAGTTGGACGACAACAAGATCCAATGCGACACACGCATGGACGAATTCAGCCAGATCTATCGTCAGCTTGAGCGCCTTGAGGAGGCACAGAAGAACGATCAAATTCAGCTCGCGGCCGTGCGGAAGGACCTTCTTGCAGTCGAGCACGAACGCAACGATCTGCTGCTCGAGCGCGCCCGCGACAAAGGTCGTCTCAAGTTCAACACGGAGGAGATTGAGAGGCTCAAGCAGGACAACGAGGCTCTTGAGGCGTCGGAGGCAGCGCTTCGTAGCAGGATCAGGAAGGGCAGCAAGGCCTCTCCGTTCGAGAATCTGGAGCCCAAACAACACCTCACCACATACCGGGAGGTCGCTACGACTCTCCACGCCTCCCTGGCCAATGCTAAATCGGGCCTGGCTGACCGACACACGGCGCTGAACGCCTTGAAGAAGGCGATCGAGGGGGTAGGTGTAGGCGTTGAGGGGGAGATGAGAGAGGGCCAGCGCATGCAGAAGGAAGTGCGTAGAGCGCTTGGCAAGGCTCAGGAAGCTATTGATGATGCCGGCATGGCGGCGGAGTGGAAGGGTAGGGTGGGTAAGGCGACGAAGCATTGAGGCGTTAGTATGCAGCGATGGGCGGGAATTTTTCTTTGGCTAAACTGAGAACCAGCAGCGGGAATGCGTGGGGGTATGGAGTGGGTATGCGATTTCTTCTCGGCTACCAGGTTTTCTCTTTGTCAGCTCCAGGTCTAGTTACAAAAGTGCTCCTTTCCAATCTCTGAAAGCCACCGCCAATAGCACGGAGCTTTCCAAGATCCAGCTCCAGGTGAAATCAAGCAACCAGTCAATCAGGCAAAAGCTCTCAGGCCTCCGCTCGTCACGCAGGTTGAACCTCTACCATTATCACACCGCTAGCCAGACCTTCCCATGCAAGCCAAGAAAATTCTTCACCATGTTCGCAGAGCTCTCCAGACGCCGGAACGGCACCTGCTGCAACCGTACCATGGATACCATTCACCACGCCGCACCTGCACAGCACGGCCTTTCCACCGCGACGTTCTTCGATCCACCGTTCCATCGTTTGCATTAGGCAGTTACGGTCCTCCGCAGAACATCACCGCACCGACCAAGCTGCCATTCTGCATTGCGCGTACGTGCGTCAATCCAGGGCTCCGCATGCGCTGCCATAAGGCCACGAAGTGTATCTGTCGCGCGGGTTGTCACTGCTCCGCGATCGTCGTCAGTGCTCTGAGGGTTTCCAGGTGGCAGACCCGCCGCCTCGTTCACGGCTCCACGCATGTTGTGTGCGCGACGTCGCCTCACGTCCAGCGTATTCTTGCGGCCATCGTGGATATGCTTGTTACTGAATGCACACATCATAGTCATCTCAACGCGTTCTCGCAAGCACGAGGTCATAGCTCGTTTCGGTGCGGCTGTAGTCACCGCCGCTCTCCCTCCTGTCCTACCCAGATCTCTCAGTTTCTATAGAGCACTAGATCAGGCATAGTGTTTCAGCCGCCAGTCTCACCGGCAATTCTCTTTCCTCTAATTGCTTCTTCTACTCCCGTAATCTACATAGCTAAACCCCAACCCTGCGCGGTCATCATGAAGATCTCATCAAGTTCACCTTTGCCGAGGGCTTCTCACTCTCTCTGAAAGCCGGTACACAGTCCCCAGCGCTGATGCCTGCCGCCCTAGCTGCAGCCCACAGTTTCTCCCCAGTCCGACCCGACCAGGTCGAAGACGAAGCTGCACCAGCGGACACCCTGGCTTGATGTTGCTGCTTCGGCTGCCTGCCGCCGACAAGGGCCAGTGCAGCTAGTGCTGTATCTTATCGTCTCCTCTGACGGTGTTGCGGAACACCAGTCTACCATGTTCAGGTGTCCTCTTGCTTACTATTTGAGCCATATCATCCAGCCCTCGGTCATGCAGCCCTGCGCTCCAAAACATGCTCTGCTGGATATCCCAAGCCTCGGCACCCATACCAGCGCGCCTGGCTCGCCAATCCCGATTCTACGAGCACGAGGCCCCCGTACCGCCCGCCACACCTACGAGGAGCTCTGGCACATCGACTCCGCTGCGCTGGGGATTTGCAGTCCCCGCATCAGCCCCAGCACTAGGGCGCGCTGTGGACTGGTGGCCAGCTCGAGGCGTCATAATCCGAGCACGCTGAGGGCGGAGGACGTGCATGCGGCGGTTGTGAGGAGGTTGTAAGGAGGGCTCGGGATAAGCTGCTCCGCGTGACACGCTTGTTGTACCTGGACCAAAGACCTCGAGGGATTTCATGACGAACTCAAACAGGCCTTGTTATGCCGGATGCCGCCCAAATCAACGTGTCTGAGAGGTGTGTCGAAACTACGATGTCGTTTTCGTGATACCGCGCCTCAGCTGGCTTGCCACCACGCAGACCTGTCTTAAGACATGGGCCCCTAACAACAGCTCAAGCCCCGATAATTGCCAGCGTGACCACTTGCCCATCAGTATAAGCAGTTCAGAGCAAGTGCGCAGTACCATCCTGGCGCTTCTTGCGTGGCGAAATTTGTGGGTCTGCGTAGTCAACAACCATCGTGTCTCGCAGGGCCTTACTCGTATAAGTTAGTATCGTATGTACAAGGCACAGCTTCAAGACAGCATAAAGAATCTCGCACGCACTCCACTCCAACTACACAGTCATGACAAGGTGTTCAGTCTCAATTTCTATCCTCCTATCCTATCCTGTCTTATCCAGCCTAGCTAGGCCCCTCATCCCACTACATCTACTCCACCCCACACACATCTCGACTTCCCCCACCTCTCTCTCTCCCACCCACAACCCACAGATCCATACCCATTAGAACCACACAAGAACATGCCAGCCCAAGGAAAATAGAAAAGAGGTGCTCAGGTATCCCGCCGACGAAGCTGAAGCTGTGGAGCCAGTATCGTACATATTGTGTGAAGAAAAAGAAAAGAAAAGGAAATGTGGAAAGGGGTGCTTGGGCGTAGCTCAAAGTTATAGAGTTGCTTCCGGAAGACGACGAAGGACCAGCTGGAGCCACAGGGAAATTGGCTGTACGAGAGCCGTTGAGAAGGGCAGTCGAAGCCCAGCAAGAAGCCAGATCAAAGAGATGAGAGCGATAGGTGAAGAGGGCGAGGAGAACTTTTAAAGTGCCGACGAATTTCTCACGAGTGGGAAGCCCTTGACCAGAAACGCCTAGTTCGCCGAGCCGAGGGAAGTAGAAGCCGATGGGTGTGTGGCGGACGGATCAAGCGCGAGATGTGTACGCCCCATCAAGTGCGACAGTGCCACCGCTCAAGCCTTCTCCTCCCCCTTCCCCTCCTCCACCGCCGCCCCCTCCCCCTTCGGCGCCGCATTCTCATCCCCACCCGTCTTGCTCTTGACATACTCATCGTAGACACTCATCGCCTCATCGACTTTAGCCTGGAGGGCGCCCTCATCCGTGGTCAAGTTGAGCAACTCGGCATTGTCCATCTCGAGCAACATGCCCGTGATCTTGCCCGCGAGCTCTGGCTGCATCTCGTGGATCTTGGGATACAGCGCCTCGCCCAGCATCTGCTTCTGCTGCTGATGCGGCGCCGCATTCAGCACGTTGAGATCCAAGCCGCCCGAAGCAGGCGGCCCGCCCATCTGGGGTGGCATGCCGCGTCCGCCTGGGAAGCCTCCCTGCATCTGCGGTCCTTGTCCTGGACGCCCGCCCATGCCGCCGCGTCCACCTTGCGGAAATCCTGCCTGTCCACCACGCATAGCCGGAACGACACCAGGCATCTGGGGCGGCATGCCCGGCATGCCCGGGATCGGCGCACCGCGGCCACCGCGGCCCATAGCCGCCTGCTGTGCTACCTGCGCAAGCTGGGCGTACATCTGGGGGTTTGGTGGATAGCCCGCTGCCATCATCTGCGGCGGGATGCCGTACATCTGGGGCGGCATTGCTTGAGCAGCGTTTGGCCCGCCACGGCCGGCACCGGGCTGGGGTGGCATGCCGCCGGGAAAGCCGGCGCCGCGGCCGCCTTGTGGGACGCCTTGGGGGAAGCCCATGGGACGCGCGCCCGGTGGCAGGAAGGCGGGTTGTTGGCCGGGGCCGAAGAACATCGGGGGTTGCATGAAGGGCTGGTTGGGCATGCCGGCTGCGGCGGCGGCTTGTTGCATGCGGAGTTGGTTGCGGGCTTGGATGGTTGCTTCGAGCTGTGGATGCGTTAGCGGAATCTTCAGAGGCGAGCACAGGATGGAGTAGAACATACCTGACTCTTGCGGACGTCTTTGCGCTGCGCCAAGGCGACATAGAGCGGCTTGCCGTTGACCATCTTCTGGTTCATCTCGGTGACGGCCTTGGTGGCCTCGTCCGGATTGCTGAAGCAGACGAAGCCGAAGCCTTTGCTCTTGCCTAGGATCTTCTTCTCGCCCTTGATCACGACCTTGTCCTTCTCCTCGCCGTCCTTCTTCGCCTCTTTAGACTCGCCATCCGAAGCTTCCTTCTCGTCATCCTTCTTCTCCCCGTCTGACTTGTCGTCCTTGACCGGCGTCTCGTTGCCGGGGGTGGCAGGGATCGTGTCGCGCATGACCTTTGCGGAGGTGATGTTGCCAAACGTGGCGAAGATATCGCGGAGCTTGTCGTCATCCACCTCGTCGGCCAAGTTCTTGACGTACAGGTTCACGCCCTGGTACTTCGACTGCTTCTCCATGCGAGCAGCCTCATACTGCTTCCGCAGCTCCTCCTCACGTTCGTGCTTCTTCTGGGCACGGCCAATGTACAGTCGCTGGCCATGGAAATCCTTCTCGTTCAGCTCCTCGACCGCGCTGGCTGCGTCCTCATGCTTGACGTAGTTGACGAAGCCAAAGCCCTTGCTCTTGCCATCGTCGTGCCTCTGGACCGCTGCAGAAGTGATGGGACCGTACTTCTCGAATAGCTCACGGAACTCGTCGTCAGTGACGTCGAGGTCGACGTTCTTGACGTAGCAGTTGGTGAAGTTCGCCTTCATCTCCTCGAACTTGCTCATCCGGTCTTTCTTCGGGATGTGGTGGCCCACGAAGACCTTCTTCTCATTCAGCAGCATGCCGTTGACGTGCTTGATGGCGTCTGTGGCAGCCTGGGCGGTCTCGTAGTGCACAAATCCGTACCCCTTGGAGTTGCCGAGCTCGTCCTGGGCGACCTTGCAGCTGAGGATATTGCCAAAGGCGGCAAAGGTGTCGTGGAGAGCCTTGTTGTCGATAGCGGTGTCCAGGTTCTTGATAAAGACATTGCCCTGGCCGGTCTTGCGGAGAGCGGGATCGCGCTGCGACCACATGATGCGGCACGGCTTGCCCTTGATCACGGTGTAGTTCAGCTCCTCAAGGGCCTTCTCGCCGTCCTCGGAGCTGTTGTAGTTGACGTAGGCATAGCCGAGCGAGCGACGAGTGACTGCGTCGCGGCAGACACGGATCGAGGCGACCTGGCCGATGGAGGAGAACAGCTCGAAGAGCATAGCCTCAGTGACGGAGGGGTCGAGCTCGCCGACATAGAGCGACGCGGAGTTCTGGTGAGCGGTCGACGGAGCGGCCGAGATCGGAGTGGAGAGATCAGTGCTAGCGCCGGGCATCTGAGGCGGGATGTTGGTGTTCAACGTGGTGCCGTTGGTGGCAGGAGCCTCCGGGGCGGGAGAAGTAGCGTTGGCATCCGCGGCCACAGGGGAGGTGGCGGTTTCAGCAGACATGTTGCTAGATGTTTCCTTGATACGGTCAGCTTGCGGACCAGAGAGGCGCCTGCGCGCTCGCGATGGTGAACCGGAGTGGCCGGCTGGAGCTGCGAGAGCGTACCTTCTAGGCGTCTAACTCTGCGCTGCCTGTCGCTGGTTCGTGAGGAATCTTACGGAGAAGAAGCTCGATATGAACTCTAAGCAGATCTTGACGCGGCGTCAGAGAAAGGTAGCACAGCCAGACGGTCTTTGCGTGGTGCGAAAGTGTCTGGTGAGAGGGCAGCGACTGGTGTTGAGGAGGTTGCTTCAGCCGGATAAACGTCGACGTGAAAGCTGAGTTTTGTGGATTTTCAAATTTTTTTTCCGACGTTACGAAGTTTTCTGAAGGGGAGGGGGGCAAAGAGTAAGATCCTGAAGGGAGCTTGCTCGGTGTGTGAGATGGCAGAAGGTTGGTTGGCAAGAGACCGTCGCCCTTTGTGAGGGAAATAAATTTTGTGCAGCAACTTCCGAGCCGGGCACGCACGTGACACTCAACCACGCATGCCTCTTATTGCAGGACCTTCCGCACAGATCTCTGCTTCGTTCGCCTTACGGAATCACTGGAAACGCCGGAAATGATGCAGAGCGCCGCCGGCACGACGTATATCCCAGCCATATTGGAAGCTAAAACGGAAGAGTTACCGGGATACCCATCGGAACCGATATCCGTTTGCCGGTTTGACTATAGAGACTTCTCCAATCTGGCGGACTGGATGAAGAGAGAGGGCTATGAACGACGTCGGAAATACGCTACTATTTAAGCGGAGGACAGGTGTGTGCTTGCCTTCATGAAGAAGCAAGGTGCATCCACAGAATCCTATTAGCAAGCTCAGGGTAATCAGAGGCAACAATAAGCGTAGTAAAATTGTATCACAAATAGGAAGGGCAAGTAGCGGGCTCTTGTTCTTCGTACCGTACACGTGATACGGAGTTCATTAGCATAAATCATCTGCAGGAATCATCAGGAGGCAGCATTGCAGTAGTCTTCTCTAGGTCATGGCCAAGGTCTTATCAACGAATGCCTCAACTAAATGGGTATCAAAAATTCCACGCTCAGCAGTATTTCCCCAATCGAAGGCCGTCAACCGCTTGCAAGACAGCAGATAGATCAGTCCCCCTCAGTATGGGCCAAAAGGGTCACAGGGAACTCCACCTCACTCCTGCAGACCCTCGTCCCACCCACCCTGCTCGACCAAAAAAGCCTCAACCCTCTCCCTACACCCCCTCAGCTCCCCTCCCAGCGCCTCCTCCCACAGCCCCTCAACCACACTGACCTTCTCCTTCAGGTCCTCCGTGAGTCTCGCATCCTCATCGCGTCTCACATCCCTCATCTCCCTATCGACGGCCGCATAGTCCTCCCCCTGCAACAACCTCTGCGTCTCCAGTAACTTGCTATTCGCCGCCACAACCCCCGTCTTGACCTCATGCAGCAAGCACAGCAGATTAACCTGGCTCTCGATAAACTGATACGCGCTCTTCTCCGCATGCTTCAGCAGGCTGTACAGGTACTGCAGCGGCCACTCGTGATACTGTGGGTTCTCCGCATACTCCTCGCGCGGAATCAGCACCTCGCACGACTCGAGGCTGAAGGGGACCCGCTGCACCACCGCTAGCAAGCCGGGCGCGATGTCCCAGAACGCGGAAAGCTGCACCTCGACGCCGCGCGTGACGTTGGTCTCGACGGCGCCGAGGAAGTCCTCCCAGCGGCGCAGGGCGGCGGTCTCGAACGCGACGCGCCGGTCTTGGGTATCGCGCGCGAAGAAGTGCTCTGCTTCGCGCACCTTTTCGGTGTTGCCGGCCGCCTTGTACGGCGTCAGGACAACCTGCTTGTAGCGGTCGTTGCGCAGATTCTCAAGCTCGAAAAGCTCGGCGTGGAGCTGCTGACGGGTCTCGAAGTACCATTTGAGCAGGGTTAGTTTCTCGAGGAGTTCGGGCTGCTCGTCGCCTTCTTCCTGGGCTTGGTTCGGGTCCGTGTCGTGGGTCGAGGAGAAGAGCGAGGCGCGGAGATGGTCGATGGACGCAGAGGCCTTGGTGATGCGCTCCGAGAAGAGGGCGTAGAGGGACGTGAAGACTGTGGTCTGGAAAGCTTCGAAGTCGGCCTGCACTTGGTCTTGACTGCGCTTGGCCTGGCTGGCTTCGAAGTCGGCTTCGGCTTTTGCGGCGTCGGCGAATGACATCAGTCCGTTCCGGATGTTTTCTTGGATGTTGTGGCGGAATTGGCTGCGGAGGTCGTCGGTGGCGGCTTTTTGTTGTTCGCGTTGGGTCTCGGTCTTCTTCGTGTAGGCTTCTTTAGTGGCGGTGGCGTCTTCGAAGTCGCTTAGCGTTCTATGTATGGCCCTGATGGGGGCAAGGTCTGGATGGTTGTTGTTGACCGCAGGATGATGGCGAGGATACGGCGGTGGAAGAGTGACCAGGCGCGACACATCTAGCTTGTGAGGATCAGGCGTAGCCAGAGATGAGTGATTGTGGTATTTTGGAGTCGGCTGTGGTGGGGGCGATGACCCGTCCGTATCGTGCAGTCCGACCTTTTCGAGAGGATATTCGTCTGGGCCATACAGCATAGTCTGGGTACTTGGACCAGGGGTACCGCCCTCGTGCGGGGAAGTACGGTCGTTGTACCATTGCAAGGTTTCTCTGGCTTCGCGCGGTACTCCCATGTATTTCGACTCCCGTTTGGTCCGCTGAACCTTCCCGCCTCGGCCAACTGATCCACTGGCACTATCTTCCCACCAGCGACTCGAAGATCTGCCACGTGACGCCTCTTCGTCGTGAGCTGTGCTGACGCTCATGCTAGGTATTGGCGAAAGACAAGGCTGGAAGGCGGCCCATGTTTGGCTTTCACCTCGCCCCCGGGTTTGACTTGAGACACTTGCAGGAGAATCGGGCTCCGTTCTGGGTGTAAAGCTCGCGCTGGACGGACCAGAGCTTGTTCCGGTGGGCTGGGAGGGAGTGTCGTTCTCGGTCGAGGATCGCGATCTCCATGTCTCTGCTGCTGACTTTGGACCGCTGCTACCTGGCGTCGTTGGGCGTCTGCCTGTGCCACTGTATGGTCGCCACATGTCTCGTGTCAAGTCCAGAATGTCGCTTGCCATAGAATCAAACGCTGTTGAGTACCGGTCACGACGCAGTCTCGACTCGTTAACAATAAAGGCCGCGAAGAGCTCTAGTCGTTCTCGATCCGTTGGGGCTGCCATTTCTTTCTCGATGAAGGCGCGATGCCGCTCGAATGAAGATTGCGCAAAATCATCGTGATGGCTAGCTTTGTGCGCTTGCGCAGGCAAACCCGCTGGGGCTGCTTTCGACGGAATGAGAGGAGCGAGTGTAGTGACTTCTTCGTTTGGCGAGTGCAATATGTGTGAAAGGGGCCGATCCTGAGACTGGTCTGACAGCACCGGCAAAGTTGACTTCGAAACAGGGAGCTCGGTGACGTGCCGTTGTAGCGGCGGAGTGGGTAGAGTCTTTGGCGGCACCGCTGGTGAGGCTTTACTGCGCGCATGGGCTTCGAATGCCTCCATTGCTGGAGAAAATGGGGGTGTAGGCGCAAACACCTCTGGAGACATGACACGCTGGGCTAGGTTCATGCGAGGCGTCGAGTGATTCGAGTCTGGTGTCTGTAGCTCGCCGTAAGACTTCTTCGGTCTTGCGCTGTGTGGTGTATCAAGAGGTGAGTATTTCTTAGCGCTCTTAGGACTAGTCTTTACTGCATTACGCCGCTGGCATATCGCCCCGTTCGATGAGGCGAGAACCAGATTGGCAGGTTTGGCAGCCTCCATGTCACGCGCCCAGGGATTGTTGCTCGGCTCAACCGCACTTTGTGCTTCGACCCGCTCGCGGGCAGCCCTACTCTCACTTCTTCGTTCTCGGATGCCTTTTGCGCTTGAATCCCGTTTGGCTCCAGTTCGAGCTAATCCGCTTGTGGAGACTGAACTCGTGTGGTTGACGGGGGTCTGGGTCGCGTCCGCCATCGTCGTGTCAGCCTCCGCTACGCTGCTTGTGTCTATGCGCAGGCCCGTGTTACCAGATGGTCCAGAGTGGTCCTGCTCAACTTCTTCAACCCAGTCGGCCGGCGTCGGTGGCACAGGCCCAAGACTTGACCCGATTTGGGCAAGCCTTCGAGGCGCTGGTGCCGCTATAGACGTGTCAGGGTCTCGTGAAGAAGACCGAGAGTGTTCCGTCCGGCTCATGCTCTGCGATCTGGCGCCACTGGGTGGAGGTCCAGGTGGTGGAGGTGGAAGCGGCATGCCTGGCCCCCAACCTGTAGCTCTCGGCGGTGACTGCGACTCCGCCCTGCTTCTTGATGATTCCCCCGAAGTGCCAATGGCTCCCGTAGATGCAGCCCTCCGAGCGGCTGGTGCGCGCGGTTGGTTGTCTGGGCTCCAATTGCGCTCATTATACTGCGAGCTGGACGCCAAATTGCTTGATGTATGTTAGTATGATATCAGACTAATGGCTAACCGAACTTACGCTCGCTGGAATTGTAAGCTTGGCCCTGGCCTTCTAGTTGAAGCTTCGGATGTATCCTGGCGCGGTACATCTATCACATTGAGGGCTGTCTGGTCTGCTGGTCTGTTCCTGGAGGCGAGGGCCGACAAGTTGAAGATCGAGCGTTGTCCATCAGGTCTCGTCCTTGAGCTGGATCGATCGCGTGTCGATGGAGGGGGCGGAGGAGGGAAGGCAAGCGCAGATCCTGGATTGGGGGAGCCATGGGCAACACTCGCTCCTGATACCGCCCGGTTGTGTCCATATGCGCTGGGAGGTGCATTCGACATGGAGGCAAACGAATTCGCATTGATTGTCTGGCTGGACGGGAAAGTGGTAGGCGACGTATGCTGTGAGGCAGAGAACGCGCTGCTAGTCATTTGGGGAGACGCATGTATAGTTTGATTTACACCGTGAGAGGAGTGCGGAGTATACGGCGGAGGAGGAGAGGGCATTGCAGCTATAGACATCTACACTTAGCGTTCGGAACCCCCCAGCCGTTTTTCAACAGGATTGAAAAGACTGAGAATGAACGCGTTGCTGCTAGACAGAGTGTTGGCATGCCACGATTGTGGCCTCCGCGCCCGAAGAGATCGATTCGAAAGGAACAGGCATACGAAAGCGCGATAAATTACCTTCCATGCCAGTGAACTCTCGGGGCCTGTTCGAGACCGCTGGTGAAGCCGTATGAGGCACATATGCTCCACTGACCGGACCGTGGCGACTCCATTCTCCAGGATTATATGGCGCTACAGGCGTAGGTGCCACTCGTAGAGCCATTGGTGAAGAACCTCGAGATGCCGACGATGGCACAGATGAAGGATTCGAGGATGCCCAAGGGGAGAATGGCGCGTTTATGGAGGTTGTTGAGGCAGGTGTTTGCAGGTACGCTCCGTGTTGCACAGCTTGAACAGCCAGCGCAGTGGAAATTGTTGGAGGTCGTACAAGGGCACGCCGTACGCCTACTCCTGGCGCAAGAGCAGGCGGAGGAGGAAGGTTGGGAAAACCAGAGCCATATTGTGAGCTCATGGCGAGATCCGTCGAGTTAGGTATCTGAGACTCGGAAGCGCGCAGCGGCTGCCGCGACCAGTTTCAGCGGTGCGCGCGGGCGACCGGTTTGAAGAGGCTGCAGCTCATGACTGTCGAGGGCGAGTAAAATCAGCCCATTGATGCCAGTGTCGCAGTGATTCCTCTAGCATAGAAGCCGGGGAAGGATAGATCAGAACACTCTATGCGTGTGATGTGTGATGTGCCTCAGTCCTCCGCTAACGCGGCGGAGATTCGCCCAATCCATGGCGTCGGACACGGGTGACGGATAGGCTTGGCCTGCCGATTCTATTCTTTGCTCGGCTAGCCCTGGAAGCGTGCAAGCGTGATGTGCCGGCACTTTCGTCCCAGCCCTCTGGCAAATGAGGGCGAGACAGGCGGTGATGGATGGGGGAGGCTTGCGAGGGGTGGCTGCAGCTGCGAGGTGCTCCAACAACTCGGCGCTTAACCAGCCCTAACGTAAGTTTGCTGACTCTTGGTGGGGAACCTCTTCAAGCAGATGGGATGACAAGGACTTCAGGACAACGGAACGAGCTGATCAAAGAGCGTTGGGACGCCTCATCACCTGCGCCTGAGGCTCTATGCGAGCATGGTGGGTGATACAGCGTTAGATAAGAGGTACAGAGGCACAGCAGGACGGCAGTTGACGGCCTGGCACGCGCCGATGCCGGATTGTGTATATATCAGAATGAGAGGAAGCGATCGCACACGAAATTGCGTATATATGTTCGTGGTTACGCGCGTGAGTTCATTCATACCTAGGTGGCCTAGATGGCGCTTGAAAAGGAACAGCAGTTCTGCGCTTCGGAAGGACTTCAACGCCGCGATGCTCTTTCGTATTTACATCACTGGAAAACTAACGAGGTCTCAAAACTGATATACCCGCACTCCATCATTTAGCGTATTTCTTGTGGATGTCAATGACCTTCTGCACTTCGTCATAGCTTCCCAAGAACACGCCGGACCTGTCATGGATATGCTCGGGTACAACTTCTATCAGTCTCTCCATCTTGCTGTTGACGGCTTGGCCGCCAGCTGTATGGTTGTCAGTGTGCATACTCAGAGGCAGTGTAAAGGACGACATACCATTCTCAAAGACCAAGGCCATGGGGGCACACTCGTACAGAATCCGTAGCTTGCCCTTGGTGCTCTTCTTGTCCGCCGGGTACGCGAATATGCCTCCATACAGCAGGGTCCTGTACGCATCTGCGACCATCGACCCGATGTATCTAGCACTGTAAGGCTTGCCGCCATCCTTCTCGGGGTACTTCAAGCTGTTGATGTACTCCTTCACCGGCTCTTCCCAGTACAGGCTGTTGCCCTCGTTCACGGAGTAGATGGCCCGCTTCTTCGGCATCCGCATGTTCGGATGAGTCAAGATGAACTCGCCTAGCGCGTTGTCCATTGTGAAGCCGTTCACAGTACCGCCCCTCATCGTGATGACGAGCTGGGTCGACGCGCCGTACATGGTGAAGCCGCTGGCCACCAGGTCCGTTCCCGGCCTGAGCAGATCTTCCTTGACGCCCTTTGCGTCTCTGGGCAGCTTGAAGACGCCGAAGATGGTACCGACCGAGACACCGGCGTCGAGGTTCGAGGAACCGTCAATAGGGTCGCAGACCACGGCGTATCGGGCATTGGGGTGTTCTTCGAAGACGATCAGGTCCTCTTCTTCCTCGGAAACCATACACTTCACTCTTCCTGAGCTCTTCATCGCGGCTATGAAGAGGTCGTTACCGATGACATCGAGCTTCTTCTGGTCGTCCCCTGTTGTGTTTGAGGAGCCAGCGAGACCCGTGAGCTTGCAAAGCTGGTCAGTTTCTCTCTGACGCGGACGCTGGGAGATCAGGAGCTCACATTGATGAGTGTGGACCGTCGGATGTAGTATGCGATGCTCTTGAAGGAGAATTGGAGGGCATGGCACAGAAGCCTGCACTCAGGGTGTCAGCAAGGGCCAAGTCATATGTAGCATGGAGCCACGTACGTGAAGTCTCCGGTAGCCTCTTTGTGCTTCGTCTGCTCTTCAGTAAGGAACCTGGTAAGTGTCACAATGTCTGTGTTGATCTTCTCCGCTCCAACGGCGCCGCCTTCACCACTGCTGTTGCCGTTCGCACTCATAGTTGGCGTGGTAGTATGGAGGCAGCGGTGCTAGGTAAGGAATCGAACTAGATTGCAATTGACTGCGCAGATGTCGGCTGCTACAAGAAGGTATATCAGGTGGATGTCGGGCACGCGGAGCTGTATTCGGTAGACTCTGGCTGGATAGTCCGTGGAGGGCCTCGGTAATAGTCAATGGGAGGTAGGTTGAGGGCGTGGTACTGGGCAATGGTGTACTCTCAGTTCGTCAAGGAGGATGCTGGAGGTGTCTTGACAGCCGGAGCAATTGAGCGACCCTTCTCATTATGTACTGGATAGCGCTACACCTGTCGCATTCACGCAAATGACGGTCCCAAGGCCGCATGTGGGGAGCGAGGTTGTGCTGCCCCGCTCATGCCTCTCCCGAAACGCCCGCCGATGAAGGAGCACGCCCCGAGTTTCTCCGCTTACTCTCGGGTCTGGCGAAGGGGCTGAACATATTTCCCTTCTTGCATGGCAGAGGCCGCTCGAGATAGGCGACCCTGATATATGAAGACGCTTGCAACGCAGGTACTCGTAAGGGTCGGGCTGCTGCTCGGGGCAGTTTGAATGTTGCGGATAAATTCGCGCCGAGGCTTCAGATTCAGATGCTCAGCAGCTTCGGTAACAATACCGCGACTCGACAGTCTAGACTGGGCTCAACGAAGACCACAGCAGCTTACCGGCCGCTACACTTTCTACCTGTCTAGATAGATAACATTGGACGTGGAAAATACACGAAGATGGACCGGCGCAGTGATGGACCCTATGACGGTTTTATATCACGTGAGCCGGCCACTAGCGCAGGAAGCTCAAGCGAGACATCAAAAACTTTTGAGCCTCAGCTTCTTTCAACCTCACAACTCGTCCAGCGCGGAAGCTACGCCGTCTCCAGATTGCAGTCATGAGGCCTTGAACCCCAGGTATATTCTCACCTGGCAGCAGCTTCCGATGGCATGAGCAGTATCGGGATATGTAGGCCTACAGCGCCTGCGAGTCCTTACGGTCTCACAATTCTTTACCACCTCTGATGGCCACTTGTCGGGTGAATGCTGTGCCCTCAGAAGCCCTCTCCTCAGCGTAAATGGTAAGATTGGATTTCATTTTTACTTCCCTCCTCACCTGATGATTTGTCAAACCGCAAAACTAGAGTCTTTGACCTCTACGGAGGAATGAAACTTCTTTGCACACGTCAGTCTGAAAAACTACCGAAGACGCACAACACCTGCTCATGCCTGTGCAAAAGCTCCGCATACTAATGCTGTGTTCTTTTAGATGATGCCGCAAGCGGGGCTCAAAGCCTGTTACACGTCGTTGCGCCGTCCGAGTCGGGGTTACGTTCACTTCGAGCCGACAATCAGTCGACGGACCACACACACGCCTAGTAGCCTCGCAAAGCTGTATATATTCGTGCAAGCTCATCAGTACGCCCACGAGCTTGCTCAACCAGGTGCGGAAGCAGTGTTGGCATACTCAACCGTGGCAGCTGAGCGTCGAACACTGTACGTCTAGCCTACCTCTCGCTTCCCATGCTTCCTCTCATATGATGATTTTTCGTACGATGTACGCTGGAAATTACCGTCTGAGACCTTCGGTCTTTGACGACACCAATAGGCTGTTTCTGATCTTGTTTAATCTTTCGCATCCACTCCATCTATTTGCTGCGCAGTAATACTGACTGCAATCCGCTAGACACATGCTCGACTGAGCAGAAAAGTTAGTACACTCTGCCACCTGACCCTCCCAGCGATCCTCCTATCGCACATCTTATGATGAATGGCAGCACTGGGCTCCGAAAACTTTTCATGAGCGATATGCCACATTGCGGCAGGCCTAGAAAACCTCGCCCACTGAACCCATCGCGTGCTCTATCCTCGCCTACTGGTCTCGCTTGATGGCCTCGCTGATCTTGTCGGTCTTCTCAGAACCGATTCCCGGTCACCATGCCACCCCTAAACGAGCACATAGCCGCGCCTGCCATCGCATCCGAGGCCCCATGCGCTCTCCGCTGGTTGCGTGGACCCTGTTACCCGTCTGTACCTCGAGTAAGTCTGTCCTTTGATCTCAGCCAGAGCACGCTCTGCTTCTGCTTCTTGATGAACACTAGATGACGAGTCTGATACGGTCTCACCGATGCGGACAACCTTTTTTTATACCATTCATGCATTTTCTGATTGCAGCATCTCAACAAGACTTTTCTCTATTTAGTCTCCTTGCAGAGACTGACGTGGATCATTACAGACTTATAGCGATGTTTTCCCCAGCGGCCGCTCCTGCAGGCAGTTCTACGAACAAGCAATTCCAGCTTGGATTCCTTCATTGGGTATCTTGGCGAACCAGGAGCTTATCGTAAGTCGACCCAACCACTCAGAACATGCCTTTGCTCGAAATAGAATTACGAGTGGGCCGCGGGGCTCTTCCTGTTCACGAGGTAAGATCACGCCCTGATATCTTACCCTTAACAACACACTCTCCTGATGATTCGACTTTACAATTGACAAGCATATGTCCAAGCTGCCTTGACCGGTGGCGAAGACGAGACTGTCCTGGCTGAATGCGATTCTGATCTTGCTCACTCTCCTAAATTGTCTCGGGCGCTCACGCTGACTTAAGTCACGTGCAGGAATCTCCAAAACTCTTGTCAGGTCGCAACCAAAGGGTCTCTCAATATCTGCCATCTACATGGCCGTCTTGGTACGTTGTAAACCATCATCCCCGAATCTCTTCCCTGCTGCTCAAAGGATGAATCATTTTACAATCTCACGACGGTCGGCATAGCTACAAGTTAGCATTGATGAGATTGCCCTTGACCGGGCTTTGATCTGATACCCGCAGCAACGTCCCAACACTCGTTCCATACCTCACAACCTTGTGGAGGCCAGTCGCTGACCGCTCTGGCACAGGAGTATAATTCTCCCTCAAAATGGTAGCAGAGCCTGAATGGAGCAAGTAGGCCTAGTTATCCAAAATATAGATGAAACGAACACTCTACCATGAGCAACGAGTTCGTTTTAGAATGATGCGAATGCCAAATGGTGTTATTCTCTCCCCTTTGCTGTGATGAACTTTTCAGGGTGAATTCAATGTGACCCCCGGCTCTGTGCTGGCTGCAGTACCTTCCGAAGATAATGGATCCTCTGCCGCGCCCGCCTTCTGTACCTGATCCGTGTTTGTTACTTGCTGTGGCCAGCTCGAATGAGAAAGAGGCATTAGGTACGTCCTGCCTGCTTGTTCCCTACAGCTCGTTCTCGGAGCTCCCTTATTGCAGCCAACTCCTCTTATCTCCCTTCTCATAGCTTTCTCGTGCACTGTTCCCCAACCCTCATTGCCCCCCGCTCATCCTCGCCCTCGCCAATCCTTCTTGTTACTCCCTCATTCGCTCTTACAAACGCCCTCACGGCCAATCATAACCCACCTAAGCCTCACAACTATAAGCTCCTCTTTTCCGTATGAGCCCACTCCGGGGTACCACATCGCTCACCGTTGAACTTCACACTCATAGAGATCACTACATATTCGACCACTTCGACTCCAACCAAAGCACCTCCACCGACATCAACTTCGTTCAAGTCCAAGCTCCCCCCATCCGAACGACCTCTCCGGCCTGTACATCCGTGTGCTGTGTACAGCTCGCACTCTCGGCTCATCTCGCAATCCCAAGATCATGCGGAAACTCAGAGGTTTTTGGCTCTCTACGGCTATCGCTCGCACACACCTTGCAATGCCACCCCCTACGTTCGCTGCGGCTGCAGCTGGAACCACCGCAAACTCCACACGCGCCGATGGTGGTGGAGCGAGTTAGGTTTCCATCACACCAGTGAAAGGGTGTTGAGCGCCATTGAACTTCCCAAACGGCGTACGTCGAGGACGGTGTTTCAGGTGCTCCGCATTCTTTACCTACGAGATGCCTGAGGAAGAGAAAGAGAGGGAAGAGGGTAGAGTGGAGGTTTGGGAGGTGCCAGTATACCCGGTCGATTCGTGCGCCGAAGTACTTGCGCACTGTTTCTGCAGAAGACAGGAGGAGAAGGGTCCGGGACGCGTTGAAGAGATATTTTGATGGGGCAGTGGTGATGTGGCGCAGAGCGCGACCTGTCCTGTAGCAACTTCCTGTGGTTATACATGGTGGGTTCTTCTCGTCCTGTCGCAGCCCGGTTTCCGGCGGAGAGTACTGACGGAGCCAATGTCCCCGACACCAGAGAGAGAGAAAGCATGTCCGAGCAAACACCAGTCATACCAGCAAAACCGGGAAGACAGGCGACGCAAGCAACGTGAAACTCTAACCGCGAGTCTCGGCGACCCGATGTAATACGCCTAGCTCATCCCAATCCCGATCGGCTCGTCGAGCGCCAAAGAGATCACGGGGTATTCCTCAGTGCATGGATGCGGTGCTGCCCAGGCATATTACTCAAAGCCTTCACGCCGCCTGTTGGGTCATGCCTCCTCTTCTTCAGCTCTGCTTTCGCGTCGGTGCTAGACTCGAGATCCTTTCAGGCCCACATGTGGCGAAGAAGATGCCGCAAGGAAGCTTATGCATAGATGACGAGGAGCACACGGAGCTGAGTATTGCGTCCAGATTCTCCACGAGCCTGTTCGTGCTGATCGCATATTGGCGACGCTGTAGCCCATGGGAGGTGGCGTAAATCTTCTGCTCGGTGCTCGTACGGCAGACCGGAGCGGTAGTCGTGCTGCGGCAACATGGCGAGAGAATTTTCGGAGCGTGATGAGGTAAGAGACATTGGCTGAAAGCTGTTATTCAGGCTAAGCTGACATCGACATACAGCATAGAGATTGTCTCTCCAGTCCACCGCGGAGCTGACGGCGAGAAACTCGAGCGCAAGATCCATTTTGTCTTTACGCATCTTCACAATGAATTCGAGAGCACGCAGCACAACAGCTGTAGCACACACGTCCACATCGGCAAGCTAGGCGAATGGCGCAAGGAAGGCTTGAAGAAACTTGCGAAAGGATGGCTCTGGTGGGAAGTACAGACAAGAAGCAGGACGACGCTTGGATAACAGACTGGAATGGCAGTATTGCGGAGCTGAGAGAGGCGGATGGCTTCAAGTCATGGCCATGGTGGGAAAATAAGATAGGGGAAGCGATGCCCTCTAACAGGAAGAACTGTATCTGGGCTATGCCAAATTCACTATTCGAATACGATGACAGCCGGAAGAACAGCCGCAGAATGGCTAGACTCTACAGAAAGGCGATAGAAGACAAGTCTTTCGCCGAACTCTTCGCGTTCGTAGACAGATTGCAAGACCTCGAAGACCTGATGGACCGCATGGCAAAACACTGTTACTCATCTTAGGATCTCCATAAGATGCACCAACGACGCAAGACAGTAGACTTTCGCCGGCCACCGCGGTCGATAAGCGCAGAGGGGGTTAGAAGCACTGGACAGCTTTGACGCTGCAGTTTCTGGAAGCTGCGGGCGCCTGCAAAACACAACAGAGGACCGCGAGACGGACTCGTCACAAACAGAGCACAACCGCCTCAGACAAGAAACCCGCCAAGCACTTGAAGGCGGACCACTCCAAACGCCTTTCAAAGACGTTCAATACCTACTAGAGGCCTTCATCCGGAGACTTGAATCAAAGAAGCAAGCATAGAGCGACGTATACTCCAGCAGAAGTAAATCCCAGCATTTCTTAACCAACTCCCCCTCCTCTTCTCGGAACCTAAGATCCGAACACAGCACCAGCAGTCGAGGCCACGGTAATCGAGGAGGACGAAGGTCCAACTTCAATCACCGCGACCAAGATGGGCAGCGCTACGACAGCAATACTAACAGTTCCCACTCTTACTCAAAGACCACTATTTACAAACCAAAGCCACACCGATCGCGAAGCGCAAGACTTGGCCGATGAAGCGTGGGAGTCGGCTGAGCGATCATCAAGGAATTTTCGCCCAGAACACACTATTTACGGCACGCTGCTGGAATTACTAGCAAACCAGCAAACGTCCCTCGGCGGTCCATCGCGAGCAGGCGGGTACTCAATTTTGGTAGAGAAGAACGGAAACGCAGAAGACAATACATCGAGCGCAACCTATTACACCAATACCCTGTGCTACAGGGGCCGCAGACACGATTAGTTTAGTATTTCACCACCATCAATCATTCAATCCACTGAATCTCATCGAATGGTAGCTAAACCCTGTAGAAAAAGACTGTGGTTACCGGGTATGCGGAGATAGTGATGACCTGGTTGCAGTATGTCACGGCACAAATGGCTGACACGTTGCCATTCACTCCAGCATGGACTTCAAGTAGGTAAGTGAGGAGCAATTAGCAAGAAAGAGCCGCCTGCAACACTTTGGCAATTCGCCTGTTGGTCTATTCAATCAGGACGCTCCCCTACTTCACCGAGTCCCCTCCTACTTCACCAAAGTCTCGCATGCTCCCATAGTCTTAGTCTCCTCTTTACGCCCTCGCCATTTGTGTTCTCTCTATCTTCTACAACTCTCCGAACTCTCCGTCCCGCACCAGCTCTGCCCAAACAAACAACGAAAAGCCATCCCATACTGCGATCACAGATATTCAAACCCTCGCTTTATCCAACACTCGAACGCGCCTTCACTCCAGTTCAGTATCGCCATCCAAAAACTTTCTTGTCCGATATCCAGTACTGCAATTTCCTTCAAACGATGTCAATCGCTCCGAGTCAGGCTCCTCGCGCTCAGCGCATGCTCGACACCGTCCACAACAATGAGGCGGGCAAAGAAATCTCGACCGCCTCGACCGCCTCGACCGCCTCGACCGCCTCGACCGACCGGTCTCGTTCCTTCCCATTCATGGACCTCCCCACCGAGCTCCGCTTCATTATCTACCGCATCTGTCTCGCGCGCCCAAAGCCGATTTTGCTGTACACTCCAAGCGCGCAACCCGCACCCGATGCTGGCCAAACCCGCACCATCACGCAGCAAGCCCGCCAACGTGTTTTACAGCAGAGCCAGCAGCAGTCACAGCGAGCACAGCTCGCCCAGCAACAACAAATACTACAACTGCAACCCGTCCTAGTCCTGGACGCACCCGAGCGTCCAACCGGACCGATGCTGCCACCGCCAGAGTCCGTGAACGACGACCCCCTGGTCCCCGCGCTGCTCGGCGTGAGCCGCACCATCTACGCAGAAGCAAAACCCATCCTCTACAACGACAACAGCCTCCACATCCCCCTCAGCGACGACACCCTACGCAAGCTCCCACAGCGCACCCGCTCCCAGCTGCGCCGTGCGCGCATCTCATACCACTCCGACCGCGCGACCGCGCGCGCATTCGGCGACGCGGTCCGGCTGGGGCTGCGCTACTGCTGGGGCCTGCAGAGCGCGACGGTCGTGATGCCGACGTCGTGGATGGCCGACCCGAGCGGCAGGATGTTCGCGGCCGACTTTCGCTGCCTGTGTTGGCTGCCGAGGGCGTGTCGGGTTGTGCTTGAGGGGGAGGCGAATGCGCAGGTCAAGGCGGTCGTGGAGGCGCGGGCGAGGTTGGCGGAGACGGCGGATGAGGAGACGTGGGCGCGGCTTCCGTTTGCGCGGTTCTGAGACCGGGGGTCGGGGGCCTGCTGGCTTGTGGGGGGAGGTGGTGGGATGGAAGAGGGGTTGAGGACGGGGATGATGACTGGTATGCGTGCGGCTGCGAAGTCTTGGGGATAGGGATGGGGACTGCGAGCTTGAAAAGATTTTGGAATGATGGGACAGGGTAGGTTGAAGGTCGGGGAAAGACTGATAGACTGGGAGAGATGCTATGCGGTTGAGCTTCTGGGTGGCGGAGAGGCTGGCGCTGTTGCATTTTCTGGTTTTGCTCTGAACGGAGATTTGTGCAGTGGGCTGTGGTCTCCTGATCGCGCAGTTTGCAGCGGCTGGCGTTAACACTACCAACATACCACCAAACTTCACTCTGCTGGCGCTCGTGGTTATAACTGCATGGACCACTTCCAGGGATTGGAAGCCGGTTGATGGAATATGACCAATGAATCAATGAAGACAGTTCCAGAGATGCGATGAACAATTACTTATAGGCCCAATTTAGCCACTTTCGTCTTACCGTAAAGAGCTCGAGCCCAACAGAGCCGTTATATACCCCATCCCGTATATCTGACTGGTAGCTAGTCACGTTGAGTAGGAGATTCGCCAGACTCCCATCATCACCAGCGCCTCCACATTTCAAAGTCATCAAAACAGCTACGTCGTATTCATACCTTACAGATAGCTCGACCGGAAAGGCTTTTGCCCAGTTCACTTCGACTATGCGAAAGCTTGCAGAAGGGGCCAGGACTGATATATCGCGGCAAGTGTAGACATTGAGTCCGAGAGATTTCCCAACACATAAGGAAGTCGCGTCGCACCATGGATCGGTCGTCACGTGCTCGGACGCCCAACCTCGAGATGGGTTTATTTCGGAGCGCCTGACGGGGGCGAGGGGGACCTCGTGTAGTCCCCAGCTTGCTTCTGTGTACGAAAAACTCAGGAACACGGTATGCTAGCCCAATGACGCGATAGACAGGTTCTCACACCAATCAACTTGAACCAGCGGTTGGCTGCGTGAAAGAATTGGAGTAATGCTGTGTCTTCGCCTTATAGCGACCAATGGAGATCCCAGCAAAGAACGCAGGGAGTAGACAGGTTACGAATGTAGAATAGGATGCGCCTCATAGCGCCAAGCGAGAGGCATACCTACAAGGAGTCGCCCCCCTTTGGCGTAAACACTCAGTAGAGAACACCCGAGCTGATCATCCGCGCAAACAAGCACTCCTCTATAGGAATGCCTAAACCCCCAGCCCGCCCCGGTCCCAATCGCTCGCGTAGAGAATCTTCAAGCCATCGTAATCATTCGCGAAACACATTTGACACACGCCATTCAGCCCCCAATACTCTTCCATGCTCCCTTCAGTCGAAATCCTACAAATCAATCAAGCTCCCCTGCTGCTGATGCTGCTGCTGATGTTGCTGCTGCTGCCCGCCCCCTTGCTGCCCCCCAAACGGATTCCCCCCTCCATACCCCCCCGCCGGTCCCGTCTGCGCCGGCATGATCCTGTTCTGCTGCGGCAACCCCGTAAACTGTGAATTCAGGAAAGGGTTGTTCCCCGTCGCGTTTGCGGTAAGTCTGTTCGCCCCAATCCCCGCCGAATTCACAAACGTGCCCGGCGCCGTGTGTTGCGCGGGGATGCGCAGATTCCCGACGTTGCCGAACGTGTCCTGGCCTTCGCCGGCGGCGAGGAGGGCGTTGAGGTGCGCGTGGGCCGGGTTTTGGTCGCGTGGGGGCTGTTGTTGGGGCTGGGAGGGGAAGGCGGGGAAGGAGGTTGAGGGGGTTTGTTCGGCTAGGGTGCTGAGGGTTGGTGCGCGCTGGGAGGGTTGGGTGGTGGGTTGGGGTCGCGCGAGGGAGGAGGCGAAGGGGTTGTTTGAGCCTGTTGGTTGGGGCTTTACGGACTCTTGGGGCTGGGGAGTGGCCCAGGGGTTGTGGCTGCCGGGCTGGAGGGTGGGTTGCTGTTCCAGGGGCGCGGCTCCGAAGCCGTTTGGTTGTTGGTAGGGGTTGTTCATGCTGAAGGCGGTTGTCTGGGGCTGCAAGTAGTTTTGCTGTGACGGGTATTGATCGAAACCCGCCTGCTGCGGCTGTTGCTGGTATGCGCCGTACCCGTAGCCGTTCTGGAAGCCGGTTTGCTGGCCTTGCATGCCTGTTGGAGTTGAGTATGCGTTGTTCAAGAAGCCGGTGTTCTGGGGCTGCTGCGTGTCCACGAGATTTCCGAACCAATCGACCGCTCCCTGCTGCTGGTAGCCCTGGTTGTAGCCGGTCGGTTGCGATGCCGCAGGCTGAGCAGGAGTGTCGTCGAAGAGTGACGCAGCGTTCGTCTCTTCCAGCTCCCTCCTGCGCAGCTCCTCCTCTTCTCTGCTCAGCCGTATGGCCTTCTCAAGGTCATCGTCGTCCGGTGAAACCCCCGAGTTCCTCTCGCGCCTCTTTCGATCCTCCTCCGCTTCATTTTTGCTGGCTTCGATCGCCAGCTTGTACTCGAGATCCTCATCGTCTGTTCGCTTGGGTCGGTTCTCACGCTCCTTGTGGCGTGGCCGTGCGGGCTCTCCGCCGCTTCCGTAGCCTGGCGGCGCAAACTCGTCGATGCCGGTGACGCGCGATTTCCAGGATTTCCGGTCTTGTCGCTCGGCGCGCAATCGCTCCTCGTCGAGAATGAGGGAGGTGAGCTCCTTGGCAGAGACTCTCACTGTAGAAGTGTACATTAGCTGCTGCCCCCTTGCCATGCTGGCGTAATGACAAACCATTCTGTCCAACATCTCTGCCGTCCTCGTCAATGTATTGGAACTCCCTCAATGTCTTGATGATGTAGACGTTCTTGCGCGCCCAGGTAACCACGAGCTCTGATCCTTCATGCAGGCAGTAATCCAGGACCTTCAACGACTTGAGGACATGGCGCCAATTCTTGCCCTTGTCATTGAGTCGCTTATCTAGCATGTCCATTATCTGGTAGAAGTCGGTTGAGCTGTCCAATTGTCAGTCAGAGTGGACTTGTAGATGCGTCGAGAGTGCGCCGTACTTGTTGAAGGTCATCTGGGCGATCTCCGCCATATCGGAGCCGACTGGACCCCACGGGTCATTGCTCGTTGCTGTAGATGTCAGCGGATATCTTAATCATAAGGATGACAGCGCCGCCAGCTCTTACCATTTCTGACCTTCACTTCCACCGAAGAGTAGCCCTTGGTGACATTCTTTACGCTCCTCACGACCTTCGACATGGCGCCTGTGTGATAGTCGGTAGAAGCCCCGCTGCGCACCGGTAAGTCGAACGGAGGAAGTGCCGTGGTAAAAATATCTCTGATATATCAGGCGAACGTGCGAGGTTGATGGTGTTTAAGCGGATGGCGAGCCGATAGCTGAAGTGGGCGGTGACGCAGTGTTGGTGAGCGCTTTCGTGTAGCTCGGCCGCTGAAAGGTTCGGCGCTATTGTGCGGTGGAGTGCTAGAGTGCAAAGAGTGGCGAGAGCGGCGAGAGCGGCGATTGTGAGTATGCGAGCGCAAGTGGTCTCGTACGAGTGTGTGGGCTGTGCATCGATGTTGGAAGTCGGCGAAACGAAGGGCTCCAAGCTCTGCGGAGTCGTAATGACGAGCCGGGGGGCCGCCGGTCGCCGCTTGGTTCGGCACGCTGTGGCTGAGAAACCCTGGCGCACGTGTACGCCAAGTAAAAGGTGGCCGTGCCGGTCAGTGAACTTGTTCAGGAATCGTGTTTCTCACGTTTCTCACGTTTCTCACGTTTCTCACGTTTCTCACGTTTCTATGAGGTTGGTCTCACTTATTGGTCATCGTGTTGCCAGACAATACCTACAGTGTTCCGAGTAACGCGATGCGGTTGTCGCTCGGCAGGCCACAAACGTTGGATCACGGCATTACTGCTGAGCGGTACGTAGAATAGAAAACATCAACTAGTCGATATAGCTCTTGGTACAAGACTGAGATGGATGGAAGCGCAAGAGCCCTTCTACCGACGAACTCTCCTCCAGAAGCGTAATAGCCCGCAACGAGCCCGAGACGCCAGTTCAGTCTATCCGACGCCCCACGCGACCCGCCCATTAAACAGCTCGAGCTGTACAAGCAAGGTATCTTGCAATAACTGGAATCAAAAACTCAGGGGAAAACATAACTGCCAACTTCTTTTGGAGGGGGATCGAGCTAAGGAAAGAACCGTATCAGCGCGAATGCCACTCCGAGAACCATGCAGATTTCAGTCCCCTCGGAAGCAACAATGAAAATGGGTATACCCCGTTGTAGCGACAGCAACTGCGAATCGAACTCCAATATTGTAAATACAGCCAAAACAAATGAGAAGACGGCAGCTGTGGGTTGTGCCGCCGCTTTATGTGCGGACCGTGGAAGTGTGTGGGGTGATGACATTTGCAGGGTTGGAGAGGTGGTGGCACGAACAAGTTCGACTGGTGTGGAGAGGCGGACCAGGGTGTTCTCTGGTGTGACAAGCAGACTAGGTGAGTTCTGAGAGTACTTATGCGTGGAGCTTCCTACGGCCTCCACGATGGATCATTCCTGTAGCACTCGGTCAATGCAAGGATGACCGCAACTACTGAACTGGCGGAGCCCACAGATCGCCTGGCGCCATCCGTTGACGCGGGTCATACTGGTCAGGATCCGTGCTTTGGGGCCTACGCAGATTCGAGTTCTGGTAGTAAAGGTTGGGTGTAGTCTGAGCATAGTGAGGCTCCGGATAGACATAGCCGTCCGCAGGGGCTGGCGATTGTAACCCTTGCTGTGAAGGAGACTGCCAGCCCATGCCTCCGATATGGGGACTTCCGTTAGCACTGACGGACTGTCCGTGGTTGCTGTTCGCTGGAGGTTCGAGAACAGGCGGTGGTCCATAGCCACTTGGGTGTGACGTGAGAGAGGGCCTCTGGTTGCCCATGGCGGATGCGTATGACTGGGATGTCAAGGAGGGAGAAGAACGAGGACTGGGCTGCTGAAGCTCGCTCCGGAGATGTGGAGGTACGCTCAGAGAATTCATATACGCATAGTCCGATGGTTGCCTGTGCATTTGAGGAACGCCAGGCATTCCTGCTGCAGGCGAAATCGACATTGGTCGATCGTTGAGTGTCGGGCTTGGGAGCGGTGACCCTGCTGCTTCGGAGTACTCGTCTACGTCTGAGCGGGTAGACCGACTGGGTGCTGATGCATGTGAGGCCAGGGCGGCAGCTGTTGCGGCTGCAGCCTCCTCGACAGTCCCAGTGTGGTGGTTTTGGTGACGGGTAAGAGTAGTCCTGCGCGTAAATGTCTTCTGACAATCCGCGTAGGGACATTTGTAAGGTCGCTTTCCGGAATGTATCCGGCGATGCCTCGCTAGAGAACTCGAGTCGCTAAAAGGCTACCGCGGTACGCGTCAGCTACACCGCTCCTTCGTAACGATGAAACTGCTCACCTTTCCGCATCGCTCACACATGTGGGGTTTCTCCCCAGTGTGGACACGTTGATGTACTGTCAACGCCGAACGCTGGATAAACTGCTTGCCGCAACCCGGGTATTCACACACATGTGGACGTACGCCGCTATGGATGCGTTCTGGAGCAACGTCAGCACATGACACAGTGCACTATACACGGCTGGGCCCATACCATGACGTGCGAGGTCACTACGCCGTGCGAAACCCTTGCCGCAAGTTGAGCAGGCGAAAGCCTTCGGTGGCCCTGATTCACCAGTCGGTCTACCGCCGTTCGACTGAACTTGTTGGTTCTGCTGGCCCTGTTGCTGGTATGTGTGGTCTGTGGGTGGTGGATGCGGAGGTATGTAGCTGTTGTTAAGCATCGGCATCGGAGCCTGCATCGCAGAAGGCGACGGGTAGCGCATGCCATTCTGCAGGCTGTTCGCCATCTGCGGGTATGACGGGATCGACGGCGCGGGCTGCGACGAGTAACGCGACGACGGGTCTGAGGGATGTGGCGACACGCCTCGTTCGGAGTTGGCTTCTGATTTTATCCTGCCGTTGAGGTACGGCGCGTGGGTATAGTGCGGCTGCTGCAGGTCGTGCTGCATGCCGTGTTGTTGCATGTCGTATTGCATCGGTCTCGCTAGTACAGCCTGTGCTGGATACTTAGTATTGAGTATATCGCCAAGCTCCATCTTGCAAAACGAAGGGGGTGGTCCAGGCGAGTGAGGTGGTATGTGGCCAGGCAGGTCCTGGGCGAAGAGGGAATGTGCGCACCACTATGTTCGCAGCTTTGGGCCGGGTCGATCCGGCTTGCAAGGCCTCGTGGAGTGAGCAAAGATGTCGATGTTACGCTGTCGCAGAACCTTCGGTGGTCAACCCGTGATGATAGGGGATCAAAGCTTCAATGCAGATGGTCCGTTCGATGCGTGCATTCGAGACGGTGTCGGGCCGCGCCACGGTCAATGCTGACGACTGGGAATACTACAAATGCATCTATCAGTAGGAGTAACAGTGTGTTGAGGTGTCAAATGTCATGGAGTTGTGGAGGAATACACGGTCGCCAGGCCCGAGTCGGAGAGGCGATGCGGACGCGGAGCGAAAAGGGGACGGTGAAGACGTGCCCTGGCCGAGAAACAAGACGCGGCGCGACTGGAGACGCTCACGAACAAAACAGCACGTACCTAAAACGGTTCAAGGCGGCGGCGGCGCGTTCAAGGCGAGGTCTGGGGGATGTTCTGCTGTGTTGAGGCAGCTGCGATGCTGTGGGTAAGGTACTTCCAGCGTGTTGTATCACAGTAGTAGAGGACGACGCCAAGCCGCCAAGCCCCAATAGGTTTCGGTTAATGCACGAATCCAGGGCTCCAACGTCTAGCAAGTCGGTCAAGGTCTGCCTCGAGCGTGACCGCTTTTTCAGTGAATGATGCCCAGTGATATTGCGCTGCAGGTTTTTTGCGCGTCCTGTGTGGTCCAGCTGTGATGGGAAATACCGCTCGAATCCGAGTCTTCGTCCGTTGCTCACAGAGGAGAGCCGAGACCAAATTTCTGTCCAGCGTACCACGGTACGGCCGGTAGCAGCGGCGGGCTCCAGATGTTCTTCTTGGTTGGCAGCTGAGTGGCTCTGTATTGTCTGAATTCACTCGAGCCAACGGTTCGTCTGATTTTCTTGCTGAAAAATATCCCTTCGCTGCAACTCGCCCGGTGGCGTGACGGCGAACGGAACCACCCTTAGAGAACACGTAACTCGTAACTCCCCTAATCCTTCACACGGGGATTACTCAGATGCGGTAGCTAGAGACGGAGCTGATGTTTGTCTTTGCCAGCCACCTTTGTCGCCAAGAGTCTCAAGCCGCGCCGTGTTGATTGCGTAGGAATCTATGATTTTCTCTGTTTGTAAGCGTCTCGCCACAACATCCACAAAGCTGCCATGCAGGACTAGACTGCGCGTAGAGCGTCTTGCTGCTGTGTGTGGTCTGAAGTAGATGCTTCTTGGGGATGGGAATCTGGGATGACATACGTGCTCAAGATGCTATCTAGGTAGTATAGGCATCAACCTTCAGCCTGGGTCGATCGATATAGCGGTTAAGTGACGAGTCGCTGATTGCAATGGTAATGTTGAAGCTTTCGAGAAAGTTCAAGGTCGGTCGCGCAGGTAAGACGCGTCGTATCGACACCGCGTCGAGTTCCAGAAGAGATGTGGAACATGGGATGTGTGACGGTGTAGGGAAGATGTCACAGGCTAAAACTAGGCATGGTCTTTCGCAATGGCGTAGGTCACTAGGCAAGCATCCCTAAGGTCATGGCCAGAGAAATTGCGACTTGATCAAATGTCGCCTTAGCACCGTGTACATTAACCTTATTGCCATCCTCCTCCATTCATGCCCACAGACATGCGCCTGGGAAAGGAACGCTCGGGCGATGGGCTGAAGCACTGATGCGCCAACGGTCCAAAGCTCGACCTCTGCAGCGTGCACTACTGCAGGGGAATGCTTCTCCCGTTCAGTGCAGGCAGATCATGGTACATAGTGATGGAGAGTATCATGTGCGGATTGAAGCTCCTGCTGATGGAGGAGGTTCTTCCTTGATGGACGACCGAGATTACTTTGCACTTCTCTACAAGTGATAGCTGACACCCAACCTAAGGCAGCTCACCAATGCCGTAAAAAGATACCGGTACATACCTAGGTAACTACCACAAAGTACTGCTCGCTGGACCGAGCGCTTCGATCCATCTGAGCCACCCCTGGCGCAACATGGCATCGGCCAAGTATGGAAGCCTTCTGGCGGCGTTCTATGGCACGTGCGTCCTGCCTGTAACCGCCATTGCTGTCACCGTGCAGGCTGCACCGTTAATCTCCTCAAGGACTTTCGTAGGCAGAAAAGGTACCATGACAAGAACCTCCAACTATATCTGTTGCGCGGCGTGAAACCTTCTACGGTTGGAAAACATGGAAGCTGCCCCACGGCGATTCCCCGCCAGGAACGCTTTGCGAACTGAAACCTCCCTTCTGCATCATCAAGCTGGAGCATACCCGCGCTCATCCCCTTCCGTTCCTCCATCCCTCCATCCACCCATCCACCCATCCGGACCGTTAGACCACCAAAGGCACTGATCCCACTGCATCATCTCGGCTCACCAAATGCCAGGAAACTGTCTGCGTCTGAGCGTCCGCAAGTGGCCTAGCTGTGGCCTCAGCGCTCGAAGCGACACGCCCATGATTCCCGCGAAATTAGAGTTGTCTCGTGGAAGCGCTAGAAGGCGCCCCTTTGAGCTCATGCCTCACGGAGCTGGGCCCGGAGGTTTCTCATGTCGTAGCTTGTCAAGGCAGGGGTTGTATCACGTGCGGTTCTTATGGCGATGTGATGAATGCTAAATGATGGTTTTTCGAACGTTGGGGTTACGCTAAATACGTCTCTCGCGATGGCGCTCAGAGCGATAAAGGAGAATTTGCACGTGAACGATCGTAATACTCTTGTGCCAGCCCTCCTGCTACAACACTAGGTAGAGAAGCAACGCATACGCCTCTCGCCTCTCCCACAGTGGGCCTTTCTATCACGCTTGAAGCTCAAGCGGCGGAATGACGCAACCCTTGTTAAGCCTGCAGCGCGGATCATACTTACTCTTCAACTGCCTCAGCTTCTCGTAGTTCGCGCCGAAGATCTTTACACAATCGTCAGTACCTCATGACTCTCAACGGCTGCTGTAACCGTCAAGGAAGGAGACTCATACCTCATCAACACGATGATACCCCTCAACAGAATTCGGGAAATAGTCCTTCGGTCCGTGCCCAGGCGCAATCCTCCCCGGCGCCTTCTCCAGCAGCTCTACCGCCAGTTCGTCCGAGCAGCCCGACCCCGGCGCGAACCCTGTCAGCAGCTGGAGGACGTGGCGGGCAGAGGAGTGGGGCCAGGCAGTCGAGTCCGCAGGGCCAGCCGAGCGGAACGCTCTGTCCTGCATGATCTCCAGCAGCACGAAGGTGCCGGTGCCGAGGCGGTTGTCGGCGCCGACAACATCGTGGTACCAGTCCCAGGCGCGGAGGAGGAAGGACGGGTCGATGTCTGTGACGAGGGCGGCTGCGAGGTGGGAATGCAGGGCGCCAAACATTGGGCGGTTGACCTCTGGGTCGCCTTGGCTTCAGTAGAGGTTCTTTCCATGCGGCTGTGGATAGATAGATGGACAGGTGGACATACCTTGCAAGTCGTGCACCTCTCGCAATGTCATAGCGGAAGTCATGTCGACAGCCCCAGGGACGTCCAGTGCCCACTTGAACCCCTCTTCGCTCCTTCCATGCGCTTCGCCATGCGCATCATAAACCATGAGAAATATCGGTAGCGTCACCGGTTCGCCTCTCGCCGCGCTGCCGATGAGATCGCCGACGACGACATGCATCGCCATCTTCGGGTCCGACGGACGATTCGCGAAGTCCGAGACACCCCTCGCGATCTGCTCCAGCGCTTCACCCGGCAAGAAAATACTCCCAGAGTAGACGGCATTGGTATAGCGGTAGCACTTCAGCCTCACAGCCACCAAAACCCCGAAATTGCCGCCACCGCCCCGTAAAGCCCACAGCAGTTCCGGCTCCTCGGACGCCCAGAGCGCCCGCCCATCTAGTAGCACGATCTGCGCGTCCAGCATGTTCTGCGGGTCGGCCGCGAGCCCGAACTCGTGGCTCAGCCACGAGATCCCGCCGCCTAAGATGGATCCGCCGACGCCGACGTAGGGCGTTCGCGCGCCGACGACTGCGTAGCCGGGGGCTAGATCTTCGAGCTTGCGGTAGACGTCGCCCCAGGTCTGGCCGGCGCCGATGACGGCAGTCTCTTCTTCGACGTTGAAAGTTAACTCGTCGAAGGCGCTCATGCTGAGGACGACGTCTTTGGCGGAGCTGGAGCCGGTGCCGCCGGAGCGGATGGCGAAGTTGAGCTCGGTATTGCTGAGGTACCTGATGGTTGCTTGGAGCGCGGGAAGGGAGGTTGGGCGGAGGACGAGAGCGGGCTTGAGGTCTTTTTGGTATGACCAGCAGCGAGTGTTGTCCTGATAGAGGGGAGAGGAAGGGACGATCGTTTCGTCTGCAGAGAGGATGGCCCGGAGCTCGTTCACGTGATCGGGAGTGAGACTCGACATGGCTGTGACTGTGTTTGCTATATCAAAAATAAGATCAGCAGGGAATGTAAGATCGACAACACGCCATCCTCATTGGTTTTGCTATGCTGTGGGAATGGGTTTGAGGGCACAGAGAACTCAACGCCGTCATCATAGCCTCTACACGATGGTTGGATATGACGGCCGCGCGCGAGAAAAGAAGGCTGGTATGAATGGTGACCACTTGGGATGCCAGAACCTTTGTAGCTCCACGCTTGCTAAAGCCATTAGAAGCAATGAACGCGTAATAGGCTGATACCATATCTAAGGGTTGGAAGGAGTGACTTTCTCGTAGATTAAGAGGAGGTTGAGGTTGAAGCACAAAACCTTACTCAGATGCTGTATCGTTCAATGGTCGATACTGCTTTGGAACAATCCTTTTGCCTGTTTCTACCGCGTTCAATAATTGTCTAAAGGCACCGGCGCACAGAATTCCGACGGTCTGGGACGTCACAGGTCTTGCAATGAACCAAATGTGACTTCCGCCACTCTCGTGCGTGTGCCGGGGTGCTTCTAGCACTTGCCAAAACGGATTTGCGAGTAGTGAGTGCAATTGGATAAGGGTACCAGGTAGAGTGTTCAATCTGTAGCCAGACCAAGAAGACAATAGAGATCTGAGTATTTTGAGGCTTTTCTTAAAGTAGTCTATGCAATCTTCTTGAGAGGAGCAGTATGAAAAGCATAAGACGCGGTGAGAGAACGGCTGTCAGGCACTCAGAGCACGACAGTGCTTATAAATTCGTCTGATCGTCCCTCTAGATCAGAAAGATCGAGAAGCTAAAGCATATGATACCAAACAAGAAATGCCTCACCGCGTGAGAACATCTTCATTGGGGACCTGACTCTGCCAAGCTCCGTGAGTGCGACAAGCTGCTTACTGTACTCTTGGATGCGTTTTGGGGGCCGATTACCACCACCGCTGCAGGCAGAGGTCCTCTTGTTCACCTGATCAGAGGAGAAATAGTGCAGAGTACTATGATATTCGGTTCCAGCTGCTTCATTGAGTTAAGCACTCGGCGTCGCGCTCACATCAGCCATGCAAGATCAACAAGCAGACGACGAGCTCCCTCGAGAACGCCGCAGAAGACTCATAGCGGCGATCAGGCACTCAGCGGATATACTAGTTGCAGCCTGTTGCGTAGCTTTAGAGCAATCTTCATCAGGGCGGCGCGAGGCTTCGACGCCCGTTGTTGTGCGCATAGGCATCATATCCGCTGGTTACTCTTCCAGTCATTGGGCCTGGTGTGTCAAAAAAGTAGGATCGCAGGGTTTCGATTGTGCCATGTACCTTAGTCGGGAAGGTTCGCTCTTGAGGCAGTCCTTTGTTCAATAGGCAACCACTAGGTTTCTCTCAGGCAGCACCTGCAAGCCCGCAGACGTTGGGAGCCTGAACGTATGTCGTCGGTACCTGACACTCCTCCAGTAGCCTAGCGGAGACCATCGCAGCGGGACACAGCCAGTCAACCACTAGTTTAATGATTGATAGTTTGTGGACAGACGGGAGATGGTGACAGGTGTTGGACTGTTGTGACAAGGGTCACGTGAAATGTGGCTGGCATCGGACAAACCAGCTGCCGCTCTCTCCTCAGGAGCAACTTCACTCGCTGAACAAGACCCGCGTCACCAGCTTCTGCTCCACGAGCACCACCTTAATCCCTCGGCCACTGCGCTTGCATGACGGCTCGAGTACTTTTCTCTTGCTCTTCAGCTTGTGGAAGCTCATATAGTTCTGCAGCGGCTTTGTCGAGATTCAAAAGCTTGTATTTTTCTTAGCGCGTCACTTGCGCGACCCTCCGTTCACCACCCCCTCAAAACCACCTCCCGCGCACACTGTGCTACTAGAATTGCGCACTACAATCTCACAATCCTCTCCGAACCGTCCGCTCACCCGCAAAGATGTCGGCTTTCGGTGGCTTCGGGAGCAGCGGATTCGGATCGAACAACCAGCAGCAACAGCAGCAGCAGCAGCAAGGCACTGGATTTGGAGGATTTGGGTCGAACACCAACACCACCGGAGGTATGTACGCCGCTCTACTATACCGCTCGGCATAGGTCTTCTGCGACCTGCGCCAGACGCGCTTCTCTGGTCACGCTACGCCATCTCAGCGCTGTCCACCTCACGCGCAGTCGCTGATCGCATTCTTGATGATATCCAGGCTTTGGTTCTTCGACCAACACTGGCTTTGGCGCCCCGAACACTGGAGGCGGTCTCTTCGGAGGAACTAACACCACAACGGGTGGCGCATTTGGATCTGGAGGTACGTAAAGATCTCGCGGTTCATCCATGGTGGAAGGTTTCCGACCAACTCGCGCTTTCGATGCTTAAATTTTCGCGTTCTGCGGAGCGCGTAGGCTCACAAGTAGCTGCCTGGAACGCATCAGGTGGCAATGCCTGCCTAGAGACATGTTCGCATAACCCGTCTCGCAAAGCATGTTTCGCAGAAGCCTATTTCACAATCCCTCAGCATTAAAAGCGAAAGCTCACATGTTTCTCGCTCTTCACTCCTTTCCTCGTCTTCTTCACGACTTAGCAAATGCCTCGAGTACTAACTCCAACCATCGCAACAGGTTTCGGATCGACCACGAACACCTCTCCATTTGGCGCAAAGCCAGCCTTTGGCGCGACTACAACAACGAGCGGTGGTAGCCTCTTCGGCAGTGGTACCGCGACTTCCGGGGCTCCAAGCTTCGGAGGCTTCGGCAGCACTACGAACACCGCGGCAAGCGGATTTGGGGGCGCTGCCACCACCGGTGGAGGTTTGTTCGGCTCACAGCAGAACAAGCCAGCGTTCGGGACCGGCACTGGAGGGGGACTATTCGGTGGAGGAACCACTGCCACAACTGGCTTCGGCAGCAACACGGCCCCAACTGCGGCTTTTGGTGCTGGCGCAAGCACTACGTTCGGCAACCAGGCCCAAAACAATGGAACTGCCGCCACCCCATTCCAGCCTCATATTGAGAAGGACTCGAGCACGGGTCCATCGTCCCACTACCAGACGATCACCTGCATGCCGCCCTACCAAGGCTATTCCCTCGAAGAATTAAGGCTAGCCGATTATGCGCAGGGCCGTCGGTTCGGTAACGCCAACGGACAGGCTGGAGCGTTCGGCCAGAGCACTGGCTTCGGCGCATTCAACAATACCAGCAATACGAGCACAGGCTTTGGCGCCAACACGACCGCAAATACAGGCGGTGGTCTTTTCGGCTCCACCGCCAACACGTCCTCTCCTTTCGGCGGCGCTCAACAGAACACCACGAGCGGCTTTAGCAGCAGCACAGGAGGCGGTTTGTTCGGAAGCAAGCCTGCTGCCACAGGTCTGTTCGGGGCTAGTACCACGACCACGTCTGGCCAGCAATCAGGCAGTCTCTTTGGGACGAGCGGAACCACTGGCTTCGGATCAGGCACCGGTGGGTTTGGGACCGGCACCACTGGCACTACTGGCGGTGGACTATTCGGGCAACAGCAAAATGCTAGCCAAATCCAGAACAAGCCCGCCTTTGGGGGCTTCGGCTCCGGTACCACTGGAGGGTTCGGCTCCGGAACAAGCACCTTCGGACAGAACACCACAACCTCTGCCGGAGGAGGGCTTTTCGGAAGCACGACCGCAACAGCATCCCCCTTTGGCGGCCAGCAGCAGCAAACTGCGACATCGAATCCCTTCGGCAGCTCCTTTGGGCAGACCAATCAGAACCAGCAGCAAGGTCAGACCGGAGGGCTATTCGGTGGAGGGTTCGGCGCAACCAACACCCAGCAGCAACAGAAGCCTGTTGGTCTCTTTGGTGGACCTGCTTCCACCACCACCGGCACTAGCTTGTTTGGTCAACAAAACAACACACAGCAACCGCAGTCTGGAGGTCTTTTCGGTAACGCGAACACTCAGCAGTCCGGAGGACTCTTCGGCAGCAAGCCAGCCACCACCGGTACCTCACTTTTCGGCAACGCACCAGCGTCGACCAGCAACACTGGTGGGGGTCTTTTTGGAGGCTTGAACACCGGTCAGAATCAGCAGACACAAGGCTCCAATCTCTTTGGTCAGACTCAGCAACAACAGAACAAGCCCTCCTTGTTCGGATCATCCGCGACAACCAGCACAAACACTGGAGGTGGGCTCTTTGCCGGCCTCGGCCAGAACAACACTGCGGCCCAGCCTTCGCTTTTCGGCAGTACTCAAAACCAACAGCCCTCACAGTTCGGTGGCAGCCTGTTTGGAGCTTCTCAGCAAAACCAACAGGCACAGCAGCCGCAGCATATGCATGCTTCCTTGACAGGCAACCCCTATGGAAACGATCAGCTCCTATTTACGAGCCTCAACACCCCAGCTTCAAACCCTGGACCTCTGATCACGCCCCTTTCTAGCAGCCAAAAACTGAAGAAGAGCGCTATCCTGCCGCAGTATAAGCTGAATCCTGCTTCCTCCTCGCGCTTGATCACTCCACAGAAGCGAACAGGTTACGGCTTCTCGTATTCCACCTATGGTACTCCCGGTAGCGCTACAGCAAGCCCCGGCGGCTTCGGGAGCAGTCTTCTGGGCGCAGGTAGTTTTGGAAGGACCTTGGGAAAGAGCTTGTCGTCGAGCAACCTGCGGCAGCAGTGGAACCCTGAGGACAGCATCCTATCTCCCAATGCATTCTCTGTGAACACAGGTCGAGCTTACGGTACGGGTAGCCTGAAGCGCCTCCAGGTTGATCGAAGCCTAAACCCTAGGCCGTCTTTATTCGGAGACAGCTCTCCTGAGCTGTCCAACACGACATCATCAAGGAAGAGTGTCAGCTTTGATACTAGCGCTACGAACGGCAGCAATGGAGCGAATGGGACCAGCAACGAATCGACCGCTACGCCCTCCGCGAACAATGCCCTCGTCCGCGTCGAGACGGATGACTCCAACCCGAGTGCCGAAGAGCAGGGCCTCCTCCGATCCTCTCGGTCGTCTGCGAACGGTGCAAGAGCAAACGGCGCAAGGGCAAATGGCGCCCCGACGCGGCCGGAGATGGAGCAGGCTACAGGTGGCGAGCTTGCCGCTGTCCCCGAAGATGGATCTCCGCCCGCAGCACCAGTCAAGGATGCTGATGACCTCGCTCGGGAGAGAGCCCGCAAGGCTCGCAAAGACCAAGAGCTTGGATCGTACTGGATGAAGCCGTCTCTTGAAGAGCTTCGGAAGATGAGTCCTCAGCGGCTGAAGAAACTCTCTGGCCTAGTGGTGGGGCGCAAAGGCGCCGGCAAGATTGAGTTTGGCGAAGTCGATCTGACTGGTATTCCGCTCGAAGACATTCCCGGCAAGGTTGTGCAACTCTCTCACCGGAGCGCTTCAGTCTACGACTCGGGATCACCGGTGCCCAAGCCGCCGGTCGGCAAAGGTCTCAATGTGCCCTCGGTCATCTCGCTGGAAAACTCTTTCCCTCGATCAGGCGCCGGAACACTGCCTGTGCACGAAAACAAGGGACCCCGATACGAAAAGCATATCAGGCGACTGAAGAAGGTCCAGGACACAGAATTCGTCAACTACGATGACCACACTGGCATCTGGACGTTCAGGGTTGAGCACTTCAGCAGATACGGTCTGGATTACGACGCTGAAGATGACAGCTTGGGTTCGAGCATGTTGAGTGCGCCTCCTGATACACCCACCTCCAAAGGCCGAACTCCTGCAATGCAAGGTTCACGACTTTCTCAGAGGTCCGAGGAAGACATCTCAATGTTGAGCCCACCGGAGTCATCAAGTCCGGATGACACATTTGATTTCAAGAAGGGTCCTCGAAAGAATGTACCTGGCGGCTTCGGGGACGAAGATGTGTTTGACGAGGATGACGAGGATGACGAGGATATGGACAACGAGCAGGAGCAGAGTATCGACAACACTCAGCAGTCTTTTTTAGATGAGCGCTCCGTGGGTTCTGCTCTGGATGGTGCCGACGAGCGACAAGTCGCGACACCAGAAGAGAGCGGAATGGTGTCGGCCGAGGAAGCTGATGCGGCGGATCCTCATCGACCGGGTCAAGCCATGGAGCTGGTTGCCGCAGATGATCCCTTTATCGTGGATGAACCAATCAGACCAAAGTCCATCCTGAAAGATACTGCGCTCCGAGAGACCTTGGGCACTCCGAAGCTCGTAATAGCTTCAGACTGGGCAACACAACTTCAGCAGACGTTGAGTCCCGTTAAGCAAAACCGACCGGCGCTCAGGGAGACTCAGGCGACGTTGTTGAAGGAGCGAGACGAGCAACAAATGCCCACGCCCAAGGCCGCTGGCAACCAGATGACGTTCGCCACCAGCATTGATCTGATGAAATCGCTTTTTGGTCAGGATACGGGACGACAGAATGTACGCGGGACGAAACAGGGCAGTGCTGGAAAAGGTTTCGAGGTTTGACTCCCCTGTGTTTTTCTATTTGTTCGGCGATCCTTGGCGGGTGCACCTTCCCTGTGCGTCATCGTATGCATTCGAACCATGTAGTCTGGAAAGACATGCGCGGAAATCCTTGGCTTCTTGCTGGGCATCCATCATGTACGTAGTATATAAATCGAAAGGACAATTTGCTGAATCTCTGTGTCTCTAGTGGCCTTACGCGAAGCGAACAAAACCGAATGATACAGACTCCATGAATGCAGAGGACAGAGCGTTCCACCAATCTTTCAAGCCAGCATGGGGCCCCGACAGTACATTAGTCTACACAACATCGGGGGACGCTGCTTCGATGCATGAGGGTCTTGTTGCCAACATGAAGTCATCCATAGTCTCACAGCATAGAGACGTCCGCTTCGCTAACTTTGTCCCTCCTACTGATGTAAGCACTCGTTGTAGACATTGTTATTCATGACTTGTATCTAACAGTTTGCAGCTCAGCACCAACACACTCAAGGATCAGAAAACGTGCACGCTTATTCAACGGGACAACGGCGGCATACCTTACGCCGAGACAACGGCCGGCTTTGAGTTCGGCCAATTTGCGCAGCTCGTCAAGGTAGATAGTCCTGCAGGCGTGCATGAGCAGCATGTCTGGCAGCTTGCCAGCATCCTCTTTGACGATGTCAGCGGCGAGTTGCCGGACGGCATACCTTCAGACCAGCTCGCCGACATCGAATGGCGTCTGCGCAAGGAGAAGTTTTCCGACTTCTGGCGGAAACTAGTTCAGTCCGATGCAGACAAGCAAGCGTATAAGTCCGCCACGGCGGAAGAACGGGCTCTGCAGCATCTTTCCAGTTACAACGTCCAAGAGGCTTGCACCGCATTAATCGAAGGTATGAACTTCCGTCTTGCAACGATGGTCGCGCAAGTCGGCGGAGATGAGGTTATGCGCGATGAGGTCGGACACCAACTTGACGCATGGCGCGACCTCAATGTTCTCTCCGAGATCAATGAGCCCATCCGCGCGATGTACGAGCTCCTAGCCGGCAACTGTGGTATCTGCGAGGGCAAGACGGGCGGAGACCCCGAAAACCAGGCACCGACCTTCCGACTCGCCTCACGCTTTAGCATGGACTGGCGCCGCGCTTTCGGTCTCCGGCTTTGGTACGGCATTCTCGAAAACGAGCCGATCGAGTCCGCCGTCGCTGAGTTCGAAGAAAATCTCGGTGACGGCACTGAGACCGTAAAGCCAGTGCCATGGTTCGCAGAGCAAGGCATCGACACCGCATGGCAAGATCCATCTCCGGACTCACGCGAAGACCTCCTCTGGGGCCTCTTGAAAATCTACGCCGCGCAAGAGGGCACCTTCAAAGCCGACATCGCCACCATCCTAACACCCGAAAACGTATCCGGCAATCCTCTCAACGCGCGCCTCAGTTTCCAACTCCTGCACCTCCTCAAAGCCCAGAACATCATCTCCCCACCAACCACTACCACCGCCGACGGCAACGATCCGGCAGACGCCCTCACATCAACCTACGCCACCGCCCTCCTCGCCGCCCGCGACTGGCCCCAAGCCCTCTGGACATCCCTGCACCTCTCCGACCCCGCCGCCCGCACTCAGGCCATCCAATCCATCCTCGCGCAAAACGCAGCGGCTATCGAAGACGGGACCCCGCTCTTCACGACCCTGACAACAGAGCTTAAGATCCCGCCCTCCTGGATCTGGACGGCCAAAGCGCTGCATGCGCGCGCCGTGGGCCGGAATGCGGCCGAGGAAGTCAAGTGCTGGCAGCGTGCGGGGGAGTGGGACGAGGCGCACAGCGTGCTCTGCCGGTCCGTAGCGCCGCGCGCGATTGTGGAGCGCGACTATGAGGGCTTGCGTGAGCTGCTGGAAGGGTTTGGCGGCGGGACGGAGGGGAAGGTGCAGGGGTGGAACGTTGGTGGGCAGGTGTATCGGGATTTTGTGCGCTTGGTTGCGGAGGTTGGGGAGGGGGCTGTGCATGGGCAGAAGAAGGGGGAGCGGGAAGCAGTGTTGAGGAGGCTTGGGAGGGGCCTTGAGGCCCTGGGGGCGGAGATGGGGAAGATGGGGCTGGTGGAACGGGCGGCGGTTATGGAGATGGGGCGGGTGGTTGCGGGATGGGTTGAGAGGGAGGAGGTGAGTTCTGTCCTCTGCATGTTGAGTGATAAGCGACTGACGGAAAAGCTGCAGGTCGGAGAAAAGGCGCAGGTGCTTAGGCTGCCGATGACCGAGGACGCGTATCTGCGGCACACGAGGGAGCTGAGCTTGAACTACTTCCGCGCTGTTATGGCAGGTGGGAGATAGGGGAGTTTTAGAATCGCGCCTTTTTGGGGGCCAAGGACGGCCAAGGAGGGTCTAATGCAACACGAGGTTTGGGTAGGGTGGCAGTCAGCTCTGGTGATGGCTCAAGCGTAGCGGAGCGGCCACTGGGGAGGAGAATATCGGTGTCAAAAGTTGCTATTGTCAACAAATTAGTCTTATGTAGAACTGTGTACTCGAATCGCTTGAAACAACTGGGTCCATCTGTGTCTGCTGACCACTGCGTAGATCTATCGTGAGGGATTAACACTACTTCATTACATATCGGGTCTATACCTACCCGATCATTATAATCTTGACTGTCTATATTGATTGATTGATCGATCATTATTCATGTCACGTCTTTCAGTTCCCAAAAGCGATTTATGCAACTACAACCGCGAAGCCTATTAGAGTGAAGTTTGGTAGTATATTAGTATAGATTTCTGTTCACAGTAAACCCAAAGAATGCAACAGCGCCGCCCATGTTCCACCAAAATCCCACCGGAAAGCAATTCTTTCAGTATATCAATCTTTCCCCGACCCTGCCCCATGACCCATCCCATCAACCCAAAGCCTTTCCCCGTGCTCTTAGTCCCCACTCATATCTCCAAAGCCTCGTAATCTCACCCATACAAAGCAAGCCGCCGCCACCCCTGCTCATCCAGCGTCTGCGCCAACCCGGCCATCTCGCCCACCAAGCGCATAACCTCCTCATTCGCCTCTCCCTCTAGCACGATCCGACACCCCTTTGGCAACCAATGCAGGACCCTAAAGTTGTTCGCCAATCAATCCGTCGTTCCTACATTAACGCTCCACACAGCCGGCATCTTAATCGTCAGCGTCTGCAGCCCGAAGCAGTACCGCAGGCCCTGTCGCACGGCCAGCATGAAGCCCCCAGGCCCAAACACCTCAGCGCGCGTAGGGATGGCGATGCGGGCGTGTTTGATTAGGGAGCGTGTGCGCTGGGGTAGCTGGCGCATGCCCTTGACGCTGTCAAGCGGGACGAAGAACGTGTTCTTATCGAGGACGGGCTTGGCTTCCGTGTAGATGGCTTTGCTGACGCGGAGAAGGGCGGGCATTAGGGGCTCTGTGTTGGTAGGTTCGGTAGATGGAGGACTGGAGGCGCCGGCGCCGGCTTGCAGTTGCTGTTGCTGGCCTTGCTGCAGGATGGTGCCGGACTGGGCAGAGGCCGCCACCGCGGAATTGTCCATGGGCGCTAGCTGCGGTAGTAGAAGCGCTAGAGAGCGCCAGAGGCAGAAGTTGTAGGTGTAGAGACGGAGTTCAGCTGGCAGATCCATAAATGGGAAAGGTTGAGCCGGAAGGGTTGAGACGGTCGAGGATGCTTTATCCTCGTTGTCATTGTGGACAATCTTAAGGACGCGAGGAAAATGACTCGGCGAGGCTGACATTGTGCGGTGGAGAAAACAGTCTGACATCGAACAAAGAAGTCTCCAGGCAAGACACTAGGATACTGGACTTGCGCGAAGGACACGCTTGAGTGATATGTTGGAGTGCGGTATTTGTTTTGGAAGAGGTGATGTGGGATGAATAGGACTAAGAGTTGTAGATGAGAGTGGGTTAGGGAATAGACTAAGGCGACGTGAGAGATGCTCGTGAAGTAAATCCGTCTCACTTAAGTAGTCTATAGGCGAATCACTAGTAAGCTATTGCAGGCGGCTCCTCCTCACAAGTTGCTATTCCCTTTTATTCTTAAAGACCTGACTGGGGTATACAGCAGCGTACCCGCTATTCGTCACGCTACCTACAGAACGGCTACTAATACAAGCAACTAAACTCCCCAACGGACTGTGGATAACCACATGGAACCGGGTAGCTTGTCTGTAGCCTCATCGGGCCGTGGTTGGAGGTGTTTGAGGCGAGTTGAAGAGTCGGAAACAGTGCATGATACGGGGGTTGATCGGAGCACTTGAGTGAGCCGCTCTTATCGCCCTTCTTGGTTACTAGGTTGCTGAAGTGGTTGGTATCCCTAGTGAACGTGCCAGGAACCATAATGGAGGTCTCGATGACCCATTGACTCAGCTCCGCCGCGTAGGAGACAGCGAGTGCGTCCATCGCGGCCTTGATGGCGAAACACGGAGCAAGGAAAGGCGGGGTGGCGCCGTGGACGCTGCTGAAGGAGACCCATACAATGAGGCCTTGGCCCTATATCCGCATGAGTGGGAGCGCGGTGCAGTTCGCCCGTTACGTGCTGAGCACATTGATGTTGTAGAGCTCCCCTAACTGCTCTGGGGAGAAAGATTCGGTGGGTCCATAGGACATATAACCTGCGTTGTGGGTTACTACGGCCAGCCTTCCGCACTCTGTCATGACCAGGTCGGTGGAGAACCGGATTGACGCGTCGTCGATGACGTCTTGCTCGATTGCTTAAAGGTCGACACCATGCGTAACGCGGTAGGCTTGAAGCACTTCGACGACGGGTTTACTGGTCGTGTTCACAGAGCGGGTGCCGGCGAACACTATATACCCAGTGAGGGCGATGGCGCGCGTATCTAGAGCGCCGAAGCTGGTTGCGGCACCGGTTATAAGAATAATAGGTGACATTGTGGAGTGGTCTACTGGGAATGAGTGTGCGGCTCAATTAAGTCTCCTGGGGAAATAGGATTTAAGAAATGGAGAGTAGACAATGTAAAAGAGGTCCAACATTGGACTTGACCTTATTGAAGCGCGGTGCGCCGGTACTTAATGTGATATGTAACGTATCTCCGACGTTGTTGAGCTGCAACGGAGATAGCTCTTGAATTGAACGTCTGCAAGGCGATCACGTGCGGAGGACAGTGCGTTTTAATGGATTTCGAACGGAATCCTTGAGAGTTTTTGAAATCCGTAAAGGCAGCTTATTAGCTATACCGTGTGTCGATCCATGCTCTGCACTAACTGTCCATTCGTAACATCATGAGTATCTCCTCTTGACTTTGCGCATTCAAAAACAGCAGATTCATACAGCCTTATAAGTTATAATCACGGGCTTCTAGTCTAAGCCCATCGTTACTACAGCAGTTATATACATCATCCAATCACCTCGCTCAATCAAGCCGCCGCTTACAGAAAAACCATTACCAAGCCTGGCAGTACGAACGCAACGCCTAGCACAATCCCAACCAAGTCACTATCGACAGACCCCCAAGAGCTAGCTCCACTAGTTCCTCCAACGATAGTAGTAACAGCACTCGCCACACTCGTTGCAGCACTTGCCACACTCCGAGTCGATTCCTGACTCGTCGCCGTACCGCCCGAGCGTGAGGTGCTGCTCTGAGTAAAATCGGGAAAGGTAAAGGACCCCTCGCTTGAGGTCGCAGACGAGGCGGCTGGAGTACTGCTCCGGGTGGAATCAGGAAAGGTAAAAGTTCCCTCGCCCGAAGATGTCGAGTCGAAGATAGTGACGCCGGTTGACGCGGCCAACGCCGTGGCCACAGCAGGCGTCGGTAGGGTGAGCGTCGAGCTGACAGCAGCAAAGCTCGCAGAGGCGTCCGCTGTGTTTGATGCCTGGACTGAGAGCGTTGTCGTCTCGTAAACTGTGCTGTAGGTGACGGTTGAGTAGTGGAAGCGGATGTTGTAGGTGTAGTAGTAGTACCAGTACCACCTGTTTGCGCGGTCAGTGTGGCCATTCGTGGCACGTCACAGGGAAGGGGTTGGGGCAACGAACCATGTTATCGTCCAGTAGTAGGTCGTCACCTCCTGACTCACCGGAGGATTCGTAGGTGCAGGCGTGGTGATGACAGGTGGAGCCGCAGTGGTAGTAGACGGCGCGAGAGCTCGCGTCGCGGATACTCGAGTCGAAGTTGATCCGTCCTGCAGGACAACCGCAGTGCAGGCGCTGTTAGTACAGCAGACGTCATCTACAAGCCCTGGGTACTTGTAGCAGTGGTTGCCAGGGTAGCAGAAGTGCTTTAGATCACCACAGCACTCCGCGCCGACGGGCATACACTTGCCGCTAGACGTTGTGTTAGTCGACAGAATGAGATGCTGAGGGAAACATGTCTTACGGCCCGCAACAGGTTCTACCGGATGGACATATAGCTGATATTTGTTGTCAATGATTGTGCTAGATGGATGAAGGCGGGATCGCATACCTCCAGAGCAACACTCGTCGCCTTGCCCAAGGCAGCCCCATCGGCAACAGGGTGCGGTGACTACTCGCCGACAGCAACGGCCGTTATCTGTCAGCGTGTTAGTATGTGTATTGCCAGTGGAAACAATCGAATCACGCCTTGACTCACTCGAGCAATAGCCATATCCAGCAGTGCAGGTTTGCCGCTTTTCCAGGACTTCAATGCCGAACAGAGACCTCGCGCCAATTACTGGCTCACTGGCGGTACCATTGGTGCCATCGAAGAGTAAGGGAGTTCCACCCCAATCAAACTCTGCCACGCTCCTCCCCTCAAGTATACCAGCGGCTCGTCCCGCATCGACATCGAAGGTTGCAGATGAGAAGCTCGCGAGGCTGAAAGTAAGAGCAGCTATCGTGAAGCAATTCCTAGTCATCTTAAGAGAGACGAAAAAGCTGAGTGAAAAGAGGGACACTTCGACGCGGCGAGGCAGATGCGCCGAAAAGCCATCCTTAAATGCGATCCCTATTTTTAAAGATATCCTCGTCTCATGCATCGACCATCGATGTCTGCCTCGTTAGGCGTACGGCCGAGAACGGCAATACGAGTTCTAATATACATACCCTGTGAGCTGCAGCGCGACACGTCCATCTGATTGGATGCTACTGCATCGTGGAGGCTCCGACGCACGCCGAGAGTTTTACCACCTGCAAACGGGACGGGAAAGGGGAACAACGTGTTTTTCCCGAAGTTGCGTCTTGTATCCAAGGGAAGGCTGGCACAATGACGGCCGCGACTGACAATGGAGTTTTGATGAGGAAATACGGCGAGGGGTTCTCCAGCCTTTCCAGCCTTTCCTTGGCGTATGCAGGGGTTACTATTGATTGGCCACTTGTTGAGATACCGCCTAGCGGTGTCTGATAAAACCGCTAATTCGGTATGTTCACACATGCGCTCCGCGATAGACAGCCTGGATATATATGGGCTTTGAGCGAAGTAGATATGAGGATTGCAAGTATTCGCATAAGCCAACTACATGATGGTATCTAGATATCACCGAACGATAAAAATCAACCCTAGGTATTCGTACACTCAGATACTATCCGCGGCACAACCCTACATCTTCGCACCAGTCAGCGCCTGGTCAACTTCAGGCCCCTTCACCTTCTCCTCCATTCTCTCCGCACTCGAGCTACTCGACCCCCTCCCCGCTTCCACCCCATTAGTCTCCGGGTCCCAGTCCCTCCAGAAGTCCTTCTTGCCGTGCGCAGCGCGCATCATCCACGGCGGCAGTAGGCCCCCGGGGATCTTGTACGTCCACGGATCCTTAAGCTCCTTATCCGCCGGCTTTATCCTTCCCCCACTAACCTTCTCAATGATCCACACCGTCGTATTCAAGATAATATACGTAACAATCCCAGCAATAAGGCCATAGGCGATCGAGTACGTAAACGGCATAACGGCGATAGTAACAAATGCCGGAATAGCATCACCGTAGTACTTCCAGTTAATATCAGCCGCCGCCTTCGCCATCAGCGAGCCGACGATGATGAGCGTGCACCCCGTCGCCCACGGCGGGATCGAGGCGAAGATGGGCGCGAAGAAGATGGAGATGAAGAAGGCGAGGCCGGTGAACATGGCGGTGAGGCCCGTGGCGCCGCCTTCGGAGATACCGGCACCGGACTCGATATAGGCGGTCACTGGCGGTGACCCAAAGAGCGAGCCGATCGAAATACCGAAGGCGTCGACCAAGTACGCAATAGCGCTGCCCTCGAAGTCCTGCGTCTTCTCGTCGATGGCGCCGCAGAAGCGGGCCATGGAGTACAGCGTCCCCGTGCAGTCGAGAATATCAACGTAGAGAAACGTGATGAACGCGAGACCGAACTGGGCGCCGTACCCGCTGATGTCCCACTGCTGGACCACGAGCGTGCGCTGTATGGGATGGAATGTGACGACGTTCTTGAAGAAGTCGAACATGCTGTCCCCCAGCTCGGTATCCGGGAAGTAGGTGACGGGTGTGCCCCGCGGCCAGGAGATGATGGAGACGAGCAGGATGCCCATTATGATGGCGCCTTTGACGCGGTACATCATGAGCAGCACCGTCAGCATGCCGCCGCAGAAGATGCCGACCCACATCGTTGGGTTGCGCATCTTGTAGGCGTTCGGGCAGAAGCCGGTCTCCTCGTCGCGGAACTGCGGTGCGCAGCCTGCGAGTTCGACGGGGGTAGCGTTGTATCCTGTGATGGCGCCAATACCAGCCGAGTAGGTGAGGCCGATGATGGTCAGGTACAGGCCGATGCCGACCCCGGTTGCGAGCTTGATGGAGGCTGGGATGGCGCGAGCGAGCCATTGCCGGATCCCAAAGATGGTGAGCGCGACGAAGACGAATCCTTCAACGAATACAGCCGTTAATGCAACCTCGTAGGGCACGAGACCAGAACCGTGGTATCCAACGACAGTATATGCGAAATATGCATTCAACCCCATGCCGGGCGCCAGCGCAATCGGCATGTTGGCAAACAGACCCATGCAGAAGCTGGTCAGTGCCGCGATAGCTGAAGTGGCAGTGACTAAGTCGCGGTTGATCTCTTGCACGCAAAGCATGTACGCCGGGTCCGAATCGCAGAGGTCGGGGCTGTCGGGCGGGCAGACACAGGTCCCGCCGGACTGAGAGGTGATGTTCGCGTTGACGGAGATGATGTAGGCCATGGCGAAGAACGTGGCGAGGCCGGCTCGTAGTTCAGTGAAGAAGTAGGAGCCTTTGCGCTCTTTGGGCTGATTGAAGACACAATGTCAGCGTCGTCCATGCGGAGCGCACAGCGAAATCGAAAGCCATACATGTCCAGAGCCATCGAGACGAAAGTAGCGGCCCACTGGGCCCCTCGCGATAGCGAGATTCGCGTTGTGAACCCAGCCCATGGCTATCTGTCGTGTTGGCGGCTATCCTGAGTAAAGTGCTGTGTGGGATTTTTGCAAATTCTGTCCCCGCTCTTCAAGCTCTTGCGCCGTTCAATTGACTCGGGGTGAGACTTCAGCAGCGACGGAGGTTACGAGTAGATCGAGCGGGGGATCTTTGCGCATCTTATGGACCGATGATAGCGGGCACAAGGGCACTCCGCTCTAAGCTCTGGTTTTATCTTTTCTCCCCACGAGGGCACCATCCGCCGCAGAGATAAGAAGCCCATCCCGCTACTTGGCCGGTTGCGGTTCCAGATGGCGGGCGTTGACCAGTCGCTGACGGCGCAAGAAGCCGCCATTGCGCCCACTTTTCTTAGCGACTCGGCACTGATGGCTTCGACCGTCGGAGCCCGGCGAGATTTCTTGCTGGACCAGGTCTGGCGCCGATCCGTCATGAGGGGAGGGCGATGAAGTGCGGGAAAGATGCGAGGTGCAGCAGCTAATGGGATCCCATCCGGCCTCGTGTTTGGAAATGGAATGGAGGCTGGAGGTTATGACAACTTGGAAGCATCTCCAACCCGCGCGCGCGGGTCGTGGATCGATAAGGTTGAGGCTCAGGCACGTGAGCGAGCCGTGCTGGTGGGAGAGCATCGCATGGCGCCGGCGGCCAGGGCCGAGCTGACTTCCGTAACCACCTGACATGCCCACCAGCCTTCAAAGCAGCCGTCTTATCAAATGCCAATTGTAACATATCCAGATGGACATTGATAGTGTGACTTGATAGCTCCCGCTGCCGAGCATCAACGCTATTTTCTACTCCTCAGCGCCGACCCAGCTCCTCCGACAGAGCTTACCAAAAATGCTAATCCTACAAAGAGTATCAACGGCTTATACGCCGCGGTGATCGCCTCCGAGTTCTGCAAAGGCCCGCTACGAATCAAGAGTCCACTGATAGGACCCACGAGAATATTCCCCAAGCCACGCTCGAAGCCGAAGATGCCGTAGAACCATAAACCGGTCGCCGCACCGCCTGTCAGGGTGGTAACGAACCTCGGATATAGCATGCTGTAGCAGCCTGCAAATAAACCGTAGAGTAGGCTGAATACTACCAATGACGCATAACCCTGTGCGAGAAGCCAGAGAGTAAACACCGCGACGGCGGAGCCAAAAGTGGGTATCACAAGGAGGATATGGACATCGAGGTAGTCCGAGACGTGGCCTATAGCCACCTGACCAGTAACCTGGGTGAGGTTGAGTAAAGAGAGCAGAAACGCTCCCTTGGTTGGAGTTATCCCGAGATCAGCAGCAAACGCTTTGAGGATGTAAGCCTCTCTATGCAACGAAAGGAGTGATGCCCTGTGAGGTACTTACAAGGCAGACATATGCTCGGGAGGTAGAACGCGAGGCCTTAGAAAAGGCCAAAGAAGGCCAGGATGAGGAAGGTTGGTTTCTTCGGAATCTTGAAGTCAATCTGGAGATTCGCAGGCCGGCGCGCCGCATCCGCCTTGATTGTGCGGCTTCGAAGCAGTGGCAGAGTCGGTCCAACCAGTACTATCTGCAGTAGACTATCAGCAAATCCTCATCAGGTGGTTGAGATTCGGTGGGGGACGGACAATTGCAATAGCGTAACCTCTCAGGGTAGTTTCAAATCGTACAACTTCAGCAGCTTCTCAATCAGATACGGGAGAGCTAGAAGCGAAACTGCACGTGAATTAGTCCAACTCCTTTCTGCGGGCGACACAGACTTACAGGATACGGTGAGCCAGCCCACGCCTCTTGATGAACCAGTCGTTGAGCATGTTCAAGAGCGGGTAGTAGAGCACAAGGAATCCTATGCCATAGGCGACGCCCTGCGTGAGGACGAGATGCCATACTCCTTTCGCAAAGCTGGCTGCTATCAGGCCGAGACTGCAGGTAATCCATCCTGCCCATATCATCTCTTGCTGGTAGGCGTAATATCTTGAGATAACCGGCGTGATGAGTGGTGCCCCGAGGAAGGGGATGGCCTAGATGCGGAATTGAGTAAACATAGGGTCTTGAATGGAACCGAGTACCATAAATGGCTCAGAAGTGAACGGAACAGATCAGCTTGCATAAGTTTTCCTTTACCAGATGCCCTTGCATAAGTTTTCCTTTACCAGATGCCCTTGCGGCTGGGTATAGGCAAGTTTTGAGATGACTTACGGTTGCCAAAGTCCCAATGATTGGGATGTGTGGATTGCCATTGAACCGCACTTCCTCATCATAGTGATGTTAAAATACTCCAAATGCAAGAGGGAATCCTGCGACGCTCGTAAGAAAGTGTGATTCAAGTTGAGAAATCGCCGTTGAAGGCGCCACACCCCACATGGTCGCTTCGGCGAAGAAGGCGCCAACCATGAAGAGCCAAGCTCGCTTACCGCCGTCCTCAGCCTCAGCCGGCTGACACTCTTCCTTCTCTTCTCCATCTTGACGTGTAAACATAGCGCTGTGGGTTTTCCGTACTATCGTCGTAGCTGAGTTTTCACAACCGCACAAGTCTGTCGTTTTGCAAGAAAGAGTGCACGATGTGCGGCTGGCCAGACCTTCAGGCTTCTGCCAGAAGATCATCAGTATCAGATTACTTTCAGCCGCACATCAGAGCGTTCCAGCCGTCCTTAGCTGAAGGCCATTCCCTACACTGCGGTTTAATTCATCTAGTAATACATACTCTCAACATCCTCAAAAACTTGCGACAAATGGCAGTTTCACACTATGGCTCCAGCTGAACCCTCATGGCAACACACCGTTCAGCCTTGTTCGGCTTATAACCGATCACTCCGAGTCTCAGCGGGACGCTTGCTGCACGATAGATTCTAGTACCTAGACGACAGTCGCACATGACGACGTGAGCAACCGCCCTGTCACTAGGTCAGGCCGCCGTTGTTGTAGGTTGGTAGGATGCAGTCCCCTGGCAGAAAGCTGAATCCTTACATCACCGACTGTTGTCAGCCATGGCTGAACATTGCGAGAGACGCCAGTCCTACGGTTTCGTGAACGAACCAAGAGCACATGGAAACATTGACTTTCAGCTTTGAAAATGCGGTCCGAAGCTTGGTGCTACCGGTTAGCGCAGGCGACACGTGAGGGAAGTCCTGAAATGACGAGTATTGTCTTCTGAGAGGCATAGCAACGCATATTTCCACCTGTATATCAGCAAGCCCACGGGCAGAGGTAGCTGACAACCGCAATAATCTCTGGAACTTTCACAGTTGCCAGTAATTTCCACAGTTCGGTCAAAGATGAACAGGCAGGCACTCCATCGTGCTCTTGATGCATTCAAGTAGGTGTTCTGGTATAACGCTGTCATGCTGATGCAGCAAGCCTCCGAGGCAGGAAACACCTGCAATGTCGTTTCATACTGTCCACCAGAGCCTCTTGGAACTCACGCTTTGCACACCCGGAACACTCTGTTGATTCTCTGCTGACTCTCTGAGCAATCGTTATCGAAATTCAACATACGCTGCCATTATCCAACCTCAGCTTGAGTACTTCAAGTCGCTACCGAGCTTCGATTGAAAGGTGCTCTCTGCATCGCCTTTCTCATATCTAGACAATCTGTTGCGATTGATGTCGCGATCACCACAAACTCGGAATTTGCGTCCGCTATCTTCGACCACGGCATGCGGAGTGTCGACTTACAGGAGTCTGACGCTTATACGATATGGCACGGCTCCGCCACCTCTTCGGATCACGAGATCGTCCTCTCCACCATCCGACAATTGTACCGCGACTGGAGTGAGGAAGGCGCTGGTGAGCGAAATGCATGTCACCAGCCAGTCTTGCAGGATCTCGCCTCCGAGTTCGCTTCTGTGCACGACAAGACCTCCGTTCGCGTGCTGGTGCCTGGCGCCGGCCTCTGCCGTCTCGTCCTCAATATCGCGGCAGCCGGATACATGACCGAGGGCAATGAGATCTCGTGCCACCAGCCCTTGGCCAGCCACTTCTTCCTTAGTTACAAGATGAATGCTTCGCACTTCCAGTTGTACCCTTGAGCGCTCAGCTTCTCGAAGCACCTCACACGCAAGCATCGGTTGGAGACAGTCCGCATTCCGGACGTGATCCCAGGGGTTGTTGTTGACCCGATGTCGACTGATCCCGCCTCTGGATTTTTGATGAGCAGCCGCTTGAGCGTTGTAATGACCGACTTCACCACGGCCTACACCGATGATGAGCATGCGGCACTTCATAATGCCTTCGCGACAGTCTTTTTCCTCGATACCGCTTCAAACGTCCTCCGCTACATCGAAGTGGTGTATCACTGCCTCAAGCCGGGTGGTATCTGGATCAATGTTGGCCCACTGCTCTGGAACTGCCACGAGAGCGGTCCTGAAGGAAGGCGCGAAGGTGACACGGACGATGACGAGGTCGCCAAGGCATGCTAGGCATGTATTGACGAGTCGCAGGTAAATGGCCACTGGGATCCGAAGCTGGAGTTTACTGGAGATGAGGTCTTGCTGCTGCTTGAGAGTTTTGGCTTCAAGATGGAGAAGCATGAGAGCTGTGGCGAGGCGGGTTACATTATGGACTCGAAGGGTATGTTGCAGAACATATATAGAATGCCGCATTGGGTCGCGGGGAAGCTCTGACGGGACTACAGTCTGAGTTGAGGGGGAGAAACGGATGCCACTTTGTCGTTTGGTCGCGCGTTCGTGCGCGAAATCAACCTGCAGATAGTCCTTTATCGTGATCGTGGTCGCATCTTATCCACACGTTTGTACCGCAGCGGTGTCTTTAGCTTCCGTCTCACTCATGTTCTTTCTGGGCTGTGTCCGAACTCTTGCTGCACATCGGGCTCGCTTTGATTCACTTCCGCAACCATGAATCGGTCTAAGCCTTGCTTGCTTCGCTCTAGCTGTTCCTGGTCACAAGGAGATTTGCTTCACGCGTCCGCGCTAATCTATGTAGTTCTTTGCTCTCATTCTCTTCCTCGACAACCACTACACGTATCTCTCCCAAGTCAGTCAAGGTCATGTTGGAGACGGCTACTCTGCATGTAAGTTTCTCTAGACGCTGTTGAGAGACAATCATTGCTGATCTAAACTCCCTACCATAGGCATGCCACCGCGGCGCGAGCGGATCAAATCAGACACTTCCGCTCAGATCCATAACCCATGCTAGATTCATGAGCCTGCTCGCGAAATATCGAGCACCGGAGGGCCTTTGCATTACCGTGAGTGTGTTAAATACTTCGGATGGTGCATTTCTAACTCCCATCAGGATGCGAACGACCTCGTCACCGAGCCTTCTATGCGTGGGTTCTTCTATGAGATTGAACTACGCTCCCGAACCTCATTGCCCGCTTGGAGCGAGGTCAGTTGCACACAAACGCACCCCTTGGCTTGGTCAGTGTGTGGGCTGACAACGCTCAGGAAATCATCGAAACGAAAGCCGGATACTTTCCAACAGTCTTCGTAGGACCATGGACATCCCCCGCAGTGTGTTCACGATTGCGCAGCCCATCACCTAGCATTATGCTGACGTGGATAGTCCCCGTCAGATCCGAATATCCCGTATCTTGCGCTGGGATTGGCTTCGGTAGAGCCATTCCGTATCAGTATGGTAAGCTTGCCAGCAGTCCAGCTGTCAAATGTGGAGGGGTTGATGCATTAACGGCTTCAGTACAACATACTTAACGGCCCACACGGGGACTTCACTGTGATCTTGCCATTCAAGTGCCCCGCCGCTTTCGACCTCAATGGACTTCCACCAGAGATCTGCATGGATATCCGAGACATGGCCCTCAATCACGTGTCCCCAAACAAACAAAAGCTTATTCGTGGAGCTGCAATGTTCCGGGGTCTAAAGGTTCGCCAGCGCTGGACACCGTATGACGCCAGAGCGGCCGCACATAAGCGCAATGTGTGCGAAGCGCTGGTACCATTGAAGATGCCCTTCCTCCTGTCACCGCGAGAGTACAACCGCGGCTACTTTGGCAAGCCATTCAAGTTCGTCAGTACCACCGACCTTGCCAATTTCCTGAAGGGCATCGGCCCCATTGCACGAGGAATGCTCCGTAACATCACTGTCTGCGCCTACCACACGACAAGCGCTGAGCGGGCTTGCAAGCTACTAGCAGACGCAACAAACCTGGAGACGCTACATTTCACGGCCATCTGCGTGGCGGAAGCGGGATGCCGCAGGAATCATAAGCGCTACCCGCCTATGTCGTACGACGGCAAAGAATTCGCCCTTGACTTCAGAGAGGCCATGCACGGTACGCCTCGATACTACCACAGTTGCCTCAGGGACATCCTTTGCCAGAAGCCGATCCTGCGGTTTGACCCGGAGATTGCTAGATATGACGCCGATTTCGATGCGTACACTCAGGAACAACCCTTGTCGGGCTTGAGCATGCTGGAAGCCAACGCGGCTGCCTTTCGAAATATTTGGGCTCAGGTAGGCATCCCCCTTCAGGAGTAGGAACTGGAAGGGAATGTGATCTTTGAGGAATTGTCGTCACTGGTAACGTCCGATGGTCTTGCGTTCTGGAGACTCCAATGGCTCTGTTGAGGTGGGTTGACACTTGCAACGGGTACGCATGACCTAGTCACGTCCCTCTCATGGAGGAAAGGAGGCACATGCTTTGAGGAAGCGTGATGGCCAGCGGTGCTGGAGAGTAGAGACTGGGGACCAAGGGACGGGTGAGCGCTGCCCATAAGACATTCCATAGTAAACCAATCACGATTCCGAGATAAGATCCACCATTGCATTGTGTCCAAGTAAATCTTTGAGATCCCTGCTAGTCTCAAGGATGTCGAAAATGATTCAATACAGTAAGACCAGAAAGTTACGTGAACCACATGATTTCCTTCGATGCCTGAGGCCAGAAAGCTCTAGTGGTCGATCATCAACAGCCTCATACCAACGACATGCGTCGTTTCAAAGACCGCCTCCTCTCTGAACTCCAAGATGCCATTCAGAAGCCAACCCAAACCGACTGCCCCCCACCGCCACCCTACTGGCAACCCGTCTTCTCCCCCTCCCTCGAAGTCTCCCAACACTTCAAGCACCAGCTAGGCGACCACGGTTGGGGCAACAACGAGCTCCAAAACTATGTAGCCAGCCCCCAAAACTCCTTCCACCGAAACGGCAAGCTCGTCCTCCGCGCCATCGCCGACTCCTCCGCCCCGCGCGACAAATACACCAGCGCGCGCCTCACGAGCCACCAAACCCTCGGCCGGCAGCGCGGTTACCTGACCGCAACCATCACGGCCCCCTGCGCGAGTGGGATCTGGCCCGCGCTGTGGCTTTTGCCAAGCGAGCCGTTTAAGTGGCCGGAGGATGGTGAGGTGGATATTTTCGAGAGCTGGAATGGGGATTATATGAATCATAGCTGTCTGCACTGGGGTCACTACAATGGTCAGGATCACGACAAGCACAGGGCGTGTGAGACGCGGATGCCGCACATGAGCCATGCGGAGGGGTGTACGTTTGCGCTGGCGTGGGAGCAGCCGGAGGACGGGCAAGGGGGGAGGATGGTGTGGTATATTGACGGGAGGGCGGTTATGAAGGCGACGATTCCGCAGGGGACGAGGAGGATGGAGGATTGGCAGGTTATTATTAATGTTGCTATGGGGGGAAATGTTACGCAGGGACAGATCCCAAGGGATGGGAGTTATGAGTTTGTTGTCCATTCGATTTCGCTGCATGAGGAGCCGAGCGGGGGGTGGGCGAAGTTTGAGCGGGATTGGCGCAGTGCAAAGGAGGGACATACGATGTAATATGGTTTCAGACCAAGCAATGAGAATACATAGATATTAGAGCTGAGTGTTAGCGCTCGTAGTGTATAATTCCCTAATCCCTCGCCGTTACTCTATAGTTCTTTTCCATCGATCATCATCATCACAGCCAATGTCCATCAATATCTTCAACCCCCTTCAATGCTCGAATGTTAACGGTCTCCACCACCGCCATCTTCCTAGCGGCCGCTTCGGGCGTTCTTACCCTTCTAACAAACCTACCGCTCTTCATAGAATGCCACTACACCCCAGGCACCAGCAACGAAGACTCCCGCTAGTACTGACTCACCATCCGACTTCGCGACGGCGCACGCTTGAGTTCAATCTGTCACAACAATCTCGAAGGCGGACAATGCTACATAAAGCTCGCATGTGCTAGTCTCCGCAAGGCGTGCGTGGCATTCCGCGATCACGTAAGCTTAAGCATCAACAACTAGGGATACACATTCCTAAGTCTTGTACAACATGCCCGTACGATTCATTCGTCCACGGCGACTTCGTCCATCTCATACAGACATATGAATCGGTCGTTCTGCGAGTACCATGTCACGAACGAGATCAACGTCGCTACGGACATGATCTTCCGGATGTTCGTCTCGCGGTCTACAATCGAAGGCAATGAGTAGCAAGTATCAATCTTCTCATCTCGAACGCAAATGCTGCTACGGCTTTGGCTGCGAGAAGTACGCACATTGGGGAACTGACTGGATGTCAGCAGCGTCGGGTGGCAGCGGAAAGGGACAGGGCGATGAGGAGGATTCAGAACATGGCAGATAGGGCATGGTCTTCATTCTCGCATCCCTTCTAGATGATGACTAGTATTTGCTACAGATCACACACGTGCAGAGTGCGTTGTGTTTCCTTATAATCCGTGGTACGCATTTGGCTGTAAAGCTTTTGTTTTGCTGATTGATCGAGTGGCTGAGTGTCTAAGCGCGAGATTGGATAAACATCCATCGCCTTCTGATACGAGACTTCCTCTCGATCGTATACCGCCGATCTCATCAAGATTCTTGGACCGCATCCTTATGCTTGCTCAGCAGCGGTGAGCACATGCAGCGCGAGCGTCGAGAGCGCTGAAAATGTATCACAAGCGTCGGGATTGCGCCATGAACCTTCATGAAGGCACTTTGATTTCTTGACAGCATAGTTCGTGGAAAGCAGAGGGACGTAACATCAAAAGTGGAAGGATAAGCAAGGGAGCGAGGGGCTCGGCTTGATGTTGCTTATTATTAAGAACATTACGAAGGAGGGGATTTTTACTGAGGAAGCGGCGGCCGTTTAGCCACCTTCCAATACCATCAATAAACACTAACAAGCAAATCATATATTTTATATTTGAACCTACTATTGATTGAAGATGTATCGAGCGAGCCAGTCCACCTCCGCAAGCACCGAAATGTTGTGTTGAGAAGCCTTGTGTTCGCGCGCCGTGAAGCGATCACTTCCTTACTAAGTACATACCAACTCCTTCGTACTTACGGCGGGCTCCGTCCCTCCTGAATAAACACCCTTTTGCCGCGGAGTTCCATCGCACTTTCTCTGTCTTGCGGACATGATAAACTCCTCAGTAAGACACAACAGCTCGCTAAGCGCACTGGTAATTTAGAATAAAAAAACTCCACTTCTAAGGTAGACAGAAGGGATACACACGGCACGTGACGGGTCAGCCCGCTGAGTCGATATTCAACGCCAAACCAACCGTCCTGCCGCTGCTCCAACATCGGTTGCCCAAACCGTTCATGGAGGCTTCCAGGATGTTGGCATGCTTGATACTCTCATCGTACGAAGCTGCTGCTCCATGAGCTCATCGCAGCACTGCTCTCTCCTGCAACTCTCCGAGCCCTATGTCAAGAACACGGCACTCACGAAAAGCCTCCGGCTTCCAAGACGCGGCAGAGCAGAAGGTCACATCAAGCATTCAGCGCCTCTAGAGTAGCGAGCAGGCAGTCAGGCGTGAAATAAACCTCACCGCGACAGCAGCTCCGCGCTCGTCCACCGTCAACTTCATAGAGCAATCCTCGATCAGCCACTGTAGCAGATCGAAGGAGTGGCCGGCAGAAGGACAAGTCTTTAGTGAGCCATTTAGATGTTGCTATGAAGTATTAGGTGGACCATAGAGGGAGCTTTGTTCTTGATGCAGCTGTGAGTTTCTACAATCTCGAGGAGGCCTTTTTCCCGCTCGGCGTGGCAAGATGCGTGAATGCACGCGAAGAGAGCTGATCAGGCGGCGGCGTTCGATGCGCTGCAAGGACGGTGTTCTTCCCAGTTGGTTAGATTTAACCTCCGCACAGTATGACTCGGTTGCTGAGCTCAAAGACCTCCCCTTGAGTCAGTTTGTGGGACTGTAAAGTCAGGATCTTAGCTTCTTGCGGAAGCAAGATGCATGCACACGCGGAGCATGCACACGCGGAGCATGCACATGCGGAGACAAAAATATTTCCCACACCAAAGCTCGATATCTGTGTAAGTATGGTCGAAAGTCACAAGGGATTGCTTCGACAAACTCGAATTCATGCTGGGGAAGCCGCATGAGTGCTTACTTGTACAACAAGGAGCGAGAGAACGGTCCCTAACTCTTTTCGAACCAGCAGCTCTCCGATGCTTAATCGCTGGTGTTCGGATCCCATAACAGCGGCATATTACTTTCACTCTCTGTCATGGCAGTCCGCGCTATTTCATCTGTCGCCAGATCGGTCTCCTCCTCAATTGGCTTGGATGGAACTTCCGCTCCCCTTGGCAACATGGGTCTGCGGTCATCTGCGGTTTTGCGAAAGCTCGATACGCCAACCAGAACAACCGACCAAATCATCGCCATTATTGAAATGGCGGGAGGAAATCAGGGTTCGGTCTACCGCGGACCGACAGAGACGTTTGATGGCACGATCGGCGAAGACAAGAACGCCTTTTCGCAAGCGCCAAATCAATACCGAGTCTCATTCGTGTCAGCTCATGCTACCGAGAAGCTAAGAGTTGAGCCGCCACCGGTTCCATGCTGGCGGGCCGTCACGCTCTTAATCTCCCGGCACTCAACGCGGTACTTCTTATCAGTGTTCCACGCCATCAGGTACATCCGGAGAAGGGCTGTCTGCCCGTCCTTGTGCTCTTGGCAGGACCTTCTATGCAGCACGATTGTTCTAGCGTGCTTCGCCGCAATGCCAAGTGCATGGATCACCATGTCTGGATGCCATCTCACTGCGTTGGTGGGGGAAGCCGGAAACTTCCCGGTGACGGTAGGGCGATGGGAACACGCGGGTGCTTCTCCAGGTCCTCCGCATGATGTACGACGTTGATATATAAATTGGCCGCTGTCCCCTCATGAATTTTTTTCCCTACAAGCCTAGGAAAGAGTCCTATCCTTCACTTCAGGCAGCACTCTTTTCCCTATCACCGTCGTTGCTTCGTCATTTCCAGACATTCGTTTGCCATCTGTAAGGAGTCATGGCACCAGTCCAGTCAAACAAAGACGAGAAGATTGTAGTGCAGTATGAGGAGGAGGTTGGGTCCATCGACAAGCCCCTGCCTGAGAAGGCGGACTATTCGGGTGCTGCAGCGAAGACAGACCCGGCGGAGATTGCCCTGGTCAGGAAGCTCGACCGTTGGATCATGGTGAGTAGCATCAATATTTCCGTCTTCAGATCTAGTACTAACGGTCCTTCACTAGCCCATGCTATGGTCAATGTACTGGCTGAACTATCTTGATCGCAACGCCATCGCCCTTGCACGCCTTGATGATCTCGAGGAAGATCTGGGGCTCTCAAGCACAGAATATCAGACTTGTATCAGCATCCTTTTTGTCGGCTACCTTCTCGGACAAATCCCTTCCAACATGTTCCTCACACGCACCAGGCCAAGCCACTACATGGGCATCGCCATGATGCTGTGGGCAGTTGTCAGCGCTCTAACGGCCGTGGTTAAGAACTTCCACGGGTTGCTCCTTGTCAGATTCTTCCTCGGTGTAACAGAAGCTCCTTACTACCCTGGTGCCGTCTACCTGCTGAGCATCTTCTACACTCGCAAGGAGATCGCGACCCGTATCGCGATCCTCTATACCGGCAATATTCTCGCGACTGCATTCGCCGGTCTTATTGCGGCAGGCATTTTCCACGGCTTGGGCGATGTAGCTGGCCTCTCCGGCTGGAAGTGGCTCTTTATCCTTCAGGGCGCAGTCACCTTTGCCATTGCCATCGTTGGCTTCTTCTGTTTGCCAGATACTCCCTTGACCACGAGGTGGTTAAATCCAGAAGAACGCCAATTGGCCCACGATCGTATGGAAAGGGACACTGTTGACAACCAAGGGCACTCAAGCACCTGGCAGGGCTTCAAGCAGGCGGCGGTTGACCCGAACGTGTGGCTTTTCGCCTTCATGGCGCACATGCACCTCGCTGCCAATGGATTCAAGAACTTTGTAGGTCTTTCCCATGTCCAGCACATCGATAGACCGTCTAACATGTCATGTTACAGTTCCCGACAGTCGTGCAAACACTTGGCTTTAATACCACGATCACACTCGTCCTTACATGCCCGCCGTACTTGATTGCTGGAGCTAGCACTATCCTGGTCAGCTGGTCGTCAGGAAGAATGAACGAGCGCACTTGGCATATCACTATCTCTAAAGCTGTGGCTGTCATTGGCTTTGTTGGTGCTTGTGGGACCATGAATCTCGCCGGCCGCTACGTCTGCATGGTTATCTTCACTATCGGCACCTATGCCGTTAACTCCCTTATCCTGGGATGGTGCGGGTCCACATGCGGTCAAACGAAGGAGAAGAAGGCTGTGGCTATCAGTATCGTCACTACTGTGATGAATGCAAGCTTCATCTGGACTCCGGTACGTCATCTATATTTCCTGCAGTCAGTTTCGTGAGAAAATCACAAGCTAACATTTTTCCGCAGTACTTGTGGCCCAAGTCGGATTCACCGCGTTACGTCATTGCTCTCTCCTCAAGTGCGGCGTTTTCTATTGCTACGGCTATGACTGCCTGGGTCGTCAAGTTCATGATGATGCGCAAGAACAAGAAGCTGCGCCAGTCTGAGGACGAGGTCACCACTTTTTACGTTTATTGAGCAATAGTCTACTGCCCACCTGCTCTCGCTTCGAGTATACCCGCAGGTTTAAGAGCTTGGATCTTAGAGGCTTTCATTTTCGGGAGCGTAATTGGCTGTAGCATTCTTCGTCGCAACCCGTCACGAGATTCTATGCCGTTTGTTGAAATCACTCTACATTACCGGAATTGACTATCCAACATGGTGAAAGCATGAAAGCCGCATGCGATGTGACACAAACGGCATCTACACCAACGATCACCGAGAACAGGCTCTACGCCATCAGGCCAATTTTAGGCAAAGGGCAAGGTTTCATAGCTACCACTAGGATCGCCAAATGCACGCGTATCCTCAAGTGTCTTCAGGTAATCGATTCATAAGAATATTACACTGCTAAATAATTCACAATCTCTGTCGCGTAGAACCGGTCTGGTTCCTTTACTCTCAGAACGATTCTAAGTTCAGCTCAACCCTGGCTTGATATCAAGAACGGTAAGAGCTAGGATGCGGCAACGGCCTCTTTGAACAGCCTTTTGCGCGAGAGTACTACACTGTTAAACGACTATAGCCTCTGTGGCGTTGGAACGGTCCGGTTCTTTCGCCCTCAATAGAATACTGAGTTCAATTTCGTCGTGACTTTATTCTTGATAACAGTAGCAGCTACAATGCGGCAATAGCCTTTTGGGACGGCCCTTGGCCGCTCGCCATCGGTTCGCAGACGATCCAGATTCGCATGTGAGCTGTATTAACTCCCACTGGCGCAACGCCAGCAGAGTGATAGAAGACTAGAGCAGACTACACGGCTTGACGGGCTACGGGAGCAAGCTGTAGAGATATTTTCGCAAGGGCTGGGTGAAGAGGGATTTCAGGACTGGTTTTGGAAGAAGGGTGAGCGACGTGATACCCAGAAAAGCGCTGCCAACTTCATGAAGGTTGATTCTATTCCCCTGGAATGTCAGATAGAAGGATAGAGCTACTCACGCGGTCGTGAACAATATCACACCGTACAGACGACGATGTGCTTACGCTTAGCGGCAATCCAGTCGCGGGAAGCTTGAAGCCGCTCACACATCATTTCAGGGGCCATAGATTCCAAACGGTAGAGGGCTGGAAATTTTTGATGATTAAGAGCGCTGATATGATCGTTTGCATTTCCTTTCCTAGACCTGCCGACGTGATACAGATCGCGACTCCATGATTAGTATGGAATGAAGGTCTCGTATGAGAAGGCGAATAACGACGCCATCGACGCCACGGATCATCACCAACAGCATCGGCATTGCCAAACGCGCCGCCGTCAGAGCTTAGCATGTTGCTGCCACGCCTCCTTTTGTACATTCCCATATCCATGCCTGAGATGCAGCACAGCGTCCTCTTCCGGCATAGCAATGTCTTAATCGCTTGCTTAAACCTGGAGAACGTGTCGGCTTCTCCAAGCGTCAACCCAGGTGCTGCATACCATAGCAGCCCCTTAATAATCCGAGCCTTCCACCCCCAACTTCCCCTCCTTCGCCTCCACATACTCCACCAGGTCTTCAATTGTGCACACCCTAAGCCCCCACCTCTTCCCAAACGCCAAGCAATCATCCCTCCTCATCATCCCCCCACCCTCCAGCTCCGTCTTCCCCGGCACCTCCTCTCCATCATTAACAAGTTCACATATCACGCCCGCGAGCTGCTTCCCCGCAAGCCTGCACAACTCCACCGCGGCCTCCGTATGCCCATGTCTCGCCCTAATCCCGCCCTCCCGTGCCTGCAGCGGCAGGATATGTCCCGGTCTCCTGAAACTCCTCGGCTGCGCCTTCGGACTTGCAAGCAACCTACACGTAACGCTCCTATCGTGCGCGCTGATGCCCGTGCTGATTTCCGGTGTGTCCGCGTCTACGGTAATGGCATAGGCCGTGCGGTTCGGATCCGTGTTGTGCGTCACCATCTGCGGCAGCTGCAGCTCTGCGGCGCGCGAGACGGGGATCGGGGCGCAGATGTAGCCGGAGGTGTACCGGATCATGAAAGCTGCTTTGGAGGGGGTGAGGTCTTCGGCGGCGATTATGAGGTCGCCTTCATTTTCGCGGGAGGGGGAGTCGAGGACTATGACGAATTCGCCGCGGGCTGGGAGGGGGTGATTAGTTGGGAATACAGGGGAAGGAAATGCGCTGGGATGGTGGGCGTACCGAAGGCTTCAATCGTGTCTGGTATTGAGTCGAAGGCGGGGTGGGAGGGTGTGTGGGAAGTGCCGTTGATGGAGGGAGCGCCGTTTGGCATTGTCGTTCCTGTTGATGCCATAGCTCTGAAGGATGCTTAGGGATAAGGCGGCCACGCAAGAAGGATAGATAATCTACAACGCAGTTATGTACAATGCCAGCGCTGAGTCACTGCGGCCGCTTATGGGATTGCTGACGGTGGTTTATCAGCGTAGCGGATAGCGATCTGGATAAAAGGGGAGAGGTTGTGCGGGCTTGGACGGTTTCGGCAGGTTGTTCATGCTGAGAGGAAGATGTTCTGTGTCGACAGAGTTCCATTGACACTCCCTCCATCTTAGCATCATCAGGGTCCAACATGTGGTGGAGGGTTTGCATCGGCACCGACCTCGGCCCGCTCGGAGCGGAGCTTCGGATTTCGGTTGTCCACAAAGGGAATGCCGGAGGTTGGAATTCTCAGTACGCTTTCCGACCGACTTCATCTGCTCAGTGAGCATAAAGCTACGGTGATTGTAGAGGGTCTGCGCAAGCATGGTAGTGGTAAAGGGCTCATAGTGTACGAAGCCAGCAAACCCGCTCATAAGTGCGAATTTCTCGCAGATTTTGGGTATATCAGTCCTCCCTGCCGGAGTAAGAGATACTCGGAGGATGCTTCCCAGGCGGATCGGCACAGGTACTCGCAGAGGCTTTATAAAGACGAAGAGTGAAAAGTATGGGGAAAGCGATCGTTGGATAAGAAATGAGTATGGTATGCAGATGTAACGAATACTAACAGCTCCCTACTACACCACATCGCAGACGCGTCCAACTTCAGAAATCAAATACCACCGTCGCAAATGCCGATAAGTCCAGCGCCGCCAAGATCCATGCGTAATCCGATCTAAGGACCTCGCCGGATCCAATTGCCTCTATGCAGATTCAGATCACAAAGGAAAGATGCAAGTTGCAGTAGCGCCTCCTAAATGCTCAATAGTGCCACCAAGAGCTTACAAGCCAGAATCATCCTGCACATACACCGGATTATTGTTGTTGTAGTTTCTCCAGTTCGTGCATGTCTTCTCCCACTCCGCGTTCGGGAGAGTGATGGCAGCCTTGCTCTCTAAGAACTGAACACCCAGTCCCTCGGCAATGTGCCAGGCGATGTGGCAGTGCATCAGCCATGCGCCGGGGTTGTCGGTTGGGAAGGCGATTGCGAGCCAGCCGCCGCCCGGCAAGATTGCAACATCGCGGCGTGTCGGATTTTGGAACTTAAGAGAGGGGACGGAGTTGACCTTGTCGAAGACGCCAACACCGGAACCGAGGACGTAGAAGTCATGACCGTGAAGATGGATGGGATGGGGGATGGGAACTGGGGTGCCAGGAGTTTCTTGGATGATCCAGTACGACCACTGCAATAATGTCAGCAAAACCTGTGTTCGTGTTCCAGTTACGCAGGAGAGTGTCTTACTGTGTTCTGGTTGGGAATCTCGAGCAGGTTGTATGTGCGCGGGTAGTCCGACTTTCCTTTCTTAACGTAATCAAGAGTAGGAAGATCCCACATGATATCGATGGCGGTCATATTTACGCCCCAGACAACGATATTCTGGCCATTGGTAGTGACCTGCTCACGAGCAAGATCGACCTGCAGGTTCCCAACTTGGTTGAGGAAGGCTTCACTGTTTACCGTATTCGCAACCCAAGGCGTGAGGGTTGTAGGATCACGGCAGCCGGCGGTGAACGATGTGGCGGTGCTGGTCGGGTCGCTTTGTGGTGCACCAGAGTAGCGGAAGATGGAGCGGCCATAGAAGTTATTAGAGCTAGCACAGTCGGTGGCGACTTCGGCCCTGAACCAGTAGTTGCCGACGGCCTGGTTAGCGGTGAAGATAACATCGTACCGCTGGCCGACGGAGAGGAGTACCCAGTTGGTCGTGTAGGGTTTGATCGGAACCAGGTCCGCTGTGATTACAGTGAAGGGGTGGCCGTCAAGGGAAACACGGATGGAGTTGTCAACGGAGGGGTTGATCAGTCTGAGACGGTACTTCTTGCCAGGTGTAATTGTTGTTGTCGTGTAGCTCCCAGTGCCTGAAGGGCTCTTGTTTTTGCCGTTGATGAGGAGAGTATCGGCTGGAGGTGGACCGGTGCGCCTCTGCAGGTTCTGTGCTACTATAGAATTGATCTCGTAAGACGTACGGTAGAACCAGTCGTTGATCATGTAAGGACCGAGATCTACGTCATAATTGGACGCGGCCGGTCCGTTGATCACCATGGCTCCGATGATGCCGTCTCCATACTGGGCTGAAAAATGCGAGTGATACCATGTGGTACCGAATTGCGTTGCTTGGAAGTAATATGTCTTCGTGTCAAAAGGCGCCAGAGGACCTGTTCCTGTTGTCAGCCTCACAGACTTTCCTTCGTGGCACCAGGGGTTGCTGCTCGCTTACATTCTGTAATACCGTTGACACCGTCCTCAGTGCATGTGTTGAGCTGTCGTATACCATGCCAATGTATGCTGGTGCCGTTGTGGGGCATTGAATTCTTGACGGTGATCGCAAGTCGGTCGCCCCAGTCTGCAAAATGTGAGTGGGCTTTCATGACGGAAAAAGGGAGGGTGAGCCATACCGGCATAGATAGTAGGAGTTGGGTACTGTCCATTGACCAAAAAGCAGATCTTTTCCTTGGCGCCGTCTGGGTTGCAAGTAGTGTTCGTGATTTCCAGATTGTACTGCGGGCGATGGTGGTCAGCGCCTAGTGGAGCCATCTAATGCGCCACAAGCTGTACTCACGTAGACCGTTTTGCCCGTATTCGGCCATTTTGCATCAAAATCTGTTGCTATACTGTAGCCGGGGGCCCAGCAGGATCGAGTAAAGGGACCGTTCGAACAAACGGCGTCTGCCACTCGAGTTGAAGTTGAGGCAGCGGCGGCGGTAGTTGTAGCTTGGCGGCGAACCATGTGGTTACCGGCGGGTCCTTTCTCGCCCCATAGAATGTGATCGGGAGGAAGATGTGAAGCTGCCGAGCTAGCAGCGAGCGCCAACAACGGACTCGCTATACTGAGGAAATGCATGGCAGCAGACCTCAAGTCAAGCAACCGCCGATTTAAATGTCTTAGTTGTATAGTGCAAGGAGACAAGAAGAGAGATGATGCTTCTAGTGAATGTTACGCTTCAAGGGAGTACGTGATGCTTGCAGAAGATAATGATCACTGAGAGCGGAGGCATCTTTGACATATATGCTGTACTCACCACAACAGTATGAACCACCTGAATCATCAACCAGAATCACCCTCATGCCCATGGTGCCTCGGAAACTTGGCTAAAAGCTAGATCCCGACGTTAGACAGCTGTCAGCACTGTCAAAAACCAGCAAAGACTGGCTGGCAGGTCGATGGCAGGTGTTACCCAAGGGACAGCTCGGAGATGCAACGGAGCTTGGCAAACAAGATGCATGTTGCGGCGAGCCTCAAATGACTGTGTACCAAGATACCTGAATCTAATCGAATACGCCGGATTGGCGTACGCGTACCTGAAGACCCGCAGTTGTAGGCAACACTAGCAGGAGCTCGCTATTGCAACGAATCGCGATGCTTTTGAAGGCTGAGTAACGGACAAATTGAAATTGATCCATATTTGGACGCAGCCGCAAGTTCAGGAACGGCGGCAGTGTGACTCGTGCACTAGCGAGGGATCGAGGCCGGGAGGACCATGAAATCTAGGTTAGACGAGAATCAGGCGAAAGCGGGGAGCCCGACTAGGCAATGCTGGATAGAACGGTAAGACTGTAAGCCAAAACCGGCTGAATTATAGAGGCAGCACGCATATCAAATGCTTTGATCCTCATTGGGATTGGGAAATATTCCGAATGTCAGCACGGCTAAGAGCTGCAGGATTGGCTTGCATACACGGCTATGACATGATGTAGAAGGCCGGAATAGCAGTTCGGGTGGTACAGTGCGCGGTCTCGACTCCACGTACGAGGGACGGCGTCCCGATATCGCGGCAACCGTAAACATACACGTTCCCGAGAGCCTCAGCGTACACTGGCGAGAAGCTCTACGGTACTCCGAGAACCCGAGGGTCCGTCGTGACAGGCCACCTTTGTGGAACCAGATCACTTCTGCATGTCTGAGATCCGGCAGCAGCCGCCCCGAGCCAGGCCAAGCTGTTCTGATACCTATTGAAACCTTTAATCCAGTAACCAAAAGTTTTCTGCCTCCGGTTATGCGGTGTTCGCGAGCACCAGCGGCATAAAGTTGCGAGCATTCATGACAATGGAGGTCCAATGGCCGTGATGTGGGAAAGAGAGCATGTGAGGTCAAAAGAAAGGTAGGGTAGCTTGCCGCTTTACTCCTGAAGAAGCTAGGCTGTACAGGGTTGAGTGCACAACACCACTGCCCATGCATTTTCGGGCTGAAGAAAGCATCCGCAATACGCTGGTGAGAGGCTTGATTAGCTGGCCAGCCTGTGTGGATCAGCTGGCGATGCATATAGCTCTCAGCACCTCCATCCTATCTGCATATTTAGGAGAACTGAGTTTGAACGCAGCGCCCCCACTCTGCGGCTACCACCACTTGCAACGTAGAACCAGCTGTTCTCCAAGTGTTTTCAACCATTATGATGCTAGTTGCTAGTATGATGCTGGTGGTTGCATCTTTGAGTGATGGCAGTCGATGTTAGTAATACGAGTATCTTCGCTCCATCAAGAGCATCGCTGTCCATGCAGATCTGCTTTGTGCTCAGTTTGTGCTCGTTGTACCAGATAGTAGCATCTCTAGACTAACCCAAGATGGGCTGGCAAAATAGCCGCGTACCGTAGAGAAAACCGGCGAGCCTGGGAGGCTGCGAGTCGCATGTGAGCAACGCAAATGGTCAAGAAGCAGCCGGAGGTCGGAGACCGAGTCCATCCGACGCCGCGAGCCAATTCTCCATGGCTCCACCACTCCAATCTTGCGCGCATGCACACAGCACAGCGCAGCCGCTGCTACAGCTGCAATCCATCAAGCTGCACTCAACTCGTGGCTACCAATGCGTCGGGCGCTCCATGGTTCGCTGTGGGAATGCACCTGAGCCCCGCTGACCCGCGTCCATGCCGGCCAATGCCTTTTAAGCATTTACAGGAAACGATGGAGCACAACGTCAAGCCAGGCAGATGCTGGCTCCCCATCGGCTTCCATGTTCTGCTGTTGTGATCCCGGTTAGTAATTGAGGCTCAGCTGCTTCGCTGGTTCCTAAAAGTTTAGCTGCTTTTGCGTATTTCCAATCGGCCGCCCCCGTTCCACAGTCGTGATCTTCGTCCTTTTCCAGAGCTTGCTCGCCTAGCCGCAGCTTCCATTTCTCGAAGGCTTATTATGTCCGGAGTCATCCAGCCACGGTAACACGGCATCTCCAGCTCGAACCTAAATCTTTCCTAGATCCAGTCATTTCAACATGGACGCTGTGCCAACACTCCACTCTGCGATCTTCCGCGCAGAACTTGCATCGACGGGACCATGAGGCCTCTACCATATACCACACGAGACTATCTTATCTCATCGATCTCCCAGGGAGTTTTCAGAGCTCCCAATAGCCGCATCCGAAAACAGCGTACAATGACCCGCAGGGACAGGGGCCGTATCCCATGCATATGCGCTAATCTAGTGTTTACGAGAAGCATGTGAAACCATGAGGCCATCGCCAACCGTGGCGGTGCCTGCAGCCTCGTCCTTGGCTGCATCTCGCCATGCGAGGATATCACTGCAAGATACCGCTTGCCAAGCTGTCTGAAATCCATTCTCCAGTCCGGGATTATCCATCTGCGACGACGCCACTGCCGCAAATGTTGCGCCAATATGCAACTCAACATTGCAAATTCGTCTGCTGGATCCTACGGCGTTAGGCTTTGAGGTAGTATCTTTACCTCGTTCAAATCCCACATTGACTTCTCCGGGACGGCATGGGGCAGAACAGCTCGGAGACTCTGCTTCCTGCGCGTCAGTGCCCGTCAACAATCCCGTCATGGCCGAGGTAGGTACCACATGGCTGAGCAAGCCCAGCGGACCTCTTGAAATCACTATATCGGGATACGGTACACCTGCGCCAGCCCATGCTCAGCTGACAGAGTGCGTCGCGGAGGGACTTGGGATCTCATAAGAGCTCTGGTATCGCTCAAGAATTGTTCTCAACTTTTGCCCTGTACTCATCTGTCCTTCGATCATTCTTTTTTAGGCCGAACCTTTCGCTGAAGTCCATTTGTCACAGTTAGAACTGCACAATGTCGTCGTCTTCAGTCATTGGCAAGCTCGGCTTGATGGTTTTGCTCGCTCAGCGTGCCTTGTCGCAAACAGACAATCCATGCGTTTCTTACGGCATGGACTTTCAGAATGGAGGCTCTTACTGCCAGAACGCCAGCTCGACTGATCCTTTCACATTCGTTTCTCAGTTTGACGGTAAGGTTGGTATTTTTGAGTCTCAATAAACGCTGACGTTGCTACACAGGCTGCCAAGTAGACACTGCAGTCAATTTACTTGTTGATCCGTCCGGAAACCAGTACCAGTGCTCGTACACGAACCTTACTCCCGATGACACAGATCAGCTAGCGACTTGGTGTGCATTCATATCAATCGAGTGGAGATATGACACATGCTGATGTTGTTAGCCCGCTGAATAAGAATCAACTCACTTCAGGAGAATGGTCAGTCGTGGTGCTCAGCAACAATGGCGCGAGCGGCGAGCCAATCGCATATCAGAGGGATTTCTACCTCAGCGTGGGAGTAATACCCACGCACACCGTCACGCCTACTGTTACGGGGACGGCAGTTGTTACTCCGATCTACAGTGAGCTACTTGCGATTCACTCCGTGTGAAGGTCCAACTAAAGAGCCGTCTCTTTTTTACAGACTATACAAGCACGACAACCGAAATCCTGACAACTGTATTGGTTCCCGTCACAATCACAAAGCCATCAGCGACTCTCAAACCCACCATTACCACCACGCCAAGCCGGGTCACCACGACAAAGACCTCCACTCTTCTCACTATCCGCAAGACCGTATACACTCTTGCAGTGGTAGAGAGGATCCGGACGGCAACTGCTAGCTGCAGAAGGCCTACCAAGCCAGCCCAACCAGATCCCACTTGCACGATTGTCCCGACTATCAACGGTATCACCGCAGCCGCGATGAGCGCAACGGCAACGCCGGGAAGCGCCAAGTTTCGCCGCGCAGATAAGGCCATTGCGCGCGAGAACCTCGCCATCAACTTGGAGAAGAGAAGGGCGTACCTTGCAGCGGCGCGTGTACTCAACAAGCGGGCGCCCGATACCTGCATTGTTACCTCCACGGAGGAGAACACCGCGCTTTGGGGCACCACGACGGTCACCAGCTATGCGCCGACGTCTACCGTGACTATCATTAGTAAGCGCACCCACGGCCTTGTAATTGGTTTGAGAATTGCGTATTAACATCCGTCTAGCCGACGCCGTCATAACCCAGACCGTGACCCCCCCGCCAGTCACCTTGTACAGCGGACGAACGACTGCTTCGATCGTCACGATCACGGCACCGACCCCCACGCGGACGAGAACTAGGTATACCATCGCGACCACCACCACTGTCAGGACTTTGACTACTACGTACGTTGTTCCTGCGCTAATCTACAGCTTGGGAGTGACAGCTGACATATCTGCAGCGTGGTCATCACATCCACAACCACGCCTCCTGCGCTCATCACATTGTGCAGGAGGATCGGCGGCATCATTGTGTAAAGTACCCCGCGGTCCTCATGCGGGAAGCTTGCGCATTCTTCTGCGCAGTCTCGCTTCCGTAACGGGTTTGATTTCGTTTAGAGCGTTCAGCCTCATAGACAGCGCGAGGCTTGTTTCGACATCCCCATGTCGCACCAGAACACCTAGAGAAAAGTGTCTAAAATGGGCGTTGGAGACGGTTATGAGGCCATCTGAATTTTTCGGGGAGGCTGGCATGATAGGGAACATGTCTTGGACATTGAGTTGATAATGTTTGGTACCAGGCTAGAATTGACGAGGTCAATCCAGATCTTCGCGAATTTCCAGCAACATTGATGGTGCCCTTGTTATCACCCCTCAATGCAGTGGCCCGACGTTAAAACAACCATGCGATGATCGTCGCCGATCTCCCTCGCTGCCGGCCGATCAGCCGGGGAAGGTGTGCAGGTGGCGCCAAACCAGGCGTCTTCCCGACGCCCAAGATGAGCTAGTGAGTTAGCGCCCAGAGAATCCTCAATTCAAGCATCGGGATGTGCTTGCCACGGTTCGTGGGCGGGGTGCCTAGCGCTGCTCCTCCCAAGTCGTCCCATCTACGTGTAGGGGATCCGAGATTGGGAGGGCAGAGGTGATTCGATGCTGTCGGCTCGTTGAAGGCCGAAATGAGTGCATGCACGTGCAGAGGCGATACTCTAGAGGAACCGTAAAGTTCTTTTTCTGAGGCGAGTCAGGCTATGGTTCAACAGTGAAAGAGGACGCTCTGGAGTGACGGATGCGTGCTCGGCTACTAGGTTTCGCAGGCTTTTGCCCTGCGCTGGGAAGTGCTCGTACACGTGTGGGGACAGGCTCGGCGGGAGAAGCGGGAGAAAATGGCTTGGAAACAAGGAAGTTGATACACGATAACATGGAAAAAGGCCCTAGCGGCCCTGAGAAGCCCCCGGAAAGACAGCCCGACGCCTGGAGGATGCAAATGCCGCCGAGCGCTGCTGCAACACCAGATTTGCAGCATGCCCCTTGAAACCACTGGAAAACGGCTGGTCACACATCGGATCAACGGGCCGGAACATCCACCCCGAATAAAGCCACAGACTTAATGGCTCGCCTGCCGACTCAGTTGCTTCGCCTACGTCTCAGTCAGCTTCTCCTTTCGCATCCACAAACCACTTTAGCATCTTGACCCACCTTCATAAGCTCAATCCTCGTCTTCAAATTCTGCGTCACCTCCGCCGCCCTCTTCCAGCTCTCCCCGCCATCTGCATCTCCCCTGCGCGCGCCCCCCGCCAACTCTCTCGAACTCTCCGCTCTAGGCAGTAACCCCGGCCTTTCCGCGCCCCCGTTCGCATCGCCACTCAACGCCGGCGAAGCTCGCCCGTTCTCGGCGGGGCGTATGGACGCAAGTGTGTGCGCGCGCTCCAGCTGCGCGGGTGGACGGTCGTACCCAGATGCCGCTACACGCACGGGGCTCAGCTTGAGGCTCCCGATAGCCACAGGGCTGAAGAGGTTCTCTTTACCTTCGCCTGACGCCGAGCGGTCGAGATAGCTCCTGCTCCTGCCTGGGCCAAACAAGCCCGTCCCCGCGCCCGCGCCATTGACGCCCGCTGCCCCGTCCGCCAGAACCCCATCGCCCATGCCTCCACTCCCATTCCTCTCAAACCCCGCCGGCGACGCGGCACGATTCAGGCGGCTCAACTCGCGCTTGAGCCGATCGACTTCCCGTCTCGCGCTCTCGGCCTCCTGCCCCGCGGCCTCGGCGTCGCCGCGGGCGCGCACAAGTTGCGTCTCCTTGGCCTTCTGGCTGAGTACATCCCGCGTATGATCCTCGATCAGCTGCGCGTTCTGCAGCTGTAGCTCATGGATCTGGGAGTTTAGCCGGGACCGCTCGTGTCGCCATTCCTCTTTGTCGCGGCGCATGGCTTCGATCTCTTCGCGGAGATGGTCGAGTTCTGCTTTCTCGGCGGGGGAGAGGGTGGGGGCTGCGAATGGGGCAAGGGGTGCATCGAAGGTAGGCGGGGGGGTGGGTTTGCCGAGGGGCCGGCCGGTGAGACCGCCGCGGCTGCCTAGTGAACTTAGCTTTAGGGCGGGCGCAGGAGTGGGGTCTTCAGCGGGGGGAGTCGGTTGTTGGCGTTTGGGGCTCGTGACGCCGGAGGAGGAGGTTGAGGAGGTGGGTTTCTTTTGGAGACGGGTGAGGCCTGAGGGCGCGGTGAGACCGGATGGCTTCGGGCCGCCGAGTTTGCTGGCGCCTGGACGGGATGTTGGGCGTGGTGCTAGTGCTGGTGCTGGGTCTTCTGCTGGGGGGGTTGCGGTGGCGGAGGGGGGTGCGGATTTCTTTGGACCGGCGGGTGCGGGTTTCTTTCCAAGTGTCTTCTTCGGCGGTCCGGCTGATGCTGCGGGCTTTGGAGGAGGTGCTGCGGCCTTGGGTTTCCACTTCGCCTTGACCTCCGCCGCCTCGAAGAATTCCTTAATCTTGGTCTTGCGGATTTCGTCTAGGCCTTCAAGATGCGGGGACATGATTCTATCGCCCATGATCTTCCAGAGCGTTCCCAAAACTTCTGCGCCCGCGGAACGCTGGGTCTCTTGGGACTCCGTAAGGAGCTTCGTCGCTGCATCGGCTATGGACTTGACCTCTGGTGGCTCGGGAGCTGTTCGGGTTGTCTTCAGAGAGCGGATCAGGAAGCGGGTGGATTCGAGTTTAACCTGTGGATTCTTGTGCTTTAGGAATTCGAGGATGTCTTCCAAGCATTCTGCTAAGCTGGTCGCTTGGAACACTGCATCGAGCGCTGCACCGATAGCGTCGGTGACAGACTGCTTCTTCTCCTTCAATCGCTCCATCATCGGCGGGATGATCGTTCCCCGGAACCTTGCGAAGCCCTTTCGCAGACCTTTCGCAAAGAGCTCCACGCAGTTGGTAGCGACTGTGACTACGGCGATGTTGGCGTCCTTCATGCACTTGGCTAGGGCACTGATGATATCGCTGAATTGGCCTTCTTCTATCTTTGGATAGTTTATGGCAGTGTGAAGTTCGTCGAGGACTTCTTTGCGATCTTTCCATTTCGAAGATGATATGCGTTCTTGAAAGTCCTTGGGTATCTTCGGCATGACGTCCACTGCCATGAACTCTGGCTCGAGATCAATCCCTGCATCTTCTTCATCTTCCGCGCCTCCATCAGCATCAGCGCCGCCGCCTGCAGATGGCGCTGCTGACTCTTGCACTGCCTGCTGTGACCGTAGAAGCCGCTGCTGCTTGGGCGCTGGCTCATCTTTCACCTTTTCAAATAGCTTCTCCAGGTCCTGTTGCTGAACCGGCTTGAGGTCGTTCCAGAAGAGCGGCTTCATTCCCTCCTTTAACCATCTGTAGAACTCCACTGTAAGCGCCTGAGCCTCGGCGCGCACGTTCTTGTCCGCATGGCCGAAGACCTTGGGGAGGACTTTGAGTACCGGTTTCGGCTCGACGGTCTTGCAGCCGTAAGAATTGTATATTGACGTTAACGCGTTTAGTGTTGCCGCGATAATTTTGGGCTGCTTGTGAGAGAGGATCGGTAGGAGTTCTTCTATGACCGGATCTGCTTTGTCCAGTTCAATGTAGAGTAATAGCGCTTCAAGCGCCTTCTGCTTCGCCGCCGGTCGTCCTGTGAGGCCTTTTTCGACTATAGGTACTATCGTGAGGTTTCGTGTTCTGGGATGGCCAACATCAGCAATCCAACAACTGCAATAATTTAACTCTGTTGCCAGCGTACCTCGTGCATCCTTGTGGCCCCGCAATCTGCAAGAACGAACACAGCGCGCTGAGCGCCTCCTGTTGCGCCGCGACGTTCGAGTCCGCGACAGCGCCTTTCCACAAGCCAGGGTCCTGTATGAACTGCCGTACCACGGGGTCTGACTCGTCCTGCGCCTTGTCGAAATCTTTCACCGCCGCCTCATAGGCCTCCTTGCGGACTTTCCAGTTCTTGTGGACGAAGCGGTCGGGTAGCGGGAGCTGGGAGAAGTCCTCTTCCTGGTCTGCCATGGCTGGTTGGTGGGGATGGTGGGGTGCTACTCAGGCTCAAAGACTCTGAGGAGGGTGTTAGCAGACGTTTCATTCGAGGCCTCTGGGCGTGTTTCCAAGTCTGGCTTCCCATCGCATGGGGATGTGGCGCGAAAACAGCAGGCGCGGGTGTGTGAGCATCAAAGGGCGCTGGTGTGGGACATGTCTTACTGATATTCAGGCGCGAACAACGGATGGCGGCAGTAAAGTGCGCAAGCGTATTCAGTCCCAGGACGAAATGGATGCGCCGTTAGGTGGCGTTGGGCGTGAGTGTAAAGGCGCGCAAAGGTGACATCGAAGAAGTTGGCAGATGTGAGATGTGTTTTGGTGTTGACGTGTTTTGGCTAGCAACGGAATATGAGAGTGGATGAGAGAAGATGTTGCGGGCGGCTGCCGGACCCATCCTACATCATCCCGCAACGTCTTGTTCCTCCGCAACCCCATCATCACCCATCAACCCACCATTGTCCTCAGTCCACCGTCCCGCTCAAGATTCACCGTCCTACATACTACAAAACCGTGGTTGTTCGATCTGTTACTCTCCGCAAACTCATAGCCTCACAACAAGGACCAATTGTGCGATCCTATCTAACGGCTCCACCTCTTCTCCAGACTTTTCCCGCTTCAGCACCGGACCCTCAACACAGCCTTTCTATGAGCGGCGCAACCGCACTGTGACAGCAGACCAAGAGCGCTCACAATCACCTCTCCCTCACATGTACCCTCACCAGCCGGAATGAGCCACCTTCTTACAACACGGCAAGCTGAGGAGCTGTACGTAAGCCTGGGCTGCATGCCTCGTCCAACCCGCAAAGGCCAGCAGCATGCTAACTCTCTGACAGCCAAAAAGCTGTCATAGCATATCTCTCCGTTTCGAACCTCCCCAAAACTGCCGCCGCGTTACGAGAAGAGCTGGGCCTGGACGACACGTTCGACGATGCCACACGGAAAAAGTATGAGGGGATACTGGAAAGGAAATGGACGAGCGTGGTCCGGTTACAGAAAAAGGCATGTGCTTCGTTATCTAGCCCTTTCCGCCCTCGAACGATCGTCTTGCGAGGCCGTTCCTATCGCTGACACTCCCCAGATAATGGACCTCGAAGCCCGCCAAGCCGCCCTCCAAACCGAGCTCGCACAAGCAGCCCCCCTCTCCTCGCGCCGCAACCTTGACCCTACAACCTGGCTCCCCCGATCCCCCGCACGACACACCCTCCAATCCCACCGCTCGCCCGTAACCTCGCTCGCCTTCCACCCAATCTTCACTTCCCTCGCCTCAGGCTCCGAAGACACGACCATCAAGATCTGGGACTACGAGCACGGCGAGCTCGAGCGCACCGTAAAAGGGCACACCAAGCCGGTCCTCTCGCTCGACTACGGCGGCCCGCGCGGCGGCACGCTCCTCGCGTCCTGCAGCTCCGACCTCACCGTAAAACTGTGGGACCCCAACGATGAGTACAAATGCATCCGCACGCTCCCCGGGCACGATCACTCCGTCAGCTGCGTGCGCTTCATCCCCTCCGGCGCGGCGGGCGCGCCTACCTCCGGGAACCTCCTCGTCTCGGCGAGCCGCGACAAGACGCTGCGCATCTGGGACGTCACGACGGGCTACTGCGTGCGCACTCTGCGCGGACATGCAGACTGGGTCCGCGACGTGTGCGCCAGCTTCGACGGGCGCTGGCTGCTGTCCTGCGGCAACGACGCGGCCGCCCGTCTGTGGGATGGGAGCAGTAACTGGGACTCTAAGACCGCGTTCGGGGGCCACGAGCACGTGGTTGAGTGTTGCGCCTTCGCGCCGCCGGCCGCGTACCCCCTTCTAGCGACGTTGGCAGGGTTGAAGAAGGCGCCCAAGGCGGAGAGTAGTGCCGAGTTTCTCGCTACGGGGAGCAGAGACAAGACGATCCGGATCTGGGACGCGCGGGGCACACTGGTTAAGACGCTTGTGGGGCACGACAATTGGGTTAGGGCGATTGTGTGGCATCCGGGCGGGAAGTATCTGTTGAGTTGCGGGGATGATAAGAGTATCAGGTGTTGGGATCTGGGGCAGGAGGGGAGGTGTGTCAAGGTGATCGAGGACGTGCATGCGCATTTTGTGAGTGCGATGAGGTGGGCGCCGGGAGTGGTGAAGGAGGCGCTGCCCGGGGTTAATGGGGGCGCGGTGGGGGAGAATGGGGTTAATGGCTTTAAGAAGGAGGAGTTGGGGGGGAATGTCACGATTAGGTGTGTTATTGCGACGGGGAGTGTCGATTTGGGGGTTAGAGTGTTTGCTGGGTAGAGGGTGGGCGGTAAGAGGTACAGTGCTGTCTCGCATAAAGAGAAAGGGGCGCTGAAGATCTTCAGGGAACTCTGTGCGCGGGCTCTCAGAAAGTGATTCTATAGGTACGGTATGAGCAAAGGGTGTCATTTGGTGGGCGCTAGGGGCTTGGGTCTCGGAAACGGAGTGGCTGGCTTGCATAGCATGGCGTTGCGGTTTCGCATGTCCGTGTCGCGCAGTTGATTTATGAAGCATGAGTGGATGATGCTATGAATATATAATAGCTACGTAGTCGTCTGAGACGGGAGAAGATGTATCCGCTTCGCGTTTATCTTGAAAACGATGCAGGGTAACCTCCTATATGTGGTCACGTGATCATTGGATCTCAACTCATTGATGATCAACATCAACCTCCAAGACCATCAACGCGTCAGGGCTTACTCTTCTCTCGCTCAGAGCTTCCTGCCGCGCTGGAACAGTTTCATGATGGTTTCGCGTATAGTGTCTGCAGAACACTCCAGTTCAGCTACCATTTGAACGATCGTTGCGCCATGAGTGATCGATGGATCTGTTTGATGAAAGTTCCGCGCTGACGTGAGCTCCGCCCGTAGCCGCTCAATATCAGATGAGATACTCGGAGTAGCAGCTCACGAGACGCCCTGCACCGTGTTGTGTGAGGGGTTCCCAAGGAGTCAAAAGTCCCATCCTGTCCAGGTGATTCCGATGGAACTCATAACTGAGATGCGGAGATGCCTTCGACTTGCTATAAGTAGGTATGGAGAAGCCCGAACAGGTTTCTCAGCTGCTAATATACATCGATCTATCCCGAGATTGAAAGAATTATGAGGTAAGTCGTCTTCACAACAGCCATTAGGAAGGTTCCTCACAGTCTGCTGACATACGGAAGACAACTCATCCTGCGATCACACTGTGACGCGGCCAAACACTGGCCATGTAATTGCAGGCTCTGGTTCTCAGAAATTGTCACGGCGCGTTACTCTGAGTTTATGTAAAGACGTCGTGAGCCTCCATCCATATGCGCCTCTACTCAAGTAGATGGCCACATTACCGATATCCAGTAGGATTTCGACGCTCAACTCAGCTTCGGAATCTGGGAGACCTCTCATGCACTGGCAAGTCCGGAGAGCTGCAAGCCAGCATCGCGATTCTCGTATCGCCAGATCGTCCGGTGGACTCTGCGAAGCAGCTATTCCAAACCACTTGCCAGACCGGAATTTATAGTATAAAGAAGTGCATCCCTACACCAGGAGCGTGCGGGATTGCCAGCCAGGAGTGTGTAAGAATTATACCAGATCTGCACTATCCCCCTTCCTTCTATCATATCTCGAGATCGTATTATTTTGTCCGGCTTCTACTAGTTAGTCCTCCGTCTATACTGTTGCCACTGGCTTTCTCACCGCCCTTATCATTCTTTACCAGATCCTCGCCAAGCATCACTCAACTATGGCCATCAAGCACGCCGCCTGGACGCACGGCTCCGACATCCAGCTCGAGAGCCTCTCCTGGCGCGCTCTACGCCAGGGCTACTGGACAACCGTACGTCCAGGCTGAGAGGGCAGATTCGGCTGGGTGCACTTCGCCATCCCCGCGCCCGTCATCGTCGATGGTGTCCGCCTCAAGGCCGAGTCAGCCATGATCCGCTTTAAGACTGGCAGCATTGCCAAGATCACAAGCTTTTACGTCTACGACGGCGAGAAAAAGAATGCCAGCCATGATGGCCTGGATGTGCGCTCTGATTAGTTGCAGTTTTATCGGAGGGATGTCCCGGGTGACCCGCAGGTTCTTTGGGGGACGAACATCTCGTTAGGTATTGAGTTTGAGGGGGATGGAGCGGATGCTTGGGTTGCGCTGGTTTCGGCGGGCATTGACTTTTATGCTTAGCTGTATCTCTTCTTCAAAGGTGCGAAGTAGGCGAAGCGGATTTTAGGGGCGTATGTAAGGTGGATAGTAATTAGAAGAGATTGAAGCTCGGAGGAGGAATGATAAGGAAGATGGATTGCGTGAGGCACTAGCTGAACAAATACGGCGGTAGACCGTTGACAAGCCCTCATAATATTGATGGCTGGCGATAAGCTCAGAAAGACACTGTGTATCAATTAACCTTCAGCAATGCATAATAAATCTTTAATAGGATCTCTGCTACTATGATCGCATCCCCGCAAATCTGACCGGGATGGTATTCGGATAACAACGGCTGGTCAGCAGCACATGCCAACTTCAACAGCATCAAGCTTTTCTCAGACCTGACGATCCACAGCCAGCGTGCGGATCGACGGCACGTCAACCCAAAGGTGGGGAAGTCCGTATGTGGAACCGACGTTCAGGGTTGACGACCGCATTTCAACTTCCCCATTCGAACCTCGCAAGGCAGAAGGAGGCCATGCTGGATCAGGGATTGTTCGCGACAGGTAGAAGGAGCTGGATCTCACACATGGCCTGAGATCTCAAGATATAATCTCACCACTTTCATCATGCTCACGCAACACATGGTTATTAACGGGAACCTGCGGGTGGACAACCTGCGGAGCGTCTCACATATGTCCAGCGCTGGAGCCGGCCTTCAGATATTGGACTTCGCAGATTCTGCCCAAACAGACCGTGTGGTAACAATAAAAAGAATTGTCAAGTTTTTGAGAATCAACGCAGTAAGTGCTCTTCCCCGCCGCTTTCGTAGTCAAAATTTGACCATACACACTGATTGATGCTGTATCGCAGTTGGAAGGATGGCACCAGTCAGCGAATACCTGTACCACGTGGTACGTACCATGATCGACTACCATCACGATCCCTCTGGAGCTTCGCAAGACATCACCGTAAACGGGACGTATACAGACCTCAGCGCCGCCAAAAAGGCCGCCAAAACCGCTCTCTTCGATGACGGCTATGAAGAAGAATGGTTTACCACTTTCGACATCAAGGGCGATCCCGAGGAGTGGACCCATGGCGATGGGAACATAGTCTACGCCCGGGCACCAGAAGGCGAAGTCTTCATCGTAGGTCTCAAGACCGCGCCCAACACGCTGGAGGTGGAGGACAGTGCAAACCACAAGATCGAAAGCGAGCTATACCACGTCCTGCAAACGACCATCCATTACAGCAAGGACCGCTCCGGAGGGGATCGTGAGACGGATATCCCGGGCACCTTTACCACGTATGATGCGGCAAAGGAGTTTGCAGCAACTTGTTTGCTGGATGAAGAGGTTACGAAGGATGATTTTGAAGAGTACGACGAGTTTGATGGAGAGGATGATTGGCCATATGGCTCGGATGTAATTGTGCATGCGGTAGGCGTGAACGGGGACAATTCTATCGTCTCGGTGATAAGGAAGGGCTAGCACCCCGTAGGTGTGACAACAGAATAAGCAGAGCTGCCTACAATGCTTACAGTATAACAGAGAAGATATGTGAATTGCGGTGATCAATTCTAGTGGTATTTGTTGCGGTGGGTGGTGTTACAGTGAGTGAATTAGCTGGTAATCAATTTGGGTTCATCACGTGGTCGGCACCCAATCATATGACACTGCTCCTTCCCATCCCTCTACGGCTTCTTTAATATCTGAGGGACACAAACTTTCACTCAATCACTCTCTGGAGGTAACCTTCGGTTCAAGACGGTCCGAGTATCTCTGATAAAGCGACTTCCAAACGGTGAGATGCCGTTTCTCATCACATTAAACACGAACATAGCATGCTGCTCCCAAGACAGCCCCATGTCAGCCATAGAAATACCTCCACCTCCTGTCGACTGGCTACTCAAGAACCGGCACCTCCTTAGGGGCAACCGGGCGTTTATGCCGGGCGAGAATCCTTTGCGTCGCTCTGCCGCATGTACGAATACATCGTTGCCGACTACAACCTCGCTTTACGGGGGGAGATCGAATACTTCTCTAACCTCCCGAGATGTCTCGTATCAGAAACACCTCACCCAGCCGATCCGGATCCTGCACGCTGCGCTATCCACGCCGTGCTGCCTCAATTCCTCGTTATGGCTTTCAACCGGCTTGTTGAAAGGGGATTCCACAGAGACGCCCCTGCAATCATCACCAACGATGAAGAGGATGAGTTGAAGGCGCGCCCCCGGATCTTGGAGGAAGTACTGTCGTGGACTACGAATGTACCGGCGCTGAGGCAAATGCTGATTATTCCTAGTATTGAAGGTCACCAGGCAAGCATTAAACAGGCGAGCCCTGAGTTCTTGAAGAAGATTGTGCTTATCTTCCCGCCTCACGTCCTTTTCATGTAGGACTTGGACGCATATAATTTACCCTTATTCTCTACCTTGCAGGCTCCAGTCAAAGAAAGATATTCACTTCATATTTGAACCGTTACTGCAGCTCTTTTGACTTCGCCCCGTAGCCCGCCTACCATGGCAGCATTCACCATGAGGGTAGGCGACCCTTCTCCAGCCACATTCTTACTTTCAGAAACTCCGAACGACACGCCAAAACCCCCAAAACCCGCGCTCCCCGCTCATAATGCCCTCAAATGCCTTCTGCAACCCATCAAACATCACCCACTTCTGTCCATATCCCTCGTGCACGTGACCGAAGACGTGCAGCCGCGGCTTGCTCTTCAGCCTCCACAGCTCATCAAGTAGAAAGGCACGGCCGAAGTAATTCAAGTCCAGATGGCCGCGCGGAGGCGTATGCGTAACCAGGATATCCGTATCTGGAGGGATCGTGTCGCGCCATATGTCCGCTGAGCGAGGATACTGGACGCCCAGTCGCCGTGGCGGATCGACCAGGGGCTGCCGTAGACTCGGACTGTGCGACCGCCGGCGCACTTAAGTTCGGTGCTGCAGTTTCGCAGGTAACGGATGGTGCCCCATCCGATCGTACTATCCTGCTTGGAGGTGGGATTCCGGGGCGCGGGATCAAGGTGCAGATCATGGTTTCCGGCAACGACGATTTTGTGCTTGTGTGGTAGGGCGTTCAGCCAGTCGATGGATGTCTGGAGCTCCTGGATAGAGCCGGATTGGATCAGGTCGCCGGCGTGGATGAGGATGTCGCCGGGTGGGATGTAGGGCTGGCTGTTGTGGGTGTCTGAGATACATACAGCAGTAGTTGGAGTCGAGGAGGATTCTGCTGGGGTGATGGAACGCCAGCTGTAGAGTGTTTTTGCTATATAGACCGCTGGCATCGAGAAGAATTGTTGCCATACGCTGGGTCGTTTGCGCTCGAGGAGCGCGTCGAGGCCTCCCCTGTTGCTGAACATAACGGAGAAGAATCGCTGATGAATCGGCTGTGTAAAACAAGGAAGTGGAGGTGCTTCTGAGCCGGCAGTGTGTTGGACTTTGTAGCAGACTTTACCTAAGATACGTGGCTAAGCCCTCTAAATGTGGTAGCTTTCTTATAGCATCTAGGCAGCATTGGCTTCTTACGGTGATTGCTAGGAAACCTACGTCTTTTCGAGGCAACGGAATGATACCGACCTTCTTGCTCTTCAGCTCTGTTTGCTGTGGCATTGTGATCTAATTGTCTTCCCACAGCAGCTGGTAAATGGTTCAGAGAAACAATCTCTCCCAAGGCCGCAAGACGATACCTTCAAAGTTGATGACGAGACATTGATGCCTCCGCAGCACCCAAATGATCCCACACCTGCATTTGCTCTGTAAGGATCCCCCCATAGCTCTGCTAATGTTGGGATGTGAGCAATAGCTATGGATTCTCGCCGGTGACTAGGAAGGCATGGAGACCTTGAGGATGTGGTTAGAACGAGCCACAGCACAAAGCCACAGATGACGTCTGATTCGCGAACCGCTGCCAGGGCATGGAGAGCTGATCCCAGCAAGCAAGACATCCGGGCCAGCTGAAGAGATTCAACCACCAGCTACCAACTCGTTCCTAGCAGCTCTTCTCAGCGTTGAATCGGGGTCAGCCGTAATGGATTGGCGGTAGTCTATATTGCGCGACTGCAACTACCATCCAAGGGCCGTTTTAGCCAGAAACACCACCGCGATGGAGTGCCGCGTCTGGTGTTCCATCACGCGAGCAGCCTGCCAGCTCCGCATAGCACTCCCACCTGTCCGGCCTTGCAAAGCATTTCCCCTCGCTTCGCCGCTACATCTAGCTTCTTCGTCGACACGCTCAGCACGCGCTTTCACATCATCTACCCGCCTGCACATCGAAGACCGGCCTGTCGCTTCGTATTCGCAACCAGCTGAGACGCTCAGTCACAACATCACGGAAGAGGAGAAGGCCGATTATGACAAGGCTGTGGCAGAAGACAAGGGCAAGCAGGTCCGGACGCCATGGATGAGGGAGGGCAGTGACACGCCGCCTGTTGCGCGACAACGAAGTGCTGGAGCCATGACGAAAGGTATGACTTTGTCAAGTACATGGAATACTTTACAAATCGCGATAGGGGGACATATAAACTGGCATGAGGACGCACGCCGAAGTCTGAAGCACACTGTAGGCACAAATGGACGAAAGAGCTAATCAACCCCTTCTCCCGCAGGCAAACTCCTCACAACCCCTTCCCGCATGCTCAAGCTCATCCTCCCTCTCACAACCCAAGACGAGAACAGCGACCGGAAAGACGTGGAGCCTCTCGCCCTGCTCGTCCACCCCCAGCAACCCCTCTCCTACCTCGAGCGGCTCATCCAAAGCGAGCTGCCCATCCTAAAAACACCCGACGGCAAGGAGAAGATCCCCGCCGTCTACTTCCGCGCCGAAGACAGCATGCAAGAAACCAGCGCCGCAAACGAGAAGCAGACAGTTGTCGAAGACCCCGACGAAGAGTCCGAGCACGAGCTCAGCGAAGATGAGTCCGACAAGTTCAACGTCGACGGCAAGACCATCGGCACCGGCAAGCTAAACCGCAAGACGAAAGAAGAAGCGGACAGGCTGCGCGGCGACGTGGGCCAGGGCGGCGTCGAGAGCTATAGCGGTCTTGGCCGCGAGGCTCCGGCCGACAAGACCGAGGGCCGCAAGTTCGTGCGGTGGTCCTCTAGCACTGAGATCGGCGACTTTATTCGAGATGCGGCGCGCGGGAAGGAGTTCGCGGTCGAGATCGAGGGCGCGCCGAACGATATTCGCGTCGGTGTGCCGAGCTTTAACGATAGGACATATTACCTGAGGACGCGGCTGAGGAGTACGGCGAGGAAAATCAGCTCCATGGCGGATATAAAGGCAGAGTGTGACAGGCTGGCGCACAAGGGCGCGCAAAGGGTCGCTATGGCGGGGTTTGGGATCTTGATCGGGTGGTGGTATCTAGTGTATCGCTTGACTTTTGAGACGGAGTTGGGGTGGGATGTTATGGAGCCCGTTACTGTGAGTGCACCACTTTCCACTAAGCCAAATCTCCTTTCCGTGCGGTAAAAATACTCCTTAACACACGGGAGACGGGAGCGATAGATATAGAGAAGCTAATCCTGCGTCCACCTCCCCAGTACCTCGTCGGTCTCTCCACCCTCATCGGCGGCTACGTCTGGTTCCTGTACCACAACCGCGAAGTGTCCTACCGGTCCGCCATGAACTACACCTTCTCGAAGCGGCAGTCCGCCCTTTACCAAGCGCGCGGCTTCGACCCAGCGAAATGGCAGGCCCTCGTCGAGGAAGGCAATCAGCTGCGCCGCGAGATCAAGGCCATCGCCAACGAGTACGACGTCGAGTGGGACGAGATGGAGGACGAGAAGGAGGAAAAGGTTAGGGATGCGCTGAAGAAGCACAGGGACAAGAGTAAGGGCGGGAAGAAGGATAAGGGGAAGGGGAAGGATGAGGATGAGGAGTGAGTAGTGAGAAGGGGGCAGTTACTCATCACGATAGGGAAGAGCCGGTGGGGCAGAACGGTAGAACGGGCAGATAGAACGGGGCGCAGGTACGAGAGGTCGCATGTAGACTAGCTAGAGGATGCCCCGCGATTCGGGGGGTTTCTGTCAGGGGCACTGTGAATGTGAATTACAGATATCGTAGCCGACTCAGGCATTTTAGGAGAGCCGCAGCCGGACCCAAGAAGGCTAGCGCACGGGGTGGCCGAATGCAGTTTGACACCTTGGTACTTTACTACGCGATCTGGTATAAGTATCTGGAATGTCGACTTGGCACAGCGCCGCCACGATTCGCTCCCGAAGCCAGCAATGCGAAAGAAGCAGGCGAAGGGGTCATGGGCGTTCAGTGGCTCAGCTGGATCAGCAGCTAGACCAGGACTATCGTTATGAGGTGCTTAGAGTTTAGGCGCGACGCGATCTGAGCGCTCCAAACCGGGTCGACGGGAGGTCGGGGGTTTTCATTAGCGGTCACGTGATATCCAGATGAGGCTCAGCGTCAGGGGTCTTGAGTCAACGTCCGGCGTCTCCATCTTACACCAAGGGCATCAAACTCCACATCGTGTGTCTACCTACCTTACTCTAGGTAACTTAGGGCAAACGGGACGTGCTGCTCGGCTCTCTGGAAAGCTCTCGCTTCTCCGTGTACCGGTTCGGTAACGAATTCTCGAACTCTTGATGCCTGTCTCGGCGGATCAGCAACAGGACCTAGCACCTGGCCCAGCTCAATGCCGCCTAGATACCGCTTCGCAATATTAGCAGATAGAATGGAGACCGGCTGACAGACTCGACCGAGGGTCTTCGCGGCCAGCCTCGTCAGCCTCATCATGTGGCCCGCAGCATCTGGACACTCTTAGCGGGTACACGTCCCTCCATGTGGGCTGCACTGCTTGAACCCCTCTGGGAAGCTACAGCAACGTGTTGCTCCCTCAATTCTTAGCATCGTGAACCGACTTCCGCGCCAACGGTTCGCCTCGCCAGGCCGTCCTAATAGTCCTGTGTGGAAATTGAGTATGCTGATGCGAGCGTAACAGTTGTGTCGAGTACGGTCTCGGCCCTCTGGAGGTAGGACAAGGAAAGTATAAGTCTTCTGTTCCCTCATGCTCCCTCATCAAGCTCATCGTACTCCTTCTTCTCAGTCGGGTGCGTTCTTTCCAGAGCTGTCCTCACAGCCTGTTCAGTCTTTTCATCACTTGGTTTTCGAACCGTCCACTCGTTTGCGGATACTACCCGCATTCATTCTTTAATCGGCCTATTGGCCTCCCACCGTTAATATGTTTGCTCTATCTAATAGCCTCGTTCCTCTCCTTGCTCTCGGAGCTCTCATTACCCCTTCTCTATCTCAGAGTAACGACAGGCTATCCTGTATCGATGACGCCAGCGATGGAGTCATCTATGAATCCGCCGCCGGGAAGTACGAAATCATGTGCGCGACCGATTACGGTGGCGGCGACATGGGCGGAACCTCGGCGGACACGTTCGAGGGCTGCATAGCTGCTTGTGATGCCAGCCCCGGTTGTATCGATGTGTCGTACGTTGGGACCGCCTGTTACTTGAAGGATAGGCTCAACACCGCATTGCCTTGGGGCCACGTGTGGACAGCGAAGAAGATCATCGAAGCTGCTCCTCCTGCGTCCGGGTCCGGGTCTGGGTCAGAGCCTGGGTCTGGATCTCAGCCTGAGTCCGGATCGGGTTCCGCATCCACGTCTACTTCCGCCTCGCCGACTCCAGCAGCCACCAAACTCACCTGCCGTGACAATCTCAGCGACGGAACTACCTACGCAGCCACCAATGGAATCTGGCAGATTATGTGCGCTACCGATTATGGTGGTGGAGACATGGGTGTGAAAGAGGTATCATCTTTTGAAGAATGCATCCAGGCCTGCGACTCCACTACCGGCTGTATTGATGTCTCTTTCGTGCACACCGCCTGCTACATGAAGAACAGGCTTGGCGAGGCCTTGCCCCGTGGACACGTTTGGACGGCCAAGTGGATCGCTAAGGTGGAATCTCCCTCCTCTCAATCGTCTTCTGCGGCCTCTGGTTCTGGTTCTGGTTCTGCGGCTCCATCCGATGGGTCCCCGCCAGCTGGGTCATCGCCTACAACGACGTCTGCCACCAGCTCATCACCGTCATCTTCCCCTACCAGTGGACCACTGTCTTGCCGCGACAACAAGAGCCACGGTATGACACACACTGCCACTTCTGGCGGGCTCTGGGAGATTCTCTGTGGCACAGACTATGCCGGCGGAGATATGGGTGCTCAGTCCGCTGATACCTTCGAGGCATGCATTGACCTCTGCGATAAGACTGAAGGCTGCATCGATGTGTCATTCGTTTACACCGCCTGCTACATGAAGAACAAGCTCAATGAAGCGCTCCCTCGTGGCCATGTATGGACAGCGAAGCTTCTCAAGTCAGCTGCAGAGATCGTTACGTTCCCTGAAGCAAAGAGTACTAACGAGGGCACTGGTGTTGAGTCAATCCTTCCCGGTCCAACAACTCTTGAATCGCCACCGTTAGCGACACTTGCCCCGCTGGCCCCTCCCGGCGTAGACATGGGAAGTCTTACAGTCTTGGAGCCCAAGCCGGAGACACAGCTCTGGTACAATGGAGGCGGCAGCCAAGGGAACTCCTCGTCAAACGACACCGACGCCGATACGGCAGTTACCGTGCGCCTGAGCATTGCCTATCAGTATCCTTCGGTCGTCTTGGATCACTCTATCTATATACAGAGTGTCGGCTGTGCAAGTGGCTCTCTGAGTGCCAAGATCAACAACACGAAGGCCTTTTCACACTCTGCAAACGAGTGGCCGGCCATACCCAAGCTTCTCTTCATCACCTCTTCGCCAGACTGCGGGGTTGACGGGCAGAATGCGTTCTTCCTTGCCGAGTCCATTACATTCGATGCTTCGAGGATGACATTCGTAGCGAGTGGTAATATGGTCGAGCTTGGCGATGTTTTCGAAGACATTGGTATCGACTTCGGCAATATCCAGCCCTCGAACAGCTCCTCGGATTCCAACTCTACCGCTCCCGCCGTTTGCGGGTCGCCCAGTTCGTCGGTCGTGGATGGCTTGCCAGCGGTAGCCTGTGGTGATGACTTCGACAAGACTATGGATGAACACCTGGGTTTCTACAGCGAGGGAAATAATGATATCAAGGCAGGTTAATCCGGAGCATTTCTAGTGGTAAGATATGCTAACATGACTGTAGACTGTGATAGCTGCTGCTTCTCCCGGTCTCGATTCACAGCATCCGCTCGAGCGACGATTTCTCGGCAAAATGTTGGGTGCCGTCGTGGATTTCGGCAAAGCTATTGTGGACACAGGCAAGAAGGTAGTTGAGAAGACGGTGGAGGTTGTCAAGGATGTGGGCAATAAGATTGTAGATGTGGGCAAGCAAGCGGTGAATTTCGCTGCCTCGGCGGCGACAGGTATTGCCAAATTGGGACTATCACTGGCCACCAATGCCTTCAAGCTCGGCGCTTTCATCGTCACCGGCAAGTATAGCAACACCATGAACTTACCGATCAACCTCGGACCACCGGCCCACATGCAGGAGGACTCACCATGGGGACCTGCTTTCAAGATCTACGCCTGGACACGGGCTAAAGAGGACCCCAAGTTTGAGAAGGAGAAGACCACTCTTGATTTGATCCAGGAACAGCTCAAAGGAGAGGAAGACCCCGAACCAAGCATTGAACTGTGGTGCGTCAACTGTGGCGTCAAAGGTCACATCCGAGCGACGGGCTCGATCACCGCCACTGCCCTCAGCGGAGTGACGCAAGGTAAAATCGATGTCGATGGTAACATGCGCGTTGGTGCGTACATCGGCGTCAATGCATTCACCGCGTGGGAAAAGACAATCAAGAAAGACTTGTTGGTACAAGGACTCCCCGGTTGGTCCATTCCAGGCATCGTCACTCTGGGCCCGCAGCTTCGACTCGCTGTGCAGGCTACTATCGCCGCAGAAGCACAAGGCCAAATCCTCACCGGCGCCTCGCTGAATTGGCCGAACCTCAGAGCCTCAGTGGATTTCGTGAATTCCGGGCGGTCAACCACGTCTGGATGGACGCCTATCGTCGACAAGAAGTTTGAGGCTCATGGCGAAGTCACTGCCACCGCAGCTTTGGGCTTACCTGTAACCGTCAGCTTCGGCATCGACATCCTGAAGGGCCGCTTCAGGAAGGGTGTCGATCTTACGGACACTCCAGCCATCGTTGCCAAGGCAGAATTCGAGGTGGACCTGGCGGATGGTGAGCTCACTGTTGGGAATGACGAGTGCCAGGGCGTCGCCTGGGACATCAGCCTGAGCAATCAGGTCACGTTGGCGATCACGGACATCAAGGAATGGACGCTCGCGCAGTGGGCTGGGCCAACCTTGGCGAAGGGCTGCATCGGCCGTCCTCGCGTCCAGGCACCAGTCACGAGCATCACGATTCCAACTGCATCAATGGTCACCACCACCAGAGCCACATCGACAGCGCTATCTACCTCGGTTTCTCAGCCGGTATCGGGACGTGAATTCTGCCCTGGCTCCAACGGGCAAACTTTTACCGACAGATCCGGCAACCTCTACATGATCCAGTGCAGGATTAATTACGCCAATGACGACGGCCAACTGAGCACCAATGATCCGAACATGGAGGAGTGCATCAACACATGCTCGAAGACCAGCTGGTGTGCCGGTATATCCTGGGGAACCACTCTAGCAAGGCCATGTCATTTGAAGAGGGCTGTTTCACTCCAAAGGGATGATTCGTACCTTGGCTTCATCGTCTACAGCGCCAGACAGGTGTCTCCATTCACCATCCTGAGCGCGTACTACGCGGACAGGGATATCACGGCTCTTGCTCGAGCCAAGTTCTACCAGGGCAGCAAGCTGGTCGTCAATACGAACAACATGCATGCTAATTATGGCACTGGGGACCCGTGGCCCGGCAACGCAAAGCACATCACCGTTCTGTACACGTACGGCACTGAGACACGGATCTTCGTCGCCGCCGACAATACGGGCATTTTTGAAATGGTGCCAGGACCAGTTGAACTCTCCCGAAACTCACAGATTGTTGCCGCCTACCCCAGACCCACTAGTAGTGGCTTCTTCGGCTCCGTCTCCAACTTCCTGAGCTGGGCTCAGATCGTTAGCGTCGTATACGGCCGAGGTGAAATCCGCAACCAGAATGTCTACAATAACTTGTACAACTCCGCTCGTAACACTGGGACCCCCTTCCCCCTCACCAATGAATTCTTCGCGCAAGATACTTGGGTCGGAGTTCCGAAGGTGGCAATAATCTGGTATCGAGACACCAAGCAGGGCGACAACAGCCCCCTATACACCATAGTCGGCCGGGAGAACGGCGTCGGCCAGTTCGTGCGGCCCCTCACCAAACGCCAGGATAACGGCACCGCAGAGGAAACCGTGGAGATCACCAACAGCGCCACGCCCGAAGTCGCGAGCACCATCGACAGTGCCGCGAGCGAATCTCCGAGCGTCAGCAATAGCACCACGACCGAGTTCCCGAGCATCAGCAATAGCAACAGCTCCGCCACCACGAACACGACGAGCTTCGCTCCGGCCACCGTCCGCGTTACAGATACGTCTAACACCCTCATCCTAAACACTGGCAAGAACGGTAACCTCTTCATCTCCGCTGCCGACGACACCACGGACATGAGCACGCTCCTCGGCCCCCAGCTCGCCGCCGACAAAGGCACCAGCACCATCTTCGGCGACGAGGAAGGCCGCCTGCTGCACTACTACCCGATCACCATGACCGCGACGGGCGCCTCGCGCCTCCGTCTCGCCGACTGGGATAAGCTGCCCAAGACCGCGGTGCTGATTAACCTTGCTCCGGTGACGTCGGGCGAGACGACGATGTTGATGGCGATTGATGCGAGTGGGAACTACTTCTGGCCGTTCATGTGCGGCATGAATGATGGGCTGAACAAGGTGTTCTTGGTCAAGGATCCGGAGACGGGCGCGAAGGTGCTGGAGGGTGAGGGACTCAAGTTCTCGGTTACGGGAGGCGTGGTTGGCGAGTGTGGGCCGTTGGCGCTGAATGCGGTTGTGGGGAAGGAGATCACTGAGTGAGGTGAGGTGGTGGGGGGAGAGGAAGGCGGTGGTGATGTGATATGTGTACCTTGATCTTTTTAATCGGTTCATGATTTTTCTTCGCGTGTAGTGATTACCACCATAATCATGCCTTTGTGTTCGAACATCATTGCGCCCGGACAGACGGCGATCTACTCAGGTTTATCGTACGTCCCGACGCGGGAGGCTTGAGCCACTGAGGTACAAGTCTGGCAACTAAGAATTCTAGGCCGTAGAGAGGCCGGAAGTTTCAATGATTACAAGCGCTGGTGTGATGAGTAGTACAGTCCCTCCTGCAGCTGGCGATGTGACACGCTTTACAATTGCGCCGTTGTGCACCTGTAAAAACGTCGTTATACAGCTAAGGAGTCCGAGATGAACGCGACGTGCATGATGGCATGTCTACGAGTCTATGAGGGTCGCAACGTCCCCCATAGCATCCAACGACATAACTCGCCCTCGTGTCAACTCACAGGTTCTCCGAAGTAGTCGGCCACTCATGTTGATATAACCTCAGAAGTCGCTCGGAGAGAGTTGAAAACGAAGCGGATCTCCGCACTACCTATTAATACAGTGATACTTCCGCCAGGTGAGCAACCCCACACATGCTTTGTATCAGCGACGCTGGGGGCCATGGAACATAACCAGACACCAAACTGAGTATGTTCACAGGAGAAGCTGCGTGCGCTGAGAGAAGAGGTCGCAGGGCCCAAGAGCGATCCTTCGTCAAGATTTATGATCGATGCTCGGCTGAGCTGCTGCCGTTGACAGCGAGGAAGGTATGCCCTGCAACACTCGCTCTGACATGGGGTCGGGTCACGCCCTGTTTCACGAACCGTTGAGCTTTTGCGTCGAGGCTTGGTCGTGTGATGGAGCTAGGTGATAGATCTTTCTGTGCTCGCTCGAGACGAAGCCGTGGTCTGCGGGGTTTGTGTAGGGCTGGAGAGGACCCGCTGGCATTGGGATGGTGCGGGATGTCTATGCTCGTGCGAGATGGACTGCGCGAGAAGGAATGGGGAAGACGGGGTTTTTTTTTGGCTCCGTTGACGCTGAGATAGGTGGGGTTGGGATGATGCGATTGAATTCTGTATGCCTTGTTGTTTCAAGACGACATCCCATGGGTGGAGATGTGACTTTGAGATCGAAGTGTTCGATTCCGTTATCTCGTCTCAATGGTATCCAAATGCTCTTGCCGCTTGGGTTTTCCTCCACTTGCCATGTAGAATTACGTCTTGATTTCCATGACCACACAACGCAGTTTTAGTCTGCCGCCTCATAAAGTATTCAACATCTTGGCTGCTATGCAGTGCATGCGGCAAAGGAGTCGATACAGGGTGCCGTCCCAGTCATGCCTTCATCGCGCGCACTCACGTGCCCTGAGCCCCTTGGGCCGCAGCCGGGTTTCTGCTTGGGTGTGGCGCGCCGTTCATCAAAACGATCCACGGCTCCTCGATTTCGTGGCTTGGCCTGCCGCCCCCCGCGAGAACGGCCGCTCGTGCACTGGTCGCGGAAGAGTCAGCAAGTGTGCAACGGCGGTGCGATTGTGCACAAGTGGGCGAGGAGCAGCCAATGGGAGGATCTTCGTGCAGATGCCTCTAGCCATTGGTGCCTGAGGGAGCCGTTGCACCAGGCTAGTTTGGGGGAGCGAATTACGGAAGGGGCAGCGCGAGTCCCGTCGGGCTGCGGCACAAGGATCCCCTCCCGATGGGTTGTGGGGCGCCTTGTGCACCTGCATGGCTGGAGCTCAGGTCTGCACAATCTGGCCGCTCATTCTTCAGCCATCTCACTTTTAACCTTCTCGCGCGCGTCGCTGCCCGACTTCTTCTCCTCACCCTACGCGTCAGCTCAAACTGTCCCTATCCACAGCACCTCAGCCTTAAACCGCCCGTTCCAAGCATCTCTCCTAGTGTACCGTTGCGAAGCACCTGCCCGCAAATCTTTTTCTCCATCAGACCGCCATCTCACCAACGCACACCATTCCTGCGAAGAGCCAGCTGGAATGGACCCCTCTACCGAAGTCCTCGCCAGCGACTATCCGCCCGTCTTCAGCCGTCTTCAGCACCAGCGGATGCGCTGAGAACTCACTGCGCAGCTATATCTTCGTCTCTGAAGGGTCGTTCAGTCGTTACCGCTCCGCGCCTGAGACACGAACGCACATCTGACCTCGCTCTTTGTTCGCAAATCCAGAGCCCTTGTCATCTGCACTGCTGTAAGCACATTCAGACAATGCCATTCATAGTCTTTGTCGCAACTAACATTCGCCAGCGAACGCTTTGTCGCTCCTTTAATACTCATCTGCGACCCGACTGAGACTTTTCCGAGACCCACAGCACAATCTACGCACAACCGATAAACACCACTTTCACCATCATGGATCGATCCACGACAGTAAAGCGCGTGGACGGCCGTCCCAGCGTGTCGCGCACAAATACTTCATCAAGCCCAGCAGCTCCAACGACACCCGCCTCGCAGAAGTCGAACCCTTTCGAGGAGCGCGCCGAGCCCAAATCTGACTATCTTCGCAAACTTCTAGCGGAGAAACGCGAGAAGGCTGCGCGCCAGAGCGAGGAACCAGAAACCCCGAAACCCAAGGGAAGAGATGATTGGATATTCGAGTCTGACGACGAGGATTCTGCCCAACGCTCACGGCGCGCGCGCAGAGGAAGCGACCGATTTTCAGCTTCGAGGAGTCCTTCTGTCGCACGTCACTATCCGGTAACCTCCAGGGAGCATCAGGAGCGTCTCGACAGGCTTCAGAAAGAGAATTTCGACATCAAGCTTCGCTTCCAGCTGCAGGAGGAGCACGTCAAGAAACTGGAGAGGAAACTGGGCGAGGCGCTAGAGGAGGCCAAGATGAAGAAAGACCTGGAACACGACGTCGCAGACCTTGTGCACGATAACGATGAGCTGGCAAAGCAAGTGAACAAGCTAGAAAAGGAGGTTGAACAAGTCAAGGGGATCAATGCTGAGGTCACCGCACTAAACGATGACCTTTTCGACGAGCTGACGAAGCGTGACTCTGATCTCGGAGAGGCTACAGACATGGTGCTGAAGCTGGAGACCGAGATCGAGAACCTCAAGGCCGCGCTGGCAGAAGCACAGAAGCACATTACCCCTCGCCAGTCATCGGAATTCTCAGGCTACTACAGCAGCAGTCCCCAGATCGATTCTCCCGCTCGGACCGCGGGCAGCACTCCAGCGCAAGCCGAGCTCGACAGCCTGCCCACTCCACCAGCAACCATCCCAAGACGCGACATCTTCAGCCCCCTCCAACATGACCCCCGCCAACCTCGCCCGCTCACACTCCGCTTGAAGAATATGGTCAGCAAGAACTCCCTCACCACCAAAAGGCTCACCACCCGCGCCTCCTTCAGCTCCTCGAACGCGGACACAGAAGCCGAGGGCGACACTCTCCGCTCCATCCCCGAAGTCCTGGAACGCAGCCGAATCCCCCGTCCCGGCGAGCAGCGCTGGCGACCTCAGGGTGGCGCACCTGCCGCCACGCCGCACAACAACGGGGCGCAGCACCTTGCACCCGCCCCAGCACTGGCGCATACCCGCCCACCTACCTCTTCCACATCCTCAAGTAAGCCAACCAAACCCAGATTCTCAACCCTTCACCCGCTCAACATGCCTCTAGTCCCCTCCTTCTCCGACGAAGATTCCTCGCCCGAGACCCCGACTCCCATAGCCAGCCAGTACCCGAACCAGCTCAAGCACGCCTCTTACCACACCCACGACAGCACCCGCACCCGCACCCGCACCCGCACCGCCCGCCAAGACAGCCACTTCCCCTCGCGCAGGACCAGCGCCTCAGACGCCTCAGACGCCTCACCACCGTACCCCCTTAACCCGAACCCAAACCCGAACCCCTATCCCGAATACCCGCACCAGCGCCAACGGAGCCGCCAGAGGGCCGAATGGGACATCTTCTCCAACCGCTCCGACAGCAGCGTGGCGAGCGTAGCCAGCGCCGCTGCATCCACTCCCGCCTCGCTGCAGCGCGAGCCAACGCTTGTGCCCGTGCCGCCGAGTATCGACGAGGACGACAGCATCTACGACGTCCCCACGCTGCATACCGCGGGGTTCGCGAGGGGGTTTAGGAGCGTGAGTGGCGGGGAGCGGGAGAGGGAGAGGGATGTGGGGAGGAATTTCTTCTTCAATGGGTATTAGTTCTAGGCTCGTGGAAAGCTGAGGAGTCTGAAAGGGATCGGAGGCCACACGTCGCTTTTTTGGTTCGGCTAGGAGTTGTGCTTTTTTTTCGCTCGTACGGGGGGGGGTCTGGATTTGGGAAAAGCACAGCGGCGTTGGTGGGGAGAGACGAGCGCTTTGCAAAGCTGGAAACTGAGCTCGATTCGGAGTTTGATGGTAAATAGGGAGGTTTGCCTGCGAGGGCTGGGAAGATACCTAGGGAGCTCTCTCTCTCTGCTTTTTGTGGAATTATCGAGCAGGAACTACTCGGTTTGTAGCATCAAAATTTTTCTTTAAACGCGTCGTTGAACTTGCTGTCTAGCCAGCTTTGTCGAACGCTGCGTAAGCGCTCGCGCTGTTGAATTCGTGTCGACCTCTAACCCTTCACTGAACAGATCGAGCGAGGCAGGACAGTCCCTGTATCATCCATGTCATGTCTCGAGAGAGAGGAAGAGAGGCCGATTATGCATTTGTACTCTGATCAATCCACCCATCTATGCAATGCCTCCAGAACTCCCAGCCCGTCCGTCGCCCTGAACCATGCTACAGTTCGAAGCGCCATGATCCCTCACGATGCGGCCCCTCCCTCCGACCCCACGTTCAAGCGCCAGTTTGTGTTCCTGCCCCTCTCGCCCGAGACTGTTGCTTCCCTGCTTTGCTCCCCCCCCTCCCACCTCGCTACTCTCCCACCTCACTACGGAGTACTCTCCCACACAACCCAAGAATCGCCCAGCCCCCATCCCCATCGCCCCACCTAACTCAAATCAAACCCAGCCCCCGAAAACACGGCATACAACAACCTCTCCCTCAAAGTCTGCTCATCTCTATACCTCGGCAACTTGAGCAGATTAACACACGTGCTCGTGCTCGGCAGCCTGCTCTGCTCATCCCCCGCATCTCTGATACTAAACCGCGGATTCAGGGCCCCAAAGCCCAACAACGGCGCCCTCGGGGAGCTCGTCACGAACTTCAGCACCGCGCGGCGCTCCTCGTCGGACAGGGACGCCATGACGCGCCAGAAGGCGCGGATGGAGGGGTGCTCGGCCCTGTCGTCGCCGAGGGCGTAGACGCCGCCGTAGAGCGTGTGCCGGCGCAGGTCGGCGATGTCGAGCGGGGATGAGGTGCCCGCGAGCAGCGTCTGGAGCTCGGACTGGTTGAACATGCGCAGCCAGGAGGGCTGGACCATGTCTGCTAACCCTTTGAGGAAAGCGGCGGTTTGGGCCGCTGGCTGGGTTACTAGCCTGTGCCGCGCGACGAGCGAGATGTAGGGGATGCGGTTTTGGTTCGTGACGGGGACGGCGGCGCCGTTGGGGATGAGGTTGCGGGTTAGGGTCTTCGTGGCGCCGGTTGCGGGGTCCGTGGATACGGTATCCGTGATGGTGAAGTTGAGCGCGAAGTCCTCGACGTTGCCGGCGTAGTTCTTCAGCTGCAGCAGCCCTTGGTAGAGGCCCTCGTCGAGGTCGCGCAGGTCGTTCAGGTTGCTCATGTAGCCTGATTCCTTGGGCGCGGAGCCGTGGCCGCCGGTCAGCGCCCACTTCAGCAGGAAGAAGCCCGCGAAGTGGATGTCGACCAGGATGCCTTCGTACAGACACTTCCCGACTACGCGGCCGAGGAACTCGTAGCGTTGGCGTAGCCCGCGCAGCTGCTCGCGGTACTCGGGGCTGCCGTCGCGGTAGCCGAGCTGGTGGAGGAGGTCTTTCTGGGCGTCGATGGCGGACGGGTTGGGATATAACAAATGGTGCTCGTTTTCGACGAAGAGGGGTAGCTCGTCATCCTCGGAGGACGAGGGATTGAAAGCCTGGTTCGTGACGCTCGTCAGGAACTCCTTCGTCACGCCTCCGCCGTCAATGCCGGCCTCGACGGTGTCAAACTGGTCGACGAAGGTGATTTGGATGGGTTCCTTGAGGCCTTCCTTGAGCGGGTAGAACTGCTCGAATGCGTCTTCGAACTCGTGCCCGCGCCGGATCTTGGCGTGGTGCTTGTCGATGGCGTCGCGGCTGCCGGTGCCGTGGAAGACGGACATGCGCCATGTGTCGGGGTCGATGAAGCCGTGGCGGCGCTTCATTTGGTCGATGTGCACGAATTCGCGGAAGATTTCGACCCGGGTTGTGAAGGGGATGAAGAAGGGCATGTTTTGGAGGACTTCTAAACGAGGAGCAACGGCCTGTAAATGCTTTTGCCGTGACAGCTTGCGCAGTTGACGCTAGAAAAGAGACACAAGTCAGCAAATGAAAGGGGTGTCTACGACTAAGCAGTGACGTATAGATTGATTGTGCATGACAAGCACCAGTACAACATCATACAGATGAGGCAGCAGCTATCAGGTTGCGCAATATAACATCTGCGGGGCCGTGCAAAATGGGGACAAAACGCTTACCTGTCTTCGCTCGTTCATTCGGACCTGCTGTGTTCGTCTCGTGCCAATGAGCGGCGTCCCTGGGTCGTACGCCTCTTCCGCATCATCCTCATCTCTGTCTTCATCGTCCTCTTCCTGCACCTTGTGTCGCCTTTCCTCCTCTTCAACCACATCGGGAATGAACCCCTCCATGTTGAACTCAGAAGTCATCAGCCAATGGTCTGCCGGGAGGAATTTGCGGCGTGAATCTCGCTCATAAAGCATGCGCAAGAGGCCCGTAACGAGTCCCTTTACGTAGTCAATCCCCATGCCCGCTATGCCCGCTACAGAAGCCGGCGTAGGCGTTTCGCTTCTTGCTGGCGCAGCCGCAACTTGAGGGCCAGATGCAACGTGAAAGTGACTGCTAAGGCCGCCTGGTCTATTGTCCCGCTCCGCGTTCCGTGTGATTTCCGCAGAGTTGAAGCAGAGGGTAAAGCCAAGATTCTTCAGAAATATGGTAAGGTCTCGGATGTCGTCCAGAGGAAGGGCGTTGCCTTGAGCGCTTGGTGAACTCAAAGAAGATTTATTGTTACCAGGCATGCCTATGCCTGAGAAGAACTCCTCATCATCCATCAGACGCAATATAGGTGTATAAAGCTCCATGAAGAGGAGCAGAATCCTCCACTCGTCAGCGGTTACGACGGTTCTCCTTCCCTCAGATGGAGGCGCCTGCCAACGGAGCGAGGCAGTTGGGGCTGGTATCGGGGTCTCGCTCGACTTCAGCAGCGCGATGGCGTCTCGGTGGTTTTGGCTGATTGTCCTAAAGACGCCTGTTGCTCTCGCGGCACGCCAGAAGTACTTGATCGCCGAGAGACTCTGATTTGACGAGGAGGAGCCAATATAAAGCCATGTCTGAATGTCAATTTTCCGGCTCGGGAAGAAACGGAGAAGGCCAAGAGCGTAGTTGGCGAACTGCTTAGCATCCTCGTCTTGATCCTTGATGTTCCCGCGAGTGCCTGACAGGAGGCCACGGATGCTCTCTTCGTTGACGAGGGAGACGATCTGCTCTTGGATGAACCCATTCAGAATGGGCACCTTGACTATCGAAGCATTGTCTTCTTCTTCAAAGTTCTGTTCTTCGAAGTGAAAATCATTCGCAACTGAAGCGAGAAAACTCGACACCACGGCAACAAAGTCTGGATGTGACGAGTATGCCCCTGGATCCTTAAAATTGTGAACGTGACGGTGAAAATAGATGAAGCAGGCCAGAAGGCGTACACGGTTGCTACTATCCAGTAGTTCCGGATAGTGAGCATAGTTTTGTGTCTTCACGACAGATGACAAACCGTTATCAAGAAGCTTGTAGTTCAGGCGCTCAGCTAGCGCGTCTAGTAGCCACGTGCGCGGACTCAGGTATGCGACCTCGACGGCTGGGTCACCAGCGAGCGATGAGGCGGTAAGATATGTACATGCAAAAGCTTGATAGGCCGTCAGCGTGTCCGCAGTCATCGCTCGTAGCGGCGCAAAGGTCGCCTCTAACAGTACAGATCTTTCTGTCTCGGAGCTCTCGGATGAGATGTGAGACGTAAGTGCTGCCATGGTCTGGTAGTACGGCCGCGCATTTCTAGCTGTCTCTCTGGGTATCCGCTCAGTAACGGAGCAAAGGGCTTCCACGAGACCAAGACCTTCCGTGCTCCGCTTCTGGATCGCAGCAAGGATGAGCCTCTGCAGGCGGAGGTACGCCATAGGCCACGGCCCACCAGAACTGGAGACGGCGTCTGAGCTCTTCATTTGCCGCTCGCAATATCGGCGTATCCTCCGGACATCCTCAGCGCTCCGCACGTTGGCGAATCGCAGCAGCCTCTCCAGCTGTAACAAAGATTCCTCCGTAGACGTGTACGGCGACCCTGGTGATGCCAGCGCCTCTTCCCGATCCCATGCTGCCCGAAGCGCATCTCGTGTCCTCCTCCTGCTGCTGTGGCCTCTCCACACACGTTGGATGGTCTTGGCTGCGTTTAACCTCTCTCGCTCTCGCTGCCTTTGTAACCGCTCTTGCTGGGCGGAGGCCAAGGCAGCCTGCGAGCCAGCGCCGGTTCCGGTACTTGCGGCGAACGGATTGGTATTTCGCCCGGAAAGGTTGACCTGGCGCGGCCGCCGCGAGGTTCCGGTGAAGCTTTGAAACATGTTTGGTGACTGTCGAGAAGGAGCGCGTTCCGGATGTTGGAGTATTAAGATGTAGGTGTACAGCAAACCACCTTGCGCTCAACAGGATTTAAGAACGACAGCGGTCGAAGTAGAGGAAGGTAGCATGAAGGCGTCGGAAGCTTCACAACGGCTGCGAGGTTTCAGAGTTCGTAGCATGGAGGTTCTGGGACGGACAGACGATGTGAAATCAGCTCCGCCGCCACGTATTTCGGCCAGCACTCTAGGCTTTCTCGTCAGTTCCATCAGATCGTGAGGCGTATGAGGCAACTGAGCCGGATCAACTTCGGCGATGTCGCTCAAGGCTGATGACGATCGCTGCAAGAGCCATGCGCGCCGCATCGTTTGCGAATTGCACGTGGATATCTTAACGGGAACGAGACTTCTGCTATTTACATCACCTTGTAATTGAGAAAATGCATAGCTAGAGCGTTATGCTAACTAAGACTGATACAGAATCATCCAAAAGCACTCTCATTACAGGATGGAGCTCCATGAACGGAATGACGAGCGTTGTGTCGCACCACGAACCACATGCATGCCGATACTCCAGCACTCCAAGCTACATGAAACCGCTTGATCAATCATCCACCATCTTCTCCACCTAGTATTGGGCTTGTCTAGCGGACTGAAATATCCCCCGGACAGCGTCTAGGGCTGGCTGGGAGACGATACACAGACATCTGCTGAGACCGGTAAGACCGGGAGGGGGATTCATGGCTGTACCGGAGGGCTCGCACGTACGACCACGCGTGGACAGCCTCGCGGGCCAGAAAGGACCAACATGTGGTTCTCCACTCAGAACTCAGTGTCCCTGCGCTGAGCAGAGTAGGGCAGGGCAGGTGATCAGCCCGCTGCTTCCTTGAGCTTGTTCTGCTCCGGAGCCTCGTCGATGAACTGCGGTGGACCCGCTTCGTCAACCATAAAGCTTGGCATGCCCTCCGCCTCTCCAACGCCATTAAGCTCCACCTCCTCTCCGAGCGCCTCCAGCTCCGCGTCCAGTTCCGCCTCGTCCACGTCCTCGGGCACGTCGTAACTCCGGCTGATGCTCTCCTGAATATCGTTTCCGATGTCCATGAGATCCGCCATCTCGTCCTGCATCTTCTCAATCTTGTCGATGTTGACCTTGCCGTACTGCTTCCGGAGCTCCTTCGTGGTGGTCTTCATGGCGTCCACGGTCGTCATTGTGTTCTTCAGGTTGTCTTGCATCATGCCCGCCTGCTCCATGTTCCACGCTTGTTGTTGGAGCTGGTCGCGCTGCGCCTCGTACATCTTGCGCTGTTGTAGCACTTTTAGAGCCTTCTGCTTTATGGCGTTCTTACCGGGTCCGTCGCGCATCTTGGCGAGTCGTTGTTGGTAGGTAGTGAGTTCGGCGTTGAGTTTGGCTAGCTTAACATCGACGCTCTCAACCCTGGAGTTGACCTGCGCTGCTGTTAGAGGGGGCGAGACATGGGCAGCGGAGAGGACGGACATTGTCGATTGCGCCGCTGAGCGTAGGCTTCGGCCCGGTGCTCTTCGCGCCGAACAGGCGGTTCATATTGATCGATGGGTATTTGGACAGGTGTTTGGTCTGTTCTGCCTGCTATATTCCGGATCGTCTGGCGACCTTTGGTAGCGAGGCTATTGCAACCGAGGAGTTTGCGTGGTATGGTGGTGGATTCAAGGTTGACGTCGAGAGGACAGCGTCCACTAGGCGGAGCGCCAAGCCCTCGTGAACAGCTGCACCGGCTCTCGAAACCGCCAACCGCCAACCGCCAACCGCCAACCGCCAACCGTAACAAACCCGGCCTCACAGGCGCTTTACGACCAGATATTTCTCGACGCAATCCCCCCAAACCCGCTGTTGCGACCGTCCTATGGCCTTCTTATGACTTCACTGGTGATTGTCAGGAGAAACCTGCATCCCGAGTGACGATCCCTCCGAGCGAACAACAAGCCGAACCGAAGCAAGCTGTGGGCTGTTCCTGCTAATGTTGATGAAGAGCATCAGCAAGCTTCAGAAGATACACGAACGGCTGCTTATCATTGAAGTTGTCTCGCGGTGTTAGCGCTGTAATCAAGTAAGTTCCCCAGCTGCTTGCCGGATCACGCGCGCTTGTTATCCAGCAATGGGATTCACTTCAAGCGCATTTGAGCCGCAGCGGATAATGACACTATAGCGCAGTAATTCCACAACATTACCTTCGGCCATTACATTGCACCGGTGCTTTCGGAACTCATCCGCATGAGGTCGACCCGCCGCAGCCCAAGTTCAGCCGACACATACCGTTTCTCCAATACGAACCCACCCCAACGAACCTTGACAGTATAGCCGCAGCATGTTCTGGCGCTTTGGGGGTTATCCGGTCAAGTCGCCAGTTGATGATGCGCTAGAAAGGCCGGATTGCACCATCGAGGACCTGCTGAAGATTGATGAAACAATCGGGGAGCTGAAGCAGCAGAACTCGAAGCTGCTAGAGTTCCTACGGGAGAAAAACGTGCTCGACCGTTTGCTCCGATATGTTGTTGCTACAAAACGCCCCACGTCCCCTAATGCCACTACGGCTGAGGGTACAAGGCGGACAAGCGAGGGTAGTGCGGCGCTGGAAGGCTTCTTCGGCAAAGTAAAATCAAGAGCAAGGTCCAAGTCTATCGCCAAGTCGGACGCAGAAGAGAGTGAAGATGAGAAGCAACGGCTTAAATTCGCCTACGTGGCTTGCGAGATTCTGTCGTCGGATGTATGGTCCATATCCGAGGCTTTACTAGAGCATCCTGACAGCTTGCGGAATTTCTGGCTGTACATGAAACAGCCAGCCCCGCTGGATCCCATACAAGTGGGCTATTTCACGAAGGTCAATGAAGCATTACTAGACAGAAAGACAGAGGAGATGCTGGATTTTCTTAAATCACTCGACAACGTGGTGCCAGACATATTACAGCATGTGGATTGCCCAGCGGTCATGGACTTGCTACTCAAGCTCATCAGCCTGGAAAAGAGTGAAGGAGGCCAGGGCATCGTTGATGTGAGTTGAAGCAACCCTCGTACTTGTGCCAGATCTCTGCGTACTAACGACCCGCCCTCCAGTGGCTACAACAACAAAGTCTTGTTCCAATCCTTCTCTCGTACCTGTCGCCTGACCATTGTTCGTCTACACAAACATCCGCTGGAGACTTCTTGAAGGCGATCATAACGATATCTGCGAACGCCACCACGCAAGATCAATCCGTGATTGGCCCGAATGAGCTCACGCGGCAACTTGTTTCAGAAGAATGCGTGAGCACTCTTATTACAGATATGCTTCGGGGGGGTAACCCTCTGACTGTGGGTGTTGGCATTGTAATCGAAGTCATTCGCAAAAACAATTCGGATTACGACCTGGAGACGCAAGTAGGACCAACTCCGAAAACCTCAGATCCGATATACCTCGGCACGCTTCTTCGGCAATTTGCGAAACACGTACCGGATTTCATGGAGCTGATCTCGAACCCCAACCATACTGTAGTGAATAGTGATGGAACCAAGACGGTGAGGAAGAGGGAGCTGAAAGCCGCGTTTGGAGGCAAGATTGAGCCCCTTGGTTTCGACCGATTCAAAACGTGCGAGTTGATGGCGGAGTTGTTACACTGCAGCAACATGGCCTTGCTGAATGAGAGAAGTGCGGAGAGCGAAGTCAAGCGCCGCGATGCTGAAAGAGAACGTCTAAAGGCGGAGGGCAAACTGGCTCCTGCAAAAGAAACGGCATCCGGACAAGAAGATTTCGGCACCAGTGTGGATAGCCATGGCTTCCATCATGCAAGAGCACCCTCGCAGTTAGGCGAACCACCGGAGGAGATCAAGCGGCTCGAGGTGCACAACAGCGCCGAAGAGGAAGATTTTGAGAAAGTGGCAGTTTCTGAAGCTGAGATCAGAGATGATTTCGACGAGAAGGACGAAATTGGTGAACCTCTCGAAAGGTCGCCTACGGTTCGCCCTCGCGACAGCGGGCTTCGGAAGACTGAGACCGTCGAGCTTGTGGATGATCCACTCTCGCCGTCCCAGCCCCAGTCATCTGCTATGTCAGATCCATTCGACGATGACCAAGCATCGCCTGCAGCTCCTGCCGGTACGACCGCCGACGAAGCTGAATCGCCTACTTCAGCTGGTCTCACGGACGACGTTGGAGGCCTCGCCCTGGACAACGACACAGAGATGAGCAATCCAGAGCCATCCAGTCCAGAGCCTCAAAGCACCCAGCCAATGACGCCATCCACTCCTGAATCGAGCAAGCACCAAGCTTCGTTATTAACCCAACAGCTCAATGAGTCCCCGGATCCAATCTCACGTGACACGACTATCGAACTCTCACCGCATCCGGAGGACAAGCCAGCGCCTCTATTTGCCGGAAAGAAAGATGCTTCGCCAGAGAAAACTGAACCCATGCAGGACACACAGACTCAAAAGACTAGCCCAGACATAGAGGAACCTGTAGAAAGCTCGCTGGGCGGTGACAACGAGAGCTTGGAGTCGGTGCTACTCTCTGGACAGGAAGGTGAATCCATGCCAGTGTACGAAGTCGACGTGGACGGGTCGCCCGTTGTGGGCGACTTGCTCAAGATCATGTTTGTCGAACATAGAGTTGTGCCAACCATCCTCGTGAGTCCTTTCACAAAATCTACTCAGTGTGTTTCTACCGTTACTAATACCTTATTCCTTGCCTAAGGACTTCTTCTTCCGGTTTCCGTGGAACAACTTTCTGCACAATGTCGTTTACGACGTCGTACAGCAGGTCTTTAACGGTCAAATGGACCGTGGTTTCAACCGGAACCTAGCCGTTGATCTCTTCGAGACAGGCCGGATCACGGAGCGCGTCATCGAAGGCCAGCAAGCCAGCGACAAATCACAGGCTGAGACGAGCATGCGACTGGGATACATGGGCCATCTCACGCTGATTGCGGAAGAGGTTGTTAAGTTTACCGAGCGACACCCGCCGGAACTCCTTTCGCAGGTTGTGCTGGAGAAAGTCATGAGTCGACGATGGATCGACTATGTCGAGCATACTTTAGCGGAAACGCGTGAGAGAGACAACGCAATTCTTGGAGGCGTCCGCCCAGACATGTCTGTTGGCCCACGACAAGCCGTGTTGAACGCCGTCAATGCGTCCCAAGGCTTCGGCAACACCAATTCCTCTTCACTAGCCAACGCCGGACTTTCGGGCAACGGTTCTGTCCCGCTCGACAGCATGGAGCTCACCAACACGAGCAGTGCGTCTGGAGGGAACTACGGCTTCAGCGGCGGTAGCCTTCTCAGCGGCTTCAACAACTCGAGCGACGAAGAAGACGAAGAGATGGACGATGGCGAGGGCGAAAAGCAGACGCCGACTGTCGATGACTCGGACCAAGTGGGTGAACTCTCATTTGAAGACGTCGAGATGGACTATCGATGATTTCATCCGGCATCGGTGCGTTCGCTCGCGTTTCGTTATGTACGGTGGCTTTCGTGCTTGTGTTACTATATTTTGTCTCTGCATCGAGCTGTCGCCTATACATCTGTCACGGTTCCTGTACATTATGGTCTCGATGGCGCCGCGCAGCATGGCAGGCGCTTGTTCTTCTGTATCAAGCTAGATCACGATGGCATGACGCATCTCGATCTCCGCACCAGCGCGCAAGCGAGCCGGCCTTCGACTCGAGCAGTGACGCCCCTTTCTTATGCTCTACCTGACTCCTTCGTTGCCTCGTCTCTGGTCTCCCTATGAACGACTCGGCTGACCACGTGCCTCCTCAGCCCTCCTCCGCCCCTCCTCCGTCCAACATCCCCCCGCCCCTCCAAGTCCAGCCCTCACGCGCCCGTCGCCAATTCGCCCTCCGGCTAGCCCAACGCAAGCGCGAAATGGAGGCTGCAGCGAGGGCCCAGGAAGCGGAGGAGGGTGAGGAAGACGACGATCCCAGCCCCGAGCTGGAGAGCGTGGATCTGCTCGCCGAGCAGTGGGCTGCGGAACGGAGCGCTTTGAACGGGCGCGGCGATCCGGAGAGGTTTGCTGATTTGTTTGATGCGCCGGATAGTGGGGAGGATAGTGAGGATGAGAAGGAGACGAGTCGGAAGAGGGCGTGAGCTGCGTTTGCAGGGTTCTCAAGCATACCCAATTTCTGCCGATCTGGCTACAATAAGGGGGGTTTTAGGCATGGGTGTTTCAATTTGGATAGCATTGCATCCTCGGCTCCTGAAACATACAAGCCATGGTACGTGGCTAGACAGTCCGTCTACCAAGTATAAACGCCTTAAGATACTCCCCGAGCTCCGATCCGCTTGCTCAGACCGGGCTACGTGCTCACGTGACCGTGCCCTTCTCCCTACCGGTCACCGGTGTAACAGCAAGAGATAGCGGCCTTTCACCCTAAGCACTCTCCGCTGAAAGCCATCTCGCGAACGGCATCATAAGTTTGGAGCGGTGCTAGCCCGACAACCAATATCGCGGCATCACATGTCCTCAAATAACCGTGCCGCTTTGCCCAGACCAATCCTGGAGGAGCGCATGATTAAGCTGCATTGGATAGCGAGCGTGCATGCCATGTCTCCGCCATCTTTCTTCCAGTCACTTTCCATTCGCAATCCCTTCCAAGATCCGCAGAGATGGCTATGCACAGTGTTCCTCTCATAGCCTTCCTCATTCTCGCTGCACTTGTTCTTTACAAGTTTATCATCTACCCTGCCTTTATCTCTCCGCTATCTAAGATTCCGGCGCCTCACCCAATATGCCATGTATCGCCGGCCTGGATCCTATGGAAGCGCCTCACGGAATGGGAAATTCGAAGTATTCATGCTGCACATGAGAGACTCGGACCTGTTATTCGAATTGGTCCCAGTGAGCTCAGTGTCAACTCTGTCAAGGGAGGGCTGCAGACGATCTATGCTGGGGGGTTTGATAAGCATGAGTGGTATCCGCGTGCTTTTCGGAACTATGGGTGAGTCTGTCGTGTTCCGTTTGCTTGTAGAGTACAGATGATCTCATATGAATTCTGTCTTCACCTCGAAAGTTCTTTTTGACTTTAGCGTATGAGAATTTGCTCATCATTAATGATTGCTGCCACTTTCTCTCCTCTTCCTTTGCAGAAGAAACAAACCAGATCCTTATGGTTTATATGCGGTTTGTACCTCTCTGGAGAGCCTGCTCTGTACTATTCAAGCTCAAGCATGTTCCGAGTCACGGCTTCTTAGATCTCCTTGCCAGCCAAGGTTGTTGGGCCCTCCAGGCAGCGGAGATTATGGCCGAGAGCACTTCATGATACCTCTGAGACAAGACAGCCCTTCGTCCAGCTATGACAAGGCAGCTTACATCACCTTTTCAGACTCCCGAACATGTTCTCCACGATTGCCAACAAGCCCCATTCTGTCCGCAAACGAATCATTTCCAACATCTACTCTAAGTCCTTCCTGGCCTCCTCGCCATCCCTCAAGACCATAACCCAGCATCTCCTCCATGATAACTTCATCCCACGACTCTCCACCTATGCGCGTTGCGCTACCCCAGTGGACATCTATGCCATCTTCAGCGGCATCGCCATGGACCTCGTCTCCTCCTACATGTGCGGCACAGACGCAGCCACAGACTTCAGCAACGACCTACAAGAACGCACCCGCATCTTGGAAGTCTTCAACAGCCGCCCGTCCTACCTCTTCTACACCCAAGAGCTCCCCTTTCTAACCTCCTTCCTCCGCCGCATCGGCATCCGGCTCGTCCCCCGCCGTATCGACGCCGCGAACGCCGAGATCGAGACGTGGGCCATGCAGATCTTCGACGCAGCACGCCTATCCATGCTCAGCTCACCCACCGACACATCCAAGGGCTCACAGCGGGAATCCACCAGCTACCCGACCGTCTACGCGCAGCTCGCAGCGGCGCTGACCAAAGATCCCGAAAAAGCGACCATCGACCCCCTCACGCCCCCTTCGACGCACCACCTGGCCATCGCATCCGAATGCTACGACCACCTCGCCGCAGGCTTCGACACCAGCGGCATCACGCTGACCTATCTCGTGCACGAGCTCAGCCAGCGTCCCGCGCTGCAAAAGGCTTTGCGGAACGAACTGCTGACTCTCTCGCCGCCCCTTACCGCCGCCGCCGCCGCTGCTGACGCGCCAGTGCTCCCGGACTACAAGGCCCTGGACGCCCTCCCCCTCCTCCACGCCATCATGCAGGAGACCCTGCGCCGGCATCCCGCGATCCCCGGCCCGCAGCCGCGCGTCACGCCGCCGGGGACGAGTCTGGGACCGCCGGGCCACGAGTTCCACGACATCCCTGCCGGCGTGCGGGTCAGTTGCCAGGCATACAGTTTGCACCGCAACGACGCCGTGTTTCCAGACCCTGAGGCGTGGAAGCCTGAGCGGTGGTTGAATGAGAAGGGCGAGGTTGTGAGCGCCGAGGACGGCGAGCAGGCGCGCGAGATGGGGCGGTGGTTCTGGGCATTTGGGAGTGGGGGACGGATGTGTGTGGGGAGTAATCTGGCGATTTACCGTAAGTCTTCGACGAGGGTCCCTATCCAATGATGAGAGAAAGGTGGCGTGAGATGTGAGTTGGGCTGACTAGCGGCATCCGTGGCGGTAGAGATGAAATATATCGTTGCGGCGATTTATTCGAGTTTTGAGACGTCGATTGTGGACGATGCGGGAATCGAGCAGCTTGACAGGTATACTGCCGGGCCGACTGGTGGTAAGCTGATCATAAGGCTGAAGGCGGTTTGAGCGGAAGATCGGGTTTGGGAGTGGAAGGATGGCTAGCGGGCTGCTATAACCTGTGGGAATTAACATACCGACGACACACGGCTAATGGAGATGATGACTTGATCACCAATGCAGATAAGGGTACCATCCGTAGGCTTAGTACCGTTTGGACACAACTGCACTAGTCGCGGCTTGAGCTTGGTGTGATTGCCAGAGACGATTATCACGGACGTCTATGCAGAACAACAACAGGTAGGCCAGAGACACGACTAATAGATAAAGCCATGAAACAGACGATTGGAACCAGAACACGACGGTAGACGTATTATCCCCCACCAGAGCCAGCCTCGCCCAGACACAATTCGACGAACCTCCGGGCCATAGCCCGCTTCTGCGCCTCGCCAATGATCATGCACACAGTAGTCGAGATGATAAGGTCATAAAGCCTTGTACGACGCACAGCTGCAACATCATCCTCAGCGTCATGCCCTTCGTGCAGTAGGGGGGCCGCGGCTTCTGCGTCGTGCTCTGCCAATACCGTCTCACTACCCAGTTGGACGGATGGCATATGCTCTCGAAGCAACCGTAAAACAGCCGAGTCAAACACCTCAAGCATACCTGCCTTTTTCTCGCAGATATTCGACGTATACCTCGCGAGCATAACCTCCCTCTTCCCGCCCATGTTTGAGTCACCTTTGTCCAACACTGCCGTAGGATCGATAGGAAGCTGTGCCATAAGCTTGAGGTGGTTGAAGTGCAGCCAGGAGCCCCAGAACCCGCTTTGTCTAAGAGTGCTTGTGCCTTTCCAGTAGAAGTCGATGCCGGCGTAGTGGAAATGATAGCGCCTCGTGGCCTTAGAGAAAGGGGAGGTCCAGATGAGGCGGAGGGCTTGGTCCGCTAAGGGAGGCTTCTCGATGGCTGTGGTGGCTATGTATTTCGTTTCTTCGACGGATGAGATATCTGCCGGTTCGTCCTCAGTCGGCGGGGAGCGGTCTCTCGCTACAACACTGGTGTTGCCGTCCACGTCAAGTTCCGACGTCGTAGCAACCGTCCCAGCCTTAGACTTCTTCCGCAGCAGGTTGGTCTCCCGATGAAACGCCTTCCCCGTCTCGCCCCACAGCCTCCACGACCGGACTGGGTAGCCCCGCAGACTCTTCTCGTCGGTCTTGTCGTGTGCCCGCACGAACCTCTCGCCCACAACTCCCCTCGGATCCACAACACCGTCCTCCTCAAGCGCCCCTCCCACCTGCACAACCCACTCCTTCCACCACAACGAATTGTGTATCAGACAGACCACAGGCCCGTCTTTCGAGCTGCCCCGTCTCAAGGTGCGCGGTGGGTTGCGGAAGGAGACGTACGGCGTGTGCACGAAGTAGGATTGGGCCTCGACGCCGGGGTCTACGTCTATCGCCCCGCCATTCAGCTTCTGTAGTCTTTTCTGCTCCTTCTTTGCAGAGGCGTGCGCGCGCTTTTCGCGGCGGGAGGGCGAGCACAGATCTTTGTAGGCATCGGCGCGGGGCGTGATGAGGTAGTGGGAGTCGCGCTTGTGGTAGATGTGGTAGGTCGACTTCTGGACGTTGTCTGTGGGGTGGGAGGTATTGCTCGAGGAGGTGGAGGCTGTTGAGAGCTTGACTTGCTGTATAGATTCTGAGTTGCTTGATTGTTATGGCATACAAGATGTACTATATACCTTAATGCTCAATTCACCCCCCTTGTCTGGTAGTGGACGTGGGTTAGGCGTAAGATTGACGATGGTAGCCATACTTCAGCCTGGGGCATCAAGGTTGGCCTGGCACAGACGCTGCTCTCTTCGTATCATGATGGAAGACTGAGGCAGAGAAGCTTCTTGTATGTATTCGAGTAAGTCTGCCTTGTGTCTCTCGGCTGCAAAGGTGGAGGAATACGAGGTGTGGGGCGCACAGCCTCAATCACTTGCATGTGAGTTCGTGTGGTTGAAACGCCATGGCGATCACTCATGCAAGGCTGAAGCTCGGAGCTCAAGAGAGCTTCGTGCCAGTCTTGTGCTCGTATACAGTATAGCACAACAACCACAATGTCCGCTAGAGTCCTATCACGAAGCTCGAGAGCTGTACTGCCGCTCCCTCCCCGACCAATTGGCAAGCTGGTCTGCCAAAGAAGGTACCGCAAGGCACACTATACTCCACCTTGAGCATCGCTTTCTGAACCGGCGCCAGTACACCTATACCCGCATCATACCACACTCCCACACCAATTCATGTATACCCATCGTCACCACACCGAACCTTCACAACCAGCCCGTCCTGTTTCAAGAAAACCGGCAAGGTCAACCGCTCACATGCCTCCACCGACTCCTCCCCCCCAGTCGAGGGCGCCGCAGCCCCGACGTCCACAGACGAGGCCTTCGACTTCTCGACTCTCGAAGCAAACATCCTGAGAGCAATCGAAAAACTCACACACGACCTCTCCCAGCTGCGCGCCGGGGGGCGCTTCAACCCCGAGAAGCTGGAGTCGCTGCGCGTGACGCTCGTGAAAGGGAGCAAAGAGACTGTGCGGCTATCCGACATCGCGCAGGTGGTGCCGAGGGGGAGGACCATCAGCATCATTGCCGGCGAAGCAGAAGTAAGTTGCTGCTTTTGGGCTCCCACTCCAGCCCCAGCCTCCTCCTCTACATGCCCCGAGGGACAGAGACAAACACCCACTAACCTACGCCCCACCCACCAGCACCTCAAGCCCCTCACCTCCGCCATCGCCTCCAGTCCCCACAACCTAACCCCGCAGCCCTCCCCCGACAGCCCCACCACCCTGCTAGTGACCGTCCCCCCACCGACCGGCGAATCCCGCCAACAAGCCCTCGACGCCGCACACAAGGCGGCCGAAACCGCGAACCTAGCCGTCAAGAACGCGCGCGCCGCGCACCAGAAGAAGCTCCGGAGCCTGGAGAAGGGACGGAAGGTCCGGCCGGACGACCTGCAGAAGGCGCAGAAGGAGATGGAGGCTGTTGTTAAGAGGGGCGGGGAGGAGGTTAAGAGGATTACGGAGGGGGCGAGACGGGTGCTTGAGGGGTAGTGTGGGGCCTAGGGGGATAGAGACGGGGGTTTGGATTTGTGTGGACTCTATGGGACGGGGAGGTGGTAGAGGTATGTGAGGGAGAAATGGCGGGGAAGCGGCCGGGAGCTGCAGTAAGACGTAGAGGTGCGGCTGCTGTGCGTAGTGAGTGTCTTGTGAACGTTACGCATGCAAGGGCTTCTTGAGAGGAACGACGCGAAAAGCCATTTAGCCAGTTTTGATAAAACTTGAGCACGAGGTTCGCCCTATAGATCGCATTATCTAACCATTCGCAACTTCACTAAGAATTTTTGCAAGCTTGGGAAGCATGACCGCCGCACCACCGCCAGCGCAGATAGATCGAAGCCATCCCCCACATATTCGGTAGGGGACGGTCGGGGCTGGGAATATTTGTGCGCTGGCCCTGAATGACGAGGTCAGAGACTGGCACACGAGGCCTTGAAAATGGTGTTCTAGAATGAAAGTGTTGTCTACAGTCAATGAGCAAGCACTCGTAGCAGAGGTGACGTCAGAGCCCAGTCTGTAGTAGTCGGTAGTCAAGCGGGCCGTAATTGTGGACGAGGAGGCACACGATGTTGCCGCGCTTAGAACAGAAGGCCTGTCTGTAGAACAACGTGGAATAGAGACAGCCTAGAGAGAACGTTAGACTTCCGCGGCCTGCATTCAAAAATTTCCCTAAGCTAGATGAAGACTGGTGCTATGGTAGAAAAGTGTAAACACTGAATAAGAAATGCATAGCACCCTGGTGCTTAAAATGACACAGTTGTTTTCTGATTCTATTATACAGCTTACGACGATGCTAAGGATTTAGCGTTAGGTTTCTACTAGGCGCATAATATAAATATTTATGAGCAGATAAAATTTGATACGCTTAGCAGCATTAGTGCTCCCCTTGCCTGTATATATGTGAGACCCCGAACCAGCCCAGTAGCCTCGTCCGAGAGTCCTCTCAAAAAACACAGAACCGGTTTTTTTTCAGTCCGCAATATCGCTGCAATGGGTAGAAGGGGACATGGCCAAAGCTCAAAGACATCCAGCAGTCTAAAGACACTTTAGCCGATATCGCACAGCTCGCTCGAGTGGTTCTGCTTAAAAGCTTCATTGCCCGCACGCCTCCCGATGGCCATCATCGCCGCCGTCGATCAATGCCGCGATCACTAGCCGCGCCTCTGTTAAAGCCTCCATCGATAGAGCCTAAATTGGAGCCTCCGCCGCAAGGTGGTATCACGCCGTCACCACCTACCCGACGATAGGTTCACGGCCTTGCGGCCTTGCGGCCCCACCGTGCCGTTTCGGGATACTGGCTGACATGAACTCCAATGGGAACTGTACACATAGAGACTCGATTCAAATGTTAAATTAATGACCGTAAGTTCTAAATTAAACACTTAGCTTCTTATCTACTGTAGCTGATCTATTCAAGTATGACTCACCTGCGACGATGTGTTGTTTGATAAAAGCAAATCAGCTAAAAGCTTTTTACGGTCTTGAACGTTGATAATATGCTATGAACCTGTTAGCCAGGTACTCGCCACTCCCGATAATGGGGAAACTTTACCTCTTCGAACGAGTCCCTCATGATGTAGCGAATCGTCGTGACAGGTCGCGTCTGCCCTATGCGGTGAATGCGCGCTAGGGCCTGGTCTTCCAAGGAGGGATTCCACTGCGGCTCGAGGAGGTGTGCGCGGGATGCTGCGGTCAAATCGATCCTTTTTGTTGTCAGGTCATGTAACTTTTCTCATTCGTCTTCTTCTTTTCTTTTGTTTTCGTTTTTACAGAAAAGAAAAACTCATCTACGCGAGAAAGTTATCCAAGCACTCACCCAACGGCTCCGCAGGAGATGGTCAGCAAGGCGACTCTGGTCGCGTCATCGTTCTGGAACCGCTCCAGAGCGCGCCGCCGGCCGCTGGTGGAGACTTTGCCGTCAATGCGCACGCAGTGGATGCCCGCTGTCTTGAGGGCGCGTTGGACCATGTCGAGGCTCGATGTCCAAAAGGAAAAGACAACACTGGAGGGAGGGAACTCGTCAGCGAACGGTCAGATGGCAGAATTACTGCCGTAAGAGGTGGTGGTGAGAGAATTACGTACCTCTTTTCAGCCAGATTGCTACGGATGTCTGAAACCAAAGCTCGAACCTTGCTGGACGCATCGTTGGTTTCGCATCCTTCAACGTCGGAAGGAGATGCAGAGGTTTCACTCGGTGGGGTGAGATATGGCGTCGTGGTGATGGCGGGAGCGGAAAGAAACGGCTGAAGTGAGCAAGGAACGGCGCTCCCGCATGGGCAAGGCGTTGACATCTGAGAGCTTAAGAGAGGCGCGCAGCCGGCGCAATAGAGCCGACCACAACGGGAATAGCAGACGGGAAGGTCGACGAGCTGTAGACATTGCTCGCAGGAAGCCTCACCCATAGAGACGCGAGTTGCAATGATCTTCTGAGTGATATCATCGTCCGCCAGTCTTGACCACAATGGTACAGGCGGTCTGTAGTTTTGCGAGTCTGCCGCGGCGAGCCCCAAGTTACAGGCGATGCGCAGCTTGTTTATCTGCTGGATCGCGCTAACCCAGAGCCCGGCGGTACCGCTACTGTTTGTCTGGGTCGCATCGTCGAGCATCTCTTTCACGGGCCTCTCGATCCTCCGGTAGTGCGCCTCTTCCTCGCGGCTGAAAGGGATGCGCACGACCATGTCCCGCCTCTCCGGCAGCGCGATGGTGGTCTTGAGACGACGCAGCATGACACATGCGAAGAGCCGCTTGACCCGCTCGACCGCCTCCTCGATGTTGTTCTCGCGCCACAGGCTTGCGATGTCGTCGTCGAAGGTCCTAGGGTCATCGTACGGCTGGAACTGCAGAAACTTGAACAGCGCTACGAAGTCGCTTAGCCGGTTCTGGATCGGCGTCCCGGATACTGCCCACCGGCATGTTGCGTGCAGCGAAGCGACGGCTTTGGCGGTTGCGGTTGCGCGGTTACGGATCACGTGGGCTTTGAAGCAGAATGCTGAGCGACAGTTCAGGGATGAAGAGGTGGGTGTGGTACATACCTTCGTCGAGGATGATGCGGTGCCATTGGAGCGAGAGGAGGGAGTCGGCGTCCGAACCGCGTTTTCTCTTCTCACACTCGATCGTTTGGTAGGTTGTGATGACGATGTCTGGTTGATGCGCAGTCGCTGCAGGGTTGAAGCGGTGCTTTGCGTGGTGCTTGATCCAAGCAATTTTGTTAGGACGGAGATGTCTTAAGAATATCAGCCATGAAGCTTCTTTTTGTCTCTTCCTGAAATGACTTGACGCACGTTACCAATTGAGTTTCCCAAACAGAGAGTGCTGACGCAGTGTGTTAACCTCTTTTAGATCAGTTTGCAGAGAAAGGATACGGCCTTACTAGAAGGCGGCACCACTACGAGTGTTGCATCTATCCGTCGTCTACGGTCTTGCAAATGGTTCAAGGGTTTGGTTGGACTCTCAGCATCTTTGTCGGATGCAATCAATGCAATCATACTCAGAGTTTTCCCAAGACCCATTTCATCGGCAAGTATCCCGCCTCTCCACGAAGGAGGGGTCTCCTGCTGCTGTTGGCCAGTGATGATGTTTGTATAACTACTAAATCAGTTAGCACCGTGCGGCGGCGAGTAGGGTGTTTCAACATACCATGCAGCACCAGAAGCATTCGTCTCTTTGGTCCAAATGCCTCGGTCGTTTCCGGCGGTGTTCCAGCCCCTTTCCCTTAGCTGGAGAAATGTCAACGCTTGCTGCTGGTGCCTAGTAACAACTTCCGCATTAGCATTGGATTGGTTTGGAAATCTCTCAACTTACGGATGCAGCTCACTGCGCAGTGCGCTAGGTGTCTGTGTCTGTGGCAGAGGCTCGGTAGTCTCAAACCTGGCGAGAATATTGGTCGGTGCCAGGAAGTGTTCATCCGATTGCAAGCTTTGTTCTCGTTGCAAGTCGAATGTCATCGGCGGATCCTCATGCAGGCTCGAGAGGCAATGTGGATTGCAGTAGGGAACGTTGCGATCGCAGCCCAAGGGCTCCTGCAAGTAGTGGCCACATTTGTCCGTAAAGTCTGCGATGTCATCTGAGCGGCTTTTGGGGCCGTACAAGATGGCAGAGAGAAAGCCAATCGTGTGCTCGCGCTGGGTTTTGCACGTGCCCAATTCCGAAGAGCACGATAGCTGGAGCTCTAGTTCACCGTCGGCTGAAAGCTTGGATAAGGCCTCTGCAGCATGACTGTCTAAGATGCCTATGAGAGTTCTGTCTGTAGTGCGGTGTACGAATTTGTCGGAATCTAGGTATACTGAGTGTTGTATGCCCTTCTGTGTGACAACAGAACCGGGACAGACCTCAATGGGTAAGTCGATTATCTGTTCGGAGGTTAGACGGAGGTCATACAGTACACAGAGGTCATGGATGAACCGACCATACCAAAACAGATGACAGCCCTCTCATCAACGGCAACGGAGGCGGCTGTATCGTCGATAGCGTCTTTCTCCTCCACGCAAGAACTTGACTCGACGGTCAGATTCGCAACCACAGAATCCGAGTAACTGATGGCCTGTGCGAGCGGCCCTTCAATCGAGTTGGGTTGCAGGCCTCCTCCTCTCATGGCTTCTGGCCATGCCTCTGCGCTCGTCCATGTTCTGCATCCGTCCCTTGCCGTGAAGTCGAGGCGACGCCGTTTGGCCGGCCGGGCATCTTCGTTCCCTGCAACAGCCGGAGAGCTTTGATGAAGCATACCAGGCCCGGAGTTATTCGAAGGAGCGTTTACGGTCAGTGGTCGGGTAGTCAGATCAGTCGACAGGAAGCCGTACGGTTAATGTTCAAGAGGCACCGCTTGCACTGAATCCAGGAAGTAAGAAAAGAACGGGAATGGCCGCGGACTTGTAATCGTCTGCGAGGCTGAAGAGGCTGAGTGCCTCGAGGCTGCCTTGCTGCAGGAGGGTGACTGCGCCTCCACTCCCCCTCTCTACATATCTTAATCACCAATATCCCCAGCCTACGTCTGATATGACACTCGCTCTCTCTGCCTAAGCACAGCAGCTGCGAACAGCGGGAGACTGGGCGGCAGCGGCTGGCGCGAGGTATTGCCCACCGATGCACCCACGATGGCCGCTGGGGCTTCACCGCAAGCGCGCTTAACTATACGCGACGCCTTCGAGCGATTTGAGGCAACGGTCAGCCCAGACGATTCCCGCCAGTTCAGCACCACGGAGCTCAAGGACGTCAGGGATGCGGCCCTACAGATCGAAACGCAGCTTGCCGCACGGCAGAGCCTGCGAAACATGCGACGCCTGCAGCCATTCCTGGATGGGTTGGAGCATTATTCGAAGTCAGTTGAGATTTTGTGTAACGGAACGCCTTATCTTTCTTGGATCTGGGTAAGTTCATCTGAGAAATACCTAAGGGAGTCAGTGACTTACGAAGATGCCAGGCTCCGGTGAAATTAATGCTTCAGGTAAGCGACCCGAGATGATTAATTGTCACACTGTCGCTAACTGATTGGCCACCAGCTATCGGCTGATTACCTTAAAGTTTTCGAAAAGCTGATAGAAGCGTACGGGAAAATCGCAGACGCCCTGCCACGCTTTGATCGGCTGAGCGCGGCTCTGAAAGAGAATCACGACTTTCAGGCCGTCCTCGCCATCTTCTACGCCGACATCCTAGAATTTCACCGCCGTGCGTACAAATTCGTGCGCAGAAAATGTGCGTACCTGTGTATTCGTAGCTGGATGATGTTCTAATCTTGTTAAAACAGCGTGGAGTATACTCTTCACATCAACATGGGCTGGCTTCGATTCTCGATTCAATTCAATCCTTGCGAGTTTGGCCTATCATAGCGAGCTAGTCGACAAAGAAGCCCATTCAGTCCACATTGCCGAAGCCAAACAATGGAGGAAACTGCAGACAGAGCTAGAAGACAAGAAAGAAAAGGAGAGAAATGCGGCTCAACTCATTAACGTCATGTCTTGGCTTGGATTAAGCGGCATCGCTCAAGAGGACGAACTTGATCGGATCTTACGACTGTGCCTTCCGGGCAGCTGCGATTGGCTAATCAAGCACACCAAAATTGATTTGTGGCTGAAGGACAGTCCAACTCACTCGCTGATATGGCTCCATGGGAAGCCAGGAGCAGGTGAGCTATTTCAGTATGAAGTCTTGAGGAATAAGCAGGGAACTGGGCGCTTTTGTAGAAGCGCCTGCTGACGATAAGACTTAAGGCAAAAGCGTCATCTGCTCAAGTCTTGTCCAATCAATGGAAAAGCAGAAGATCAATGTCTTTTACTACTTCTTCAGCTATCGAAACAGTGCAGCGGAGACTTCCACTCGGCTTCTTCGGTCACTTACTGCGCAGGTCATTCAGAAGTTCCCGGACCTCGCGGGATACGTTCACGACGAATACGTTCTCTCACACTCAACGGCATCTCTAAGAGCATTAAGGAAACTTCTTCCGAATCTGCTCATCAGCGCCCAGTCCTCGCGGCTTGTGATTGACGGCATCGACGAATGCGATCCTGATGAGCAGAAATTCATTATTGAACATATTCTAGAGCTGTTGCCAACTGGTACTTCCTCACACATTTGCAAAATCCTCGTTTCCAGCCGGGATGTACCTACAGTCTCTCGCAACTTGCGGAAAAAGACTAAGATAGCAACTGAGATCTCTCTTAGCCGCGAGCACCAATCGGTCGACAATGTCATCGAATGTTTCATTCAGAAAAGACTGTTAGAATTGCAAGATGACATTGGTGAATTGGAACATGACGGAGCAGTTGTCGACAATACTAGACGTACGCTCGCTGAGAAAGCGAATGGCAAGCATGGTGTGGAGACCCAGTTCGAGAATTTCAGCTGATCCTGACTCCAGGAATGTTCCTTTGGGTTCATCTCGTTTTGGTCTCCCTAGAGACCGTTCATAGCATTCGGGAGCTTCACGATATCGTGAAAACTATACCTGCAGGTTTACCCGAATTGTGAGTACTCCGTAGGCTCTCAAGTACTTAGATATACTAAGTATGAATACCTCCCAGGTATAACCGCATCCTGGCACGCATCTGCGATGAGCGCAATCCAAGAGATCGTGATAAAGCTTTGCGAATCCTGAAGTGGGTTTGTTTTTCTCAAAGGCCGCTGAAGAAGTTCGAACTTCTGAATGGGATTGCTCTGACCCCGGAGAACACCGCCTTGGATGGAAATTCCACGGTAGTAGAACGCGTCCTCGATGTTTGTAAACCTCTGATCGAGGAGCGGCCTGATAGCGCTATAGTGTTCGTTCATTTCTCCGTCAGAGAGTAAGATCATCCAGTAAGAACATTTGAGGACGTGCATTGATTACCTTTAGGTTCCTTGTGACATCTCAAGCTATGACCACCATTAAAAAAATTGAAGCTCACCATGACATCGCATTCGCCTGTGCAACCATACTGATGTCTGGTTTTGACTTGCTGAGGCCAGGACTGACTGAAGGAGATTGCTTGATGCAAGTTGCGAGCGGTCTCTATGGACTTGTTCCATATGCAAGCGAATACTGGGTCGAGCACCTCCTCACTTACGCGTACTGTGTTGGTACGCTGGATCAATCTCACCCGCTTATGCTGCACTTCTCCCAAGTCCGCGAAAAGCATGACCAGCTGTCGACGATGTTGAAGAACGGTGAGAACGGAGCTGCCTCTCTGGGCGGATATCCTTCACAAGATCAACTGGACAAGCGCCTTGGCTTACTGGCCCACCTTCCTGTGCATCAATTGGTCCATGATACTCTCCGCGTTCGATGGATGTCGAACCAGGAAGCCTATGAAAGCGGGAAAGGTGGGTGCTCCTGCTTTTCGAACAGATATACAGCTCGATGTTTTGCAAATTACGGAGCGTACAGTTGACTGAATTATTAATACAGACGCCGAGACCTACGCTTTGCACCATGATCGGACTTTCTTCAGCAGGCTGACGAACACCTTCAATAATTTTGTACTTCAGCTTCTTGCAGAAGAGGATATCCCTGGAGTAACCAAAGATAAGTTGGCAGCTCTCAAACGCTCCTACGCTTCGTCTGCCTTCCGCTGCCGCTATTCATCCTGTCCGAACGCATCTGTGGGGTTTGCATCGGACCAGCTCAGGACTCAACACGAAGCGCTGCACCTGCGGCGCCAATTCTGCAAAACGCCCACCTGCTCCTGGAGCAGAATAGGCTTCCAGAATCGGAAGGGACTCGAGGCCCATATGCGGAATTTCCACGGCGAAAAGAAAACAGTGCCTATCCCATCTAAAGTTCGACGCACACTCGGAAATCGCGATTGTGAGAAAGACGAGGATCTTCCAGATTCCACAGCAGCACCGAGCCCGCCTCCGCCGACAGGAGCTGGTCTTGAAGCGGAGATAGCAGACGTCGGAAATGCTCTCTGTGACCTGCACATGGACACACTCCCAGAAAAGTTCAAAAAAGAAGGGCCCGACTGGCACGCTGTTTTCAATCCTCGCGTACGTCGTGTTTTGGACGTGAATCTGATTCATGACTTGCCGTGTCAAAACGTGGTGCTCTGCGTACGCTTCAGCTCTGACGGTCTTTATCTTGCAACTGGCTGTAAAAGATCCGCTACGATCTTCGATGTCGAAATGGGTTTGTCGATAGTCCGTCTCGAGCACGGTGCCACGTACATCCGAAGTGTTTGCTTCAGTCCTGATGGTAGGAATCTCGCTACCGGTGGCGATGACAAGGTTATTAGAGTATGTTGGTTTCGAGTATCTCAGGGGTGTCATCAGCACAGGCTAACAGCAAAGTTCAGGTCTGGGATATTGAAGCGCGTCAAATCAGACACCAATTGTCTGGTCACGACGAAGAAATCTACGCCCTCGACTTCTCTCGCAACGGTCTTTTCATCGCTTCCGGTGGTTTCGACCGCACTGTCCGTCTATGGGATACCAGCACTAACCAGCAGGTCATGGTATTCACGGCCGACGATGGCTTTTTTTCTATAGCTATCTCTCCCGATAACCGCTTCGTCGCAGCTGGCTCGCTTGATAGTAGCGTCTATATCTGGGATATTAGCAACGGACGCTTAGTCGAGCATCTAGAGGGGAAAGACGGCCATAAGGCCAGCGTTTATTCTGTCGCTTTCGCACCGAACGGCAAAGATCTTATCTCTGGTTCTCTAGATAAAACTATCAAGGTGTGGGAGTTATCGATGCCACCTGAAAATATCCCGGGGACTGGATGGATGGTCGGCAAGTGCATCAAGACGTTCGAAGGCCACAAGGTAAGCGAGCAAGCCTTAATATAGGATATGTAGGTTTGTAGGATATTGCTGAAATCACTTGTGCTTAGGACTTTGTTCTCGCTGTCACCATGACTCCCGACGATGCCTGGGTGCTTTCCGGCTCTCAGGACAGAGGCGTGCAGTTCTGGGATCCTAATACCGGTGTTGCTCATTTGAGGATTCAAGGCCATGAAAACGCAGGTAAGTTGAAATTGTGGCTCAAGCGACCAGTACCTTCGAGCTCGCGGGTGATTGCTGACCACAGCCATCCGCAGTTGTGTCAGTGGCTACCAGCCCCATGGGCAATATTTTCGCTACTGCCAGCGCCGATATGTGTGTAAGGATCTGGAGGTATTCAAATTATTGACCGCATCTTTTTTATTCCACCGTCCCCACGGCTGTGGTAGGGGCTTTGAGGTTGGTACTCGACGCTGGCTCTGACGCTAGTCCTTGATTGTGGGCTTTGATGTGGGCTGGCTATGGCGTTTCGTGACGTAGCTTTAGCATTGAACATCATCCTCTGAGGTCCTGTTTGCTTGATTAATCTTCACATTGTGTTAAGGCTGAGTGATAACATCAAAGCGGACGGGATGCCTAGTTCTCTTCAATCTATAGCCTTATGAGAAAGGAGGTGGATGTCGTGACAACAAATAGTTTTGCGAGCGAAGAGCGGAGGCATAAAGTAGCACACGCGGCGATTCTTCGCTACCACTGCACGGCTCACGCTCAGGACCTATCCATATCCTTGAGTACCCCATGTAAGAAGTTCTTCATTTGTCTACTGAGTCCCATGCCAGGCAAAGTCATTGCTCGAGTTTCGATATGCAGAGCCAGCCAGCCACAGCCCCGACACCGCCATCTGCCGAAGCCAATACAAGCCGACACTCTATTCCAGTAACAGGGCACAGCTCACCCCCACCCATTCAGCAAAACTCCCACGCCCGCAGGCCTGTTCCCAGACCCACTAGACACCGCCCATGATATCCGCCGCCATCGACGGCCTCCTGGCCCGCTTCGGAGAGGTGTGTGGCTGCTGCGTCGCGGGACGATTTGGGAACTGGCGGCCGGTGTGCCTCGAGACGATGCGCTGGATGGCGTCCATGCCTTTGACGAGGGTTTCCATGCGGGGGCCGTAGGAGAGGCGGACGAAGTCTGTCACCGGGGGTTAGCTTGGGGAGAGGGACGAAGATGAGTTACGCGAACGGGACCGAGCGTAGAGGGGAACGAAGGGGATAAGATTGGATGCTAGGGAAGAAAAGGGGCCGTGAGGAGACGGGAAAGACGCAGAGCTGGGATAACCCACGATGACAAGGCGAATCGAAAAGATCCCTCCTCTTGCTCGGATTCAGGTCGAAGAAGATGCCAGGCACCACAATCGTCTTCTCCTTCAAACACGCCGCGAAGAAGTTGAGCCCATCGTTGATCTCCTCCGGCAAGCACTCCAGATCCAGCCACAGGTAAAACGTGCTATTCGGCACAAAGTCAATCTTGAACCCCATCTCGCGCAGGCGTCCAATGACATAGTCCCGCTTCTCCATAAAGTGCCGCTGCAGCGCGCGCATCTCGTTGCGCACTTTCGTCGGCTCGAGCATCGAGACCGCGGCCTCTTGAAAGGGCACATTGGTCCCGCCATCGAGGTAGGAGCCGCAGGAGCCGATGGCTTTGATGAATTCCTTCGGGCCGAGGATCCAGGCGACGCGCCAGCCAGGGAGACGGAAGCGTTTGGTCAGGCCGTCGATGATCAGTACATCATCTTCATCAACATCTTCGACGTTGTCGGCCGCGCTGATGACGGTCCCGTCACAGTTGCTGGTGTAGTTGTAGCCGCAGTAGAACTCGTCCATGATGAGAGTGGCGCGGTCCCGACAGATGTCTTGGATCTGGGCAAGCTCGGGGTTCTTGACCACCATGCCGGTTGGGTTGCGTGGGTTTGAGGTGAGGATAACGGAGGTGCCGCGCGCGATTTCTTCTGCGATCTGGCTTGGGTATCAGCTATTACTCCGGTCATTTCTAACAGATAGCACCTAGCTTATCGGGATGGATGTGGTACGAGTCTTCGCGACTCAGGGGGACGGGGATGGCGGCGAACTGTAGGAGGGTCAGTCTGTGATCGAAAACCAGAGCCTGAATGATGTAGAGAGAGAATATTTTTGGGTTGTTTTGAGGGGGGGGTAATGCTTTACTGAAATTGATGGTAAAAGAGAGGGAAGACTCAAGAGAACTCACATTGCGGAAGAGGCTCAACATCTCATTATACGCCGTATAATCCGGAATAAAGAACCCCAAATACGCATTCCCGAGGACCGCCGCAATGCGAATCAACCCCGCCCTTCCCCCCGGTACAATACACACATTCTCCCAGCTATACTGGCTCCTCTTCCCTTTGCGATGATGCTCGTTATACAGCCTCGCCACCGCCTCCCGCAGCGGCTTAATCCCCGCCGTGGGCCCGTACTCCCTGCCAGTCATCGACACATCGATACTATGCGGCCGCTCGAAGCATCCCTCGATCTCGTCATCGACTTCGGGAGCCCCCTGCCCGAGATTCGCCCACGAGGACGGGTCGTCGAGGTAGCCTTGCTCGTAGGCGCGTTCGGAAGTCCAGACGACGCCTGTGGAGGCGCGGGTTGGGTCGAGGCCGGCGTGGGGGCGGTGGCCTTCGTGCGAGTTGCGGAACTGGCGGTGGACGGCGGAGGTCAGTTCTGTGGAGGGGTTAGTATCGGGTTGTGGGGCGACGCTGCGGTTGACGTCGCGGATAGCGTTTGCCATGGCGGCTGTCATGCCGGCGAGGGGGAGGGGGGAGACGCTCTTGTTGCGTGCGGTGCTTTTTGCGCTCTTGGATGCGGCGGCCGAGGATGCAGGCGCCGAGGCTGTAGAGGAGGACGCTGCTGATTGACATGGAGTAGGAGAGGTAGAGGTGATAGGGATGGAGTAGGAAGTTCTCGAGCGTTGATGATGTGGGTAGAAGAAGATAGAGTCAATTGAGGTGGAAGATTGCGGACTTTTTGCTAGAGAAGCTGAGGAGATACACTGAGAGTGCTATAGAAGATTTCTGGACGCAACGACAAAGGCAATAACGAAGGCGATCAATGTACATACCGCTTTCCGATGGTTCCTTGCTCGTAGAGAAGCGGCGTTCCCTCGCTCCCTTAGGCTGGCTAATCGACACTCTTGAAGCCGAGAAACTCATTGTGGAGCAGTTGTTCGTGATTTCCTTGCTCAATGGCCTTAATCGACAACTAAACCTTCTGGAACAATTGCAAAAGAGAAGCTGGAAACAGCTCCAGCTTTAAAGCACACGGGCAGTTACCAGCCCCATGTCCGCCAAGGCACTTGCCGTTGCCCTGCAGCTGCGGGACGGGGAACGGCGCGCGAGCTTGACCACTCAAGCCCGCGCCTTGGCCAGCCACATCTCGAGTGCATCTCAGCTCCACTGATCCAGACCGCTGAACTGCAGCTGGAGGAAGCCTTCGGGCTAGAGCAGGAAGGAGCTGAAGACAGCCCCATCTGGCGGTGAGGACGACAGAGGTGGTGCTTGGGCATGCAGCAGAGGCGCTCCAGCCTAGATCAGAACACAGTAATATACACTCTACATACACTACTTGCTACCAAAACACACAACCCCCCGATTCACCTACTCCACCGGCTCCTCCTCCAAAAGCACCTTGAAGCTAAACGGCTCAAACGGCACCCCATCGCCAATGAAGTGCTTACTCATCGCCTCGACCCAGTGCAGCCGCAAACTGTGCAACATCGCGCTCGTGCCCTCCATGACGCACAGCACGAACACGGTCAGCACAAACCACAGGTAGAAGGCCACGACGGTGGCGAAGACACCTAGGGCGCCGCCCATGCTGAACGCGTTCATGAGCGTCATGTCCCACAGCACGATTGAGAGCTGTTGATGTGCGAGGGAGAGGGCCCACAGGCGGAGGTAGGAGGCTGTGTGGGAAACGCAGTTGAGGCAGAACTCTGTGGAAGGGTCAGTGTGTTGTCACTTATGCACATGGATGCAAAATCCGTGAAGACAGCTGTGGAAAATGAGGTGGGGGTATAGCTTACCGATAGTGTGGATGACCTGGTGAATCATGACTTCCGAAAACTCAAACTCCTCATGTTCGTTGTCACCGATGTCCTGCGTGATCATCACAGCGCCATCCTCGTCGTCTGCGAAACTGTCCCGGCCGCCATTCATGTTCTGGCCTTCGTCGTCATCGTCGTCCAAGGCGCTGACGCGGGTGTTTTCGCCAATGCCACGGTAGCCCATCGCACGAGCTTTGTTGTGCTCCCAACGAAGATAGAACGGCTTCAGGAACAGCATGACCGGGACCTGTGCAACAGCAAGAAGCAGTAGCACAACCTGAACGCCTGCTTGGCCGGGGTACAGTTGCTCATCAACAGTACCAGGCGAGAGGAACATGTAGATGAGCATGTTCAACAGACCCGGCGGGTTCTGGCCGACCTTATACCAGTCCACAGACCACTTGTAGATGATGCAGAAGACGAGGTAGCCAAAGATTGACTGGAAGAAGATCATACCCGGGACAAAGTTGCCCCAGATGTCGATTTTAGAGCGGAAGTGGCGGGCGTTGACGAGAGACAGGCAGAGCGAAAATGTCATGTGGGACCAACCGAGGATGATACTGAGCTTCATCTTGTAGCTGTTCGAGAACAGCAGGTCGTTGCTCGCGCCATGCCATCTCCAGTCCATGCCGAAGGGATAGACGTAATCGTCCATACGGTGAGCCACGACCGTTTCGCCGACCTTGAAGTTCTTCGGCCACTCCCACATGGATGGGAAGAGAGCCAGCTCCTTGGAGAAAGCATCGCAGTAGATGAGGCCGGTGTACATCGAGAAAATGCCCATCATCAGCATGATGTACCGACCGTAGAAGGCCATGGAGAACAGCTCGTCGAGCTTTCCTCGCGAAAGGGGCTTCTCCCAGTAGATCATTGCGATAGCGGCCATTGTCAGAATCATGCCGTGACCGAAGTCACCGAACATGACGGCGAACAAGAAAGGGAAGGTGACGATCGTGGGCAGCCCAGGATTGACTTCGGTGTACTTCGCAGTGCCGTAAGCGTCGATGATTGTCTGGAACGCAAGGGTGAACTTGTTGGTCTTAACGTAGGTGGGCGGGGTCTTGGTGGTCTTGATCTGATTGACTATGGTCGGGACGGACAAGCCAGCGCGGTCATTGACGTCCTGAAGGGTGGACTTGACGAGACCAAGGTAGTTGGTGGGGCACCAAGCTTCGGCGATGAGGGTCTTCCGGGCCTGGTCGTATGAGAACTTGTTCAGTGTCTGGTAGACAGCCTTTTCCTTCTTTATAATAACCATCCAAGCTACCAAGCTTCGCCCGATAGCGGTAAGCTCAGCGTCAAGGGTCTGCTTCGTATTCCGCAGGACACTTGCAAGGTCGGCCAGGCGAGTGTTTACCTCGTGAATCTGATCCCGACGAAGGTCGCTGTTCTCGTCAATGCTGTACAGGTCCGCACCGAGTGACTCGGAAATCTTGCGGATCTTAGCGATGATCTCCTTGCCGTGGGCGAAGATAACAAAGACGTTCTTGCTGATCTCTTCGTTGGTTTCGGGGTTGATGATTGGCTCGGGGATCTCAGACTGGTTCATGTAAAGGTTGCCGCGCAGAGTTCGCCACAGAATCCTCTCAAAGGCAGCGATGCGCTCTCTCGGAATGACACCAGCCACAAAGCCGATGTTCATGACCGAGAATGACCTGTCGGCTGGCGCGTCGGCATTGGAACCGCTCTGCTCGACATCGCGGAGTAGCGGAGCGTCATCGTTGTCCATCGACTGCCGAATCTCCTCTGTCTGCCCGCGAGCACGGTCGAAAAATCCACCAGCCTCTCGGAGCACCCATCGCCACTCCGTCAACTCGACCTCCCGCTTCTTCAGCGTCTCGTAGCTTTCATTGAGCGATGCGATTCTGTTCTCCAGACTTTGGCTGCGGTCGGCTAGCTCATCGATTTCGGAGGCCGAGGGCGCAGCGAGAATGTTGTCGAACTCGTAGATGGACCTCATCGGGATGGAAGCCTTCTCCATCTGGGACTGGAAGTACCGTAGCTGCCTCTCGACATTGTCTAGCCGCCTTATCTCCTGCGTAAAGGTTCGTTGGAAGGCGGAAGTGCTTTGGTTCAACTGTGAGCGCTAGTCAGCATCTGCCTAGTCACACTTGTACTGCCCTTGTGAGACAGTCTATGGAAACCAGCACAAACATACGTCTCTGAAGTCCATGACGCCCAGCTCCCCCAAGGCGCTGACGACCTCGCGCCCTATCTCGTTGGCGATGTACAGCTGGGTCAAGGACATGTCCGCCGAGCGGAATAGCGTGTCCTTGTGCTGAGCCATGATGGCGGTTGTGTCAGGCCCCTGACTCCGGAATGGACCTGGTGATGTGTATCTCGTTGTCGATGGATTGGTACCTACAGCTGTAGCATGAGGCGTTGATGATGAGGCGCTCGCGGGCTTGACGTCACGTGCTCATAATCACGTGCTCGGAAACCGGCGCAAGTCATTGAGCCGGTACTCCGTACATTACCTCGATCTCCATTTTGAATGGAAGGAACTACACATCAACGGCATGTGAAGACCACAGAGGGGCCCTTAAGAGGGCGCTTATCCCCCAGAATGATTTCAATGCTGCACAAGACACCTGAGGCCTGAGAAAGCAGCATCAGGCCAAAATCACCAGCACCATGACCCTTCTATCAACCCTCCTCCACGCAACCAACTTCAAAACCCCCCTCCTCCGCACCCTCATCCCCTCCATAGCCCTCGCCTACGGCATCCAAGCCGCCGTCGCCATCCCCTCCATAGCCGCGCAATCAGAGCGCTTTTACGACCTCTCAGGCTCACTCACCTACCTCTCCTGCACAGCGCTGAGCCTGTATCTCCCTGTCCTGCGCGCCCGTGCCGCCTCAGCTGCATCCGCAGGCGTCCTGTCCGCAGCACGCGCACCGCAATGGCCGAGCCTGATCGCGAGCGCGCTGAATAGGGGTGAGGCTGCTGGAGGGTTCTGGAACTGGCGGCAGGTCGTTTTGAGCGCTGCTGTAGGAATATGGGCGACGCGGCGTAAGCAAACCCCACCACAAAACACACATCCAGAGTTCTATGGAGTTATTCCCGAGTTGCGAGCCCGGTTGGCTAACCGCTTCTACGACAGTGGGGTCCTACCTCTTCCTCCGCATCCTCGATGACGGCGCCGACTCTCGCTTCGAGGAGATAAAGCGCTCACCCCCAAAATTCCTCGGCGCATTCATGGCCCAAGCAACATGGGTGACCCTCTGTGCGTTGCCTGTCCTAACCCTCAACTCCCTCCCCGTGGGCACCTTCGCTTTGCTCCCCCGCCTCCTCCCCACCGACCTGCTAGGCCTCACCCTCTTCATCACCGGCCTCGCCTTCGAAGTCATCGCAGACCGCCAGAAGGCCCAGTGGAGCAAAGAGAAGAAGGAGAAAAAGCACAGTGAAGACTTCCTAACCCGCGGCCTTTGGAGCCGGAGCCGCCACCCCAACTACTTCGGCGAGGTGACGCTGTGGAGCGGTATCGCTGTCGCAGCGGGCGGGGTGCTAATATCTCAGGCCGGGCAGCACGGGATGGGTTTGTCGGGCGGGATAGGGGGGAGGGCGGCGGCACTGGCGATGGCGGCGGTGAGTCCGGCGTTTGTGGCGTTTCTGCTGTTGAAGGTGTCGGGTGTGCCGCTTAGTGAGGAGAAGTATGATAAGCGGTTTGGGGGGAGGAGGGATTACATGGAGTGGAAAGCGAATACGCCGGTAATGGTGCCCAAGATATGGAGCTAGAGGGCCGAGCGCAGCGGTGCGTAGGAGGCACCTCGTATTGCTTAGATTATTTATGCTTGGAATCCAAGTCTACCTACGGGGCGTCTATCGTCTCAGATATATGCGTGTTTTCGTAAGCCTGACGCCCCGGCCCCCAGGACCAAAATCATAACGCCTGAAAACCCGGCCCTCCCACCATTTGCCCCACTCAGCCCTTCTTCCACATCCCCCGCCCCCCCCACCACCCTAGTCCTCGAACTTAAACCCCCTAGGTACGGTATCAATAACCCCTCCCCGATAACTGCCCCGCTTCTTCTTATTCTTCTCCTTCGTGAACCCCTTCCCCTTCGTCACAATCAAATCCCGGTGCGCACGGTCGGCATAGTCGTAGCTCACGTATGCGTTGCTCGCTAGGCGCGGGTCGACCTTCGTGTCAGCCGGGATGCGGGAGAAGGGGACGTTGTTTTTCTTGGCGCGTTTGGTGGGGTTGGGGTCATCTTCGGAGGTGGTTGTGGTGGTGGGCGCGGAAGGATAGGCGGCTGGGGCGGGGGGTGAGGTGGTGCGTTTGCGCTTGTTGGAGGCGGTTGTAGCGGTGGTGGTGGTGGTGGTTGCGTTATTCTCGGTGGGGCGGGGGACTGGGGAGGTCGCGGCGAGGGTGGCGCTGGAGCTGGTGGCCGATTCGGGGGATTCTTTGCGGGCGGCGGGAGATTTGATTGCGGGTTTGGGTTTTGTGGGATTCTTCGTCTTTGGGGCTTCGCTGGCTGATGAGGAGTCGGAAGCTGAGTCGGAGTCGGAACCAGAATCAGATTCGGAAGAGCTCTCGGCGCTGGAACTGGAACGCGAATCCTCGTCCGACGATGAAGGCAGCGGTACGTTCGCAGCTTCGTCGTCTGAGCTGTCTGAGTCGCTTGACGAGCTGTATGAGCTGGACGAATCGCTAGAGGATGAGCTCTTTGCGCTGGAGGCTGATGGTGCGGGCGATGGTGCTCTGACTGGCTCTTCTACACTCTCTTCCACATCGCTGTCCGACTCGGAGTCTGAATCGGAAGATGAAGAGGATTCTGATGACGAGGACGAGTCGGAGCCCTCAGCATCTGACGAACTGGGCGAAGGAGACTTGCGCTTTAGCTTGCTGCTGCTCGCTTTCGAGCTTCGGTTGCTGGATGAGGAGTTGCTAGAGGATGAACTGCTTCCTGACGAGGACGAGTCTTGCGAGCTTTCCGAAGCAGCTGACTCGGAAGGGGCAGGACTTGCTGCCTTCGACACGGAGCTCTCTCGCGAGCTGGCGGAACTCGTGCTTGGAGTTTCCACCATATCCACGTCCGAATCACTCTCTGAAGCAGCACTCTCCGCCTTGCTTTTGCTGGCACTGCCCTTCTCCACAGCTTCCTCCTCCTGCTCATGTTCTAGTAGCCTGAGCGTCTTCGCAAAGCTTGAGCGAATTTTGGCGCCGCCCGGCGCAGAACTGGCTTCTTGGTAGAAGCTCTCCGCCGCCTCCACGCGACCCGAGTTGACCAGGCACTCGTGTATGACATCGACAAGCTCTTTCAAGATCGTCTTGCTGTTCACCGGCCTCTTCTTGGATTTTGTCTTCTTTTGGACCTTTGACGCTGTTGCGCGCACGGCTTTCTGTTCGGATTTCTTCGATGGTGCCATGGTGACCCGTGGCGCTCGCCAATTGATGCTCGAAGTCGGCTTCTGTGACAGGCTCTTTCGCGATGGTGCAGTGGTAGTTGCTTTTGTTAGATCTGACTCTATCTGGGCATGTAGAAGCTGCGCACTCTCACCGACTCTGTCGCATGCGAGTGCGAAAAAGATTTGGGTCGAGGTGGCAGAAAGGTTCACCGCCCAGAAGATCTCCACCATGCCTCTTTGGTTTTAGGGCTGCTCCCTCGAGCTCATCGCGCATGTCGAAGCCCCGTCTTGCGGTGCCTGACAGCAAGCACAGCAAGTCAACCAGCACGCCTTCAATTCCGCGATAGATGAGATGGCAGCTTGTTTGATGTTGGCGCAAACAACTACTCCCAGCACACCAACCCACGCAAACTAGGTTGCAGCTTTCCGATAATTCATATCGCCCCATTAGCTCCCCCAATGGCCTCTCGAGCCTCTTCCGCAAGCTCCGCAGACTCACTCCAAGCTCCTCCTGATAATCTGTGGTGAGGCCGCGATTACCGTCTGAACCGCCCTCCCGCGACCCGCAAACAATATCTCTCGCCAGTACTTCCTCGCTGAAATCACATCACGACCATGTCCGCCAACAACGGCATGCCTCCGAGGCCTCCGCAGCAACCCAATGGCGCGGCTATGAGGCGAGCAGGTCAAGATCCGAGAAACGTATCCGGCGCGCAGAGTCCGGGCTCGCAGGCATCCACGGTGACTTCGCCGCAATCCTTGTCGCGGGCGGCCGTCTATGAGGATGCGAAGAGGAGGATTGTGGAAAGTCTGTTCTCCAAGATAGACGAGCAAGGGGACTGTACGTAGGAACAAGGCATACCCAGCTTTGCATGCATCTATAAGCTTACGCAGTTGCCGGCAGTGGCAGAGTCCTATATTACGCACCTCCGCGTAGAGGAAGATGCAGCCTATCCGCAAAGTCCACCGCCCCCCGATTCGCCCCCTTCAAACAAGAAGCCGCGCGTGATAATACTTGCCGTCAAAAAGACCGGGCGGGTGCGCCTGCACAAGGCTCGCGAGAATGCCAATGGGTCCTTCTCGATTGGGAAGACGTGGAACATCGATGATCTTACTGCAATCGAGTCCTTCACCAACGCCACACCTCAAAATGCGGAAGAACAGCAGCGGAAAGACTGGGCAGGCAGTGTCGGTTTCGTTGTGACAATCACGAAGCAGTACTACTGGCAAGCGACAACCTCGACAGAAAAAGAATATTTCATCGCAAGTCTACTTAAGGTGTACAGGAAGTACACATCGGGACGGGTACCCCAACTCAGCGGTTTCAGCAACCAAGAGCTTGAGAAAATGCAAGAATTGTTCGCACAGGGACCCCATCGAAGCGGCGGACCATCCCCAGCCCCCTCCAATCAATCAAGACCAAGCACCGGACCTGGTCAAGGCCCGCCGAGACCCGCGCAAACTGGCAGTCCCGTTGGTCCTATGGGAAGAGGACAGCCACTAGACCCACAGCGCATGCAGCGGGGGCCGCCTCCCCCTGGACAAGGCCCTACCTTCCAGGGGCCACCAGGAGCTCCAGGCAACAGGGCCAGACCTCCTGTAGATGGCGATGGACGGCCCTATCCTCAGCCGCGAGGTCCTCCAGGGCCCGGTCAAGGCCCGCCATCAGCATACAGAGGCCCAAGCGGTCCGTTACGGCCGAGACCCTCCCAAGATCGGGATCTCCGAAAACCACCAAGTCGGGAGCAATTGCGGCCGTCACATTCACCAAACCCCGCTTCCTCTATCGCCTCTTCCCAGCGACTGACGCCCCAATCCTCCCATTCCGAGATGGCTCCGCCAAGGTCTATAACACCGGATGACTCTAGCATCTCATCAAAGACACCAAGCGTGCCGTCCCAGCAGAGCCCGAGACACCAATACCCCTTCCAGATGTCGTCAGAAGATACGTCGCACACCGACATCCCCCGAGTTGACGGTGCAAGTATATCAAGCTCTACTATGCATATGTGGAAACCGAGCGGTCTCTCTCCTGAGGCTAGACGCGAACCATCGCCGAAAGCCTTCCCGCTCGCAGAATCTATATCATCGAGGCCTCCGACATCTCAGAGTACAGCGGGTTCAACGAGTACACAGAATGACCACTTCCGAAACGAACCGCCCAAACCGATGCCACCACCAGAGCGAAAGCGACCGCCGCTGCTCGATCCAAATGGGTCTCAGCGAAGCTTCGACTCCGGCTTTGTTTCTAGGGACCCATCTGCGCCGTATTCAAGTCCGCTGACAATACGGGGGAGCAAAGAGGCGTTATCGGATCGTCCCAGTAATGATAGCGCCCAAGATCTTACCACGCGAATGCCTGGTGGCTTCTTCCCGTCTTCCACTTCACTTGATGTAATAGAGCCTCCTGTAGCACCGGCGGTCTCGCCCCCGACTGATACTGCCGCACCTGTCGTAGCTAGTCAGCCGAAAGTGGAAGCACCTGAACCACAGGTGCCCGCTCCGGAGCCGGCAGTATCTCCGCCTATACGACCTCCGTCTCCGAAGCCAGAGGATGAGGCAAGACCCGGCCTGGGACCAATGGTAAAACAAAAGGCGAACAAAAACGTGGCAGATGTCATCCGTAAAGCGGCCACAGCTTACGGTGCATTCAAGCCTCGGGCTGGCGGCGCCGGTGACAGGCTTCGAGCAGCGAAGGAGACGCCTGCATCGAATGAACCGGACGGTATCACGGGGGTGGTGCCCGCTCCAGGGCTCGTGAGAAGCATGACAGACGACAGCATGAAGGGCCCGCCAACCGAGCAGGAGAAGAGCATCGAGCCGCCAGCCGCTACGGACGAAGTCCCGGAAGTTAAAGTTACGAGTCCGGTGTCACCAAGTCCGGCTCCAGACAAGCCGATCGATGATGGAACTGCACCCACACTGACTCGGTCACCAAGTCCGCGGATAGCGAAGCAAAAGGCCGATTCTCCAGAATCGCGAAGGCAAAGGAGGAGATCAAATAGCCAGATTAAGTCTTTGGCGAACCTCGGCGTGGATTCGGCGCTGCTGGACGGTCGGGGCTTAGAGTTTGAGTCCATTCTGAGTGATTTTGGCTGGGGCAGCAGCGTGCTTCAGGCCAGAAAGCTCGACGTGATGGAGGCTGACCTTCGGCGAGAGCTGGGTCGTGTCGAGGCAGGCAGCTGGCTGGATCACCTCGACCGTAAGGACGACAGGGTGGATGCGGTTGACAAGATGCTTGACCGAGCCATTGCTGAGTGTGACGAGCTCGAGGGGCTGTTGACCTTGTACGGCGTCGAGCTTAGCGTAAGTCCCTTCGTACCACTGGGCGTGAATAACTTCCCTGCTGACGCGATACGCAGAGTCTCAACGACGACATCGCTTTCATCGAAGCGCAGTCACAAGGCTTGCAGGTACAGACCGCGAACCAGAAGCTTCTTCAAACCGAACTCCAGACCCTCGTGGACACCATCTCGATCTCCCCAGGCCAATTGGAGGCTCTCCGACGAGCGCCGATAGGAAAGACCGACGGACTGGAAGCTATAGAGTCGTCCCTTCTACTACTATACAAAGCCATGATCACCATCGATCCCAAGATTCGGCAGGCAAACCGCAGCAGTACCAGCCTGGATCACTCAATCGGCAGCAGCGAGCTCTCAGCTATGCGGGCTCTCCAAGAAAAGAGGGACCGCTATTTGAGTGAGAGTGCTCTCTTCCTCAGCCGCCTTGAGCAGTTTATGGACATGACATTCGGTGCAGCCTTCATGAACACCAAGGATGCACTGTCCCAATCAGATCCGTTGAAGTCCCCTACAAAACTCGAGGTCGGCGTCCATGATCTTGCTCGCAACACCCTCTGGCAATACAGTCCCGTTATACTCTTTGCCAAGGAAATCGACCTTCTCTCCTGGGAGGCACTCATCAGGATGTATCAGAGCAGGGCGCGAGCACTCTACCAAGAGGAACTCCGCGAGAACATCTCCGCCTGGCAGAAGACAGTCCGCAAACCCACAGGCGAGGAGCAAGAGCTACTTTTCACCAGCCAAGAAAAAGACACCGAAAGCCTGTCCACCACAGCGCGCAAGCTCACCGTCAAGCGCAGCCAGACCCTCGCCCGCAGCCTCCGCTCCGCCTCAAACGAGAAAGAAGCCACCCGAGACAAGAAGCAAGACGGGCGTCTCCACCCCTTTGAAGTCTACTCCGGGATCCTCGACTCAGCAATCCCGCTAATCTTCACCGAGCAAAACTTCATCGTCGACTTCTTCCACGCGACCTCCTCCTCATCCCTCGACTTCGCCGAAGCCGTCACCTCGACCCCCATTCCCGCCCGCCGCGGCACCAACCTCTATGCCCGCAAACTCTTCGAGGCAGACCGTGCAATGGCCAAACGCGTCCTCGACGTCATGGACGACCTGTACAGCTTCTGGTCCGGTGACCTCAGCAGTCTTATTGAGTGGGCAATTAAAGCCGACCCGCTGCAGGGCGTCGGCATCCTCGCGGCGCTAGAGCGCCATCTCGGCAAGTTGGAGGAAACGAACCAGGATTTCCTGGCCAGGACGCTGCAGGGACTGCACACACGTCTCGGAGGCCTCTTTGCGCGGTTTGTGGACGAGCAGATCCGCGCGATCGAGGACACCAAGGTCAAGATCAAAAAGCGGAAAGGCGTCATCGCGTTCATCAGGACATTCCCGCACTTCTCGGCCACTATTGAGAATATGCTCGCTGCTGCCTCGGCTGCTGGGAGTACCCCAATCCAAACTTCCGCGGACTACGATGACCCGAAACCGGGGACCCTGGATGTCCGCCAGGCGGTCGACGCGGCGTATACGCGCATCAACAAAGCCATGTTCGAGTCCCTCAAGGTCATCGCGAAGGAGTCGCCGGCGGTGATGGCGGGCGTGGCGCAGGGTGTCCATGATCCAGAGGATAAGGAGGCGCTGAACTACCATATCCTGCTGATCGAGAACATGAACCACTACGTTGAGGAGGTGGACGAGCGCGACGACGCTGTACTGGCGGAGTGGCGGGCGCGTGCGAAGATGGAGATGGGGGAGCACATGGCGCTATACGTCGACGCAGTCGTTCGGCGGCCGTTAGGGAAGTTGTTGGTGAGTCTTGCCCCCCCCCCTTCCCCCAGGCCTCAACCCAAAACATAGCACTCTGTCCCCGAGAGCCACTGCGCCGGCGAGCCGTGTCACATTCTGTCCCAGCGCCCACGTGACAGCCTCCGAAAACCTGAAACTGACCAGCAACTAGGCCTTCCTCGAAACAACAGACCACCTCCTCCGCGCCCTCGGCCCCAGCACCCCTCCTGCCTCCCTAACCTCCCGGAGTACACACACCCGCCCTACCTTCCGCAAACTGCTCGCAGCCCACGACAGCAAGGAAATACGCCGCGGCATCGACGCGCTCAGAAAGCGCATCGATAAGCACTTTGGTGATGCCGATGACCCCGGCTTGAGTAGGAATCTGGTCGCGAAGGTGGTCAAGGAGTGCGAAGAGTTCTACGTCGAGGTAGTTAGGAGGGTGGGGAGAGTTGGGGAGGCGGTTTACGGGGATGGGACTGAAGGGGATGGGGGGAAAGGTGGGGAGGTGAGGTTGGAGTGGGGGGAGGGCGATGTGAGGGGGTGGTTTAGGCGGTAGGTGGGTTGGGGGGTCAGGGGGGATGTGTTTATAGGGGGCATGGGTGTGGTTGGTTGAGGGGTTCGCGGTCAGAAGGCTATTGATACGTCGGTGTTGGTGGAGCAACTATACTGTGTCCAGGCTTACAGCGTACCAGGCGTGTTTGGAAAAGAGCGGATTGAGCCCGGTTTTCTTGTTTCGATTGCGGCGGCCGAGCGAACTAGCGTTGTAGGGGGATTGTGGAACCGAAATACATGCCTCGACTAGAGCACATTCGCAACAGGTTTTGGGCCGATGACAGTGTTGGTGCTCCGTCCTCCAGAAGTTTTGCATACCATGTGTATTGGATGTCTACGATTCAAGTATTCTTGCTGGGCGATTTACGTGTTGATCTAGGACTACGAGTGTTTCAGTACGCTCGATCCGGTTGAGCATTAGGTTCCTAATTCAGCATCTGGTCTAGCGGTCCATGATTCATAGAGCCTTTTTAAAAATCAGAAGACTGATCTCTACTTACATCCCAAAAATCGCTACAGTCAAAACGAATCGCAGTAAAACCCCAAAAACATACCGCAGTAGGTATTCGCTGGTGGTTGCCCACGTAACTACTAATCTACTCTGTACCATCAAAGCTTATGTGGTGGACGGGATGCCCAGTATTCTGTGATCTGTGGCCGTATGTGGATGAAAACAGCGACAAAATAAAAAGATATATGAAGCTTTGCGTGTCACAGTGTTTCTTGATGGGGGTGACGGGCAGCGCAGCTGAAGAAACCGTGTGGAGACGATGCTCTCTTTAAACCCAGGTAGAAAACCACGCTCTATCACATACTCTCTAGTGGGGATGTAAGACTCATACTCATTGCTCTAAGGTGGAATATTGAGGGATACTTTACGTGTAGAGTTCTACCATCTGGTATATCAATCACCGCCTTGTTAGAACACTTTATTGCATGTATGCGCCTATGGATCACTCAGCCGTAAAACGCCTAGCATCGCTGCAATATGCACACGCATTCAGAAGACCGGCACGCTGTTCTAAGCGCTGTATTGCTATTCATCATCATTCGGCTTTTAGTCCCACTTATGCAATATGATGCAAGCAGCAGCGGGTGTATATTTCTATTCAATCATGCAAGGACCTAAGCTGAGACTCGTCTTCCAAAACCGCTGGTGCCATTGCAGCGGACATAACACTACAACAAGAATAAGCTGGAGGACCCGAGCTGCCAGCAACGCTGCCGAACCTTCCGCGTGCTATTGTGATCCACTTCTTCAAGGCCGACCTCAGCAGTCAACTTGATCAAGTCCAGATATCCCATGCAACGCCAGCGATATGCAACTTTGCCTTCCCGAACGCCACGCTAAGATGCCCAAATCCGATACCGAGTCCCACTGATACCACCTGATGTTTTTAAAAGAAAGAATACCTGGAGAGCTGACCGTGCAATATTGCTCTCAAACCCTTGTGCGCACAACATCGGCACCGTCCCACTCTCACCCCAGCTCAGGGCCTTCTGTTCGAGTAATCTTTCAACACGCCCTGCATATGCGTATTCGTGATCCTCGCGCCACTCCTCTGCTTCCTCTTCTTCTTCTCCTTGGGCTTCGGCGCCTCCTTCGGCGCCGGCGGCGCAGTCGTCGGCTTCATGCCCACCTGCTCAAGCCTAACCCGCAGCTCCTCCGTCGTAGCCGGCAGCACAATCGCATGCCACCTCGCCTTGAGGTCCTCGTCGATGCTTATCTTGAGCGTCGGGTCGTTCTGCCACACCTGCTTCGGCGTGTTGTCCTTTCGATTGCGCGTCACGAGGAGCTCGCCCGCGGCTTCGAGCGCGTCGATGGCTTCGACGGCGCCGGGCCAGCCTTCCTTGAGCTCTTTTACGGGGATGCCGTTCGCGTCTTTGCGCGACTGGAGGTACCGTTTTAGTTCCTCGGCGTTGCGGACTGGGTGAATCGGGCGGTAGCGGAAGGAGCCGGCGCCGTTGTTGCCCTTGGGGTCGAATTCGACGCGCGGGTTCAGCGTCAGGATGTGCCGCAGGGCTTTTCGGCGCTGCAGGTCGGCGCTCCGCAGCGAGAGGTAGTTGAGGATGTCGTCGAAGCTGAGGGCCCGGTCTTTGTTCTGCAGGTAGGTGATTGCGTAGTGGACCTGGGTGTGGATGTTGAGATCTTGCCCGCCGCTGAAGGCGGCCGCTTGCTGGGCGGGCGGAGGGCCGGTTTCGCGCTTGCGCTTGGTGCCGTTGGAGGAGGTGGAGGGGGTGGGGGAGGGTATGGAGATGGGTCCGGCTGGTGTTTTGAGGCTGGACATCTCGGCGGTCGGTATAAGGGCTTGCGAGGAGTTCGAGTAGCGAAGGAATTGCTCCAGGCGTTGACAGACGCTGCGAGCGGGCTGGGTGAAAGCAGCCCGTGCCTGGGCAGCCTACTCTGGCGGGTGTGCGGTGGGAAGCGGTCGAGCTCAGGCAGCTATTGGTCTTGATGTGTTTCTGCAGCTGGCGGATGCGTATCGTGTGCCGTGTTGGGAGGGATTAGTTGAAGGATGGAGATATTGTTCGCAGAGTGACGGAGGTTAGAAGTGGGTGAAAGTCTGATGCCTGAGGCCTGAGGCCATCAGTGCCCCGAAGCTTTGCCGGAGCCCTACGCTTGCGGCACGCGAACGGCCAAACCCGCCAAGAGCTGCAGTTCGCAGCTCACAGCAGAGCCGCAACTTCGCGACGCTGAAAGAAACACGTCTGGCGCTGTCGGCCACCTTCTTCTTGTACATTAGTCTCTCGTTAGAGTCCTTCACTGGACACACCGGGTCATTCGAAAGCTGCATAGAGAATGCCATAACCCTCTTCCTCTCCACTACAAATCAATATGGCGACCGCAGCCATCGACATACCCTACATCGCCGCGTCCTACGCTGTCTCCGAACCCACACTTCGGACGCTACTCGACGCTCCCACTGTTGAGCTCGTCAGCTCACTCTTAGAGAAAATTGAAGCAAAGGCTCGCGAGTTTGACAATGTCAAAGCGGAGAAGCTCCGTTCTGATGTCGAGCTTGAGAACGCGGTCAGAACTGGGGATGCCCGCGCCCGAGCACTCAAAGCCTCGGTGGACAGGGGGTTAAGGGAAATAGAAGACTACAGGAGGAAGCTTAATGAGGAGGGTACGCTCCCCCACATCTGCGCTTCTCGTTTGCGTAGCTCGCTCACATCCACATAGAAAATGCACGCGCGTCGATCGAGTCGGAGCTGCAGACGCTCAAGTCATCTAGTACAAGTTCAACGTCTGAGGTCGACGCACTCCGATCACGCATCAACTCGCTCGAATCTTCCAATCGCGACACCTTGTCGCTGCTCGAGGCAAAGTCTACCGCTTACGACAAGCTCGCGGAGGAGCTCGCAGCACAGCACCAGAAAATCACGAGCTTACGTCGCGAGGTATCTGAGCTGGAACAGAAGAATCAGGCCGCTGAGAACGCGTCTATGAGCACAAAGTTTCGTGAACAGGCCTTGCAGCAAGAGGTTGACCTGCTCAAGAAGAACAATGAGTGGCACGAGACCGAGCTACAAACGAGGAGCCAGGAATACACGAAATACAGGAAGGAGAAGGGAGCCCGGATCGCTGAGCTTCAGCGCCTGAACGAAGACGCTAACCAAACGATCGAATCGCTCCAGCGCACAGAGAACACCCTACGGAATCGCCTCGAGGAGGTCAATGCGAAAGCAGAGGACGCGTTTGCAAGGATACAACAGCTTCAAGAAGCCGCTGCGAAGTCTGAAGAGTCCTTCCGGGTCGAACTTGACAGCTCCCAGCGTCTTGCCGACCTTCAGAAGCAAAGCGCGGATACGGCGAGGGCGCGATTACAGGATGTGCAAGCACAACTCGACCAGATTAAGGAGGACGCGGCAGATGAGCTTGGACGGATGCAGGCTGAGGTCGAGACAGAACGGTCGGAGAAGGATCGCGCTGAGCAGCGCGTCGTGGAGCTGGAGCTTCAGGTGGAAACGCTTGAAGCAAGTGCTTCTGCAGCGCAACGTCCCGGTTCAATCCCAAGCACACCACGGCGCGGCATCAACGGGTTGGGCAACATGGGCACCCCGGCACGACCCAGCTCGCCTGGCATTTTCACCCCTGGTGCGTCCCGGATGAAAGGTAGCATGAGCTTTACGCAACTTTACTCCGAACATTCTCAAATGAAGACCGAGCTCGAAGCCGAAAGGCGGCGCAACGAGAAGCTCAGCTCGACAATCGAGAGCATGCTGCAAGACCTCGAAGCGAAGCAGCCGGAAATCGAAGAGATGCGGGTCAATCACGACATCTTGAACAGTCAAGTCACGGAGTACATTGCTCTTCTCGAGGACCGGAATCAAGAGATGGACAATCTGCGAAGAGAGGCAAGGAGATGGGAAGGTCAGGTGGAAGGGCTGGCACGAGAGGGCGACATTCTTCGTCAGCAACTCCGAGACCTCAGTGCCCAGATCAAGATATTGCTCATTGAGATTCAAGCTCGCGATGTGGGTCTAGAAGCGCTGAGCGCAGCCGATCAAGCCCAGCTCGAGCGAGTTGTGCGAGGCGAGATTGAGGAAGCGGCGGTCGAGGGCATGAGCGACACAGCGCGGTTCATCACCCAGAGGCTCACAATCTTCCGAAACATCCAAGAGCTGCAGGAACAGAACACGAAGCTTCTACGCGTCACGCGCGAGCTTGGAGAGCAGATGGAGGGTGAGGAGGCTCGCAGAAGGCGAAATCAAGACGAGCAGGATCGCCAGGAACTCGCGGCGTTGCGTGAGAGGGTAGCGCGGCATCAAGACGAGATGAGGACCATGAACACACAGGCTGAGAGCTACATCCGCGAACGCGACATGTTCCGGCGTATGCTGGCACATCGTGGTCAGATTCCCTCCGGAGCCGACACCACTGCAATGTTTGCACAGTCGGTCGATGGCCGGGCGTCAACTAACGCTACACCACCACCAGGGGCCAATGGTCCAGGCACCGAACAGTCCTCGAGCGCGAAGGAGCTGGCCGATTACGCCAAGCTTGTCAAGGAAATGCAGAGCCACTTCGACGCATACCGTAAGGAGAGCGCTACTGACCAAGCCGCACTCAAGCAGCAACTTGACAGGCTAGCCAAGGAAAAGAGCGAGCTTCAGAACGAGATGGTACGCGCCAGCAGCCAACTTACGCTTGCTCACGAACGGTACGAGCTGTTGCAAGCGAATCTGAACATGTTCAAGGACGAGAACAGCCAGCTACAAAAGCAAAAGCAGTCTTATGCCGAGACGGCGGCAAGGCAGGATCTCCGAACGCAGCAAGTCGCAGAGGAGCTTGTTGAGGCAAAAGGTCTTGCCGATAGCATGCGAAATGAAATGGCAAATCTCAAAGCTGAGCGGGAGCTGTGGAAGAAGATCGAAGCGCGCTTGGCCGAGGACAATCGCGTGCTTATGGACGAACGCAGCCGGCTTAACAAGATGATCAGCGACTTACAAAACCTACAGAACGAACGCGAACTGTCGGAGTCCGAAAACCGCCGCCGTCTACAGAGTCGAGCAGACAACTTAGAGTCCGAGCTCCAGAGTCTAAGGCGCAAGCTCGATGACGAGGTGGAGGAGAATAAGAAGACCGCACTGCGGAGGGAATACGACCAGGAGCAGAGCCGGACTCGGATCGATGACCTGGTTAAGAGCCTGAGCAATACGAAGGAGGAGCTCGCAGCGGCGAAGACCCATCGGGATGAGCTCCAAGCGAGGATTGACGAGATGAAGGCCGATCTGCGCAACGCCGAAGAGCGGGCTCAAGCACTGCAACCGCGGCCAACACCCCAGGCTAATAGCGCAAGCGCTGACGCTTCAGCTTCGGCGGACAATGAAAATGAAGCGTTGAGCAGAGAACAGGAGCTTGGTGTTGAGGTTGCTGACCTTAGGCGTGATCTGGAATTGGCACGAGCGGAGCTTGAGGCTGCCAAGGGCGACATCGTACAATACAAGTCTATCAGCCAGTCTTCAGAAGACGCTCTGGAGAATCTCCAGCAAGCTTCCGATCAATATCGTGAGGAGATGGATGCGATTGTTGCAGAGAAGGATGCCAGAGTCCGGGAACTCGAGCAGCGTGTGGAAGACATCTCGGCAGAACTCAACACCACCAACAACCAGCTCAATGAGCTTCGCAAGGAGCAAGAAGAGAGTACCACGAAACTTAACGAGCAGAGGACAACGTTTGAGTCTGAAATCACGAGGCTGAAGGACGATAATGAACGCCATGCCGAGACTGCAAAGCTCTACCAGGAGGATCTGAAAGCTCAAGCGGAGATCGCCCAGCAAGCACAGCAGAGTTACGAGACCGAGCTCGTTCGCCATGCCGAAGCTGCCAAGTCTCTGCAGAAGGTCCGTACCGAGTACAACCAACTACGGACCGAGGTCGCAGAGATCAAAGCTGAAGCCCAAGCTTCGAAGGCGTCACTTGCGCAGAGCGAGGAGAGCTGGGCCGAGACGCGAAACCGGTACGAGCGGGAACTAGAGGAATTGAAGTCTCGGCGCGAGGACGTCAACGCGCAGAACCGAATCTTGCATCAACAGTTGGAGAATGTTAGCTCGCAAATCGCAGCTCTTAAACAGAACCGGGCATCGACGCCAGCGGACGGTGAGGCTGCCACATCGCCTTCTTCCGGCGTGGACAACCTTCAGGAGGTGATCCGCTACCTGCGGCGCGAAAAGGAGATTGTAGACGTCCAGTACGAGCTCTCGATTCAAGAAGCGAAGCGGCTCAAGCAGCAACTCGACCACACCCAGGCGCAGCTTGACCAGACCCGCGAGAAGCTCAACCAAGAACGCCAAAGCCAGGCTACCAAGGACCAGGACGCCATGAGCCACAGCAAACTTATGCAGACAATCAACGAGCTTAATCTGTTCCGCGAAAGCAGCACGACGCTCCGGAATGAGGCTCGCCAGGCTCAGGCACAGCTTGCGGAGCGCACCAAGGAAGTCGAAGACCTCCTTGCACAGGTCCAGCCACTACAAACCAGGACGCGGGAACTCGAGAACGAGCTCGAGATCAAGGACGGCGAGCTCAACCTGCTTCAGCAGGACCGAGACAGGTGGCAGCAACGCACTCAAGACATCATCTCGAAATACAACCGTGTCGATCCTGCAGAGATCGAGTCCTACAAGACCCAGATCGAGGAACTGACAACCGAGCGTGATCGGCTGGCATCGGAAAAGCAGCCGATGCAGGAGCAGATCGACGGCATCCCGGAGCAGATTCGCCTCACTAGAGAAGAGATGCAAGATACCTTCAATAAGAGTCGCGAGAAGTTAGTGGAGCAGTTCAAAGCTCGGTCGCGCGAACTATCCGGCAAGATTAGGGATTCGAACAATGAGAATCAGAGGGTGACTGGTGAACGGGACCAGCTGACTCAGGAGCTCAATGCTGTTAGGGCTGAGCTAGAGGAGACGAAAGCTGCCAGGGACGAGGCAATTGCGAACGCCAAGTCAGCTGACGCCGCTATGGAGAATGGCATCGAGGAAGGTCAGGTGGACGAGGGCTTGGGTGGCACTCTGACGATGTCAAGTGAGGAGAAGGCTGCGTTGGAAGCCCGCATCAGTGCTGCTGAGGCGAAGGCGAACGAGGAGTCTGCAAGAGCCGCTGCTTTGCAAAATGAGGTTGAAGCTCTGCAAGGGCGGATCCGGGAGCTCGAGGGCCAAGTAGTAAGTTTGGCCGCTGTATTGGCTTACCGGCACTGTTTACTAAACTCGCCACAGACTGAGCTCCAACAACATCTCGAGACCTCGTCGGCAGATCTGGCGTTGCTGCGCAGCCAAATGCCAATGTCAAATTCTATCCCAGACGCGGAGTCAGCGGAAACCCTCGAACGACTCCGAAACGATCTCTCAACAGCCCAGCAAGAAGTCGAAACACTCAGAGCCAACGCCACCGTTGCCTCGGTCCAGGCGACCACAGACGACTCTAAGTCGGTTGCCGACCAGGTTACTGAGCAAGTAGCTGCTATCCGGGCAGATCTAGAAGCGAAACACGCCGAGCGCGTGAAGGAGCTTGAGGAGCAATTCTCACGCCGTGCCGACAATATGAGAAAACAACTCTCCACAAAACTGACTGATGGAAGGGCGCAATATCGCGAGGAAGTCCGGAAGGAGTACGAAGGAAACATGCAAAATTTGCGGAATGAGCATGAGGCTGAGATACAGCGCCTGAAGTCTGAGCACGAAGAGGAAGTGCAGCGGATGAAATCTCAAGCACCGCCTGCTACCGAAGACGCTGGGAAGGGCGAGCCCGTTGGGAGCATTATCGTGGAAGCGATAGCTGAAGGATCAGCGCCGGGTGAAACGCCAACAATCAAACCCGAAGCAGAAAAATCTTTTGCAGATTGGAAGCCATCTGAAGCCGAAGTCAAACATTTCCTCGCTACCAACGATACCGTCAAGGAGATAGTTCGACGTAACATCCGGAACAAGCTCAACGAGGAGAAAGAGGGCGTAGCGAGACAGGCAAAGGAGGAGCAAGAGAAAGTAACCGAAGAGAGGCTCGAGGAGGCGCGAAAGCAGGCAGACGAAGCCAGACAAGCCGCCGTCATCGACGCGAGACAGCAAGCCACGAACCTGGAGAGCAAGCGCTCAAGCCTCAAACTCGGAATGGCGGAGAAGCAACGTGATGCTGCAAAGGCGAAGTGGGCGGTCGTGGAGCAGGCGGCAAAAGAGACGCCCCAGCGACCCGTCGTAGAAGTATGGGAGATCGCCAAGGACGCAAAGCCAGCGGCCACCAATGCCTCCGCACCACCCTCATCGGTTGCGCCGTCGTCGTCTCCAGCGCCGGCGCCCGCCCAGCTGCACCAAGGCTCATTCGGACGCCCAAGCGGCCCGCCCGCACAGCCAGCACAGAATCAACAACCACCCCAACCCGACGGCGGCTTCTTCAAACCAGGCCTATCCGGTCGCCCAGCCGCACCGCCTCAAGCCTCAGCAGCATCAACCACCTCCTTCGGCCAACCCACTCCCGCTACTTTCCAGCAAGGCCCAGCCTCCAGCAGTCCCATGCATCTGCAATCCTCTCCAGCGCCCCCAACACTCATCCAAGGACAAGGACAACCCCAGACCGCACCAGCACCGCAGGACCTACCTCGTGGCTCCTCGCCCGCCCCATTCCAGGGCCAGCAGCAGAACCAACAGCAGCAGGGCCAAGGTCAGGGTCAAGGTCAGGGTCAGCAGAACCGCGCTCAACCCGCGGGCACCGGTCCCGCCGTCCTTCGCGGTATCCTTGGCGCGGCGAACCAGAATCAGACGGGTATTCCGCGCGGTGGAGCCATACCTCGACCGGGCGGCGGCCGTGGTGGGTTCAATCAACCACCTCAGGCACAGCAGGGTATGCTGCCGCCGCAGCAACTCCAACAGCAGGGTGGCCATCCGCAGCAAACCATGAATCAAAACCTCAATCAACGAGGTGGCGCATCGGGCTTACCGCGTGGTGGGGGTAGAGGAAGGGGCGGTCGTGGCCGCGGTGGAGATCAGAATCAGATGCCGCACCCGCCGGTGCCGCAGGAGCATGGCGGGCAGGGGAGTCCGCGCGGAGGAATGAATCCGGGGGCCAGGCAGTTCGTGCCTGGTGGTGGGAACAAGCGGCCGCATGAGGGAGGAGACGATGGGAGTGGGGGGAAGAGGGTTAGAGGTGGTGGTGGTGGAGGAGGGAATTAGGGGGCATATGAGCAGGGAACTATGGCTGCATCATCTTTCTTCTGTGGATCTTTTGCTATGCATTGCTGGTGTTCAAGCTGTTACTTGGGGAACTTCCTGATTGCTGGTGGCTGGTGGCTGGTTGCTGGCGGCATGCGGAAAAGCATTGCAGGTGATCTTGAAGTACATCTAGCTGTGGCGCTACTGATATCTGACATCTGGGTTTCCGAACGGTCATACGGAAGCCTTATGGGTACATGTGTCGTGCGTACATGTCAGGCGTGAAGTGATCCATGGTTACTTTCATCCGGAGATGTCGGTCACCGCTCGCAACGCCAAGTGCTAGCTTCTTGTCGATGTCGGTGGAGAGTCCACTAAGCTCGCCGTGAGCATCCGGCGCTCCCAGAGCAGCAAACGGGACCTTGTGACATCGTCAGCCGGGACGTGTTGGCAGCAGAATGCGGCTTGGTGGCAGGGCTTGATTGGGGCACCTGGGCAGTTTCCAAGGAGCCCAAGAAAGCGGGCCGGCCTTGTGCGGCGGCGCCGGGCGAGCCTGCCAGGCAGATCTCCCCCAGATTTTTGGGCGGGCTCGCGTGTGTGCTTTGTCGGGTGTCGAAAACAAGGATACCTGGTTCTGGGCACATTTCATACAACGCAGACGTGACCTAATTACACTACCTATCCGGTCTCTCCCTTTTTGTCTTCTCTTTGCACCTACACTCCTTTGGTTTGATGAGTTTCTTTGCAGTGCTGTTACCACGATAGAGCTCTTCCTAGCTTTCCACCGCCGCTTCATGCTTGGTTAAGGAGAGATTTAGGCACACGACACCACCGGCAAGGGGCGGAAGCAACAATGGGCGTGGAGTCTGCTCGTCGAGCAGCGTCGTGGGGCGGCGTGCCTATGAAGCATATCTCCTTGGTCACCGTGGGTGGTTCCGACTGTTGGGCCGTTTGAAACTGTACTGACTGCTGCTGCAGCTCACATTTCAGAACTCTGCCCTCATACTCGTACGCGCCCTTCCACAATACGGACGAAGCATTGAGAGAGCTGGAGCTGGCACAGAAGAAGACTGAGGAGCTGACGGGCAGCAGATAATGCACTACTCACGAATAATGCCACCTGTAGACGGCCACCGATACTTCACCTCGACCGCCGTGTTCCTCAATGAAGTCATAAAGCTCGCACTCTCCCTCACAATGGCCCTCTACGAGATATCGAGTACCCTACCCGCCTCAGCGCCAGCCTCCGCGCTGTTCAGCTCCCTCTCGACCGCGGTGTTTACGGGAGACAGCTGGAAGCTGGCGATACCGGCAATGCTGTATACCCTTCAGAACTCCCTACAGTACGTTGCGGTCAGCAACCTGGATGCAGCGACATTCCAGGTCACATATCAGCTCAAAATCTTGACGACGGCGCTGTTCAGCGTGATGATGCTAGGACGGAGCCTGTCACTGCGGAAATGGCTGTCACTATTACTGCTCATGGTGGGCATAGCAGTTGTGCAGATACCGGCCGGAGGCGACGCCACAACCATCGGAACACTCAAGGACGGGCAGCGGAGCTTCTACCTCCCTCGCTCGATCGAGGAGCTTCGGGATCTGGGCAGCATCGCAGCACAACAGCTGAGCAAACGCTCCGCGACCTATGAAGGCATCGACGAAGACGTAGCCATGCAAAACCCGCAGCTGAACGCGTCGATAGGCCTGGTCGCCGTCATCGCCGCCTGCATCCTCTCCGGCCTCGCAGGCGTGTACTTCGAAAGGGTGCTCAAAGACGCGAACGCGACGGCCTCTCTCTGGGTGCGCAACGTGCAGTTGTCGTTCTACTCGCTTTTCCCGGCGCTGTTCCTGGGCGTCTTCTTCAAGGACGGCGAGCAGATCGCGAAGACTGGCTTCTTCGTTGGTTACAATTGGGTCGTATGGACGGCGATTACGTTCCAGGCGTTTGGCGGGGTTATAGTAGCGCTGGTGGTTAACTATGCGGATAATATCGCGAAGAATTTTGCTACTAGTATTAGCATTGTTATTAGCTTGTTGGCGAGCGTGTTCTTCTTTGGTTTTGAGATGTCTTCGAGTGTAGGTCCTTCCCTTCCGCACGCTCCCCTCTGTCAAGCCACCTAACCTTTGCAGTATCTTGCGGGAACGAGCGTCGTGCTGCTCGCAACATATCTCTACAGCAGCCAAGACCGCTTAAGGCCGCCGCCGATCCGCATCGCGGAGTACGAGAAGACGACCGTCGGTGGCGATCCTTCGTACTTCGACCTCGAGCCTGCGCCAAGTGTGAAGGCGAGGACGCCGGGCCTGCGCGGCGATGCGTTGACGACTTCGAGGCCGGGGACGCCGACGGTGGAACGCCACCATCATAGGGGAAACTCGGAGAGGAAGCAGTTTCCGAAGAGGGATGAGTAGGCGTGACGCTGTTCATATGTTCATATGCAGAGAGCTCTTGAAGCTTGCCTATACCCTTTTCCGTCTAAGATGCTTTCTTGATATCACGTGACCAGGGGAGCAATATAATGAACGTGACGTGTGGTGTTTCATCGTATACCTACCTAGGTAGATAGGTATAGATGTTGTTTCGTTGCTGGAAACGTGGATATGGATTGCTTCCCTGGGTTTTTGCTAACATTGTCTTCTGGAGCTATGCATTTTTAGGTATGTCAAGAGTGACAGCCCGTACGCAAGTATATTGGGACGAAACGGTGAGCGTTTTCTCGTAAATACGTATATTGTATTACGGATCAAGGTGTTCTGCTGGCATGTAAGCGTAGGTATGGTTTGTCGCTCAGCGTCATGGCCGATATCCGGGCTGTCGGAGCGGTGTGTCTTCAGGTATGCTCAGGGCAGCAGCCTATATAGACGCGTTTGGAATGAATAGGTGAGCCTCTTTGCCAAAATGTCTATTATGTTCAGATCTAGGTCACGGGTATTGAGCTTCGCGCGTGCTATTTGCAGGCTGCACGACATTGCGACATATCCCTGACTTCTATCGCGCCTCACCTCACCTCTGAGCTCACATCTCTACTCCTCGTCACCCCACGCCTCCCCTGTTATCAGTGCCGTGTTGCTCATCAACAACGCGCATCTCCGGCGGCTCCCAGAGTTGGCACTCATGGACAGCTCTATTTTCGATCTCCTCGATGACATTGACGAGCGCGCTCAAGCAGGCGCCGCAGGTCTTCGCTCCCATCAGCCGCTGCATCACAGAAATACGCCTCTTGTAGATGACTACCACCACAGTACAGCTCACGACCGAGCTATGGAGCCCGAGCACTATCCACGCGAGCATTACGCGTTCACTGAAGATGACACGGCAGCGGGAAGAGAACTTCCACTCGATGCCTTCGGTAAGCATCCGGTTTTTGCCACCCGCATGAAAGTCGCGTCGCTCACCCCCGACAGATGAGGAGATGCTGCGTCGACCGTACGATGACCGGCAGCGGCAAGCCACCCAAGGCAGGGCTCGATTGACGCTGGCGCCTAGGCATACGGAGAGGAGCACGCAAGCTAGGGAGCCATCCTACCCAGGTCAGGAGTACGGCTCGAGGGGCGTCATGAGTGAGTTTCACGATACACTACTCAAAACTAGCATTAACGCGGTGTAGGTCAGCTCGATTACGCTACGGGTGAAGCACCAAACCTCTGTAAGCAACTCCCTTGTTGCCCAAACCGGCTCGTTAAGTAGACTCATCTCCCCGCCGGTCACTTCACTAACCGTTACTTGCCGTTCAGCGCAATTCGCTTACAGCCCTCCGTCAGCTCCGGATGTCAGCTCCTCCCCGCATATTCTACCCTCAAGTCCAGCAATACGAGCGAGTCAGCGACGTAATGATTTACGCAGGAGTAACTCTCGGCCACAACGCCAATATGAAGACGAACCATATGATGACAGACCTCGAGCTTCTGCAGCTCAAGACTCCCAGCCTTCCTACTACAAAGCAGCTCCAAAGCAGATGGTGCTGCAGCATGCACCTCCGGTGGCTCAAGGCATCGAGCTTGTGCCTACACATGAGCTTCCTGATCGATTCCGCTCGATATTCCCGTTTCCGCTGTTCAATGCTATCCAATCGAAGAGTTTCCAAGCCGTGTACCGTAGCAACGACAACTTTGTTCTTTCTTCGCCTACCGGCAGCGGCAAAACAGCAATCCTGGAGCTCGCTATCTGCCGCATCATCAATGGGTACTCGGGCGGTCAATACAAGATCATCTACCAAGCACCCACGAAGTCTCTCTGTTCAGAGAGGCAACGGGACTGGCAGAAGAAGTTCGGACCGCTGGATCTCCAGTGCGCTGAGCTGACTGGTGACACCGACGGAGCGCAGCTGCACAAGGTGCAAAATGCAAGTATCATCATCACTACTCCCGAGAAGTGGGACAGCATGACCCGGAAGTGGAAAGACCATGAGAAGCTGATGCGGATGGTGAAGCTTTTCTTGGTGGATGAAGTTCACATTCTCAAGGAAGATCGAGGCGCTACCCTCGAAGCCGTTGTCTCCCGCATGAAGTCTGTTGGGTCTGATGTTCGTTTTGTGGCACTTTCAGCTACTGTTCCCAATCTCGAGGACGTCGCAGCTTGGCTGGGGAGGAACCCAACAAATCAAGGGACGCCTGCGCTGCATGAGAAGTTCGGCGAAGAATTTAGACCTGTCAAGCTCCAGAAGCATGTTGTTGGCTTTCAATCCAACGGCAACGACTTCGTCTTTGACAAAGTCATGGACGCGAAGTAAGTTAGACCGAAGCATTCCCAGCACTTTGCTGACAACTTTCAGGCTTCCGGATGTGATCGCGAAGTACTCGCAAAGGAAACCGATCATGATCTTCTGCTGTACGAGGAAGGCAACAGTCAACACGGCGAAACTTCTTGCGAACTGGTGGACCACCAAGGGTCCTGGAGACCGCTATTGGGAAGCTCCTCGACGGCATGTCAAGGTGCTTGACAATGATCTGCGGAGTAAGTCCCATGCTCGTTACCTCATCCCAACGTAAAATGACGGATCGTACAGACTGCGTCTCGGCCGGAGTTTCCTTCCACCATGCAGGCATCGAGCAAGCAGATCGACTCGCCGTTGAGCAAGGCTTTCTGGGGGGTGATATCAATGTCATATGCTGCACCTCGACGTTGGCGGTCGGAGTCAATCTACCCTGTCACTTCGTCATCATCAAGAACACGGTGAGCTGGCAAGGTAATGTGTGCAAGGAGTACGCAGACCTAGAAGTCATGCAGATGCTGGGTAGAGCCGGCCGCCCGCAGTTTGACGACAGCGCGGTTGCAGTGATTATGACCCGCACTGAGAAGGCTAGGCACTACGAGAAAATGGTCTCTGGAGAAGAGATACTGGAAAGTTGGTGAGTGAACTCGGAGTGTGCCGGTGGAACAATACTAACAACGCTTTAGCTTGCATCTCAACCTCATTGAACATTTGGTAGGTGCTATAACCTCACGTGCTCTCATGCCAACGGAACTAAACGCTGAACCACACAGAACGCGGAGATCGGACTTGGTACCGTGAGAGACCTTCATTCGGCGAAAAAATGGCTAGCTGGAACGTTCCTGTACATCCGACTTAGAGAGAACCCGAACCACTATCGGCTGGAGGGCGACAGCGGCAGTGGTAGTCTTGACGAACGGCTAGAGAGGATCTGTGATCGAAGCGTCTCTCTTCTACGGGAGCACGAGTTGGTAGAGGATGGTTCAACGCTCAGGTCGACCGAGTTCGGCGATGCAATGGCTCGGTATTACCTCCAGTTCCAGACAATGAAGGTTTTTCTATCATTGCAGCCGAAGGCGAAGCTCTCAGAGATTGTAAGACTCTATATTTGATTTTTCTCCGAAAGTCCGCATCTAACCAAATGAAGCTGTCCGCACTTGCCCAGGCTGCCGAATTCAGAGAAGTTCGCTTCCGCTCCGGCGAGAAACCTCTGTACAAAGAACTTAACAAATCTCCATTCATCAAATTCTCCATCCCGGTGGATCTCGCAATGCCGGCGCACAAGGTCTCTCTTGTCATCCAATCCGTGCTTGGTGGTATCGATCTACCGGTTGACGACAAGACTGCGAAGCACAGGATTCAGTACAACACAGACGTCTCCATTATTTTCCAGCATGTCCACCGCCTCATTCGATGTATCATCGATTGCCAGCTCTATCTGGAGGACTCAATCGCGTCACGAAATGCCTTGATGCTAGCGCGAAGCCTCGGTGCTAGGGTATGGGACGACAGCCCTCTGCAATTGAAGCAAATCGAGCAGATAGGCATTGTGGCTGTAAGAAAACTTGTCAATGCTGGCGTGAAGACTATCGAGGAGCTTGGAAACATGGAGCCTCACCGCATAGAGACGGTCCTGTCGAAGCATCCGCCTTTCGGTATGAAGCTGCAAGACCGCTTGAAGGCATTTCCAAAGCTGCGTGTGTCTGTGCAGATGATGGGCAAGACGGTAGGGAAAGACCTCAGTGCATATGCTTGTGGTACATGCTGACCTGCCACAGATCAAACCGGGTGAAGGCGTGAAGGTCAATCTCAGAGTTGAGATTGGCTTTATGAACGAGAAGATCCCTGAGACGTATCAGAAGAAGCCGGTCTACGTATGTTTACTCGCGGAAACGTCTGATGGGCACAAGGTCCACTTCTGCCGCATCAGGTCAGTGACCTTTCCTACCACTCAGAGCCGTACTGATCCTGAGCAGTGCCAAGAAACTCAACAAGGGTCAAGATGTGCTGTTCTCTGCGAACATGAGCAGTCCTAGTCAGTCCATAACATGCTATGTTATGTGTGATGAGATTGGTCAGTACTAGATTCTTAAAGGGACGGCCAACGCTGACAAGGCCGTGTAGCCGGCACATTGAGACAAGCATCGCTGAAACCGGAAATCCCTGTCTCTGCTTTTCCTACACCCAAAGCTGCGAAAGAGGCGGAACTGTCAACCCGACGCTCCAACGACTTACACAAGCCGGGACCGAACACATCGAAGCGCCGGCAAGACAGCGTTAGGCTATCACATGCGGCTCAGAATGACGACGACTTCGAGGATCTTGACTTGGACGATTCTGACTTCGTCAAGGCTGCAACAACCGACCTAGACTTCACACACATCGATACGCTTCGAAGTCGGACTTCCGCGGCTACTCGGAAGAATACAGTCAGCAATGCGAAGTCAAAGAAGACCCCTCAGCATGAGCCTGTCCAGGAAGAGGAAGAGCGGGAGGCTCGGAGGCTCGACAATGGCAAGTGGGCATGCAACCATATCTGCAGAGATAAGACTAGTTGCAACCATCTGTGTTGCCGCGAAGGCATGGAAAAGCCTCCGAAACGTCCAAAGAACAAGAGCACGACGGGCGAAAAGACAAGTACACAGCAAGCGGGCGGCAAAAATCAGAAAAAACCACCCGGAATCCAGGGTACACAGACAAAGCTGAATCTCAATGCGACGAAGAGCAGGCCGCAGCCGACCCTGGATAGAGCCAGCATCGAGTGTGTAGATCTCAGCAAACGTGAAATTAGCGACGACTACATGGCCCACGCACCGCGAGATTACAAGGCCCTGCACCGCCTCCATACAAGCGTGCAAAAAGCGCCGCCACTTCCTCCTTCCGCGACGAGGGTTATGCGCAACAAGCCAGATTACTCGTACGCAGAAGGTGGGATACCCAGCCTGTCCTTCTTGGGAGATACCAGAGACACCAGAGATACCGAGCACCGCAAATCGAGTGAAGATTACGGCGGCTGGCCTTCGCCTTCGGTAATGGCTGAAGATCACATGGCTGAAGATCACATGGCTGACACTATGAGTCCTCCGCACGAGCCTGAGGAGATGGACATGGATCAACGGAGCGATTCTCCCAGGATCAGTGACGACGACTCGATGCTTGATGCGGTGATGGTTGGGCTTGCGGACTCAGAGGACCTCAAGCCTACTCAACGAACGGAAGATAATTCCTTGCCAGCTACCCAAGCGTACGACGATGGCGACTTCTCCTGGAGCGGCCCTCCCAAGCGGCTGTCGACACCGGGACTTGCGTCTCCATCGCCTGGAAAGCTGGTCGTACCGGCACCAAAGGAAGAGAAATCACTCTTTGTAACAGACGCAAGCAGCTCGCAAGCCCCAGAGTCCACCCCTGATGGGCCACCGAAATCGTTTCTAGGGTTCAAGCGGGCGCGGGAGCTGATCGAGATGCCGCAGCCGATGATGCCGTCTCTAACGAAGAAGTCGAAGAAGCCACTCTATGATGACAAACCAAAAGAGAAGAATGCTGCCGAACCGGTAGGTGAGGAAGAGAAATGGGCGCCCGTAGCCTGTGAGAAATCCACGCCGCCAGCAGAGATCAAACAGAGACCGGAGTTCGAGGGCCTGGAGGCGTGGATTGTTGCTGAGTTCGGCGATGTCGCCGAGTTTGTCTGATCTAGGGGGCTGATCTATGTGACTGGTCTTTGAGCTGGATAATTTCGCTATTTGAATTCTTTGAAGATGCTCTGGCTGTCTATGCTCGGATGCTGTTTGCTTGGTGGAATTATGGCTGGCTGGAATGATGTGTTCTTTCCTCGGCGCTGTCTGCTTGCCCGGCGCTGTGTGAAGCTCGCTGAATAGCTGCGACGCGCGACGGGAGCGGACCACGATTTGCTGGAAGCGGGTCTATGGGCTGTCTGATTATGGCGATGTAGCAAGCTCAACCTAGACAATACTTTGTCCCCGCACGTGAATAATAACGCCTCACACTTGGAATTGCTGGACACCGCACCGAAAATGCTGATCAAGTGATGCTAGGCACTCGGCGTTAGCGTTTGCTGGTTGCATTCTTGTACCTAAGTAATTTGTTAGGTTTGATGCACCAAGTAGTGGGACTCAATGAGGAGGGCGATTCTCAGTGATCTCCTTGAACGTGTTAACGTGAATGCTCAAAACTTTATTGGCATCCGGACTACATAGAGCTCAATCTCCTACAGCTGTGGATCGGGGATGAACCATCGACTCCGCAATAAGTTGCTCATATACGGTATGCTTTGCGAAGGACGGGGCTTTTAGTAATGAAACGGTACCGGTTACCAGCTCATTGTCGAATAGCCACAACACATGATATGTACGCGTTCTATGTGGTAATGCACAGCTAAATTGGATGCTTTCTCATCTACAAAAGCTGTGGATTCTTGGAATTGATGTCACAAAGAGGACATTGTGATACTGTTGATTCTCAATTGCCGGCAACGCTTCGTAAGTAAAAATTCTGTTCTTCCTAGGCCCGCCTAAACTGACCTTCAATGAACATATATTATACAGCTGCTGTTTACTTCCATATACGGCCATAGATCAAGGAAAACATCGGATCCCGTCCGCTCTCCTATAATTAAGCTTTGAATCGGCGGATTAGTAGTTGGGTGGGTGACCACTAGCGAATACCTGCTGCTGTATGTTTTTCTCTTTTGCTCCTCCAGAGTAAGTTTGGCTTTGGACGGAGTTTACTCGTTAGTTCGCGGTTGCTGTCACACTAAAGCTCTAACGCGCCCCCTACTTACTTGACTAGGTAGTTTGCTTACCGAAACAGAACTTGAAGATCCACGTGTGCCGCCGGTAACTTTGCGGAAGAGTAAATTGCATCTTTGCATTCGACATTAGGGCAAGGTGATGCTTCATTGTTTGCTTCTCATAAACGCATGACAGAAAGCCCGAGTTGAACACTGGGCTTTGATCATAACATCAGAACACCCACTTGGTTACGTCGAAAAGCTCATCACTGGATTCGTCCCTTGGACCGCTAGTCAGGTTGTCCAGAACCATCTGTTATCGATCATTAGCCTTTCACTCCACTAACGACTCGAACACCCGAATCACACTCACAGCAGCGTGTCCTTCTAGCACAAAGTCATTGTCACTGTTTCTCCGTTCCTGGCTCTCTTCTGTATCGTACCGTAGAAATGCGGTATAGCCTTCCCGCCAGCTCCGGAGCTTCCCCTCGCTTTTCTCAGGCGGCATGCTTTCAAGCGAGTTCTTCGCGCCTCCTCGGAGCATGATGCAATTACCTATGAAATCAATCTTGCACCACGGCGGGGACGGTTCATGGTAAGCATCCAGCGACAAGTCTATGAGGTGCACGGCGCGTTCACCGTCGGAATCATTTCTTCTGTGACGAACCACATCGAGCGAGTGGAACCTGCCCTGCAGGGTCGTATGCACGATGATCTCCAGTCTGAGCGCTTGGAAGTTGTGCATCTTCTCCAGTACCACATCCATCTTTTCTCTCGGTTCTTGGCCCAGGAAGTTCACGTTCGACGCTTCGTCAGCGTCTCGATCCCATGTAGTCTCCATGCCCACATCTCATGGCCGCGCGCCCCTCTGGAAAAATCGTGACTGCTCAATCTGCCAGAAGACAAGCTGTCCTTCGCCGGCCGTGGGACCGTTCCCGTAATGGTTCCGAACCGTGTCGGGCAGTAGGCTATTGGCCCCGGCGAACACGCGAATGGCGTAGTCGAGCGCTGATGGTTTTTGTATCCAAAGTTGGTTACGTCTTCTACGCTCTGGAAAACTATCTCTGATGAACTGTTATACGACACACTAGCGTTGACGATCTAATCCGCAAGGGCTTCGGAGCCAGCAGCGACATTGGACTGTCGGTGTGATGGCACTCCCGGTTCGTAGGACTTCTCGTAGATGTCGAGGGGCCCGCTTGGAGTCATAGCAAAGTAGGGCCAATGGTAATGAAACCCGACGTGGAGCAAGGAGCTTTGAGAATCCTTGCGACGGGAGCGGAGAAGCTGTATGGGCGTTCTCCAGATTGCATCTTCGTCGTCTCTGGAACCCGTATTCTATTTCACTCGCATATCGAAACCTACATGCTAGGGAGTGGCAGTTGATGAAGATATTCACTCGACAGAGAGTTGCCTTGATGAAGAATTGGCTTCGACCGAGAGTGACAATCACGTGATTACAGGCATACCTTGGGTCACCCAGCGCCAGTCTGATATTATGACCAATGGTTGGACCTTCAAAGCTCCGATATGCTACGCATCTTCCTGTACACGATGTTCAGCGGAATGAGTAAGTCAAACAGTGGATCCTCGTACAAGGCTACCTTTGCACAACCTTCTAAGGTTGACGCTGATTTGTTGCTTAAGGTGACGTGTTTAAAAGAGTATTGCACAGCATGCACTTCTTGCACGATCTGGACTTGGATGATTCAGTCTCATATTATGAGAACCCCGTTAGTCTCCAGAGACGAATCCCAACCGTGTACAGGCTCAACCTTATGCCTTACTTCTTACTCAGTTAGCTGAGTGGATGTGCACGAACTGCGTAGAATCCAGCGGCATCCGCTCTATCACTGCTTACAGTACTTTAGGTGGGATGCCTAGATGATGCACGACTCCTTCCTGGGCATTACTCCGTCAGACACGTTACACACATGTAGGTAAGGCCTATCTGCTCAAGGCAGCGGTTGGACATCTGTCTTTTTCCATCTCATGCCTGCAACTGCACCTGTAAGGCTCTTTGTAATATCATAGCGGCTACGACAGCTTCTAGAGCTTCACTGCTTGACTCCTTGGTCCTTCGTTGGTTGCTTTCCAGATCTTGAGACCTCTGTTTTCCCTTGCCCTTAACGATGTGGAAACTCTCAAGTCTTCGTTTTTTGATATTCTTCTCTCTCGTCTGCCTCTCAGCTACGGTCCAAGGCTTCGCAGGGCTGTCAGGCGGCCTCCAACAGCTGTGGCGGCGCGAGAAGCCCCAACCACCGATACCGTTTCTGCCATCCACGAACTGTATCGAATGGCTTCGGACAAGCGGCGAAACAATCGTTTACAACTATGGACTCAATGAGACGGCATCTGCCGCACATGCTCTCCAGAACTGCCTGTCAAGTGATGAGGCTGCGGAAGCAAGGGCACGAGCCCGGGATATCATAATCACCCTTCCAGTTTATGAAGCACCGCAACTTCAGCAACGGTCTTTGTTGGATTTAACTCAGCTGTTGCCCGATCTGGCCACAGTCAGGTACGTCGTAGTAACCGACCTTGAGGTCTTGTCTTCCAATGTTCGCTCAGCTTTCATCTGCCGACCGCTGTTCTAGATAGCCATGCGATCGGAGAGGTCGCCAGGGTGGTCGTTAGTCCGCCGGGCGGTCGGGACGGGATACGGCGGTCGAGCTTGGCACCAGTCCATCCGCCGGATCGATCTTAGTGGTCTGTGCTTCGACCGTCCGCCCCGCCCTTTTTCTCATCCCGTCCGCCTCGCCGGGCGGCTAATCCAGGTGAGGGCTAGGCCGTCCGACCGCCGGGCCTTAGTTAACGCACAGTCCTCCGTCCGCCCGCCCTTACGCCTCCCTACCCCTGAGTCCGACCGCCCAGAGGTCTCCGGCGGGGACGGGCGGACTAGCGACCACCCTAGTCCTACAGTCCTGGTGACAAAATGCGGGCTCCACGAAAGGGAGGGTTCCAGTGCGGCGGTTGCAGTGATGTGTTCCATCGTTAATGTGACCTGAGGTGAGTACGACAACCTCTCCTCTGCATTGCCAGAACGAAACTCATCTGGCGGCCTCTCCCACAAAGAAGTAATGAGAAGAGGCATCTCCAACGGTTGGAGTATTCGTACCATTGCGATCGTGCATTCAAGGACTTGGCTTGGTATCGCGTTATCCGCACTGGGAATATCCAATCGTGATTCGGATGAGCATATGGACCATCGTTGCGGTGTTCGGCATTATTAGGGAAAGGGACACCACATGTCGGTACGGACAGCACGGCTAGGTGTAATGTTCACAATGTTATTACTACAGAGCCAAGCCATCTCTCAACCCAGCAACTCCTTCGCTACCACTAAAGCCTCAATATCCCTGCCGAAGGTCCCCAGGGATCTAGCCATCTAGCCACCGATATGATACAAACGAAAGAAAAGCTGCAAGCCATGATTAACCCCTCCACCCATTAAGTACCCCTTCACTCCTTCTTATCCTTCTTCCCCGACTTCTTCGGCACCCTAATCAACCAATAAAGCGCCAGCGCCGCAAAGACATTGAACACGATAAACGCCCACATGATCCCAAAGTTCCGCCACGCCTCGCTATAATAGCTGCTCACGCTCGCCAAGAACGTGTTGGTAGAGCTCAGCGCGCAAAAATTGCAGTCGGCCGTCGCGTCCGGGTTCTGCAGATAACCGCCAGCCGCCGAGATGTAGGGCGCCAGGTACTGCGCGCAGGTTTGGCCCGAGGGCGGCTCGAAGCGCAGGAGCTCGTTGGCGGCGCAGACGACGGTTGTGTCGGCCACGGCGGTCGAGAGCATGGCGGAGACGAGGTACGTAAAGGGCGAGACGCGGTACATGAAGATCCAGAAGCCGGGGAGAGACTCCGGGGATGCGAGGACGCCGCAGAAGACGAGGCATAAGCTGAAGGCCAAGTTGGCGAGGTTGCCGCCCGTCTCGGCTGTTTCGATGCCGGCGATGACCATGTCCGTGAAGGTGCTCGTGAAGAGTAGGAAGGTCCAGATGAGCAGGAACATGAGGCCTCCACGCTCGGTGACGGAGTCGGTGGGCTGCGCGTTGCGGTACAGCCCGATGGGGTAGTACCAGCAGAAGAAGATGATGACGGCCATGAGGGAGTTCCAGGGGATTTCGACCAGGATGTTGGATAGCATGAAAGCTTTCCAGGAGTAGGTCTTGCTGGGCCGCTCACGGGCTTCGTAAAGGGCGCGCTGGGTGACGAAGTGTGGCATGATTTGTTGTACAAGCTGGCCAAAGATAGTGAACAACATGAAGATGGAGAACATCTGGTTTTGAAGACCCTGTTGACTGTTTGAGGCTTTGAAGAACGAGAAGCCGATGAAGAGGGCCTGCATATTGTTAGCCACCTGATTTTCATCGGACAGATGTGGTGGGAGAACTCACAGCAAACGTGCAAAGAGCCGCTTTCGAGTAGATGTAGGACGGTGTACGCCAGTACTGCTGGAAGACGCGCTTGGTAACTTGCCAGAACTGAATGCCGAAAGGCGCAGCGAATTCTCTGTAGCTGGCCTTATCGTTCGCGCTGGCAGCCGGCTCCGTCTTCTGCGGGCGTTCCTGCTTCAGCCTTTCCAGTTCTTGGTGGGTCGCTTGCATCTCAGGGCTGTTGCGCCAGACTTGGTGCCAGTCGATGTCGGTACTCGTTCCAGGAGCAGCGCCGATGACCTCAAGCATCCATTCCGCTGGGTTAGCATCCGGAGGACACGGGTGAGCTCCGTTACGCTCGAAGTATTGCGTCAGGACCTTGGAGTTCTCGCCAACCTCACCGAAGTAGACGGTCCGTCCGCCCTTGGCGAGGAATAAAAGGCGGTCGAAGCGCTGGAAGAGCATGGCCGACGGCTGATGGATGGTGCACAGAATAGCTTGCCCGTTCTTTGTAAGCTTCTCCATGAGATCGCAGATGGCCCACGATGTCTGACTGTCGAGACCAGATGTTGGCTCATCGAGGAAGAGGAGTAGCTGCGGCTTGGCGGCAAGTTCCACGCCAATGGTGAGGCGCTTACGTTGCTCGACGTTTAGACCTTCACCGGGGACACCGACAACAGCGTCAGCGTACTCTTCCATGTCGAGGAGCTTGATGACTTCGTCAACGTATTCGAGCTTCTCCTTCTTGGGGACATGTGCCGGTTGTCGCAGAAGAGCGCTGAAGTTGAGCGCTTCCCTGACGGTGGAAGTGGATAGATGAAGATCCTGCTGCTGGACGTAGCCTGTCTTTCGCTGGAAGGATTCATCACGCTGGCGGCCATCGACGAGCATCTCCCCGGTGATAACGCCCATGGTAGTTCTGGTGGCAAGAACATCCAAGAGTGTGGTCTTTCCCGCACCAGACACGCCCATGAGCGCCGTCAAGGTGCCGGGCTTAACCCAACCATCGACGTGGTCCAAGATACGCCTCGTTTCGCTCTTGATCTTGATGTCGTAGCAGACATCCTTCCAGTGGAATATCGCCGTCTGTCTCTCGATGACCGCCGCATGGTCATCACCACGCTTCTCAGTCACAGCAGCACCAGCTCCAGCAGTCTCTAGATCATCGGCGGAGGTCTTCATGACAGCCGGTTTATGGCCGCGTCGGAACACGAGAACTTCGCCTTTGGACTTCTTTGCCGAGATATACTCCGCAGCTGCGAGGTACGTGCACATCAAGAAGATCATAAAGGCAATGATGATGCCGAAATTCCTCCACTTGTTGGCGTGATAGTAGTTGAATGCGGTGTTGATATAGACGTCGCCGTTGACCACTGCAGACCCGGGTGTTGATCCGACAGCAGAGCAAACGCGTTGAATGGGATCAACGGTATCGTAGGGGCCCCCTGAAGGAACGAATACAGAGCAGGAAAAGTTGCGGTTGTGGAACTCGTTGATCATCAGGGACTCGAAACCGTATGCAACCGGATCTGTGAAGCAAAATGTCAGCAAGAAGACCTCGTTCTGGCAAAAAGAGAACTTATATTCTATTGATCCATCTCGCCCATCCAAGCATGTAGTTCGTCGGAATGGTAAAGCCCGTATAGATAACGATAGCCAGGATGAGGATAGCAGCCGGGGCCATAGCCTGCGACAGTGTCCTGGAGACCGATGCGATAGTACGGAACAGCATCGACATAGTGAGCGTCAGGAAGAAGCTGATCAGCAGGAAGAAGAAGAACGGGCCCGGCTCTCTGCGAAGATTCGCCATGAAGTACAGCGTCAAGTTGAAAAAGATGGCATTGCCAATCTTATACGGCATATCCGTAAGCATGGAGGCCCAGGCTTCCGCGGAGGGATGATAGAGCGCGTATCTGGAATGCTTCTCGACAATTGGTCGTTGTGCGTAGAGCGTCAGGATTTCCAGAGCACTGCCGAAAGCATTGAGAAGGACCGCGAAGAACAGAATCGCGCCGCGCTGGTAGAAGCTGTTAGTGGTCTCCGGGAGATTGTAAAAGACGCTGCCGATGATGAGGGCCATGATAACGTTGCCGAAGAGCTGAGTGAAGGTCAAGCTTGGGTCGCCCTTCAGACGCTGGAAGCCTCGCCACAGACAGAGGCTGATCTGCTGGCCGTAGGAGAGTGTGTAAGGTGACTTGACGCGCTGGTGTTTCGATTGCTGGGCCTGGCGGGATTGCTTGAACCGCTCCAGTGCCTCGCCGCCGATGGGGTACCTCTCGTTGTATTCCTCGATCTCGCGTAGTAGCTGTGCGCGCTCTGGGCTGTTCTTCCAAGCCGCAGCGAAGTCATCGGACGTGCGTGGAACCCTGTTCTCGAAGCCTTCACGGATAACACGCTCGATGGGACTCGTCATCGAAGTAAGGAAATCAGCGGTGGTCTGGCGGTCAGGGCACTGGAATCCCATGTTGACGAAGTACTGCTTTGCGGATTCGGTGCGGCCGAAGTAGATCTGTCGCCCTTCGTAAAGCACGACCACCTTGTCGAAGATGTCATAGGCAGCCTGAGGCGCTTGATAGATAGCGACGCATGCGGTGGCGCCCATCAGATCGGTTGACATGCGCAGGGTCTTGCAAAATTCGATGGCGTTCGCGCTGTCCAGGCCACGAGTCGAGTTGTCCCAGCACTGCAAAGGGGAGGCTGACAGCGCAGCCTCAGCAATTGACACGCGTTTCCGTTCACCTCCACTGACGCCCCGAACGAAGTCATTCCCGACCCGTGTGTTGATTGTGTGGCTGATGCCGAATATCGCCATAATCACGTCCCGCATGTGGTTCGCATAGTCCCATGGCTTGACACCTCCGGGAATGTTACGAGGAGCCCTGGCGCGGGCAGCAAATGCGAGTGTGTCGCCGACGCTGAGCATGGGGAAGTGGACATCGACCTCTGCGGTGTAGATTGCCTCGCCGCGGAACGAGCTCTGCATGTCCTTTGCTGAGATACCTGTTTCACGCAAGTCAGAGACATTCATGGGGCCTTCAGTGGAAGTGTTTGAGAACTTGAAGATTAAATCAAGGGCGTCCCGAAAAACAGATAGAGAACACTGCGGTGAATCGACGGCGCTATCCATCAGGGGTTGAAACTCGCTTGAAGGTTTTAACAAGCTTTACTGCTTTGCAATAGCCTCCGCGATGATGGACACGTCTGGTGATTGCGCACAGATCGAAGGAGGGGAACGGAACCGCCAGGAGCCTGGATGCTCCCGCAGCCAGAACTTCCAATTTTCGGCATCGTTGCCAAAGGGATGAGTAGAAAAATATCACTTACCCTGGTAGTTAATGTACGAGCTATCTTCCACCACAAACCCGTGCGTCTCTCCAGCAATCGTTTTGAGAAGCGTCGAGCAGCCGGAACCGGGCGGGCCGAGCACAACTAGCATCTCCCCGCTCTCCACCAAGCCATCGAAGTGCTGTAGGATGTCAATCTTCCGCTGGCCAACTCGCAGGATCTTCTTCACGGCTCCCACAGCTTGCAGCCAGATATTGCCGACCGTCTTCTGATAGTCGGTTTCCGTGCCGTAACCGTGAACGTTCAGATCTCTGAACGCAACACCTGCTGTGCGCTGCGGATACTTTTCGGGATCGCGGGATTGCAATTGAAGAAGCGATTTAGCCCATGCCCTGGCATTGAAGTTCGGTGAGTTTGGATCCAATCTCGAGTCTTTGGCGGCTTCCTCGAACGGGCTTTGGCTGTAGGTTGAAAATCTCGACGCCTGTGAGTACGTCCTCGCAAGGGCGCGAACCTCTTCCTCGCGCCGAGCGTCTTCTTCATCGGAGCTGTACTCAGTGTCGGATACCTTCTTTTCGGCGGGCTCGGCGGGCTCGGCGGGCTCCAAACCTGACGGCGGGATACCATCTGGGTAGTATGTACCGTCGTGGATACCAGTGCTGAGCGCGGGAGGAGCTTGTCGTGTGTCCCGCGGTGGGGAATGGGAGCCGGCAATCGGAGCGTAAGTAGATGTCTCTGGTGCTTCAGACGGACGCTCCTCTGGCGGAGCACGTCTTGCTCCGCTTCTGTTCATACTCCTTGTCCGTGACAGGCCAAGATTGGAGGCTACTGACGACCTTCTGTTGCCTGCGGCGCTGATGCGGGTGCCGGCTTCATTGTCGTCGTAGTAGCTGTTGCGGCGCGTGAAAGCAGTGCCGGATTGACCGATGCCAGAACTTTCGGCCTGGCGATCGTAGTTATTGAACGCGAAATTGCCGACGAGAGACATCTCGGGCGCTTTCGAAAGGAGAAGGGAGGTGCAAAGAAAGGGCAAGGAAACGCTTGTGTTGACGAAGTTGGAGTTGTATGAACGAGAGAGCAGGGCGAGCGTAGAGTTTTATTCTCCTTGCCCAGAAGACCTACGTTTGTGAGGCCGGAAGACAATTGAGAGGTCTTCCGAGCAACGCTTGATTACATCGATAAGCCCTTCATTCGGGCAATCTCACTGCTTCGTACGAGTGACGAAAAGGCCCTTGGCCTCGGATGCGAGAGTTTCCTGGCTCCGCGACCAATGCGCGAGCGCCTCTGCCGGATCGGCCGAAGAAATTCCGGCATAAGGCAGAGCTTTCTCGGATGCCCAACTGCGAGTGATCCGAGATGATCGACCAACCCCCTGCCCAAAACGCCCCCTTGCTCGGCAACTTTGAGGTTTTTGCTCCCCCGGTCTGGTCTCCGCTGCCGCGCTCGGGGCTTGCGGGATGATGAGTGAGCGTCCCCGGGGCCCTGGAAGGCTGACTGCAGGTGCGCTTGGCCTTCACCTTCACACAAAGCAGCCATTCATGGAAGGTTCAAGAACCCTTCCGATCGCCATGCTCGTCTCAGCAGGTTCAACGAAAGTGCTCGGAACCTTGTTTTGAAGCGCAAAAGTGCGAACGCTCTATTGCCTTCGCAGTATCCCATACTTGAGATCCAACACCTTGTCTGATCCACGTCGTTTACCTGGGATTGGCGAAAGAAACACGGATCGGCATCACAGCTGCATGCGTCTCACTAAGTCATTACAGCGTCACGTCAACATCAGCATTCACACTCAATCTAACCGATACGGAAGCTGTATTTCCATGTAAAGCTAATTTTTCTAGTCAAACCAAAGCGAAAGATATTCGTTAATCGTGACGGATGATGCGCACCAAGTCAGCTGCCCGGCGCCAATAAATAACGCCCAGCGGAAAGAGAGTTCGCCAAAACTACCAATATCCATGAGCGGCAATCGCGAGACAAAAGAGAGAGTGAGTCAGTGCCATTGAGACCCTACGAAAGCAGCACGAGTCTTCACTCTGGTTGCTTCTGTTGTGAGTCGCTGCCCACCAAGTGCCCTGGAGAACTGAGAAGAATTCCGAAATCCTGCCAAAGACGCATTCCTTTGACTGACAAGCTGAAGAAGTCGAAAGTGAAATCGAAGCCGGGAGACCAAGCGTTGGTAATGAAAGTCTGACCATCATGCTGCAGACGGCATCGAGAGGCTGCCGTCCATGCGAGCAGGCCGTGCCGCGAAATCGTCAGGCGGCCTAGATGTAGAACATCGTGTTCTCGAGGTTCTTATGCACACTTCCCGTCCATTCAGCCGAACTCGTGGTGGAGGCGGCATCCGAACCCTCGTTGTTTTCTTGCATGGTCGAGTAAAGGTACGCTCTGCCGCGTTCGCAGACAAGGTCGGCGTAATACGCAGGCGGGCAGACCGAGACTGCCTTGGTGGCGCGGCCGTAGACGTAGCTCAGGTTATGCGTGATGCGCTCAACTTGGTCGGCGTTGAGGCCCATTTCATTCTTCAGCACGACGTAGTGGGCCGGCCTCGCCGTTCCCTGGAGACCTATGTGGGCCTGCAAGAAGAAGTCCCACTGCTTCTCGCCTGACCCCGTGATGCCGCGATCCACGATAGTACCAGGGCGTGGGTTGGCCGGCTTACCTTGAGCGTCGTCCTTGTTCGTCGGGTAGAATCTTGTGTGGTGCCTCTTCCCTACCACAATGACGGTGACTTTCGGGCGAGTAGCATTGGCCGGATATACTCCTTTGAACGCTTCGAGCATAGACTGGAATTCGGTTTCGAGGACGGTCTGGTATTGCCCTTCCGATACGCCATCGCGATAAACCAGGATTTTGTTAGGAAGGCGCTTGCCGTTCTTGAGCTGAAACACCCTCAAACGCTCAACAATCATTTTTGCAAGGTCTGAGACCATTTCTTTCCGTGAAGCCTGTACGCAAACACTGGCCGGCCACTGGTTCAACAAGATGTCGTATGAAGCGACGACGCCTGCAATGCTTGGGGCGTTCTCCGCGCTTCCGGGAGACGGATGTGTCACGTCTATGCCAACAACCATAGTGTCTTTATCAAGCGGGGCGAGCTGGTTGGCGCTGACAGTATGATTTACACCGCCAGCTTTGAGGTTGAACTTCAACGCGACATTTCCGAATGTCATTTGGTCTCTGCGGTCGAAGGTTTCGCCGTTCATCGCGATGGTGGCGATGCCATACTTCACGTCACCGTAGTACTTGATGCGGGAGTAGAGGTAGTTGTCCTTTCTCGGCAACAAGACCAGCAGCATCCGTATTCCCTTCGCCTGGAACCCTGTGAACGCAGCGTCAAGGGCGCGGTCGAGATCTGGCCGGAACCGCTCCGTATTTGGACCACACTGGGGAATTGCAAAGTTTTGGGGGCCTGTCGATGAGATCCTAACGCCATGCTTTCTGAACTGATCCAGTAACATGTTGAAGGTCGCTTCGGGATTTTTGTCTTTGTCTCCCCGGGGGTTGAGAGTCCTCTTGTTCGGCTCGGCGAGAATCATGACCCCCCAGTTGGAGATCTGCGCACCAGTCCGAAATGCTTTGCCTTGGAGGTTCCACGAGGCCTGGGTGTCTGCAAAGGGAGGACGCGGCATCTCACTTGCATACATCAGAGTGGGCGCGCTCAGAATACGGCCATGGACCGTGATCATGTTCTCGTCAACCGTGACGCCAAACTTAGCCTATAAGAGTCAGCGTCGGAGCAGACAAAGCTCAAGGGCCGGATAGAACATACCAGCTGTTGTAGATGCGCCCCCTTTGCACCGATTAGACTCAGGCCATCAGTAGTGATGGAGATTGCATTTTGCTTTGGGTCGCGGGCCGCGAATCTGAGCATCTGAGTGGTTTGATCGGGGCTCAGCATCCGCCGGGCAGGCTGTCCGGGTGAGACGGTGCAAAGCTCGGCGGGAATGTAGGCCTTGTTCTGGTCGTTCCCAACGTTGACGACGGATTCTAAAGGCTGCTGCAACCTGATATCATACTCTGTGGTGACCGGTTAGCATTAGCGCGTACAGGTGCAGCTGGGACGTACTCTTTAGGAAGAAGTCTTCCACAGTACCCTTCTGCTTGACCTTGTTGTCGTCTTCCCAATCAACATACACCTCACGCGAGTTGAGACCGATCCGGCCCCCCTCGCGAGCAAGCTTGAAAATGGTGAATTGTTTGACGAGTCTGATCTTCTTTCCTTTCTTGTCCTTCTTGATTGCTTGGTTGTTGTCTCGATCCCAACGGTAGTTAGTCTCCACGCGGACTCTCTTCAGGAACGCTTCCAACTTGGCATTCCGCTGGGTACCGGCAAAAGCTTTCATAAGATCTGGCAACTTGACCGGCGGGTAGAATACGCTGTGCGACACATTCACGTTGAGTAGGATCCTCTTTGTTGACAGCCGGACAGACGAGAAGTAGCCGCGCAGGGCTTGTAAGCCTTGGCCGAGATTCATCTCCACTTTAAGCGGGTCTCGGTTGGGATAGAAGACATTCCCCCCAACTTGAGTGACGTTGGCCAAAGTACTTGCCACGCTGTTGGTAACGATATTTAGCACTTGAACGATATCCCCTTGATCGTGATAGCGGGCGCCCAAGTTCGGTGAACTTATAGCGCTAATCAGTTCCTGGACGTTGTATGATCTGAGAAACTTGACTTCGATGGTTTTCTTCTTTCGGTTCCGGGCTGCCGCGAGTGCTTCAGCCTCTCCCTGAGTTGGTAGGGGAAACGGAGGTTCATGAGCCTCGTGGTATACGAGTTCGAAGGTCTTGCTGTCCGATGGTCCAAAATCCAGCTTTCCGGCAGTGACGAGAATCGACGAAAAGTCTGTTGCAGCAGGCTTGGCTTTGATTGCTGGTTGATCCAAGAGCATCATCATGAGCCGTTTCTTCTTCCGCTTGGTCTTCTCGTCCTGTTTGATGGCGACATCGTAGCGGCAGAGCTTGACATTCGCGGCTACGGACATTGAGAAATAATTGGCGCGCAGAATGATCGGCTTTCCTACAGTCCCGTACTGCTTACGAGGTGGCAACCGAGGGGTCAAGTTCAGATCTCCGATTGGCACACCGGCTGGCGCATCTCCAGCATTCTTAGCAGCGACGTCTTCGAGAGTCGTGACGGCTTTGTCAGGCGGTGGAACCGGCTGGCCCATCCTGGGATCTTGTCAGAAGGGTGTTTTGCGCATGCAACGAAGTACTCACAAATATGGATCTCCCTTGGGCGGAGGTGGGCGGCCTCCTGGGGCACCGCCAGGACCTCCTCTACCGCCCCCACCACGACCTGTGCCGCGTCCTCGTTGGCTCATGTTGCGCGCAAATAAGGAGTGGCGGACAGGGAGGGTCGGTGCGTGTTTGGTTGCAGATTCTCGTTGTTGCTGAAGTAAGAAAGCGTTAGTCGGGAGTATTGAGAGATGTGAGTAAACAACAGAAGTATGAGGCGCCCTTGCAAAGCTGTGATAGAGGCTGCGTGCAACGTTGGAAGTGCTCAGAGTGATATGGAAGCGGAAGGGCGTCAAATGGTTGAGTGATTGAAGGATGGACGTGCGACAGATGCGTTATAAGAAGCGCTGTTGAGGACTGATCGCTGACGAGCGGCGGGTGAGTTGATTGCAGCCAAGGCTACGTGCGTGAGACAGTGCCTTGTTGGGATGTGGCTTGTCTGAGCTGGAAGACCCAGATGCAGCTGCCGTTCAAGCAAGACAGCGAAGAGAAGACAGTCGGAGCGTGGAAAAGGCGTCAAGCGGGTGAGACATGAATGAGGCCTGACGGGAGTATGCAAGAGACCGCGAGCTGAGATTGAAATGAAAGGGGGTGTATAGCTAGGGCAGGGAGAAAAGATGGTTGGACAGCTGCAGGCCTCAAAGGCGCCAGTTGTTTGCCTGACGTGCGCATCTGAAACGTACCTGAAAGGAAGGACGTGGTTGAGCTCAGAGATTGTGGACGTTGGCGCTGCTGTGACATCGTTAGCGCGCGTTGTTTGACACGAAAGAAAGATGAAGGACCCTTGCAGTGAGACTGCATGGACGGGCTTCGCCGTGTCTTGCATGAGCGACTGGAGAGAGGGGAAGGGTGCAGTGTGAGGTGGGTGTGAGGAGCGTGAGTATAGATAATGAACAGCGCAGAGTGAAGAGAGTTTGCATACCTTGCGCCGATTGGTGTGAGAAGTGATTGGTGTGATGGAGAAGGAGAAGAAGAAGAAGAGCGACGAGGGGAGCCCAGAAGTTTTTGGGTAAACTGACTGCGAGCGAGACCAGCAGTGTGGGAGGGAAGAGGTCGCCCGTCGCAGAGGTTCGCGGCAGTGACAGCTGGAGATCGCCTCAAACAACGCGTGACGTGGGGCTGCCCGCAGGAGCGCTGCGGCCGATCGCGGTTGCGCGCCCGCACGTTACCTCTTCCGCCTCACAGGGCTTGCGGTTTCCTTGATTTTGGCCTGGCGTCTCTGGGTTTCTGCTTGATTCGTGACTTGTCAAAGATTCGCGGACTTTGAGATGCGCATCCACAGCGCTACTACCCGTTGACAAGGTTGACAGAACATCAATGGCCAATGGTGGAGGTCTGTCACTATCTTCACTGCAGCGTGACGTCTTGGCAAAAGTTGATGCCTGATTTGTGTAACGCAACAGCAATGAGTCACAAGGTACTCCCTCAGTCGAAGGACAGAGGGGCAAAGAAGCTATCCAAAAGAAGAATTTACAGAATCGAAATGTCTCCAGCCGCGCTCCACCAAGCCAAACCCCTGTCCGATCCATACGCGCCGCCACCAGGTGACGCCCGCAACACCCTCACCATGCCCAGCCCCATCTGAACACTTCCGTCCCCCCCTCAAGCCTCGAGCCTAAGCACCACCAAGCCCAGCGCACCAAGCAAGCGACCAAGTGCGACTAGCCCCACCATCCAGCGTCCCAGCATTGAAGTTCGGGTTCGCGAAGAAGTTGTACGCCGCCACGGGATCAATGATGGCCAAATTGGCATACAAGATGCTTCTCCAGCCGCCCTGAACACTATCGACACGTCCGTTCGAGAAGTACCGGTCCCACTCCTCGCGGACAAACTTCGGAGTCCGAATCAGCGTCGACGGCGCCGCAAGCGGGATCATGTGAATCCCCTGGATGAACTCCGTGTTCGCGCCAAAGTAGGTGATGTGGTCGACCTTATTCTCGAATAGGATGCCCGTGACTTTGTTCCCGATGAACTGCGCCGGCTGGTTCGTGTTGCCGCTGTCCATGAGGAAGTAGTTCTGGAAGCTGCGGGCCTGGATCGACAGCATGAGGTTGCCGCGCGCCTCCATGTTGACATCGCCCGTGACGCGTCCCCACATCTTGAGCGCGTAGCTCGCGAACGAGTCCTCGGAAGTGCTCTCCTGGTCCTTGCCGTCGGCCGACTCGAACAGGCCCTTGGCCCACGAGTGGCCGTGGTACCAGTCGAAGGACCGCGAGAAGGGGAAGAAGTCGCCGTGGACGCTGTTGGCGAAGTCGCGCACTAGCATGTTCACCCAGGCCTTGTTGCGGCCCTGGCTGAGCCAGGCGGGGTCGAGGTAGCCGATCACGGCCGCGGCGTAGACGAAGTAGCCGTAGTGGAAGTGGTGGTCGTTGTAGTACGTGCCGCCAAAGTCGAGGCCGGGGTCGCGGTAACCGGCTACCGAGACGACACCGCGCCATGCAGTCTCGTCTGGACAGAAACGTCAGCACCCAGCGGCTTGGAGTGTGGGCAGAAGAGATGTGGCTTACAGTTGAGGGGGTTCCTTTGCCTGTTCTGAACGAACACATCAAAGGCCGTCTTGAGCTTCTGCAGACCAGCGTTGGCAAGACCTGGATTCTTGGAGAGGTCCCTGACGGCATAGACAATGGAGGCAAACTTGGCCAAGCCCTTGCCGCTGAAGTACATGGAATCAAGGTTTGTCTGCGCATTGAAGTCCTGGTTGAGTTCTTGTCCGGCGACATTGTTCATAAGGGTCATAACGTTCCCGTTCAGAGTGGTGGCACTGCCCCTTGCTGGCGACCATGGAGCGAAGCCCACGTCAGCGGGGAGGTTGTTCTCAACCATCGTCCAGCGATCGGCGATGACGGCCTGGGCCACGCCCTTGGTCGTGGTCTGCAGCCTCATTTCGACTTTCGCGCCTGCTGTGACACCATCGAAGCTCTGAACGTGATGCGGTAGAGCGTACATGATAAGAGGCCGTGCAGCGTTACCACCCTTGTTGAAGGCGAAAGTGTAAGAGCCGCTCCTTCCGGAAACCGAACCTGAGATGGTCGCGCCAGTCGGATACGCGCCAACAGCTCGGTCGTAGAAGCCTTCACCAGCAGCACCGGCAGGGTTCTTGGCGATTTGAATGGTTCCCCGGAAGCCTGCTGGGCCACGGATAGCAGTGTTGGAGGTCAAGCTGAAGGTGGGCGCAGCACCAGAGCTAGGGGTTGCGTACAGGAGCCAGCTCTGGTTGTCCTCAGTGGTAATGCGGTACTTGTTGGCGCCGTTGACTGCGATGGGGCCGGCGATGCTCCTGAAGAAGATGTCGCTTTGGAGCAAAGGTGTGGCGCCCTGGTAGACACCGCTCACGAAGCCCATTCCCTGAACGAGAGGCATAGTAATAAGAGGAGCTGCACCAGGTGCCGCGCGGAGTTCCACATCCACGCTGAAGGCAAGTAGATTTTTAGTGGTAAGCTGAGTAGATCCGCCCAGCTCTGCCGCAGACATGATGACGGAGTGCAATCCGATAGGGTTAAGGTAGTATTGCGCAGGGCTGCCCGGACCGAAGACTCTTTGTTCAGCCCGAATGTGGGCGATGCTGACACCCCAACTCTTGGCGGCACCCTGGCCCTTGGTCCATTGCAGCGAGTACGGGTGAGTCCAGGTGGACTGTGACTGACCACCAAGGAAGAAGTTTGCGTAAAACTTGTTGGTCTGCAGTGACCCGCCGGTAGTAATTCCAGTCCGGGGAGCCGGATGGTCGCCCCTGCGTGGAATGATTGTACCCGGGTCTTCGCTCGCCAAGGGCTGGAAGATGTCGCCGGCCATGAGGTTCATGCGCTGTTCCGGAATAACAGTGGTCAGGTTTCCTTTGATCGGCTGCAGGACGCCCGAAGGAGTAGGGATAGGTTGAGTGTTGAAAGGTGGGACGGCGCTCTCGCCTTCTCTTTCGAGGGTGGCGATGACCGTCTATGGCGGACGTCAGCTGCATCTTCAACTTGAAAGATCCGAGCCAAGACAGGCATGTTACTTACACCAGTGGTACCAGGCTCGAGGTCAGGAATAACAGACTGGATCGTCAATCCTCCGGACGTGATGGTGGTAATCAGGCCCGCTGTATCAGAAGGGGCAGCCGACGCAGGCTGGGAAGTGACGACTGAGGTAGCAAAGGAAGTAGCGGTCTTCGAAGCGGCATCCTTTGACTTCTTGGCCGAGCTGGACGGCGTGACTATCGCAGACTGCGGCATCGCCGCCCGTCCTTCCAACATGTTGACCGATAGTGGAAGATCGTAGAGAGAGTCTGGGAGGACGTCGGCAATCTTGTCAACGGCCGCTTGGGGTAAAGGGAAGACTGCAGCATCTTGCAGAGGAAGAGAAGAGATCTTGTCTACCTGCGACAAAATCAGAAGAACCCAAGTGAATGAGTGTTTAAAGCCGTAGAAACGAGTGGATGGAGCCATGGCGGTCCGAAAGCTTCAAGCTTGTTGGATTAATCAACGGTACGTCGCACAGAGTATTATATAGTCTCGATATGCCCTGGCAACATTCTGCCTCAGGTTGTCAAATGACCTGGAGCATGGTCCTGCAAATTAACGTTCTAGACGCTTTCCTCATGCGACACGGAGCATGTCACAAATGCGGTCGTTCCGGTTTCGAGTCCGTGAGCTTCCAGAACGAAGCCGACATGGTACATCGAGAGGATCGCAAAGTGTACCAACTGTTCCTGGGAGGTGATGCAGGGAAATGACTGTGGGTCGAAGCAACGGCGTGAAAAGGTGTCGGTGACAGGGAACCGGGGTTGTAAAACAAACAGTGCTCTTCATATTGCCCTTTGACGGATTCATCAAAAATATTAACGAGAAACATTGGTCGTTGAGGCGCGTTTCAGTCCAGTAGGAAGCGTGGCGGCATCATATTGCTCTCCTAACCGAATAGGCTCAACCGCCGAGGCTGGCGGTCACCTTCCGAAACAGGTAAGCTGCAGATAGACGCCCCTTATGCCCTAAGGCTCGGGTAGATCCATCGAATGCGCGGGAGAATGTAGATCAGATGTGGAGAAGGAAAACATGCTCTTTACCTTATGATATCTATCTCTGGACTGCGTAATGATGAAGCTCTAGCAGCAATAGGTACAACGCGCGAATGACCTGTGGACAAGTAACACAAAGCATGCAAGTAGACACGAGCAAATGCAGAGCAACAGATGAACCTTGGATTTGGAAATGCTTCTTATAGAGGCTTAACACACCCTCTTCGCTGGGTAACCAAGGCTTTTCTCACTCGGGGCAAGGCGGTCTGCCGCATGATGCGTGACGACGGAACAAAGGAGGTGAGTGTGCCCGCTCTTTTGAGCTAGGAGTGAAGCATGGAGCTAATACGAAGGGAAGTCCTTCACGAGGCCCGCAGAGCGTAGCGGTATGATTTGGCGCTTGAAATCTGGCATCCAGGATGTCTCAAACGCTGGCCTGGGATACCAGGTTCACCCAGCACCATGGCTTACCACACCAACCCGACGACGGCGAGTCTCCGCGCATCCGCATGTTGGGCGCGGTAAACGGCAATGGAACCTCCTTGGGGCCGGGGTGAATCATCGACATGGAATGAATGAAGCCGGAAGTTGCATAGGCTGCGCCTCTCCGGCTCCCCGGCTGCCGATCACGGGAGCGGCATGGCGGCTGACGCAAGCCGTGCATCTCCCCACTGTGAACCCGGGGACACTGCGGAGCCCACCTCCAGGTCGCTGCAAGGTACGCCAATTAGCATTGCGGAATTCTTGATTATATGGCCTTCGGGAGTGCCATGGGGATGTCGCATGGGGGCTTTGCACGAGCTCTATCTCAAATGCTTCCAAGTCACAAAATCGCACAGCGGCCAGGAAGCAATCAGCTCGTCCGCACTTTGCTGGGGTAGAGTACATCCCATAATTTCCATTACGCAAGACGGTTGTTCGACAGTCTGGGTGATTATTCTTTAGGCGCCCATGCCCCGGGTCATCTCAATCTCCATACGAAACTGTAGCAGGCTGGGATCTGGCACATCTATTGCGATCGAATAGCCTCCCTAGTCGCCTAGTGTCGAGGCCGGAGGCATCCAAGTGGAAGGTTCTGTTGCGCAAGACCGTCTTCTGCACGAATGACCACTATTGGCGCGCTAAAAAAGCTCATCACACGAATAGACAAATACCATATGCAGGGACAGCACGCCACAGCAGCTAGGGTGGAGATCAGTTTGACAGCAACCTCTACAGACTACATGTTCACAAGCATCCAATACCCCCCTCACAACAGCGGCTTCTCCAACGGCCTAATCACAGCCCCCGGCTTGATTAACACCCTAGGCTTCGTAAAGTCCTGCAGCGTCTCCTTCGTAACCACCTCCGGCAGGACCGCCAGCCTCAAGCTACGCTCATACTGCTCCCTGCTCTCGAACGGATGCGGCAGCTGGCTAGCCAGATACTTCGCGTTCTTCTTGACGCGTTTCTCATTGATGACGACATGCTTTAGCCTCGCGTCCTTGCGGTCAGCTGCCCTGACGCCTTCTTGTTTCGTCACGAAGCGGTTCTTCGCGCGCGCCTTCTCGCGCTTGCTGATGCCTGCGCCCGTCCAGCTGCCCCAGCCGGGGAGGGTGTTGTCGATGACCTTCTCGTCTTGGTCGATGGCGGTGGCGGCCTTTCCTTTCGAGAAGTCGGCGACTACCGCGTCCCCGGCGAAGGCTTTGGCGACGAGGTCGTCGTTGCGGAGGACGAACGGCTTGTGAGTTTCGCCGTCTGACTCGTCACTGTCATTGCTATTGGTACCGTTTTGGTTCTTGTAGGTTACTGTCGTCCAGCCGTCGGCGTCAGCCGGAGCCTCAGTCTCTCGTGCTGCTTGAACTGGCTTGGACTTCTTTTTTTGTGTCGAGACACCGTTAGCTTGCAAAGTGTCGAGCGTCAGCTGTGCACCTTCTCCGTTTGCAAGGTCTTTTGAACCGCGGCTTTTCTTGATGGGCCCTACTAGCCATGGATTCTCGGAGTCATCCATAAGCTCCTTTTGCGGCGCTGACTTGTGTAGTCCATTCCTGCCACTAAGGCTGACCTTCTTCGCGGCTGCATCGATCTTGTGACCGTTAGCGCGGCCTTTGCCGTATGCGGAAGGTGCAGCAGGGGTGTCATCGCCGAGGACGATGTCTACTTCGTCTTCATCTTCGGAGCCAAATCTCTCCTCGAACTCATCCCTTGCACTGCGGGTGACAGGAGTGTCAGACGTCTTCGGAGTCGGTCCAAGGATCCTACGACCGACTGGCTTCTCCTCTTCTTCATCGCTCGGCGTCTCCTCGCCTGCCAGCTCTCGTCGCATACGCTCAATGTCTTCATCGTTCTGCGCCTTGCGCGCAGCTTCAGCTCTTTGCATGAACTTCATTGAGCCAAGCTTCGTCGTGCTCTCGTCCGCGCTGTCGCTACCACCGGCTCTGCGCAGCTGACGTTGTAGTCGCCTCGCCTCGCCGCCGTTGATATCAAGCTCCTCATCGTCTTCGCTCTCTTCGCTGCTGATGTCCGTTCCTTTATCATCCTCTTCATCTCGGATGTCCTTGCCTTCGATCCTCCTCCTCAGCTCCTCGTTCCGCCTAGCCATCTCAGTGACACCCGCTCTCGCATCATCGTCCCAGGCCGCCCTTCCCGTCTGCTTGATGCCCTTCGCCCACTTGCTCTCGCGATGCTTCGCTCCCATCCGCTCTTCAGCCCTGCGGCGGTCGTTACGCTCACGTTCGTCTTCCGAGTTATCAATACCGGCAGCAGCAAAAGCGTCTTTCTCCTGCTGCGCGGCTCGTTCCCTCTCTTTCCTATGCACTCGCCTGTATGATTTACTCTTGATCTTCTTGATGCGTTTTGCGCGTATCTCTTCGCGAAAGAGCAGATCCCTCGCTTTCCGAAGCTCAGCCCGTCGAGCAAGCACCTCTTCCACAGGCATCTTGTTAGTCTGCAGCTCCTCGAACGCGCGGATCTGATCTTCGTCTGACCTGCCGTTGGTGCTCGCTAAACCACTTTGCTGCAAGATATCCTGGATTGTGCTTTCCAGGTCCGTGAGTGGCGCACTGCTAGACGTAGGGAGTAGCTTGTTCGTTCCAAGCGGCTCTGCCGCATCTTGAGGCGCCTTCATAGGGAACTGCAGATGCTCCGCTCGCCGATTGTGCTTCACTGTGTCGACCCATCGCTCCAATGTCTCTTTTGCCTTCTCGTTGGCGGCTGTGCGGTTGAGACGGTCTTGTTGGCGCTTTGGGAGGGGCGCTTCGAGTTTCCCGGGTATGCCGCTTCTTTTGGAGGGTTTGTCGCTGCTGATGATCTTGAGGGACTTCTTGAGCCGAGGGTCGGTAACGGTGGGGAGGAGGTCCTCAATTTTGAGTTTGGTGGAGGCTGTTAGGCCGTAGTCTGAGGGCGCGCTGGACTCGTGAACGTCCACACCGCGGCGTTTCTTACCTGCTGAGGCTGATTCGGCATCGAGAGAGGAGATGAGGTCTTGTAATTTAGAAAGCTGATTGGCATCTGCATCATCATCGGCATCGGACATGGAGAAGTCTGATGTTTCGTCATCTTCTCCTGCCTCGTCGCTGAACCCGCCAAAATCGCTGCCGTGATCGCCCTCATTGTCCAGTCGTCGCTTGCGCTTAGACGCCTGAGGCTCCTCGTCCTCAGACTCCTCATACTGATCCAGCGCAGTGGCCAAATCTACCGCATCTTCGCCCAGGCTCTCGTCGTCGTCCTCTTCCCCATCCACATCTTCCCCCTCATCCAGATCAAGCCCCGCCTCCCCGTCCTCCGCAAGCTCAACCTTGCGCCTTGGTTTCTTCTTCTGCTTTAAGCCACTACTCCCCCGAAACGTAAACCCCTCAAACCTCTCCTCGTCACTACTCCCGAACGCCTCATCACTATCCAAATCCTCATCGTCCTCATCCCCCACATGACCCATCATCCAACTATTCCCCTCGCTATCGCTCCCGGACTCTATATCCAGTTCGTCGAACCGTCCCTTGGCGACCTTCTTCCGAGGGTTGGAGACTTGTACCTCTCCATCTTCATCCCCCTCGTCATCGTCAGCGAGACGCTGCCGTTTGCGGCGGGGGGCATCATCTTCGGCCTCGCCGAGGCGGTGCTGGCGCACTTTGTGGGACTCGGGATTCTGGGCTGCGGCGATGGAGAGGGCGTTGAGGGTGCGCTTTTGGTTCTTCTTGCGCGCGGTGGTGGGTTTGCTGGAGGCTATACTGCTTCTTGCCACTCGGGGAGGCATTGTGGTATTTCGAGTATGCAGTGAGCTGAAGTACCGTAGGACTTTCGCCGCAGCTGTAAACTTGTGGGCGAAAAATCTCAAGGGTCAACGCCAAGATTTCGCTGGGCCAAACCCTGCCGGAGATCCACCGGCCGCACCTCTCAAGCTCTGGACCTCTTGCAAACATCAGCGCAAGCAGACAACCAGACGACCGGACAACTATGTTCTCACCAACCCTCCCGCTCTTTCGCGCGCTACGGCGTCTCGCGCTCACGACCAAGCGCGCCCGCAAAGGATACTACAAGGGCAACCGGACCGGCTCGATGGGGTGGCATACCAAGCACGGAGGCTACAAGCTCGATTTCTCGAAAGTCAGGACGTATGTTGTGCCGGAGAGGTTGGACAGTTTCAATGTAGGGTCTCCCCCAAGGGTGTTATTGGTTGGAGGAGGCTTGCTGACTGGATTGGGGGGTAGCTTACGCCGTTCGTTGCGAAGCGGATAGAGGCACCGAAGGGCCAGGCGATGAGGGGACAGAGCTATCTGGATAAGTGGAAGATGGAGAATGGGCAGGGATGAGGGATGGATGGCTGTGGTGCGGAGCTTGTTCGACTATTGGAGATGGGGGCATCGGGTTGTACAGTGAGAGCATGCGGGTTATTGTCACGGCATTGCAGGGCGTTGGAAATAAGGAGTTTGAATCTTGCGTTGTATCGTCTATCTACAAGATTTTCCTCTTCTAACGACAGCATGTTCCGCCCCTCTGGCCCTCGACGCACCTCCCTCCGCTTCTTGACTGATGTGCTGAGGATGAGCTCGCACTCGGCTTACGAGGCGTCTGCCGCAACGACAGGCGTCGACAACAGCTCGACCCGCAATGCGCGCGGGCACTTTTGGGCCCTGGTTCTCGACGCTTGTGGGCTTGATGGTGGTGCCGATGCGTGTATGGGGGTGATGGGAGCGCGGTTGTGATTTGTCAACCCCTTGGTCGATTTGTCTTGTCGCTCTAGTTTTCGGCGCTCGGCGCCCTTGTCGGTGTCGGTGGTGGTGGTGGAAGCTGTTGCGGGCTGGCAGTCCAGGTCTCTGTAGACCTCGAAGTCCCGGCGCCTGGTGGTGCGGTGGGCGGGAAGGGTCTGTATGAACATGATGATGATTGGGAGAGGTGATGATGGGATGAACCTGTGATACGGTTCGTGGCGCTTGACGTGCGAGTTGCTGAGGGCGCACTTACTTCAAGCTTGTGGAAATGACTAAGACTTGGAATTCTTGAGATTTGAGCAGCGTTTGGTCTTGAGCTGAGTGATTGTGTCTGGATGCGACACTGAAACCTGGCTGAAAAATGCCTTCAATGCTTCTTGGTGACGAGAGTGAGGCAGGAGATACGAAATCTCGAGGACGAAGCTGACTTATGGAGAGAGTGTTCTGTTCTGACTTAATACTCTAAGGTTGCTGGAGCTAATCCTTACCACCCACAGCTCGTCCAACTGTACCGCTTCTATCTCAGAGCATGTGTGGGGCTGGGACATATGGGTGGTAAACCATTACCTATTCTACCTCTGGATCGGAGTCCTATCGTAGAATAGACCTAGATATTGAATGTGTTCACAGGTGGTTGTAGAAATTGCATCTGGGGGCCACCAGTCGCACATGTATTCCAGTCGCCATCTCTCGGAAGCACGCGAACATAGCCAATGAACACGATAGAGACTTTCTAGAGAGTTTCGGCCAGTGCTGTCAGGCTTCGGTACCCACTAGTTGACTGCTTGTATTTTGCAACATAGAAGAGTCTCGGTGTTGGCGGCAGCGGTGAAAGAGCAGCCGGTACTTTTATCCACCGAACAGAGGAGAACAACCAATAAGTAGCAGCGCACATCAATCTGCTGCTGTCAGAGTTAGCTGTGTCTATGTCTCCAATGTTTATGCAGTCGCACCGGCTGGCGGATTTCCAAGGTGCCGGCAGCGGGAGCCAAAGCGCCTTGCAGATGGCGATCAGATCGTAGGGCTATAGGGCTGACAGCGAAGTTCATCAAGACCAGTACATGAATCCTCCAACGCCGCAAACATAGGGAGTCTCCCCTCCGAATCCATCTATCTCGACAGGAGCATTCTCCTCTCAGGCCCTCAACACCCCCTCCTCCTCCTCCAACAATGGCATCCCTCCGCCCCCTCCGCACCACCTCCGCCCTCCGCACCCTCTCCCAATCTACCAAGCCATCTCCCTACGTCTGCCGCCGCATAACCACCACCCCCAACCTCCAGCACAACACAACCGTCGACCCTTCCGAAGTAACCCACTTCAACGCCCTCGCCTCCACATGGTGGGACCCCCACGGCTCCTCGCGCCTCCTCCACCTCATGAACCCCCTCCGCCACACCTTCATCTCGCGCTGCCACTCCTCGCAACCCGACGCCCCTCCAACCAATCACAAACTCAGCTATCTAGACGTTGGCTGCGGTGGCGGCATCTTCGCCGAGAGCGCCGCACGGCTTAGAGGAACGGGTAGTGTCACGGCCATTGATCCGAGCCCCGAGGTCCTGAGCGTCGCGAAGGCGCACGCGAAACGGGATCCAGGGCTCGTAGAGATGATGGGGGAGGGGCGGCTGAAATACCTCAACACGTCTATCGAAGAGCTGCCGCTCCCTGGCACACAGCGGGGCCGGCAATACGACATCGTGACGCTGTTCGAGGTGCTAGAGCACGTGACGCACCCCTCCCCGTTCCTGGAGCACCTGCTCCCGTTCGTGAAGCCGGGCGGCTGGCTGGTGCTGAGCACGATTGCGCGGACGTGGACGAGTTGGCTCACGACGAAGGTGGTGGCCGAGGAGGTGGTGGGGATTGTGCCGCGCGGGACGCATGATTGGAACAAGTATATTAACGAGGGGGAGTTGAGGGAGTGGTTTGGGAACAAGGAGGGGTGGGGAAATGTGAGGGCGATGGGGGTTGTGTATGTGCCGGGGCTGGGGTGGAGGGAGGTGCCGGGGAGTGAGGGGCTGGGGAATTATTTCTTTGGGGTGAGGAGGGAGGGGGAGGGGAAAGGGGTGTGAAGGGAAGACGAGGGCATGCTTGAGAGTACTCACGTATTGACTCAGGGTGAATTTCCGATAGAGAAACGGGTTGCTGGGCGCTGATGGATGAAGAGAGACTCATACATACGCGCCGGCAGAAAACGCTCACACGCGTAGTTACCTGTTAATACTCTGCTGGACCACTCAAAAGGGAGGATGTACGCCCAAGTCTAGCTGAATCCTCTTCAGCGGGCCTTGAGGAACTGGATTATGGTTGCCTCTGAACAGTAGAAAACCGTTTCCGGTACTTCTCCAGTAAGAAGAATATCTAAGGCTGGCCCCGGAAGGGAAGCAGGGCCTATGCATTCACATGTATGGAGATTGTAGTGCAGGATTCTGTATTTATGGATGCCACTTTCTAATTTAGAAGTTGTAAAACCCAATGACCGCTAATCCAACATCAGCCGCTTGGAGACTAAAGAACTCCACAAGCTCCAAGAACGCCATGCAGCAAACAGTATCCAACTACAAGCCTGTCCTGATCCTCTTCCTCGCACTCACCTGGCCCAAGCCTCCTTCGCTATCCGCACTTGTCACCTTCGCAGCCAGCACGATCTTCTTCGGCGTTACAAGCTTGCTGCCGGCTAGATTTTCCTTGCCTTCACTCACGGCACCCAGACTCGACGTCGGATTCGGTAATTTGAGTTTCCGGGGCGTAACAAGCCTGCTCCTCTTCTCTCTCCTAACCTCCTTCTGCTTTTCCTCGCTCAGAACATCTTTAGCGTCCTTCTCCGCACCCACATCCGCAGGAAGCAGGCTCAAAGGAGTCAAGAGACCCTTACCCGGCGTGCCGTTTGCACCGCCTAGGCCTCTTAGCCGCCGCATCTTTGATGGCTGCTTCCTCGCCTCCGTAATCGCCTCGACAGCTGCGTCCAGCCCCGCTGCAGTGTTACCAAGGCCCAAAGACTGAGCGTCAACTTCCTGGAAATACAGCAGCTGCTCATCCCATCTGACGCCCTTCTGTCCCTCTGCAAGCTCCCTCACGAGTTCCTCCGCTAGGGTACCGATCTCCGGCACAACCACCTCAGCGCTCAGCTTCAGCAACCTCACAGCAGCCGCAACAGCGCCGCCCTTGTTCTTCCTGGTGTTCACCCTCGTCAGGTTCGCCAGTTCCTGCGCCTCCGTCTTCTTCAGAACGACTGGCTCTGATCCGTCTGCGCGGCGGACGGGGATCCGGTTCGGTGCGTCTGCTGGAGCGTCTGCTGGCTGGGGAAGCTGGGATGGCGGAGCTGGGATGCGGCTTTTTGGCGTGCGAGCGCTGCGGCGGGAGGGCTTGTTAGGGGTTTGTCCTGCTTGCGCTAGCTTGTCGGACATGTCGTCTGGGATGAGGAGGGTTGTTGTTGCGTCGTCGTCGTTGCTCGCGCCGTCTAGGAAGTTCTGCGCGCTAGGTTCGGGTCTCACTCCTGCAACTGGTTCGTAGCTCTTTAGGATAGATGGCGAGTTGGGATCTTTGTCGTCGAGGACTCTGCGCGGCGAGGCAAGCGCTTGGCGGACCGCGTCGGAATCGCGTCGGTTCTGGAGAGAGGTGCGGCGAGCGATGCTGACAGTTGTGCTGACCCTTCTGGCTTTGCTCAAAGCGGCACGATTGAGAAATTCTTTGAGGTGAGCGGTGTCGGCGTCCAGGTGAGTGGTTGTGTCCTCGGGTAGGGACTCGCATGATATTTCCACAACCTTCTTGGTGCTGGTGGTCACCTCAGTCACCGCTGAATTTACCTCTTCGGAGGATAGAGCGGGCGAGCCTGGATCCGCTCGATCACTGAGGTCCTGGTTGGTGCAGAACCTTGGGTCTGCTCCGATGACAGAAGTTTGATCTGTAGTTTCTGGTTCTAGTGAGACTTCTGTGTAGATTCCACGTTCCTCATCCATGGTGAAAATAGATGTGGTGAGTGTTTCGACAGGAGTAGCTTCACCAGCTTCTAAATCTGGATCGGGAGAGGTGGCACAATCGCGTGCCGCTACACCGTCGCTTTCCTCTTCCAGAGAGACTTCTGCTGGGTCCGAAGAGCCTCCAGTTTGTCCTTCGGATTCGAGTGGCGGTGGCTCGGCACCACTCTCAGAGCCCTCAGGTGAGGTGCTCGTCACTGTTGTAGGAATCCCCGTTTCGTCTGTTTCGATCTTAATGTCGAGTTTTTCGTCGAATGGAGCTAAGCCGTCCTCGCTATGAGCCTCTCCTGCCGCCACCGCGTGGCTCGGAGACTTCACAATGTCCTGAACCTCCACTGACTTCTCCCGCAGCTCTTGGCCGTCCCTATCCGGCTGTTGCTCTTCCGTAACAACATCCAGACCCCGTGCACAGATGACGCCACGATTCGAGCTTGTTTCTACATTCAGCCAAGCTGCAGGCTTCACAGGACTTTCCACTCCTACAAAGTCGGTCGTGGAAAGAGCAGGGAGACTATATCTCGGCGCTGCCCCTTTCGCTCTTAAAGGCCTTGCACGGCGCTTTGCAGGCGATTTGCGGACAGGTGATGGTATACCGTCTCGCAGCGTACTGACGCGTCTTCTCCGAACCGACGCGTCTTCATCAATGTTTTTCGAGACGACATCATAGCCTACAGATGCGACATGCCTGGAGGAGCGACGCGGCGTGCGCGAAGTCTTTGCGCTTGGAGATTCAATCTTGTTGCGTATGGGCTGTGGAGAGTTGAGCAACACGTCAGGCTTCCGAGGCGATACATGGTCGTTTGGAGAGCTCGACTCTGCTGGCGCCTGGGTCGAACCATTACGTGTGTCGCGCTTGGGCTTGTCTGTGTTTGTGTTAAGCACTTTATAATCCCAGCTACTTCGCGATCAGGTTAAACATACGAGGCAGTCCACTTCTCCTGCGATCACAGCGCGTGGTCCTGGACGCCAGCTTCTCCTCATGAACGGTGTGGGTGTCACTCTCGATGAGCAAGTCCACTCTCAGCCTCTTGACCACCTTTTCTGGAGATTTCACGGGCTCAGGCGTCGCGCTTCGAGAGTCGGCTGTCTGGTGGGCACGCAACCTCAGAGGATATCTTTTCCAGATCTTGCGAGCCTTAATTTGATACGCCAATGGTGATTTGGAGACGCGCTCCCATGCACGGGGTATCCTATCGGGCAGAGGCAGTAGCGACGGGTCCAAGGCTGCCGTATCGAGGTCTTGCCAGTTAAGGTGGGAAGGCGGTTGCGCTTCGCGGGACGGGGCGGCCATTGTTGCGCTTGATTAGAATAAGTATGCTGGGAAAGACTGTGCTTAGCTATTCACCCATGTAGACGCGTTCAGCATGAATGAATGTGCAATATCACGGTGCCGTGTACTTCGTGTTTGGGTGGTGACGGGAAGACAACACAGATCGGCGGGCGGCAAGTTCCGACACCGCCTTGGAATCTTCAATCGCAGAACCGACGACGAAGGGCTCTACAGCAACATCTTCATCCACCAGAACAGTCAACGCCAGTCTCCAAAGATCCCAAGTCCATCTTGGACCACTGCCGCTTGCGCCTCAACGCCTACTATCTGGCCTAGCCAGCGACTACCCACGCAATGCCCCCTAAGGTCGGCTCCTCGACGGCAGTAACCGCCTCCAGACTACCACCTCTACCCAACCTGCGCGTGCGGCGGCCGAACCGGGCAGACGTAAATCCTTGCTTGGGCATAATGACTTCTGTGCTCGGTATGCAGCCCCTAGTGTAGTGCAGTGGAGGGCGGAGCAAAAGTTGGGAATCTGATTATAGCACGGGCTGATGAATTTATGATGGACTGGCACATGAGACTCAGAATAGGATGGTGATGCTGACGGATTTCTTGCAGGCTGCTGGGCGTCTTCAGGATATGATGTAGCAGGGTGTGGAGTACTCGAGCAGCAGTTGCGCGCCTGCATGGATGCGCCGGTACGTACTCAGCTTTGTTTCTCAGATACACTCTACTTGCTTTCCTGGCATATTGGTCGGATGAGAACTCTGCTGACAGAGTTGGTACAGAGGCCAAAAAACCAAAAGAAGAACAACATCAACTACCATCTGTCGCGCATGTATCCCAGAATTGCCGGTCCGCAGAAGCGCAAATAGGGGGTTCGCAAGATCCGGTGTAAGATTTGTGTCTACGGTGGATGATATCGCATTTTTGCTAGGGGTTGACATGCGGGCGTTAGGTGTGTAGTGGCATTTCAGGAGTTGGGAAAGAGTTGTACTATTTGGAACAAGGTACCCATCTTTAGAGTTGGTTGCCCATCCATCAAATGGAGCAACCAGATCTCCTGTGCATCTTGCTTGCCCTGTCTCTACCCTGTAAACCTGTTCATTATCATAATGTCGTTACAGCTATGCGAACCCCAAACCCTCCGCGATCGTTAGGGAAATTGGTCTGGTGTATCAGTCGGTACTCCGAAGCTCATTCTTTTTGTTTCAGTACTATATTGTTTTGCCTGTCATCGCTGCTTCGGAGTGGCAGCGAGCATCCGCAAGGACAACTGCGGTGATTTGAATTGTTCTGCGAAGAGCTTACAGAGAATTTTCAATGCGACACTTGATGTTGACGACCCGCTGAGACACGACGGCGCGCGATGCACCTCCCTCTGGAGGTCTGCCGCGCCATCGGTGGGCGCGTGAGCCCAGCCTCGTTATTACAAGATGTTCGAAGTCGCCTATCTTTAGGTACCCGGGGCCATTGGCGTGCATATCGCCCTGGTGAACCATGCGTCTTCAATGCCCAAGTACAAGTTCGCGCAGTCCCCCAGCTCAACTTTCACGTCCTCTTAGCCGTCTTTCAACCTCATAAAACGCATTGTGCTCTACCAAGCTTCTTACTCAGCCTTCTTAGTCCGTCTCAGCCTCGTCTTGCGCAACATGGAACTCAACTTCGATTGGCCGCCCCTCGACGCGCATGAAGGAGTCATGAATCCCACCTACGATTGGTCGCCCTTCTCGGACATGCATGAGAGAGACATGCAGACGCCCTTCGCCAGCGCATCGGACAACCAATCAACCCACGCTTTCAGCGAGCTGCAACAGGGCAATCTCGCACCTGCCTGCAGCTCCGCTGGAACTGGGTAGGTTTTTTTTTTTCACGCTAAAAAAAAATTGCTCACAGGCAGTTTGCATCGTCGGGGCCTTGTTCTACCGGTTCCCGAGGTCGTCTAGACAGGTACGTTTCCCGCAGAGCCTCAAGCCCATGTGTCTCTACTCACCGCACGTGACAGCACTCTTCAGCCATTGGATCAAGCCATCCAGGCCGCCCTAGCCGCCCTCGACAACGCAGCCAACCCGCCCAACCAGCACATTTGCTTCGAACCAGGCTGCAAGAAAAACCAGTTCACCCGAGACGCCGACCTACAGCGTCATATCAAAACCGTACACACCCGGGACGAAGCTTTCTACTGTGAGGTTGATGGATGCCCGCGCAGTGAGGTCCTTCACGGAGTTAAGAAACCGTTTTGGCGCGCCGATAAGATGAAGGAGCATATGCGGACGGTGCATGGCGTTACGAGGTCCTGAGAACTAGTGCCTCACCTTTATCGTTTTTGTACTCTTCCGAATACGGCGGTAGCGTTGTCACGTAGAACGCTGCAGTAGATCACTTGTCTTTGTCCTTATCCCCGTCTCTCTCCCCGTCCCTGTTATTGCCTCTGTCCCTGTTCCTCTTCTTGTCCCTGTCCCTACAGTCCTCCTGTCCTGCCGTCTAGCTGTTCTCCGGTCTTTCTGTCTCGCGTCGTTCTGCGGGTTGGACATAGTTTCTTGCCAATTCGATAGCATCTGCGCTTCCCGCAGAATTTCTGTCTTTCTAAGCTCTGTTCCCCGCGGTTTCTGCTGCCGCCCTGTATTAAGCCGAGTGTTAATCTTCAAACGCGTCGTCAGTAATCGACCCGCTCGTTTTTCATCTTCACAACATAATCATTTCGTGCTGGATGCCTGCAGTAGATGGGTGGATTACGCCCAATACATTCAACTGACTGAATCGCTACCGGAGGACAATGCCAAGAGCTTCAATTTGCGTCACGACATCTCTGATGCGGTCAAGATAACTTCAAACGCTGGTGTAGTGCCTCAAGAGAATTATACGAGTAGATCTCTACGTCTTCCCCATAGCCGAAAGCACAATCAACGCCCCATTCATAATAACGATAATCCCCCAGATCAACACCGCAACACCAGCCGTGACCCAATGATTCCGCATCCCCGTCTGCGCCACGCCAGTTTCTCTTTCATCACTTGCCTGGTCCCCTGCACCCGGCTCAGGCCCCTCTCCAACAACAGTCATATACTTATTCCAGCACGTAAACCAGATCAACGGCGCCGTCACAAACGGCAGAATCACACTCAGCGCGACCTGACTCGCTTCCAACGCGCGACTCAGCCCATCCCTCCCCACCGCCCCCGCGATAATAATACTAGGCGTGATACTGATACTCCTCGTAATGAGCCGCCGTACCCAGGGCTTGACTTTCCAGTTCAGCTGGCCCTCACTCACCATCTGCCCAGCAATGGTACAGACGATGCCAGCCGAGGTGCCGCTGAGCAGCAGGGCCAGCGCGAAGATGGTGCCGGCTGCGGGCGACAGCGTCGAGGACAGCAGCGCGTGGATCTGGAAGAGGTCCGCGTCCTCGGCTGCGGCGGTACCGTGCAGAGACGCGCCGGCGACGATGAGGATGGCGCTGTTGACGAAGAGCGCGAAGGTGAAGAGGGAGAGGGCTGTCTCGACGATGCTGTAGCTGAGGCAGGATTTTATCGCGCGCAGCGAGGGGCGGTATTTCTCGGTGGAGTCGATGGACTGGACGGATGCGGAGGAGGAGAGCACGGCGGTGGCGGTGGCGTTGACGGCGTCGAGGGAGGGGGCGGCCGGGGAGGGGTTTGCTTCGTCGAAAGCGCGGAGACGGGACTGCACAATGCCGCTGCCTAGGTAGAGGCTGTGGGGCATTACGGTTGCGCCGAGGATGCCGCAGGCTTGGTAGAGTCTGGCGGGTTGTCAGTATTGCGTCTTCATCATAGGAGTTAGTCTTGGCATACCCTTTGCTCTGCGTTATAACCTCGCTCGGGAGGTATCCCCTGAACACCGCGCCAATTGAAGCATCCTCTATCAGGCTCAGCTGGAAGCAGAAACACACGACTACTCCAATAACGAGCAACATGACGAATATCTCGAAGGCGCGCACTCCACGCATCGTCCCCGTGGGCCTGTACCAGAACAGGATGATAAGGACATCGACGATGCTGATAGCGCAGCCGGCGACGAGGGGGACATTGATGAGCACGTTGAGCGCAATGGCAGTACCAATGACCTCGGCAATGTCTGTCGCAATGATGGCGGCCTCGGCGAAGCAGTAAAGCGTGTAGTTGAGCCAGGGAGGACAGTGTGCCTTGCAGTTTTGTGCGAGGTCCATGCCGGTCACGGAGCCCAGCTTGACGCACAGGCTTTGGAGGAAAATGGCAAAGATGTTGGAGACGAGGATCATGAACAGGAGCTTGTATTCGAAAGCAGCGCCTGCTGCGACGTCCGTAGCGTAGTTTCCAGGGTCGATATACGCAACGGCGACCATGAAGCCTGGTCCGATGAATTTGATGTATTTGACAAGGACGGCCCGCACCCGCTTGATCCAGCCTTTACAGAGAGCACGGAAGTCTTGTTCGCCGTCCATCCCGGCGTCTACAGGTTGTACTGCTCCGCCAGGCGTAGATTCGTTTTTCTCCGTCTCCCTCATAGTGACAGTCTCCCCCGACGCATTGGTTACTCTCTCCGCATCCTTCTGCGCCTCGGTCCAGCCCTTGCTTGGGTCCTCTTCCCCGACATTGAGGTCCCTACTCCTAGTATCCCTCTCCTCGTCGCGCTCTATACTCCTCGACGAGCGCCTAAGGTTGGCTATGTGGTTAAGGTCGTTCCTCGTCGTAGCGTCGGCATTCAGCGCATTCGGGTTCTGGTTCCAGTCGCCGTGCAGGTCATGCTCGATCCTCGATGGGCAGTTCATCGTGCGTTTTGCTTCCTCCTCTTAAGGTAATATGCCTTTGTAGACTCTGGGGCCCCCGCATATACCAATCTTGTGCCCCGTGGGGTGCTTCTGAAGTACTGTCGCGTATTCCTGACAGCCTGTGAAAAACCAGCTCTTGGCCAACACCGCAAAATACAGCTCATTCGTAGCAAAGCACTCAAGCTCTAGCCTCGGATAAATCAACGTGGGGCATAGCCCTCTATATACCCATACCCGGGGCACGTAGTAAACGTCAACACTACCCCGTTCCGATTTCTAACGAAAATCTGGGGTTCGCCCGGAAGGCGGGCCACCGGGGTCGCGCATCTAGATCGGGCGGGAACGGCTGGCCGTTTCAGTCTCCGCATCGTGAGCTGCTGCGCGCTTTCCGACTGCGCTGCAACATTGGACACAAACCGGCGTTGCTGGCGCTGCTGGCGCTTGTGAGCTGTTGTGCAACTCGGTGCCGTGGGCACGTTTGATGCTGTTGGATGCGAGAACAAAGGAAGAAGGCTTTGCCGAGGTTTGCTGGGTCTTTGTCCGATCGTCACATTATGAGAGGCTTCAAACACATTGAGACTTGCTGTTGGGGGACATTAAGGATGCTCATTTATAGAACAGTAACTTCGCTCAAGAAGATCATATATATCGCATTGCCGTACTCTTCCTAACTCAGCTAACAGCTACTCCATAACGCCAGGACTCCCCACCCTCATTGCGCGTCGTCAACATCATCAATCATCACCTCTACCGCCCTAGTCCGTCTCTTCCCCAGCTAACTAAACCGGCCCAGAAACATAGAGCTAGATACAGTGGCATCTGCTACAAGACAGCAAAGACAATGCGAAACCCTTCTCCCGGTGTCGAAAGTGTCATAGCTCGGCCGCGTGGCCATGCTGATATGCTCGCGATAGATGGAAGAAGTAAATGAAGAACGAAAGAAAAATGTACCTGCAAAACGCCGTCAAAGCTACGTCAAAAGCAGCCGTACGCGCCAGCCATGACAGCGCAGGGCGCGGATTGCTCCTTGATGTCTAGCCGTACCCAGGACCACCGATATATGCGCCAGCGGCATCCGAATGAGACGTAAGATATCCCTTAATATGCTGAGTAATGGCTTGTCCCTAAGCAGTCATGAGCTCCGTGTGCAAGGTGAAGATCCTGAATGATGGCGAAGTGAGACCACCGGGGTCTCCAGTCCTGTAAAGCCAGTGCTGCTGAATCTCCCAGCGTACGATCCAGCGCAGCGTTCAGCGCTGGCAATACAGCTCGATCTCGCCCATGCTCCCCGCAACGATTTGATCTTTCTGCTGCTCCTTCCACGTCTCAAACGCCGTCTGCACGTCCTCGTCACTCTGAATATTAACGAAGTCGCCATCGTCATTGTACTTCAGCTTGACCTGTCCCGAGCTCAACGAGACCTTCGTGCTGCGCTGCAATTTCGCGTCGATGCGGTCTTTAAGAGACTGGTAGCTGATATTGGTTGAGACGACGAGCGTCATCGTGCTGCCGGCGGATGGGCAATGGACCTTTACTTTGAGCTGCGAGGGAATCTGTACCTCTTCTGCCGGTCGAGGCGTGATGGACAGGGGTGGGGAGATCGTTCGTGGCTCGATGGGCCCGGGCGTCATGGCTCGAGCATGTTCGAGAGATGAGGCGGGTGTGAGTGTCCGAGGCATGGGACCGTGACGGGGATGGTGGCTGTCGCCGACCTGGTACATGTCGGGATGTTCCGTAGCCCCGCGTTGGAGCATCAAGCGCTCCCGTTGTATAGCGGGCGACTGCGTCGCAGCCCTTGTCGGCAGCGATGTCGGGATGCCTGGGGAGTTATTCTGGCTTCGGTTTATCGAGGAGATGTTGGGGGCGTAGGCATAGTGAGTGGGGAACGGTGGAAGATCTGGAACTGGAGGTTGTGGCCCGGTCTGCATCCGTCGCAACGAGTTCTGAATGTCAGGACTGCTGGCCGACCGAAGACGGTTTTGCTGAAAGCTGTTTGGCGCCGGTATTGCAGGCCTTTGCATAGGATTCCTACCGTTGATGGGGTAAGTAGAGCCGTCCCGCGAGACGTTGCGAGCCATTGCGGGGGCGGTATAGCGAGCGTGTTCCTCGCCGTGCCAGCCGTTCGTAGGAGCTGGCTGTCGAGGGAACGGAAACATGCCGGACGACGAGCTGGTACGTGATGAGGTCGGCGAATCGACACCGGGTGAGAAGTACGAGTCCATCTGTGCATCCCCTGGCGTGTGCCCATTCTGCTGAAGCTGCTGCGTCCTGAGCGTTAGGGCCGGCTGCCCGGTGAATCCCATAGGGAACCGTGGGGGTGGCGCCCTTGGGTCGCTCTGTGGCATTGCAAGAGGACCGCTGTCGTTCGTAGCTGATCTCGACCGCAGACTCGCACTCGAGCCATTCTGGGTCGACGCATAATGTACACCGCCCGGGTATCCGTCAACAAGCGTGTCGTCATCGTCATCTTCGCCCTCGTCTTCCTGTCGGTAGGGGTTCTCGATCGGTTCCTGTCCGCGCATATACGTGAATTCGGTAGTCGATGTACTCGAAGCTTTGGTGGTGCCGTTGCTGGTTCGAGCGATATCCTTGAAGAGTCTGCGCTGCAAGTCGACCTGGTGAGCCCACTTCTTCATAGTTTCTTCCGTCGTGAAGCGAATCACGAAGTTCTCTATGCCTGGGTCACCCTTCCAGAAGATCTGGCAGGTATACGAGCCTGGGCAATGGTCAGCGGTCGAGGCGAATTATGACAGATCTCGCCCCAAGGCGGTTTGAGTGAGACATACCTGGCTTGCCAAACGAGATCAAATCCGTGACATTCTGCATGAAGATCCTGCCTTTCAGCTGCAGCTTCGGTTTCCCTCTTTTGTCGACTAGCGGCTTGTTCATGAGCTTGTTCTTCTGCTTGTTCGGATTCATCTCCTTGCAACAGAGGAGGATCATCTCGAACAAGTAGATTCTATACTGTACGAACATGAGGAGTCAGCATCCAGAGCATTGCTCAAGTAATGTGATTCAAGGACGGGAGCTTGTCCAGATCACTGAGCAGCATTTGTGAGTGTACCACGCCATAATTTCGACTTCAGCAATAGCAGACGGGCGTTTGCTTACCTCACGCTCTTGATCCTTAGTGTCACCCTTCAGAACCGTGAAGGTGCCATGAAGAAGTAGATCACCAAACCCCTCGATCTTGTGGCCCTTCCAGTCTTCAACCCTGCCTCCTAGTTCCTCTACGGCCGCTTGCCGCTCCTCGCGATCGACTGCTGCATTCGTGCGCTCCAAGACCTCGGAGGCGGCTTCGATTCCGGTGGATATATCAGCTTTTCGCTCTTCATCAAGGCCGCCCCTGTCACGCAGTTGCTGGAAAAAGTCAGACGATACAACAGACAGATGTAAGGGGAAATACGAACCTTCAGCAAAAGAGGGTACTTGGTCAACCTCTGGAACGGCTTTAGGAGGAAAGAGATAAGATTGGCCGGAGTTTCGGCCATTTGACGAAGCTCAAGAGGGCCGCCTGTCTCCTTCAACTTATCGAACTCTCGCATGGCTACTTCTTCGCATTTCTTTTGGTTCGCAATGTACGGCTCGTAGACTTTGAACGCATCTCGGTAGAGAATGAACAGCTTGCCCCAATTCTGGTTCGATTCAGGCTCTGAATTAATCTGCTCCACGCGGATGAGGAATCGGCGCTGAAAATCGAGGAGCGCGTTAAGATTGAGAAATATGTCGTGGACGGCATCGCCGGTTATAACTCCCTTCTCTTCGACAAGCTTTTTGAAGGCTTGCAAAAGCTCAAGGTGCTGCACGTACGTCCGCTCGGTCTTAACCAGTTCTTCGATGATGTGTTCCCTCTGCGTTCTCTTGCCACCGCCAATGCCATTCTCAAGCGACGCGTCTTGATTCTCGACTTGCGCGCTCAACAAACCTGCCTGAACAAGTATGTCGAGGACCCTGTTGACGACTTTCGCTACCTGCGACCGTGTGAGAATGATGATTATCATTATTATAACTAGTAAAAAAGACATCATGATGATACAAAAGTTCAACGCAATGGCGCGATTGCCGTCCTTAAGTTGCAGAAATGGCGCGATGTGAAATACTCTCCACACAAGGGGTGACGGGGCTTACCTTGACAAAGCCAGTGGTATCGTCACCATAAAGATCAGTAAGAATGAAGCACTCGTCCGAAGGGAATCTCAGCTCGGTCAAGCATCCTTGGATGAACTTGTAAGTTGCGGTTTGCCCTCGTTTCTTCTCAGGGACCTTTGGGTCGACGGCCAGTGGTATGCGTGGATTGAGCGCGTTGTATATCTTGAGCAGCGGAAAGCCTTGTCTGAACGTCCGCCACAGCAAAGTCACCGGATCGACGCCTTCGTCGGCGATCATCTCTTCCTCGAGCATCGACTGCTCGAAGTCGGGCACCCCTCGCAGGCGCTGCCGCAAGTTCAGACATATCTGGAACAGCGAAGTCTCTTTGTCGGCCCTCTTGTTGATGACGTTGTTGGCAGCCTCGACTGGCCCACCATTGCTAGGTGTAGGTGTGAGGGAGGGTGTTGGTGTCGGCGGGGGAAAGAGCGTGGACTGCGAGGTCCCCTGGGTGGAATCCGAGTCTCTGAAGGAAGGGTGGGAGCTGGTCGAGTAGGAGGAGCTGCCGTAGCTTTGGTGGCCGTGGTTGTGCATCAGCGGAGGTAGAGCGCTGGCGCTGTTGAGACGTGAATGGGCGGCAGGCGCGGTATAGGTGCGAGACAAAGGTCCATGAGCCGCAACGGACATTGTCAGCGCATCCGGACAGGCAGAGAAGGCCAGCGACAGCGACGGGAGCTCAGGATGGGCGATAGCGCGCGATGCGCCTTGCGACGCGGACGGTGGGTGCGAAAGTATGCCAGCGCTTCGGGGTCAACAAGGGGGTGATGTACTCGAAGCCGGGCAGTCGAAGGTTGTGTTCAAGCAGCAGGGCGTGTGTCAGGAGCTTGGTGTGCGAAGAGTCTGCACGGGGTGAGAGGAGCGTCCCAACGGCGAGTCAGTGCAGTGGTGCAGTGGTGCAGTGTCTAGAGTGCTTGATGCTGGGAGGGCTGTTTCAGGGCCTGAGGTGGCCGGGGCCTTCTTTTGTTCGAGGTCGTTGATCGTGGAAAAGGGGGCTAGGCCGTCTTGGGACGACTTTTCCCCCCACAAGCGACAGGCGGCGGCAAGCCCTGGCGCTCCCCTCCGATCCAGCCTGCGATGGATCCGTCGATGCCAGACAGAGCGAAAACAATAAGAAGCGCTTACCTAGTTATCCGTCGCTCGCTGCACCCGGCCGCTGAATCAGAAAACACTCACCTCTTTCGAGTCGTGAATCCGCTGGTCGGACGTGACATTTGGAACCCGACTAGAGCCTGGCGCTGTTGTGACTGCGAGTAAGGCATCACCTGCGCCGCGCATCGGTCTTCTGGTCGCCCACCGCCAACTGTATAAGCGCAAGCAACACAACAACACACACTCTCCCGACGTTCCAGACGACCTCATCGACTATGGCGCAGCGCTTTCGGGATGCAGTCATCGGCTCCTTTGGCGATCTCCACTGCTTGGCCGGATTCAAGACACCTGCGTCGGCCGGAACTCCCTTCAGACTGGACGAAGGCTATTCGGAAGAAACCAGGAGTCAGAGCGAGGGAGAGGCCGCTGCTAGGGCAGCGTCGGTGACTGCTGAGGAGAGCGAGCAACATGTCGCGCTGTCGAGTCTGCCAGACTGGGTCCTGGCACTCACTGAGGAAGGCCGAAGTGGTACGCTAGAGATTCATGGAATTCCACGCCGTGTCATGGGAGATTGCTAAATGGTGTTCAGAGTTTGCGTTCGCCATCCTTAGATCGCTGCGCACGTCATCTATCGCAGCCATCGTCGAGAGGCTGAACTCGCGCCTGCACCTCGATCCTGTGCTACACCTCCCGCCAGAGGTCACCTTTCAAATCCTCTCCTACCTCGACCCGGAAACCGTACTCAGGGCCTCGACGCTCTCGAAGACATGGCGCACGAGGGCTGTTGACAGCCAGCTCTGGAAGCTGCTCTTCCGCTACGAAGGCTGGGCGTCAACTCCCTGGAAAGTTCGCCAGTACGAAGAGGCGCAGAACAAACGGAAAGCCGAAGCGGCCGAGCGGAGGACGGAAGTTCTGGCCCGCCGGACTCGCGTACGGAGGGCGGAGTCCAGTGAAGAGCGACATGCTTCGAAAAAGAGGGTAAGGGAGCAGCGGATGATGAAGGACGGTTCGCGGGACAGGCCTGTTCCCATGAGTCTTGACGGGGCGACCGACGGCGCACAAGCCTGGGCCGAACAGCACGGTATCATCGAAGCGGATGACAGTCCCAGCGAAGACAGGATGCAGGACATATCGTACGATCGATTGCCGCAAACACGCACTGGGACATCAGACTGGAACTTCTTTAGTATAGCCGATGGGCTCATGGTGTCCTCGCCTACTTCAGAGTTGAAAAATGCCTCCGCCATAAGTTCACTACTGCCTCCCGCCAAACCTTCGCTCCTACTGGATCAGGGTCTTGACGTTAGAGTGAATTGGCATTACCTTTACAAGCAAAAGAGGCGGCTAGAAGAGAACTGGAACGACTGTCGTTTCAAGAACTTCCAGTTACCGCACCCCGATCACAAAGACGAAGCGCATAGCGAATGCGTGTACACGATCCAGTACTCGGGTAAATACTTAGTCAGCGGCAGCAGAGACAGGACGGTCCGAATATGGGACCTTGATACTCAACGACTGACGGTACCGCCTCTAAGAGGACATGGGGCCTCAGTGCTGTGCTTGCAGTTCGATGAGCGGCCAGAGCAGGACATTGTGGTAACCGCTGGTAGCGACTGCCACGTGATAATATGGCGCTTCTCTGACGGACAGATCATCAAACGACTGGACAACGCACACTCGGAGTCTGTTCTCAATCTTCGTTTCGACGACACATTCCTCATCACCTGCTCCAAAGACAAGACCATCAAGGTTTGGAACCGCAAGGCGCTTCTTCCAACAGACGATGCATACCCCAGAGCCAGGATAGCTTCCGCTAAGCTACCATCATATATTATCGACATAGAGAAGGTGTCGCCGACAGACCACATATATTTCAAGCCGCTACCAGAGTACATGCTCCTCATGACGCTTGACGGACACAGCGCAGCTGTAAATGCCATTCAGATTCTGGACGGGCAGATCGTATCTGCGTCCGGCGACCGCACCATCAAGGTCTGGGATGTTCGCACGGGCAGCTGTTTGATGACCATGCAGGGTCACACGAAGGGTATCGCCTGTGTGCAATTCGACGGCAAGCGGATCGTCAGCGGCAGCAGCGATGAGACTGTCCGGATCTTCGATCGCGCTACCGGGGCCGAAGTGGGTTGCCTCAAGGGCCATTCCAATCTCGTCCGGACGGTGCAGGCATACTTCGGGGACCTATCCGGCGCCGAAGTAGAACTCGAGACGCAAGCCCGGGAGAGCGATCGCCGCTTCTGGATGAATGATCTGGGAGTGGCAGCTAGACCGTCGCAACGACAGAAACGTGGAGAAAACGATATTCTCGCTTACGGCGCTAAGCTTCCCCCGGGTGGCGGCGGCAACCGCTGGAGTCGAATCGTGTCAGGATCTTACGACGAGACGGTCATCATCTGGAGGAAGACGCCGAACGGCGGAAAGTGGTTTCCGGCAAAGCGCCTCCGACAGAATGAAGCGAGAGGACTCGCTGGAGGTCGCCCTCGGGCAGGTGCACCAGCTGCAGGCGCGCAAGTCCCCAACACCCAACAAGGGCACCAAGCCGTGAACGGCGCGCAAGCCGGCGGGCAGGCGAATCCTCCCTCGGTGACTTTGGCGCAGATGCTTCAGGCGCACGCGACTTCACTTCTCACACCTTCGAATATACTTCCCACACCTCTGCCCACGCCGACCGCACCTGGCACTCAACCCCTGCACCAGCAGATAACAAACCATGCCCAAGCTGCCGCCATACAACAACATCTCCCCGTCGTAAATACCGCACAAGCAGGGCAACAGCAGCCCAATGCCCCCCACGGCGCTGCGCACCATCATCACCACCATCCTCACCATCATCACGCTGGCGCTAACAACGCCGGCGGCCAGGCTGGCGGCAATAGCCCGAGAGTGTTTAAGCTGCAGTTCGATGCCAGGCGGATTGTGTGCTGTTCTACGGATCCGGTCATTGTGGGCTGGGATTTTGCGAATGGGGATCCGGAATTGGAGCTCGTGAGTCAGTTCTTTGGGGAGGGTTGAGCATTTCGTGGGTGTCAAGGGGTTCGTGCATGCAAGAGAAGGAGTTGGGATTCGGTAAACTGCATTTTGTGGCATTGCCAGCTCTTCTGTGGGGTTCCAGAGTCCTGGCGATCTATGTCGCTTGTCAGTTTCCAATATCACTTGTTTGTCGCCTGCAAATGCTATTTCGGGCAGCGGATTGCCATTGGCTGAAACACGTGCCGTGTCTGCATTGCTGGTTGAACGCTTGCCCTGTTGACCAGCGTCGTGTTTGCCTCATGAGTCCAGTTTAAAGCTCGTGCTCAACAGTTCACTTACGTGATAAGTCCTTCGATCCTGAGTTACCGCACACGAAGCGTAACAGATTACGGTCAACCGTGCCTAGGACTCGGCCGAGGCATAGGTGCAGGGGAGCTCAAGGTGAGACAAAGCAATCCGCGCAAGGTTGAAAGAAAAGAGGTGAGTTGTTGGCCCGAAGGAGAGGTGCGGACAAGAGCTCGAACAATGGTGAAAGAAAGGCACAGACGGGCATCTCCATGGGTTGATCTGCTTACATCGTAAGATTAATGGCGCAACTAATTTTGCTCCCTCATCAACGAGCACCAAAGCCCACCAAAGGGATTGAGCCAGTCCTATTGTTCAAGTCTACCGCAAACTATCCACCCCACTATTCCTTTGTGCAACGAAATGCGCCGAAGAAGCTGGATGATCAATTATGACACGGCGCACCGTCTTCGCTGCGCAAAAGTTTTATTCCTGCTCGATTTTCAATATCTCATTCCTGATTACAGTCTCGCATACCAACGTTCTCACCGCATAGCGATCACGCGTACAATTCTCCTTGAGCGAATACCCTATTTGCTACCCAAGTAGCAGCCAGTCTTTCTAGACCCTCATTCAATAGCCGCTCATCATGGCTTCTCTCTGGATACGCGATGGAATCGCGACCAACACCACCGAAGCGCTGGCAGCATGTACGCCGGCGGTGCCCGGCAAATACGGCAACGTGCCCATAGACGCTTGTAATTCGCTTTACATGTACGAGCCGAACTTTTCCTCAGCAGTGGCGTTTACAGTTTTGTTCACGCTGATCACACTGGTCCAAATCGTCGAAGCGATTTCCTTTCGGAAAGTAAGTATCAGCGATGTTAAGACAATTCGCGAGTCAAGAGAGCAGCGCTGACATGTTTACAGGGTTTCTGCTGGACAATCATCATGGGTGCATTCTGGGAGGCTGCTGCTATGGCCTTCCATGCGCTCGGGGCCCGCGACCAGCAGAATCAGGCATACGCCGTTGCCCATACGCTGGTCTTTCTCTTAGCTCCATTATGTAAGACATCATCCTTCTATTCCGCGCTCACGCCCCCAACTGCTTCTTTGGTCGCTAACATACAGCAGGGATCAACGCAGCCGTCTACATGACAGCCGGCCGCCTCGTCCACTTCTACCTCCCCGAAAGACAGATCTTCAAGATCAAAGCGCCCTTGCTGGCAAGGTACTTTGTCCTCGCAGACATTCTGGGCTTCATCCTTCAAGGCATTGGCGGCGTGATGCTTTCGCCCGGCGCGAGCAAGGAGACCATGGAGCAAGGCCTGAACTGGTACATGGCTGGTATCGCGACGCAGGAGTTTTTCATCTGCGTCTTCACAGTCATTGTGCTCGCCTTTCATATGAAGATGTGGAAGCTGGAGAGGCATGGGGCTATGCTTGAGGGCAGGGATGGGACGTGGAGGTGGATGGTGTGGACGATTTATGGTGTTTTGGCGCTGATTACCGTGAGTACATCATCGGTCTTGAGTGTTGATTCAAGGAATGGCTGACCCGATCACAGGTCCGCATAGCATACCGCCTCGCCGAATTTGCCGGCGGTTTCGTCCCATCGAACCCGCTTCCCTACGACGAGGTCTACATGCTTAATTTGGATGCCCTACCGATGCTCCTAGCCTTGACGTTGTTCTGCGTGGTACACCCTGGAATGGTCCTGATAGGCCCCGAGAGCGAATTCCCGAAGTTGTCCAGAAAAGAAAAGAAGGCGCTGAAGAAGGAAGAAAGCGGCGAAGAAGGCCGCGAGGGAACAGGAGCTGGACATGTGGAGGACGGCGGAAGCTGGAGCTGCGCAACCATCTGGAAACTCCACTTTTGCTTTCCACAAGCCGGGCGTTCCGGTAAAAGCCGCTCAACGGCAGGCCGGCACGCAGTGGATTTGAGGATGAATATCACAGCGGTTTTGAATCCGAGGCAGATTTGCCTCTACTATCGTTTCGCTAGCTTTACAGTTTCGCCTGTCGTTCCTTTACAAGCATAGCATGCACATCCTCTTCAAGCGACATGTTTGCACCGGCCGCATGTCCAATACCTGGTGGACCCGCGTCGTTGAAAACCTCCACCCTCCTCGTTCGCCCTTGCCCCGACGCCTCTATGACGGTCCCGCCTTTATATGCTGGGTCTTGAGTTACGGCGAGCAAGACCTCTGCGATCTCGCTCGGCTCGATCCAAAGGTCGTTCTCGCCAACCGACTTGAGCTTCTCGGGATTCTCCTTGAACCAGAGCGGGGATCTAACGAGACTGGCGGCGCAGTCAGTACAGATGTACCGGCAATGGCCTCTTGCATGGATCCTTACCCAGGTGCGACAGCCACAACACGGATGCCCTCCCTTTCATCCAACTCGGTCATCCCGCGCACGAAGTGGTTGATGAAGGCCTTCGTAGCGCAGTATATCGGCACCGAGAGTCTAGTGGTCTGACCGCCAATGGAGGAGATATGGACCACGACGCCTGGCTTGTTCGCCTTGAGGAACGATCGAATGGCTAGGCGCGTGGCTTTTACTGGATGGTTGATGTTGATGTCGACGGTCTTGTAGCCGTTGTTTTCAGTGTCGTCCCAGAAGTTGGACCAGCTCTGAATGAGGAGGTGGTTGGTTAGTATTCTCGGACCCGGGAGAAGCAAATAGTATGTGGTAGCTCACTGGCTCGAAGATGCCTGCAATAGTCAGCATCTGGAATGTACCAATCACTACAGCTATAGTAATCCTTTGGAAAACCTTGTACCTGCTCCTGGGCAGACTATATCTGGTGCACCAAGCTCTTTCTCTGTGAACTCAAAGAGTCCAGCAAGCTCATCCCATTTCGTGACGTCCGTCTTCTTGAACAGGATTTTGGCGCCGTTTGAAGCTTTGTTCACTAGTTCTTCTGCTTCAGCCCTGAGTTGGAGATCCCCAATCACTACGCTGCAGCCCTTCGAATTAAGCAGATCGACGAATGCTAGCCCGATGCCTTAACATCGAGTAAGCCTCTCGCTACGGAAGATCACTCTTGATCAAGGTAGTTACCTGATCCACCTCCCGTGACTATAGCAATCTTGCCTCGAACGCTGTTTGATGCCATCTCGATTCTGCGTTATGTATGGGTTGAGTTCCGCTGGCTAAGCTCACCAGAGCAGTGGAAGCGATCGCCATGATATATACCGGCACAGAGGCCAGAGACGTGCTGCGTATCCGGACGCAGTGCGATGGTACACCTTAGGCGGATAACGAGCTCCGACGCAGGCAGTGAAGCTGCGAGTCAGGCATCCAAATTGTTTGACTCGCGCAAACCTCAAATTGTCACCCACAGGTCGACACCTCTCGCGCCTCTCTCTCATACCCACGCCGCTGTTTGAAAATGCCCCCTTCGCCCTGCCAAATCTGCCAAACCAACCGCGCCCTCATACTCCGCCCCAAAAACGGCCACAAACTGTGCAAGCCGTGCTTCCTCGAAGTCTTCGAGGCCGAAATCCACCACACCATCACCTCGAACAACCTCTTCCACCGCGGCGAGCGCATCGCCATCGGCGCCTCAGGCGGCAAAGACAGCACCGTCCTCGCCTCGGTCCTCAAAACCCTCAATGAGCGCTACGATTACGGCGTTGAGCTTATACTGCTGAGTATAGATGAGGGCATCAAGGGCTATCGAGATGATTCGCTTGAGACGGTCAAGAGGAACGCGAAGCAGTATGATATGCCCCTCATGATTGTGGGGTATGGCGAGCTGTATGGCTGGACGATGGACCAGGTGGTGGAGCAAGTGGGCAAGAAGGGGAATTGTACGTATTGTGGCGTCTTCAGGCGGCAAGCGCTGGATCGTGGTGCAGCCAGGCTGGGGGTGCAGCATGTTGTTACTGGACACAATGCAGATGACGTTGCGGAGACTGTGTTGATGAACCGTGAGTGCTTCTGCTCTTCTGCTGGTAGCGCTTTGCTCCGGGGCGCGTATAGGATGCTGACCACAGGAATCGGCACGGCAGTACTCCGCGGCGACCTCCCCCGTCTCTCTCGCACTACTTCCATAGTCACCTCCACCCCCTCCGCCACCGTATCTCCAAACTCTAACACGCCCTCCCACACAAACATCAAGCGCAGCAAGCCCCTCAAGTACGCCTACGAGAAAGAAATCGTCCTCTACGCCCACCATAAAAGCCTCGACTACTTCAGCACCGAATGCATATACTCACCTGAAGCCTTCCGCGGCAGCGCCAGGGCGCTCATCAAGAACCTCGAGCGCGTGCGACCGAGCGCGATACTGGATGTCGTGAGAAGCGGAGAGGATATGGCGAAGCTGGTGCCCGGTGGAGGATCTGATAGCTGTGGAGGCGCCTGCGGTGTTAGGAGCAAAGCCGTTGTGCCGGAAGCCGAAGACGAGGAGGGTGGTTGCGGTAATAGCGCTGAGCGGAGTATGGGCGGCGAGATGGCTGCGATGGAGAAGCGGCTGGTCCATGACGGGCAGGCGGCGGAGAACGGGTTGGAGACGGAAATCACACTCCCGAGACTGAGGGAGCTACAACCGCACCGTCAGAGCGTTAAGATGGGCGTCGACGGGCGGGCGAGGAAGCAGAAGTCGCAGAAGGGACCTGCGCAGACGCCGCGGAAGCTGCCACAACAGAAGATGGGGCAGTGTGAGCGGTGTGGATATTTGTCTAGTCAGGCTGTGTGCAAGGCTTGCGTCCTACTTGAAGGATTGAACAAGAGCCGGCCGAGAACGGCCATCGACATCGCCGGGCACGACGATGAGCGCGAGCAGGCCGTTAATGAGGCCGTGAATGGCGTTCGTCAGGTATCGATCGCTGCCGATTGAAAGGTATTGTCGAAAATCCCTCATCAATGCAGGCGACTCTCGGCTTCTGCTTCCTTCAGGTTGAATCACCTGTCGCTGCAGGCATCATCGCCGGCTTGCGCATACATTTCGGGTTTTTTCTGAGGACAAGTTAATTCCTTGTGGTCTTGAAACTGGAAACTTCCAGTGAGGGTGAAGAAGCTCAGAGTGCAGTGAGTGAGGCATAGCGAAAGAACACTCTGCGGCTCGACAATATCTTCACTGTCAAAAGGCCTTCACGAAAACATTCACCTTGGGTCTCGCCTCTGGCTAGACTATCTCTACGCCCAAGTTCGACTAGTCGCGTCCAATCTTCATCAACCTCAAAAGCACTACCCAGGCATCCCTTCGTTAGTCGTTACTCGACAAGATGGCTGTCACCCGATCGCAGACCTCCAAGAAGCGCTCCCGTTTAGATGCTGGAGCTGCTGACCAACAACCAACCAAGAAAACAAGGGCAGCTTCAGCCAGGAACATCAGGAAGATCAGGAAGACAGAGGTAGCCCTCCCTTCCGACATAAGCTCTTCGTACGCGATGACTGTTGAACAGCTACTAACATCCCGTGTAGTGCGATTTGACGGACGGTGACCTCTCCGCTCCCAGTCAGCCGGTGCCGCTGCCGAAGGAATCTGCCAAAACCACTAAGCCCGGCAACCCGCTTATGAGACTTCCTGGCGAATTACGCAATGAGATCTACCGCCTCGTTCTAGTGAGCAACAACCAGCTCCTGGTTACTAAATCTTCGATCCCGACGCAACCTCCCTTGACCATGGTCTCCCACCAGATCAGAAAAGAAGCCATCGCCATCTTCTATCACGAAAACAAGTTCGGAGTGGAAGTAGTCAACAACGACGGCAGTCACGAAGGTGTGTGGCTCGCGAAGATCGGCCGGGAGAACACGAACTTGCTAGACTTTTCCAGAGTCCATGAGGATTACTACATATTTCTGTTTTCACAGAACTCGACCGATCCTTGGACGAACCTTCTGCAATGGTTGAAGGATTTCTACCACTACAAAGCAGGCAGCCCTGGTAGTGGTCCGATTAGGGGGAACAGGATGCGACCGATCAGTGTCCTCGTGTTGCTGTTCAATGCAGCCGAAAAGCTCCGCAAAGCCAAGACATCGTGGGAGACAGCGGAACACGTGCTGACTATTATGGGGGAGGTGGCAGAGTGCAAGCGACCAAACTGGAAGCCGAAAATAGAATAAATAGAGGTGGTGAAGTACTTGAAGAGAAAGAAGATCGCTTTCTCTTGGATTCTTCTCACCATTTGGGACGGTTTGTAACCCGAAGCGAGTTGGGTTCTCACATACGCAGCGGTTTATGTACAGTCACGGTCCACAACGGCACAGCGAGATCAAGCAGGCATCAAGCTCACATACTCTTTCTCTGTGTCGTGCTCCTCCACAGTAACGTAACCTGGCGTGGAATAAGCTGCCGAACCATTCATCAGACCCTCCAAAAAAGGTAGACCAGAAGTTAGGACAAGGCATGAGCAGCGTGCATCGAGGTGTCTTTGTATGGATAGAGGCAGACTATAGGACAAGTTCAGGAAAACTTGTACATTTCTTTCACCGTAAATATTACCCGTTCAGGCTGAGAGACAAAAATGCGAAACCTCCTGCAGTTCCACGTGACTGAGCCCCTACGCTGTCAATCGCATCCAAATCAGAACGCTGTCGCCAATCACAACCCTACTTTGAGAAGCTAGCAAACGCCATCATCTTCCATTAATGCAGCACAACCTAGTCTCTATGCAAACGCGCCTTTCAACTCCTTCCATAGGTGCCTGGGCCACTGCTAGACTAATGCGGCCTCGAAACCTGTCGCATTGCCCGCATGTACATTCGCTCCGAGCCCGCGTCTTCCGAATCGAGACTGGTCGTCGACCGCGTCGCGTCCAGCGCCGCTGATCTCTCCACGTCTGAGCGGATGTTGGCGTCACTCTGGTCCTCAATTTCCTGCGCCTGCGCACGTAGTTCTGAGAAGGTCGGCTTGAGGATGTGCGGAGAGTTTTGCATGTACGGGGACATCGGCGGCGACTTGACGTCCTCCACGTGCATGACCTCTGGCTTGGTCGGCCAGAACGACATGCGATGTTTCGCGGTCTTGCACTGCGACTGTGAACTAACACGACTTCCAGCGACATCGATGAAGTCGGGCTGCTGGTCGGCGGTGCCGCGCGATCCCGAGTTCATATTCGATTTCGCCACTTCGACCAACTCGTTGAGAACTGCGAACTCGAGCTTAAGTTTGACACCATAGATGACAGCCTTGAAGCCCTGTTGGTACACCATCAGGTTCTTGTACTCAAGCGCCAGGAGCGCGACGTCCATGAAGATGATCAGCACGTTGATGCCAAACAGCTGCCACAGCAGAGTACGCGTGCGTTCGCTGAAGGCTGTCTTGAGGATGTCGGCTGTCTTCCAGACGTAGAGGCCGGAAATGATAAACTCCTGAATGCAGAAGACGGTCATCTGGACCTTCTCGATGACCTTGTATGCTGCGGAGAAACCCTCCTTCGCATCTGACAAATTCGACCCGAAGAGCACAACCGTAGTCATGGTGTGCAAGACGACTCCGTCGATGATGATCATCCACAGTACCGCGCGGAGAATCCGAGGACTTTGTAAGACCAGATGCAGTCTAGAGTAGAGCACGACGGATTGACCAGAGACGACCAGTATCCATCCAATAGAGTCGATAACGAAGCCAGCAACGTCCTTTGTGAAATCAAAGTACACAATCAGCCAGCCGACGCAGTAAGGAATCAACCCGAAGGAGGCTAGCAGGATACTCCAAAAGTAGAGCCCGGCTTTCCGCTTGAAGGTCAGGTATATGAGGAGCAGCAATTCAACCGCGTTGTACATCGCTAGTGTGGAACACACCTGTGTTCATCAGCCTGGCGCTTGAGTAGATTTCGCTTCATGCCGCGGACTTACAATAACGACTACGCTCTCTGCGTTGAAACTGTTATCGTTTCGCGCGCTGACCGCAGCGTTTACCCCCGGTGCTTCAGACATCTTGCAGTGATTCAACGGAGCGCAGACGAGGCCGAGCCGACGATGGGCTAATTCTCTCGCGAAGGGTCTCTTGTGGAAGGCATTCTACTCATGGACACTTCCGCAACTATGGCAGCACCGAGAGCGAGGGAAGCTTTCAGCATTCTTGAACATGCGCCCGTCTTGAGGCGCATGTTTGAACGTTGTGCAGCCCACCAGCCCTAAAACGCGGCGTTGAATCCGGGGAACGTTTCACGGGCCTCGGAGTCTAGGTAGACGAGAATGCGGGGATCGGCTGGACTAGCTCGATTGGTCAATCTGGTCATCAATTCCATTCAAGAGTCGGACTGGACGTAGGGGAGGACGATCCTTCTTATGCGGCTGTGGCAGCTCATTGCAGAGTACAGTATGACGGATCTGCCTTCCTGTTCTGCTGTCTGGTGGGTAAGCTGGGCACTTGCAAGATATCAGACCTCAGTATTCTCTGAGACCTCATCACCGCACGCAGAATGCTCTACGAGATCTATCCAGATGCTCAATGCCTACCACCAGACGATCCGATAGTACCTTGTCCTTCCGGCCGGTTCAAATGCTTTCCGGACGGGCCCTGTAGAACAAGTCCCCGTCGGACCGATCCGTGTGCTGAAGCACGCCGCGATCAGAAAATGTTCCTCCCAAAATCACATCTCCGCCCAAATCATCCTTTTACCTAGGCATACGTACCTGTTGAAGTGATAAGCAGATGTTGAATATCAACCTATTTGCGCCTGCTTGCTCTTACAGCTGATAACGTGTTGTTTCGTTGAGCTCTGGAGCATCTCAAAGACGTGAAGTTGGTGGAGATGCGTCTTGGTGAGAACTTTTTTCGGCCATGACGTGCAGGCACATAGTGTGGAGAACACCCTTACTGGCTTGGCCCTATTCCACAGCTTTTGGCATCGTAACGCAGTAGTCGCCTGCTGAACGGTGTAGTAGCTATACTGGTCCCTGGTAGAGTCTTCGACACTACACATAATCATGGCCGGTACATCTGATGGCCACTTGTTGACCCATGCGCCCGCGGCTTTCCCCATCCAGGACGTGGGTCCTTATGGCGAACGCAACCGCGCCCCGCAAGTGCATTTTCAGACTCGTCAGGAGAGCGTGGTGGACTTGGGGAGGAAACGGCGAAGGGTCACTCGGGCTTGTGATCGTTGTAATCGAAGAAGGGTGAAGTGTGATGGCAAAGTACCCTGCTCAAGCTGTTCAGGTCTGTGATCACCGTATCTCTTGATCCACCACCAACTATCGTACTAACTTCTGATTGATCTCAGGTCAACACGAGTGCCGGTTCACTCGCGAATCAAAGAAACGTGGCAAACCAGTACAAACAAAAACTCGAAAACATGCACGCACGGCATCCGATGAGGGTATGCGGCAGCGCAGCATCCTTGGTTCAGCGAGCCCTCTCTCCCGGTATCATGCGCAACTCTCAAGGTCAGGAGATGGATTGTATGGGTCAGATAATGGGCCGAGCAGCCCCACTAGCGGCTCTACAGCCTCGCCTCTGCCAAACGATAACAGGTTGTCTATGGATGACGACTTTGGAGACGTTTCCTTTGATGTTATCGGCGGCGCAAACGGACACCAGAACGGTCAAGAAACGCTTCCTAATAACTCTGCTATCCTAGGTAGCAATTCCGCGTGGAGCTATGAGTCACAACCCGGTCATGGACCGTCGTCCATAACTGGCCAACTGCACACAGAGTTCTTGCCTGATACGGACTTCTCCAGTTTTCAACACGGAGCTACCACGGGACGCACTGCCCTACATCCACCAAAGGACGGCCATATGAGCTCAACACTTGACGAGGCCGCAGCCTCACACCCCCTCGCGAGTGGAGAGATACAAGGCGATCAGGTGCAACCGTCGGGGGGAGGTAACCGCCCAATGCCAGGAGAAATTGTTAGCCAGGAGCATCTACCGGCACTTGACTTTGTCACGACGCCACCGGACAGGTTTCAGTCCCCGCTGCCGTCCTCAGGACGTGCACCGTATCCAGCCCTCAACCCGCTCTTACCCTACATCCGCTCATTCTTGAGCATTTCTCAAGCAAGGAGTCTTCTGGAGCTTTACTTCACAAGCGCTTTCAACAGTAACTACCTGCATCCGGTATGCCGCCATGTCCACGTACATCTTTTCCGGAAAAGTTCCATGTTGAGTCCGACAAATCCGAGACCATGTAGTCCAGCGTTATTAGCTAGCATGCTTTGGGCAGCTGCTGAAACTGGTGGTCCGGACATGCTGTCGTGGTCCTATAGCAAACGGCGGAATGTCAGTCGAAGACTGTATACTCTAACCCTTCAGCTTCTAAGACCCCTGGTCCACTTTGACGTCGGCAGTCCAGAGGCAAGGCGTGATAGTGACGAAAGTCAGAGTGAGATGGCAACGTATGCTTTCGGCCGTAACAAGCCCTCCAAAGCACATACAGAAGCCTTCCTCAATGCACCTCCTTTCGCCGAAACCGAGGGATCACTGGATGATGTCGCTACCTATATCCATGTGGCTTCGATAACCTCCGCTTCGGAGCACAAGGCCGCTTCAATGAGGTGGTGGCACGCTGCTTTCACTTTAGCTCGGGAGTTGAAGTTCAATAAGGAAGCACCAGGTGATTCGAAAGTGGAGCCATCTTGTCCGGTGCATGGTGGAGAAACCCGAGGCCAGACCAGAGACGCTGATCCGTGGGCCATCCTCGAACCATACACCTTTGATAAAGGATTCGATGAGGGACTACTGGACTTCATGGAGAGGAACTCCAGTACAGACGAGTGCACTTGCTCGGACAAATCCACCGCTTCTCTAAGCGAGGAGCGCCGAGAAGAAAGAAGAAGGGTCTGGTGGCTATTGTACATTACGGATCGCCACTTGGCGCTCTGCTACAACCGGCCCTTGGCATTACTTGATGCTGAGTGCGAAGAACTGATGCTCCCCCTGGACGAAGCTTCTTGGCAATCAGAAACCTTTCTCTGGGGCCAACAATCCAGGCCAAGGCCTGTCTTCCCTAATTTTGAGTGTACAGGCCACAACGTTTTTGGCTTTTTCCTTCCGCTTATGACCATAACTGGAGAGATCATCGATCTCAATCACGCTAGAGGTCATCCACTGCTTGGCCTAATCCGACGTAACGCCGATGAGCAAGCTGGCTTTGAGTCGGAAATTCTACGTCAATTAGCTGCCTACGAAAGTAGTCTTCACACGTTTCAAGCAGTCTACGCGAAAGAAGACGCTGGAGTGGATCAGAGTGCTAACCAGAATGTTCTTCATACGAAAACAGTGGTGGCATACGCAACGCATATAACACACGTTCTTCACATCCTATTGTCAGGCAAGATGGACCCAATGAGCCTTTTCCAGGACGAAGATTTCTGGACCACCACCCCATCCTTCATTTCAACGATGCAGCATGCTGTTTCGGCCGCTGATGCAGTGGCGCAAATCCTGGACTTGGATCCGGAAATTAGTTTCATACCCTACTTCTTTGGAATCCAGCTTCTGCAAGGGAGCTTTGTGCTACTTCTTGCAATCGACAAGCTGAAGACCAAAACAGATCCGAGCATTATCAATGCTTGCGAGGTCATCATTAGGGCAACAGAAGCATGTGTTGCTACGCTCGACACCGAGTATCAGGTAACTTACCCAGCTACTTCTATTATCGCAGAGCTGTGTCTGACATGATCACAGCGAAATTATCGCCAGATACTGCGCTCTGCTGTGGTCCAGGCCCGTGGACGCTATGTCCCAAAGAAGGAGGCTGAATTTCGGCGACGGGCTGTGCTGACGCTGTATCGATGGACACGAAATGGGACTGGTCTCGCAGTGTAGGGGTTGGTTACATCCGATTGGTAGGATGAAGTACTCGGGATACCCATTAGTGTCTTCGTCCTCTCCGGGCTTTCTACTCGAGTAAGGCTATGAATGTATTGTGAGATATCCCGCCAAAGCCGACGGGCAGACACGTGGTTGTATAGGGTATTTACCGCTTTTTCCGGGGCGGGTAAATTGCTCTTGATCCGTACCCTGAATCCTTGGCAATACTCGGAAGGATAAAACTACCATGTAGCATTCTGCTCTAGGCTCCATAAAAGAGTACTATCCCAACATCTGAAATTGCAGAATACTATCGTTACCACCTTGTGACTATCCGAGGCTTGTTGAGCAATTAATAATGGTTCATTCAACCAACGGCACAGCGGCGGTTAACGGCACATATTTACCCGAGGAGCTGAGACTGAACGTGGGTGTCTACACAAACCCAGAGCACGCTCTCTGGATTTCTCCTGCAGAACCAAATGTTGAGGATGTTCGACATGGAACAAGTCTGAAGCCTGGTGAAGTCACCATTGCCATCAAGAATACTGGTATATGCGGGTACGTTTGGATTGCACTATTTTAAAGTTGGGAGACCGTTACTGACTTGCGAGGTGACAGCTCGGATGTTCATTTCTGGCACGCTGGATGTATAGGCCCGATGATTGTTCGAGGAGACCACATTCTTGGGCACGAGTCAGCGGGCGTCGTCATAGCCGTTCACCCTTCGGTCACAGACCTTGAGATTGGCGACAGAGTCGCGATCGAGCCTAATGTCATATGCCACAAATGCGAACCTTGTCTGCAAGGACGGTACAACGGCTGCGAGAAGGTCGAATTTCTATCAACGCCACCAGTCCCTGGGCTATTGAGAAGATATGTCAATCATCCAGCCATGTGGTGTCACAAAATAGGCAACATGTCGTACGAAGAAGGCGCTATGCTCGAACCACTGAGTGTGGCTTTGGCAGCGATGGATCGGTCAGCAGTTAGACTGGGAGAACCCGTCCTGATCTGCGGTGCTGGTCCTATTGGTCTCGTCACGCTGCTATGCTGTCGCGCTGCCGGCGCAGAACCTATCCTGATCACAGACCTCGACGCAGGACGTCTCAACGTTGCAAAGAGACTAGTACCATCGGTTTTCACACATCTTATCCGGCAAGATCCTTCAAGAACCCCAGAAGAAGTGGGGCGCGATCTGGTCGAGTCAATGGGTGGCATTGAGCCCGCTGTCGCCATCGAGTGCACCGGCGCCCAATCAAGTATCGCATCAGCGATCTGGGCTGCGAAGTTCGGCGGCCAGGTCTTCGTCACAGGCGTCGGCAGGAACGAGATCGAGGTGCCGTTCATGCGCCTAAGCACGCGGGAGATAGATCTGCGGTTTCAATATAGATACTGCAATCAATGGCCTAAGGCCATCCGCCTGGTAAAGAGCAAGGTAGTTGATCTAAAGAGTTTGGTTACGCATGTGTTTGATGTTGAGGAGGCGGGCAAGGCCTTTGAAACGGCGGCGGATAAAGGTTCAGAGGCTATTAAGGTTATGATTACTTTCTGATTCTCTCTTGGACCATCTCAGAGGCGCTTGTTTTGGAGTTCTGGACTTGAAATATGCTCCAAAAAAATATTATACAGAACACTTACAACGGCACTTTATTATCGCATGACCTTAGATAGCAGGAGCGTTAACAAGCGGCCTGACGTTCTTTTCTTCGGACCTACAAACATAGACATTCCTTCCACAACGGACCTGACTGCTGCAAGGAAGCAACACAGGCAAGCACATTCAAACAAATCCTACTGCTAAAGCTGGTTTAGTTAATCTTTATGGACTCGGGGGATAAATACACGTACATGTAGCCTGGATCCCGCTTGAATCTCGGTCAGGTATCTTTAACCCCTGATATCCATTGGCCGACCAATTATTTCGAGCTTTCGAAAGGGCTAATATGACAGAGGGGATTAGCGGGATCGAAGCTGCAGCTGTTGCATATAGATATGCCGAGGCAAGAAAGACTTGCTTCTCATGGGGATTGTTCACGGTTGACAGCCTAGCCTTCAACCTTCGCGGAGTGAAGAATCACTCCGATAAGTATAAGACTACAACGTCTAAACCTCTGAGGTTTGGGCTGCTAATAGCACAGGTGCGTCTCTACACTTTAAGGATCATTTACTACTAATTTACTAAAGCAGTTCCTGTAACCTCCAAGCATCAATATTCAACAAATGAAGGAATGAAGTCAGTATAGAAAACGTAAGGCTTTTCATTGTCTTTCGTACCGGGGCCATCCGCCCAGAAAGCTCTTCTCCAGTCGTAGCAAAGGCGGTCCTTCAAATACCTGATACAAGAAGAGGATCCGAGCAAAAATTTATGGAGCATCAACTAAAAGCCATCCGAAAAGCCCGTTGCCGCATTGAAAGCCCCTCGAAGCCCCGGACCTGGATTGGCCTTGCGCACAGACTACAGATCAAAGACGCCTTAGGCGATCGATGCATTAAAGGGCAAAAATGCCGAACATCTTTTGCTTTCTATAGCATGGAACCGGTCTAGCTGTTCTACAGTTGGCAAGATCATGGGTCAAGAATGATGGTGGATCTGATTGAGAAAAACCATCAGCCGAGAAGCGGCAGTTAGCTTCAGGTGGCCCTTGGACTCTTATCGCAAGCTGCTCTACTCGTCATCGCCGAAGAAGACTTTAACAGGCAGCCAAGCATCCCCACAGACTTTGAACCTTCCCTTCAGACTATCCAATCGATCGATTTCCTCTTGTGTCAGTTCCCAGCCATCAAGCTGGAAGTTTCTTTCTATGCGATCCTTACTGACGGATTTTGGCAGCACACTTCGTCCCTTCTGCAAGTTCCACATCAGCAAGCACTGCTGGATCGTCTTGCCTTTCTTCGCAGCGAGCTCCATAACAGTCTGATCCTTGTAAAGTGGCGAGTCCTTTGAGCCAAGGCAGGAGTACGCGGTCGAGTGAATGTTCTTTGACGCGTTGAATTCGACCAGCTTAGGTGAGGGGTTGTTTGGGTGCAGCTCGATTTGGTTGACGGCGGGCACGAGCTTGCAGGATGGGTCGTTTAGGAGCTTGGTGAGGTTGCGAATCCCGAAATTCGAGACGCCGATGTTGCGGACTTTGCCTGTTGCGGGGAGCTTTTGCATCTCGCGCCTGCAGCAATCAGCAACAGCGCGGAAATCGGTCGATGCGACAACCTTACCATGTGTCAACGAAGTTCCAGTCAGGATAATGCTTTGACAGATCACTTGGATCAGTTGATGACGGCCAGTGCTACAGTTGGTCAGAAGACATATGTGTACGGCAAAGAGACTGCTTGCCATCAGGTAAAGGTCGACATAGTCAACGCCGAGCGACTTGAGCGATGAATCGATGCCTTCCTGGACTCGCTTGTGCCAAGGATTATCGAGCTTTGTCGTCAACCATATCTCTTCCCGACCAACGCCAGAGGCTCTAATTCCCTCGCCGACTTCCGCTTCGTTGCCGTAGGCAAGGGCACTGCAGTGGTCAGTGAACATTTACGAGACCAGACGAGTGCCGTTGTGTTACGTGTCGATGTGGCGATATCCAGCTCTCAGCGCCCATTCAACCGCGTAGCGCACCTCGTTAGGCTTCGACTGCCATGTGCCGAGTCCAATTGCTGGGATCTCTGCGCCTGTATTCAGTCTGTAAGTTTTACTAGTAATCGAACACAAGTCAGAAGTTGTCGCGAAAAAGGCAGAACAAATCCCCTGGCAGTGAAGAAAGCTAGCCATTTACCGGGTGTTCTGAATATGAGCCATAGTGCGTTGTTCGTTCTTTAGTACCGCAAGTCAAAGAGTAAACGAGTAGTAGGGACTGACAGAGTTAATGGCCAGGAGGCGCTTCTTTCTATACATGTATCGTCCCATCAGTCTCTCAGACTCTCTCAAGGCGACAGTATTCACACCGTATAGATACTAGCAAGTGCGATTTAGCCGGAGTACCGTCGGGCTCGGGTAATAAAGTTGACGGTTCAAATGTGGAAGAGTTCAAACTTGGCGTTACTGAACCACATGCAGCCTGATTAACCGTCCCAGGTCGCCGCAATGATAGCCCGAACCGTGCAGAGGCATCCTTGCCAACCGTTATGGCCCGAGCCGCTTGTGGCGTTGGCATCTGAAAACAGTCGAGAAGCAGCGTCTGGATTAAAGCGGTTCTCCTCCACTGCTGCACGGCGTGGCCGTCAGTCCGTCCGAGTCTGACGAGGGTCCGGGGCGTAGTTCTAATCACGACAGCGTACAGGACTATCCTGGCACACAACTTGTGCGCCGCGGACGGACTAACGGCCACACTCTAGCAAGGTTGCAGAAGTCGTAGAACACTTTTGCCACACCCAAAGGTGTCCCACAGCTTCTGCAACCTTGCTTGCACTGCAGGCTCCTCACGGTTGTTCGGGGATGAGGATGAGGATGATCTGGGGTACACCCCATGGGGTTTTTGACCGCGTTCGGGTAATAACGGATGGCCTATATAAACTTCATGTCGTGCTGTCGTTTTCTTTCGACATCCAGAAGGTCGCGACTGCAACGCAATATCCACGGCACATCGCCTATTGTATGAACTCTAAACCCGCATAATGCATATGCCTAAGATCTACAACACTTACTTTGTGGCGCTCATTGCTACCGTCGGTGGTATGCTGTAGGTAACTGTTTGAAGTCTGCAAAGCGGATCTAAACTGACTATACAAAGTTTTGGTTTTGACATCTCGTCCATGTCAGCTATCATTGGAACAAAACAATATGTTTCTTACTTCAACAACCCGCACGGCATCATCCAAGGAGCAATCGGTGCTGCCCTCGCAGCTGGCTCTGTGGTTGGATCGTTGTTTGCCGGACCATTTTCGGACAGAATTGGTCGCAGGGACTCCATCTTCTGTGCTTGTTTCTTCTGGATAGCTGGAACTGTGGTTCAGGTTGCCTGCAATGGTTACGGCATGCTGATCGCAGGTCGAGTATTGAACGGCATCTGTGTCGGCATCACGTCCTCGCAAGTTCCAGTCTATCTCGCAGAAATCGCAAAGAAAGAAAAGAGAGGCTCCATCATCGTCATTCAGCAGCTCGCCATCGAGTGGGGCATTTTAATCATGTTCTTTATCGGCTACGGATGCTCCTTCATTGCTGGAACAGCTTCTTTCCGGATTGCCTGGGGCACTCAGTTCATTCCTGCCGTCATCCTTATGCTCGGCATTCCATTCCTTCCAAGGTCTCCACGATGGCTTGCAAAGGTTGGCCGCAATGAGGAAGCGATTGCCACGTTGGCCAACATTCAAGCTCAAGGAAATCGCGATGATCCTCTTGTCGTCGCTGAATGGGTCAGTAAAGTCTGATTGCTCCCCGCTCTCGGATTAACGCTAACCATCTTGCAGGAAGAAATCACCACCGTTCTTACTGCCGAACGCCAGTCAGCAAAGGGCTGGCGCAAGTTCTTCAAGAATGGTATGTGGCGCCGTACGCTCGCTGGCACGTCCGTCCAAGCCTGGCAACAGCTGAGCGGTGCGAACGTCATGACCTATTACGTCGTCTATGTTTTCGAGATGGCCGGCCTCTCAGGAAACATCAATCTCATCTCCTCTGGGGTGCAATACGCACTCTTCATCATCTTCACCTCAGTGGTCTTCTTCTTCATCGACAAGATCGGCCGTCGCCCTCTACTGATTTACGGCGCCATCGGCATGGGCATTTGCCAGTTCGTCGTGGGAGGCGTGCTGGGAGCCTACAGCGAGAGCGTTCCTGATGGCGTGGGAGGCAACCCCAATGTTATCATCAGGGTCACGGGCGCCCCGAGCCATGTCGTCATCGCCTTCTCCTACCTGCTGATCATCGTCTACGCGCTTACTCTAGCGCCTGTCGCCTGGGTTTACGCTGCGGAAGTGTGGTCTCTCGAGACGCGCGCAACCGGCATGGCAATGGCAGCAGTCGCAAACTGGCTATTCAACTTCGCGCTCGGGCTCTTCGTGCCGCCAGCGTTTGGCAGCATCTCATGGAGGACCTTCATCATCTTCGGAGTCTTGTGCTTCGGTGCTGCGGCGCAGGCTTATCTCACCTATCCTGAGACTTCGAAGAAGTCGCTTGAGGAGATTGAGTTCTTGTTTAGCTCCAAGGGCCCGAAGCCGTGGAAGACACGTCCGGGTGAGTCGGAACTTGATGCCAAGATTGAGCAGGAGGTAAGGAGGCGCAGCAGTGTTGCAATGGTTGGAGAATATGTGCATGGAAAGGTTTGAAATCTTGAGCGATTAGTCCATCTAGCTCGTTACTCTTAAGGCCTTCCGGTCGTCTCACACCGTCCAGACAAGAGCGGACGTCTGAAGCATAAGCTCCTCTGCCACGTATAAGCTTGCTGTCATTCTCTAAACAATCGATTGTATGCACAGATTGGCTAGAGGACCTATGTACCATGTGAGAACAGAAGTAAGATTCCAGTATCGATTTACACCTCATCATGAACAATACTTACCACAAATATCCCAACCATGGCCGCTACCACAATTCATGGACAATGTCCCAATCATGTGATTGATCCCGATTGTCTATATCCCACCCTTCCTTGGTTTTGTTACAAACCATCCTTTGCATGTATGAGCACGCCTCGGAGCTATCGGCCCAAGTTGGCCCTATGTCCTCAGCGACCGCCTGCTGCACACGCGAGGCTCTCCGATACCGCGGTGCGGTGAGGTCCCTGAGATACGGTATCTCAATGTACAGCTTTCGCAGGTTCGGCAGCGCGCGAAGATCCTCGGTTGCATCGCGCAGTGCGTGTGTCATGAACGGGGCGCCTGCTGTTGTCCCGTTTGACCGGGAGATTGACAGCCGTATCCAAAATTCCTCCATCCGAACTGCCTCGGAGAGCACGGACAGCAATTTCCTCAAGTGCTGGAACCTGTATGGAGGGCCAAGTTTACAGGCTCCATACTCGAACTCGAAGTAGACCTGGCATGTTCGTAGGGTCTGTAGAAATGAGGCCTGAACGAAGATGTTGTTGAAGATTCTCAACGGTTTGGCGCGTGTTTGAAGCTCATGCAAAGTAAGCTCAGTCTTGTCAAGATCAGATACTCCCGGAACTGCTCGGAACTTAGCGGAATACGATCACAAACGACTTCACAGGTCGATCCTCAAAAAACGTTCTCCGCCTCGTAATGATTGAGCGAGCGTCACGAGGATCTCGATGATGCCACTCAATAATCAAACAGGATACTTACAGCTGAAAATCGGCATTGCATATATATCCACGACAACGCGAAGTGGTGTTGAGAAAGCACTCGGCAATCGCAGCGTGAGTTCCTCGTAGCTTCTTCGGTGCGCATCTCTAAGAGCCCCAAGGAAGTCGAAAGTCGCCAGCTCCGGACCATCAATGAATTCGTTTCGTGGCCGTCGTCCAGTGTCCTTAGCGGAACACGCAATGATCAGATCATAGATCTCATCTCGTAGTTCTCGTGAAAGATCTAGGAACGAGGTCTGTGCACCAAGCCGTGGCAAGGATGCGATGGGTCTGGCGGGTTTCGGCGCCGGACTGCTTGCATGGGTTAGTGCTGGATATCCCAAAAGTTCAGACAAACAAGCACCAACGGAATACTTACTTCCGGATTGACTCCTTGGATAACGGGGGCTTGCCTGCCATAGACGGAGCTATACTCATGAGTTTCTCCAGAGTAATCTAAAGTGATTGCGAAGAGCGGGGCTAGGGTTATGTATGTAGTATTTCGTATGAGACAGATGATGAAGCCGCTTCTGCTGGGTGGTCGAGGTGAGTCTTTAAAGGGCAGGTTGATCCACATCTGGAGCAGAGCAGACTCGAAGTAAGTGGTTGATCCATGGTTAGCAGTACCGTCCAAAAGGCGAAAGAGATCTTTATCCACTCTTCCGCGAAATGATTCCAGCCGCGACACCGCTTGGAGCATCGAGTCTTCATGTGTGTATTGAAATTTCTCTTCGTGCATTAGTTGGGGTACTAGACTCGCCTCGATTGTGTGGTATGCGGTCTCTATTCTCTTCGATAAGAGCACAATAGGATCGCTTCAAAAGGTCAACCTACTGAAAATGGGTGTGCATCTCGGAAGCAATGGCGACCATGGTAATGCGATTGGTAACCGAAAGGAGTGAACCACGGATTGGTAGCCACGTGACTGGTGGAAGAGCGGGTGTACTCGGTAGGGTTTCTCCGATGGTAAGTGCTTACCTGAATTTGAAACAGTTTACACTCTTTTAGACCCCAGAAGTCTGCTTTGAGGAAAGAGATAACCAGAAGTCCACTCGACAACCGAGACATGGTGACATATACATGGAAAGTATTACTTGACCCATTTTGACACAATGTACACTCCGTTAAGCTCAGTCACATGAAAGCCTTCTGGCCACCTCGTCACGGCTTTGTGCCTTCGCGCCTCCCACTATTGAAAACGCTTCTCAGCTGCCTTCCAGTTCACTACGTTCCAGACGGCCTTGAAATACTCGGCTTTGCGATTCTGGTAATCAAGGCTGCGATATCACATTAGCTCAACATACTATGCCGAATGTCCACATTGGGACCTACTAGTATGCATGTTCCCAAGCATCAATGCCGAGCAGCGGGCGGAACTGTCCGACAACAGGGTCTTGATTCGCGTACGTCTTGATGGCAATCTTGCCGGTCTGGGTATCCTGCACCAACCATGCCCAGCCAGATCCCTGAATGCCGGCCAGAGCCGTGTTGAACTTCTCTTTCAGCGTGTCGAGGCTGCCGTAGCCGTCGTCGATGGCTTTGGCAAGAGCGCCAGAGGGAGGCTTGCCGCCGCCTTGGGAGGTCGGCGCTAGGTTCTCCCAGAACAGGGTGTGGTTGATGTGACCGCCTGATGACAGGCTGTTAATGCTGACCCGGTGCAATGTAAGGCCATTTCAAAGGACTACTATGGCCTGTCGAACCGTAGCATAACAGGTCACATACCGCCATGAAAATTGATGAGAGGCAGCAAGGCAATCTGAGCCTTGATGTCCTCTTTTGATTGCGCCTCCGCCATCTTTTCAGCAGCCTGGTTGTAGGAGTTCACGTAGGTGTTGTGGTGCATCTTGTGGTGGAGCTCCATGATCTTGCCGGATATCGCGGGTTCGAGCGCGCCATAGTCGTCTAGTAGAATGCAACGTCGCCGCGGTTAGCTCCGTTTGGTGAATGCTTTTGATGATGTTGATTGGGGTATATTCATACATGGAAGGTCTGGAAGTGTTGCTTTGCCTCGGACGAAGGTTGCGCCTACGAGCCCAGCGCGTTTGGAGCTCGCAACGGGGGCAGCTCGCAGAGCAGCGCGGAGCGTGGACGCGCGGAGGAGAGTTGCAGACATGGTGAAGGGTCGGTGACCAATTGGAGCTAGGACTGGATTTCCGTCGCAGCTGTTCGGACGCTGGAGACTGAAGCTCTATCACCAACGCCTCGGATATACGCCGAGAGCTCCGCAGAGGGTCACTGACATCAACCTGGCCCGAGCGCAGCGGATCCTCAGCCCAGCAGGGCTACTTATAGAGGGACCAAGGGGACTCACCTGGGCAGGACGAGTACCTGGGTAGCACAAGTCACTTACCTGCCTCTTCGGCTGAGGCCCTTTGCGTATGGCTCAATCAGGCAGAGGATTGTTCTCCTGGACGCGCGGAACTTAGCATGGCAGCCACTTCCCACCACACTGCTCCAGCGGAACCGCAAACCAGTAGGTAGATAGCCTCCCACGTCAGGGCGGAGAGCCACGGTTCGGGAAGATTTCCTCTCACCCCACCACCTGTCTGCTCATCTGTCTACAAACACACCCCACCCACCGCCGCCATGGCACCTGCGATAGTCCACCTGCCCAACGGCACCAATCTGACCGTGACACCGGTCTTCGGCGGGCTTTTCTTCAAGTCGAATGAATTGAGCAAGCACCCGTCCGCTTTCCCGCCAGGTTGGACGGTGGTGCTGCACTGCGAGGACGAGGAAGAGGACCATGTCGAATACAAGTCCTACGCCGAGTACAACAACGCTGCGACCTCGAGGGGAATGAGAATACGCCATATCCACCGCTTCAAGAGGCCCACCCTTCGCAATGACCACCTCTTCATCTCCTCCATTTCCAACCCAAGCAGCAACGACTTCAAGCCCGCTAGCTCGCCCACCCGACAGATCGCCATGATGCTTTGGGCGACGCTGTGGTGGTACTTCCACCAGCCGGAGCCAAATGTCCGCCTCAACACTAATGCGTCCGAGAAGACGCCCGACGCAGGCAAGCCGAAGGGTGACTGGCGCATCAACATCAATCGGGAGGGCATATTCAAGGGCAAAGTCGTACTGCCAAAGCTTGAGCGCATGGGTCTCATAGCTAGCGAAGACTCCTGTGTCGGCGCAGACCAAGATGAGCGGTCCGGAGAAGGCTGGCTGGACATGTTCGTCTCTCGACGCTCGTTCTGGCAGCTTGATGCCAGGATCTACCTCTTCACGCTCTCGCCTATGGCTAGCTCACCTTACCCGTCGGGCTCGCCTTATCAGTCGCGTCCGAGTTCCCCAAGCGGAGAAGGGAATGGGCGCTCGAACGACAGCAACACATCGATGCCGCAAGGTCTCTGGTCACCTTCTGCGCCCGGCCCTTTCCATTCTTCCAGCCACCTGCCCACATACTACCCTCCACCACCAGCGCAGTACATATTCACGAACGACATCAGACACCCGCTTCGTCAAAAGCCACCAAGGCAAGGAGAAACATTCTACACGCGCTACGTGCCCTCCTGCGAACAGTACATCTCCTTCCGTGTCGCATGCCTGTCTAACGATCCGCCAAAACACCACGGACCAGTCTCGAGCTTACCTTCTGTACCAACACTCAAGGGCGCAACACTCGCGATGTCGAGCAGCTTTTCCGACTCTGCGATCCCGACAGTCGCGGGTCTGAATCTCCAAATATGTGACCCAGACCTCCTGCACAAGTGGATGAACGACCCGCGGATATCGTACTACTGGGGCGAGGACGGACCGAGATCGCACCAAGAAGAGTTTCTCCGCAGAGGGTTGCGTAGTAAGCACTCTTTCCCGGTCATAGGCTGTTGGGACGGGAAGCCCTTTGGCTACTTCGAGATATACTGGGTCAAAGAGGACGCTTTGGGAAAGCATCTAGGAGGCGATGTGGGAGATTTCGACCGTGGGATACACTGTCTTGTTGGCGAGCAAGAATACAGGGGTGCGCATCGGGTAAGAGTGTGGTTGAGTGCACTCGTACACTACTGTTGGATGGCGGATAACAGGACGGAAACGGTCATACTGGAACCAAGAGTTGACAACGATAAGTGAGTTTTGGGCCGTTTGATAACGCTGTACTGGGCCTGCATGCTGACATTGATTGTAGACTGAAAACTTACCTGGAGGAAGTCGGTTTTTACAAAGAGAGGGAGATAAGCTTTCCGCACAAGCAGAGCAACCTCATGAAGATCAAACGCGATGCTTGGGAGGCGCCTTGTTTATGATTTCGATGTGCATTGTGGGATACTGGGTTGGACGCTCTGGGTCTTGTCATGGTCATTTGGATATACACCATATTTCTATCAGTATGATACCACTATAGACTATCTCTCGCGCGATCGAGTTTGAACGCAATCGTGGAGTTTCCCTTGGCCGAAGCTCAATAAAATCAACCGTATGAAGACTCGACGTCCGTAAGCTATTGAGGCCGGCGCTTCGGCTTCCAGCATCCGATGATCCGTGCCTAAAGATGCTTCCACTTCTCCCCTATCAGCCTCACGCATATAGAGACGTGAGAGTTACAAGAAGTGTCTCAGTCTGTCCTGTCCTTCGGACGTCACCAGCTAAGTAGCGGGTACGAAGGTTTTCCCTCTCCATCTCTCGACTGGTGCCCCTCATCGGTTCTCGAGCCTTTAGCAGCCTTCTTGGACACAGGCCCACCAACAAGGCTCGAACATGTCTTTACTCTAGTCAACTTTCATCTGGGTCTTTCTCCATCGCTTTCACGTATCAGGAATGCTCCAAGTTCTAACTCGTCCGTCCCGCTTCAAGATCTGTTCGAAGCAATATCGTACGGTCACGTGACGTGCAAGTTCAGTTCCTGAGGATTTCTAGCTCATCTATATCAGGGACTTACAAGAAGATAATAGAACAGTGTAACGCCAGGTCTTCGACGGCAGCTTAAAGCAGGGACCAAGCCACGAGCTCATCTTGACTTTGGCCCGGGGCCGTGCCGTAATGTCCATCGAGCAGCGTGCCGCGCTTGCTGCGTTCTCCGCGTGCGATGTAGGCCCCTCCTTTCTCCGTTCTGCGCTTGTGTTCGAGCTTTGGATTAAAGGCTGTGTCTCGACGTATGGTTGAGCTTGCTTGGACACGTATTTTTCGAGCAGTTTGACAAAGATCGTTCATGTATATCTCATCAATCTGGAGTGTTTGGAGTGATCACTACAGCAAGACATGTCCAGCCTCTCCCAAACTACAATACCACGCCTATGCAGCTCCCGTTGTGCAACCATCAAGCGGAGATCAAGATACTTGATATGAGTGGACGGAAAGTGCTGAATTTTGGCACAGGTATCAGACGCCCTTCTCAAACTTGGCGTCCCCGGCGCAGGCTTCCTAGCCGACATCCGTACGTACATCTCCTTCCCCCTACCCGCGCCCTCTCCGCTGTCGTGGAGCCTACTCCGTACTAAGAAGCTTCCAGATCCAACAGCCTTCCCAGGCCCAGGAGACCCAGCCTTCGGCCTCAAGATCATCGCGCCAGCATTCACAGTCCTTTTTGTGCCAAAAGCATCGCCGTCATTTCCGGGCCCCTTAACGACGCCAGATGACCTGCCCGAGAGTAACATCCCGGCGGGCACGCCCTATGCGGATCTAATCACCCCGGACACCATAGTGGTGATCAGTCAGCCAGCTGGCCAGAAGTGTGCGGTTGTTGGCGGGATCATGGCGACGCGGATGGCGAAGCTGGGAGCCAGGGCGCTGGTCGTGGATGGGAGGGTCAGGGATCTGAGTTGTTTGCGGGGTGTTGCGCAGGAGGGGGGATGTCCGGTAAGTGCGGCCTGAAGCAATCAGAGCTAATCGAGCAGCTTTCTGATCTGTTTGTATTGACGGGACCAGGTGTGGTCCCGAGGAACATCTACGATTGGCGCGGGGGCCGAGGCGAAGGCTCATGCTGTCAATGTGTCTGTGAGGATTTCGGGCATGGAAGTCCGGCCGGAAGATTTGGTTATGGTTGACCAGGATGAGAAGGCTGTCGTTGCCATTCCAAGAGGTCGGGTTGCGGAGGTGCTTGAGCTGTTGCCCGGACTGGTGAAGGCGGATGAGAGGGTTCTGGTGGACGTCGAAGGGGGAGGATCAGTTAAGGAAGCGTTTCAGAAATATCGAGGGAAGTTGTGAGAGTGCTGGCCGGCTGATCATTCAGACTAGCATTCATGCTGTTGGAAACGACATCAAGATCCCCAGTCAGGATCACGAACACTCCGCAGCTACAACGGCAACGTTAGGCGCGAAGACGAAGCATTATGTCTCCCAGGTCGATCAGGCACAAAGGCTACAGTAGATTGGTTCCACTCAATTTTTGTTGCTTATGCATGTCAAAAAGGAACTGATTGATGATTAGCTACATCGAAAGAAAATCATAGTCCAGTCAGACTGTGCTCAGGTGTCTTCAAAGTGGTGCCCTGCCGTTTCTGACAGAGACAACTTCAGACTGATAATGCGACAGTGTCATCATGCTGGATGAAATGTAGCCTCTCCGGCCTCACCTCGCTCCTACTAAGCCGGATGTTCTATCCCTCAGCCTCGTGCAAGCACTCAGCGTCAGGGAGGCAGCGCAAGAACGGCCAATTGACGGAGATACGGGCTCGACTGCGGAGAGGAAAATTAATCTGACTCCCTAATGAGCAAAACCAGCATCTGAATCCTATACTTGGCCCGTCTTGCATCAGAATAGCCGGGAGTAGAACAAGAGGCGGGAACCGCCCCTCACCCACTGCCCGGGGACTGAGTGTGCCGAATACAGGGCTCTCGAAATAGAAGAAAGAAGTGACCGTGTAGGAGATGGAGTGTGAAGAGTAGCGCAGCCCCCACGGCATGAGAGAACACTTTGACTGTTAAAAAGAAGCAAAGCGGACTCCCGCATCAGACCTCTGGCACCCTTCCCTTCCATCAAACCTCAAAAGCCCTCAGTAGCCACAAGCCCTCAGAAACCACAAAAGGTGCATAGGTGCCATCATCAGTCGTCACAGCTAGGCACAGTGCGCAAACGACCGAGCCTGCCCGCCGCCCGCAAATCCACTCTCTCCGCATGCTACGGGTCAAGACCAGGAGAGAGCTTCTGACGACGGGGTTGATCGAGGGAACAGGTCAGCCGTGCCCAGGTCCCATCTAGCGAACGGCGACAGCGGAGAGGTGACTGTGAGCCACACCGGACACCGGCGAGCTAGGCGGCTTTTCCAGAGGCAACTGGACCAGAGACATACGCCGCGCCTCGCGTCATAGATGAGAAAGCTGGGACTTGTTAGATTCGCTGGGTAGCCGTCCGTGAGGTCATCGGGCTTTGGACCAGCGCGCCGACCCATTGAGAGGGGTTCAAAAAAGTTGTGCGTCAGCGCTGCCACGGACGTCGTTGCTCGGCGCTGACGGCTGGTGTGATGAGTGACGTGCGCGTGGTGGTGGGCTTCTGGGAAGTCCGGCGCGTCAGTCATCGCGAGGAGAGAACCATGCCCAGCGTAGACCGCAGAGCTGTGGGATCCTCGAGTCGCGTTTTGCTCGGTGCGACGTGTATGAAGAGGAAAGGAAGGAGGGTGAGGGAGGTGGGTGGTTTTATGGACTGCGAAGTGCAAACGCGCTAGAGCACTTTCAGCATGTGAAAGGGCAATCACGCAGATGACTGGAAATTGCTGGAGCGTGACGCAGGTCTGCTAGTGAAGAAGGTAGGCATGGCGTCGAGTCCAAGGTCTGATTGGCTGGTAGGCATGACTGGAGAAGAGTTCATTCGGGCAGCGTTCGATGCCTGAAGGTTCTAACGTAGACTTCATTCCTGACAGCAGTGAGGGCAGTGCTCATGAGGGGCGCTTGAGGACTGCAGCATTGATGCCATGTGAAACTGAATGGTTTGTGTAATGCCATCTAATGTACGAGAGCGAAGAAGCAACGAGAGATATCCCAAAGCGCTAAGAAAGTGTTTGAGAGGCGAGAGTCTTCGTCCACGAACAGTATCACAACCCATAAATGAGCAATGTTGCACAGCCAGCCACACGCCAAGCGCTGTGAGAGAACGTGCCTTCAAATCAGAGAGATCAACAACACCAGTAGAAACGCGAAGAGTAGTTACGCTTGCGGACAACTCCTGTTTATCATCCCATACTTGGTCATCAGTCATTCAATGTCAGGTATCCAGGGCAAGTGGGGTGTCCGATGCGGCCAGTTAGGCGAGCTGAAGTGAGGCAGGAATAAGAGCAGCGGCGTGGGGCCAGTCACTTTTCAAGACTACGTGAGAAGAAGCGCTGTGAAGAAGCGAGTTCAGACTTTGTTCTGCTGAGACTGATGTTGGTAGAGAAAAGATTGCACAAAACTGACGAAAGGCTATTTCGGTAAAGCCCGATCACCAAGGATGCTTCTACGTTTGATACCATTGCAACAGTCGCTGAGCCCCAAAGTCAAGTCAATAATCCGGAACAAATGAATAGTTGCAGATGAACCCTCACGGATCATCTAGCTCCAGAATCAGCCAGCCCCTAGCAACTTGTAAGCGAGAATGAAGAGAACAAGGAAAGGGCAGTTGTGTCTCCTATGTGTGCTGCCACGTTTGGAAAACGCCATCTAAATGCTAGGTGCTCAGTATACGAGCAAGGGTTGCGATGGATGATAGTGCAAGGTCAAATGTACGAGTCTCTTGCTCAACCAGTATCTAGCCGGCTCGTCCAATATCAGCAGATACAGTGTTCATAGGTAGCGGTCGTGTCAGCTCTCCACCAAGATGTGTGACGGAGGTTCTCACTCGGCTGAAAGTTAGAAAGGCAATGGCCACGTGACCGCCAAGTTGTCAATTGCGCTAAGCACGATTCGACAACCTCCCAAATCCTCGACCGAAGCTGCAGCTCGCCGTCGACCCTCACCAACTCCACCAACCCATTGGCGAAGTCCACCGTCACAATGGGTTTCTCGGACTTCTTCTCCGATATCTATGCCGCTCTCACCATTAGCGACGCCCACGCGGAGGAGCAATCCAACACGCCGGGCAACACCAATGACGCCGAGACGAGCGGCGAGATGAACTCTGGCAAGGACCAGGGCAGCGGCAAGAGCACCACCGCGGAGCAGTCTGGCAACGCAGCGGTTACGGGCGGTGTCGGCAGTGGCCCGCATGCCGGCACGAATGAGGAGAGCGATGAAGAGGCGGAGGTCAACAAGCAGGATGCCAAGAAGCCCGAGCCGTCAAACGAGCCTGGACATAGACCAGGATCGGGTGGTGAGGCTGCAGGGCAGAAAGGGTTGCAGGGAAAGAAGGCCGACGAGGCCGAGGAGGCTGATGAGGAGGGTGGTGATGAGGACGAGGAGGAAGAGGAGGAGGAAGAGGAAGAAGAGCCTGAGGACCCCAAGCCGAGGCTGGAGGAGGGTAAGCTTCTTTTACTTGTTACTTACCGTTGAGCCTCGCATTGCTCCGCGGTTGCTGGAGTAGAAGTTGCGGAAAGGCAGAGCTAACATTCATGAACAGAATGCGCCCACTCGAAGCAGTGCTCCCCTGCTAAGCACCACTACGATGAATGCGTCGAGCGCGTTACAAGCCAGCAGGATGAGCATGGCAAGGCAAAGGAAGATTGCGTGGAAGAATGTAAGAGACCACCGGTTAGCGTGCAGAGTTGCGACTGTGCCGCTATAACGTACACCAGCTGATACGGCGTGCGCAGTCTTCCACCTCGCACATTGCGCCTCCCAATGCGCCGCACCCAAGCTCTTCCAGCAGCTCAGATAATCGGATTCGCCTAGCGTGCCTGGCCTCCAGTGCGTTGCCAATGTCTACTGCGAGGGTCCCAGGACGTAGCGACAGTCAATGGTCATCCTCACGAATGTACAGACCCTTCCATCTTATCTCTATGTTGTACAATGAACAATTTCAGCGAGGCTTGAAACCACTGCGTGTAGCATAGAGGATTCAGAAAGACGATTGGACTTCGATTTCTGACAAATGCCACGATAACCAATGGCCAGTCGCTCCAGCCCTTCTGTCATGGTCGTCAATGACCCAGTGACCGTCTATATCAGGAACTGCATGACCGAGATCCTGTCCGCAGGCACGACCTGAGATTGACCAATACGCTTTGACGTTGACCCTTTCTTCGACATATTTTCAGATACACCGGACCAGTTCCTCCACTAAACCAACATGTCAGCGGCATGCGTGCACCCAACTGCCAACCAAAATCCCATCAGGGATACAAGCTGGCATGTCGAATCACATCCCACTCTCACCCCGTAGGGCACCCTCGTCATCCTGTGGTGGTGCGTCGCTCTGCTCTACGCCCTCATCAACGCCCAACCTCCCCTTCTCCCTGTCCCTGCCCAACCCAAACCTCCTGACGCCCAAACACAACGGCGCCGGCACGACCAGAACCGCCAAAACTGCCTGAAATACTAGCGCACGCCACATACTCCCTTTCGGCGTGGCTCCATCTTCCTCTTCTTCCCTCAAAGCATCCATAGCAAGAATGAACACACCGCCGAGCAGCTGACCACCCGCCCAGCTGATCGTCGAGCCAACCTCAGGCGAGGCTGGAAACGTGACTTCAACCAGATACTCCAACGCAATCGGCACAAGCGAGAATGAAGAAGCGCCAAGAACGGAGGCAATGAGGTAAGGAGCGACCAATGTTCTTGTCGGCGGCGCCCAGATAAAACATAGATAGCTAGCTGCAATGACCGGCACGAGTATCTTGATAGAGAGAAGATACGCATGCGTGCGGTCGATGATCGGGCTGGTGACGGCGGAGGTGAGCAGGCCGATCACGATGAGCAGCGCGCCGCAGATCCCGGCTTGGTCCTCGCTGTAGCCGTAGGGTCCGAGAATCTGGTTGAGGAGCGAGGACATGGCGTTGAAGAGGCCGACGTAGACGGCGAAGGGGAGGAGGATGAGGAAGAAGCTGGGGTTGCGGCTGAGAGCGCGGAAGGTGGCGCGGAGGGGCGTCTTCGGGATGGATGAGGAGGCAGAGGGAGGTGTTGGCGGGGCAGATGGTATGAAGAAGGAGGGGACGGAGGCGCAAGTGCTGATAATGGCTGTGTACAGGACGAGATTGGGGACCTGGGAGGGGGAGGTTGCCCAGAAAGGTCCGACGAGTTGGCCGAGCTGCAAGATGACATTGAGTCAGTGTCTGATGCATGCTTTGCGATGTGAGTAGTGTTTCGAAGAGAGAGGACATACAGCGCCACCTAGAGGGTTCGCTAGTGATGCGACTGCGGTAGCAGAGATCCTGCCCTTTTCGGTAAACCATAGATCGCTGTACCTGTTGAGTCTCAAATGTTAGATATTGCGAAGACAACAGTGCGTTCGCACTTTTGCTTTCCAACAGTACCTTACCGAGTAGGTGCGGCCAGCACAAATGGCTGCGCTAGGCCGATGATGATCTGGCCAAACATCACCACACCGAAATGGCCGCCGCTTGCCCGGGTGCCCGCATATCGAATCCAGTTTCCGACGAAAGTGAGAATACTTGCGACAATGATGGCGACTTTGGGGCCTCGATTAAGAGTCCATATAACAGCGCTATTCAGGAGAAACACGTCAAATCGGACAACCACATACGAGAATAAGGCTAAACGGATGCGGGCTTACTCACGGGCTGACGATAACGAATGCAAAGAGGAATGCAGTACTCAACCAATTGATTGTGCTTTCAGATACATTGAAATACTCAGCTGAGGTGGTTGATACAGCTGAGAAGGTGAGCCACTGCCAGTAGCTCCATGTTAACTTCTTCCTTTTCAAAGCGTCCAGCTATCGCAAGTTCAACTTTCTTCTGATTCACTTACATCCCAACTGATAATGATATTCAAAAGGACCAGTTGTATCAAGCCCACCCAACGCCGCTTGTACACGCGATACTGTTGTGTTGCGGTTGATGTGGTCCGCGTTTGTATATTTGGCCTGACATCCTGAGGCGGCTCGTCTCGATACGAGGACGATCCTTGAGTCTCTACGGCCACATTCTGTACTGCCTGACTGCTGCCCTTCTCCCCCCCTTTCGGCGGCGGTAGCGGCTCCATTCTCACCCAACCTCCGCTCCCCCTACGGTTGGTCGATGGGCCCGCCAGGAGATGCTCTTCGCTGTACCTTGGACGGAGCTGGGGCTGAGGTTTGACCATACGATATCACACATCCACTGTCGCTGCCTAACTACACATCATACTCATAAAGGGTTTCCGTACCGGCGAGAGAGATGCAGGTAGGCTTAGGGCTAGGCTTGATGGGGCTTAGATTCCTCCACAAAGAGAGAAGCTCAACCCTGGTCAGGGGCTTAGTCATCATATCGTGAACCGAGTTTTCAACCTCACTTCACTCCGACAAGATATGTAAAGCTCTGGCAAGCTCAATCCAGTGCGATGTGGTCTTTCTGAAGTGTCTCTCCTACAAGTCTACAATCTGCTTTCATAGATCACATTTGTTTTCGGTTGCCTAGTCAACAAAAGCGCTCTAAAATCACCTCGATCAGACAAATTCATACTTCTGAGAAGTCGTGCGTTTAGCAGTAGAGCACAGGATCTGTATGAAAGCCTGCCATCTATACCATATTGTCTGGAACATATATAGCTTACCCGTCACCGTATACGCGGTGATCGGTAGTGTAGATACTTGTCGAAATGATATCCCTGATATCTTTTGCGCCTTCCAGGTTGTCAGTGAATGTGCTTGCCTGTGCATGAGACTGCAACTTGTGATACCCAATCTCCGCCGAAGTCGATCGTGTCTCCAGAACACGAAGCTATCCACGGTCTTATAGTACACCAAACCCACAAGTCCCCGATACCTAGTCCTGCAAGAAAAATGCAAAAGAGATGCGGACATGGGCTCGTCTCCAGAACTTGCAGAAGAAAAAACATACTACAGGGGCGTAGCCAGCTGCTACGAGTGCGAACCATGTCAAAGCCTTCATGCAACGATGAGTTAAGGTCTCCCGTATGCCAAAGCAATATCGGTATTCCTGCTCCGAGACGATCCAAACTGAAGCTCGATCGCAGCTCCGTGCTGAAATTGTACCTGCACCATGCTTGAATCAATCTTCGCACACTGCCCGAATGGAAATACACAGCGTCGTTGTGCTTGCGCCGTGCCTCTACTACCTCTGCGGCCGTACGGCGGCGTCCATGAACCTGGGATCTGGAGCCTCCGTATGGTTCTCGATCGGAAGAAACCTGGCGCAGTTGTAGCCGTACCAGTCTCTATTCACTCTAGGGTTGTAGGGCCGGACAGGGATTCTAGAGTCTGGAGTCTTCGTACGTTTCTCGCACGGCAGAACACAATGTCGCCGCGCTTGCCATGTGCCTCCATTCCCTCTGCGGTCTTGCGACGGCATCAGGGAATCTGAAACCTGGGGTCTCCGTATGGTTCTCGAACGGAAGAGAGTTTGCACAATTGCGGCCACACCAGTCCCTGTTCCATTTGCAGTCGCAGAGCGGAACCAGCAAATCTGGAGCCTGGAGTCTTTGTACGCATCTGGAAGGGAAGAACCTAAGCAAGGTCGCGGCCGCTATGATACCCTATCTACTCTGTGTTGGCAGCATATTTTTCATGAACCTGAGACTAAGGATCTTCGTACACTTTCCGAGTGAAAGAACTCAGCACGGATTGCAGCCATTATCACAACCCATCTGTTCTACATTCACTGAGCGGAATTGCCGCATCCAGGGTCCAGGGTCCTGGTGCGCTTCTCGAACGGAGGAACTTTACATAATCTCAGTCACAAGCATGGAGTGGAAGTTGCACGACGAGGCGATACCGAAAGCGATTGTATACGGATCTATCTACATGCCCATGGCGAATGAGCCATCGAAATCCATCCACCCAGCAGAAAAGTCGTCATCCAAGGCCGCCCCCATATACTGCGGCTCATAATGCGGCTCATACTGCGGCTCATACTGCGGCTCCAGCTGCGGCTCATACTCAATAGCCGCCTGGTCGACCGAGAGGAAAGGTTCTCCTGGCTCGATGCTATCAAAGAATCCCGAATCCGCCACAGTCGGGAACCAGAGCGTAGATGGCAGATTGCCATCAGCATCGATTGCTGATGGTACTTGCGCCGTGGTGTACAAGGGCGGCAGATCCACCATAGGCTGGAGCCAAGGCGCAGAGAACAGATCGACATCGGCCTGAAGCGCTGGTGGTGCTAGCGCTGGTGGTGCTGGTGCTGATGGTGCTGGTGCCATTGTGGGTACTTGCGATAGTGGCGAAGGATTCACGCTATCCACCCGCCTGCTTTTGAGCTGCTCGCGCTTCGCAGCCCTGGCTCCCTTGGCTTGTCTGTCCTCTCCCTCCTTCGCGGCCTTGTACTCGGCTGGATGCGCCTTCTGCTCGTGGCGCCGGATCTGCTCCTTGCACTTGTAGTCGCAGAAGCGACATTCCTCAAGGTACCCCAGATGATCTTTCTCCGTGTGCTTCTTGAGATGGGACGCTTGGCCGAACGTCTTGTCGCACATGCTGCACTTGAACCCGCGCTCACGCCGATGCTGAGCTTCATGGCGCTCGAAGTCACGCTTGTCGTTTGTTGTATACGGGCAATGTGCGTGCACATCCGTGGTCGTCTTCTTGGGTTTTACGCAGTAGCGGCATTTGTACGTGGCCGCCATATATTTCTGGGAGAAGAACTCTGGTCCTTCCGGAGTCATAGTGTTGCCGTTGTAAATCTCCTCCGGCTGCTGGGTGTTTATGGCGCTTGATGCCATTTTGGATTCTAAAGTATGTCAGCATACTGACGGTAGGTCAACAGGAGTTCAGCATGCCTGACGGCCACTTACGAAGGATGTTGGTGGTGGAGCGGGAGGAGAGGTGAAAGAGGAGGATAAAGATGAGTGGAGGGGTGGTGATGGGAGGAGGTGAGTGAGGAGGTGGGTCGTAAGTGTTTTTGTGGTATTGATGATGGGAGGAGTTGATTGATGCTTTTGATTTTTAAAGTCTTTTGTGGTGTTGGTAGTTTGTGTGCAGAGGTGAGTATTCGTTCGTATATCTCCTCTCAGTTTGTTGAAGACGGCTCAGTTTACTGGGGGAATGGCACACTTAAAGGGGTTCTGACACACGACGCAGATTTGGGACCATCGACCATTTTCGTTCCAATTGTGGTTCATATTTTTAGATCGATCCCTCCGGAACCGAGAGGAGGTGTTGAAACCAAAGTTACGCTGGTTCGGACCATCACCACCACTCCCCAGTACTTTCCACCTCGCAGGCTGGCCCAATTGATGCGATCGAAGAAGGACCTCGTACGAAACACTTGATGTTTACTACAGCGTTAGAGAGGCTCTCGGGGGCGTGAAGCGTTAGGAGCCGCATCGTGCTAGCCCCGGGAATACCCACCGAGCCTCGACCACCCCACAATGCGTTCAGCGGGAACGGTTCGATGCTGATCCTGTGGGTCCAGCCCTGCGCCATTGACCATACCGTGCAGGATTCTCATCAACAGAGTACCATAATAACTTCCATCTCAGTACAGTCATAGGGATCGACACGGAAATCGACCTGAAGGGGCTAGGATTTCTCGTAGAATGGACGACCATCGAAAAGAGCAGGGAAGCCAGATCTCCATTGCGCGATTGTGCCTTGCATAGGGCAGCGCTAGCGGCTCGGAGCGGCGGGGGCCGCATGATTTGCACTGCAGGTGACCTCGTGGTGGATGGGGCAGCCCTGAGGCCCCGGCGAGTCCACGGGGTCTCCGTGCCTTCCTTTTTCCCCCCAGCCCTTTCGGCAGGCGCGCCACGAGGGGCCTGCCGTAGGGCGGTCGCTCGAGCAGCCCGAGCAGCCCGAGCACGCCTCATGCGCCTTCGAGGCGGTCAGGAAATACAGCTTCTTCGTGTTGATGTTCATACACGCGCTGCCAGCACTTCCGTCGAACTTTCCATTTCTCAGTCCGTTACACTCGCTAGATACTCGCCATATATACATCACAACAGAAGTTATTATCGGTTGCAGATCCAATCTATGCATGCATCACGCGTGCCTCTTCGATTCAGCGTCTTCTGTGGACATGTGACAATACTGTGAAATCACCTCCTGTGCCTCAATTCCTCATGTCGGCGATTGCTTATTGACTGACAAGGCAGCTCTACAGCCATCCTCCTCATCCAGTCACCTCCAGGCATCTCACCGTTCTCTACAGCTCAGACCGCCAACAGTCTTTAATATCTCCCACATCAACGCCCCTTCGCCTAGTCCAAACACACATAGGCCGCAGCACCTTTCGGTCACAAACCCGGAACCTACACAATCGTTACAGAAGCTGGATTTGCGCCACAAATGGTTACAGTCTGGAAGTTATACGTCGTTATGATGGGATACATTCTAAGTCCACATTGGCATTAGAGACAGCGCCTGGCAAAATGTCTTATGACGCCTTGCGAGAGATGGGGAAGACTCAGCCAGGACTGAGTCGTCGCATACTATCAACCTTGATCTATTGGCTACTTCTCCGAGCTGATCGCAACATACAGTCAACTCAGCGCATCCAAGTTTGGATACACCATATCGAGACCACGGCCTATTCGTACGTTGGATTCTTGGAAGCAATCTTACTTGAAAGACCCCAAGTCTGCCGGACGCCTCCAACAGCATCACATACAAGAAACCTCGTGTCCGCTCCCAAATCGTACTGCGCAATTGCTGAACAAAGGTCAGATACCATCAGCGCACTCGAACTCTTCCATATCCAGCAACAGCGACACACCTTCACCCGCCCAGAAAGAATCACAAGAGCCACGACACCATCAAGCGCGTCCTCGACCCCCAAAGCCGCCAAAAGCTCTCCCAACGTTGCTCACATCCTTCCCTCCACGCCGTGATGGCCCGCCATGACCACGACCACCGAGTAAACACGTTACACTAACACCCAACGTCGAAAGAAGCGCCTTGTGACACTTGTTAGGCAGCCTCAGACATGCTGACCGAGCCGAGCCACCGGAAGCTCAACGGTGGTAGGAGTGGGTCAGAGCGACAAATGAGATTAAAGCTCGGAACCAGAGCAGGTGTGGGAGGGAACAGCATGCGGGGAAGGGGGCGAAGGGGTGACAGAAGAGCGCTGGCATGGTTGATGGGCTATCGAGGATGTGTACGAACTGTTGGCGTTCAAGAGGCAGGTTATGGTGTTCAAGAGGGCGGTCTCGTCTGAGCTGCAGCCAGGGAGTTGCTTCAGGCGATGGCCCGATGCTGATGATGGAGCTTATGTCGCTTGTAGGCTATCTGTGCTGTCGCATTGCCCAGGGAGGACTTATGGCACGCAGAGAAAGGACGAAGATCGAATTGTGCTGCGTATCGTCGTCGTTTGTCGTCGCCGCTCATCCTGCGTGCCAAATATGCGACGTCCTCCGATGTGAGCTCCTCTTTCCCTTTTGGATGATCTTGAAGAGGTCTGGCGTCAAAGACTGCGGCTGTCTGAGCGAGCGAGGTCAGGATGGAATTGTGGTTCATGACGCCAGATTGGGAATAGCCGTGAACAAGGAAGGAGGACACTGCAGCAACTCAGCAGGAGAGCATTTGAAGAGCTATTAGTCAGCCTAGCGAGGGGCAACGGGTTCAAAAGGACAGAAAAGATGCTCCTATTGCTCGACGTGGTTTTGGTACCGGTGGAGTAACGAAGCGCGAGGATTTGCAACAGGAACACGCTTCGAAACAGCGATCTCGCTCAGTAATTTACATTGCAGGCGAGTCGGATGCCTCTGCTCTCGGCATAGCGAAGTTAGAAGATACCAGAGTCAACCGGTGCTTACCACCTAAGGAGTTCCTGTTCCTATACTCTCCTACTGCCTCCCAAAACACTCAAGGCTCGTACCTAGTTTGACGAAAACTGATGTCTCGATAGGCATGCGGCCCTGGAACTTTGCGAGTTGCAACGAAAAGCACTGTATCCGCGCTGGATTTCACACTGTACATTGACGGGATCTTTAAGTTGCGCGCGCACACATCACACGCCGGCTTGTCAGGATCGCCACTTTTTCCTACCAGTAAATAGGGACGCACCGAATGAAGGGTGAACCTATGCCGAGGCTGAGAATGTGCAATAGAAAATGGGTATATCCTCCGTATTTTCGCTACAGTAACCGATAGCGAACTAAAGCAACTTGACTCGTTTCCTCCCCCGGTCGCTCTCCGCAAGCTTCCTCCTCCTCCACTGCCACTCGACAAGCACGGGCAAAAACTGCCAAAGGTCAAACTCCGGCCACAGACAATCCAGGAAATGGATCTCGGTGTTCTGATGAGATTGCCAAAGCATGAAATCGCTCAAGCGCTCCACGCCCGACGTCCGTATCATCAGATCTAGAGGCGGCATGCCGGCCGTGAACATGTGGTCTGTCAGCGTTGCAGACGTGATGGTTTCGGGATCTGGGTATGTTGGTGACGGGTCTCTGGGCGCATCCGAGATCTTGGGTTCGTGCTCGAATGCTGATGAGGTGTGAAGGGTTGTGGAACCAGTGCCGAAGTCCGACGCGTTGGTGCTGTCTGGCGCGTTGCCCGGAGATGGTTCTCGCGATGACTTCTGAGAGTCTGGTTCTCCGTTGGCGATGCTGATGCTCTGTGCGCGGATGTTGCGGACAATGTGACTCTCGGAGAAGGGGCGCTTGAGCGGCGGCTTCATGGGTCGGCTGTAATCGGCAACCGTGTCGCGGATGGCGGTGGTAATTTCATCTCGAGACGTGTATGGAAAGCAGACGTTCAGAATAGCGCTGATGTACGGTCAGTGACAGCCTCAAATCCCCAGCGTAACTAAGCCTACCGTTTGTGCTTGCTGGTTAGTGCCACGGCATCATCAATGGCCTCAAGCACGTCCTGCTTTACGAGGTCTCTCTGCCCAAGAATCCGTATGCTCGCGCCGTAGCGTTCCAGCAGGTCTCCGTGCTGAGCCAGTTGCGACAGCTTGACCTTCGCCATATCCATCAAGGCATCGACCTCGTACTTCGATCGCTTGAAGTTCTCGATGCTGAAGGCATAGATGGTGACCACCTTCACTCCGGATTTGTAGCACACCTCGAGTATCTGCCATGGCAGTCAGTCTACGGCTCGAAAGATCTGCGATCTCGCTTGGAAGGCTGCCCACTCTTGCTAAGGCCTCAAAGCCCAGATTGTGACCCTCTACTGTCTCGATATGGTGGTTCCGAGCGAAGCGCCTGTTCCCGTCCATCACAAAGGCCACATGTTGCGGTACTGGGCCTTGCCGTAGCGCTCCGATGAGAAGCTCTCGCAATTGTTGGATGGCCCACTCTATTGGCGGCGAGTGTGAGAACCATTTGCGTATTTGGGAGAGGTGAAGGGAAGAGGACATCGCAGGTGTTAGTTGGTGTTGCTTGTTGTAGATTTTGGCGTCAGGTTGGGCATATCAGGTGGGCTCAATTGGCAGCGGGTTGAGGGGACGATGGATCTTGAACTAGTAGAACTCCAAGAACGAGCCCAGCTCTAGGTTACGTGGAAGGCTCTTGGTATATTCGCGTCCACATAGGCAACCGGTCCTGCCGTATTCTGGTTGGCCGAGGGGCGGTTGGGACTGTTGCATCTCAAGCATCTCAAGTCAAGGCGGTGGCACATTTCTGCCGTGACGCGTTCCATCCGACTTTTCCGCCGCATATGCTCCGCGCCATCAATCACCGACGGGAAGTGATTCGAACGTTTGCTGCCGTCCTTCACCTCGTCAGAGAGTGGCTCAGCGACCGCTCTCAGCCCCGATGCCATGCCTCCATACTCTTACGGATAGGTGCGATTTCTGTAAGATACCGTCAAACACACAAAGGCACCCACCTGCCGCTCCCTGCCTGTATTCGGATAGTGCACCCTAGCACCCTAGCACCCATGCAGGAAAGCAGTACGCAAATAACCACCGGATCAATGTCTGTGGATAGAAGCAATGGACAAGCGTCTCCTCGCCCGCTGGAGGAGCTGCTAGAAGGGTTCGGAGCACTATCTTCGGAATATCAGATTCTGCTAAACCAACATCGCGAGCTTGCCAACAAGCTCTCATGGGCGAAGGAGCAGGTATGAACATCCGCCATCTCTCCCTTGCAACCTCTTGTTTTCAGGATGAACAAACATAGCTCTAGAATGTAGCTGCTTCGTAGCGATGACCGAATTATTCAAATTGACTCTGATCGATACTCTCGTATATCGTCTATCTTGCAGCACTTGTAGTATTGAAAGCCAGCTGACTCTGCTCAGTACCTAGAACTATCCAGACGATTCGCGCCAGATACCGCATCCCAAGACTACCGCGTCTTCCTACGCGACCTTGACCGACCTGGCAAGCCCCAGCAGAACGGGCACACGAATTGGCTCGAGATGTTGACACAATCTTCAAACGAGGAGCGGCGGACTCGGGCACACCTTATCCGGCAAGCCGACGCTACGTACAGCAAGCTGAACAAGAGCAGAAACACTCACGAGACCGACGGCGTCCGCCCACGGAACAGCACAGTAGCCGACAGACCGAGAAACAGTCATGCGAACTCCGCCGTCTCCAAAGCGCAGTCAAACCTCGCTACCGTCATGGAGCAGGATTTCACGACTCCAGGCACACCCAGCAGACTCGGCTGTCCCTTTGCAAAGCCGAACGGGCTACCCTGCAGAAAGCTATCAAGTGCCGGCCAAAGCCAGCGCAGCAACGCCGCGCTATCCCGCAGCTCCGTTTCGAGGCTCAACCTACCAACCGGTCGGCGCTCACAGCGTCAGTCATTCCACGACCCCATCCGCGCCGAGATCTGTGGTATGGATGCTCTGTCGCCTGAGGAATCCGTCGAAGGCTCGACGGCCGTTTGCCCCATCCGCTTCCTCGACCAACACTCCCCCGAAGAGGTGGCGACTTACTTTGAGAAGCACAAGCACGAGATACCGCGCAGCCACGAGGTGTGCGTCAGGCGGTACCAGAGTAACTCGGAGAGCATACGGCAGCTTGACGCCAAGTATGGGAATCTTGTCAGCATGATACAAGGGCTTGGGGCGAAGCACCAGCCGTGGCTGCCGGACAAGCCGGAGGACGAAGACATGGCTGAGGAGGCGACTTCCAAGGACAAAGTCCAGAAGTGGGCGAAGCAGGTCAGCTCGAGCATGCAGAACGGCAATCTCGGCGATGTTGAACAGGCTGTCGAGGATGAGGAACGACAGCCGCACTTCGACAGGCCTCTCAAGGAAGTCCGGGTTGGCGAGTCACCTACTAGACCTTGGGGTATTTCCGTACCTGCGAAATATCACGAGGCAAAGAGCGATGCCTCCAATCACGATGCTCCGGCTGTGACGCCTCAAGTAGAGCATATTGCCGAAGCTGCGCCAGCTAACGAGAAGCCGGCTGGTAGATGCCCCTTCGACCATACCAAGCTCCGAGCGCAGATTCCAAAAGCAACGGAGCCTCCAGCAGAGAGTAGATCGAAGGAAACCCCGCAGCAAGCTCCAGCAATGCCAACCTTTATCCAGCAACCGAATACTAGTACAGGTCATCCCGAGTCGTCAAAGCCAGCGCAGATGATTTTTACTGGCCCAGTGTTCATTGGCTATCCGGTTGAGCAAGCCATGGCTCTGCTCCAGCAATGGCAGTCCGGAATGAAGTCATGAAAGTTGTAACTTGTAACTTGTTTGCTGATACGCGACGCATCGCGGTTGACGCCCTTAGAGCGCTGGTCCGCCTCTCGCTCGGCTGTCTCACTGAGCAATACTCTCTGCCGTCTGTGGACGAGAACCACCCGGCAGAATCTGCAAGAAGTGTCTTTGCTGCTGGGATCGCTTCTATCCCTGCATCGGGAGTCTCGGGCCCTCCCGCAGCTGATATCGCCGGAAACACGAGTTTCTCAGCGGTGAGACATAACTAAGACATGGGTATGGCGCCATGCTAACCTCGTTAATAGTCAAGGCTTAGCACAGCCGTTGTGGCTAGAAGTACGGCGGCCGGTCGGTGGGATGGAAACATTACGCAATGCCGACGGGGCTGTCCGAGTATCCTGTGAGCGGCTGGATCAGGGGAGAGGCGGAATGCAGTATGCATTCGCTGCCGGCTTGCTGTCACACGGCAGCCATGAAGACGTGTTAGAGTCCGGTTCGATGAATCCAGCATTGATTGCAGGACAAGCGATTGTCCGTATCAATACATCATCCCCGTGAAAGGCTTGATCAAGGCAACTAGCGAGGCTTGTCTCTCCACGCTGCCGGTTGTCTTGTGTTTGTGAGGGATGATACTTCAGCAGGATCCCCCGTGTCAGTCTCCGTCAGATTGCTAGTGCCACCAGCGCTAGACGTTTTGCTGGCGGAACTCCATAGGCGTATCTGATGTGACTGTACCGAGCGACTGGGTTATCCGGGTGTGTTTGAGTTTAGGGATAGATCAACCAGAGAACTATAATATCCATCCCATACCCTAGTCGTATCGTCAAGCGTCCTCAAGCCCCGGAATGCGGCGCCAAGCCGGGCGCTGGCCGATTATGCAGGGTTCCCGCCGCCAAGGTGCAACACGAACACGCAATTGCGCCCCCCGGCTGCGCGGCTGTTCTAGAGACACGAGGGGAGTTCCGGAGAGATCTGCCTGCCCACGCCCATGGCTTCTCCCAGCTCCGTCTTGCTCCTCATTGACAGAGGTTCTGCGCCCTTAGAGTCCATTGCGCCGGCCACATTCGCGACACGACAGCGCAAGACCACGCGAGATGGTGAGAAAGAGACCCTTGATTCCCAACATCAACGAAGCGGAGAGCTGACGACTTGGTAGTGGTTGCTGCCTTTGCTCCTCACAGCTTCTCTGCTTGCTGAGGCCCAGTATCCCCCGCCCATCTCCAACTCCACCGTAATACAATCGCCCAACAATCCGAACATCACCATTTCCTACAAGTCGCCAGACCCAGGCACGTGCAAGACCGTCTTCGACACACAGAAGCAGTACACCGGCTACATCAGCCTTCCGCCCTTGACTTTGGCCCCGATACAGCAGAACTACTCCATCAACACCTTTTTCTGGTTCATAGAAGCACGGCAACAGCCGGAAACAGCGCCGCTCACCATCTGGCTCAATGGCGGACCCGGCAGCTCGTCGCTCATCGGCCTCTTCCAGGAGAACGGGCCGTGCGAGGTGGTGCAGTTGCCGGATGGGTCGTACGGTACACAAGCAAGAACGTGGGGATGGGACCGCAGCTCCAATATCCTCTTTGTGGACCAGCCGGCCCAGGTGGGCCTCTCGTACGACAGCCTGGAGAATGTTACGTATAATCTCCTGGCCGACAGATTCATTCCGGAGGGCGGCTTCATACCGTCGAATGTACCTCTGTACGCGCTTCTGAACGGGACCTTCGCCAGTTTCGAGCCCGATGCTACGGCCAACACTACACAGATAGCTGCGCACGCCATCTGGCATTTCCTGCAAGGCTTTCTGGCCGCATTCCCGCAGTACAACCCAGGTACGAGGCCAAACAGCACGACGACGCTGCCCACAGGCATAAACCTCTTCGCCGAAAGCTACGGTGGCATGTACGGCCCCGTGTTCGCTGACCTCTTTGAGCTGAAGAACGCCCAGCGTCTCTCCGGCATACTTCCCCGCAACAGCACGCTCGAGATTCGACTCACCTCTCTCGGCATCATCAACGGCTGCATAGACACCCTCGTCCAAGCCCCTTCCTTCCCTCAGTTCGCTTACAACAACACGTACGGTATCCAAGCCATCTCCCAGACCCAGATGCTAAACACCCTCTCCGAGTTCAACTCCCCCGGCGGATGTCGCGAGCTCATCCTCTCCTGCCGTCGACAATTCAGCGCGCTGGATCCCGAGGGTGAGGGCGATGTTGAGACTGTCAACGCGGCCTGCTTCAACGCGACGAATGAGTGTAATCGGCTGCAGTTTCAGTACTACATGTCAGCCGGACGAGACGTCTATGACATCCGCCAGAGGTCGCCGAGCCCGTTTCCGCCGCTGGGCTATCTAGAGTATCTGAATGAGGCGGGCGTGCAGCAGGCTGTCGGGGCGAGGGTTAATTTTACGCAGAGCAGTAATGTCGTGTTTAATGAGTTTACGCAGAGTAAGTCAATGTTCGCTTTCGTGGTATGATTTCCTTCAACGTCTTTCACGTATGACTGAGCAAGTCTGTGTTATCCCTGAGCCATGGACATGGTAAGCTTGCATCACGTTGCACGGTTGCACGATTGCACGGTTGCAGTGGCACACCAGGGGCTATCATCGTGCAACTCCACGTGCCTAGAGTGCGTTACGTGTCCTACTCCCGATCTAACGATGCTCTGGAACCGAAACGTGCTTTGTATCGCGCTACCTAGGATCACCTCGGCGTTACCGGCGTACTGCAACCTCGCATATGTCTCTACATGCGTCATGTTGCTACTTTCCAGACTCAAGATGTTTGATTTCTTCTCCAGGTTTCACATTTCCAAACCAACCCCGTCTTTCACATCACTTCCACTTCCCCCATCTCATCTAGCCTCCCAGCTAACCCCCTCCCAGCCGGCGACGTAACCACCGGCACCCAACTGCGCGCCCTAACCCGCCTCCTCGCCTCAAACATCCGCATCTCCCTCATCTACGGCGACAGCGACTACGTCTGCAACTGGCTCGGCGGCGAAGCCCTCTCGCTGGCCCTATCCACCCACCCCTCGCTGACCAACACCTTCTACCCGACCTCCTTCCCCGGGGCCGGCTACGCGCCCCTGATCATCAACAGCTCCTACATCGGCGGCGCAGTGCGGCAATACGGAAACCTCAGTTTCGTCAGGGTGTACGACGCGGGCCATCTCGTGCCGGCCTACCAGCCGGAGACGGCGTTCACGGTGTTTGCGAGGGTGGTGCTGGGGAGCGACGTCGCGACGGGGGAGAGCGTCGACCTCGACACCTTCGCGACCGAGGGACCGCTCTTCTCCACCCATCGCAATCCCGACGATGAGCCGCCACACGACCCCTCCCCGACGTGCTGGGTCCGCGCCATCCCGGGCACGTGCACAGACGAGCAGCGGCGCGGCATCGAGGCTGGGGAGGGCGTCGTCAGGGCGGGCGTGTGGTATGCGGATGAGAGGGAGGTCAGTAGTGCGAGTAGTAGTGCGAGCAGGGCGAGTGCGGTGCGGAGTAGTACGAGTAGTGTGCAGGTTACGGGGGTTTATGTCGCTACTGCTACGCCGAGTCAGACGGGTGGGGTGGGGAGGGTGGCAGGAGGAGGTGTTGGGCTCGTGGGGCTTGTGGGGGCTGTAGTGGGGGGGCTGGTGGGCTTGTAGAGTGAGCGTTGTAAGAGATGGATGGACATGAAGGCGCTGGGGTTGGATTCGGGGCTTGGGCAACGGCTGTTGCAAGGATGTGGGTTGAGCAGCACTTTTTTCGAGCATTCTCGCGCGCTGGCATGAGATGGCGTTTCTGGGATCTGGCGTTTGGAGAGAATAAGAATATACCCGCATGTAGCTACCGCCACAACCAAAAGTACTGTTTGTTGTCTTGTATCTGTATCGCATGCTGCGAGCTCTCTAACCGGGGAAGGTTGTTGGATAGAGTGTCCTGCAGGGGTTGAACGAATCCGAAAGGCCGCGATCTGCACGCTTCCCAAAACGGCAACCGCATCCCTTTCCGTAGAACGACGCAAATGCAAGAATGCGGCTTGCATACAGACGTGCCACGGTTCGGCGCCTGGTTGAACCAACCTTCGTTGATTGCAAACGATGCTCCAGCGCCCGCTCTTAGGAACAACGCGTAAACACCCATCTCCATAATCATAAAATCTTACTTTTTTAACATCACATATTATAGAATTATACAAAACATGATATCCTTTTAATCTTAGCCTATTTGCAGCTTCTTATGGTGGTGATTTATCACATTTAAACCCATTTTACGACCTTAGGATTAAAGTTCGTCACGTGGTGATGCCTATTGTAAGTTTAAATGGACGTGGCTGGACGAAACGGAGCTTCTTTGCGGTCTTTTGAAACTAACTGAAGGTTGGTCTGAGCAGGCGCCGAACCGTGCAACGGCTGTAGCATGTCGGCTCCGGAAACGCCGTCCAGCGCAACGGCTGGCCTTCTGTGTGAATGCTGCGAGGCACTCTGTCGGGTTGGCGGTGGGCTTTCTGGGGCTGGATGGAGCGCTAAACGCTCTCCGTGGCGGGGCACGACTTCAACGATACATATGCTTGGGCCGGTAAACGTCCTTGACTGCTGTTGTGCTTGCAGAATTCACATGGTAATATTGGTGGGAACTGCTCCGTGTCGCTCAGAGAAACCCTCGTTTTTCGTCACGAGCGTAGGAGAGCTACCAATGCTTCTATTCGTATATCATTAACCGTGGCCAAGGCGCGTCTGCTCTCCCCTAAGGCTCACCGTCTCGGCAATATCCCACACTCACTGCCTTACTGGTGGGCCAATCTCAACGAACCGTCTCCTCAACCGCCGACGTCGTGGCCGGCGTTCACTCTACAACACCGTGCCAAAGCCAAAGGTCGTCTTGATACTCCTAACGTAGTACTCTCCCCAGTTCCTCTTCGTGACCTCCTCCTGGCCGATGGGGACGCCCTCCCAGTCAACCCTCATCACCGTCACAGCATCCACGTCGTTCTGCTCAAACCTAATCTTGAGCGTGGAAAAGTGCCCTTGAGGCCATTGTGCCAGACGCCACTTCTGGATTATGGTCGTCGGCGGCTCAAGCGTCTCATACTCGCCGCTGACGTTCCCCCCAAACAACTCGAATTTGCCGCCAGGATGCGCGCCTTCAAAGGTCTTGGGCGCGCTTCGGGTGAAGGCGGCGATGCGTTGAGGGTCGGTGAAGGTCTTGTAGAGCTCTTCAGCCGTGGTGCGGAACTCCTCGTTGTCAGTCACGGTGGTGACGTTGACTGATGGGCCCTTGCCGGTGTTGGAAGTCGAGGTCTTGGGCGAGTCTTTGGGATTGTCACCCTGTTTCGGTATGGAGGTGTTCGAGACATACTTAGGCGTGCTGAAGCCGGAGGAGGGGTTCGAGCCGGACGGGTGCTGGAGGTCTTTTCCGTGTTCGGCGATCAGGGCTGGACCTAGCTTTTGCAGGTGCTTGCGGAGCTGGGGCGTGATCTTGGAGCGGACGAGGTCTTTCACCGGCTGCGTGCTAGAGGATTCGGAATACAGGCCGATTTCGAACTGCCAGGAACAGGACGGTCAGCACGGTCTCATTCGAGGCCAATGGAATCGGGGCAAGGGAACATACGACGTACTCGTCTTCCTCCGTGTCATGCGCGACTTCAGGGATTGTGATTGTGCCGCTGGCTTCCGCGCCGTCCTTGCTCTTACCTAAAGCAATATTAGCGGCTAAACCTCACAATTGAGCATTTCGAAGGCGTAATTACCTACCAGAATACTCCACCTGCAGCTTGACATCGAACAGCGTTATCACCTTGCCTTTCCGCTGGCTGACATCCACGTCTCCGTCCATACTTATGATCTTGTCTATCTTCGCAGAGACGCCATTCTCTTCGGCAGATATGCCCTGAAGGTCGTTCTCGAGGTACTCCCGAGCCCAGGGCGAGACGTCCTTGTTGACCCAGTGCCAATTGTTTGGGTTATGGAGGACCATCTCGGCGAGGCGGTGTTGACAAATCCGGTGGTATGGTGTTGATGATTACACTGGCTCCTGTGGTGTGAAGTCAGCCGCATCGTTCGCCGGTGAAGAAATTGAACGAGCGTTTTGGCTTGTGTTAAGTTCAGATAAAGGAGACTTGCTCCGCAAAGCTAATCCGCAGCAAAAAGAGTACAAGTCTTTCTAGGACTGGTGCCAGCTGGTGTATCATCATAAGAAGTGGGGGTGGTGCAAAACGAACAGTGGTCCCACGTACAGTAAATTGTTGTTGATCTGTCCGCATATACCAGAACGGTGGAACACGGCAACGCCTGCAGGTGAGAGTGTTGGACGTGGTGGAAGAATGTGAGTGGGTTGGAGGCACGGATGTCAGAGTACGAAGTGGAAAGTCCTAGAAGCTGTTGATGCGGAAACACTGAAAGAGCATCCCGCACCGGGCCGAGTCGTCCTCCGATGCCCTTTCTCGGACCTCACGTCTCATCCTTTTCGGTTTTGCATCCCTGAAGATTAATGAAGAGGCTAAAACCACGACGCGGCACCAGCAGATGAATAGAACTGATCAGCCCATGGTCTTCAAGTGATCATCAAGAGGTCTTATAGTATACTTCCAGCGAACGTATCGCTGAATTACTACTCTACCAGGTTTCTACGGCAGCCGCATGTGGGACAAGCAATAGAGTAGGCACTATAGTTAGCAAGAGTACACAGCAGCAATGCAAAAGAGACGTATAGCTTTGTCGTATGCGGAGGGATAAAATCAGGCCATCATCTTCATAATTTGATAATACAATCTACTTGACTCATTCCATGTCTGCTAGATGTTCTCAATCAGAGAACCCCTTCAGCAATTTCTAGAAACCTGACATCTTCAGCGAAATGGCAGCTCTGCATTTATGTTGCAAAGCACCAGGCAGAAGTCCAATTGCTTCGTCGGCGTTGAGACTAGCCTTTGAACCTGCAATTGAGCATTTTCTGCATGCAAAGCTGGCCAAAGTGCTCAGCGGCTAGGCTGGAAGAAACTATAGAGTCTCAAAGCCGGTAAGAGAGTATAGTCCATACTGCTGGTGTGGAAGGGCTTGTGTTTCCTTACATCCGCGAAAGGTTGATTGAGGCGTCGCTGGAATGTGTTGTGTGTTCTGAGATATCCTCGATCATCGATATGTAGAAAAGCTTGAGTGGCGTATGGTTACACTGTCAACCTAGTTGCGACTCGAAGATGGACTGCGTGCGCCCATAAGCATCAGCCTTAAAGTCGTCCCGGGCTCCCTTTACGTCTATTCCGTAGCCGACATTCGAGGCGATCACTGTGTATCCGGCGGCAGCTCTTCAACCTGCCTCACCCTCCGTCTATCATCCGTCCCTTGAATTCTTACAGTCGGTGCCCTAGCCGGCCTGGCTGCAGGTGCCACGAACTGTCCAACCCACTCCACGACCCGCTGAACTTTCTCCACCTTTCCAACATCAACCACCTGCTCTCCATCACGCACAAGCAGGTTCACTCGAGTCTCGTTCCTCGTGATACGGCGACTGAGACTCTGCCCGTGCACCTTGCCTTGGAACGCATGCAGAGCCACCGATTGCAGCAACACGACGTCCTGGATCCTGAGTCTGTCGAGCGCCTCTCGAAGCGGGTCGCGTTGCTGTAAGGGCTGGTCTCGCTTATCCATTAGCCGCTGGCTGCCATCCGGTAGAAGCCAGAAGGCAATGCTGAAGGGTGTGTGAGTGTCGTCGCCGACGAGTAATTCGACTATATCCATTTCTCTGCCGCGACCGCGCTTGGTGCGGACGGTTCGGGCGGGCGATATGCGGATGACGCCTACAACCAAGTTTACGGTCATGGTCTGTGGGCCGATATGCAGGATATGGTCGGCTTTTGGTAGATCCTTTAGGTTCGTAATGCGTGCTGGGAAGCTGATCTGCTGGAAATTTACATGAGATCTGTCAAGCTCGTCTATCCTTGAAGCGGAGGTATTAGACACGAAAGATGTCTCCGTCAAAGACGAGGCGCTGGTGAGGAAGGATGTCAACATAACTCCTGTCGTGTCCAAATCTGCAGTCGTCTCATCAGCCGGCTCACCGACGATCTGAGAGGACTTCAGCTCTTCGTGAATGGCGAATGAATGCTCTAGGAAGTTTTTCTGCGCTTCGTCTTCGATGCTCTTCCGTTTTGTCCCCCTGAAGCTGTCTTTGGGCGACGAGAAAGTCGCGCTCAAGACTGAGACGTCATCTACCCAGCCATTACTATACGCTACTTCGTGTGCCTTGTCACGGACTGAAGCCGGGCCATGCCGCCGTGAGATCGGCTTCGTAGTTGTTTTGCGCTCCTGAAGTGGTATTTCTCGCCAACTTGGCCATGCTGCCGATGATGCTGCAGTGCTTGGTGCGCCCGAAGCCGACTGACTCAGAGGCTGGCCCAGGTAACGACGAAAGGCGGGACTGAAGTCTTTCAAGAGCTTGCCTTGATCCCAAGTGAGAGATTTTGATGAGGGAGCTCCCGCAAAAATCTTTACCCGCCGACGTTCCATACCTGAGCGATATCTTGATGGATGAGAACAATCAGCTGACCGAGTTTCTGGCAGCCGTAAACGGATTCTTGAAGTCGTTTTAGATGCTTTAACCAGTGATTTGCGCTCTGAATGCGTCTTCCGCTCGAATCCAAGTCTTGTTTACTGAATGTTGACCTCGCCGAAGCATCAACTCACGTGATGCATGTGACTTCGGCTTGATATCCATCTCTCTTCTTGCACCGCGCTTAGCGCTGGAGCATTGAAGGGTGCGTCAGCTGTTACGTGTCTGCGTAGGGCCTTCGGCTCCACTCAACGGCTCATCCCAACTGAAGTTTTGTTTTCGATGCTGATTTTCAATGCTGTTGCTCACCAAGCGGACGCCAAACTGCCGTGCTGCTGGTCCGCGTCCGAAGCGGATCTCGTTCCGCCCGGAACTCAAAACGTCACATCGCCCGCATTGCGTCCAACTGAAATTATCAGATCAAAATCCAAAACTCCTACTCCCAAGCTCACACCTCAATCCTAAGCCATGACGTCCTCTTTCAAGTCCTTCCTCAATCGCCTGACACCCAATCAATCCAGTGCAAACCTTAGCACCATCACAGCCGGCTTCGCAAAAGCAGAGAAACCCACGGAGCTGTTCCCAAAGACAGATCCAACGGTTGACGGCGAGGAATGCCTGCATGACTGCGCAACATGCACGATCAGCTACCCCTCCAAATGGAGTATAGACGAGGAGGAGGAGGTTTACGGTCATATCAAAGGCTGGCAGACCCATCTGCTCGTAGCAACTGGCGAGACAGATTGGGTACGCGACGTAGCTGGTGGGTAAGAAGAGCTTGTCCCGCCATCACCCCACGATCTCAACTAGAAGACTCGAGAACGCAAGCTGATAGTTGTGCAATACTAGATGAGGAAGGCAGCATAATGGAGGCTATCGAGAGAGGTCCAACAAAACCGACGAGCGGCAGACTTATGCTATCCGCGTCCAACATGCCTTTGCCCAGCACTCTGCACCACGACCCGAGCCTCGCAGGCACAAGCTCTGTCCTGCTTCTTCCCGCCTTTACTATCATCGAGAACGTTACACCGGCAAACGTTCCCAATCTCATTACCACCTTCGTCGACACAGCACCTACAAACACCACCCCGCTCGTCCACCCGCCCCCGCTCTCCCCAGACCTCCCGCGTAGCGCTAGCCCCTCTCCTATGGCCACACCTCCGCCCACAGAGATCGAAATGTCTGAGCCGCCGCTGACGGCGCGCCCCTGCCCACACGACTACCTCATTCTGCTCTGCAGCCAGAAAACCCGCGACGCGCGCTGCGGGCAGTCCGCGCCGCTCCTGCGCCGCGAGCTTGAGCGCCATCTACGACCGCTGGGACTGTATCGCGACCTACACGACGAGCGGCCAGGAGGTGTGGGAATCTACTTCATCAGCCACGTCGGGGGTCATAAGTTTGCTGCGAATGTGATGGTGTATCGGAGGGCCAAGGCAGGAAAAGCAGCTAGCCGTAACGGCTTCAGTGGAAGAGGGCTAGAGGTTGAGAATGGTGACAAGAGGAGTGGTAGCAGGAGGGATGGGAAGGAGGTGGAAGAGAGGGATATGGAGGCGGCGCAATGTATCTGGCTCGCGAGGGTCAGGCCGGAGGATTGTGAGAACATTGTGCGGTATACAGTACTGCAGGGGAAGGTGGTAAAGCCGGAGCGGCAGCTGAGAGGCGGGTTTGACAGGGGAAGAGGGTTGGTGAGCTGGTAGACTAGTGGGGGTTGATGGTGCACATATGGGGGCGGAAGGGTTGATGATGGTATACAGTCGATGGGAGGGGCTGGTCTATGGCGTTTGGTCGCAGACATCTGCGTTTGGAATCTACTGATAGGGAAAGCATAATATTGTAATGGACGATCGAGAGAATGAAGATACAGAGCTTGCCACAGAACCCATACGACCTTTCGAGGGTAGAAATCGCCTGATGAACACTGTGGCTTGCGATTAGAGACCATTGAACGTTCCTTCACCCTGCTAACGACTAACATTGCGAGTACTCGTCCTGGAAGCCTTTCTTTCCTGCCAACGGCCGGCAACTCCCCCTTTAGGTAGTCCGAGATCAGACCTCTTGGCCTTGATCTCAGCTCAACACCAACAACACCATCCTCCCTCCATGCACAACATGTAGTCAATAATCACAAACATGCATATGCGCATGCGCATCCCATTCTTCCGCATCTGGTACAGCAGCACATACACCGTCTTCTTCGTGATCTTGCTTTTCCTCCTCACCGCAACTCCTGCCGACATCGTCTACCAGTCCATCCGTTTCCGTAACCCGCAGCTGTATAACGTCTTCATCGTCGCCGGTGTGCACGTGCTGACCGCTGTACTCGCCATATTCATCTATGCCAGTAGGATCTATACGAACCGCACTGTTCTGGCGGGGATACCCAAGAGCTACATCCCCGTCGAGCCCGGCGAGGTCGGCAAGAATGTCAGGCGTATGATCGCGAAGCAGCTGGAGCGCAGCGCTCTCATCGCATGGGATGCGCGACCACGGGACCTGGGGGCAGAAGTACAAAGCGACGACAAGAACAGGACGACAGCCTCACAGCCGCCAACCGCGCAACAGCAGCAGCAGCCAGCCCAGCGCAACCACCCCTCTACCATAAAGAACTACACCCGGCCCCTCGATCCCGCGACTGTGATTCCGATCTCTGCTTCCGCGCCCCCTTGGGGACCCATCGCGCACCCAGGCTGGTCGTCTCCATCGTCGCCGGACTGGCCCGATGTCCACTTCTGGACGATCCTGCCCGAGCTACCCCACCTCATTGAAGCCAGAGCCGTCGCGCTCGCGCCGCCGGACCCTGCTTTCGCGTTTGGGGACTTGGGTATTGGCATAGCAGGATTGGGAGGTCAGGAAGCGGCGGCCCCTGCTGTGCCTGTGCCGGATGCCCGAGTCGTCGCGGAACTGCAGCGGCCGCCGAACATGGGGCTGAGGGAGTATCTGGGCCGGTTGGCGGGGCTGGGGCTGGTTGATGAGGTGCTGGGCGCTCGTTTTCTGGAGCTGTATGAGTACGCGAGGTTCTCGACGCAGCCGCTGACGGAGGGCGAGTTTGGAGAACTGTTGCGGCTGCACTCGGAGATCCTGAATGGGATGACGGAGTTGGATCCCGCGGTTATCAAGGCTATTGTACAGCAGGAAGAAGAGGGAGAAGATGCAGACGAAATTCAGACGGGCGCGCTCTTCGATGTCATGCAGATACCCACGCTTTCGGAGTCGTCCGAGCCGTCTAGCGATGCGGACACAGAATCTATCTTGCGCTATCAAACACCACGACCAGACCGCATTCCTTCGTCGTCACCTTCATACTACGCCAGCCCCGTCTCCTCGCGGCGCTTGAGGCGGAGTAATACGACTGGGACAGTACAAACCCGGGCCCCGAGCGCCGGAGTTGTCACAAAAACACAACAAACTCCTTCCGAATCTGAGGCAGAGGAGGACGAGGCATCTCTGTCGTCTGTAGTAAGAAGACAGACCCCTACCGCTGCGCGGAGTCAGTCCCCTTCAGAAGCCTCCTTTGTCTCCGGACAGTCAGTGGTAAGGCACTCGCCGCCGCCTTCACCGCTGTCGCCGTTTCCGGTCGGACAGGACGCGCGGGAATTTGGGTTTCAGGGAGGCTGAGAACAGGAGGGTTTGGTCGGAGATCACGTGATAGACGTTGCTACTGAGATCAACGGGTCTGGTATCGTCGAAGTCGGAGCAGCGCTTGCTTCTTTCAGCGCGCCAGTCGATACGGGACTGGGTCTGAGGATATTAGCCGGCTGTGCCGTTGAGAAGAAGAATTTGGATACGGCGGTTGCGGGATTGGGGGATAAGGATGAGAGGGGCGCTAAGGCCACGCGCTGCAGCAGCGTCTAGAGCAGCTCTTTGCGTATATCTTGGTTAAGAGGTTGGGATAGCGCTCATAGCTGGCAAATATGCTGTTCTTGCAATCTAATGTACAGCTTGTGTTTGCGCGCCGCTTGAGGGCCAATCAGGGTATAGCGGATAGCAACGCCAGCTGCACTCATGTTTCCACCTGGCCCGTGGCCGGTCTCCTTGCTCTTGCAGTTCGCTTTGAATTTCATCACCTTTGTCGCAATCCTTCGCCGTCAATCTCCCCTCTCGATATCAGCTGTGTGGAGTGGTCTCCGCTTGGGCACCGATCAAGCGTTGACGAGGTTGACCATGGCCCTCTCAGACTTGTCTGAGGGATTGAGCCAGAAAATGAGCTGTGAGATCGACTTTGATGAAGAGCAGACGAAGACGGCTAAACTCTAGCTGGGCGTCGGTAAGTTTTCTTATCAGCCTGCCATTGTGGACTCTGAGGTAGTGGATCTCCCGCTCGGCATCATAGGCCGTCTTGCTTTCTGCTTCCAGCGCCTCAGAGTACCAGAACAGCTCCTGGATTAACTCTCGAACAGCCGCGTCCACTCCCCCTTCGGGAACGGGTAAGGCTGCACGGTCATCGTCAAGGGTGCAAGGTTGCGACTGCTGACAATGCGAGGACTGTTCTGACAGCTGAGCCGCTTCACTGGTGATAGGAGTCGTTGAGGCGCCTTGCTGTAGGCCTTGATCGCCACGACGCGGCCATTGGGAAGATGATGAGGCAGCTTCACCGGAGGGTGGAGTTATCAGCGCGTCGCCATGACCGTTCTCGGTGCAGTTTTCGGGTGTCGTTTGCTCGGAAGTCATGATCAAGGGGATGCAGGTAGTTGGTGAATGAGACAGAGAGGACGCGATGAATACGAGATGTTGCTGAAATAAGAGGACCGGGATGGACGTGTTCAAGGCAAAGCGCGCTCGCCAAGGTGAAAGTGGTGGAAACGCGGTGAAGTTAGTGAAGGCGCGCGCGATGTGCACTATCCGCTTCAGCTTCCGGCATGAAAACGCACGCCCTTTCCACACATCGGTCACTTCTCACCCCAACTTAAATCTCCGTATCAATCACCAAATTCTAGCACTGCAGAACGTTAGTACGCTTTGGAGTTGGCTGTACCTTTCAGCACTGTTGCTCGAAGAAATTTCGTCATTATTCATTCACGATCAAGCAAGCGGAAGAAGAGACCAAGATATCGGAGCTTGAGGTCCGGGAGGAAGAACAGCAAGCACAGCAAAAGTCAGTGGAGGACAATTTGATTACAGCCAACGCCAAGGTGTTGGAGTTGGAGGCTAAAGTCAAAGAGGAGCAAGCACAGCGCAAGGCGGTGGAAGACCAGTCGACCACAGCTAAAGCCGATCTGCTCAACCTACGGGCGCAGCTTGAGGCAGTGAGAGATGAACTATTCGCAGCCAGAGCCGAGGTGCTTTATTTACACACCTAGGAGAAAGACCAGCAGGCACAGCGGAAGTCGGCAGAAGAGGAATAGACCGCAGCTTAGGCTGGGATACAACAGCTGAACTCTAGTCTGGGTCCAGCAGATGAGAGCGGAATACGTCCCTCGAGACGATTAGGGCGCTCTGAGGTCAACTGACAACGGCTAACACCCAAGCGGCCCAGCTCCGAGCTCAGCTAGCCCAGCTCCAGACGGCTAACGTAGAACTCCCATAGCTCCGGACTACCAATGCGGATCTCCAGACTGCCAATAGAGAACTCCAAACTCAGCTGACAACGCTCAATACAGACAACGGCCAGATAGCCCAGCGTCAGAGTCAGCTTACGACGGCCAACGCGCGGATTACCCAGCCCCAAACTCAGGGGAACACGGCGGACAACGGCCACCATGCACTATAGCCAGCCGCAAGCTCAGCTGACAACAGCTAACGAGCAGATAGCCCAGCTCCTAGCTCAACTCACAACGGCCAACGAGCAGATTGCCGAGGATGCCGACTTCCAGGAAGAGGTAGTTGCCTTCATGCGTGCCAGTAATCTCCATCTTAAGCTCCTGCTCGGGCTCATAGAGAGAGAAGAGAGGTTGAGGAAGTTCCGGAGGGATTTGAGGAACGCGAAGGACACCCAACCGGCTGTGGCGGAGATTCGACACAGACGGGAAACGGAGACGATCCCCGCAGAAGCTTCTCGCAGCACCGCTGATTGAGAGTCTCTTCGACAGGCAGGGCCAGAGGAAGCGAACAGCAGATTTGATCAAGACGCCAGGGAGCTTGTGTATAAAAGGAGATAGTGTGCGAGGTACCGATGAAGGCGTTTGTAGTTGGTGGATCCATGTCACTGGCAGCCCGCCCTCGCTATCTGCCATGGATTCATATGTCAATCATCAGAGGTCAAATAAGTAGGTTTTGCAGTGGCCACCTCTCGGATCTGCGCGGCGTTGCGACTGCTGAAGACTGTTGGGAGACACGAGCTTCTCACGGGTTCCAGTCGTGATCCTCGGTGTATTTCTCTGACTATTGATGCAACGTTTTCTTCACCTTGTTGGCTGGTTTCTTTGTTCGTTTGGCTTTGCTGGGCATTGGTGCCTAATCGATGGGTAGTGGGTGGCAGCTTGCAAATACAGCAAGAATCGATTAACCTTTTATATCGTTCTTATTACCGGCTTTTTGGTCATTGCTCCGGCCATGTTCTCCACCCTGCACTCATCGTGAGTTCACATCACCCGTCCGGGCTTAATTCTTCCTGACATTCGGTGAGGTTGGAGGTCACGTGGGGATGTCACTAGGTACTTCGAAGATCACATGCAAGGATCTGCCTCTGGTGTGTCGCCTTATCGCCGCGCTAAGCCTGTTCCTGTCACGACAGTTCTGTCAGAAATCCCTGCAGCCGCGGCACTCGGTTTTTGTCGACATCATTGACGAAGGCACCGTGACTCGACGTTAACAAAGCCCGCCACCGCAAAAATGCCCTCTTACCCTAGACACTTCTTTTCAGCTTCCAAACGTCTGCTAAACCGTCCACAACGCCACCAGAAACCCCCATAACCGCTGCAGTAACCGACAAAGAACACCACCATGAGCAAGCCAGGGGACTACGCAGCAGTCCGTAAGGACATTATAAAGCTCCTTCATCAGCCTGAATACGACGACGGCAGCGCCGGTCCTGTCCTCGTGCGTCTGGCATGGTAAGGCTGCCCTAACTCTATCGTACATCCATATCACGATTTCTTTGCTCCAACGGCATCTGAGCACCTTCTCACCACTACACGCCCTCCATTCTCCAACTGGACGCTAATTCTTCCACCCCAGGCACTCCGCCGGTACATACGATGCCGAGACCGACAATGGCGGATCCAATGGTGCGGGGATGCGCTACGAGCGCGAGGGCGGCGACCCCGCAAACGCCGGCCTCCAACACGCGCGCGTCTTCCTTGAGCCCGTCAAAGCCGCACACCCCTGGATAACCTACGCCGACCTCTGGACGCTCGCGGGTTGCGTCGCCGTGCGCGAGATGGGCGGCCCCGAGATCCGGTGGTTACCCGGCCGGACAGACTATGTGGATGACAGCAAGCTCCCGCCGCGCGGAAGACTGCCTGATGGCTCGAAGGCCGCAGACCACGTGCGGGCGGTGTTCTACCGCATGGGCTTCAACGACCAAGAGATCGTGGCGCTGTGCGGGGCGCACAACCTCGGACGGTGCCACTCCGACCGTTCCGGCTTCGACGGCCCCTGGGTCAACAACCCGACGCGCTTCTCGAATCAGTATTTCCGGCTGCTGGCGGGGCTGGAATGGAAGCTTGTCACGCTGCCGAACGGCGTGAAGCAGTGGGTGTATGAGGACGAGGACGGGATCAGCGAGAGACTGATGATGCTGCCAACGGATATGGCGTTGAGGGATGATCCCGTGTTTTGTGAGTGGGTGGAGAGCTATGCGGAGGATAAGGAGCTGTTCTTTGAGGACTTTGCGAAGGCGTTTGCGAAGTTGATGGAGTTGGGGATCATGAGGGATGCGCGGGGGAGGGTAATCAATGGGGACAATCTCAAGGGCGGCTACCACTCCGCGCCCAAGAAGAGTGGTGCGCCTGGTGCGCCGCGCAAGAGCAATGAGGAAGCGGAACCGCTGCGGAGAGGAAACGAGATGTTCAGGGCAAGGCTGTAGAGGATTTGTTTACGCATTGAAAGCGATACCAATAGAAACTAGACATTAGACTAATACCCAGACGGAAACTAGAATGTACACTATAGACGCCTCGCAGCCTTTCGTGCTTTCTCTCAGCTCCCTATATTGCCAGCTCGAGAGTCCCTTGTCACCTTGCTGCTGTCCAGTTCCAATGTGATGAATGGTCTGGGATTTCCCGCGGGTGCGTTGCTCAATTTGGGTGACCACTGAGTAGTGCGGGAAGCGGTATGTAGTCTCTCGGCCAACCGTTGCACAGGCTGCGTGAAACGCGTGAATGCTCCCAGAACATTGCGATGAGGATCCTAGACGACGGTTGATGACGAACCTTTCCTCGGACATCTATCAAACCCCTTGCAAAGCCCGCAATTCAAGGTCTGTGTTACGCCATCTAGATTGTAACAATTGTTAAACCCTGGCCATCCTGTCAGATTTGCGATCTCACGTCCAACGCTAGCCGCATGGCTCCTTGTCACGGAGGATCGCGCCAAAATATTCTGGTAGTCCTTGAGGGTCTAATTGTGATTCATCGGCTTCATCGGATTTGCCGTCGTCCTTTTCATGTTGGGTATTAATCGTCTTACCCGTAGAAGCGGTCTCCTCTGAGCAACCTGAGGCAGAGTCACAGCGAGGTGCGGCGACGGGGGCTCTATTCTCCTGGCTCATACGGCCCCTTCGGTAATCGTCAAGCGTAGTGTTCGGAACCAGACGCTTCTGGAGGCGGCGTCCTCGCTCTGCCGCCTCCACGAAAGCATTGGGCTCCTCCGCCGTCTTCTCGAAGAAGGCAACCAGCCTGGGTGATCGGCGGGATGTGCGGGAAGGATCGAGCGCGGCGGAGCTTGGATCCATGATTGTGTCGATTTGTGTATGGTTATTCGGTGTACTTGGAGATGTTTAGTTGATGTGTTTGGATGTGTCAGTGCTGTGAAAAGGACGTCTGCGGGAACATGCTCGTGACTTGACTTTTGGTTTGTAGGTGTGGTCTTTGAGTTGTTTGACTTGAGTTCTGAGGGATTCTGTGGAGTGAACATTATGGGCAGGAGCTAGGTTCTTATGGTAGAATTGGTGTCTAAGCGGACGTGGAGTTAGGCAACACTCAAACCTCAATATTCGACTTCATGAGCTACCATGGTTGAGGATTGAGGAAACCAGGCTTGGCATGGTAATGACCAATACTTCCACACAATACCACGTGACTTGCTCCTGGTGTTGTTCAGTCAATTGGGAATCTGCCTGGCAATACTTAGTATCATGGTACTTCTATGTTGTGCGTACCTTGCGACTGCTCGTCGATGTCGCAGCAACAACTGTTGTATTGGAAAGCTGTATAGCTTTGAGATTGTACGGAAGAGGAGGAAGCAAAAAAGAAGACGGCACGATGGTTTTGAAGGCTTCCTTCTGCAGTTGCACACCAGAAGCCTTGGGGTGCCATGCTGTATTTTATCGGGTTCATAGTCCTTCATACTCGCAATCTCCGCCGCTCTGCCAGTTCGAACTCCCATGATTCCGTGTCTTCATGCTTGTACTACAGCTTCTTTTAACATCCTCTTGGTCACAGTCTCAACATTGTCGATGCTCAATCCGCCAAGCTCCATGACCATTTCCATGCGGGCTTTCACCCATTGAACCTTCCCAGCGTCTTCGCCTGCTCTCTCTTTAAGTTCATTCATCTCTTCCGCTGTGATTCCGCCACCGAGAAACAACATTTTGGGGGCGATCCGCTCATCAGGAGCTCGCGTAGCGTTGGTTCCGATGTTCGAGGACGGCGCTACAAGGTCGCCTCTTAGGATCGCAGGGATCTCTTCGAGAGCGGCAGGATGCGTGAGACAGAGGTGTACGACTTGGATGAGGATTTACGTTAGCCAGAAGCACCAAGCCCGAGCGGTAGCCAACAGGTGTCTGGTCACCATCATAGTCTGGAGCCAAGCGGTTGCAGAGCTCCGCAGGTATCTTCTCTCCGCGCCCACAGATCGCAACAGGGATGCCTGACGCCATTGTAGAAGGGATTCAACACTGGTCTAGGGGTTTCCGCTGCAAGGGTTGCTGCACGAGAGGCTCGCCATTATTATAGCCACGCACTCGTCGCCAGCCAAGAGCTCCGTGCGGAGCAGTGACTTAGCCGAAGCATACAACTGAGTCGGCTGACATCTGGAGGCGCTCGTACAAGCTGATAAGCGTTGTTCAGCTGAGGGGTGTTGTTCAGCTGAAGACGCCGAGTGGGCATGGCTTAGGGCTTGATACGAGACGGGACCATTGAGCTTCTTCAGTGCAGCCACACCCAAATATCGTGGTCTCGTCGTAGATGCTCGGCCGGAGCTCGGAAGGTGTGACATAAAATTGCCAGCAGCAGTTGACCTGGAGTTTAAGTCAGTGTTGGAGGTTGTGATGTCTCTACTCATTTTCTTAATTAATCTGAAGTCGACGAATCAACAAGGTGATTTACGCATAGTATATCAGCGAATCGGACCTTCAAGATCCGGTTCTACCGACCCCTCTTGACGATCTTTATAGGGTGACGTCGGAAGTCCTTCGGATAAAAGCCATTGACACCCTCCCGTTTGTGGATACACCCTGTGTAGATCACATGTTTCATTCGTCGACTTTAGAAACAATTAAGAAAGTGAGTAGGTACTTGTAAGATCTAAGATGGTAGATGCGGGGATCTCCGCTTACGGTTGTTGCCGAGATGGCTTCGCTACCAATTGCCCTCTTCTCTTGTCCTCCAGTGGCTGTCCACCTCCAAGCCTCAATGTAATTTAGAGTATCCTGATACCACAATCGTAGATCATAAATGCCATGCAATCTCTTGACAGCTCCGCAAACCCTGCTCGTATTTGGCTCGATGCTACGATAACGTGCAAAGTAGCCAAAGGCGCTACGAGCACTCTTCTTCGATATCATTACTTGTCCGTAATGTGATGATGTATCAAATCCCACGCAGCTGCGGAAGACAGCAGCATTAGCTGACTTCCTCCCATCCTTAGATGTACCGGAGGTCACTGATTCATGGCCAACTCATAAGCTTTGACTCTCTTTACCGGACTCCAACTTCTTTGACCCGATTTTGGCATGATCGACATCGTCGTCTTCACGAACCAGGCTGGCGATTTTGCAGAGGACAATATTGAAGCTCCATGATCGAGACTCCCTACCCAAAACCTTATCCACCGATCAACCGCTTAGTCTGGAGTTTTAGTCGCCACCACGATCCAAGCCACCATCCTCACGCTACGTCTCTCTTCTCCCCTGCGCGCTCAGACACTCCCTCACCGTACTCTTCCACTTGTCGCGTTCCTCATCGCTCACTGTCGCCTCAACCACGTCCCCCCGGTAGTCCTCGCAAAAGGTATCCACGAACCACGCCTCGTCCCTTGCGCTTATCCTCTCTTCTCTCTCGGTCATCCGAATCGCCTCCTCCTTGAAGCCCCCCAGCTATTAGCACGTCCGGGTACGCCCACCCTCAGTTCCAGCCTCCCTCCGGGTCTCGGACTTTGCTGCACGCGGTTGTACGAGATCTTGTTCGCCGTTCACCTTCCACGTCGTAAGGGCGGCGGTGCCGTCGGGCCGGAGCGTGCAGTGGATCTCGGCGAACGGCGGCCACGGGATCTAGGATGTAGGAGGGGGCCGAAACTGGTAATCGAATGCGTAAAATCTTTCCATCTGGGAAGGGGTGGAGATCGGAACTGTCAATCGCTGTCGTCGTGACTTTCCCATGAACCGGTTTTTCTAGTGGTAAGAGGCGAGGCTGTAAGTTCGGCGATCGGGTGGGGTGAGTTGTTTGTCGCGTGGATGGTGGGGAGGGCAGTTGTGGTGGAGGCGACCAGCCGGGAGAGGGGCATCAGGGTGACGAAGCCGCGACCGTAGGCATTGTCATGAACCACAGATTCGGGGGTACTTGGAGGGAGGAGGTTCGGGACGTGCGATGTGATGTATACCACGGGGCTGCCGCGATTTAGAAGGTCGGTGGCGGCCGCAGCAGCAAGCCGGGCGTTTTGGTCTTGTGCGGTGTTCATCCCTAGTGTCAGCTGAGAAAGGAAGCTGAAAACCATCAACTTATTAGTGAGACGGCCTGTGTGGAATTCTTACGTATAAGTACTACTGACGCCAAACAGAAAGGGGATAGCGGCGTTCATGTGGTGATAGAGTAGCCGCGACGAAAGGCCGACAGCGCTGGGCTCACAACATATGATGGACGATTGCGGCCCAAGGCCGCCCAGGTGAGCCCATTCTTCGCGGCCTGAGATGATAAAAGACGGCTCACGTAATGGATAATATGATAGACATAGAGTCAGAGACCAGCAACATACCTAAGATATGAAGGGGCTCGGACATCGACGAAGCCGACGGATACAAAATATCTCTAGCGGTAACACCTGTAGGGTTTTGTAGTTCAGGTAGGTAATTGGACGAAGTAGAAGTCTGCAATAGAAAAATCTCCGCCATAAACCATGCTAAACCCGACATCACGCTCGCTTCAACGCTGCAACAATAGATCGGCAAAAGTGATATTGGATACCCGCTTCGCATCCCTCCTTGGTCCGTCCACGCTTCTAACACCGAAATCTGGAGCTATGCCTCCTCCGTACAGGCGACAGTAAAGGGTCTGAGAATGCATTACCACAAATCTGCTGAGTCCCTTGGGATATGATTTCACGTGATCCTATCCCAGGCAGAGGTCGTCAGCTCTGGAAAATCGGCATACTGTTTGCACAATCCTCGAGGATGCGAAGTGGAGGACTAAACACATTTGAACCATATGATGTAGCTTAGTCGATCTTGGCATGCTGGAGGCGAGTGTTACTTGGATACGAAAGGACGTTCGACAAGCGAGATGTGTTCCGCTTGTATTTGCTGTGTTTGCGCAGCCGCTTGCGAGCGACCATAACCGGAACAGACGACTTCGTGACCAGGTAGTTACTGAACGAGCCGAGGAGAACACTGGGGCCTGTAGTTAGCATGTCTGCACGAACGGTTAACGCGATGATCTTACCCTTTTAGGGCGCTGCGACCTCTTGAACCTAAGATGACGAGGGTGGGTTCCAGAAAATCAATCTAGCGCCGTCAGTACGTTGTCATCTGGGCCCTCCAGAGGAGCTTCGGAGATTGCTTACCACTTCAGTGATCATATGCTTGGGACTCTTGCAGTGAAATACTTCAACGACGACCCTGACCTGCAGCCTCGTTTTACGAAGCAGCTTGACACACGTCTTTGAGATCTCATCCGCATTGTTCCACCTGTCGCGTTCCGCCTTATCCATATTCGTAAGATTAGGCGGGGTTCCAGAACCGGGAACAGTGCTCTGGTACAAAGGCGACGACATTGTAGGCAAGTTGGCGCTGCCGTCGTAACGCTGTTGGTTGGATAACGTCCTAGCAAGCGTCTCCGACTCCAACGCTGCCTGAGCGCCCTCGCCAATTCCAATGCTAGACTCGGCGCCACCTCCTTGCTCTGCATCAATCGCGTTGACGGCAAGCAAGGTATCGCCATCTCTGAGGACGGTGCCTATGGTCCACTCCAGTGCATAAGCGGCTTCTTCGCTCACATCGGTCGAGACCAGGTAGACTCGCTGACGCCGTAAGCCGGCCTCCGCTTCCTGCTGCATCCTCGAGTACTCCCCTCGGATGATCTGCCGAATGCATCGGTGTGCCTCGGGCGCTGAGTGGATTGGCGACATTGTGAGGGCCATTCTCTGAGCACGCTTGATCTCCGATATGTCGGCTTCGGTATCGGAATCGACAGGCGTGGAGACCCCTGAAGCGTTGTCAAAGTTCGAATTGGGATGCACGCCAGTTTTCTTCCTTGACAGCCTTTCGCCGTCTGGGCCAGTGACACTGATGGCAGGCTCGAGAAGTGATCGGACCTTGTAGATCTCAGCCTGCCGCTTGCCTGTAATGGGTCAGTAGCTAGTCCACGAAAGCAGTGTGTCACCTACGGTCATCCTCCGCGGCCGCCAGAAGGCTTTTCGGTTTCCTCTCGCCCTGGTCGCCTTCGTCAATACTCCTGCTGCGTATTCGTCCTCTTCGCTTTCCAGATTCTGATCCCTCATCCGCTGAGCTACCAGAGTCCTCTTGCTCGCTCGACTCTACTGCCGCCTCATCGTCGTCACCGTAGTAGTCCTTCTCCAGCCGCATACCACCGCCCGGAGCAAGTGATTCTCCCGCTATATGATCAGAGCCCTTTCGGGTTCCTAGAGTGGAAAGGCTTCCGCCCGAGCGAAGCAGCGCAGCATCGGACAGCCGACGGTAGGCGTTCTTCAAGTCAACAACCTTTCCACTTTCAGTGACAAACTTGTCCGGATCGGCCATGAGATTGAGCGAGTTGGAGTTGAGGTTCCGCCCGCCCGGAGACACAGATCGAGCTGACGCACGCGAGGACGGAGAGTGTGTCTTCTGGGTCTTTCCGAGTATACTAGCCGTGGAGTGGTGCCGCCCTCCTCGTTCCTTGATGAATTTCTCCAACTCTTCGGGACTAATGGCCGGCACTGCTCCGGGTTTCTGTTTTTTCTTCCCGCCCTGCGTGACCCGTTTCGGCATCGAGTGCGACTCAATGCTGGGCAGCATTTCGAAGTTGTATTGATCTTCCGGTTTTCGACCCGTCGCAGAGAACGGAGGCGGAGAGACGGCCGTGCGGGTGCGGTTTGCGGGAGGTGCAGGAGCATCCAGGTCGAGCATGCTTCGCACAACGCTGGGCCTGGGACCGGTGGTAGTGCCTGATGGACTGGTGATGCCAACCCCAGTACCCGCTATGGATGCATGGCGACCTGCTGGAGGACCGTCTACATCGAGCATACTCCGAACAGGTGTACCTCCCGGGCTTGCTGTTCGGCCACCAGGACCAGAAACGCTCTTAGCTCGGGGCGCAGTTTTCTTCCCCTCCAACAACGCCAAAATCTCCCGCCTCTCCTCGTCCAGCGCGGCCTCGAGAGACATCTTGAACCTTTCGTGGGTGGAATGTTACGCCTCAGGCGGGTATTCTTGGATGGCTGGTCCGTGGTCCGACTAGTGTTTGCTATGCTGGAAGGCGCGACGATTAATGGTGAATTGGATGCTCCGAAGAGATAGACAAGATGGTCTTCGGGTCCTGTCGAGATTTCTCGAAGTGTGTTGTAGAGAGCGGTACTAGTACCAGAGTTGGCTGACAGTGGGATGCCCCGCAGATGGAAGCTAGTGTTAGCCACCGTCGGTGAATAGTAGAGGGTGGCTCAAACTGTTACTCGTAGAGGACATGGGGGGAGGCGAGGAGTTCGGACGATACGCGAGTGGGTTGCTGTCAGCGGCAGGAGAGCTGAGGATTGCGCTGGCTGGGGTTGGAAAGGTGGAGCAGGAGCAGGAGCAGGAGCGGCCCGCGGGTTGGTGATGACGGCGGCCCAGGTGGGCTCAGCACAGCGGAGGGCTTGGCAAAAGCGCTGGTCAAGTTCCAACGTCGACCCTCTCTCAGCATCAAAGGGTCATCGAATTCGCTCGCAGCAGGCTAGGAGTGTAAATGCGTTAAGACAGAAGCCACTGCTGTTCACCACGCGAGAGCCGCTACCCATGAGCGTGCTGCTACTCAATGCGTAAGCAGTCACAGTGGAGCTGTATACCAGCAGCATCGCATTAGCGGTCGAACGGCTCAGGCAGTACAAGTTCATACTAGGACTGAACATCCATATGTACCCTTGTCAGAGGCGCAGCCAGACCATGGCATATGGTTGTTGAGCGAGGAATGCGAGCTCTCTTGAAGCGGCCTTAGTATTTACAGTAAACCAGCAGCCGCAAGATATGATACCTCCCTTCCCGAATGCTCCACGCAAACCCGGGGCAGCTATGGTGCAACGCCAAATCGTACAAAGTTCTCCCGTTTTATACAGCCAGCCTGACCGATTGTCCACCTGTCTTCCGTTTCTCAGCAGATTCCAGCGTCTCGCCATCATCATCGCCTCTGGCCAAACTTCAAGTTCGCCCTCGCGCCCACGCCCATCTTGTGCACACCACCCCTCTTCTCCCAAACGCTGCTCTTGCCCTCCACCACACTCACCAACTCCTCCGCCACTCTCTGCGCAAACATGCCCTTCCCGGACCCTCTATTCCTCCGCTTCGTCGCGGCATCCAGAATCCACTGCACCGCCGTCCTCCGCCTCTGCCGCAGACCCAGCGGTACCGGGATCTGCAACGCCACACCGCCACCAGCGGCGCCCCTCTGCGAGCGGATCCGCATAAGCGGCGCGACGGAGTCAATCGCAAGGGTGAGGTAGAGGATCGGATTTAGGGGTAGGTGAGATGGCGGCGGAGCGCCGGGAAGCAGGGGCCGCAGTGGGTTTATGGTAGGTGGAGAGGCGGTACGGAGGTGGGTCAGGATCAGTGACATGTTCTGTCGTGAGAAGCGCCATCAGCATCGTTTCGATATGCTACTGATATGTACAATCTAAACAAAACGCACCCGCTGCGCAACGCTCAGCTTGCCATGCCGCATCATCAGGTTGGTGACTTGTTCGACGGCGGGGTCGTATCGGTGGTGCAGATTCGCAGAGCGTGGCATAGGAAGGTCCGGGAGCCCAAATTTGACGCCGGGCTGTGAGAGTGCTTGGGAGGGCTGGGTGATGAGGGTTGCATCTTGGAGGCGGCGGGCGGAGGTATGGTAAGAGCGTACGCCGCTGGGCTTGGAGGCTTTCATGTCTTGTTGCATGACCTTTGGGAGGTTCTTCTCGGCTTCCTTGTCGCCCTTGACGACCTGCGGATCTCCAGTAAGCACACGGACTTCTCGTAAAGCCCGCCGTTTCTGAAACGTCAACGGCCATCTGGTATACACGCACCTCCTGCACTGGCGTTCCTTGCTCAATCTCTGGCCCTCCCTTGCCTGTGATTTCGTTGATTGCCGCCGCTTCTTCGCTCACATGTGGAAGTGTATCGGTGTTCGGTCCCTCGGCGCCTTCCGCTATAGGCAGATCGTGAGAGTTGGCGAAGCCCCTACATGACGCGGGTAGTGTCTTGAAGACCTGCTGGGCTCGTCTGGGGCAGTTCAGGGCTTTCGGCCGGTATGTCAACGGTCTCGACGCCGCGAAGAAGTCGATTCTCGGAGGCATTGCGGCCGGTCAGCGGGCGCGCAGTGATGCTCTGACTTCTGAGCCTGCCCTATGGTGCCTGCGCCTTCAGTTTCTGGCTCGGGGTTTTGTTCTTCCATCCCCGTCGTGCGGCTCTTCGATCGCCAGTCGCACCTGGGCAGTGTCAGAAACGGCGACATGGCTCTTTCAACGCTGCCTGGTAGCCTTGTCCTCATAGTGCTAGTTGGTGAAGGCGTTCCCTTGGAGCTACCCAGGTACGGATAGCTTTTGCTTCATCGTCTTCACTGTTCGGTTTGTTCTCACGCGTGCAGGCGTTGACGGCCATGGTCCTCGGTCGCGTTAAGCTGCAGCACCCCGCCGCCAATCAGGCTGCACTCCTGGCGTGCAACACTCCCAGCCACCGGTTTTGGCGTTTCACGTCAGTTCTGATGCCCGGAGGGGTTGGCGGGTTGGTTTGTGGAAAGACGCTCTCTTTCCTTTCCTATCCTCTTCACCCTCGCTCTGTTCGCTTCTGGCAATCGTCAAAGCACTTGCAGTGTTTCGTCAGGCAGCAACCGCCCATGTCTCGTAGGGCTGTCTTGTGTGTAGTCCCACGTGTACCTTCAAGATCACATTAGCTCTCCAATCAAGCTCACCTTATACCCCACCATCTCCTACCACCTCGCAAAGTGATCTCCATCTTCCTCTCTCTTCATGCGCAGAATGGCGGGCTTCCAGACCGAGGACCTCCACCAGATGCTGGAGAGCCATCCGTCGTTGGCAGCTTCCATCGAGGACTACGAACCCAGTAACCGGGACCGCGCGCCGTTCTTTGGTATTCCCTCAACGCATTCTGGCTTCCGCTCAGAAGAGTCGGAGCCCGAGTCAGAATCAGCAGGACCATGGTCGCCTCCAGCATGGCGCAAAGCTGGCAGTGGCTGGTATCGGCACCAGCTTGCACCGAGCAGCATGTCCGGCTCACGGCAAACGAGTCCGCAAGCCTACGAGAGCTGTGGGGAGGGCGACTTTACTGTCCCGGCGAACATACCTCTACCTATGTCACCTCTCAAGCAGACGCCGAGGACGAGCCCGGAAAGAGATGTCAAGCAAGAGCCGGAGGCGAAGTACCTGCCCAAGATAGAGGAGCACATATCGCCAGAGCTGGGGACGGCCCCCAATTCGCATGATCATGGCAACAATTGTACGTTCGCACGCAAAAGACCCGTGTGCTGCGCTGACAGTTCAAGACTTCCGCTTGGCAGTCAACGCAGAGGTAATGCACCGCACCGAACCCATCGAAGCCTTCATATGCTACCTTCGCGACATCTCCAACGCCCTCACAAAATCCCGCGCTTCTACAATCACAGCCATAATAGTCGGCCTGTTATCGATAAGCTTCGTGCGCATGCTCTTGCGGCCACCGACGCCTGGCCCCGTGCCCGATCTCGTCAAAGTCGCCGGCCTGGCCAAATCCTTCGAGCCGCTGATACACTACTCTGAGAATGGCGTACAGCAGATCAGCGACCTGCAGGAGACGGGGGTCGCGGTGTGGGATTTGGGCGAGAGTGTGCGGAGCACGAATATGACCTCTGCGCCCATCATTGTAAAGGAGTTGGATGAGCTCAGCGAGAGTCTCAAGACGCTAGCCATTGAGCTTACACGGTTTTTCGCCAACGTAGACGGGGATGTTGATAGGTGCGTCTCTTGTTTCAACTCGGGAAGAAGCACGTACTTAACACAAGCGTAGTATACTCATAGTAATGGAGTGGGCCAAACGGGAACTCCTCCAAGTCTCCTCCCTCCCCGTTAGCACCTTCACCTCCGCCTTCGACAACCTCCACACCATCCTCTGCCGAATCGGCCTTCTGGAATCCTCCTCGGGGATGCCGACTACCGTGGGCAAGATAGTGCGGGAGCTCTTCGGCCAAACCACCCCACAACGAACAAAAGCGACGCTTCAGCGTACGTTCAACGAATTTCTTGCCGTGCTGGAAGAAAGCATCAACCAAGAACTCACCTACAGCACCGCACTATTCAGACTATTCGAGGGCATCGACCGGCAGTTCCTGAACCTCCAGAGGAGCGTAGTCCGCGAGACGGACCAGCAAGAGCGCGAGGAAGGCGAGATGCTCTCCCGGCTCTGGACACGCGTCATCGGCGCCAACGCCTCCCAGCTCCGCAAGTACGAGAAGAACCGCTCGCTCCTGGCGTCGGTGCGGGCGAAGACGGTGCACAACAAGAGCATCCTGACGGACCACAACACAAGGCTGCTCCAGCTGAAGTCCAACCTGGAGATCCTAAGGAAGAAACTGGTATCTCCGCTAGTGAGAAGCAACGACAGCAGCACGCTGAGCGTGGAAGACCAGATCAGGGGTCTGGACGGGACGTACGACTACCTCAAGACGGTGAGGGAGACGCAGAAGGGCAGGATGATGGAGTTGATGTACGGCGCGGGTAGCAGGAGGCTGGGAATAACGAGGGGAGAGGAAGGCTACGCAATTGACGGCCGCTGAACAGTGCTTGCGGTCTCGTGATGAGGGGAGTTTAGGGTTAAAACGGCGCTGTTGGGGATTGTGCGATGGGCAACGATGTCTGGAGTAGTGGGAGCGCTTTTACTGGAAAAGTCCCAGCGGGTGTGGGCCAGCCGAGAGCTTGTTAGGCTGAGCGGTGGGGCAGGACAGGAGTCTCCTGAGATATGTCATGTACCGAGTATTGGAGTCAGCTGCGCGTGGTCACCTGTCACGCAGCCAGTCATGAACTTTGCGCACCTCAAAATGCAAACTTGGCGCTCCTGACTCCAACCCTGAAGTCTGAGCATTGTGAGCGTCCGTCTGGCGTGCAGACTGATTGGCAAAAGCAATTCTCCATCGAGAAGTGGTGCAAAATTGCAAAAATAAGTCCCGAGCGTGGTTCGAACACGCGACCTTAGGATGATTGCAGCGACTGCAATCCCACGCTCTACCACTGAGCTATCGAGACGGAGGACATGACTCGACGGTGACGACACTCAATCTTAAGATTTATATACATAGGCCGGCCTTGACCGGCACAAGATAGGGACCGGCGTCTTCCGAGCGATTCGAGATCTTGATCCCCTAACGTTACGCGTGCGATTGCCGGCGCTAAGCAGCATCGCCGCGGGAGTTCGCCAGCCTCCGCTGCGGCATGCTCACGCACGAAGCTGGACCAGCCGCTCAGCAGCCAGGATTCGTTGGTTTGGCAGAGCGGCACGAAGGCCTTCAGGCGCCTCGTGCAATCGTTCTACACGTGTAGACCTATTACACCTATTGGCCTGACCCTAGCGATCGCGTAGTGGACGTTCATCAGCAGCTATTTCTTCCCTGTTTTGCTCCCAGGACCCCAGCTTGAGGTACGGAGTAACACTCATAACAGCCCAGCAACACCCCATAAACTGCCCAATTGCTCTCCTTCACCCTCCCAGCGATTGCCAGCCCGAGCACCAAGTCTCGCACGGTCTTCCTCCCGCGCCGCAGCCGTCGTCCTCCACGCTCTCTCCAGGTTCTTCTCTTGGCTATTGTGGCGGAGCAGAGCGCTCGTGCTTCCCATTGGCTGCGGACCACACGTGCGTGCATCATCGTCAGAGCTCCGAAGCTGCAGAGCTCCCAGTCTCTCTCTCCCTAAGCGGCCTGCCCAGGTGCACTGCCTCACTTCTTCGCGCCATCGATCCATTGTCCCTCCATCGAACCCCTTGTCGCAGTGCACTGCGTTACTCATACCAGCATTATCACAAGGCGCACTCACCAGAGTGGTTAGCAATCTTGTGCCGGGTCGCGCATATTCGCCGCGAATCACCTGCTCTGCTCCGCGACCCCTCCGTCCATCGGCAGCTTCCCCAGCTCCATCACCTTGGCCTTCCCGTCTAGGCGGAGGTCTGCTCCCACAATGAGTGAGTCTATCTCCACCAGACCCGTCTCCATCTCCTTCCTTCGCTGCACCGCCATCGCCGAGCATTCTTGAGCTCAGGCTTCCCGCTCTACATATAAAGCCCCCTTAGCAAAGACTGCGAAACATCGCGCGACCGTGCCGATTGTCTCAAGTGGATTCTTGCTAACTCGGTGCGATTCACCCCCGATGAAGAGAACATACAAAAGCAGTTTAATGAACACGGTCGTCGCAGCAGTATCAAACCAGGATCCCGAAATCAGAGCGCGAGCATGCCATCCTCCGGGGGCCGCCCAAACGGTGGTCGCGTGTCGTCAATTGCGCAGGAAACAACGGCGCTGCTGACTGGCGGCCAGAATCAGAATGGACACCACTATTATGAGGATGAGAGAGCATGGGTGCGCTGGCCGGCGCATGTCATGCACATCGTTTGGATCATGCTCGCGAGCAACTACATCAACGTGCTGCTCGTCTTCGTACCGCTGGGCATCGTCTTCGGTGCGCTGGGATGGCCGAACGACACTGTCGTCTTCATTGTGAACTTCTTCGCGATCATCCCGCTTGCGGCGCTGCTGAGCTTTGCGACTGAGGAGCTGTCAGCCAAGTTGGGGCAGACGATTGGTGGACTGTTGAACGCGACATTTGGCAATGCCGTTGAGCTCATAGTATGTTCAACACAGCTCGCGGGGCTTCTGCAGAGTGGCGCTGACGGTACACGCAACTTCAGGTCTCAATCGTCGCGCTGAAGAACGGCGAGATCCGTATCGTCCAATCCAGCATGCTCGGCTCCATCCTCTCCAACATCTTGCTCGTAGGGCACAGGCACATTCCCCTATTCGAGAGCTTCATACTGATAGCGCTTCCAGGTTCTAGGGTGCTGCTTCCTAGCAGGCGGCATGGTCCGCCAGGAACAGACCTTCAACACTACCGTCGCCTCCACCATGTCGTCTCTCATGGCGGTCTCAAGCGCCTCCCTCATCATCCCTGCAACGCTCTACGCCGCACTTAGCAAATCCAAGGCCAAGTCCGACGACAACATCCTCATCTTGTCGCACGGCACGGCAATCATCCTCCTGCTCCTTTACGTGCTGTACTTGTACTTCCAGCTCAAGTCGCATGCCAGCTTGTTCGACGCCGAAGCACAATCCGCCGAAAACGGAGATGCTGAGGGAGAGGAGGAAGAAGACAAGGAGGAACCGATGCTTAGCCCCGTTACCGCTGGAGTGGCGCTCCTAGTCATCACCATCATCGTCGCCGTTTGCGCTGAATACCTTGTCGACAGCATCGACTCCATCGTCAAGACGGCGCACATCTCCAAGACCTTCATCGGTCTGGTGCTTTTGCCTATTGTCGGTAATGCTGCTGAGCACGTCACGGCTGTCATCGTGGCGTACAAGAACAAGATGGACCTGGCTATCAACGTCGCCATCGGCAGCTCCATGCAAATCGCGCTCTTTGTGACGCCGTTCATGGTGATTCTGGGATGGATCATTAACCAGCCGATGACGCTGCACTTCCAGACCTTTGAGACCGTCGTGTTCTTCTTGAGCGTGCTGGTCGTGAACTATCTGATCCAGGATGGAAAGAGCAACTACCTTGAAGGGGCTATGTGCCTTGGGACGTAGGTTTTACCTGGTTTCTGAGTGACAAACGAAGTGGGAGAATTGTTTCGCTGACTCGCATGACAGATATATCATTATCGCTTTGGCCTTCTACGTATACCCTGACGATGCGGGAGACATCACTCTGGTCGGCGGACTGCGTGCTTAGTGGCGGAACGAGCTAAAGATTAGAGCCTCGTAGTAGCCAGTGCAAGTTTAGTCATATGCTCAGCTATCGATGTAAGCTGTAGCTGAGAAGCTACCGTCCGCAGGACACAACGACATCGGAATATGTCAACAGAGCAATTTGGGTGGTAGCCTGGCGTGGACGGTCGGCGTACTTCCGTTAGCACCTTCAGAAAACAGTTCTCATAGCGCAGTCTTCTCGAGCGGCCTTGCTGCTGTCATCTTCGCGCTCTTATATCAGTCGAGCCTTCTTGTGGCCGGCGCGGGTTCCACTATGGGAATTTCAAGGAGCGCGTCATGCTCGGACTTCGCCTCCCTGTTAGGCTGGAATTCTCGTGTTTCGTTTGTCCTATTGACCTGTAGGCGCGCATAAGATTAGGCGCCTGTACCAAGATCTGACGCGTCTCCAACGAACCCGTCACTTAGCTGAGTAGTCACGGCAGCTGATAGCGTGAGCGAACCGCGTGAAGCCACGGTTGTCGCGTCCGTGGCCCGTGCGCAGACCACGCACTCTGAGGCCACGCTACACCACCATATCTCGCTCTTCACCCCTCTTGCCCTCCACCCACTTCGCTGCCCTCTTGCTGTTCGGCGTCCCGGTTATCTAACAGATTTACTACCTAGGTAATTCAAGTTAGAAACCTGAGCTAGACCGCTGCAGTGGGTGAATGCGTCTAGACAAAGTCTGGCAAACGCGCGTTGCGGGTTGAGGCACCAGACAAGCGGAAAAGAAGCAATCGACTGTGATACTATTGGGTATCAGAAGCCAGTCCACGCTCCAGAATATTGCTGCGGCGTCAGCATTCAACTACGAACACGCACATCCACTCCTCAAAAGCAAAAACCACCCTTCACTGTTAAGCAGAATGCTTACCGAATCGAGCCTTGACGCTCTAACCACTCAATTGACTGGGTTTCGCAACACCAGCGAACAGCAGCACGCCAAGCTAGAAACCCTCCTTAAATCATACGAAGACCTACTCGAGGACTACCGAAGCCTCCGAAGTGACTATGAGGAAGAGCGGGAAGTGAGGGAGAAATACAAAAAACGGGCACGTGGGCAGGAACGCAACCCGTTCGTCCTCGTCCTCATCGATGGAGACGGCTACGTCTTCAACGACCACCTCATCAAGAACGGCGGCGAAGGCGGAATTGCGGCGGCGCAGGGTCTCAGCAGTGCGATCAAGCAGTGCTTACTGAGGCTCGGTAGCGACGCCGACCAATGCCGTATCATGGTCCGCGTTTACTCGAACCTTGCAGGCCTCTCCAAAATACTTGCGCGTCATGGAATGGCTGGCAACGAAGCTCGTTCACTTGCACCCTTCGCAGCAAGCTTCACCCGATCACATGACCTGTTCGACTTTGTCGATGCCGGTGACAAGAAGGAAGGGGCTGATTTCAAGATACGTGGTACGTTGGCGCACTCACAGAAGACCCTACGGTACTAAACTAGTACTTACTATGTGTGCAGAGATGTTCCGCCTCTTTGCGGAGAACAGCCAATGCAAGCACATATTCTTCGCTGGATGTCATGACACGGGCTATCTTTCGCTGTTAACACCGTACCGAGGAAGGCTTGAGCGAGTCTCGCTGATCAAAGCAGCTAGCTTTAGCCCAGAATACCTAAGTCTTGGCTTAAACGTCGAAGAATTTCCTTCAATCTTCCGGTCCACAATGCTCCAATATCCAGGTGCAGCCCCAGCCGCATCACCTGAAAAGGCGTCCACCGGCCAGGTGGCGAGCAAGTACGCGCCGCCAACTCCAGGCAGTACAAGTCAAACAGTGTGCAGATTCTATCCAAAGGTACGGCATCTCGTCTTTGCCGGCTCTTCGCAGCCTCAAGTATGTATCATTTCTTCTTTACAGCCGCTAATTCGATCCCAGGGATCTTGTCGGTATGGAAATGCCTGCAAAAATATCCACATCGCGTCTACGCACAAACTAGCCGAGAAGCCAGTAACGGACTATCGCACCGCCGAGTGGAGAAGCTCGACTCCATCAACCAACCCTTACCGGCCCCCTAGTGCAAGGCCGGAGACGCCAGCAGGCCTCGACGACCCCCTGGCTCACTCTACCGCGCCGGAGCTGCCGTCTCAGACGCCGGACAAGGAGGGTCTGATCCCCTTGAACTCGCGCGGAGACAGGCTAGATTACTTTATCCCTCCTGCTTCTCCGGGAGCGTGGCAGGCTTATACAGCACGCGCCAAAACCCACAAGATGTGCAACAAGTTCCACATCGAAAAGAACTGTCAGGATATCAACTGTCCGTTCGACCACAAGCCCGTTGAACCAGAGCTCATCCATGTGATGAAGGTTATCCTTTCTAATCGTCCTTGCCCAAGAAGGGGTGGGTGTCGTCGAGAGATGTGTCCTGGGGGCCACATTTGCAAGCGGCCCGGGTGCCAAGGCCCTGGTGATCACTGTAAATTCGCCGCGTCAATGCACAGAGTGGATACCGTTCCATTTGAGTGGGTCGAGCCTGTTGGCGAAAGCGACAGTGGCAGCGACGCCGGGAAGGACACGACGCCCAATGGATTCACCAGTCCGACAGACGGAGGGGCCCTCATCGACTTTGACAGTTATCAGAAGTGGTGAAGATTCGAAGCTCAGCCTACCTCTCCGCTGCCTGCTGAGGATTCTGGAGGCTCGCTGGGTATGTTTGTGGTCATGTCAGTGCGTGCAGCTTGGGGCGCGGACGTGTACCCGGAGTAAGACGAGGCCTTTTACGAGCTACAAGCTCCCAAGGATAAAGGATATACTATGGGCATGGCAAGAAATTCGGAACTAGACTACTTCTATTGTTACCGACTACCAGTACCTCCTTCCCAGGGCAGGTGTCGTTCGTTGCATATGACTGGCATAACCGACGACATTGATGCTTGTGCTGTGTTCAGTAGGATTGGCTGGTACTTGGGCGACAAAAGAAAGATCACTCGATATCGGACATGCTTCTTGCAACATCCTTACCTGCAAGTTGGCTTCTGAAAATTCCTTGCATGTTCCATACTTGTGTTTTGTTTCATTTACTTTCATTTCTACTGCATCATGTATAGTAGGGCGGCGGCTATCCATGCACTCCCTCAAAAAGCGGAATAGACACACCAAAATATACACATGTGAGAACACTGTGCAATTTCGGAACCATGACTGTGAGTTGCTAAGTCCATCAAGCTGGCTTTGTGAATCCGAACTGGAGATGCCTGGGCCAATCATGCTCTACAGACAGAATGCATTGAACTGAAACCCAAAACCATACGCAGTACCAAGCCCAGTCAGCAGGCTAACATACATTATATCCTACTACAGTTCATCCGGGGCTGTATAGAGAAGCCTTCATGGATACCCGGGCGGTAGAAAATAGGATCCTGCGCATTCCTCAAAACTGCACTTTCCCGGGCAAGATTGCCGCTTCTGGCTCGAGCGGCAAAAAGCCGATTTCCTGTTTCAGCGCTGCCGCTCCGCCTGCCGGGAAACACACCCACTCTCATCACTCTGCTGTGACAAAAATCGCCGTCAAGACCATGTAAACTGTGCGGCTCGTTCTCCGTTACGTCTACCGTGTGCCTAAAGAGCGGGCTGTTTGTGGGTTGGGCGCAATCTTATACATATCCAGCGAAACTCCTTCAATTTCCTGGTTGGTACTAAAACGGCAATCCGTTATCTACCTGTTTCTATTGCGCTGTACGCCACGTCTCCATGTCCAATCACAAAAAAGCTCGAACAGTGTGCGATGTACGACCCTCCGAGAGCCGCTGTGATTAAGAGCCTCTACTGACCTGCCTGGTAGTCTTGCCGGGTCAAACACCTCAAGTGTGTGAGTCTGCCGGCTTGCCCGTCGATAGAGGCTTTCCTATCGTCTTGTTCAAAAAAGCTTTTGATCTGACACCGATCCATCTCAGGATGGCTCTCAGCCAACATGCTCAAAGTGTGAAGACTGCGGCACTGCATGTTCCAGAGATCTGAAAATTAAGTTCAAACATGGATTGAAGTACGAAGATCCCTTCACCAATAGTTCTTTACTAGCTGGCATGTTAGTACAACAGACTGACACTTCCTAGTCCATCAATTGCTACGTCGAAGACATGCGATCATCTATACAAGGCCGATCAGGTCTGGCTACCACCTCGAGGAAAATGTACGCAAAGAGCAATGGCCTTGGTGCAATCTCACAAGATAAACAGCTGATGTCATTCAGTAACCTTTGTTGATGAGACGAGCACGCTACATAATCTATACAACGAGGAGGGCCTAGAAGACAGCATATTCGGACCTGAGCGGAATGTTGATGGTGCCATTGACCGCCCCGCAAAGCATGCGAGCAAAGACATCAATGTCCTTAGCACGATGCCGGACCATGCTGATGGGCAGAACTCGGTAGCTTCAAGGGACGGAGACTCCGTGCAACAACACAGTGACTCCGCACGTTCAGAGCAGCTGGATGGAGCTCCCCCAGCTTGTGCCCTCGGATCCAGCCCTCGTGCGGATTTGAACGAGCGCTTGCTTCGGCTCAGCTATCCCATCGACCTGTACGCAGACCCTTCAGCGTCCGGTTCGACGGAAGGCCTCGATACGCCTGGCTTTACGTCAAACTCAGACATGGCGATGATTGACAGCCCACCACCGGCTCCAAGCGGCGACTTCAGCTGCAATCTGGACAATCTGGCGACACTTGCACTGTCTATGCAGCCGCAGAGCACTGACTCTCCCACTTCGCCAACGATAGGAGCCTTGAAGGAGCTTCCCAGCTACACTTCAGCTGCACGAGCACGTACAGGGACCCGCGCGTTCCCGCTGGATGATGTCGAGGAAGGCAAACTGATGCGACATTATATTGATAATCTCGGCCCCTGGGTAAGTGCCCTCACAACATTCTAATCATGGGAGCCTCGCGTATACTCCGCCACGTTGCAGTGTCTAGGCGCCCCAAAGTGCTACGGTGCTGCATTGGACGCCTGATCCATGCTGATCACAGCCAATTCTTTGCAGTTCGATACCTGCGACCTGGAACGGACCTTCACCATCCAAGTCCCCATTTTGGCTGCAAACTGTCCGACACTTCTGAATGCAGTCTTTGCACTGTCTTCCAGGCATCTTGCGGGCACATCGAACTATGATCCCGGTATCAGCGGGCAATACCACGAAAGATGCCTTGAGCACATGATCCCGGTGTTGAACGATCCAGACGCTGTCATGGACGACGTGTTACTCGCCGCAGCATGCATACTGCGAACTTTGGAGGAGCTTGACGGTAAGAACTCGTCTTTACTGTCAAACAGATGTGCTTGGGACAGCACTGACTCTATGCTTCGTAGTTTCACTTACCGGAACGGACAACGAGAGACACCTACTGGGGACGCAGGTCTTTGTCAATACTCCGAGAACGCCTGGTGTAATATCTTCCCTTCGAGAGGCGGCCCTACAATGTGCCATCCGGCAAGAAATTTGGATGGCCGTCGTACACCAAAGGCCCATGAAAATATCTTCCGAGCACAGCCGCATCGACAGGACACTGTCGCCAACCGATGATCACGGAGTCTGGGCTTGTCGAATGGTGCTTTTTTGCGCAGACGTGGTGCAGGCCTGCTTTGGCGAAACGGAGCTGAGCGTCGCGCGGTAAGAACCTTGTACAATATCTGGTTGAACTGCAAACTGACCCCATCACAGGTACTTTGAGCTTCTCAGCTACGACGTGCGATGGCTCGCCAGCCGCCCGGTCTCTTGGCAACCGTTTGTTCACAGGCCTGCGGACCGCAGTAAAGGCGAAGTCTTCCCCCAGCTATGGCTCATGAACGATGCCATGGTCTTGGGAACACTTCACCACCATCTCGCACGCCTTCTGCTCGCTTGCTTCAACCCGACAATTCCTCGTGTGGGCCTGGGCCACAAGTCTGCTCTCCGGGCCGCCGATGAAGAAATCCGCTCCCACATCTCGGACATATGCGGGCTTGCCCTCTCCAACCGCCAGACCGCCTCGGCCACGTTCACGGCTTCTATCGCTATCACCATGTGCGGAGACCGCTTCACGGACCGTCTCGAGCAGGAGGGCTTACTTTCAGTTCTTGAGATTACGGAGAAGAACCATGCGTGGCCCACGCGCGGCGCAGAGGCTATGCTGAGGAGTGGATGGGGGTGGGTCTGAGACAGATCGAGCTACATTACTAGCTTGCACATGGACGATACGGATCTCAAGTTACCCTGGGAAAGTCGCGCCGCTGCAGGGGGCTCAGCTTTGCGGTTGTTCTGGCGGCTGCATAGCTTCTGCTTTGGTCAAAATCACGATACCTCGAGCCTCCGAGCAAGGCCCGCGCTGCTGCGCACCCTTCAGAGCTCGGAGGGCCTCGTCCCCGGCTAAAGTCACCGTGAGACTGGAGAGGAGAGAATGCGTCCTGGACCGGTGTGGGTAGCTGAGTGGGTTCCTGCACGGAAGAAGAGTCCGCCTTGAAGGGGGGCGATGGAGTCGAGGAGCATGCGACTGTAAAATCGTACACGTTGTCGACGAAACTATGGCGAGAACGTCTTGAAGGAAGAGCATGAGAGGACTTTGATAGCTGCACCGTCCTACTCCACAATCCGGAGCTCCGCATATCCGCCCTCAGTCTGATCCTCAAACTTTAGTTGCGCCGGATGCATGCCGAGCACCCAACCCTCCCTCTCCACTTCTTCATCGCTCGGCCTGGCTACGTCGTTATACTCGAACCCCTCCTGCCAGGCACACAACCTCTTCCCCTTTAGATCACCGTCCAGAGCACCCCAACACCACCAGGTCGTGCCAACACACCCATGATATATACCCACCTTGTAGGTCTCTCCAGGCTGCAAGTCTTCCTTTTTTATGCCCTCCGCGTACTTGAACATGCGGCTGAACGGTAGATCATGTGTTACACGGGACTCGCTTCCATCCCCGGGAATAGTGATGAACTCCTTTCCCCGTATTTTCAAGTCTGGTGAGGAGTCGCTCGGGTATACCCCATGGTGAAGCCGGAAAAGACCAAGGCCGATGCGCTTGTTGTTATGAGTGTTGATTAAGCCGCCGCCGACAGCGCCTTGAGCAAGCATGTCGAGGCCCCCAGACGGCGGCGGGCTCCGCTCAAAGACGGAGTTCCCCGTACAGATAGTGATGGGTCGGCCTGGCTGCATGCTTGAGGTGATTCGCAGGCCAATGACTAGCTGAAACGGACTAGCCGGGTCTTCTGGCGCTGAGAGAGAGAGCGTAAAGGAAGATGTACGAATTGTGACCGCAATCACGGCTTTGCAGTCTTCAGGAGCGCAGCGAAACCTTATAAAACGCATGATGTGATTGGAAAGCGAGACGGTCTGGCTGGCAGAACCTGGAATAATGGATGTGCTCGATATTCAATATATATAGTTACGCCGTAAGTAATTGTTGAAACGCGTAAGATCGAGAGTCAGAGTTCGCCGCCCTGCATGCAACCTGAAATAGCCTGAAGTAGCCTTGCAGACTACCGTACTTCAGCGCCTGTAGTTTTCAAGATGCTGCTTACGCTGAGCACAGGATGTTAGTAGGTGTTTTTAGCCTTAGTGCTACTTCGGCAGGGCGGGGCACGGTACTCCGAGGTTCAGGATAGTCAGCCTTGCACAGGTAGTACGGGAGCCTCGACCGACTGAGACACGTTGATTAAGGACCAAAGCAGTGTTGATAGCGAAGTTCTCTTGGCTGACGACGTTCACAGGTCTTCAGAAGGATGTTTTGGCTGTGTTCATATCGAAAGTGCAAGTGACCGGCTGTTGAGCCGGCCTTCGGAGCGGGCCGCTGGGCCAAGCCGGGACGAGGCGAGTTTTCCTCACCCAAAACCCGCGCACCAATCGGCCGCGTTGATTTTAGTTCACCCTTGGGCCCCGTAGGAAGGCGCGAGAAGTTTGACGGATCGAACACATGAACTGCTTCAATGCCACACATCTTCCGCCTCATACCGGTACTGAGCCTCTCGTTCGGCTTTGAGCTTCTGCGCAATCCTTGAGGCCGAACAAGACTCCATTGCTCCGCAAGCATGGTCACTTTCTGCATAGATCTGCGTGAAGTCTGATTCTGACTCATGGGGACTGTAAAGCAGTGGTGATTGATCGCGAAGCATGCATCTGCACGGCATTGCCAAATCTGCGGTAGACATGTATAACATCGAAGGAGACATAAAAGTAGGAAAAGACCCAACGGTAAGTAGCTACTGAATGAAAAGCCGACTTTACAGCGAAAGATGAAAGCAATTTGTGAGAAGCAGAAAGAGCGGCCATGAAACCGGAACATGTTCCGGAGTGGTTTCTGCCAAGCTTCAAGTGCTCACGGCCAAGATTCTTGATTCACGGGCATATTGACCGAGGCGATGTTCGGCGTTCCAGGTTTCTGATCGAAGCCAGAGATGGCCCCTTCGGCTCTCTCCCGCAGTACGTACGCAACGGCAACGGGGTCAGCATACCCGTCTCTCTGACGGAGACAGCATGCCAGACCGGCAACGTGGGGTGCGGCTGTAAAAGTTAAGTCAAAAACTTCCACAATGACACAACAGAAGTGCCAGAACACAGAACAGCCTAACTTACCCATTGAAGTCCCACTTGAAGTCGCCTTAGCGTTCTCATTACTGATACCACAAGATTCAATGTTTACGCCAGGAGCAATGAAGTCCAAGACTGCGTCGACTGTCAGTGGAGGTACGTCCGAAGGTGTGGTTAGTCCACTACTCACTCCTTCCCCAGTTCGACCAGGACGCCATTTTGTCCTGGTTATCAGCCGCGCCGACAGTGATGGCATGAGGAGCGGACGCTGGGGATGTCCCAAGGGCGTCCTTCTGAGGCGAGTCAGTCACGCTGCCCGATTACTTGGGATTGCACCTTTGATCACTGACTCCCTCGTTTCCAGCGGCCACCACAACCACCATACCCGCCTTCACAGCAGCCGCGACAGCATCGTTGAATACTGATGATGCTCCCCCTCCAGAACTGATGTTGACGACACTCTTTTTAATCCGGTTGTTGGCAAGGGCATCCTCGACAGCAAAGTCGAGACCCTTAATGATCGTGGAAACCAATGTAGAGACTGGACCACCATTGGGAGAGTCTGGGTAGACCTTGACGTCGATGACTTTGGCGTTTTTAGCGACGCCGTAAGTCTTTCCGGCAATCGTTCCTGCACAATGTGAACCGTGCCCATCCGTGTCTGTGTCGCGCGACCCAAGCTCCTTTGTACAATTTTTGCCGAGGGTAACGCGGGATGTGCCGTCCGGGTTCTTGAATTCCTGGGGATCGGTTAGCCAGAGTTGCTGGGAGATGTTGATACCTATTGGTGAATGTAGCTAGGTCTCGTATGAAGCTTGTTCCAAAGCGAAGTTCCAGTCTGTCTGGCGCAATCACAGGGTAAGTCCTGAAAGACCTACCGTATGGTCTGCTCTTACTCCTGTGTCGATAACATAGACCCAAACTCCATCGCCTGACTCGTCATCGTTCCACTTATATTCCTTGTTCGAGGCGCTAAGCTTGCCGCGGCGTGAGATACGCCTCAGCCCCCAAGGCGCATTACTCTGGCTTCCGCACAGATAAACATGCCTATCTGGCTCGATGTTCAGGACCTGAAGACGGTGCAATACGTCAAAATGTGAACACGAGCGACTGAGTGCCCTGAATGCGTACCTCAGTCGACTGCCGGATCTTCTCAAGAGTTGCATCTGGGAAGACGCCTGAGTATCCTATGAAGGTGTCCAAAGGCGCAACCGAGGCAAGACCCACTTCGCCTTCGTTCGGTTTCTTGCCGACGATGAACCGCCTGAACGTGCTGTCTACGGCGCTGCGGCCGGTATCAGTGACCGAAGCAGTGGCGGTATCGCGATGATCTTCGCAATGGCCTTCGATAGCCGAGCAATGGTCCGCGATCTCTTGCTGAGTGAGGAAAGGCTTCAAGGTGACGATGTAGCGGCCCTCGACAACATCAGGTCGATCTCCACCCTGAGGCTGCTGGTTATCTGGTTGAAAGCCCATGATGACTGAGATAGCGATGTGATGTGTAGCGTGTGTTAGAAATGTCAGGAACTTTGAGAGAGAAACTGAATGTGCATTATCCAAATCAAGAGCTTGGCTGGTTTTATGTTGAATGACGGTCGGTAGAGCATTCCGCCAGCATGACACCGCGGCTGAAGCAGGCAAACATGTAGCTAGCAAGTGTGGAAGTGGCGGCTTACAGCTGAAATTTCTATGTCTGTATCCAGTCCTATTGGCAGGCAACCGCCGCAGAAATGTGAGGGAAACGTCCTCCATTCGCACAAATGCGATGGTAAGTCCAAGAGGCGACGAGACTCAGGTAGCAGAGCAGGTCAATACCACAGCTCGGCAGCCTGCTCGCCGGCGTCTTCAGTGATTCCGGTGGATGTTACATATCCAGTCGACGGTTTTAACGTCCACCGTGGGCCATTGGCAGAATGTGCAACTCATCCAGCGATAGGAACGTAGATTTACCACAGAAACCGGGCGAAGGAACGGAGATGGGCGCGAGAGGTGCTCAAGGAAGCTGAGCTTTGGCACGGTAGAAAATCGAGAACCCGGTCAGAATCAGAGAGATGTGGAATTGCTGACAAGCCGCGCTGAGCAGAAGCTCGAAAGCCACACCCAATGATCTTTCTATTCGATAAAAGGCATGAACGGCGCACTGAAATTAGGAGGTGAGGAGGTTAGCTTACGGCTCCCTGCAGCGGGCCGCCAAGCCATCTCCGCCTTCAGCCTTTCAGCCTTTCAGCCCCACGGGCCCCTTCAAGCATCTAAAACCCTCAGCCTTGTACTGTTGATATCGTGACCGTCCGGAACTGGATAGACTCCCATCTGATCCCTGCCTCGTTGCCCCGTGCCGCACAGGCATCTCGATCCGCATCAGTATCTCGCAGCAAGAAGCCTCTGGTGCATAAGCTCGTGCAGCCATGTTTTTCGGACAACATCTCAAGCCTCTGCGAAGCATGCACGGGGTTGCGGAGTGACGAGAAGAGAGATCTGGGCTGAAGACCCGTTCGTCGGAGCTGAATGGTAAGCTGACAACCGCAAAGCGTCTGTCGCTCTTTGGCATACAGACACGACGAGCGGCTGGACGCTGAAACACATGATAGCGGATAACACCCGAGGCAAACTATGGAGACTACTGACCGAAAAAGCTGGGCTTTTGACAGATAACACCTGTCGCTTGGAGTAGACTGCAATCTTGACCGATGAATGGCTTGTGGACACAACTAAGAAGCCATCGTCTTGTTCTATATTCTATGTTCTATGCCATTAGAATGCACACATGCTTACGCCCACACTTACATCTTCGTAATACAAATCCAAGCCGGAACGCCTTCGCTGTCCCCGATGGACTAACAATACCCGTTATTTCATTCCCAATCGCAGTACACAGTCGACTCCAGCACGAGTCAACAGAATTTCTCAAGCTTTCTCCCTCTTGTTCCTCTTCCTCCAACTCCTGACACCAGCATCCACCTCCTCGACCGTCACCCCGTCCCTGACTAACCACATCACCACTCCCAACGTCTCGACGTTCCTGTTTCTGCTCTCGTCATCGAAGAACAGCATCTCTTCATACGGCAGCCCAGTCGCCTGCTGCAACTTCTCAAAGTGTGTTGTCTTTGATCCTGGGAAGATCTGCAGGTAGTCGAAGTACTCTATCGCCCGTGTCGAAGAGCCGGCGGAGGTCGAAGGACTAGAGATGGAAGAGTTGGGGACGCGTAGGAGTTTTAGCATCTCGCGGCCGAGGTCAGGAGCATGCGTGCGGGATGCAGCGCCGATTTTGATAGATTTGTGTCGGCACTCGCACCTGTCAGTTCTTGCCTCCCGGCTTCGGTCTCCCAGCCTTGTTCCCACAGCGCTCCGAGAATATACTTACAGCCTCAAGCACACCGCCTACGTCCTGATAGAATCCAAAGCCCTCACCCCACTTGTCTTTGACTTTGAGACCGTTCTCCGTTGCCTTGAGCGGCGGCGTGACGTGTGTGTCCACCCAGAACGGCCAGAGTGTGTAGTCAAGATCGAAGACGAGCATTTTCGGTAGCGGGAGGCCATCTTTGAACGTCTGCGGTAGCGGTACCGATTGAGGGAGGGCGGTTGTTGTGGTTGTTTGGGCAGTTGCTTGCGTGCGGCGCGGCATTTTGGACGGATTACAGTGCAAAAGCTGGAGGGTTATGATGCAGATAGTGCTCGGAAGGAGTAATGAGGTAGCGAAGCGTGTCAGCAACGTTGATACACGTATCTTGAGGGTTGGGGCGGGCAATGCAAAGTGTGAAGCAATTGAGGCGACTATTCCAACGGAAAGGCGTATACCCCAGAACCCCGCAACGTCATCGCACGGCGGAAACCCTGTCCCGCCGCCTCAACACCATGCCAAGGCTGGCGATAAACTGTTTAGCTCCTTTGTACGCTCTCTGCTCAAAGACGCAAGCCGAACACCACTGACTGCTTCCAATAGGGACAGCTGGACTTGATGGTCTGATTCGGCCTTTCCGGAAGGCAAGGAACACGACGGCAGACTAAGATCGCTTGCGACATTACCCAAAAGCCTTGTCGCGCGCAGAGAAAGTAGCCTTCATACCTTCACGCACCATCAATGCCTTAGAGGTACGATGTCTCTTGGCTCCTGTCTAGGCTGCCCGGCACGAGAATGACAAAAATCGCCGGACCCGGCAATCACCATAATTGATCACCTCCACCATGATTCCAAAGATATTTTGATCTTACGGTTTCATCTCTAGGTATAGCTTGTGCATGGTTGTAAAGCTGCATACGTTGCCTTACGCCTAGATTACTAATTGAGTTCTGTTATCGTACAAAACTACAAAGTCCTCAATCGATCAGTTTGTAACCCTTTGAGTCCAGCAAATTTTGCTTGCAAGATTTGTGGGTCAGGCTGCCGGGTAGCAGTACCATCTGAAAGGCATTGAGCTGAAGGAGGGCAATGCACATGCCGACACCGCAGGAATAGAGGCCTACGCGGTAATCCTATCGTGATCCCTACTAATGCAATCCACTGACATCTCTTTAGTTGTTATATGAGATCAAGGCGATCAAGGAAGACGACGAGAGCGGCACGCTAGCCGCGGCTGAATTCCAGGAAATCAGCAAGGAAGAGATCAAGACCTATCGAGAGCAGGAGAAATGGATGGACAATCCCGATCTCCAGCCTTCAGATCTTGAAGCCGCTTGTGCGAAACTACGCATCCCCAATCCAGCTGTTCCGCGCATGCCAGGAATGACTATGTTGACGCTCAAGTTCTGGCAACCGACAGCAGCGGCTGCCTTGGTCGAATTTGAGAAAGGGCCTTTGCGGGGCGGCGTTCTCGCCGATGAGGTCGGCATCGGCAAGACGTTGACAAATCTCAGTGTCATACGAGAGAGGGAGTATTAACTGAGGAAGCGGCAGCCGCTTAACCACCCTTCAATGTCATGAAGAGACATCAATAACCAGTTTATGTAATTCAAATCTGCACCTTCTATTCACTGAAGATACATCTAATATGCTAGCCCACCTCTGCACACGCCTCACTACTGTGTTAAGAAGCCTTGTGGTTGCACGCCATCTAGGTCTTCAGTCAGCTTAGGGAGCTCATGAATATGTGCAATCTTTTATGGTATGCTACCATATAGATACATGCAAGCTATATCTAGAGGATAGCTAGAGTAAAGATCTTTAGAGACGTGGTAAACTTAATCGATTTCGGTGATTTGGGAGTGGGCAGGAAGAAAGCCTCACCACGAAATAAGAAACCCAGGGCTGCATTAATAATAAAACTCCCTTTATGATTATTATAATGCTCTATAATACAGTCTAGATGGCTGACCTAAGGCTTAACGTCCTACCGTTTACTCTTAAAACTTACTACGGCGGCTAAACGTGAATTGCTTTATAAAGTGAACGGCGATACGGCGAACGAGCGCTGGGTGGCTGTCGCGATGAGGCATTTTTCTCGCTCGACGTGTGGTCCGGTAGTTTACGAGTCTGGCGATTTCTGTCACTCGCGTGCCGAGCTTGTGCTTCTAAAGAAGGAGAAGATTATCATTTGGGTTTATCTACCCGCTCGGATAGAGTTCTTGGAGCAAGTAAGTCAGCCTGCTGCTTCAGACTGTAGCCGTTTTACTGACAATCTCGCCAGAGGCATTGAAGCTTTTGAAAGTGGATGTTCAGTCGTATCGGGCAGACTTACCCACGAAGAAGCGGGCTGATCTAGCTTCCGATTCCAACAACAGCAAAGGTAGATGCATGGTACTGCTCTGTAGCTACCTTGTCTCAGCTTGTGGGTTGGATCTTCACCAATACTGCAGGAATATCGTGCTCTTTGAACCCCCTCCCAACGATTCCATATGGATCCAGGTCTTAGGCCGTCAGCGGAGAATTGGCGCTGACAAGTGGATTCGACTCATTGCACTCTTCCTAGCGGACTCGTTCAACATGCGACAGAGGAATACCAACGTTATCAAGGCCCTCCCCGGCCTGATGGCTCAGCTCAATCTCGAGGTCTGGGGATCGAAGGATGCAGACGATAAAGAAGTTCCACTCGGCGATTGGGTAGTGTACGAAAAGGCCCTCTACCGCAAGCATGACCAAACCGTGAAGGGTTTAGGATGCCGGGTACTCCAACCCGACGAGCTTCTTGTCCTCATAAAACGGGCTATGCAGGGCCTGCCTGTGGAGATTGACGACATTACAAGCTCGCTTTACAATAACCAGATGAAACGACCTCTTGGAGCTTACCAGGAGGATGACGCGATGGACTAAGTAGCTACCTGAAGTGTAGTGACAGGGTATGGGACTCAGCAAGGTAAACCGGCATGGCGGCCGGCAAGGGGTTTCGCTTCAACAGGCGTGCGTGGTTCAAGTTTCCTGGCGTTGGTTTTCTGGCTTTGACTCGGAGGATGGATGATGCTCAGATTTCACACCTTCAAAAGTTGATCTGGCGGCTGCACAGCGACGGCGGATGCAGCAGGTATGCTATCGGCTTGGAGATACTGCCAATAGCTAGGCGAGACTTCTGGGACTTCCGAAACCATGCTTCCAGGTTTCTATGACGGCTGGGAAGCGCAGGGGTGCCTCTGTCAGTTATGGCCGGAACAGTAGATAGCAAAAGCTTATACCTTTCATCTCTTTGAAAACAGAGACTCTTGTGATCTTTTGGCTGGTTCTTGAGTTACGCTGCCTTCTATTCATCAACTCCTTTGTGGGTCACTGTCAGGCGCTAGATCCGATTGCAACTTAGCCAAGACATCCGCGATACCGTTACTTTGATCTCTGGCTTTTAATCACCAAACTGTTGCGGAACCAAACTCAAGCTCCAAACGCCAAACAACCTGCAAGATGCCCATCCGCCCTGCCCGCCGCAGCGACCAGTGGCGTATGGCAGCCATCTGCGGCGCCGCGTTCTTTGATGAGGTCGGAACATGTCAGATTGTCACACCATGCTCAAGGATGTAGCTCAACTCAAGTCGCAGGACCTCTTCGGCGCCACTATGCATCCGAACCGTGCCCGGTATCCCGACGATATGACGCTCTTCTGGCTGCGGCGATTGCGCGAGCACTGGTATGATTGGACGAACCATTTCTGGGTTGCCGTGGACACGGATGAGAAGGGCGAGGAAGTGGTGGTGGGAATGGCGGAGTGGCAGCGGCAGGGTGCCGGGGCGAAGGGGATGGAGTTGAACCCGCTGGATCCACGTAGGTGAAACTCTTGGATCTAGGGTACGCTAGATTGGCTTCTATTGTCGCCTTGCAGCGCGCCGCGGGCCTGAAGTTTACATGCCCTTTCTGGAGCGATTTTTGGCAAGAAACATGCATTGGGGGCTCGGAGAGGTCTCCGCATACCACCGAGTTCGCCACTGGCAGCTCTCCCAAGCCTCTTCTCACCACACAAGCCTGATGGTGTGCTAACGTATGCTCCATAAAGGGAACCTTCTCAAACCCCTCTCGATTATACAAAACCGCGCCTCTGCCTACATCTACCCCAACCGGGCTGCCGACCCCTCCACCGCCGACCTCTTCGACCGCGCGATTCCCTACAGCATGCACCACTGGGCCGTCGGCACGCGCGCCGAGAACTGGTACCTTGATATCCTGGCCGTAGACCCTGCGTACCAAGGCCGCGGCTTCGGGCGTCAGCTCGTCGAGTGGGGCCTCGAGAGGGCAAAGAAGGAGAACGTTCACGCAAGCTTGATATCGAGCTACGGGAACGAGGGGTTCTACCAGAGGTGCGGGTATGGCGATATCGTGGGTTGGGCATCGGAGGGGGAGGGGAATCCGATTGCGCACGTGAGGGGAGGCGCGATCATGTTCATGGTTCCTAAGGTGGAGACGGCAGAGGAGGGACGAAAGAGGGTGGAGGAAATTGGGCAGAGTGGTCCTCATAAGCCATGATTTTGAAGACCATTTCGGTTGTGGTTTGAACCGAGTGTGTTAAACCGAGGCCAGCATCTACGACGGATTGGCGTGTCAAGGTTGACGCTTGTGTGACATCGTGATGAAATGTTCGTAAGGCAGCAACCCGCGAAACGCGACATAGACGCGATCGTCTATGTTTTGCTTTCTATCATGTGTAGTTGTCGAGCTGCTCTGCGGTTAACAAGATCATGGGGCCAGTTGGATCGTGAATCTGGTATCGAGAGAGCTGGAACATAGACGCGGCAACAAACTTTCTGGGTGAGATGGTCTAGCTGCTCCATGACTGACAAGATCAGGAGGCCAGTTTGGTGGTGAATTTGCCAGTGGATAAGCTGAGCATACCTGGGCACGTGGGTGACAGAAACTGCCGGACTACGAAAAACAGATAGGTCTTCAGTCAGCTTAGGGAGGTTATGAATAGGCGTAATTCTTCATGGTATGCTGCCACATAAACATGTGCAAGCTATGGAGGTAGGATGGCTAGAGTAAAGATCTTTGAAGACGTGGTGAATCTAACAGATTTCGGTGATTTGGGAGTAAGTAGTAAGTCCGGTAGTTTACGAGTCCGGTGACTTCTGTCACTCGCCTGCTGGGTAGATGTTGCGTTGGACTTTTCGCTTCTAACTTCTCCACTGTATTTTATGCTATCGAAGACTTCAGCAGAACACACGATTATATATTTATTGCTAGTCCCAGCATTGAACTCAATCCAGCCCATCTCAGAAAACTGAGATGAATCCTCCGCTTGGTGTAGTTGGTTTATCACGTCGGGCTGTAATGTCAAATTCGCTACCTGAAGGTCCCTAGTTCGATTCTGGGAGCGGAGACTCTTTTGCACCTTTTTGCATTCCTGCATCGCTTTAATCGGGGCTCTCCGAAGTACATTTGAGTTTCCGTTTCGTTTTGGTGGAGTGAGCAATTAACTTAAGACGGCGCGGTCTGCAGCCTGGAGACGGGTCGGAACACGAGCTCTCGTTGGCTATTACTAAGCGGGCAACGCAGGGTCTGCCACTCCAAGTGGACGACACCACAAACTCGATGTGTTCAAAGCAGATACAACGCTGTCCAGGCAGTCCTGCAGGAGGAGAACGGTGACGAGCGGTCCTCAGCTTGGCCCTAACTTCTCCCACAAGCGGCGAATGTAGTCTCCTCCTTCGCCCATATTGGAGCTTTGCATCTGCATTCTCCATCTGCAACCTCCATCGCTACCAAGTCCTGCATCAGGCCCTGTATCCTCCATCTACACCGAAGCCTTCAGAACACCACCTTCATTATGGCCGAAGGGCTGCTTGCTGCATACCTACGTACCCTACGTGAGATAGACGGACCTCCTTCTCCAAATACATCGCCTTCTTCGAACCCGTCGAACTCCTTGGAGTCCACGCAGTCTTCGACATGTCCGAATATGTTACTACCACCCCCAGAAGAGGAGTATGAGTCTTTCACCCTTGTCGAAGATGCTGTTCGTAGCTGGACAGCTACTCAAGGCTATGCCACGTCACGCCATAAGACGAAAAAGAACAAGGCGGGCCAGCCTTACCGTCACCTTCTTAAATGTACTCGACACGGGAAGCTCGACAACACCCGTAAGCTTACGGAAGAAGTGCGCGTTCGAAAGAAGCGAGGCTCCGCAAAGTGCGGATGCCCCATGAAACTCTGGATTGTTGCAGTAGATGTCGGTGAGCCCGAAGGACCATGGCGCGTTCAACATTGCGAAAACCAAGCCAGCAGAATACATAACCATGGACCTGCCCCCGCGATAGCCTTTCCTACTCACCGCCGCGCGGGCCGGACCGAAGAGATTAAAGGTATTATTCGGGTACAACAAGCAGCTGGGTCGACCGTTAATCAAACGATGGCTATACTACGAGATTCGCACCCAGAGCTGCGGATTACCTCAAGGGATATCATCAATGAAAGGGATCGATATCGCCGAGAGAAGCTCGATGCGATGACTCCAACCCAACCTGCATATGTACCACCCCAAACTCAGCCTCCACATGTACCGACCCCAGCTCAGCCTCCATATATACCGACCCCAACTCGACCTCCATATGTACCGACCCCAACTCCACCTGCACATGCACCCAGAGTCTGGCACGGAGCTCATGATTGGAGCGGGCAATTGGGCATGCATGATTCTGGTTACATGGGATTGGTTCTGGGACCAGGTGTACCTGATGGTAATCCGATCGGACGCGGCGCGCGGAGACATTGATGCTTTTGCAGACTTGTTGTTTGGTCAGCGCTACGGATGGCAGGTATCTCCGGGACTTGCGGAGGAGTGGTTTGTTTGAAACAGTGGATTCGGGTGACCGAGACGTCCGCTCCATCCTTTGATCTGAGATCCACATGGTTTTTATCTACGCTAGATGGGTGAAATTCGAGCGGGGTAAGAAGGCGAAGACGTGCAAAAGAGTCTCCGCTCCCAGAATCGAATCAGCAATAAATCTGCCGTCGTCCCGGCCGCCTCTGGGGGTGTTTCCATGATTTCTTGTAGGTGGAATATTTAGGGCGCTGCGGAGATTGATTTTAGCTTGGCATTCGAGTATACCGAGAGGCTCACTACCAGAGCTAGACATCCCTTTCAAGATCTCGAAATCGTCTATCATCCTTGCGGACTACATTTGGTGAGCGAGAAAACTCAAAGGGGGCAACAGGAGCAACATGTACCTGGCCAGGGTGCTCATTAGACGGTCCGGTTAGCGCAAGACCGACCGACGGTATAGCTATTCCAAGCCCACCGCGTCTTCAGCCATTACGGTAACTCTATCTCCGCCGAGCGCAACCAGCTATCACAGCAAACGACCGAAGCCCCTATGTGCCAAAAGAACTGGCTGAACCGGAAGCTGGTCCCGGAGTAGCCAGCGCTCGGCGCCGGCGACATCACATCTCCCGACCTCTACTAGCTGCTAGATATAACGGGAGGCTGGTAGACATAATGGGCAGGTGCTAGAGCGCGGTAGAGGCGTTAGTAGACAGGACCTTCAACTATTATCTAAGAAAACGCTGCTAGAAAATTATGACACCATGCCAAGACCAATCCACCGCTATCCAAGCCCGTCCAGCCTCGTCGGCCGGTCCTCAAGCCGCCCAGAGCCTACTAAGTCGGTCTGGTGTCGTGCCCTTGGACGGACGGTCTGAAGGCTTCAGACAAGGACCGACCGACTAATGAGCACCCTGGTTGAACTGCACGCGTAGCCTCTTGCAAAGCCGTAGCACTTGGCTGCAGGTTATCCATTGTTGCATCCCCTGTGCTTTTACCGTACCCTGGGCCGTTAACCCGGTGCTGCACCCTGCCTTTCGGCGGGCCGCGGTGACAGAAGGCTTTAGGAACTCCCCGCAGTTTGACGATGTTGCCTCCTCCGTACGAGGGGACTAGAGCACGCTCTCGCGCCTCTCTCAAGACCCTCCTAAGGTTGAGTCATAGTT